CCTCAGGCAAGAAGAGAGGTCGCTAAAGTGGGAAAGTGAGGCTGTCCTGATCAGGAGAGAGCAGTCCCGAGCATACACCCCCAGGAGGTGCTTCCCCTGCTTCCTTCACTCACTCGAATGACTAGCAATCGGCGCAATCCTGAGGAAGCTGCTAGGCATTGTGCCTTCCGCCTGTAAGTCACGTAGCTGGCCTACAAGACTTGTGTGTTGGAATGTTGGATCTAGAAGCCTCCCATCTCGGACCCTGCATACATATGAAGCACTCGGTCGTTGGCGATACTGTCGCACAGCAAGAGGTCAACACTAAATGTTAAACGCCACATCTGGTAGTCATCCGTTATCTGCGGAGACAAGAGCATCTAGAGTCGTATTCGAGACGCCAGATCGTGGGTTACGATGGCGCCGCCTCAAACGTTTGTACCGGGCGTGCCTGTTTGTCTCTTGAATAACGCGAGAGCCTAAAGTTGAGTGTACAGTAATTACAACACAGCCATGGTAATGCCATCCTCGGAAGAACTGTCTGTCTGACCTTGATGTCGCAAAAACCCTGCCTCTCCCAAAACCGATCAGCAGCTAGTGGATGACGAAAACATAGATGTCTCCCAATCCCAAAGCCGAGGGCAGATCGTGTTTAGCAGACAGGCAGTCTGGCAATATGACATGAGAAGCGATACTAGCACCATTGACACCGAATTGCTGGGAAGCAATCTGCCTCTAGAACGTCAGAAGAAAGGGGTGTAACGTCTATCAGCGTCCATCGTTTACGCCATTCAACGCTACAAAAGCGCCGTTTTGGTAACTTTTGCGCCTGGTGGCAGACTAATTTGAAGCCGGTTCTCTGGTGAAGCAATTGTGGGCTGTCCGGTGCCATCTAGACGCTCGACGGCGCGGGCGCAACTACGGGGTGAAAATGACGATCCAGCAGGATGAAGGAGCTCGGAAGTTGGTGCCACGGTGTCTTGTCATTTGCTCATGATAATAACGATATCCAAAAAAGCATTTCGTATTGGATGCAAAGACAAAACCGGCGAATATGTTCCTGGCCGCTGACCATCTTTACACTCTCTTGACCTTTACCTTGCATCGATACGATATCGGAAGCAAGTTAATCCAGCGGCTGACAAGAGCGTCTGTGTAGTACGTACGAAGCTATCAGATCGATGTTTGGTTTTGAACTTGTCATAGACGGGGCAGGGTCTATGCTGGTACACAGCTTGGTCCATGCTGTGCGCCAGTTCGTCAGGCGGAGAATCAGTGACAGCAATAGCTCGCGGCTGAGTGGTCTCGTGCCTCTCGAGGCTCCGGCGTTGATGATCCAAGAGGATGATTGAGTCGGTTCCACAGATATCTTCTTTGAGCCCGGACAGTGGTAGCTGAGTTCGGTATGGAGCAATGTCATCGTCCCGGTGGGCGACTTAGCCCAGGCGCAACAAAATGAACACCTCCGTAAGAGCAGCCGGGGCGCTCATGGCAATCCGCCGCGCATCGCTCGATTCGCGGCTCCGTTGTAGTGCTGTAGCGAGACGCAGGAGAAACGCACCGGTTTGTGCATCTTGCATATCGCGTGCAGACCAGCTCAGGAACAAGTAAACTAGGGCACGACTAGCAGAAAGAGGCACGAGAAGGGAACCTGAACACAGGGGAGCCAATCACACTGCACAATTTTGGTCAACTATTTATTCTCTTTACGCCCTTTGCGCGGCCATCCCAAGGCTCAATTGCCCCTTGCCAAGGAAGGGCTGCTAAAATCCGTCTTCCACTGCCAGAATCTCAAGCTACCCGGTACTTGAAGGGATCAGCACTTTGGCCTGGTCCTCGGGTTTCTGATGACGACTGACGACTGACGACATTTAGGACTCCAGATAATATACGGATACTTAGCATGGATAATAGGTTTGCTTAGACCGGGGTAGTGGCCGAAGAATCCGTGGCTTTGATTCGATCTCGGCATAATACGCATCTCGTTCACACGCGGACGCTTGATGGCTAAAAATATCGTTCGTAAACTTTTTGAGTAATTGCTGCATGTTCCGGCGTTACGATGGCGTCCAATCCGATAACTCACCACTCTGATCAGATGGGGAGACCTGAAATAGTTCATGTGATGAAGCAGCCAGTATTATTGAGCAGCCTGCCAAAAGCACGCGAATGATTTCTGACTCGAGAGAAGCTCGTCGGCAGCGAAGAAAGACATCGACACCCCGAGAGGGGGGGCATTCCAGCATTCTCATGTACGAGCCCCTCAAGACCATCCGAGGACGAGTCGGTGCAATGGCAAAAGTTCAACACCTGCATCGTAGACAGACTATGTATGCATGAGAGAGGAGAGAAGAGGAGAGCTTGTGGGTGGAACCAAACCGTTGATATCTAACGTCAATCGACGGCAACTATTGAAACTTTGGTACCAAGTTTATTGGGTTTTTACTTTGCAGAGCAAGTTCCTCGTATGGCCTTTTTTTAATGGCGCGCCTTTTCCGCTGTGAACATGCATGATGATATGACGCCTCCAAAATGCGCACAAATAGGGTAGAAGATGGACGACCTTGCATACTGTTCCTAACCTCCCTTGAGGATGATGGATGGCCTCGATGGTTCACATGTAGCAAGATGTATAGACACCCACTTACCGCGTAGGTAGGTAGGTAGTTAGCAGACCCTAAGTCTGAGGGGAGTATTCTGATAGTAAGGTAGTGTGGAAAGGGGTCCATCCACACACTACATCAAGCTTCTTTCTATTCCAATCCAAGGGGTTGCCGTCTCTTTTGCTCGTTACTCGTTGCTCTTAGTTCTCGAGAGCTTCATTCTGGATGCACCACACTTGGGCCACTTGACACCGGCTGAGAAGCTCTTAGCTGCCCAGACAACAGGGGATCATGTTAGCTTCTTCAGGCTGGAGGCCCCTGGAAACCCCACTGGACTGGTGCTTGCTCTTGAGTCTTACGTAGGTCGGTTGATCAAGTTGGGAGAGAAAGAGAAAGAGAGAGCGAAAAAGCCCCGCTGAGACCGGGCCCAATCCCTCCCGTGGGCACACAGGACTCACTTTATCTTGTGACCTTGAGAGCCAGCCTCTTAACCCCCTGGTGGTTTCATTGACGAGAGAAGTCCAGTGTGAACTGGAGTTGGGGGCGTGGGGTTATCTTCCCGCCGACCATGCCCTGGCTTAGCCTGCTATCCTGCTAGCCTGCGAGGCCTGGCACCCTCAACAGTCAACAGTCAAGACCAAAAGAGAACCCCACTCCGACCCGTATGCTATCTCCTCCACCCCCTGGAACTTGGAAGTCTCCAGCTCCCACTTGGGACAGGCTGGGGGGCCCCTGGACCGAGAAGAGAAGAGAAGACCTAGCCAGGGTTCCACCTTTGACTGACGAACGACGTGGGTGTGGCCACCAGCAGCAGGGAACCCAGAGAGAGAACAAGACCCAGAAAGACTCTCCCCGTGTGTACTCCGTAGAAAAAAAAGACTAAGTTCCATTAGAGGTGATAATACCACCGCATTCCCCAGACCCCGACCGTTGATGTCTTTTTTGTTCCCATCTCTTCCCCTCGACTCGACCTGTGTCTCGACTTCATCATCAATCGACCTTCTCTCATTGTTTTTTGTGCTAGTGTACTTGGGTTTGGTTTACGGTCTGCATTCACTTACGCCCCTGCTTCTACTCTTGGTCACCAACTTGGACAAACGACAGCGAACAGCAACAACCTCGACAAGCACCATTTAATTCTTTAGCATCTAATCTAAATCTGGATCTTGGACCGTCGAGCTCTCTCATACATACTCAATCGATCAAAGCCACCCCTGTCGCCCAATCGCAACAGTATCATTCCATCAACTCTTGGTCAACTCGTACTCGACGAATGACCTGACTCAGATCCCGTCAACACAACCAGACAACAACATATATCGACGACAACAACGATCAGCTGCCATTGGCTCAATTGGATTTTGGATACATCACACGGTGTCACGTTCAGGTAAGCCAGAAGGAAAGAAAATAATGATGAATTTGCACTTCAGCAGTAGCTGTAGCAGATTGATTGTCACTTTATCCCATTCGTCTCTTTTTCTCCACAACCACGCAGGAACATCAAGGCACAGACAGTTGGAGCATGCAGGCTATGCACGTTGACGGATCGTGCCGCATACAGACCGCATGCGTATGCATCTTTCAGGCGACACGATAGCAATTGGATCGCTTTTGTGCTTGCTGACAGGAGTCGAGGCCACTTCCATGGCCTGACCACGATCAGCGCAATCGTACAATCGCACGCACGCAGCTGTTCAGGGTCCAGGCTAGAGGGGACCACAAGTCCGGGCATGTTTGCTTTTTTGGGGACCCGGGTTCAAGTGGTAGCGGTAGCGGTAGCGGTCAGAACACTGGAACCCAGCTTCTCTCCGCAATTGACTGCCCACAGCACCTAGGATGCACGACTCAAACGTCTTTTTTCCGCCCTGAACCCCCCTCCAAGAGCCTCAGGTCTTTGCGCCTTGCAGCAGGTCCCCCCTGCTGTCCTGAGCATTCCTCGCCATCCACTCGACGTCGTCCATCGTCTCCCTTCATTCCATCTGCTGCAATGCTTCTTCTTCTGTCCTGTCCTGTTCTTTCCCACAATCAATCATTTCTCAATTCGCGACTCTCGTCCCCTGGTGACTTGACTTGACTTGACATGACTGACTGACTGACTTTCTTCTTTTCCCCAGCCAACCGGTTTTTCCTTACTCGATTTTCTGTTGTTGTGGTGCAACTCCATCAACTTTGATCTGATCACCATCACCACTTACACCATCAAGTTTCGCTTTTCGCCAGCTGCAACCAGCATTCTTCTCTTGGATATCTTGAAACGACTGTTGGTAATCAACTGAGAAAGGATACTAGTAGAGAAAAGGACAAAGAGAAAGAGCCGGATCGATACTTGGTTCGAGTGGTTGTCCAAACCCACCGACCGAGCCGCCCCCCGATGATCTAAACGACGACATCGATTGTCAGCGGCAATCGCACGCAATGCTCAGCAACCAGCCTATGCGAGCCAGTCTCCAGGTGGCCCCTCTCACTATCGCCAAATCCCGCATCAATTCGTCTGGAGATGCTTCATCGACCTCAGAGAACGACACCAGCCTCTACTCACAATCTCAAATGACACCCCCCGCTACACCAAATGGCTCGCAGGAGGATCTCTCACCTTCGCCTTCACCTCAGTACATCCCTCCTCAAGTCTTCCACAACTTCCTGCGAGCCTTCTATCCTTTCAACCCCAGCTATGTTATGTCCGACTCTAGCGTGACGTTGCCTCTTAACGAGGGCGATGTCGTCCTAGTGCACTCTATCCACACAAATGGATGGGCCGACGGCACATTGCTTGTTTCGGGCGCCAGAGGATGGCTACCGACCAACTACTGTGAGGCTTACGAGCCTGATGACATGTGCAACCTTCTCAAGGCTCTTCTGAACTTTTGGGATCTGCTCCGAAGCACATCTGTCAATGACAAGGAGATCTTTGGCAACCAAGAGTTTATGAAGGGTATCATTGCGGGTGTGCGATTTCTATTGGTAAGTCGGCGAAACAACTGGAAGTACTTCAGCTGTCTAACGCAATGCACAGGAACGAACACACTGCTTGAATAGAGAGTCACCGCTCATCCAGAGGAGTGATGCGCTGCGCAAGTGCCGCAAGTCACTTCTCTCTGAGCTCTCATCACTGGTAAAGACAGCGAAGCGGTTACAAGAGACACAACGTCTCGAGATCGCTCCCGTCGAGGATGTGAACGATATTATTGATGAGATGGTTCTCAAGGCTTTCAGAATCGTAACAAAAGGTGTTCGCTTTATGGATATGCTCGAAGAGGATCGCAGGGCACGTGCACCCGCAGCTGTTACTGTTATGGATACAGTGCTCGAAGAATCATACGTGCCGCCAACACCACCTGCTGATCAATCAACTTTTGAGGAACAAAGCCAGCGCAGCACAAACGACACCGATTCTCAACCTGCCGCAAGTGTCGCTGCTTCTGAATCAAGCGAGACGACGCAGACATCGACATCAATCTTCACCAAGCGACTATCGTCACTCAGCTCTCGTACCGGCCCGAGCTCTCACAGGTTATCACAGGGAAGCCTTGCGCAAGCTCACCGCCTGTCGGCCACCATCTCTCACAGAGTGTCGCTCGCTGGCCCATCATCAGCATCGCGAGCTCACCATCTCGTTACGGAACGCCTCAATCGCAGCCACGATACTTTCCTGTCTCATTTGGGATCCTTCATCGGACGCCTGCATCTTCAATCCCAGTCGCGCCCCGAGCTTGCCTCAGCTATCCGTCAATCTGCACTATCAGGTGGAGAGCTCCTTGCAGTAATCGACGGAGTCTATGACCACATTAACTCAAGCTCAGAGGCTCTTGCCCGCGCTAGATCCACCATGTTCGCGCGAATCCAAGATCTCGTCTTTTCTGCCCGCGATACCCTGGTCAGTGCTGCGTCTGAAGATGCCGATTTGATTATGCCCCACGACAACACAATGCTCCTTGCATCCGCCACAGGCTGTGTGAGGGCTGCAGGAGACTGCGTTGCCAAGGCAAAGTCTGCTATCGAGCGCATCGGCGATTTTGAATTCGAGCTTGAGACTAGCAGCCTCGGTATTGACCTAAGCATTCTTGACATTGATGTTGAGGAGCGGGCCAGGACCCTATCTGTTTCAGAACCCAACGATACTGCAAGCAATGCCGGATCGAACCGAACTTCTAGCTCCTCCAACCCTGCATCTCGACGCCTCACTGTCGTTGCCATCGACAAGCCCCTCCCTGAGGTTCCTCAGGTGACGACACCCACTGATGAACAGACCATCCACCCTTCACCAGGTTCTTCTCGGCGCTCATCGGTTGCTGACGACAACATCTCCAGCGTGGCATCCTCTATCTCTTCTCTGCGTCCTTCTCTTCCTCCTCTTCCCAAGCTATCCACTACTATTCTGCCCAGCGAGGAATACAGCCCTGTCGATAACAATGACAGCGACTTCACCTCGTCCTCTCGATTTGATAGTATGGTTGCCTCCAGCGCTGGCAGCAGTGCCACTTACCTCAGCCGCGACTCAGAGGTCAGCATGGTTTCGCAGTCTTCTACTCGAGCCACCACCCCCGACCACACTCTTGCTCCTCAAAAGCAGCCCTCAATCTCTAACTTGAGCAACACCGAATCGCAGACGGAAGAGGTTGATGTCGAGTCAAGGCTCATGGAGAAGACCTTTGCCCACGAGCTCATGTTCAACAAGGAGGGCCAAGTTACTGGCGGCTCTCTACCTGCTCTCGTTGAGCGTCTCACTACTCACGAATCCACTCCCGATGCCATGTTTGTCTCGACCTTTTACCTCACTTTCCGCCTTTTCTGCTCACCAGTTCGCCTGGCCGAAGCGCTCATTGAACGATACGATTACGTTAACGATTCCCCTCATGTGGCTGGACCTGTCCGACTGAGAGTATACAATGCTTTCAAAGGCTGGCTCGAGTCCCACTGGAAGGAAGAGACCGATCGTGACGCCCTTGACTTGATCATGCCCTTTGCTGAATTCAAGCTGGCTTCCTCTCTGCCAAACGCTGGCCGACGTCTGTTTGAGCTTGCTCAGCGCGTCTCTGGCGAGGGCTCTCTGGTTCCTCGACTTGTATCTTCCATGGGCAAGACCAGCACCTCAGTTGCCCAATACGTGCCAGCTGACACTCCTTTGCCTATCCCTGCCATCACCAAGGGTCAGCTGAACCTGCTTTCTGCTTTCAAGATGGGTGCAGCTCAGCCAAGCATTCTTGACTTTGACCCTCTTGAGTTGGCTCGTCAATTGACTATCAAGCAAATGAACATCTTCTCTTCCATCCTGCCCGAGGAGCTCCTGGCTTCTCAGTGGATGAAGAACGGTGGTGTTCATGCTCCTAATGTCAAGGCTATGTCTTCTTTGTCCACAGATCTCTCAAACCTCGTCGCCGAGACTATTCTTCAGCAGCAAGAGGTCAAGAAGCGCGCTCAGGTCATCAAGCAATGGATCAAGATCGCACACCAGTGCCTTGAGCTTCACAACTACGACGGTCTTATGGCCATCATCTGCAGTCTCAACAGCAGCACCATCAGCCGTCTCCGAAAGACTTGGGATGCCATCTCTAGCAAGCGCAAGGACATGCTCCAAAACCTGCAAGATTTGGTTGAGCCCTCTCAAAACAACAAGGTCCTGCGAACCAGACTTCATGACCACGTTCCTCCCTGCTTGCCCTTCCTCGGTATGTACTTGACCGACTTGACATTTGTCGATATTGGCAACCCTGCCACTAAGCAGATGTGCATCGGTCCTGAGTCTGAGGAGGATGGCGCTGGTGGTATCACTGTTGTGAACTTTGACAAGCACACTCGCACAGCCAAAATCATTGGAGAACTTCAGCGTTTCCAGATCCCCTACCGCCTCACCGAGGTGCCTGACATGCAGGATTGGATGTCCTCTCAGATCAGCCATCTCCGCGACAGCGAGGAGGGCAATGTGCAAGTCACCTACTACCGCAAGAGTCTGCTCTTGGAGCCTCGCGAGACTGCCAACCGACCTACCCTTGAGTCCTCGGCTGCCTCTATCGTCGGCGTTGGAGGTGTCCGTCCCGATCTATTCAGCTGGATCTCCCGCGACCGAGGCACTTCAACACCAACACCAACACCCACTCAGACATAGAATTTGCTAGTTGCATATCTTCTCAACTCGCATCCGGCTCAACAACTATTTACCCTTCACCATCATCACACGCACATATTACCTCCCCACAGTAACTACTTCATCTTTGATACCCCCCATTTTGTTTGAACTTAATCGGCAGATGGGAAACATCGTCATGTTCCTTATGACCTCTATATCCATCAGCACAACGGCGTTATCTACATTTGGGTCTGACATTTATGTTTTACGGTTTTCACATCAGTTCCAATGCGCGGAACTAGAACAAGGATCTTATCACGAACCACGAGCGCTCAGTCCTTTGGGGCTTGAAGCGTTCGGATTTGGAATCAACGGCTGCGATTACTCTCAGCCGTGAACAACCTTTCAGGGTACAACTTACGACGGAATCACTCACACTTTACATTCTACTTCTCACCTTCCTTCATTTCCTGGTTTTCCATCCCTGTACTTTTTTCTGGCGACGACGGGTCAGGGCATGGGCAACAAAAGCTTTACGGTGCGGGTGGGTGCATTCAGAAACGGCCAGTAACAACGAATTCCTGGGTGCCTGTCTTATTTTTGGGTTCTTTTTTAATGTATTCTCAACGACGGAGGGCTTAGAGTTGTCAGTCGCCAGTGCAAAAACGAACTGTGTCCGATTATTACTGTATGATCAAGGACGGCAAGCATGCCGTGCCTATGTTTGTTTTTTCTTCGTCATTGAACTTCTGGGAAAGGGAGTCTGGTGAAAATAGGACAGGCCGGGACAGGCTAGGATAGGAGATGGAAAAGAAAGACAAAAAGGTTATATTCTGCAATAGAATAGGAAGAACAAAAAGAAATAGGATTCATTGTCCCTGAAACTTAGTCCCTTGATAACTGTGACTTGCTGAGGATTTCTATCTTCGGGTGATTAGTGTGACCGACCGTATTTGTCTTATTCGCTTACGTATAGTAATGAGCAGAAGTATCTTGATGAGAATGGTAGATTGAATCATAACTGCACAACACTGAAGCTTGTGCACTCGGAATATCAGTCACTATTCAGTGTATGATAGATATCTAGATGAAATCGAAATAGAAATAGAAATTGCACATAATGCAACAAATCGAGGCTAAATCCAGTGGTATATGGCATGACCAACTCCACCTCAGGCGTATACCATAAACGTTGAAATTCATTAATATTAAGTAAGTGTTCCTATATATAATGCATTGCCCATATCTTGGTCTAAGCTTCGACCTCCGTAGTCTTCTTATCCGTAGGCACGACAACGACATCCTCAAGCTTCTCGTCACTGAACTTTAGATCCTCCTCAACGGGGACGGTATCCTGGATCTTGGTGAAGATGACGGGCGCGGCGATGACCAGCGAGACACCGAGACAAGCCCATGTGGCGGCGAAGATGGTGTCGAAAGGCTTGCCAAGACCATCCATGCGCCAGAAGATGGCAGCGCCGGCGGATTGAATACCCTTGTAAAAACCTGCATTGCTATGTCAGTGATCTGGAGTAGAGGTTGGAGAGAAGAGGGGAACGTACCAGCGAAGTTGGCCGTCTTGCGGCCAGAGTTGGAGAGAGCACCCATGTACCAGTAGATGCAGGTTTGCCAAGCAGCGTCAAAGAAGCCGTAGAAGAAGTAGAGGAACATGGGGGCAAGGAACTTGATGCTGCCATCGTCCCAGTCAACCTTATCGTTCTCGTTGGCAGGGTCCATGGCAATCTCACGGGGTCGCTGATCCTTTTGCCAAGCGTAGCCACCGCCCCAGATGGCAAAAGTCAAAAGGAAAAGAACGACAAGCGAGATCTTGGCACGCACACTGCGGCGAACGCTGGAAATATCGAGGGCGTAACCGATCATGAGGGCGCCGAAGATCTGCGCAAGCCAGTAGAGCAAGTTGTTGAGGGCACGAGTGCGGACGTTGAACTGGGCGAGGTTCATATCGACGTTTTGGTAGGTGTAGAAGATGTTTGAAGAGAAGAACATGGGAAAGAGGAGGACGACCCAGGGGGCGCTGTAAAGTGTCTCCCAAAGACCCTTGATCTCAGTGCTCCATGAGGGGTTCTTCATGACGATGACTTTGGTGTTGTCCTCGCGAACGATCTTGTCGGCGTCGCAGATGAACAGGGCGAGGACGGCACCGATGGCCATGAGAGCGATGAAAGCAGCGTAAGTTCCATCGGAGACAGGGCCTGCTTTCTTGTTGACATTTTGGGCAAGGGGGATCTATGATGAAAGTTTAGTAGGAAGTTAAGGGAGTGATTGATAGATGTGAAACTTACAAGAGAACCGATAACGGCACCCATGTTGAAAATGACCCAGAACCAAGAGATATATCGTCCTTTACTTTGCTCAGGAGGATACGACATCATGATAGAGCCCTGAGCAGCCCACAGAAGTCCGGCGCAAACACCAAGAAGCGCACCTGCGAAGACAACAAAGGGCATGTTCTGAGTATGTGAGTAGCACAGGAACGAAGCCGCATAAACACAATATCCCAGTCCTCCAATAGACAAAGTCAGGCGAAGGCCCAAACGATTGGCAAAAGTTCCAGCGAAGAAACCAACGACGGCAAAGGTGCTGTAGAGGGCGGTGTTTGCGTGATCCTGAGCCTCATTGGAGACCTGGCCACCACCACCGAGGCCAGTGAGGGCGTTGAACATGCCGGGACACAAGAAGCAGACGATGGAGACCATGAACAATTGGACCTTGGGCGAGGCATACCAAAGCTCGAGACGACCCAGGCGGACGGTTTTGTACATCCATCCTTTGGGACGGAAGCCGGGTGTGTCTGAGTCTCCGGTTTCTGAACCCTCTCGGGCGATGTGGTTATGTTTCTCGACAGAAGCCATTGTTGTTAATGTTTTTGGTGAAGAGTTAATTGAGGTGAGGGTCAATGCCCTTATATAAGACGACAAGATACTTATGAGAGGAGTAGAAACCCCAATGGAACATAAAACGATGAATGAATAAAGCAGGGGGACCTCTCAGACAAAACCAGGATGTCACAGAATTAAAGTAGTCGCGAGAAGAACAGATGGAGAGATGCCAGGCACGAGACTAAATCGTCCGGTCCCCAAAAATAAACTACCCCTGCCCTGGTTTCTCAAGACTTTATCACGAGAAGGCGAAGAAAAAACCCGCAGGAGGACGGGATTGCCAGGGGTTGTCTCGTGGGATTGGAAAGTCGGGAGTCAAGTTGGATGGAGTGGTGTGAAGTGGATGGAATGGGGGGAATGGGGGATGGGGAATGGATGGGGGAGATTTCTAAGGGTGGTGCGGGTTGGTTTTAGTTGCAGCTTACAGTCCCTACACTTACAGGGGAGGGCGGGGGATGCAACAATCGCTGTCGATCCGCTTACAGTGGCGTATTGATGCTGGACTTTATCGGTCGTGGCCGAGGTAGGGGAAGTATGTGGTATCGTTTGGTGGTTGACGTAGATATGCATTGATGAGGGCATATACACGCATTGAAAGAATATTGAGCTAGATAATAGGAGTGACTGATCCTTGACCAAAGGGTCCTTCCACTACTCTCGGCCGAGATAAAAGTGTAAATAGACGCAAAGTGCCGTGTTCAGCAACAACTGGTAGCTCAACTAAGCATCCAAACACACATCAAACTACACACGATAGCTCAATTACCAAATGTAGAGCAAACATACCTAAAACGTAATCGAGTATCCCCAGACTCAACGTCTTCATCTTCCTGGGGTAAGATCCCTCACTGGTGACAGGTTGCCCATGGCATCAAACTTTCAGTGGCGGGCCCTAGCGGTAACGTCCGTGTAACATACAACCCGACAATGGGTAACGGTAACGTTCTAGCAAACTTACCTGGCTTTGGAAGGTTGTAGTTGTAGTGCAGACAAGAATTGGACCTACGTAGTACTACTGCAGGATATCTGTTGCTGTAGGTGTTGGCGTTACATGTCTATCTGCCCTCTGAGTATCCGTATATCATGCATTTCTTCATCATACTACGTAGTATATACTTGCTGTAGAACAGACACCATTCCAGATTATCTTCATGATACGTTTCTTATGCCAGTTCTAGACAAGCCGCCCTATCTGCCCTGCCCTAAAACCCCAGATTTAATTTTAGAGTCCTCCAGGGGAAAGGCCCGAATGTCAAGCTCCGTGATTGGCCAATCGTTACCAAATCTCCAGATCCTACAGCGAAGACGAGCTTAACGGTTCGATTTGCATGTCACCAATCATCATGCCTATTCTATTCTTTGTCTTCAAGTCACAGCACCTTATATCCATTGATAGACATACCGATACGAGGACGCACGTCTCACTACGAAAATTGCCATCTCGTCATTGTTTTTTGCATTCAACAGCAATAACTTGCTTTTTTCAGTCCTCACATACCAAGCCCCGTAATTCCCGGCAATGCCTTCTTCTCTTGTAACATCCGATATTATCGCGATAAGTCTAGTCCTGTAGCTATCTCCCAGCTCTGACCATACCCAGTTAATTTGTACCCGCATGTAACGTTTCGCTCAACTGCGGATACTGTAGTCACAAATACCTTATATCGAACGGCTGCGCGAGGCCTGTAGCCCACTGTTTGATTATCGTGGGTTTACTTCACTTTTGTCAGTCGCATTTGTTGGATACCAACGATTGCATGTGCTATCTATTATCAAGATAAGCGGCCGCTTGGTACAACTCCGCATTCCCATGATTGCTACGTAGTAGAGTGGACAGTAGATATTGAATGGAAGCCTTGCTCCATTATCATGATTGTCGGTATCGCATATCTTGTTATCATGTATCATCAATGTGTGCTTGGTCTCATTGATACTCTGCCCAAAGTGCCTGCATGAAAGTGCCGATTGTGTTGCATGCAGGACCGGGCGATTGGTTTGCTGGGGTTTGCGTCAATGCTTGTTTCCATACAGATCCAATGCTTCGCGAGGACGTATTTAGCCTGTGTTACATGAAGAAGGCGAAGAAGTATATGACAATGTAAAGACCTTAGCACACAATGTGTATGTTGATCTAGCAGGTCTCTGAAGCATCTCAGCCCTAAATAGCTTGTTAACTTCTTTAAGTATGAGTTTTGATGAGTCCTAGGACAGAAGCAAAAAAGCAAATGAATGACCGCAGCTTAACTAAGGCCCTTTGGTCGTCCAAAAGTGTTATGAGATAAGGATGTGTAACTTGGGGCACTCTACCTCTGTGAACGACATGAAGCCATTTACTAAGCATATTATTTCGATGGCTCTGGCTTTGGACTCATGGTCTTTAATTTGAGCATTAGTGTTAAATACCAAGTAATGCAGTAGCATTCCCAGATATGTAAATCAAGACCTTATTCTCCATATGAACTCTCGACTTCCTATAACGATCACCATTTAGTATCAAGCAGTATATATGGTTTCTTCAATCTTGAGGCTATCATCGTCAACATATTCTCCATAGGAAGTAGCAAGTGTTGGTCGGTTGGGCCAGGCCAGGGCATCCACTTCCAGAGCTGAACCAAACAAACTGTACAGACATCTTGATAATAAATCGAATGAACGATAATGATATTGATTTCACGCCATTATTCGTCACTTTTGTCATGATGTTGAATCACTTACACTGACATGCTCACCGATCACGTGAGACTGACCAATACTCAGTCCCTGATAGGCTCGGACAAGTTCGGGGCGCCACCCTGACGTACCAGCGGCTTCCGGCTGCAATCGCCTTTTAGCACCGAGCAGCCGGCTTTGAAATCATATCCACTCAGGTCTCAAGTTAGCATTTGCCTTTTGATACTCAACCTCAACATCACCAGTACCTACCCACACAATTCATATGCGCCGACCATGTTCACTTCAAGATCGGTAGCAAGACTCGTCTTGCGACGAGCATGCAATCCCTCCCCTTTGCGCCAATTCTCCACCTCCAGGCCCCTCGCCGTCGCCTACCATTCCTACACTCTTCCAGCTCACACTTCTACACCCCCGAGAAACGACGACGTCCCCGAAACTTCAATAACACAACCCGATCCTCTACCTAAGGTCCACGAGACAAGGCCGCCGCCTCAACTGCCGAAGACACCACAGCCGCCGACGCAGCAGGAGGCTACGACAACACAGAATGCTACTCCCTCGACGGTATCCTCGGCACCAACTCCGAAGCTAAACGAGAAGGAGGCTCAGAAGCCAAAGGCCGCCCGACCACGATCTAAGCTACGCGCTCGTAAGGCTGCTATGAAGTTGACGCCTTCTGCGGTGGAACAATTAAGAGAACTGCTTGACCAACCCGAGCCGAAGCTGATCAAGGTCGGCGTACGGAACCGAGGATGCAGCGGCTTGGCGTACCATCTCGAATATGTTGAAAAGCCAGGCGCCTTTGACGAGACGGTTGAGCAGGATGGTGTCAAGGTCCTGATCGACAGCAAGGCGCTCTTTAGCATCATCGGAAGTGAGATGGATTATGTCGAGGACAAGCTGAACCAGCGCTTTGTGTTCAAAAACCCAAACATCAGTAAGTTGCCACAATTTCCATCAGTAGGGCATGTTACTGACCAGCGGTGCAGAGGAGGAATGTGGCTGTGGAGAATCCTTCATGGTTTAAAGTTGACATCGGCGTTTAACAATTGCATCAACACATTACGAAATGAGACCATCATCATCACGACACGACATGATTCATGCTTGAACACGACATGTCTCAAAAAGGCATATTCCTAATCTTGAATCGTGTGGCATGTGCGGTATATGTTCTTTAACGACCACGGGCATGCCAAAGTTCGGCCAGCAAACAAATAGACATCTGAGACTTGTGTCTTGTGAGAGTTGAAACAGACTGAGGCATTGGGCATGGGAGCCAGTACCTCAAATCAGCATAATTATCGGCGTTTGGTTAGAATGGAGACATTGTATTATCTCCTGCTTAAGAAAATACCTTATATATCTATATCTTTGTACATTTTAAAACAGAACCAAGGCGACAGATGATGAAGACAGGATATGTCTCGAGGCATAGATGCTGTATCTGGCATTAATTAGACGGATGAGAGACCAACATTTGCCTTATTCTCAAGTGATTCATATACTGCGACCGAGGTTTCAGTCGTGCTACCATGCTATGACGTTTGGAACATGAACAGAGGATAGATGTATCAGAACTACTAAAATGTGCCCACGAGCAGTTTAGACTCAGAACCTTGTCAAACAGATCTGTGAGGATCACTTGTGAGTTTGGCACCGTGGACGAATCACATGACTTCGCGATATGTGTTGCTTTTGATGTTGGCGTCGACCACGCCCTTTGACGTGACGCATATCTACCGTGCCTGTGATCAAACATCGTAACTCTTACTTGCTGTATACACTACCTACCCAAACCATATTGTAATTCTTGGTAAATTCTTAGCATTTCTCCGCAACTTATAAGAGAAACTTCAATCAAAATCTTATCCTACCTACGCGGTATCTTTCAAGACACAGCAATGGTTACAGTCACCAAAAGACCTCTTGAAGAGTCTCATGAGGTTCGCAAAGTTAAAGTAATAAAAACTGAAAAGCAACAATCACCCACCTCACAAACCATCGACTTCACCACAATCATGGCACCCCAGCTCGCCTTGATCGAAGCATCAAGCCGCACAACCTTCGAGAAGCAAGTGTGGACACTTCTTTGCCAGATCCCGCGGGGCAGCTTCTCAACATATGGAATCATAGCGGCGCATCTGAAATCCTCCCCGCGAGCGGTAGGTAACGCGCTGCGACGCAACCCGTTTGCGCCAGAAGTGCCGTGCCATCGCGTTGTGGCTACAGGAGGTGCGCTGGGCGGGTTCAAGGGCAAATGGCCAAAGGACGGGGAGGGGATCACTCTCGACGAGAAGAGGAAGCTACTGAAGGGTGAGGGAGTGAGGTGGAATGAGAAGGGTAAAGTTATTGGGACTCCGTTTGGAGGGTTTACATGATGGATGCAGTGTATATAGGATATTTGTGTATTGAAAGTTCACCATGATCTACGAGCTGGTCAACAAATATCATGAAGTTGAATAAAGACCTCCAGCAATTAAACTCACATGCTCCAACTGCCTATCACTGGATGTCTTTGTCCATGTGGGGGAAATACTCGGTCAAGAAGCTACCAGCTGCCATGCCTGCGTGCCTATTGTAGCCGAAACCCGGAGAGAACTCAGCGCCAAAACGAAGGCTTGGAGGGCGATCCCATTCGCTGTTTCACCTTGGAACTCCAAAACCCATTCCGAGACGGATTTGCATCACCGATTTACGATACTCGGTAGTAATGTGCCGCTGAATTCAACAAGGGGATATGGCTGGAATAGGTTTGGGTTGGTAATAAAAGTGGACGTGCCAATCTGCAAAAGCCCTGGGAAGGAACAGGAGGGCAGCTGGATTATTGTCACCGAAGGTTGAGCAGTTGTGGTGTTTGAATGATTTGTATGTCATGTCATGTGTACAATTATACAATGCACGTGCAGATAAGTTTCATATCTTGCAGTATAACCAACGGGTAATCAAATTGCATGCGTTGCTATACAATAACTTGTGATGTTCACAACGGCTAAAAGAGGCTTTATTAAAACACCCAAAACTAACCACACAATCAGAGCTTTTTCTGGACCCTGTTCTCAACATGAACTTGAACTTTGACCTGTCGTCATGTTACCTGCTTCTCGTTCTCCTCGGTGAATGTCTTTTTCCGACTAGTACTAGATAACTCACCTCCAAGTTAGCCCGACAAATCCCGTGCCAGAAAGAGTGGACCAGCCCATCCACAGGGCCACAGGACAAGGTCTGCTGTATTTTTGGGGGGGGTTAGGGGGGGTCCTGTCCTCTGGGGAGGGCCCGGGTGGTCTGTTTGGGGCTCCTGATTGAGCAGACGCAGTAGCTTCGTGGACTTGGTTTTCCTCGTCATCCGAAAACCTCTTTTTCTACCTCCTGTGACGATCTAAACCGCTCTCTTGATTCCCTCTTCCCCCCATTCCTCACTTTGAATCCCTTCATACTCCCCCTATCTCCTCTCCTTCCCCTTCTACCGTCACAATGTTCAAGCTCGGCCGCAGTCGTGCTGTGGCTTCGGCCCTCAACGCCTCAAAGGTACTTTCAATTCTACTTCCCGCTTTTAATCTATCCAAACAAAAGCTTGGCCGCTGCTTGCAAGATGCGCCTTGATGTGGATATTGGATATGCAGATGTATGGGAGTTTTTGCTAATTTAATTCTTCAAAATTACAGTTCGCTGCGCCTGCCGCTCGATTCCCTGGCGTTCAACAACGACGAGCTCTGAGCATCCACGAGTACCTCTCTGCCGACCTCCTCCGAAAGGTAAGGTTTTATCTATTTGCGTCTCATTGTAGCGACCTCGACAAAACGAATAAAAACAATGGGACCGCGTTCATCACGACATATCATGGGTTGCTAACCATATATCACTTATACAGTATGGCATTGGTGTCCCCAAGGGTTCCGTCGCAATGTCCGCCAAGGAGGCCAAGGAGATCGCTGAGAAGATTGGTAACGATGATATGGTTATCAAGGCTCAGGTCCTTGCCGGTGGCCGAGGAAAGGGTACCTTCGACAACGGTCTCAAGGGTGGTGTCCGTGTCATCTACTCTCCCCACGAGGCTGAGATGTTCGCCGAGCAGATGATCGGCCACAACCTCATCACCAAGCAGACGGGTGCTGGCGGCCGTCTCTGCAACTCTGTCTACATCTGCGAGCGCAAGTTTGCTCGTCGTGAGTTCTACCTGGCCATCCTCATGGACCGCGCCAGCCAGGGCCCCGTTATCGTCTCCTCTTCCCAGGGTGGTATGGACATTGAGACCGTTGCCAAGGAGACCCCCGACGCTATCAACACCAACTACATTGACATCAACGTCGGTGTGACCGACGAGATTGCCCGCGAGATCGCCACCAAGCTTGGCTTCAGCGAGCAGTGCATTGAGGAGGCCAAGGACACCATCCAGAAGCTGTACAAGATCTTCACCGAGAAGGACTCCACCCAGATTGAGATCAACCCCCTCTCCGAGACCTCTGACCACCAGGTTCTCTGCATGGACGCCAAGTTCGGTTTCGACGACAACGCCGAGTTCCGACAGAAGGATGTCTTTGAGTGGCGCGACACCACCCAGGAGGATCCTGATGAGGTCCGCGCTGCCGAGTCCAACCTTAACTTCATCAAGCTTGACGGTGATATCGGCTGCCTCGTCAACGGTGCCGGTCTTGCCATGGCTACCATGGACATCATCAAGCTGAACGGTGGACAGCCCGCCAACTTCCTCGACGTTGGTGGTGGTGCCACTCCCGCTGCTATCCGTGAGGCTTTCGAGCTCATCACCAGCGATGCCAAGGTCACCGCTATCTTCGTCAACATCTTCGGTGGTATCGTCCGATGTGATGCTATCGCCACTGGTCTCATCAGGACCGTCGAGAGCATGAACCTCAAGATCCCCATCATTGCCCGTCTTCAGGGTACCAACGTTGAGAAGGCTCACCAGCTCATCAACGACTCTGGTCTTAAGATCTTCTCCATCGATGACCTACAAACCGCTGCCGAGAAGTCCGTCCAGCTGTCCAAGGTCGTCAAGATGGGTAAGTTGCCCCCCACATCCCTGAATGTCTGAGAAATTTGATTGCTAACATGTGTGTAGCTCGTGACATCGACGTCGGTGTTGAGTTCAACCTCGGAATCTAAACAAGCCAGTTGCAGAGCAGTTAGATGAACAGGGGTTAGGATATGATATAATAGCAACATGTGAGACTGAGCTCAAGGAGGCTGCGGTTTCAACAAAAACCGGGAGTTGACCAAACACTCACGAAAGAGTGGGAGACACGGTGGATATTCCTGTTTTTAATTTAGCATGCATCGGTCGGTCTTGGGGCCCGCGGCTCGCAGGACGCATGTTTCCGATGCTCTCGAAATATGTCCAAATGGTTCGATAGAAGGACGGATGATTCAAAGGATGGAAGGGCGATATGGTCTCCAACAAGATGATTTTTCGCGTATCCGCGCCCTGCAATTCTGTACCATGTTTCTGATGCTGGTGCCGTGTTATATGTATGTGTGTTTCCGGGCTTTGTGTAAAAATTGGAGATTGAGTGATTTCCACATCTGATGAGGTAAAAGATAGAATCATGGAATGGACTACATCCTGGTTCTGGCCTCAACTTGAGATCAGAAGTCTGTCTGCGACGTCCTGCTTAACTACCTTTCATGAGGTTGAATCCTCACATGAGTTGTGATGTGAGACAAGTTCAGGTGCAGTAGTAGATTCATTGTTGAAGACAGAAAACTTCTGCTGGTTTATAGAAACCAGAAATGGTCCAGAAGATGGGCTGATGCAGTAGCTATATAGAAACGGTTCAATCTTTCGGTCCAGACTCGGCTAATAAGTCTCTCGGATGTAAGGGTCCAATTTCATGCATCGTTTCAGAGCCACAGACCGATCTCATAATGGGACGTTATGGTATGTTTTTTGCTTATTCCTGGGAACAGAAAGTAAATAGGACACTCTTAGACTTTGAGATTTAGTCGAAAACTTCTTCCGATGAGACATAAGCTAGGTGAAAGGAAATCGGGAGTGGTGGTGTTTATGTGAGGTCGGCAGCCACACATCGCAGGCGAGGCTTGGCGATCTCTTGTCACGCCTTACCACAACCTGAACTTGAGCCTCACCTTTCGAGACGTCATCATTTCTACATGCTATGTGATTCCCCTTCTCTGATCTGTAGTCATGTAGCTTCAAAGATAAGTAGCTTATGACTCACCGTCATGAATAACATCATCCATGACTCAACAACAATCAAGGCCTCTCGTGTTCTTCACATCCAACTTATCCTCGGTTACCCCCAACGACCCATATCAAACCTGCAAAAAGTCCAAGGACAAGGAAAAGAAGAAAAAGAATTTTAGAAGAATCTCCTGATGTCGTCGGGTACCTAAGATATCGGATCGAGCCGCAAGACCTGGGACCAATAGGTAGCTGTTCCGCGGTCATCAAGTCGGGAATTGCGTCGTCTCCATTTCCAGATCCACTGCGGAAGAGCCGCATGCAAGTTCATGGAAGGCGAAAAGGGGGACAAGGGTAAGAGAGTGCGGTTTGCGAATGCCGACTCAAGGCCGACGGAAAATTAGCATCTCAGATGAATCTGAAGATGGTTGACGAGTCTCGTGATGTTTACAGATGAGAGGGAGATGTGTGATGAATGGAGATCTTGATGATGACGATATATAAGGTGATTCTGGGTTTAGTAGTTAGACAAGAGTAGTCTGGAGGGAAAGACTAGCAAGATATTTGTGGCTTGGTTCGTGGTGGTTTATGGGCATGTAAGTCAACGTATACTGCAACTATACTTGGAGATATTAAATATTTCGACAACCAACATACCTACAGCACAACGCACTCATCCTACCATGACCGTAACAGTGCTGTGACAAAGACTAATAGCAGTTGGATGACGGATCAAACACATGTAACTTCCTGTCTTTCAATGTCCCGTCGTATAGGTAGTGAGCTCACTCGAATCATCCGTTTCCCTCACGTGCGCAACATCTTCAAACCACCTTCACTGACACGCAACACCCCAAAAGCGAACGATCAACCCGTCAAATCAAATCCTCGTAGATAAACTTAAATAAGACCACACTCGCTTGCCGCGCCTGCACGTGTCCCCTTGCATCTCTATTACCCCCCAGGTCCCTTGGCTATTGGGGGAAACCAGAATCAAGCTTAGACAAGAAACGCGGGGAAATGGAGATTCCTGTGAGGGGAAAATAAGCCCTCTAACTAGAAACAAAACCGCGCCATTATTAAACCCATGTTAACAAAAGTCTTGGCTCTGGGGAAAAGGAAGAGGGAAATAGGAGCCTTCGAGAGAAGGAATTGGGGTTATAAAACGTCTCAATGCATGTGGTAAAAAGTGAAGGCATCGCCATGCGCGGTAGAGATCCGAGAATCCACTTTTTGTCCGGACGTCTCTCGGTATCTGGGCTGAAGAGAGGAGAGAGAGAGGGAAGGCGTGCATGGGTCAAGGGCTGCACTGCAGGGGTCTGTTTTGACTTGGATGGCTTCTCTTTCTTTTTGGTCTCTCGGAGTCTCGACGAGAAGAATCCTTTTCTTCTGTTGGAAAAGGTGCTCGGCTTGTTTCCCGGCCCCACATGCTTATTGTCAAAATGCTACGAACATAAATACCCAAGGCTGCTCCTTTCTTTTCTTGAAGAAGTGTGTAGTTAGTTTATTACTCTTGTGTTTCTTTGATCTTTTAGCAAGCGGGTTTTACTCTTATACTCGATACCCAATACCAAACCATACTACAGTCAGAGATATCTATCTACCTGCATACAACTATCATACCAACACACCATATACCAATCAACGCCATATATCAACACCACCACCCACAATCATCATCATCATGCCTTCTTCAGTAAAGAGCTGGTTCGCCCGTCACTGCGCTCCTCCACCACCTCTCACCAACAACCCCATGTGTCCCTGCACAACATGCTTCAACGGCGGTTCTCACTACAACAACTCTGCCTCATACTCAATGTCCTCACCAACGAGGTCACCACAAACCCCAAGTGTTGACTCAGACAATGCCTCGCTCAGCAGCGGTACAACTGTTGCTGCATCGTCTTAATTACAGCGAGACCCCCACCAAACAATTGGCCGAGACTTAAACCCTGGTCTGGCCCTCCTTGACGAATTATTATCGGAACGAATAGCGAACTCATGTTAAGATGCATCTTTTGGGCCAGGCGTTTGTCGGAAACAACAAGGATATTACATCACATCACATCACATATCATCTTTAGATTTGGATTTGGATTTGGATTTGGATTTGACGGGGCCGTTGTGGGCTCACCCCGAAGAGTGGGGATTGTAGATTCGGCTCGGGTCCGAGACGGAGCGTCCAACGTGGCCCATCATTGATTGCTATGGCATTACATATATTGTCATTCGTTGTATTATCATAGGTTGAACTTAGCGACAAAGAGCAAGTTTTATCACAATAGTCGTATTCGTGTCTATGACCCATCTATCGTTGCTGTTGACTCGCTAATACGTGCCCAAATGCTTGTCAAGCCATAATTCACTTCCCTTCGTCGCCAAAATGCCAATACGTACTTGAGTAGCGTTATATTGTTTCCAGCTCTCTCTATGTGCTGGGCGATTTCCATTGCTGTCAGATTCCGACCATTCCTGCAATTGACATCAACACTAAAGAGAAGCAACTCTAGGACCACGGAACAATGTCCTGCTTGAGCGGCTGCGTGAAGAGCTAGTTGTTCTTTCGGCTGAATCCTTCGCATCCACATTGGATCTCGCTCCTGTGTCACTCCCAAGGTGAGCAGATGGTACATAACATCTACTCGACCCAGATGTGCTGCCCACGCAAGAACATCACCGTCCATCCTCGCCCCAAAACGCCATAACAAGTCGATTATTTCGATACACTGTCCAAGGTCTTGGTAGTAAGTTACTACCATTTGCATCGCCGTGTTGTCCACCGTTGCGGGCACGAGATTCGCATCTGCTCCAGATTCAAGCAGGAACTTGACGAATACTGGTGGGCCTCGACTGATACAGGCAATCATCAGAGGTGTTCCGAGGTGATCATAGGTCCAGTTGAGCATGGCAGGATATCTTTCGAGAAGGAGAATAATTATTGGTATGGAGAAAGATGTCACTGCCCAGTTGAAGATCTCCGGGTCAATGCTTTTAGGATCATGTTTCGTAATCAGATAGAATACCTCCCCCGCGTTTGCCTCTTTGGCGGCTTTCAAGAGTTGCCCGGAGACTGTAGCCTCCTGGTCCAAGGATTCTGTCATTGGTGGCAGAGTTAATCGAAAGACAAACGTTTGGATCGGCTGATTCAGTCGGAAGGTTTTAAGTGATGTGCTTGATACCAATTTTTTTGAATGATTTGAAAGGATGTTTGTAAGTTGTACCTAGAATGTAAAAACGTCAATCAGATGAAAGGGGAAGACACGAGTCATCCCAGTTTCCATTGAGCAGGAGGCCATCACATGAGCTATTCCTTCCTCAAACAAGGCTACCAAAGATAAGACTTCCTCAGTAGGTAGGCATACCTTTCAAGAACGCTCTCAAGCCGTTCTTTCTTGGCATCTAGGTATAAGTGATGGACGTATCCCAAGTCTTTCATGCCTTCCAAGGAAAGCCTGGGCATGGAACACTAGGTAGCTTACCCATGGCTACCTCACTTCATGTCATGCTAAAAGCTCATTCAGTACACGAGCAGTCATCTTGAGACTTTGCTGGTGGACTTTCATGCCTTCCTCTACCACCAGTGGCTGAAGTTTGAATTGGCTTCAGAAAGTATTACCCCATGACTTCCTTCTCGTTTCATTGCCTACAAAGAAGCACAGCCTCAATGCTGTTTACGTACGTACTTTTTCTAAAGACGGTTGTTGTGCAACTCCATCATCTCCGGGTCGAATATATCCTGTTGTCCCTTCCTCGTTGACTCCTAACTAAGGTTGCAAGTCTTCTCTCAACGCCTCTTTCTGAAGCTCCTCTAGACAGATACAGTCATAACCCTCTGCACTGAAAACTCTCTATTGACTCACTATAGCCATGTAGAGAAGATATACTGTGAGTCATTGTTGGTAATAAAGTACTAGTAGGCTATTGCTGCCTTCTGAATACTAACCTAGGGAGTGAGCTGTCATCTCGGATTCTTGTCAAGATAAGCTTTGAGCTTATGCACTTCCCTGTGCACTCTGCATTAGCTATTAGGTTTGGATAGTATGTCACTTGCGACTAATGATACGAGCAAGACAGAACTGACCTGTGCCTGCGTAACTGAATTTGGAACATTGTATCTCCTGTGAACAAATCGGTGGATAGCCCGGAGCATGCCCCGCCTGTTTCCCGTACGGCCCCACTCGTCGCCGGGCCTCCGGGCTCGACATCAACTAAATGTCCGGCTTCATGAGTGCACACAGACTGCACATCTAATACCTGAATGATCCGATATTGACCAAATTGAAGTGACGACATAATAATATCATAGATATCCTGTAACACAAAGCCCCGTATTCGCGGAAACCAGAGCCGCAATTCCGCATTACTAACTTACACCCGCCAGCTTTGACGTCACCCCATCTCATCTTGCAGTCTTCCCACCAGCCAAACCAGCTAAGTTGAGTTAGGAAATCTCATCAACAACTCGTTTAGTTACGTTCCTGAATACCATATATCTTGTTTAACTGTGTTCCCCTAACGATCTAGGATAAATCATGCCACACACCAAAGTCGACCCCGCTATCATAGAGGCCCTGGGCCTTGACCCCGCCAACTCGGCCATAAATCCTCATGGTGGCTCAGGTTTTGTGTCAACGTTCAAGATAACCTCTGAGAAGGATGGCAAGCCCTTGAATTACTTTGTTAAGACAGGAGAGGGGAAGGGAGCTGAAGTTATGTTCAAGGGTACGGCCATTTTCTACTCCATCCTGTATCAGATCATGATGTTAATATACCTTAGGTGAACACGTCTCCCTCAACGCCATAGCCGATGCAGTCCCCAACTTCTGTCCGCGGTCTCATGCCCACGGAGCTCTCTCCCTGCGGCCTGGCCACTATTTCCTCGCAACAGACTTTCTCGACCTGGGCTCCTCTGCCCCTGGCGGCTCAGGCAAGACCCTGGCCTCCAAAGTTGCGCAGCTGCACACAACGCCTGCGCCCATCCCAGAAGGTCAAGACAAGCCCGTCTTTGGGTTTCCCGTAGCAACTTGCTGCGGCTCTACGGAGCAGGACAACTCGTGGCGTACATCGTGGGCTGAGTTCTTCGCTGACAACCGCTTGAGACACATCACTCAGCAGGCAGTACGCAACAACGGCCCGGATGCAGAGCTTGAGGAGGCTGTTGAACAAATTGCTTCAGAGATAGTGCCGCGGTTGATTGGAGATGATGTTGTGAAAAACATTACGCCTGTTGTTATCCATGGCGATTTGTGGAGCGGTAACCACTCCAAGGGGCAGATTGGGGGACGAGGTGGGTGCGAAGAAGTCGTTTACGATCCCTCGGCTGTATATGGCCATTCTGAGTACGAGACTGGCATCATGTACATGTTTGGCGGCTTCACCAACCACTTCTGGGAGGAATACTATAAGCTGTTGCCAAGGGCCGAGCCAGTGGCTGAGTGGCCTGATAGAGTGAAGCTATACGAACTGTAAGATCACCCCTCCGCGGAGTACTTCACAGACTAACGCAATCGCAGGTATCATCACCTCAACCATTTTGCCATGTTTGGCGGTGGCTATCGAGCAGGCGCCATGAACATCATGAGAAAACTCATCAGCAAGTACGCATAGACAAGTCAGACAAGTCAGACAATAGACTAATGACAAATGTGCTGTGTTTCGTGATCTAAATGCTGACCAAAATGCCTCAACGCCTCATCGTACCCGCTGTATACGCCCAAAGTCTAAGTATAGCTAGAACTCTCGAAAATGCAAATGCTGTGTCCAAAATGCTTCGAACCCAAGGAGATGACTGGTCCATCGTCTAGGCTGCTAGCATAGCAGGTTGCCTTTCTCTCTCTGCGCGCGCCTCGACACGGGGTTCGCGCTGACCCTTGGGTAGTCCAACCTCAGGAACAGAGGGTAGACCTTCGGCTGGTGCTGCGAGTGCGGCTTCGAGGGCTTCCAATTCGTCTTCCACTTCTTGCTCGTCATGGTTGGAGATACGACCTCCAAGCATATCGCTGACTTCCTATGGATTTGTGAGCACAATGCAGTCAACAACAAGACCTGATCGTAGCAACTTACCTGCTGATAGGCAATAGCGTCCGCCGTCTCGCCCATCAACTTCTCCACGTTTTCTATACCTCCCATCTCGGCATGGATCTCCTTAAGAACCTTGGTACCCTGCTGCAGTCCAAAGACAACATCCTTTTGTATAAGCGCAAACTCGACATCGTTCGTCAATTTCTCGAGCTGTGCTAGTTGCGCATCCGTCTTGCTCAGCAGCGACTCTTGATACTTCTTGCGCCGCAGGGCCAACAGAGCGCGCTTCTTGTCGCCCTTCGCTAGCATCTGCTTTGCGATATCGGTCTCTTTATCGGTGAGGACTGTAATGCGCCGTTGATACTGATGCAGTCTATCGCGCTGGTTCTTCATGTCCAGGATCGCCCTAAGGATAAGGTGTTAGTACAGGCGGTCACGAGCGCAATCGCGGGGAGGTATGGACTTGCTTGTCCTGGGCTGTAACTTTACTTGCGTTTCCGCCCATGATGATGATCGCGGCTTTGGAAGTTAAAAGGAAGCGTGCTAATCGTGGTAGTTTAAAGGAGGAATTGCGCGTTAATTGTGATAGCTGCCGCTTGCACCGATAGCGATTGTCGATTGTTGATTGTCACGAGGGAAGGAGTATCGTCATCGGCGCGAAACCGGGGTTCTTATCGATAAGCAAGACCCCTCCAAGATATGTTTTTTTATTAAAGGTTTAGTGAAACTTTACCCAGAACAAAATCACTGTATTATAGATTATTATACTTTAGCAAAATTTATTATGAACTTCTCAAAATACGTCATATTTGTACTCATAAATTAACTTCCTAGACCCTTGAGTCCGTCCAGCATTGTATACCTTACGCGGTGACTGTAGACAGTGGCTTTCGAAGTAAAAAGGTTAGGTGGGTCCCTGCCAACCTATTCAAAATATATATATTGCGCCTACCTCCCTCTTTTCCCATTCTTCATTCGCACCCTTGCACAACATAAACTATGGAGCTCAGCGCTAAACGAAAAGGTCCCAGTCTACGCCAGGGCCTCGACCGCGACGTCTACCAGGTCTTGAAGAAGCTTGAAGATGCCAACGACGGCAAACCTTTCAAGACCACATCCGCCGTCTACGAAGCTATTAAGCGGTCAAACTCTAGCCTCAGCCGGCAAAAGAAGAAACCCCTCGAAGATGCGATCGATCGAGTGCTGCAATTCCGTAAGCATGAACTTGGGGAGTCGAGCGATTCCGAAGCCGAACTCGAGGAGCCGCCCTCTAAGCACGACGACGGCCGTTTCCTACTCAACAAGCAAATGACCATGAACTGGCACAAAACCCCGACCTCGACTCCAAACTCTCAAGATACAGTGCCTCAGCCCACAAGCGATGGGTTGCGCACAACCAAGAAGCGTCGCGTGGAGGACAGCGGAGAAGACCGAGCAAAGAATGGTGTTGTCACTCCAAAGGGCGCGGTAACAGATCAGGATGCTGCGCCTACAGAGAAACAGGAGAAGGCACTTACAAAAAAGGCTTCAAAACTAAGAGGCCACTCCGTCATGCGCCCCTCCGACTCTATACAAATCGCTGGCGTAAAAGACATCTACACAAAGCTCTGGAAACAAGCGCGTCGTGTTCTGGTCACACCGGATTATTTTGGCAACTATCGAAAAGTTCCTGGAATTCTGTTATCCGGTCCCACTGGGATCGGAAAGAAGACTTTGATCAAATACCTTGCGTCAAAACTTGATGTGCCAATCGTCGCTCTCACTGGGTGTTTCGAAGATCCAGAGCGTATGGAAAAGAGCCTCAACGATGCTATTGAGGACGCCATGAACATCGCACCATGTATCATGCTCATCGAAAACCTCGATTGGTATATGCCGAAAGCTGGGGGCACTGGGCCCACCGAGGGCCAACGCCGCAACTTGAATCAATTCACTCGCCACATGGAACGAATCGGAAAGGAGCAAGACAAGAGCAGGCGTATTCTTGCTATGGCTACTACCACGAGACTTACGGACGTTGATCCTCTAGCACTCAATTTGGGAATGTTTGAGCGCACAATCCAGATGAGACTTCCAGACCATGAGGATAGGTTGGACATTTTAAAACTCCTGACACAGGGATTCCCCTTGACAGATACTGTCGAACTTTCGGAGCTGGCCAGACACATGCACGGGTTTGTAGCCGCTGACATTGTTAATCTATTGACATTGGCACTGGATGCTGCAGCGGAGCGCAAAGAGAATAAGGACGAAAGTCGTGGCCATTGTGAACTTCCTACCGATCAGCTCCCCGAGCCCATGGAACTTGAAGATGAACCTTCTACTCCCTCCTTTGAACCGTCGGACTTTTCTGTTTCATTCGACGACTTCAAGTTCGCCTTGAAAGAATATGTGCCCTCTCTGCGGAAAGAGGGGTTCACAGTCGTCCCTAATGTCTCCTGGGATCAGGTTGGAGGCCTTGAAGCTGCTCGTGATCAGCTCAATATGTCTATCATTGGCCCTATCAAAGACCCCGAGCTCTACCGACAGGCCGGTCTCGGCCGCCCTGCCGGTTGCCTTCTTTGGGGTCCTCCAGGATGTGGAAAGACACTTGTCGCCCAAGCCGTTGCCAACGAGGCACAAGCGAGCTTTATCCTTATCAACGGACCAGAGCTCCTCAACAAGTATGTTGGTGAATCAGAGCGCGCTGTGCGAGAACTGTTCAACCGTGCACGCTCCTCTACCCCATGCATTCTCTTCTTCGATGAGATGGATTCTCTGGTGCCTAAACGTGACAACGCTTCTACTGAAGCCGGCACTCGTGTTGTCAACGCGCTTCTTACTGAGCTTGACGGTGTCCAGGATCGCACAGGCGTGTATGTCATCGGCACAACCAATCGACCGGACATGATCGACCCGGCTATGCTTCGACCCGGCCGTCTCAATGTACGGTTATTCATTGATCTACCAACGGCAGACGAAAGAGTCGATATCCTTCGTGCCATCTATCGAACGAACCACCCTACTATACAAAGTGATGCTGAACTGGAAAGCATCGAGCTTGTTGCTCGTGATCCCCGCTGCAACGATTTCAGCGGCGCGGACCTGGGAGGACTACACGTAAACGCAGCCCAAAGTGCTCTCAGAAGGTTCCTGAAGAAGGAGAAACCAAGGTCCGAAATTGACGAAGTGGACTGGGAGCGTGCGTTGGCGACGACTAAACGAAGTGTGTCGAACCCCGAGACTTATAGAAAATTAGAGCAAAAAATGGGTAAATCATGAGTATTTTTATAGAAATTTCATTCAGTTATTGTAGTTTTATCCTAAGTCTTAAATATCTTTATAAATTTAAATAAGTTAATATATTCTTGGTTAAAGTCTTAATTATCTTAATAAATTTAGTTAACGTAATATAGTTTTATTTCAAGTCTTGAATATCTTTATAAATTTAGTTTAGTTAATATAGTTTTATGCTAAGTCTTATACTATTAACTATGAACTATTTAAAGACATGATAAATATTTCCTAAGTTGCTACTGAATTTATAAATACCAGTATATATCTCATCTTGTGTATAATCCTATATTTTAGCTATAACCTGTGGATAATGTATTCAGATGTAGGTGTCGGTTTATTTTCCCTCTTCTTACCACTACCAGTCAGCTATGCAGAGAGAGTGAAATCTCTAAAAATACACAGCATCTAAGACAGACAAGCATACCAGAAATGCCACGCTGACCGCTGATCGCCGCAGGTCCCGCATACGCCGCCGGAGCAACGGATCCCATGCGGAAATAGCTCGGCAATCACAAAGTCATGATAAAATATTCCTAGCGGAAAAATGCGGATTGTGGCATCTTGATAAATGACCCTCTTGTTTATGGGGCGATCGTATATCTTAGGTCAAGAAGGAAATGTAATCGTAATCGACAGTTTTAGTATTGGCTCACAAGTGTGGGATTCTAAATCGCTATCATGAGACAATGGAAGAGTAGTGAAGTGAGAATTAAGTCATCAAAAATCTGTCTAATTGTAGCAAACTCTGGATGCAAAGAGGCGGACACCTTTATTCAATTCTCATGTCATTCCTGTCCCGCCTGAATCAACGCCGGGCTTCCTGTGTCTCAAAAAAGTGTATCGGGCGAAGTGCAAGAAGAGAAGAGGTGGGAATGGTACAAAGCAATTGTCATGTCTTAACAAGTGCTGCGTGGAATTCGGAATCTATTGTACAAACGCCCCTTGGCGGTCCCCATCTATCGAAAGTCGTAACATTACATGCGAGCTGAGGTCGCTTAAGAGGTAGAATCCTTGAGGTAGCTGTTGAGAGGGAGTTAGTCATTGATGTGATGCGATGAGGAGGCAGAGTGCTTGATTAGTTTGGAATCACGTCTCACGCAATGCACTCCTGACAGGTAGTGGCGACACTGATTCCAAACAGACTGCAGCTCAAGTGATGTAGAGAAACTTACGCAATAAGGTCGTTGCGGTCCTTGGCCTTCTTCAGGCCACCGAAGGCCATCTTGGTACCAGGAATGTACTTCTTGGGGTTCTCGAGGTACTCGAAGAGAGTGTCGTCGTTCCACTCAATGCCCTTCTGCTTGTTGGCATCGGTGTAGGAGTAGCCATCAACGGAACCAGTCTTGCGGCCCCAAAGACCGTGCAGGGCAGGGCCGATCTTGTTGCCACCGTCCTTCTCAACAGTGTGGCACTGAGCACATCGGGTCTTGAAGAGGTTGGCACCCTTCTTGATATCGCCTGGAGAGTATGAGTTAGAAAAGTGTATCGGTAGATGAGTGAGCCGGTGAGCCCGAGTCAGGCAAGGCTCATGAGGGTCAAGAGGGGCGAGACGAGAGTCGCTGTGCCGCCCAGAGACGTAGCAGAGGCAGTTGGTGAGGCATGGTCGACAATTCGTGGTCGCTCATGGAAAGTTCGGTTCTGGGTAAATAGCGCAGGCGACAGGGTCAGCTGGCGTGCCGAAGCTGGCGGCCGCTACAATGTTCTCTGCCATTGCCCAAGATCCAAATTCTCTCGACAGACGAGTTGAAGTCGTAATATCCTCTGCGCAAAATGTCTCTCTCTCGTGCTCCCCAATTGGCCTCTCAAGAGCCTTGTCCTGGTGTTCGGCGCAAACCAAGCCCAGGTGGTGATTCAAAACTTACCGCCGCCAGCCATTGTGGATGTGGTTTGGTATTAGGTGGTTAAGAGGTTGTAGTAAGACAATAAGAGGCGTTAGCCGAAGAAGTTCAAGTCGTTTGATGGTTGAGAGTGTGGATGGAGAGAGAAGAAGGAGAGAGAGAAAAAAGTCCAAAGCAAGAAAATAAAACTTTATGACAGCATGACCGACGGGTTAGAACTTGGCCGACTCGCTCATTCTTCTTGGAAAGCCACAGGTGGCTGACCTCTTGCCAGCCAATCACAGCTGCAGAGTAAGTAAGCCGACATTGTGCCCCCCTGTAAACGCTCACTGTGGCTCCGGGTAAAGTCGGACCAGAGTTCTCAAAGCGGGTCCGCATCGGCGATGTCCATTATTCCGGGGTCATCCTCAGGCACTTGACTCGAGTTTGCTGCGGTGAAGTCGAAAAAAACTGTTTTCTCAGTGAGATCGGCTCTGTCAGATCAGTGTGACCCCCGTCAAGTCCTGCTTTTTTCCCGAATACCAGGCACCCAGGCCAAGCTCAAGCCAGACCGAGTCAGGCTTAGCCTCTGCCGGCTCAACAGACGGAGTGGGACCTCCGTGCCGGACCTCGTTTCTTTCTATCAACGGCTCCGGAAAAAAGATTCTTCTGTGCTTGGCTCAACGTGAGGGCATCACGAAATCGCTGCAACCCACCAAGCTCGACAGCCGCAAGAGGAGGAACAACAAGGGCTTCTTTTCTTCTGTTCTTTACAAGCATCCGTATATATCGACATAATGACCTCCCGCGCCATCATCCCCCGCTTTCTTCTCCCTCTCCAGGGCCCTCTATGGCGTGGTATCAGCATCCCGCTCTCGCAAAACAGCATTCGAATTCGCTTCGCCTCTTCGTCCGCAAAGGACAAGCCTATCGTTCTCGAGAAGCCCGCCCGCTTCAATCCTCCCTCCCACGGCTCTCGTCTCAAGAAGAACCATGTGCCCAAGCACTATGGTCCTGACCTGACCGCTACCGAGGTCGCCGCCCAGGGCAAGAAGCATTATCCTGGCATGATGGCCCCCGAGGGGTCGTGGGAGCACTTTTTCTGGCACAGCCGACTGCTGCATACCTTCATCACCATGGTACGTCTACACATACAGCTTGAGCTGGTTCCAGCTGGCTCCAGCTGTCATCAGTGCGCGCCACAATAAACTAACCCCCTACTAGGGAACCCTCTTCGCTCTCGGCGTCTTCACCTTTTTCATGAACTACGCCTACAACTCTCCTTACAAGGATTTCGTCCCTCCCATCTCTGACCTCTGGACGCACCCCATCCACTTCTTTTTCGGCTGGAAGAACGTCATCGCCCTTCACGAGCAGGACAAGGCCGAGAAGGCCAAGGAGCACCGCACCAACCACCTCGACGATGTTGCCAAGCGCCGACTTTTTATGAAGATGCATGGAATCGAGGCAAAGGATCCTGTTACTGTTGTGTTTGGCAAGAGTGAGGAAGATCCCAAGCCAGAGCAGCCAGCAGCTTTGGAGGTAGCTACCTTGCCTCAGCCCGAGGCACAAGAGAAGATTGAAGAGTCGAAGAAGAAGTGGTTTGGCGTCTTCTAAACGTGTAAAACAAAGATGTAAGGTCTGCATGTATCATATAGCTGTAGCATAACGATCCCCATGCATAAGGATCACGAGTTGTAAGATTACATAAATATCCAGCCAAAGAGGCTTCATAGTTTTCTATCACACCCATATTCAAATCGTGCATATAACTTACAGGAGTTCAACACCCTCCAACCCATCCAAGACATCATCAACAACTCCTCCCTTCTCAAGCACAGCCTGTATTATGCTATCCATTACTCCAAACTTCGTTCCACCCAGCGGTGCCTTCCATACACCCTCAGCCGTCTGTACTTCTCCCTTGCCAGCGCCATTGTTCGTCGTATGCGGCACTCCGGGTGGTGTGAGTCGCGACGGGGGGTCAATAGTTCGAATTGACAGCAGCTTAAGCTCTCGGCTACCCTTGTCGACCTCCATATCACCCTCTGTCTTAACATGACGGACCTCGGCCACGGATACGGCCAGGGCAGTCTCTGCGACAGCAAGTTCCTCCTTTGCAGGGTCAAAGATGGTGTTGTCGCTGATCGCAACGACAAGTAGCGTAATAGGTGGTCGTGAGCCCGCTGCATCAGCGCCATCGCGGGGGTACAGGAATGTCGAGGCCTCCCAGTCGTCGTCAAACATGGGATCCTCATCGCCCTCAGACTTGAGACGGGGGAGGCGTGTTGCCAGAAGAGCGAGATGCGTTGTAAGGGATAGTAGCGGGAGAGGGTACGACAGGGGAGGAGATATTAGAAGAACCTGCATCTACGTTAGTACCGTGTGCCTCTCGTGAACTTTCAAAACCACTTACGTCAAGATATAATCGCCAGTGGAACCTCTTGTTAATCCTCAACTTCTTCGCGAATTCGTTATCCGCCAGCAGCGCTTCTCTCAACATCTCAGCCAAGAACACTGTTGACGCCTCATCATCCCTCTGTCCAGGGATTTCCACCGCCAGCTCAAGCCAATCGCCTCTCGTCCTGTCTTCCTCATCATGCTGCTCTACGCTTTCACCAGTCTTCTCAATCTCAGCCTTAACTCCTACAATAGCCTCTGTACCATCGGCGAAATGCACGCGCGCGCTGCCATTTGTACCAGGAAGAACACCCGTCTCGGCTGTTAGGGGACGGAACTGTGTCGGACTGCGTCCATCGGGGCGGATTGGAGGATGTAGAGAGAGCGACTGGTGCAGATATGCGAGTTCGGCGGGCGAAAAGAGGTTTTGCTGGGACGCCATAGTGACGACGATAGAGGCAAGTGCCCAAGTGAGCCAGCTATTTATGATGCGAAACTCTTGGTTGTAATAAACAAGTAACGCGCTTGGTCGCTTGTGTGAAAGATGCGACGTGAAAACGACAATGACGCAGGCTTTTGGTATTGAAAAGGTCGGTTCCTCACCTAGGTGAACGATAAGATAAGTCAGAAAAAAGTGTGGTGGGCTGGCTGGTTTGGAGGTTGGAGATTGCGGGGTGATAGCTTGAGTAGCATAGCTCTGTCACCAATCAACGTTGCCAATTCAACTACGGAAGTTCGATATTGAAATAAAAGGGTTTGCTCATATTGCCTTTGAGGTACTGTTGGTTGAGTTATTTGTTTCTTCATGATCAATTTTCTTATCTAATTGTTTCCCCATGTGTTTGAATGTGATCATGAGGATCACAGTATCGAGCCCGTAACAAATCCACTATGGTAGCATGTTATGAGGCAGCATATTCTATGTAGAAGTCAATGCGAACTTCGTGCACTCTATAACACTACTCTTCTATCCCTCACTTATCGTCGTGGTACAAAGTCTAGACAAATTCGATCCATCAAGTCGGGTCCAGTCGCAGCAACGAGTTCGGCAACTGCAGCCTTTAGTCCCGGATGCTCTTCAACACCACGCTCATCCCAGCTAACAAGATCTGACGTTTCATACAGCGGACCAACGGGGGCAATTTTCAAGGCAATATGATCCATATCCCATGTCGCCGCCGACGATACCGGAGGAATACCAGGCATCCCAGAAGTAAACAGCCAGCTGCCGTCCTCTTCAAAAGAGTCAGACCCTTTGTCCTCAGATTCCTCGCTGGTTTTCACATCCTTATCGGAAGTTGAATGAACATGATTGCCTTCGCCCGAAGCGTTCTTCTTCTCCAGTGAAAGGCTAACAAAAGGCTTCTTGTCGAGCAGATCCAGCATTCCTCGATCCAAGGGATCCCAAGCCAATGAGTCGGGGTCAAGAACAAACTGAGGTGAGTAATCAATCTTATAACGCATCTTTGGACAGCTGTGGATGTAGAAGCCTGGATACCACCATCCATAGCCCTCTTCGATGGCCAGAGCAATCTCATATAATGCACCAAGCTTACCTGGCGCGTGTTGATGTATACTCTCGTCATAAAGAAAGTAAACTGAGCTTACACACTCTGGTAAGAGGTCAAGAACTCCGATGGCAACCAGCTTGCCGTCCAACCTATAGCAGTGGTGATATGAGCCCAGGCGACGTTTCCGCCCGTCCGGCAATGCCATCGTCTCTCTCCTCAAGGGCGAGTCGCAAAGAAAACGTTTGAAGCCACTCTTGGTTATTTCACTCGGAGTGTCCTTGTGCACTACCTGTTGATAATTCTGGTAAACAGAAAACTTCTCTTCAGTGAAATTGTCAGGTTCCAGAGTAACAACAAGTTTATGCGCAGCCTCCGGGGTGTTCTTCAAGTTAGCATCTTCAGCCTCATGAATTCTTTCTATCAACTCAAATTGGTTATCTCGTTTCTTGGCTTGTTCGCGCGACTTGGGGTACAAGTGGGCAGCCTCTTTCATGTAGGTTTCTCCCATGACATATTTGTTGAATCTGTTGATGGTCTGCCGCTGATCCCTTGACGGCTTGAACTTGCTAGAATCGAGGCGTATGGTGTAGTGAGGGCAGCATGACCGACGTTGGTCAGGTCGGTACATGAGAGTCCCCGAACGCCTCCAACACCTATCAAGGAGAATCTGGTAGAATCCGGGACTCAATGATGATGTTGAGGCATAGTATGAGTAACCTGTTACCCCACGTAGTAGTTAGCCTTGTGTTTACAGGAAGATGAACTCAAGAAGCTCTGTGATGGGTGCACAAGATGAGTCATTTGGCACGTAAGCAATAATCCTCCATGACACGGCCGGATCATCACCAATGCCTCGTGACGTATGTGAAGAACAGCTTGGGGTGGTCATCGAAGTGTATGGCGGAGCAGGGAAAGTGCAGGAATTGAATTCACGTTTTGACTGACTCTTGCCACGCGTTCCACAGTAACCACATTTTGATGATTTGGAGTATCCTAGACATCGGTCAGCATTCGGTAAGGGAAAAGGTGCGAACGGCAAGCCTGTGGGGGCGGATGATGAGATTCGAGGTCTTTTGTGAGACGTCGATTATTGAACGATAATGCGTGGGGGTAGGAAGGGAAGCCATGTAAGAGTTGACATAGAACACCATCAATAAGTCACTTGACGTCTGTTATAGCATAGATCGTTAAAGTAATCGTGATACGTCTCATCACATGATAAAATCATGCTAATACTGTATCCGAACTTCCAAAACCTGGTTAACAGATGCGATAATATGTCGCATTATCAAATTGAAGTTCAGATTGGCCCGATACCTCATGTCAAGATACATGAGTAATACAAAAACAGACACTGACATCGACAATAGCAGTATCAATCTCGTTCATCGAAAAGCAAAGAGTTAGGCATACTTGAAAAGCAAGCCTATGAGTGGTAGGATAGTGGACCAATGAACCCATGACTACATGGTATAGTGCCAAAACAACATTGTACAAGTGAAAAAAAGGGAGTTTGGAAGGGAATTGCAGGTAGGTGTCAGGGTAATGCTAATGGTCTTGATAGGGTAGTAACATTAGTCCTTAACACACGATTCACATCGCGGAACTGTTGGACATGAGACTGTGGCCAAGCGTCGAGTACCGGAGTTGAAGCCGTGGTCAGCCTAAATTGAAAAGATATCGACGTGGATGTGGAGGTACACAGGCTGTAAGTGTTGAAGTGGAAATGGATATGGAGCGACTTGCCCCGGACGGGAAAACGGGGGCGCCACGGGGACCGGCCGCGACGGAGCTCAAGCGTAAACGCCGGCAACCAACGACAGGCCGGCATTTGAACACGGGGGTGATCGGTTGGAGCAGAACGTGGGAATAAGCACTCACCAATTGGCGAAAGATATTCGTACTGCAACAACACATCTTCAGGGATGTGCATGCCACTAGGTTCCATCGTGAGCTTTGAAGCTGCACAGCTGGAGCAGTGTTCTTGTGAAAGGATTTCTGGTCAATGTGCTCTAATGGCAAGTTGTCGAGGCGGAAGAGCAACGGCCGTGGGTGGGCGGGAGGCGCCGGTCTTTTCTTACGGGTAACGGCGAGTTGGAGAATGGAGATGATGAGTTTATCTACGAAGCGAATAAGGCTATCCAGGATTGGAAAGTCAATGCGTGAGGTAGACGTAGATCAGGGTACTGTAGTTACCAAGTAGGTAGCAAGTCTGTCGAGCGGGATGGAGACGGAGAGAGGGGCGGATTCCCGAGACCTGAAGGATGGAGGGGGCGTGTGAGTTTGTTGAGTGAGGTTCAACGGGTGACGAGAGATGCGATCGCGTGCCTACTCGTTCCCCTCTCGAAAATAAGGCAACAGGTGCGTGAGCGTGGGATGTTATGTCTGGCAGTTGGTGAGTTAATGATTAATCCTGGTCGGGTTTTTTGAATGCACACGAATGATGATGACAGGACGTTAGTTGCGGATGATATCCCAGGATTGGCGCAGAGGGATGTGATCGTGTGCGCGCATGTGCAACAGACTTCGATCTAACTTTAGGCGGCTTGGCTAGTCTGAGTAGTTGAGCAGGGGTCCAGAATCGCAGAAACTGGTGAGCAAGGGCGTGTGATAATAGATAGACCAGACCGTAGTTGAGAATCGGGTTGAACTTTGGAAGCAAGCGAAATGCAGAGCCCGCGGCCAGGTTCCGATATCGTTAAGCAGCCAGTCCTGGCTGGAGAGAGCTGCATATAGGAAAAGAAATTATCGAAAGATGACAGAGTGAGAGCTGGTTTGAACAAGTCGACGCTTTCGGCGAGACGAGATGGAAAAGGATACAGATAGGTCAGAAGTCAGAAATTGGGTGATATGGATGAGATCAGATCAACCACCTCATTGCTCAGCTCCGTAACCCTAGTTCCAACCAAGGCAGCAACCACTGGAGCTGCAGCTTCCTACCCAATGGCGGGGTGTTACTGGAGACTCGGGATAACTTAAGACTGTACTCGCCTCAGTATCAACGTTGATTCAAAAGATCTACAAACAGGACGAGGTGGTGTAATTATATATTTCTCAGAAGGATTACCCTAGAATTACTCCATGTGTTCAACTCTTAAGACAGCATGACGAAAGTGAGGGTGTTCAAGGCCCGGTCCGCGTCCAGCAGGAAAGCTTCCGACCTCTCGAGGATTTACGTAGTACGGGATCAAATTCGATACAAGGCTGAGTTCGTGTTACCAACCCTCAGATATACATGCCATCTCATCTCGAATAAAAGTATGTTCCTGTTCGGTTCAGGACTGGGGAAACGAGATGAGATTGGAGGAAAACTATCACCCTGGGTAGCTCAAGGTGGCCAATCCCTCAACATTAGCGACTGGCCTCTATACCAGGTATCTTCGTAGGTACAAGACACAGCACATTTTCTATTGCATATCTAGCTATTCCTATTCCTTGCATGCTGCAGCCAAAACTCGTGTGTAACAATTAATGTGAAACAAAAAGAAAGAAACTAAGCCCAGCCGCGAATTGACGGTTCCAGACCACAACACGGAATTGGGGCTACGGTGCGAGATTAGTGCATTGCATCTCTGCTGTATCTTTGTTTGGGAGGCTCCATTGCTCTGCAGATTTTTGACAGTCTTGGCCTCGCCTCGACACAATCACGGCACCAGTCTTTTTATCACCCGACTCGCGGGCCTTTTCTCGGTCTCGTCTCCGAAAACTGACAGTGGAAGGGGATTGCCGAACTAGAGACGCTACGAACTTTTGCGTATATAAAATTGAGTGTGAGAAGGGCTGGCGATCGAGTATTTGTTGAGGAAATGGAGTCCGGTGTCAAAATAAACAGACTAAATATGCATTGTAACATTTAACTTGGCAGCGGTTTACAACGGGTATGACGTCTCTACAGAATAGGAAAAAAACGCAGCAAAAATATGAAGTAATTGAATTAGAACGAAGAACAAGAATCCGGTTGGATATCCGCTTCCAATGATAATCATCGGCCATGGGGCTATGCGGACTTCTCCCGCTAATACTCCAATAGCAAAGATTAAGGGCTCACGCCTCGCTTTCACGATACTCCAGTCTACCGCCTTCAGTCTCCAGTATTGATCCCACAGATGGACCCAATGCGTGCAGCTTGCTTTGCTTGTATGTACAAGCGCATTCTACCCCTCCCCCTCCCCTCCCCCCTTTGGTGCTACCGCTACATGCATCGTACGTCAGGGTTGATGTGGTACAGAATAGGAGCTATCCGTGGGCAACGATGAACCTATCATTGCTAACATGTGAATGGAGAAGAGGTCAAGTTGAGGTCGTCGCGAGTTTTGAAGCTGCAGCCCCGTCGCTCCATCGATGCCGATGCCATAGGTGACCCCACGCCGCGAGTGAAGGACCTACTTCCGCGTGATGATATGCCGGCTCGAGGCCATGGTCAAGCCAGTCACTGGATTAACCTGAGTTGGGGGTAATAGTGCAATGATGCCATGTTTTTCTGAGGCTTATTTTTGTACGACAAAGGGTTGCATGTTGCTCTACGACAGCTGGGGAATAGTTCGCCATTGGTTGTGAGATCTCTCACTTTTTACTAGATACTATGTTCGTATGTGGTATTGTATACCTTATTATTACTTACCAGGTTAGGATCTGAAGAAGTTCTTAAGTGATGCATTGGTTCCAATGTCATCGAGGATTTTTTTATTCTGGTACTGCACTGTTACTGAATCACAAAGACATGCTCTAACTGGGTTACCTTGAGATAGTCCGTAGGTGCATTGGAGAAATCTTTAGGAAATCTTAGAACCACATACTCACAATACTTCTGCATATCAGCATATGTACAATATATTTACATATCACTGGAAGCATTGCAATAGGTCAAGCCTTTAGGAGGAGGTATCGAACTTGTATTGCCAAGAAGCGAGAAATATATAGACATTCTAGCATTCTTGTACACACAGGTATCGCAGAGCGCTTCTGCATCTTTCTCCATCCCAGAGCGTTGGTTTTTGCGGGACGAACGGGGCATACCTAGGCCATGTCTTCCTCATTCAAGGGATCGTATGTGGAAATCTTTCCCCCGTAGGGTCTATCTCGCACCACTTTGAGGGTCACGATCTTCCTGTCCGCTACCAAATCCAACTCGCATGCATCTCTCTTCTGCATCTCACTCTCTTCAGGGAGCCAAGGGGCAGTTTTGTAGTATGGACAAGGGTGAGTGACCTTCGCCGTGACGAAGAAAGAAAACAAATTTCTCCCAATGATATGGTCATATCTTGTCACTGATGCACGGTACCTATGATTTCACGCCCATTGCCATTCCGAGGAAGTATCATTGGCCTATGTGTAGCATAACCCTGCATTGTAGGTAGCACTGGCAATTGCTCTCAGCTAAAAAGCTCCTATTTGGATTCGTGCTGGTCCAATTTGGGTGTCCATGTCCCATCGATCAAACAAATACCTACATAAGCTCAAGTATATAGCTAACAGACCCTGTCGTGGGTCATACTCTGATCTCGTTTAATAATTGCACGAGGCGAGACGTGAAGTGGTAATTAAATTACACTCATTACCACACCATATCTCATGTCACCTTCGTTCTTGCCAACATTCATTGATCAATCCTGGCCTTCCTTCCTCTTTGGGAACTTGACCTCTTGTACGGATACACGATTTTGCTCTCGCCTATAACCAAAAGGCCGATACCTACTTTCAAACTTTTCACAGACAATACGAGCTTTCGCACCTTGACATAAATGCTATTGTTGGTGGTTGACAGCATTTATCACTGAAGCCGCCTACCCTGCACGGTTCAGTTTGAATTGGTCGGCAAACTCTTGATCGCTGTACCTACACCAAAGAGGCTGGCTCTGGCAATCAAAGGTCCCGCAAATAATCATAGCTCAGCATCACCGATCGATTTAACCTCACACGCAAGCCTTTGTACCTACCGAAAGCCTTTACTGCAAAGACATTACTCAGGTCAAGCCTTTTCTCTCGTGCCCAGCAACATCAGGGCCAGCTACCAGTTAGCCAACATAAATAACACGGCAACTAAGCATTAAGGGGAACTCTCGGATTATATTCATCTGTCATCAAAGTTTGCTCGCTCGCATCGGTTGACCCAGCGAAAGCCCTCAGTTCCACCATCCACGGGGCGGCCAGGCGACTCACTATTACAGGGTCAGAGGGTGCCACCACCGCCCGCTGTCCATCCACCTAGGCCCAAAGCCCACTGCAGGCACTCAGCACCACTACATCACCTCAAGGTACTGTAGAGTACCTTACGTCTGGCACGCTACACATACTCCATCCTAGCAGACGAGGGTCCAACTTTTACCTCCGCGTCCAGTCCCTGCCTGCTGTCACTAGCTTTCAACAAGGCTTGTCCACCGAACGCCCAGTGCCTCCGGTACCTACACGCCCCCATCCCTCTGCCCTGCTCCAGTGCTGCAGCGCAGTACGTACTCTACGGATTCCGCCAGACACAGAGAGATCCGCCGAGTCGCCCGCTGCCCCCTCGAGCTAAACTTGGGACGTTTTGCGCGTGCGCGCCCACACCTCCATCATCTCGCAGTTTATATCACATCGCCAGCCCAGCTCTTTGGAGCGTCTGGGCTCTCCCCGACCAAAAACCAAGCACCAGCACCTTCAGGCGCAGGCCACGGCCACTTCTGTCCTTGATTCTTCCTCTTCTACTATCACAAGACCTCATCCAACACTCACTATTCGACAATGATGTTCCTCAAGGCCCTTTGAAGCCACCCATCCGCCCGTCGCAGGTTCTCTTTCTTCTCGACCCAGGGGTGAACATCCGTTCTATTCCGCTACCTCCGAGCACCTTGAAGCTTTCGTTCCTACACCATCGCCATCCGAGACCTGCGAACATCTTTATATTCGCTTCTTGTCCGACCAAATTTCCTGACATACCTCCCAATTCCTCTTACTCGCCGCCCCGACCTACCACTAACATGTCGAGTTCTGCCTCTGGCGACTCTGGCGGTGGCCGTTCGATGGAGTCACGAGTGGGTAGAAGCAAGCAACGTGAGTTAATCCCCTATGGGCAACACCATAATTACCATCCGTGAATACTTGTCTTGGCATTTTTGGCTTTGTTCCCTCATGGTAGAGAAAATTGCCCTGTTGTTGCCTATAACCCAGCTCTACTTGATGGACGTCTTTTTTTATGTGGTGTGACGGTGACAGTCACAAATATCACCAACATCTGGGCAACATTACTATGCCTCACCCTGCTGCTCATTTGATTGACAAACTTAAGATCATACCGACTAACTTATTCTTCTTACAGGATACAACACTAAGGGTGAACGTCTCGTCGCTGGCATCGTGCCTCTTACAGCCGACCTAAACTATGTGATGTTGATCCAGTCTACCCGGCGCAAGGGCTGGGTTTTGCCCAAAGGTGGATGGGAGTCAGATGAGACTTGCCAGGAGGCCGCTGAGCGAGAGGCCTGGGAAGAAGCTGGTATTACAGTTCAAATCAGTTACGATCTCGGTGATATCGACGAGAAGCGCCCGTCTAAATCCGCAGCAAAAGACCGGTCAAGATATCACTTCTTCGAGGCTACGGTGACCGGCGAGTACGACGACTGGCCAGAGTCCCATAAGCGAGAACGACAGTGGTTCACCTTCACACAGGCCTGGGAGGCGTTATCAACAAGACCCGAGCTCCAAGAGGCATTGCAGCGGTCTACCGTGAATCGACTATGACCCAGCGGGACTCCCTCCCATGGACTATCTTGGTCTTGGAAACGACCAGTTCCATATTCAGGCACAACATTGGGAATTTGCACAATGTTCGACGAAGGAATTCATGGGGCACGAGTGTTTTCACCAAGTACTATTCCCTGTTCATTCCAATCCATGGGAGGGAAGACGGGCACCTATCTCGAATCCCAGAATGGGTCGAGACTTGACGCTGCGTTCTTCAATCCCCCCCTTTTTTCATCTCTGCATACAGAGACTTTACAATATGCATCCATCCAAGGCGTTCAGGCTGGATTATGATAGAGTATCTTTTTTATACGACAAACATCGGACAGGATAGGGTTGCTGAACAGCATATCGAGATATATGCGTCAGAGCCAATAAGTTTATCTTATTGCAATTCATGGATAGGATCGGAAAAGCGTTGCAAAAAGGTTGGCTGTCCTCAGATTCTTACTTTTCCCCCATCGGCGTTGAGCCCGACGGCCGGCGTGACAGGGAGGCGAATGCACACGAGTCCATCCGCTAGAAAGGGACGGAATCTTAGTAACTCGCCTGATCATGGTGGAGTTGAATAGACTTGGCGAATTCCCTCACTTGGACGCATCTAAACAACCTTTGGGTCTGGTTGCTTTGTTGATGCTTGTGAGAAGACGACACCAATTAATGAGACGTAAAAGAAAGAAAAAAGAAGCCTTTGCCGAACGGCATCTAATGACGCACATGCAAAGTCACCGCTGCAACCTCGTACACTAGTAAACTGCGGCCAAGGCCTTGTCATGGATGCTTATTTCTCTGCTGTTCCCTGACATTCATTTTCTGCCCCGCCAAGATGAGATAGATAGTAGACATGCCCCTCCTTCCTCATTCGTCCCTCCATCTGTCTCTCAGACTGCCCCGCATTGAAGCTTGCAAAAATGTTGACTTTTGCTTTGGTGAATTCTACTGTATATAGCGATATGCGGTTACATGGCTCGATCGTTGTAACGCTTCTTCGCCGAAACGGGATCCGCAACATCTTAGATCAACGTCAAAGCATCAACGACTCCAGCCAGCAGCATCCGATCATCTCATACCGCCGAATAGTGTTTTTCGCAATGTCCATGTCATGAGCTTGAGCAACGAAAATTCCATGGATTTATAGACTTGACAAATCATCACAGACCGCGCGACCAACACAAAACCTACTCCTCCAACTCACGACATAATGGAGAACCTAGCCATCTCCGATGCCCCTCCACAGGGCCGCGGTGCGCCGCAACCGCTGCCTCAGCTGCCGCCGCAGATGTTCACCACTGCCGCACAGCTCTTGGACCTCACAGACAGTACGATTCCGCCATGGTACCAGTTTATTCCTACTTCCGGTTCCGCACTCTTGTGCACTTGAGACACAACTGGAGCTAAATCAGGGAGAAGGAAGGATCGTGTGCTGACGACTGTAAACCTGCAGAGAAGCTCATGATCGCTTTGCGCGATGGGAGAAAACTCATTGGTGTTCTAAGAAGCTGGGATCAATTCGGTGGGTTCTGAGGGAAAACAACGCCCCCAGGATGCGACCCCTTCTAATCTTCATGTCAGCCAACCTCGTCCTCCAATCCACCGTCGAACGCATCTTTGCGCCATCCCCCGAGTCAGCAGGCAGCGATCGACCAACAGGACTGTACGCGGATATAAATCACGGCACATTCCTCGTCCGCGGTGAAAACGTACTGCTCCTCGGCGAGATCGACCTCGACAGGGACGATGAGCCGCCGCCTGGCTTCGAGCTTGCCGAGCTAGACGTTGTCAAGAAGATCGCAGAGGAGAAGAAGGCGACCGAAAAGACCCGAGACAAGGCACGTGTGAAGAAGCTTGCGCAGCATGGCTTCGAGGGGGAGAACATTGGCGAGATTGTGCTGTAGACGACGTTTGGATATTAGCAGCAATTACAAGCAAGGGTTTTGGCTCTGGCTTCAGGTTTGCCGAGTGCTTCATTTTAAAATCGCGCTCCGGCTGGCGGTCATTTGGGCAGAATATTGTGAAATGCCCACATACCGTTGATAGAAGAGATCGGTTCGGCAGAGAATGAGCCGACTTCTCTGGATTGAAATAAAAGTCTCGATACAGTGGGTATAGAGGCGAATAGCTCGCATAAATACATGGACTTGATGATGCTACAACAATCCGTTTGGAATTAGTACTTGCGTAGCGTAGTTATCATGATACGAAAATGCTAGAAACTTGTTGGCAAGTCCTCCACAAAAGTTTCAGAAATTTTGACTGAGTGTATTTACCTGCTATAGACGAGATATGAGTATAGCAAGAACTTGGGAAAGCTATTGAAGTCGTTTGTAAAAGACATCGCTGCTCTGTAGCATGTGTTGAACCGAAGTGCCAAGTTTGGTCCAGGCTAGGCCTTAAGCCAGTATCAGCATCACTCACTCAATGTCTTAATATCATGGACCATCTGGTAAGAATAACTTTTAAGGCTAATTTACAAAGCTATACAAAGCCTGCGTGTGTGTGTGGAGTCGTATGGCTCATTGTTGTACAAGAGTCCTCTGGGTAAAAACCGATCGACTCAAACCAGTCCAAGAAGACTTACAATGTTAGAAATTCAACCGAAAACGCCTCTCATGATACCGTTTCTTATTCCCTAAATCACTCTCGTTTTCCGAGAAGAGATTATGCTTCCAGGAAGATCTCATTTTCGCCTCCATCTACGTTTAGGGCCTAGATGGATCTACGTCTTCGCACTCGCGCAAACATAGGTATAGGAGTACCGGGGTTCTTACAGCCTCCAAGGAGCCAGTCAGTCAGACCGACAACCTTTGCGCCAACACCGGCTTCCCAATCGCCACCAGCTTGTGACTGTTCGATCGTATGACTTAGAATTCGTCCCTCGGTATCGAAGTCAAACACAAACAGTCCAGTGAATGCTTTATCTGGATCAACTCCACGACCAAATGGCAACGAACGTGCAATTACCCCCCGGCTAGAATAACTCTCGGAACCTTTTCGCTTCTCGCACCACCGTACGACAAGCTGTTCTGGGATAGCTCCAGCACGGCGGGGTAAGAATGTGAGGGGCTCACTTGTCATACGCTCTGCGAGAACCTCTATACAAACGTTACCAAGTATGGGAACCCGGTTCCATGCTATCGGAGAGGTCCAGAGGGCGGCATTATATGCGACGCGGCCGGATACAGTCGGTAGATGGGGATGCGTGGAAGGGAAGAGATGAAGGGCGATGTTTGGCGCAAGAATGTCGTGAGGAAGAGGATGGAGAAGAAGTGTCGGCAATCGTTCTTGTAGAACTCGTAAAGCTATAAAGAATGAGTATTGTGTTACTTCAAAGTCTGGTGATGTTTTCTTAGTGACGTACTTTTGCCCAGCTTTGCCTTATTGGGGTCCTTTGGTCCGTCTTCGCCAGACCCAACCCATCGCACGCCTGTCGCATCGAAATATGTCTTGGATAAGGCGCCTCGCCTTGAGTATTTGTCGAGTAAAGAGGCATCGGAAGGCGGGAAGGGAGTGTTGGGCTCCCGAACAGTGGTAGGCTTAACCTGTGCCTTTGCCGGACGAGCGTTAGAGAGACTGCGAATAGAGGCAACGGAGGATCGGCCGGAGCGGCTTAGACTGGATCGGATGGTCGCGGCCATTGGGTGGTCACCGCAGCACGATGAAGATATTCATGGATCAAGAGTGAAGTTTGATAGAAGAAGCCGAGGCGTCTTGATTATCGTAAGGTACTGAGTAGAATAATACAGAATCAGGTTGAGTTGATGTACTTCAGGTGTTGTGTTGCCGATCTTGCATGTTAAGTCCACTTTTGGATCTTTTTTAGATGGGTAGATGCGGAAGTATCTTGCGGCAGTAAAGTGTAAGAAAAGCGACATGATTGAGAAACAATGTGTTTGATTGGCCAAGTGGTCAAGCTCCAGCGCCACAAGGTACAGATGACAGTGGAGTGGGGTGTGGCGGGGCGGGTCTCGTCCACTGTGACGGAACCTTGAAGTCAAAGAAGGCGAGAATCTGGAGAGAATGGCTCAAAGCTGGAGAAATGAATGGGGGATCCACAGATAAGGTGTTATCGGTTATTTCTATCATCGCTAGAGTTAGAACTTATGTCTTTCTCTCCATTATTGAACCAAGGCAGGCGGTGAGATGAGACTTGATCTAGTTAAGTAGTTAACCGGTGACGTGCAAAGTCACTTGAATCGTGTGAATAATGGCACAAGACCAAAGTTTGGTTGATCAACTGCCTCACGACAAAAGGTTAAACAGGTATCTTTCAGGGCAGATGAATAACGCGGAGGAAGGATCGAGGCAAGTATTGGATGCGTCCTCATTCCGGTGTTTGTAATAAGTCCAAGCACTGTATTAGTGTATCCGTACAATGGCTTTGCTGCTTAACTTACTGGGCAGTTTGGAATAGATTAGTATGCCGGCACTACTATCAAACCTAGGTGTAACCACCTATACTCTTTCATGTCTGCACCTTTGTTCGTTAAAGTAATTAACCTCCACAAAAGATACTTGATTCAAAGGTTATGCAAGCAAGCCTGGCTATCCTTTACCCCTTATTTTATTGTTTGTTGCACATGCTTGCACAGCCTCTAAGTTAATCACAGGCTCATTCCCCCATCTCGTCTCTTTGTTGCTTCATCTCCATCACGTGATCTGCACTGTCAGCTGCCCCATCCATTCTCCCTCCTCTAGGCGCTGCTGGCGTTGCCTGGCGTTACGTTTCTTCCCTGACGTACTTGAGCCTCTCTCTACATCCGTTTTCAACTTAATCTTTCCCCCCATCATCTACAAATCCTCATTCCATCGCTCTCGACAACTCATCTCGACAGTCTCACCGCATTTTCCGCCGATTTCCGCTCGATTTGCGTCCTACCGCGACCTAAAGACAAATCGCCAACATGAACCCCGAGTAGTACGCCACTCTCCGCCTCCTTTGCGATAACCTCCTGATGGATCTACGACATGTGCTAACTATCGCTCTAGAGTTACACCCTCTCACCGCCGACTACCTGTCTTGCGCTCTCCATTTACTCCCAGTATTGGGATGCGACTATATGATGATTTTTCTGACACGAACCCTCCAGATACGATTACCTCTTCAAGCTCCTCCTCATCGGAGATTCCGGTGTTGGAAAGTCTTGTCTGTTGCTGCGATTCGCCGATGACACCTATACCGAGTCTTACATCTCTACTATTGGTGTCGACTTTGTGCGTTGCCTCCAACCAGTCTCCATGCTTTGTCAAGACACCGTCTAACACTTACCAGAAAATCCGAACAATAGAGCTCGATGGCAAGACTGTCAAGCTTCAGATCGTATGTGTCCCACCGCACATGTTTCGTTCCCATAACCGCCGTACTAACATGTTCTCAAGTGGGATACCGCCGGTCAAGAGCGTTTCCGAACCATCACTTCGTCCTACTACCGTGGTGCCCACGGCATCTGCGTCGTCTACGATGTCACCGACATGGACTCTTTCAACAACGTCAAGCAATGGCTCCAGGAGATCGACCGATACGCCACAGAGGGCGTCAACAAGCTGCTGGTCGGCAACAAGAGCGATATGTCAGACAAGAAGGTTGTTGAGTACAGTGTAGCCAAGGTAAGTTTTATTCACATCTCCAATATCGCAGCCAAAGGTCGCGGTCACATGCATTTAAGCGCCTGAGCGCTCGGGTGCCCCTGTCACCGAATTTCTTCCTCGGTTGTTATAAACACCCACGACCACACCATGACTGACACAACTCACAGGAATTCGCCGACAGCCTGGGAATTCCCTTCCTTGAGACTTCCGCCAAGAATGCCAGCAATGTCGAGCAGGCTTTCCTGACCATGGCACGCCAGATCAAGGAGCGTATGGGCACCACAACAGCCAACAACACCAAGCCCAGCGTGCAAGTCGGTCAAGGCCAAGGCGTTGGCTCGTCTGCCAACAACAGCTGCTGTTAAATGCGTTAAATCTCTCCTTTTTCTTGGCGAAGCAGGATGACGGAGTACGGCCGGGACAACGGACAATATGCTAGGGACACGATCGGATGGGCTCAACCACGATGCTTGCTTATTCCTTTTATTCTCTCCATTTCTACGCATAGACCAGATCATGACCACTTGGATTTTGCCTTTCGTTCCCACAAACCACGACATTTCTCCTTGTTGCCCTGGCATTTCGGAAGAACGGCTTTTGCTATTCGGCTCGATGTCATCTATGGGACTTGACACTATTCTGATGGAGGAAATGAATCGAGCTGGTGATTGATCAGTGCTGGGGAGGGGAGCGTAAAGGGAGACGACAATTATGAAGGCAGATTTTGTTTTCCTAATGGCACATGACTTTGGAGGGTTTCGCGCGTGCGCAGGCTGTATTTTCTCTCTTCTTTCCCATGCTGTCCTTCCGCTTGGGAAGATAAGCATTGGGAAGCGTTGGCCGGTTTTTGTTCTTTTCAACCCAACACTCATTCCCGGGAATCACACTGTCTGCGCATCCTGACCCCATTGTCCTGCGATCCTGGCCCCCTAACTCTTGTAGACTCTTGAGTCGCTGAGAGCTATAGGAGGAGGTTGTTCTAGTTGTCTCTTGCTTGGGTTCTGATATCGATTGTTATGTTGTTTCTTCTTTTCACCATCCTGGTTCGCCCGTGGTAGTCTATTTTCTGGTACCTGAGATCGATTTTAGTGTATGCGAAGGAGGTTATTCTTAATAAAGGTGGAATATTCCTTTTTCATAACATTGTGCCCAAGTCGATGCTTGCCTGTCTTGATTTGTCTGAGTAATACCAAAACTAGAGCTTTGAAGTCGATGCTATGTAAGCAAAAATGAAGTATTGCTTTCTCATATCTCACTGGCTTTAATTTCAACTTGTAAACTGAGGAGGTGCTTCAAACCAACTCGAAGACGAATAGAAGTACACAATTTATTAACCCATGCCTCATTTGTAATCTACAATTCAAATCCAATTAGTTATATCACTACGATGGGAGAGATTGGTGTTGGCTGTTTCAAATTAGTCTACGATATGCCCGAAGTGTTGGTTATCATCCATCTTCAATACTATCAATTCAAGCATTTTTGTATGAACCCCTTCTAGATGTTGTGTAAGTCATTTATGTAAGACATAAAGATAAAGCTCAAATGCCTAGTCTACGCTACACATGCTTCATGCACGAAGATCTTCTGCTTCATTGATTAACACGTCCATGTACGTCATAGACCTACAACCTACCACCCGATGTCATCTTCTTTAAAGACCAAACACCTTTTCAGCATAACAACTCTGTTTACAATAACTATCCTGTGTTTCCTCACATACCCCAATACCACAAACCACATCTCACTCCATACTTTACCCCTTATCAAGCATAAAATATCCTCAAAATGTCCAGCATCGAAAGCCGAGTGTCCAAGCAGGGTGAAGCTCCCCTCCAGAACGACAATGAAGACGCAGAGCAAATGGCTACTTTTGCAGAAGGCAAAGTCGCAGATGCAGTAAAGGAAACGAGCACGAGAGATAAGCCGCGCAAGGACGATATCCAAATTGAGGACTTCTCTTCTGATCTTGAGAGGTTTGTTTGTGCTCGTAGTTGTCGGTAGTGCACTGAAGCTAATATCACGGACAGGAAAAAGGCAGAGCAGGCCGAAGCTAGAGAGAATATCAAGGCACAGAGACAAGCCGGGGTGAATGTCGATGGAAGTCTTGGGCAGGGCAGATTGAGCAACGAAGATAATGGCAGTGTTTGATCTTACATAGCTAATCTCCTTCTCAAATTAATTTACAGGCATTTGCCTAATACGAACAACGCAATTTCAACTTATTCACTTCAGATCGACCTGCTTTAGTGGCCGGGCATCAAGCCTCATTAAAGTAGAATTACATTACTCTATTCATAACGAACGATTGCTTCTAATACTTTCTCTTCCCAAGCTAGGCATTAATAAGCCCTATCCTGGTGAGTGTTATAAAGGAAAACTCTTTGATTAGATGAAATCGTCAAATCGTTACAACTGTACTCTATGGCCACAAATGTTTATCCTGCCCCAGGCTTATGACAGACCGAGGAACTTTAGTGCTTTATGAGTATTGGCTTTGCACCCATCTGGTTTTCTTTCCAGGAGTGGCATAATTCGCCGGTCTTCTTGATCCCAATCACTGTCATCGACATACATGGTAAGGATGGATCGAGTGTCTGCTGTTGAGGGCTTTCGCTTTGATTTGGTCCGACTTTGTTTGCTCCAAGTGGACTTGACTGTTTTCACGGTCTCCGCAATTGAAGGGGCCCGACTCAGGTTTGCAGATGTTCCTGAAAAGGTTGCTCCCAACGTAGCACCAGCTGTCGGTGACATGGGCGGACTATAAGGGGCTGACGATACACGCGGGAAAGGAGAGAATGTGCCGGTAACGGACGGCGTCTTAGGCTTCTTTGGGGATGGCTTTCTTGGAAGCTCTTCAGGAATGTAGAAATCGGAAATTTTGGACAGTATCTTCGATATGGTACCAATAAACGTTGTAATCTCCACATCGCTTGCATTTGAGGTGAGTAGAAAATTGGCCTTAGATACTGTGATGTCGTATCCGGAGCCGGAGTTGAGCGGGAAAGTCTTCCCAAATCGACCTATGGGTCCTTGTTCCGGGCCAGTGATGGAATTTCCACGTAGGTGAGTGAAGGGCATATTCTTGTTGCTGGCGTCAACAACCTGAGCCACCTTCATCATCTCCACCCCGACAAGTTTCTGGAGAGCCAATACTGTCGAGAGATGTTCAGGCGGATACTCGAGGAGAAGAAATCTAACTTCTGTGTGGAGAGCAAGATATGTTTCAAGGTGCGGGACAATAAGTGTTGCCAAAAGGAACGAGTTGGTGAAAGGGTTCTCTTGGGTCTGGCTGGTCAAAGGCTGGGCGGTATAGGTCTGCATGGCATTGGCAAGAAGGTATCTACGATGGGTCAGTTCTGTGAAACGTCAGAGGTATTAGAAATGACATACCTGAAGTCCAATCGTCCGCTACGACTCATGCCGCTTACTTTGGATCCCAACTTCTCAAGTTGCCCGGCAATGGTAGAAGCAAAGTCCCTTTTCACACCACGCTGAGATCCAAAGGCCAAGATCTGGTCAACTCGACGACCACATGCATGATCACTGCCAGGGTTGGTCTCCCAAAAGACTGGCTTCCAGAGTCCTTCAAGCTCGGGTAGAAGGGGGAATTGAAATTGGCCATGTCCTTCAATCTCTGGGGGGATATGATCTTGGAGAACAGAGCGGAGCGAGTTTTGCACTGTAATGGCTGTTTGCTGGCTGTTGATATGAAGGTCGTGGATCATGCTATCGAACTCCGGAACCAGGGGCGGAGGAGTCTGCACTGGTGTCGGCGGCCGTTCGACATTGAGCTTTGGCAAGCTCGGAAGGGGCTTTTTCCTGGACCATGTAGGCTCGTATGAAAAGGGGTCATATTCATCCGGGTAGTTGTATTGGCCAGCCGCAGATGGTCTCTTGTACTGCTCTTCCACGTTTGCGATAGTCTCAAACTTGGGTGTTTCTGGAACCAAACCATTGCGCTTGTCGGCCATAGAAGCAGGTGATTGAATGGCAACAGGGAAATGACCCAGCCTGAGCCCATGAATGACGGATTTGAGAATAGGATCAGGCACATCTTCTTTCAGGTGTACGACAAGATCCTCTGTTAGGGATAATACTGGTTGGAAAGTCTGTGTTGGCTCAGGAGTCGTTTCGGCATCGGTACCTCTGTCCACGTACGACGCCCTTGCGGGTTTGCGTTTCTTCTCTAGAGGAACTGGTTCAACTTTGATGATAGGAAGGTTGGTCTTGACAATAACAATTCTGCAACCTCCTATTAGGCTGCGTCTGTTCGATAGAGATTTTTTAGAGTTGATACTCATTGTGTGAGGTTGACGATGGCTTTTAAATAGTTCTTGTTCCATGTCACATTCTGGCTGTTGTTCAAGGTCTGTAGTGGCTGTGGAAACACAAAGATCCCGATACTTAGGGGTTTCCAAGTAGATTCTGTCCAGGGATTTGATTCGTGGCAAAGTAGAAACCCGGCTTGATGATCTCATATCCAGTAGCGAAGCTTCGCCATACACGACGTTATCTGTGGAAGGGATGCTCGCTACGTCTGATCTTGGGCTCAGCCCTTCCAGACCAGGAGATATAGGGGTTGCTTTCAAGCCGTAGGACTCACCAATACAGCTTGGAGAGACCAGAGAGAAGTTCCTTATAGAAGGGGATTGTAAGTTGGTGACGCCACGATAATTGCGGTTGGCAGATCGGTCGTAGTGCCTGGCCGAAAACTTGGAGGCCTGGGGCGAGTGCAAATAGCTCTTGGCTTCCCCGATTGCGATTTTACCCGCTTCTTTATCCTGGGCACCAAAGACAAAGAATGGAGCATCATCCCCAAAATTGTCATCATAACCATATAGCGGCAGGCTATTGCTGCGAGGGCGCGGTGTAAGGGTCAAGTCCAGATCATTGGAGGGCTGAAGGCTGGCTGTTTGTCGATCCAAGGCGTCGGCAGCTCGCATCGCCCGTGTTATGGGATCTTCGAGTTCGCCATCAAGGTCATCCTCTTCCGAATCTTCGAATGTGTTTCGCCTTCTCCAGTCCCTGACCGGGTTGTCCAAACCAGCAACTCCATCTCTGACTAATTGGTTGAATAAAGTCTCGGCCTGAGTGTAGTCCCCATCTGTTTCGTAATCCATAATGGCCTTGATGCAAAGGGCTTGCGCACTTGCAGTACCACCGTTCATAAACACAAGTCGCTTGCTGCTTGGTATTGATCCTTGAAGGAAGGTCTGGGCAGCTTCATGACGAGCCACTGCGGCTTCGTGTATTTTCTTAACATAAGCCCGAATGTCCGGTTGGTCTTCCATTCCTTCGTCCGAGACGTAGCTTTGAATACTGGGAAGAATAAGAATTCGTGGTGAAGACGGAAGAAGTCGTAGCTGTGTTGATATCGTATCTCCTCGACCCTCGAAAGCAACGATGCTCCCAAGGAGCTTGTTGTCCATAGCCATTGTGGATACTCGAGGCGCCACCGATTCAGGCGATCTCTCAATAAGGAAGAAAGATAAGTAGGGAAGGAGAAGCGAAGGGAAGATACGGGATTGGGTTGAACTTTGAAGGAATGCTCAACTCAAGGGTCAACACGCGTGAAAGGGAGCGCAGCGAAGAAGGTTTAGGTATGAAACACGCCCATTAATACGCAAGAAACTTTATCATGAAATTAGTAGTTGCAGGTTGGAATGGGTGATGGAATGATCTTACAAGGGATCTCTCTCGAGTATCAAAGTACAGACGTCGACCGAGGTATGAACGTAATTTAGAAGTCCCGGCCAGGGGAGGAAACAAGGGGGAAGGAAAAAGGAAGGAAATGATGAGATGCCGAGCCTAGAGGGAAAGCTTAAAAGAGGCAGGTGCCGTGAATATGATAACAAGAAGAGAAGATTGACCTGAGGTACAAATGAAGGCAGGTGCCTGCCCTGATATCTAGATCTGAATCATCCAAGGCAGAGGAAGGTAGGTAGAGGAAGGCAGGCGCAACTCCTCTGCACAAGTTGTTAGTTTGACCGACAGTGCTACCAGTTCCAGTTCCAGCTCCAGCTCCACTGTCTACCGCTGGTGTCTCCTCTATTCTCCTCAGTATCCATTAAGATATTTCAGGTTGAGCTGTTTAACCCTGCAGAAGTCGGGCAACCACAACAAAACACAAGCCACTCTGGTGGTTGATTGTGAGCAGGTTGGGTCTCCATGTCCCCATGGCTCTAACTAACGAACAGCGACGCCAAGACTATCCAGCCAGTAGCTTTGATACATGGTTGCTTTTGGCTGATTTAGCCTCCTGGTCTGGGGCCAAACAGCAAAATGCCGATACCTACGGTCCAAGCTTCAAGCATAGAAATTCCCAGCTGGTTGGATTATCGGGACTGGCCAGCTGCCTGAGCCGCTCGCAACATGGAACCAAACTATCGGGCACCTGCAGCGACTCTCCCTTCAGCGCCTCACTTGCAGCGCGTTTTTCAATCGATCAAATAAGACTCCTTGCCTGTTGTAGTACATACACAAGCACCAATGGCAATATACGATAAACAAGAACCTTGCGAGATGTACGTGTCCGCCGTCCGGGGCATTGAGCATCGATCACAGAGACTAGGTTCCACCCTTGTCCCTTGTTCCACGCTCCATGTTGCAACTCATAGGCTAGTCCCACATTGCATGGGCATACATCAGGGATACTCCATGATCCAGGATCTGGTCTATCCAGCTAAGACAGTCTATCCCTTCGCCATGTCTTCTACCCGGCTCAACTATGCAATTTTGTCACAATTTGTTCATAGACAGCAAAGTCGAACCTTCTCATGATGTGATAGGTCGCATACAATTTCATATTCTCGGTTGATTCATCGATTCCACTTAATCATGGATTAAACTCGATAGGAAGAAACATTCAGCTGAAACGTGAAACACGAAACCGGAAATAGTCGTCGCACGTTACTCTACCACATCATCGTACTCCGTATGTGTGCGCAGTGCAGAGTGCAGACCCTCATGTGCTACTCCGTACTGACAAGTTTATCTCCAGCCCCAGCGCAATCTCACCATGCCACTCATTAGCCTGAACAAATTGGTTTTCGAAAGCGGCTACACGCGATGCCGGGTGAGGCCCCTGCCGGCTCGAATCCTATTTGTCGACCGTTGCACGATAAGCGGGATACAATGTTTGTCACTCTCCGCATTAACGCAGAGGCTAGAGAAGCTTCGATCTATCTTTAAAGCTGAAAAGAAAAAGAAAGTCAAAGGTAGAGAATAATAGATTATTCTCAAGCTCAGTCAATAGCTTCAGAGCAAAGCCTGGCAGGCATCATGGATTGCCAGGTTTCCCTACTTATTGTCGATCCCCCCACGTTAATCAACGAGCCAGGGACGAGGCTTCGACTTCTATTTTGGCCCGAAATTGAAATCGTTGACTGGTGATCATCAGCCCTTGTCAGTGCTGATCAACATTCAAACTGGGGCCGATGGATCTTCAAGACTTATGGCTATTCCGTTTACGGCGCTACCAAAGCAGCGGTCGCTTTCCAACTTGAGGCGTTGCAGGTTCTAAGGACTGTCCGATAGCCAAGCCTCGTGGCGATATCTGAATCAGTCAGATGTCTCGCGATCTGACTACAACCTTAGCAGGGCTAGCCTTGCACGTCCATCTCAAGACGCTTCGCACCGCGCGGCTATTTTGCTCTTCCGGAGCTTCCTCCACTTACCGTTATTTGTTTGCTCGCTAGTGCGACTTGCAAGGTTCCAGCAAAGCTCGGAGGATCAAATTTGGAACCGCTTGAAGATGGCCTCGAACAAGCGAGACTGCTTATCAAATCACTCACCGGAATCAGTGGCGGCGATCGAATGACAATCATTTCGCGGCTATTAGAGTTATACACTTATCCTTTACCACTGCTTCGCTGGAAGATTCCTGAGTAGGAATTATGTCTTTTGCTGGTGCAGGCTTGAACATTTTCAAGTATAACTTCAGCGCCCTGCTATCCTACAGAGGCGAACTACAGCGTGCTGCGAACTAATACTGTATATGCAGTCCCATGATGCATGTATATAAACTAAGGGTTCCAACTACTTGGACAAGAGTCTGCAAGTCTTGCCGGATCGAAGTCTCGCATGCAGCGTCATATAACATGTTGGGGGCTCGTGCACATGACTATCGTTTCAACTTGACAAGGCCCGCCAAACTAGATCCGCTACGACGAACCTATTCGGCGACAACGTGGATATTTTTGACTAGATTGCTCAGGAATGACACCGAATATCAACACAGTAAAGGGGAAACCATTCCTTTTCTCCGAACAAGACAGCACGGATCAGCTTGCAGACACTTCTTCCCTCTAGTGTTACTGGAGAGCTAACACAAACATCTATCAGTCACTAAGCAGTCCTTGGGTTATCTGTGATGTGGAGAGACAGATTTTCATTTCTTTGAGAAATTTGCCATTCTCCAAAATGGCCTTTCATATTACTCTTATGAACAAGAGACTGACTTTGTGCTAATCTCCCAACAAACTGTGTTTATTGTGTGGTATGGGGTCGTCCAACTGGGATATTGCCGTCTATTGAAGTTAGTTTGTCAGGACGGAATTCCGGATTGTTACACTTACACATGCTGCTCAGGGGCGACACTTGCATTTGTGAACTACCCGAAGATAAATATCAAGTCGTTTGTGTCGGAGGCTCACAGACAAAGAGCCCTCGGTGTTCAAAGCGAGGGGATACAATGGTATTGGTTTAATTGTCTGTGTGGCTTCGAGGTCACGCAGGTCCAGGTTTTGGCCTCATCTTCCTACATTGCCCGGCTCACTGCATCATTTCAGTTGACTGATTGGCAATTCCGTCAACGATCTGTGTTGCACTTGAGGAACACAGCACCAGTTTCACTATAGTAGTAAGAGAATACGTGCACTCTGATGAAAACAACACTTGTCATCTATCATTCTGGGTAGACCCTAGCAATGCGAGCGGAAGTTTCTAACAGTCTAGAGGATCACAATATAGGGCTGTTCTGTTGGTTGGCTGCTAACTGCAAATCGGGCTTTAACCAAAAAGTAAGTAACGTCTTACAATTTGACATCATATGGGTCCGTTACCTTACCTATCAAAATCCCATCAGTTATGATAGCTCATTCAGCCACTGACCAGCCCCCTTGCTCCGTAGAAATGTGTTTCCTTCTTGATGTAAACAAATATGTGGTCACCGAGGAATCTCGGGCCAACACATCATGACAATATGAGATATTCTCCTGTTCAATCATGCAATGATCTCTTTTATAAGGAGTCCAATGCTATGTCTTTGATTTAAACTACGAATGCTGAGGTGGCATATAAATGAACATGGATGTACCTGTGTGGTAGAGAGGACAGGTCGAGCCAGCGAGCAATCGTCTGCATGTTTGGGCAAACTCCCACATGAGGAATGAAGCATGGCTTTCGCTGTTGTGTATCGAGAAAGCGACATGTGGTTCTAGGTTACACGGCGTAAATACACATCTCCTTCACATGTTCCGCAGGCAAACTCGAGCTGAGTGTCTGTGGCACGCTGGTACAACGCATGGCAAATATTTCAGCGATTGAGGAACAACAGGTAAACTATAGGAAATATCGGTGTGCTTCCAGCTTGTTTACAAGAGGACGGGAAATATTTGGCTTGGTCTACTAGGCATGTATGTTACTGAGGTCTAATCGTCCATGAGTTCTGCGAGCTCAGCCTCTTCCTGGGCAGTCAATGCGCTGCCGTTCTTTTCTTGCTCCTCTTTCTCCTCCTCCTTAGGCTCAGCAGCCTTTTGGATCTTAACAACGACTTCGTCAAGCTCAGACTTGGCAAGTGGCCATGTACGGATAGTGCCATCAATACTGACACTACAGACCTTACGCGGGGTGCCTTCGGAACTCTGTAGCAAGACGATGTCGGTAACCTCCTCGTAGTGGCCAACCAATGTGCAGTATAGCTTGCCAGATGAGCGATCCCAGACCTTGACATCCTCATTGCGACCAGCCGTGATGACCCACTGGTCTGTTACGAGAACACCTCGTACATAGTCCCCGTGTGTGAACGTATCATCGGCAACGAAGTTTCTTGAACGGGCCAGACACTTCACTGTTCCGTCAGCACTGGCAGTCCACAGATCTACGTCGTCACTCGTTTGGTCGTAGACAAGTCGGTAGATGCTGGTCTCATGTTCTTGGATGGTGAGTCGCTCAGCATCAGGGCGGTCGGAGAAAGATTCGGGCAGCTGCTCGTAGCTGTCCAGGGTGATCTTCCATCTTCGGATATGCGGGTCGCTGCTTGCACTCGCAAAGACAAGAGTGCTGGCATCGCTGAGTACAGGATCGATGGCAAGGTGTTGAACGGCAAGCATTGTCGTGGTGGGATCCTGCAGGGTATGTAGCCGCTTGCCTGACTCAACGTCCCAGACAAACATCTTCTTGTCGGCGCCTCCACTGATGAGGATCTGCTTGCCTGAGACAGTTGCACAAAGAATGGTCTTTACGAAATCTGTATGGCCACTAAACTTGCGACCAGGCTTTGCGGTTTCAATATCCCATGACCAGATGTCCTTGTCCCACGAACCAGCGAACACTGTCTTGTTCCCTTGAGTCCCTATTGCAACGCAAGTTACAGGTGCTGTTGGGCCCCGGTATGTCATTTTTGTCTCCGAGGTCTGATGATGATTAGTATTATGAGAATCAGCCCTCAGTGTCGTCCAAACATACCTCGAGATTGACTCGGCGGACAGCACCAGCAGATTCGGCAATGAATATGGAAGTAAGAGGCGAAGCAGGGTCTGGAACAGCAGCCAAAATCTTTGATTTCATGACTATAGGATCTCCATTCTTATTGCCGGCCTTTGCGGCTTTGCGTTCACGTTCGACGTGTACAGCACTTTGAGCTGTTAGTCAGGAGTATGTAATTGGAGATGATGGACTAGGTACCTACTCTGTTTCGAAGAAGTTGTTACGATTTGCAGACTGCATGATTACTAAAACTGAAACTTAGGCCAGAATTAGAAGAAAAAAACAAGTGTAGTGACTGTGATCGAATTCAGAATCTGATGTCTGTCGTAGGCTGTTGAGTATTCCTCAAATCCTTTTAGTCATCTAGGTTAGGCAGTTGTAAAAGAGTAGGAGATATTTAGGTGGGAGTTGAACTTTAGTGGGACCTCCCCTGTAACGGTTGAACGAATCGCGGGGTCTTTCCGCGACTTTAATTGCAACGCGCTCAGACGCGTCTCCCGAGAAACGAGAAAGACAACGCCTGTCCCACTTCTAAATCAGCCATCACCCATCATCGCCCTTGTTCCTCCATAACAAACACCCGAATGCTTCCCAGTTTGTGAGCGATTCGACGAATATCACGACAAAGGCGATTATGGAATCGACAATTGCCCCCAAACCTCGGCCTCGACCCGCGCATACACAAGGAACTACTCGCTGCGCCTATACCCCCGATGGCAGTCGTCTTGTCACAGTAGGCGCCAACAACACGATCCGTCTCTATAAAACAGGCTCCGATGGAGAACCGATCAATATAGATGAGTGCCAGGAACAAAACACCGCTGTTGCCACGAGCGACCAGTTCTTCGTCGTTGGTTCCGAGGATGGCACCGTCAGCTTGTACTCTCTCGAAACAAATGCTTTTGAGCGTTTCCTTACCCGCACAACGCTGCCGGTTCGGGATGTTGCGTTGACAGCTGATAGTCAATGGTGTGCTGTTGCGAGCGACGAGCTGAGCGTCAAGATCGTCAACACACAGGATATCTCAAAGGTCAAACACCTGCGGGAGCATGGCCGTGCCGTACGAAACGTTAGCTTTGATCCCCAGGGGCGATTGGTTGCGCTTTCGGGCACAGATGGAATTGTTTACGTTTACTCCCTAACAGCCGAAGAGCCAGAGTTGATTCGAAAGGTGGATGGCATCATTGGTGCTTTGGATGCGGACAGTGAGAACTCAACACGTGTAGCATGGCATCCAGACGGCAGGGCATTCGCGGCACCCACCCCTGTGAAAGACATTCAGGTCATCTCGAAGAATGACTGGGAGAAGCAAAGGTCTTTCGCTAATGGACACTTGGCCGATATCACAGCTATCGCCTGGTCCCCCAACGGCGCTATGTTGGCATCAACGAGCAAAGACGGCAAAGTGTTGATTTGGGAAACCAAGACCCAATCTGTCATCGCGAGATACGACTACCCTAATGTCATTGACTTGGTGTGGCATCCAACAAAGAACATCCTTTCCTTCACAACTAGCGACGGCGAAGTCTACATCTACCCAGAATTCCTAACGGATCAGTTCTCACCTCTGTTGAAGTTGGACACACAACCCGCCCCTTTCATTCACGACCCTCTTGCTGAGATCTCTGCGAATAGGAGGCCGCCTCCCGTTAACGGTCAAAAGCAACAGGGCCTTCCAACAAGACCTCGAAGAGATTCTCTAGGAAGTCTCGACTCATTCCTTGAAGGTGGCGATGGCTACGGCGACGATGATTTCGTGGAGGATGACGACGGTGCTGGATACACTGCAGGGCTTGGCCAGAAGCGTGGTCGTGACGACGATGATGCTCTGGGTCTCTCCAATAAGCGTCGACATATGCTCGAGCCGCAATATCACAAAGCATTTCAGCCAGGAGCAACCCCATGGCGAGGCAATCGCAAATATCTTTGTCTCAATTTGATCGGTTTTGTTTGGACAGTCGACCAGGACATCCATCATACCGTTACGGTGGAGTTCTACGACAACGAATTCCAACGTAACTTTCACTTTACCGACACATTCCTATACGACAAGGCCTGCTTGACCGAGCACGGTACTCTATTCTCATGCCCACCCAAAGATGATACCCCTGCAGTGATATTCTACCGACCTCATGAGACATGGACACAACGATCTGACTGGCGCACCGAACTACCTCGGGGCGAAGCCGTCAAGGCCATGTCCCTGAGCGAGTCATTCATCACTGTCACAACCAGCGCCAACTACGTGCGCGTGTTTACTCTATTTGGCATGCCCTATCGTGTATATCGACCGAAGAGCACACCGATGGTGACATGTGCTAGCTGGAGGGATTACGTTTTAACTATGGGCAACGGACCCATGGGGGCAGATGGCAACACTCGCCTCTTGTATACTATTGAAAACGTGAAGAGGGATGAGATTTGCCAGAACGAGGACACAGTCGCTCTCCCCGAAGGCGCTACACTCAAGAGCGTCTTCTTCTCAGATAACGGTGTAAGTCCTGCCCTGACAGCCAAGAATTAAGAATGCCAATACTGACATTCCTTTAGGACCCCTGTATTTACGACTCAACCGGAACTCTTCTTACGCTACTTCACTGGCGGCAGCCTTCTAGAGCGTCATGGGTGCCTCTTCTAGACACCAAACTGCTTGATCGTCTCGCGACAGGCCGCAAGAATGAATCATACTTCCCTATTGCTGTCGCTGACAATAAGTTCCACTGTATCATCCTCAAGGGTGGTGAACAATACCCCTATTTCCCTCGCCCTCTGCTTTCCGAATTCGATTTCTCTATTCCTATATCCTCAGCACCGAAGCCTCCCAAGCGTAAAACTCGCGAAGGGTCAGAAGATCTCGACATGGCTGATGACGACGGTGACGAGGACGAAGAAGAGGACGGTTCCTCGGAAACACGCAAACTTGAGCAGCAGTTCATGCTCCACAATGTGGAAGCCGCTCAGCTCCGGGATCTTGTTGAGGCTACGTCAGGCAGCCATACTCAGCGTTCGCAGCTATCTCGCCTTGAGCTTGAGATTGACAAGACGCTGCTTCAGCTCCTAGCTGTTGAGTGTCGTGAGAGCGAGGATCGAGGCATGCGTGCACTTGAGATGGTTCAGCTGATGAGAGACCGTACGGGCCGTATGATGGAGGCTGCGGGCAGAGTGGCAGAACGATATGGAAGAACGATTCTGGGTGAAAAGATTCGTGAGGTTGGCGAGAAACGAATTGGAGGCTTGGAAGATGACGATTTCTAAGTGTTATGTTGGCGGATTGGGGGGATGTTAATGTAAGATGGGCTTGGAATGTATACTGTGGCATCGGGATAGGATTGGATCTTGTTACTTCCATGGACATAGCATGTAATGAATATCTTTGTATTAGACCATAGAGTATAAGCAGTGCTGACAGCTTGACCTATCATGAATTAAATGTCATCCAACTCAAGGTGGTTGCCAACCCTCAGCTCCTTGCATAAAATATATCATTGTCAAACACTTCTATGATGCTGGATTGGCTTATATGATGATTTATTTTGAGATCTGAGTGTATAGTCCACCTTCATTGTACAGTATTTCGAAAATGTCTACGGAGTATAGCCTTGAGGGATAAGTACTACAGAGTGGTGTTTGTCTACAACCTGGGTTGCTAAATATAACCAAAATACCTGCACATGCCCTGTTGTATTTCCATATGCAATCTCGTGTAGTTAATTGTCGAGCAGTCCCTTGTCAACAGTGAAGACAATGACCGGGGTGGAAAGAATTTGCTTAGATACCACGCGGAATACTGCCTGTTCAAGGATGCAGAATTTTACTCTCCCCTGTCTGAGGAGAACACAACCGGATCATGTATCCGGGAAGCCAACGTCGATCATGATACCCTGAAGTTTTGGGCTTCTATTTTTTTCTAATCATTCCGGGTGACAGCACTGAATGGTTGTAGGGCAGCATACGTAATGCATAGGAAAAGTGGCTTCACACCGGCTTGGCCGAAGGAATAAGAATTCCAAAAGAAGGAATTAATCGTGAGCAGAGATTTCTGTCAAACAAGGCGCCGTGGATAGAGTAACATCGTTGGCGCGCACGGGTCCAGTGTCAAACAATAGTGTCTCAGCCATTGACCGGAAAATTGAGCAAAAACAATTGCCGAAGTCGTAGGGAAATAGTAGTTTTTAGTCGCTAGAAATAATCAATTATATGAGTGAAATGCCGTGGAAACGGGTCAAGAGTCGGAGATGCGGAGATCATGGCTTTTTTTTTTTTCGGCCGGAGGTGCCCGTCCCAAAAGGACAGGTTAATACCGACTGGGAGGGTCAGATCCGGAGTACAAGCCCATATCAGCACAAGTTCGCAGTTGAGAACGGAGTGGTTCAGGTACACGGATCATAAAGTGCCAGTGGCCATGCTGCTGCCGGAACAACCGATGCTATGCCTTGGAGCGTTCTCGAACACCTGGACAAGCACAGAACATATTAGCGCTCACGCAGTCTCTGTCGTGCATAGCATAGCACAGTGCCTTGGTTGTGTATCTTGGACTTGAGCCACTAGGGAATTGGGGAGTGACGTGCCCTGCTATCCGTAGACCTGCCTGCCATGAGGCTTGAGCCCATGAGCCACCCATGAGCCACCCATGTCCTCGGGTTTTGGCATGAGCCGAGTACATACATCCCTGTTTCAGCCCGTTCCCCTTTTATTATCATCCCGTTTCGGACAGAACACCATGGACCTGATCAACTCCCGGAAGCAAAGGCTGAGTAGAAAGTCCTGGGACACGTAGAAGATAAGACGTGATTGCAGATTCATGCGTCATGCAATATAGGAAAACGTTAGCCGTGCTTGAGTCGTGACAGCACAGCCAAAGTCCCACTAGTCGACTTATCATCGTAGATGGCCCAGTACGAAGCACGCTCGCTGAGATCTTGAACCAGGGGGACGGGACGATCTGGGGTGGCCGTGCAGGCTGGGGAAAGTCATTGTCATAGACACTTTACTTTTTGTCATGAGTGACTGGAACTGAGACTGCAACGTAGCAAGTATCACAGATGTTGATGGACGGAAATAAGTGCCTGACCAGATACCGGTACATAGTTGATTGACATGGAATGTCTAGTCAGATCAGATCAAACATGCTCATTTGTCCAGCAAGTATCGATAACCAGCAAATGCCGTTATTCTACGGATAAGAGCGAGTGGGTTGACAGCTAGCGAGGACCAGTTAGCATTGTGGCAACCCTGCCACGATGTCTCTGAGTAGTCTTTCAGGGTCGGTTGCCAAGAACACTGCAGGCAACCACTTTTGTACTCCATAATTGGTTAGCAGATCCAATCTTCGGCCATACAAGACTATACGTAGCTAAGCCGAGTAACGACACTAGATAGATCTTCGTGATCTAAGTCGGCCCTATGATATCTTCTCGTACCATAGCACTCAATAGTCTGTCTGGTACAGGGGAAATGCATCTTAGCATGTATTGAATAAGAGCCGACTGATCGGTCCGAGGATTGGCATGCCACTCCGTACGGGAAGGCGGTCCATGCAGGCCATGGTGGGGTTTTGGGTTTGCTGGTTCAAATTGGTGGCAAGTTGGCGTCAAATCTTAAATGGTGGTTTGCTAAATGTTGGGGCAGTTGGGGGTTTGTGGTTCCAAGAAGCAACAGAATGCAGTGGTGCTGCCATTTGACAGACGACAGACTTTAGCTAAGTCACGCCGCGGCCCTGTTGTGGAACGCTTTGATGTGTATGTATCGATTTTCTGTGCTCAATAAATATGGAAACGACAAACAAGGGGAATATGGTTGAGCTGCAAGTTATCCTTAGGATGTGTATTGGCCCTGATTGGCTGTTGATACCAGTACATGTCGTTTAAAGAGGGTTCGTTCTCATCAACATGAGTCAAGAGCGGGCGTCTAAACCGTTGCTTCAGCTCAATACCAATGCTGTGGGAGCTCCGTTGGGTGACATGGATGCCGATCCAGTGAACCACGTCAAAGGAAGAAGCAATGCAAGGATATGGAATAGCAGTGAAGGGCCTATGAGAGCTCAACCTGAGCCGATGAGCCCCAAAGCAAATGGTCCCTTGAAACAAAATTATCAGTAACCTTACTCAGTAGAAGATTGAGTTCTCATTTGCCTGCTTTCTTTTCGATGCTGAGTCGGTTTGATTGTAATGTCGGTTATTGGCTGTCGTCATTCCCGGAACCAGGGGCCAAACTGTAGATCTGACGAAAACACTTTCGCGACTGAATGCAATATAATTACGGATAGTGGATGGCAACATGGCCAAGCGAGTCATCCCACATCCCGCATCTCGTCGATCCGGCTATGTTCAACCGTTTATGACGATCAACAACATTGTTGTACGTCGTGGGGGAAATTGTTGCCTAGAAAACATCGCTCGAGGAGTTGAACTAGTTAGTGGTCGACGATATCCATCTCTGCTTTGATGTGTGGTGGGACTGGCCCATATGTCCTGTTGAACATCAAACTCAAATATCAATGAAGTGTTGAATTGGTGGAGCTCATCAGTGAAGCACAACAAACTGGTTAAACCGGGATGGTCTTGCGTACCTAGTTAGTAGAGTAGACTGTGGAACAGGTGAATGCATCCCGAGCAGAACCCTGGAACTTTTCGGGAGAAAACTTGAAGAATCCTCAAGATCGGTCTTTTTCGGCCGTTAATTAGTAGGGACCAGGTGCGGTAGTTCGGGTTCTGCTTGGATCCCCTGGCTTATTTCGTCTTGCCCTGGCTGGTTCTAGGGGAAGCTGTCCGAGACGCAGCCAAATATTTGCTTGTCAACCCTTTAGAACGCCAGTGCCAAGGTCAGACTAGCGGAGAGAAACTAAGGCCCTCGACCACAGCTAAAGTGGCTGGCGGATCGTCATAGTCTCGATGAGCTGCCTGCAGGATTAGTTTCTGAGTTATGACTCTTGGGTCCTGAATCAGTAGAATATGCTTCGGAGCGATGCGTGTACACAGCGAGAGTCAGCACGGAAATAAGCCAGGAGATATAGCATGTGCTGCATCCAATCAAATTCCTGGAACACACTCTCTCCAAGCTTCATAAAGATACAGATACCCTGCACTATGTAGATATATAGGCTGGAGACTCGGTGACAGTGGAGATGTGTTTAATACTACGGAGTATCAACACCAAGGCAGGCGATAATTGCCCCAAATACCTTCCTGAGGTACGGATACTGACCTAGGTACCTAGGTAGGATAAAAATAAACATACGTATTGAGTTGAGATTAGCGGCAAGAAGAAGCCAAGCATAACGGGAAGGGAGCACGGGCACGGGACAACGGGCCACGGAGCTCAAGCCGGACGACGGTGCATCAGAGCACGGAGCACAAAGCGGCCTCGCTCGGGCCAGGTTAAACACTGGACGAGAAATTGCACCTTTCTCCAGCTCCTGCCAAGCTAGGAAGGCAGTGAGTGAAGCAGTTGCTGAGCACCTTCCCACGCCGAAGACAGGCTGAGGAAGGAACGTCCACTGAGGACATGCTTCACATTGGATCTGATTTCATGTGATCGTCATTTGTGCCTGCATCAAGCCAAAGTGGATTTAGCGCAACACACTTCAATGATCTTCTTCCATCAACATGCACAACATTGAAATGGGTGCGAACCCCTTTCGTTTGCTCAGGCCTCAGCACAAACTCCTCGGCTGCGATTTGCGGAAACCGTACCCAGCCTGACAAGGGTTTCCTGCCAGAAGGACGCGCTTGGTGAGCCAGGGCTGCCAGGGTTGTCCGGCCCGTCATGGTTGATTTAGATCCGCACACTGACCACTGCGCGATGATAGGGTTTGCCCGCCATCTGGTCTTCGAAGATTCACTGCATATTCCACTATCTACGATCCTGGAGAGCACCTAATTATACCGAATATCAAGTGCTGTAACCTTACCCTCCCGGTGGTATTACAGGCGGAGCCAGGGCATGTGTGGTCGCGGGCTAGCAGAGGGTCCGAGCAAGATATTCACTCGACATGCGACATGAGTGAGACCTTGCACTCCGTAATTGCGGCCTTCGACGAGTGCTCAAAGTTGATGATATGCGACACAGGTACTCCGTATTGTACACAATAGTACGGAAACGTTGTACGTACTTCATACATGATCATTATATCAAACACTGACGTTGGTTCGTGGCTGGGCAATACTGGAGCTCATGCTTTTCGTGACAACCATCATGAAGTAGTACCCTTCCGATTTCGCAACAGTTTCGTTCCCGGACTGTTGATCGGCCCCAAAAACCCGGTATATGCAGCAACGTTGAGGCTTTTTCTCATAGCCTTTCGCCAGATTCTTAGTATCCAGGCACAGAAAAAGAAAACCTTTCTAGCTTGTGATGGGAACTATCCGTTGTGCCTACCTTATCCACCTCTTCAGTTTTCTTCAACAATTCCACACACACTGCGCCCCAGCAAGGAACGAAAATGGTCTAGGCCATTGTTGACCGCTGAAGAACATATCTGGAGTTTCTCTGTCCTTCTTTTCTCTTGTCGTCCATGTCCCTTGAGACACCCTCTTCGGGTTATCGAGGCTGGACGCCACGCATTTGCAGTTTGCCTCCCCGGCGTGTCTAGACGCAAACCGACCACACCATGTACGGAGTTATGTCTGAGAGCATGCGGCATGGCGCCAAGGAGAGGATGCTAAATGTCCCGGGGCTCTTCTTCGTGTAAGCTTTTCCTTTCCGACTCTGGTGCACCTTGGAGTAATTTCGTTACAGTTTCTTGATCACAGATCTGTATCTGAAGCCGCCACTAGATTTCGGGGACTGCACAGTGATGGTGCTAATCTTGGCGGGCGCTATCACCGGCTTCCATTGTTCCATTGCTGCGACTAGACATGCCAAAATCTTGGGTGTAACACCGAGACGACAGATGAGAGTCCCTACGGCCTGGGCGTTGGAACTCCATTCCAATGATGGAACCATGATGGATCATACCACACATGTTAAGGCATTGATCTAGAATCATGGATTAATGCTTTTGGCACGAGCCAGAACCTGTCAGCCTGGCAAACTGTCCACCAGTCGTTGTTGCAGCTGATGAGCATAGCTCTCAAACAATGGTTGATCATAGCAATGGGAATCAATCTGCATAATAAAATATCCGTTCCTGGGTGTGGGATGATGTCGGGAGTGAGTCTAAGGCGGTGGAAAGGGTCTCACGGCGAACAAAGAATGCGGGTGCTAGAGGCTGGAGTGGGTGTGTGTGGGCTTCTGTTGGAAACGATGTCGTGGTTTCGATTGGATCTCGACCAGAGTCTCAAGGAGAGGCTTTGGTCCCCGTCCCCCCCATGCCCATCTCCTCCGTGGATAGCCATGCACCATGACCATGTGCGCTATCCCCATCCCATCCTATCCCCCATCTCCATTTTATCTCCATGCAGTCCATGCTAACTAGGCTCTAGTCATCCGTCGTGCCTCCAAATTTCCAACCCTGGCTCCTGGATCCATCTGATAGCTAGGTTGTGATCGCATCGGTTCTCTTGCAGTTCCAGAAAAAGAAAACAGTTCTGGTCAGTACGCGGCCAGGCCTTTTTTCTTCTTGTCTTCCTTTTTCTCCCTCTCTGGCACTGGAATCTCTGTCGTTGGCACCTTGCGTCTACCCATCTACTTGGGCATGGCTGAATTTTCTCCGCTCTCTTAGCCTCTCGCGAAGCCTTTCACACTGTCGCTGTACATTCCCGTCATCTCTTTCACACTGTCCAGAAGTTGTTTCCCGGCGCTCAGCCTTTTTTCTCTCTCGCTCGTTCGGCCGCCACTCGCCTATCTTTTTTTCGGCCTTGTGAGCTCTCCCCGCCTGTTCCTCGATAGGTGTCATAGCCTTAGCGATTTGTCCGTCGCTTGGACTCCCTCGACTCCAGGATTAAACCTAGTCAAGAAGTCCTAAGCAAGCAAGCACTACGACTAAGCATTCGATCTTTGCGGCATCACCGAGCGGCATTGAACCGTGGCGCATGCTGTTTACGATCTACTCGGTTTCGTCTATCGTTACAGCACACGTCCTTGCGCTGATTGTGCCCTTTGCCCGAACAACCCCAGCCTATCAGCTGGCCGAGGTGCTGAGATAAAGTCAACGTCAATCTCGCCTCTGACCCCCCCGCCTTCTAGAAGGCCGAGAGCCCTGAAAAGGCCCCTATGCGAGGCTGATCAACAGCGAACTATCCGGTTTGGGTGTCGCATAAACCGCCTTCCTTAGTGACCGACCTCCCTGCTTGGCTTTGGTTTTGGCTTTGGCTTTGGGAGCTTGTGTGTTCTTGGCTCTTGGCTCTTGGCTTTTGGTCCGCCCAGTTGACAAGTGCAGACGGATACTGTAACTAACAACTACCTAACAACCTCCACTGGCGGGACCAGCTCAGCTGCAAATCACTGCTCTTGTCTGTCGTTCGTCTCTCCTCTCCTTGTCACCTTTCTCTTCTTCAAGCGAAAGCGAAGCGACATTGCGCAGTCCGCTCACCATTACTAGGAAGTGCTTGAACCGTCTCGACTGCGTTACGAGACATCTCCCCAACATCTCGGTTTTACACCCAGACAGAGAATGAGGTAAGCCATGCTGAGGTTTTCATCCTCTATTTTGCGCAACGCAACGCAGCCCAGAACAGCCCAGAACAGCACGGTAGGCGCCCGTGGATCGCCATGTATCGCGTCGCAACGTATCGCATCGCATGGCATCGTATTGCATGGCATTGATATCTACTGTGCTGTGTAGTAAATGCTTCCCTCCATCTTATCTTTTGTCGACCGTCCCCCGATAGCGACTCCGCTGCCACTTTACCTTACTTTCTTTCCCGGTGTCTCTCGGCTTGTGATCCACAGTCTCGCATCCGCGATACCGTCTCCATCTCTGAGCTCTTCCCTCCCCTTCCCTTTCCAGCCCCAGTCCCAGTTCCATTGCTCTCACTCCTGTGTCGTCGTCTCAAAGTTTAACCGCTACACACCCACTCCCTCTCACACCCCCATTGGCCTTGGGTTCACCCTCCTACCTTACATACATCTATGTACTCCATCCTTTAACCTCCCCCGTTTCCTTCCGCTTTCGCCTGCCGCTCGCTTCTCCTTGCATCTTCTGTTTCTTCACGCAGCAAGCATTTGGCGACCCTAATCCTGGCTCTGTCCATTTGTACATGACCTTTCTTGTCGACTAACCATCATGGCTACAGCTCATATGGCCGTCAGGACTGAGACGTTCCCGCATTCGACCTCCATCCCCCATAGCGAGTCAATGGGCGCTCGCATTATTCCTATACCTACTCCAACGATCAAGATGTCTCCTCCAAGTAACGGCGACCCGATGGAGATAACTTCACCTGCTCCATCTTCGAATGGCAACCACAACTCCGACTCCGAAACCAATGGCAAATCCAACGACCGACCCAAGAACTCCCCCGCCCCCGATTCACACGGTTCGAACAATCATGTCAATAACTCAAACAGCATGCCAGCACCTCCTCCGGCTGCCGCTGCTATACACCAGCCTAAAATCGTGCAGACAGCCTTCATTCACAAGCTCTACAAGTGGGATTGCGCTATCAAGTCTCCGCGAGAAAACCTTGCTAACAATGCGCTAGCATGCTGGAGGACCCCAATATTCAACACCTGATCTCGTGGTCGGCGAGTGCTGAGAGTTTCGTTATGTCGCCTTCAGCCGACTTCTCTAAAGTCTTATCGTGCGTCTAAAGCAATGAGAATTCTGGTCAACTAGCATGTTACTAATGTCCTTCAGTCAATATTTCAAACATACCAACATCTCATCATTTGTGAGACAGTTGAATATGTACGGCTTTCACAAAGGTAGGTACCAAAATCGTCAAAGAGACTGTTTGGAGTCGCATATACTAACCTCTGGATAGAACGCGATGTATTTCACACAGGAAATCCTGATACGACGCTCTGGGAGTTCAAGCACGGCAATGGCAACTTCAAGCGTGGAGACCTTGTAGGTCTGCGCGAGATCAAGCGAAGGGCCAGCAGACATGCTCTCGTGCATCGTGAGAGTAATTACACAAAGCCTGTTACATCTCAACCAGGCACTCCGGCCGAGCTTGTGCCTCCTCCGCCAGAAAGCGCCGATGCCAGACTTCTTAACATCGAGCACACCCTCTTTGATTTGAGCAATCGCTTGCAGAGGAGTGAAGAGGCAGCTCACTATATGCATGTTAAGAACCAGGCTGCTATGGATACCGTGAACCGACTTCTCCAATTCAACCAGGAGCTCTCCAGGACTATGCTTTCTCTTGTTCCTGCCGAGAGCCCCATCTCCCGTGATGGTGTGTATTATCGTTGCATGAAAGTGTCGGCAATCGCTAACATCAACGTCAGTAATTGCGTTACAGGGTGAGCTCCAAAGGCAAGCTGATGTGCTTCGAACGATCGATGAGCCACCACAGGAACCCCCTTACACTGGTCGACAGCAGTACTTCGCCGGTGTCGAGAATGCCCCGGTGTCACCCAGACAACTCGCTCAGGACGACCAGAGACGAGCTCCTACTCTGGGCGTCCCTCCAGCACGCGGCCAGAACTTCTACAAGCCACCGGTTCCTTCGAATCTGTCAAACAGCACCAGGAGACCATATGGATCGATCAGTGGTAGCAGCCCTACTCAGTCGTCCCCGTTGCGCGCAGGCCCACCGCCTCCACCGCCTGCTCCTCACCCTCTGTCCAATGTCGAAACCGTTCCTGGCCCTGGCAGTCTAGCACGCCGTCACACAGCTGCTGATATTCGTGCTCACGGCTGGCAACCCACACCCTCTCCTTTCAGTTCCGGCGCGCCTTCCGGTGCTTGGCCACCCTCGCCTAGCCGGGCAGCCCCCGATGAGCAGCGTATTCGGGATTCTTTGTCAACATACTCGCTACAGACAGCGTCTCAAACACATCCTCAGTCACGCCCAACGACTCCTCCTCCACCCTTTGTAAACGGCATTGGTGGCTCGGACACGTTTGGAGGCTGGTCATGGGGTTCCGCTGGTCGCGAGAATAAGAATCTTGCTTTGAAAGACCACTCAGCCCCCATATCCCGACGGGGAAGCATGGCGCATATTCTCAACCCCAGTGATACCGCCGAGAGGTCAGACGAAGACGAAGATCCTCGAGGAGACGATGACAGGAAGCGAAAGCGAATGCAATAAATGTCTCTCCATTGACAAAAAGCTACGACATAATTAGACCGGTTTAACTGGAAGATTCCCTTTATTCTAATTGGACAGGACAGCTGTTTTTACAGACAACGTACCTGTACATATACATACACGGATTTTGTACATGGGTATCCTTTCCCCTACGGCATTGTATTACGCCATATATGTATTTGGATTTCATGGCGAGAAGAGCCTACCTCGGAGTACAGGATTTGGGTGGGCAAGAAGATCGCCGCGGAGGCTTTCTTCATTTCCAGAGCGAAGCATTGCAGGATACCCTGGCAGGCATTTTGTTTAACCATATGAGATGTATTCGTCCTTAACGACAGAGTATAAGTTCATTTCGGTAGACTCGAGAGATGGATATCGTCTTTTGAGAGGAGTTGCATAGTTGGTATGGGGTATATTACCTGGAAGCTGTTTCGATCCGTGGGACAAGGTGTTTTGATAATGGCAAACATCGATATGTCACCTTGGACAAGCGCTTGGTTGAAATAAAATACTTTTCCAATAGTAATTCCGTCTCTTTTCAATGCACCTTGATTATATCATGAAGAATGTTGTTGGCTGACCTGACTAGCAACTGCCTTGGGTATCTTGGTATAAATTGTCTATATGTTCTCATGCCGCTGCCTCCCCAATATTGGTCTGCTGCTTCTTCTTTTTCTTGTTCTTTCTTTTGCGCTTCTTGTCTATCGCTTCTTTTCCTTTATCAGTGTCCTCTCCCTTAGTGACGCCGTCCTCCATGATGATATCTTCCACGGCTTCACCTCCAGCTTCATTCTTTTCCTCATCTTCAGCTGGCTCTGTAGGCACATGCTGGACCCTAGATTCGGGTTCGGGTTCCGCCACGGGCTCTTGGTTAATCTCCTTTTCCTTTCGCGGCCTTTTCCTTTTGCCTAACGCACTCCTACCGGCGTCTTCCTCACTCTCGCTCTCATCCACCTTCTTCTTTACCTTGCCGGTACCTCCCTTGGCCATTCTACCCCGCAGCATTCTCTCCACTTTGGCATTGGCGAATTTCTGTTTATCTTTCTCCTCGGGGACATAGCCAACTCCGTCGTTTGGGCGTGCGGTGCCGCGTGTGAGGTCATCGTCGTTGTCGTCGGGGATGACCCGGCGTTTGGTGGTCGTGGGGCGGCTGAGGCTCATGTTCTTTAGAACGGAGGATCGCGAGGCGATTAGGAGAGAGAGTTTGTTTGATAGGGTCGCATGGTTGGCGGCGACGGGTAGAGGAGGAGGGGGTTCGGGAGCCATTGAGACTTGTTTCGCGATATCGTGGCGGTGTTTATGTGTACGTCAAAACAAAAGATTGAGATAAAAACATTCGGCTGTTTGAGAACGCGATAATTGAGAGTCAATGGAGAAGCTTTGTGGTCTTGATATAAAATGGTGATGTTTCGGTTTGGTGGATAGACTTTCGCTGAAGAATTTCACATGCGACAGAAGGCGGGTGCTTATCTTATCAGCCATGACAAGGCGCATGCCTGAGCAGCACCGTAAAAGATGCAAGGTGAATGATTCTCAGCAGAAAGGCCATAAACATGAGGAAGTGTTTGATTTGGGGTTGGAATATTTGATTCGATTGTTCTTTAAAATATATACATGAATTGATTAGGATTAAGGAAACAAGACAATATCTATCCGCATTCCGCTGCAGTATTTTAAGTCGTGAAGTCGTAAACATGAAGCAGCTACGCTGCGTGATTGTGTTGTTCTTTGGAACGGGGCATTAATAACTACCCGACGTATCTCTTAAAGTAAGCACGTAGGGTAAGTCTGTAGAGTCGTGCCGTGTGGCCAGCCGAATGACAGATCCCGAACTGCCTGAGCTGCCTGATGATTTTGATCGAAGACTTAAGGACGACGGCTGCCTCATTGGATAATGACGCCGGATTCCACTAGCAAAGCTATTGTTGCTAGAAATCTGTGACATAGGCCTTTGCCCAGATATACCACTCCTCATGCTATTAGGGGCAGTCTGATAGACGTTCCAGGTATTTGTTGAGGGTTGATGTCGCACTCGCCGAGTGGAGCTGTTAATGCTGCCAGTATCGAAAGGCATCAAGTTACTGCGAGCAGTGCTAATACCCGATCTCGCATCATCATCATCGCCGTTGGTGGAGGGTGAAGACGCATCGTCTTGATCAGCGTCAAGAACATCAGGGTCCAGGGGCTCCATGGTGCGAAGGATCTGAGCGAAAAGATGCATAAGCTCCTTGAACTGAGCACTAGAGATGGGTCGATTAGAGAAGCGGGCGTATTCGTAGTGGGAAAGAAATTTGAGGGTGGTTGCGTCCATCTCTATAACCCCTAAATCGGCGAGATGGACTACGTAGTCGCGTAGGCTCATATTGGCCGTCCGCTGAAGAAGGGCAACTGCTTCGGCGTCGAGTAAGGGAGGATTCGTCTCAGAGGTTGGATCAGGAGGCGCAAGTGTTAAAGCTTTGCCCTCGATTAGATTAGGTAGCTCGGAGAAGACGGTGGTGTATTCGAGATTCGGCAAATCCGGAGCATTTGGTGACGACCAGCCATAGTGTTCGATGTCACCCCATACTGGTTTTCGACTAGGTATTATCACCACCAATTCCTCTGCTGGACCTCCGGGGCCGTCGAACCCCAATCTGACTTTTGTTTCGACAGTTTCGTCATCCGGCGTCGCGTCGTCTGTTCGAAGCCTGGGGCGTGCTTCGTATGCGATAGATGCGCTGCGACCAAGACCTAGTCCAATAACCTTATACACAGCCGAGCGAAGATCACCCTTTTCAACAGGGACCCATCCTTTCGGTATCGAATCAAGGTCGGTCTTATTCAGCCAAAGACGGGTGACGAAGACGAAGGTCACGACAACGATGGCGAGGACGTAGGCGGCGGTGATGATCCAGATATTGTATTGCTGTTTATTTTGGAACGAGCGATGTATGGCGTCGGCGGGAGTAGCTATCAGCAGTCCGAGAAGACAGACGTATAGAAGAAGGTAGAGTGTTCGGTAGACGATGGAGGCGACGAGTCGTCGACGAGACACGGGAGACGCCATTATACTTGTCCATGAGCATAAGAAAGCCGCAGTCGAAATGCGATGCGCCGCGGTGCAATCAAAGGCCGCTATGACCGGAATAGTGAGTATAAGAAAGGGATGAAGAAATGAACATGACTGAGTAAAAAAATAGTTGAATGAGTGAAAGAATGGCGCTATAGTGAGTGAAGTGGTGTCACTGTAGTTGTTGAGGGGGTTGGGTGAATGTGAATGGCATGCCCAAAAGGCGGACGATTGATCGAGTGATTGATGTAACCAACCTTAACTTGGACAGAAAGAGGCTGGCTTTGCTGAGATCTTTAATTAGACTACTGTGTGTAATATGCGCGGACACGGTGCTTCAAAACGTTGCAGTGACGGCCCCACCATTTCCGGTCACTCTAATTACACTTCACCTCTCTTGAGTATGCGAACCATCCTCTTATATGGCTAAATAATAATCAGTTTTCTCAGTTGCAAGTTATTACAATGGTATCATAATACATTAATATCCTATCCCCAATAATCTTTCCTTATAGAACCTTCTTTTTCCCAATTTCTATCGTGCAACCTCTGCCATTTCGTCTTTCTTCGTGTCTGCGCAAGCCTCATTGGCTAAGCGCATATCACTGAGCGTCAATCTAAGATCGCTGCTATAAGGCTCAAACTTGGCAAGCACCTGTTGCAGGGCTACTTTCAAGGCATCTATAACCTTTTCCACCTCGGGGCTCACCCTCTTGCCTGAGACGTCGGTCCAGTGCAAGGGGAACTCGAGACGGAATGCCTCCAACTTCTTAATGACCATTGTGAAAGTGCGGATGATGCTTGGCACATCTCTGTGCACATTACCGAACTGATCTTCCGCCAGACTATGCACCGAGAGATGGTGAAGCACGTGGATAGCATTGATGCAAAGTGTAGGCTCAGCATATGGGGTACCCAACACCGCAGCGGCAAACTGAGTTCGGAAGTCTTGTTGAAACAGAGCAGCAACAGCGTCCACCTCCATCATTTGGAGCGTCCAATGCTCGAACTGACCCTTGAGGTGATCGGGAGCGACGAGTTCTTGTTGTTCCTTCGTCAAAACCCGATCCTTGGCTTCCTTCCAGGTCTTTTTCGCGATCGGGCTTAGCTTCGAGGCAGGAGACTCGCCGGGAGATCGCGCAACCTGACTTAATCGCTTCTCGACCTCGCTTCGCATCGTCCGGGGAGCTGCTCGGCTGTTGAAGATGGGGTCATCTCTGAGGGGGGCAGACACTCGTTGTTTGGGTTCCGCGGCGGGGGCAGCAGGAGGCGCCTCAGGAGCCTTGCCGTATGTATCCACTCGTGTCTCAATAGATTTGACCACGTCCATACAGATAGCATATACCTGGGACCACATTGGTCCATCCTTGCGATCGATGTCTTCAAAGATAGCTTGTCGACGAGTGTCAAAGCCTTGTGCGATATATGCGAGCTCCCACATGGCAAATGCCTAGATACGATTAGAACAACAACACAAGTAGTGCCCGTGCGGATTAAAACTCACCTTGATAGAGAGCTTCTTGCTTTTGAGACCATTCAAGAGACTGCCATTCGGGTCCTTAGATTCAGAGGTAAGAGGCTTGCCGTTCTTCAGGGGCTCTTTGACCATGAAAGTCGAGAAAGCCAAGTTACCAATGTTCCAAATCAGGTGAACAAAAGTTCCAGCCTCAACACAACGGAAGAGAAGCCAAAGATCACTCGGCCAACTAGGCGGGAGCATATTGGTTTTTGGCAAGTTGTAGAAAATGCGCAAGAACATGAGCGCCCATCCCCAAATGAATGATCGCAGAATGGCGTAATATAGAATCAACGCGACAGGCAGCGCACTAGCGGCGCCCGCGACAGAGTCACTAAAAGTGTGCGGGATCGCAAAGTAGACCAGCTTCAACGCGTCGGGTTGTTTGTCATTCTTGCCCTTTGACAGACCCAAGACCAGACGATCGGTATCCTTTCGGTAGTGGTTGAAAGTTTGCGTGATAGCACAAGAGACCATATAAGCGAGCAAGAAAAGGGGCCTTTCATTCAGCCTGGCTCGGTCTCCGCTGAAGTAAGTGACCCAAGATAGGTTGGCCTTCGTAGGCATCACCCAAAGGAAAACATGGCTGAAGAGCAAGCTTGAGAAGCCATACCAAAAGAAGGTCTCGTATGTCTGAAGCCGAGTAATGGTGCTGCGGAAGGTTTGGAAGCCGGAGCCAGTAGTTCGTAGACCAACGTGGTAGTTGGCTATTCGCAGAACGACGATCGCAAGGCCACAGGTGAAGATGAAGGCGGTTCGTACGCCGGCAGGACCGATAGGGAACCAAGCCCAAAAGTCTAAGAGAGCTTCAGTTAGTGAGGCGCAGATGGAAGTTCAAAGATGTTGAACTAACAAGATTTCCAACCGTCCAAGACGATAGCTTGTAGATAGGACAGTATAAGCAAAACAGTGGCTGTCGAGGTGAATCGTCTGTGTAGCGCTGGCTGAAGAAAATCCTTATAAGGCGCTCTTCTAACTGTCGTGGCCGCCATCTTCGCAGCGCATCCCCGGGATGAAGAAGAGCCTGGGAGGTAGTTTTGCGATTGTGTCGACGGGAGGTGAAAGACAGGTACCTAGCAATGGAACCTCTAAGCTTAATCCAAGTAAATAAAAATCTCCAACCAGCAACCAATTCATTGACGCTAACGGCGCAAGGTCCAAGCTCCGTCATATCAGTCACGTGTTGATAGCCAAGGTCCAGCCCCGCTCTGGTTGGCTAGATTGACTCTCATGCCCGATTACGTATGTTTGCAGGGTGCTCTAACTTGATACCTTCAGCCACCCTCTAATAAGGCAGCCAGGTGACTTTAACTTGACGCTTGCTTGCGCATCCGAATCCGTATTTTATCTCAACCAAGCTAGCTACCTGTTTTATTGATAATCTCGCGCATCCGACTTCCAATTGGCAACTTTAAAAATCGCTGCCATGTCGTATGATCAGCTCTCAAACCTCGAATCCGGTCGCCGCGGAGGTTACAGCGATGACCCAGCTTTCCAAGAACTACAATACGATCTCAAGAGTAAGCTTCAGACGCTTCTCAGCAGCAACAGAAAACTTGCCAACGATGTCAACGTATTGGGATCACGAAAGGACACCCCGCGCCTGCGGGAGCGAGTTCATAACAGCATGGACAAGACGAGGGACATGTGCAAGGAGATTGCCGAGGGCGTGAAGAAGCTTCAGACGTGGGAGGAATTGACCGTATGTCTTATGCATCCCGATCCAACTGTCGCATACTAAATCCGTCTAGAAGCAACAAAAGTACGAACAAACAAAGGTCTCGAGCGACTTCCAAGCTGCCCTCCAAGAATTCCAAGGTCTTCAGCGACGAGCCCTCGAAAAAGAGCGCGCATCCGTTACCGCCGCCCGTGCGGCACAGGAGGGTGATTCCGCCGAGGGCGCTCAACCCGATACCCAGTTGGAGCAACTGCAACAACAGGAGCAACCCATTCAACTCGCACCCCAGGACGAGGTCGACTTTCAAGAAGCGCTCATTATCGAGCGCGAGGAGGAGATTCGCAACATTGAGCAAGGTGTTGGCGATCTGAACGTCCTTTTCAGACAAGTTGCGCAAATCGTCAACGAGCAGGGAGAACAGCTTGGAACGATTGCAGACAACGTGGAGAATGTCCGCGACGACACCCGGCAAGCTGACGTCGAGAATCGACAGGCCGCGCGGTATCAGAAGGCAGCCCGAAACAAGAGCTGTTGCCTGCTGCTCATCCTTGCCGTTATTCTGACAATTGTCATCCTGGCCGTTGTCCTTGACTAGATTTATTAGAGCGCAGCGTGATGATAATGGGTGGCCTCTCTTGCTTTAAGGCGTCTATCGGAGTTTTCTAGGTATACATTGTCTCTAAGAGTACACATTGATAGTTACAGATGAAAGATTAATCGAATTTGCTTTTTTGTCAGGCTTCCTTTAATTTTGTGACTTGTTTCGTAATCACGAACGGGAATTCTTTCTGAGGCTTGGGTGCCATCAGGGTCCCGGGTTTTGATTGAACAAAACGTTTCAGGAACGTCTCGTTGACGCGAGTGAGAGCGAACGATGTACCCCAGTAGAGAAAGATGGCGCTTGGTAGATCAGCAAAAAGAAGCGGCAATATGGGCATCATGAGCATTGCTCTGCCGAAGAGCTGTTGTAGCCTGGTCATGACGATATGACTGTTCTCGTCAGGTTGGATTTTCAGCAATGCTTGGAGCTGCTCTTTAGGCATCCTGCCCCAAGTGCTCCATATCAAAATGCCCGAGCAGGCGATGGGCAGGCCGTAATAAGGATCCGCCGAAGCCAAGTCAGTGAACCACAACAAGCCTCCGTTGGTCAAAGACTCGTCGAACATGCCGCTCGCAGCTCCAATGCCAGCAGTTGCTGGATCCGTATTGCCTAGACCGATTTGGTGGCTGATCCAACCCAGAGGTGCACCACATTTGCGCCGTATAGCCTCGGAGATGGTAACAAAAGGAACAATTCCGAGTAGAGGTGCCAGTCTTTTCCAACGCTGAACGCCCCAGGTTTTGTAGATCCTCCGTCTTGACTTCTCAACGGCGCCTGCTAGACGGAGTTTCCTTATTCGCTCCGGCAGGCTGAGGTCGTTCAGGCTCCGATCAGTAGCATGACGCCGTGACCATGCCACGACAAGAGGATTTAGCGGTGTTTGAGCCTCTTTCAAACGAGCACTGTAGAGCTGGAGAGGAAATCGAATGGTTGCGTTGACGCCTATGGCAAGCAGTGGGATGGCCACATACCACGGCATGCCTACACTATGGACCCAGCTGAGGCTATCGGCGGTCATGGTGACTGTTTCACCGAGTGCTGAAGCGACAGAGAAGTTCCTTCGGCCAGCCCATGGCGACTGTATTGTTGAATTTGAGATGACTGGATGTGAAATAACATTTGCGCGGCGTGTGGCATTGGCGGCTGGGAGAAAGGGTCTAGTATGAGGCGATAAAGAGCATGCAGTTCGTCTGAGGAGAGACATCTTGACCCATGTCTTTGCGAGGGCGTATGTAATTGAACTTTTGGATGTGAAGTGAGTGAGGTTGTTGAAAGTCAATGAGATGAAGTTGGACTGGGGCTATTTTTCTTAATACACAACCAATCAGAGCTTGCCATCCAACCATACAATACCTGGCTATGGGCTATGGATAGTCATGATAGGAGTCAAATTATGACCACAGGCAAACAGAATAAACAAATATAATATTAGAATGCATGTAACTTGTTGCCTCTCTTATGCTTGGGAGCCTAGGTAAATTTGAGCGACGAGTGGTTCTTTGATACCATAATCCAGATTCACGACTTTCTACCTACCAATCTGGATGGCATAAGATTAGTATCTTTATCGACTTGCTAAAATAACTAGGGCCGTAATTTGAATTATTTTTGTATGCGAGGTAAGGCTAGAATGTTCAATATCTTTTTGACCTAAAAGGACAACACACATCTTGAGTTTAAAGTTTGCTTTCACCATGAAGACGTGGCCATATGATGGAGCAAGAACGTCTTGATAAGCGAGGGCAGTACAAGCTTACTTGACAACCAAAGCATTGAAATAATACAACCACCTCAGATGATCAGGTAGATAATCAGGTAATGATGATCCAGAACGCTCTTATCTCTTTGTATGCTGTGCTCCGTACCTAGTAGGTACCTAGTTCACGTTAAATATCCATTCTCCGAGGGCACCGGTAGGCTACCGAATTAAGGGTCTAGTGACCAGGATCAGGAGGATGGGTAGGTCATTAATGGAAGTCTCTGAACCCCTGTAGCTTGCGCAGCTGCAGTGGATCTTGCGGAAGGGGCAGCTTATTAGGTACGTAGTATCCGTACGGATAGAGCTTGCTGCTTTCCATGTTTGAGCGAAAGCTTAGCTTTATCTGTGGTTGATGCCTATCCTATCCCCCACCAACTTTTTGACAACTGCCCTGGCCAGACGTCACCTTACACTACCTAACATTCATTCGTTTCTACCACTCGTTTATGATAACCTTCTGCTACAAAAAGTAGCCAGCCTCGCATTCGAGGTCATATATTTACTGGCAATCGCTACGCGGTATCCGTAGACACGACATCGTCTATTCGTCGTCCCGTAGACATCCCGACTCTTCCGTCCCCTGATCACGAACCACACCTCCCACGATGCCGTCCTTGGCGGCGCTTGTGCCGCTGGCCATTCTGATCGCTTTGCCCTTACTAGGCAAGCTACTCCGACAGTTTTTAGGATGGTCACTTCGAAAACGAACAGAGGGCCGCCGCGCCCATCTTATAGATCTCATGACAGAGGAGGATAGGGTTGCCCGGGCCCAAGATCCTCGAGGCAGCGCCGAGACCAAACTCGTGTTCGACGTGGACGATAATCTCCAAAATACTCTGAATTCTCAAAAGGACTGGGCTGGCATTGTTGGGTTCTTCCATCCGTTCTGGTACGTTATGGTGGGAGTTATCATGGGACCTGGCTAATATGCCAAAAAGCAACGCTGGAGGCGGTGGAGAGCGAGTCCTCTGGGCTGCTATCCGTGCCACGCAAGATCGCTGGCCGAAAGCCAAATGTATTGTGTACACGGGCGATCATGATGTAACCAAGGACGCTATCCTATCTCGAGTCAAGGTACATTCGGCTATAGGATCAGATTTGAGGCCATGAAATGCTTACACCGTGATTAGACCAGATTCAACATTGAGCTCCACGCTCCTACGATAACATTTCTCTATCTCTCCAAGCGGGATTGGGTCCTTCCCTCCACATGGCCTCACTTCACACTGATCGGCCAGTCGCTTGGCTCTCTCATTCTGGCTTGGGACGCTTTCTCGCTAGTTGTCCCTGACATCTTTATCGACACGATGGGCTATGCATTTGCTCTCGGATTATGCAAGCTACTCTTCCCCAAGGTTCCAACAGGGGCGTATGTGCATTATCCCACGATTTCTACCGACATGCTCGAGTCTCTCGAAGGAACCCAAGGCGCACATGCTGGAAAGGGCGCCGGAGCTCAAGGTTTCGCCAAGAAGAATTACTGGAAGCTTTTTGCCATCCTCTACTCCTGGGTTGGATCATCGGTTGATATCGTCATGACCAATTCGACTTGGACTCAAGGCCATATCAAGACCTTATGGGACCCATATCGTAGGCAGAAGAGCAAGACGGATCCGATTGTAGTTGTGTACCCTCCCACAGCCGTGCGTGAAATGGAGCAAGAAGTCGAAGTCTCCGAAGAGAGCGAGAAGCGACGAGAAAAGGCTATTGTCTATCTTGCACAGTTCCGACCTGAGAAGAATCATCAGCTCATATTGCGTTCCTTTGCTACCTTCGTCCAGACAAAGAGCGAAGCGTCCAAGGGTTCAAATCTGATTCTCATTGGCAGTGTGCGTGATGACTCTGATGCGAAGCGTGTCTACCAGTTGCGACTTCTTGCTCATGAGCTGGGCATCAAAGACCTTGTCAAGTTTCACATTGATGCTCCCTGGTCGGAGGTTCTGGACTGGCTGAGGAGGGCATCGGTGGGCGTCAATGGCATGTGGAATGAGCATTTTGGAATTGGCGTCGTTGAGTATCAGGCTGCTGGACTCATTTCTGTCGTCCACGATAGTGCCGGTCCCAAACTCGATATCGTTGTGCCAATCGACGGCCAACCTACTGGTAAGTTGGCGCATGTTAAGACTCAAGGCGGGCATTTAGCTAATACACTCAAAGGTTTCCACGCGACAACAGAAGAAGAGTTTGCCGAAGGTTACGAGAAGGCCTTGTCGTTACCGGATCCTTTGGGGGTTCGACTACGAGCTCGCGAGTCGGCCAAGAGGTTCACCGAGGAGGAGTTTGCAAAGAAGTGGACGGTTCAGGTGGCACGTTTGGTGTCACTAGTGAGACGAGAAACGTAAACTTGCTATAGAAGATCTCAAGGATACCCCATTTTCTATTACATTTAGCGGAAAAGAAGACAGAATAGAGTGATTGATATTAAGCGCAAAGCCTGAGTACATACAATCATGCTGTTCTAATCACTACATATCTGTGGAAGGATTTGAATGCCCGACCAGGCAAGACAACCATAAAATATTCAAACCTTTATCGTCTATACTCTGCTCTAAAGTGTTACACCTCCGCTATTCTTCTGCCTTGGCTCAGCGGCAACCTCAAAAACACCGTCTGAATTCCTTGTCAACGCCTGCACCGAGCTCAACCCCTCGTCGACCCAAGTGATATTATGACCCCGTTCTTTCAGCGATGGAACATCATACTGGCTGAACTTCTTTTCCACGAGCAAGACATTGGGCAAGAGCTGGTTATGCACACGAGGCTCGCGAACGGCGTCTTTGATGGACCAGGATGGGGAAGTAAGAACACGCCAGGCAACCTGCGTTGTGGCCGAGATGATACGCGATCCTCCCGCGGCGCCAATTACGGCAAAGAGAGAATTATTCTTGTCAGAGACTATGAGGGGTGTGCAAGATGATAGGGGGCGCTTGTTTGGGCGGATGAAGTTTGCTTCTGCTGGGGCGAAGCCGAATTCGTTGGGAACACCCGGGATGGAGAAATCGTTCATCTCGTTGTTCCTGGGAACGTTAGCTAAGAACTATTGAGTGGGGTGGATTTGTTGATAGACTTACAGAATTACTCCAGTGAGATTATCCATGAGAAAGGATCCAAAGATGAGGTTGACGGTGGTGGTCAACGAAACCGCCATGCCATCGCCGTCCGCAGTGACTATGTGCGAAGTACCATGTCCATTAGACGAGTAAATACCATTAGGATCGTACTTTTTGAGATCCTGAGTATTCCGAGGGTCGATCTTGTTGCGGATTTTCTCGGCAGTTGTGAGATTGAGCATCTCATGTTCCAGCTCAGGTACACCTTCAACAAAATCAGGATCGCCAAGGCGCAGACGGGCGCCGTAGGCAAACTTCATGGCTTCGATATAGATGTGAAGCGTGGTGTTTCGGTCTTCATCCTGATGAGTGTAACCGTTCATGGTATTCAGAATGTTGAGTGAAACGGCGCCTCCAGCTGGAGAGCTGATGCCGTAGACATTGTAGCCCTTGTACTCGGTTTGGAGAACCTCGCGAGAGATGGCTTCATAGTTCTTGTAGTCATCTAGGGTGATTGTGCCGTTTGAGTCTTGGATAGTTTTGACCATGCTCTCCGCTGTGCTCTGTTAGCCTTTGCTTAATGATGGACTTGGGGGACTTACCAAAAGGACCAGTATAGAACACATCGGCGCCATGGTCTGCAATGGCTTGAAGGGTTCTGACTTTATTAGTCACATTGACTCCTGGTGGCTGATTATAACTCACTGTGCATATCGACGCCTTGTCATCTTGTCTCCCTCAGCAATGAGTTGTCCTTCTTTATGTCAGTGTAGGCCTCGCAGATGGGGGTTTGGTGACATGACATACCATTTTTGGTGAAATCTTCTGCCCATGATGGATCTTCAACAAAGAAGTTATGATGATTTTTGACCGTCTTTTCCACGAATCTTGCCATATCGGCGTTAACTATCATTTGTCAGCGAATGCGTCTCATACACGCTTAAAAAAGCTAACCTATGAAGCCATCATGAGCAACCTTGATAGCTCCTTGGAGGACGGTCTTCCACGGGAGACTCTGCGGCTTTGTTAGTTTGAGACAAGTATAAAGTGATTGTAGTTCATACGCCATATTTCTTGTGTGCATACTCGAAGCCGCGGACTTCCCCAGGCACGCCTACAGATAACCCTCCGTAGATGCTTCCATTGACGTTTCCCTGGTACATGTCCTCATATGCTGCCGCAGGGGCTGATTCTCTGAAGTCGATGGCTTCGTAGTTACCCTCCTTGTCACGGACGAGCATAAAGCCACCGCCTCCAATTCCAGAGTGATACATGCCGATAACACCGACACAGAATGTCGTTCCAATCATGGCATCGACAGCATTGCCCTGAGAACCTGGTAAGCGCTTAATCTGAAAGAATGATGAGAGATACGTACACCTCTTGCTAGTAGATCTCTCCCGATGTAGCTGCACTCTTGAGCCTCTGATGCGACGGCTCCTTTTCTGCCACTCTCAGAAGAAAAGAACTCCTCAAATATAGGGTTGGCTGACAACAAACCATAGTGGATGCTAGATGCGAATAACAAAGATGGGAGTTTCATGTTGCCCTTCGCAAAGACTAGCTAGCTACCTAGCTAATGCGTCCGTGTAGACAGGTCCCTTGTTGGCGTTTTTGTGGTTTACACTGAGATGGCTGAATCTTTTGTCTGTTGCAAGCAGGAATTTTCCAACTGTAAAGCTAGTAAGTAGGGATGATGAGAGAAGATATTTCCCAAAAAAAGACCGTCTTATCCCTTTTCACAGTAGAAAAAGACGCGAACTGTTGACGTGATAAGAAGACGATGGCGCCAGAGGCCGATGGTCGGAATAGCCCCGGTAGATGCATGGCCACTGGCTCGTGAGGCGATCACCTGCCGCTCTAGGCAATTGGGGAACCAATCAATTATCACGATAACGATAGTAACTACTGTAAATGGTTCTATAGGAGTAGAAACTTTAAACTCTTGGAAATATGTACTTTAGAGTACTACTCCATAGCTGAATATTTTCTTATTGATATTAGAATAGAAAAGAGGTGGTTATAAATACAAATCCCATTAACATCTAGTACCTATAACAGACACTCAGCCAATCAGACACTGCTTAAAAAAGCAGACATGCAGGACCCACCCTCCCCGAAATCCAAGTGGGGCACCTGCAAGAAACATTTCTTCGTCTCATTCTACATGTTTAAAAGAAATCCTTCCCAAAGACTCACAAACTTATCCTCAAAATCTCACTTTAATCACTCAACAAGTGATTGCTCTGAACAACCTGTTCATGAGACGTCTGAGGCTTCCCTCTTTGGCAACAACCTTCATTCACCCGCGCCCATCTCATTTCCGTCCCTTCACAGTTATGGCGAGCACACAACCAGAAGCCGTGCCAAATGGCAACTCTCAGCAACTCAACAAGAGGCCAAACCAGCAGAGCAATCGCCAATGGAAGCAAAAGAAGACCAAGAGAGAAAAGAACATCACTGAGGGGTCGTCCGAGGAAGTCCTCAAGTACGATATTGAAGCCCTGCTTAAGGAACGGGCTATTGAGTATGGCGAGGGAACAGAGCATGGACCGGAAGTTCTCCCTGAAGAGGGCACTGAGACAGATGTTGAGGTTCTGGAACTCTCGTCAACAGGAGAGGGCCTTGCTATGAAAGCTGGCTCAAACCAGGTCTATGTCGTATCTTTCACGGTGCCTGGCGACACCGCAAGAGTCAAGGTCTTCCGCCATCTTCCTCGTGGCAACCAAACCCTCGCCGACTTCATCTCAATTACAAAACCCTCTCCTCTACGCGACGACGCCCGCATCAGCTGCAAGTACTTCGCCTCCTGTGGCGGCTGCCAGTTCCAGATGCTTGAGTACCCCGAGCAGCTCAAGCTCAAGAAGCGCATTGTCGAAAAGGCTTTCAAGAACTTCTCTAACCTCGATCCCAACATCGTCCCCGCTGTTCAGGACACTATGGGTAGCCCCTTGCAGTACAGCTACCGCACCAAGCTGACGCCTCACTTCGACGGACCTCCTGGATTCCGCCCTAGCAAGAGGGGAAAGAACCCTAGAATCCCCTTTGAGAAGTGCCCTGATATTGGATTCATGCAAAAGGGTCGCCGGAAGGTTCTTGACATTGAGGATTGCCCTATTGGAACCAATGCTGTGCGTCTTGGTATGACCCGCGAGCGCGAGCGCATGCAGAAGGAGTTCGCGAACTACCAACGCGGTGCTACGATTCTGCTCCGCGAAGACACTAAGCGTGTGCCCAAAGACAGCGAAGAAGCCAGTAGCAATACACCCCCTTACACTGTTCGTGTCGATAACGAAGATACGGTCGACATCAAGTCCTGCATCACCGACTCCAAGGCCACCACAACCGAATACATCGGTCCTTACACTTTCACCAACCCAGCAGGCTCTTTCTTCCAAAACAACAACTCTATCCTTCCATCATTTACCAGTTTCGTCCGCGACAACATCCTCCCACCCGCTGGTACGGGCATGGATATCAGGTACCTCATTGACGCTTACTCGGGCTCCGGTCTCTTCACTGTCACTCTCGCCTCGCTCTTCCAGCACTCGATCGGCATTGACATTGCCGCTGACTCTATCGCCTATGCAAGCCGCAATGCCGCCCTGAATGGCATGGGCGAGGATCGCTGCAAGTTCATCGCCGCCGATGCTGGTGAACTCTTCAAGAGCGTTACATACAACCGCGACGAAACCGTCGTTGTTCTCGACCCGCCCCGCAAGGGTTGCGATGCCGATTTCCTGAACCAGCTACGTAAATTTGGGCCTCGACGAGTACTGTATGTCAGCTGTAACGTGCATACACAAGCTAGAGATGTTGGCGTCCTGGTGCGCGGCGAAGGAGAGGGAGAGAGGTACGGGATTGAGAGCCTTCGGGGTTTTGATTTCTTCCCCCAGACAGGTCACGTAGAGGGCGTTGCGATTCTCAACAGGGTTGATACCAAGGCATAAAAGTGCACGGCGTTTGTTTAGTTTGGTTAAGAGGGGAAAACATGATAGATTTCATTGCCATAGTCATAATCATTGTGAACGTGGAAACCCGCTGCCTCATTCCCCTGTCTGAAAGGAAATGCCAATCTGCGCCACCTGGTTACCAGCAAATAATACGTGTTTCTTCATTCTTCATTCTTCGTTCTCACTCATGATGTATCGCCCAACAGAGCCTTCAGAGTCTGGACTGTCATCTCGACGACTTCAGGTCTTCGACTCTTCTTGGCACATTCTGTCAAAGCTTCAACGCCATCCTCGCTCTTGACCTTTTCCCGAGCCAGCTCACCTACTTCACCCTCGGCAGTAACTAGGTTAAGTACCACGAACACGCCGCGATGACGGATGTCCTCATCATCATCCATGCACAGTCCAAGAATAACCTTGACACCGCGGTCGCGGTTGATAATGCCTCGGATAACGCCTTCGAAATTGGTGAGTGAGGCCAAAGCACCACCAGCGGCACTGCGAGTTCCAACATCAGGGGCATCAGCGAGCGCAAGAAGGACGTGAAGGCGGTTTCGGGCCTTGGCGGTCTCTTCAGCGTAGAGCGCGATAGCTTCCGGTGCCTGCACAAGATTGCAGACAAGCTCAACGGCAGCCTTGGAGACAAGGGTATTGGAAGCGAGCATCTGCTCCTCGATTTGTGGCCATGCGGTGTCGACGATGCTACGTCTCAAATCCTCGTCGTCCATAGAAGCAAGATTAGTCAACGCCATCAGCGCCTCAAAGGATGGTAGGAGGTCTCGTGTCTGAGCAGCTGGGTCGGGAGGAATGATAGACACAAGCGGTCTGACAGCAGCACTGATAGGGATGGAGCGGTTGCCGCCAAAAACCAGCGCAGGGTTAGTGCTGATGAGGATACGGGCAAGAGCCTGTGCAGCAAGACGGCGTGCGGGGGCTTCGGTCTGAGGTAGCGACATCCATGATACCAGGAGAAGCTTTACAGCTCCTTGCTGAGAAAGTTGGCCACGCAGAGACTTGGTGACAGACAGGGAAAAGATGATGGAGACGACCAGTGCCAGAGACGCAGGCGAGCCATTCTTACTGTGGGTGACAAGAACTGGGGTGATACCAGCATCAAACACCAGCTTGCATCGTCTTGCGACATGTTCATCGTCGTTAAGGGGGTCGGGCCCTCCAAGCTTTCCAGCCGCATTGGCATATGCCTTGAGCTGGTTCATCTTCTTCTCCTCGTCTGTTAGGTTAGGCAGATACTTTGTCAGGTTGACAAAGATGCTTAAAGCTCCGTAGGTGGTAGGGGATCTGGGTTGGGCGTCGCTGAGTGTCTTGACCAGCTTCTGAAGCAAGTCAGGGTTGCTAACAACTGACTCTTTGACCTTGGGCTGGAGAGAAGCATAGGCCAGACCTTCAATAGAGTGCTTTCGACCGTGGTCTTCATCTCGCAGAATCATCTTAGTGAACATACCAGAGAGCTCCTCGATACTTGTGACTGCAGGCTCGATTCTGGACTTTTTCTCGCCAGGTGCTGGCTTGGAGGGAACTGCCTTGAATTCTGTGTCAGTCAGTCATGTTGCGGGGCTTGTGGGCATCTCGTCTTACCCTCAACTTAGCTAAGATTACGGCAGCGAGATACTGGACCTGCTCAGAGTGTCGTCGCATGGAGATAGAGCCTCCATCACTCTGAAGGTTTGGGTCTGCGTTGGTGCTTCGAACAATCTCACTAAGATCTTGGTCGACAATCTCCTCAAGCCACTCGATGCAGTACTTGTTGATGGCCTCGCGACATAGAGAGTTCATACAAGCAGCGTTGAGCATCTCCAAACATGCCGTCTCAACCTTTCGGCTCTTCCACTTTCGTCGCATAAGCGTACCAAGGCTGGGCAGGAAATCTTCGTTGAGAAATAGCTCCGCAGTGAGATCGGGGACGATGGGAAATGTCGCAGCGGCAACACAAAAGGCGACAATGTAATCATCATAAGTTCCTCTCCGGACTCGGTCAAAGAAAAAGGTTGAGAGTTTCTTTGAGCCGTCATCACCGGCGGCTTTGAGGTAGGCGGATGTTGATAGAGTGGCGTGGCCGCGGACTATCTCAGGCTGTCTCATATCAAGGTAGCACAGAACAGTGTCAACACAATCGCCATCGATAACGTTGCAGATAGTTTCATGAGACTTGTCCTTCTGACAGGCTTCATAGTCGTCGTTGAGCAGCTTGGTCAGTTCGTCAAGATCGCGGCATGTCTCGTTATCTTCCTGCCCACCCTCCATCAAACGCGCAAAGACGATAAGGGTCTGGTCCTCCAGCGACTGGGCCGGGGCTGGAGGCGCCTGCTCGGCGGCTTCTGTGGTCTCTGCCATGGAGATATCGATTTTAGTATGAAGAGTTGAAGTCGAAGTAAGCTCTGAAGAAGAGATGGAGAAATGACCCAGTTTCCCTTTGGAGGGGCAGGCAAAGTCTAAGGCCGAAACTGGAACCTGTGATGTAAATCGTAAATCGCACAAGGCATGAAGCCCCGTCACGACCTCCACATGAACCTGCCACAAGACGCTGGGCTTAGGTAGGCTTAAGCCACTGAGACACTTGCATACATGGAGCCGCTAGGTCTCAGTTGGGTCCCTAGGTCGTTATTTTTTTAGTGACTACCATACTGTAATCCCCTAGCTCCGTTGGGCTCTATCTAGCTAAACAGTCACGTGGTCTGGCGTTTGAGATATTAGCTGTGAGGGGGCTTGATCTCAGTGCTCATTGGTGGCAACAGCCGCGCTCAGATTTCATGAGACCTACCAATGCCTGCAAATGACGTCCAACTAAACATTCACATCCTCTCCCTTTCATGGATAGCCGCGTTGATGAGCTGAACCTTGGTTGAGTTCTTTCAAGACCTATTATTTCTGTTTCTAGAAATCGGAGTTGGCGTTGGTTAATTCATTGTTTTAGCAGCCGTTGGCTTATAGCAGCACTTTCATCCTGTGACTCAAAGCTTATACCTTGTCATCAAAAGGCTTTGCAACCATCTGCAAGCTTCAATACTTGCAACTCAAAACAACTTGCCCATCTTTGAGGCCTCGTAGCCGATCGCTCAACCAACACTATGGACGCCGTCGACGTCTCGGAGCACTACGAGGTCAGCTCCCACGAAGATACACCCTCTCTCCTTTCCATCATCCTCGACACGAATCCACGAGCCTGGTCGTCCATCAGCAACGTCTTACCGTTGTCGCGTGCCATCGCAAACATCCTCGTCTTTGTCAACGCACATCTCGCTTTCAGTAACGCAAACCAAGTCGCCCTTATCGCCGCCCACGTCGATCGCGCACAATGGCTATACCCAACACCACCCAAGCCCTCACGCGACGCTTCAGGTGATGTAGCTATGAGTGACGCCTCCCAAACGCAGACGTCGGCCAATAAACTTCCCTCCTTTGCGCAGATTGAAGCTGCTGTGTTAGCCGGACTTCGAAAGCTCATGGATCAGACAAAAGAAGCAGATCTTTCTTCTCAAACACCACAAATATCTGGAGCTTTAACACTGGCTCTATGTCATATCAACAAAGCCGTGCAGGCTCTTTGTTCACCTACGGCCAACCTCGAGGACAGTCACAAGGGGTCCGCCAACACCGCTCCTCCGACCGTCCGCGGCCGCATTCTCGTTATATCTGTCTCAGACTCGGAACCTTCGCAGTACATCCCTACCATGAACTCCGTCTTTGCTGCTGCCCACACGCAGGTCATCATTGACACCCTTGCACTTACCGGTGAACCGACTTTCTTGCAACAAGCCTGCTATAACACTGGCGGCACATACTTGGCTGCCAAACATCCCGAGGGATTACTGAACTACCTCATGTTTGGTCTCATTGCTGACACAGAAGCTCGCGAGGCGCTTATCGCTCCAACGCATGACACAGTCGACTTTCGCGCCGCCTGCTTCTGCCACGGTCGTGTTGTCGATACTGGCTTTGTCTGCTCGATCTGTCTCAGCATATTTTGCGAGACACCAGAGAACTCAGAGTGTTTTACGTGCGGTACGAAGCTATCTTTAGGTAATTATGGCGCTAAGCCCGCTGTCGTACCTCGTAAGAAGAAGAAGAAGCGGAAAATTGTCAACGGAGGCTCGCGAGAGGAAACAGGGAGTGCGACAGGGACGCCTCGTCCATAAGGGGACATGTTTATTTTCGTAGGCGCATAAATAAGTATGAGATACCCTCAATGATCCAAACAATTTTGAATATCATCACTTTGGAGCACTAAATCAGCTATTGCATCGATGTTCAAATATTGTAGTCAACGCATACTTTCATAGCAACTTATTGGTAGCCACGAAAGGGATATTGTTTCTATTAAAATATACAGCATAAAAAGAACGGCTTAACACGTCTAGGAATTAAAGGGTATCATTTTGGTCTAATACTTACAAGTCTCCCAACCTACCATCGCACCTCTAGGTGTCATGGCTTACATGGATATCGCCCTTGGCCATCTAACAGCTCGAACAGGGCCCTTAGGCATACTGTAATCCCCATTTCTGTATACCAAACTCGAACAATGATATGTCTTACTTAAGTCGAACTTTGCGTCCACCCTTGGCGATGTCAGCACTATCAGAAAGTCGGGACATAGTACAGCTAGGCTGTTTTTCCGATCCTCCCATTGAAGCGAGGGCGAACGAGTCTGTGTTGTGAGCAAAGTAGAAGTAGTATCCTGTCTGTGTTTTCTTGACAACCATGACACCGATGGCACCAGCTGAATGGCAGTTTTTGACACCAGGATGCTTCATGAAGTCTTCGGCAATGAAAGATTCCATGATGGCATCTTCGTCGTCATCCTGCACGTTTGCACCCCCTCGGCCGCGCCTTGTACCATGGTAAATCCTCTCGGCACACCGTTGGGAGGCCATAGTTGTAGCCATGTGCTCTCCAGTACCACTCGTGACTGCAGCGACAGCGACTTGGTCTTCGTCTTCCTCATCACAAGGAACAACGGCTGTTCCAACTCCTACGAGAGCTGCGGGCCCCAGGCGGCCTCGGTGTTTCATCCCAATACCGCCTGAGGAAGACCCGGCTGCAATATGACCCCGATCGTCAATCGCAATGGCACCAATAGTATCCGTGATAGCGTCCTCATTCGCAGACCCCAAACGAAGACGATCTTTTACTGCTCGTGAGTGAGGCTGTGCTTTGTCATCTGGGCTGAGAGGTCGCTTAACCCCACGAGGACTTGCGGAGCTTTGGTGATCTGAACCGTGACCCTTGTTCCAGGCAGGAGTCTCCGGTAGTGTGTGGTCGGTCTTGTTTGCAGTATGTAGGCGTTGCCGCTGCTGAGTTGGTGTATTTTCCGGCATGACTGGTGTGAAATCATCAGTCGTAGGATTTATCTTTCGAGATAGCATCCTAGTGCGGAAAGGGGATGGCGATGTATCTTGAGCACCACTAACCACCCCAGCATACGTCTGTGCTGCCTTCTCATGGGCTGGTCGAACAGAGGGAGAGCGGCTGGATGCAGGCGTGGGAGTGCCCATAGTTCGAAAGTAGCTGGTAGACGTAGGTTGATCTGGCAAAGGCGTCGTATCTTGACTCGGTGTTCCAACGTACGGTGAATCAGGCTGTCCTTCGTTCCAAGTGCCGGCAATAATAGCAGCTCTTTGATCCCTTGGTAGTAGTGTCTGCTCTGATTTTACTGCTGGTGCGGTATCGTACTGACACGGGGGGCATGCAATAAGAGCTTCGACCTCAGGCGAAGCTGTGAGCTCCCGGACTTTAGCGTCAGCCCGCTTTAGATCTTCCTGCCAGCGCAAGAATCGATCCTTAGCATTCTTTGAGACCATGTACTCATTTGCATATGTTGTCAACCCATGCTCCTCTGCAAAGGTCCTGGCGCCTTCCCCTACGAGGGCGTTTGGAGCAACTCGTCGTAGGCTCAATGGCTTGTTGCTTCTATCTAGAATGAGCTTGGCAAGAGATATTGGGTTGCGTATATCTGCGTATTGTTAGTGAGAGTACCAGTCCGTTAATGGCAAAGCAACTCACTTGGAACAGCACCACAGGCACCGCTGCGGCCGAGATGATCAACAACGGTAGCATCACATTCAACAATGCCATCGATTGAAAGGTTAGAACCATAGCCAGCGTTGGTGATTTCTTTGTCCTCAAGGATTCGGAGAGCGGCTTCGACGGCTTCGGTTGCGGTAGCACCGGCTTTGAGAAATCTCATACCCATCTCGGCGGCACTGCCACTATTAGCTACATGGTCGGAGAATAAAAGACTGTCGTGGCTATCTCACGCTACACAGGCCTGGAGATGAATCTGTTCATTCTGGTGGCTATGGAAACCGGCTCCAGCATGTACAAAGATAGCAGGCACCGCCTTCGTTCGATGTCCAGCCTTCAGCACACGATCAAAAGTGCCGTCAGTTCCGAATTGGGTCGTTTCTGAGAAGAAAAGTGTTTCATCGTCGCTGCTGTCTGACATCCTCGAGGGAAGTCATAGGGTAACGAGTGTTTGGCGGCACAAGGGTACTTGGGATGATGTTATTGATGATGTACGCGTATAGCTGTAAAAGAAGGACGCGAAGTGGGCGTTAAGATACCCAGATCTATGTTGGATGAGGTTCAAGAATTTAGGAGTGGAGGTTGAAAAATATGATGACAACGCAGTTTTGGGCAGACCAAGGATTGAAAGGCAGTGTAACTCTTATGCAAAAGGAAAGAGCACGGCAGATTGATGGAAGTCAGTCATTCTTGCTCGACTGGCGGTTCGCGGAGAGATGAGAAGCAGCAATCGCTGAAAATGCAGGGAACATGTTATAGTACGTTAGGTAGAACAGGCCCTGTTTTACATCCGAAGACAAAACGCCCATGTCTGAAGCATTGGGATAACACTAACAGTATAGTCTCATCTAAAATAGCTGGGGAAGACTGGTAATGGTGATATCCTACTGAAGTGTACATCGCCTCTTTTTTGCAGTGATATTTAACTCCTGAGAAATGACGTCTGATCTAAATAGCAAGGTAGGTGACATATAAACACAGCACACCGACTTCGGCCATGCAGCTCTCCGGGTAGAGGTTGGTATGTCAACCACCAGGTATGACTAAACAATATTGACGCAGAAACCTATATAAATGAAGATCTGACTATCATGAGTATTGTCGCGATATTGCTCACTATGTGAAGTTTGACCTGTAGATCTTAGTTGGTCAAGATGTGCTGATAATTATGTCTAACCTCCAACCCCGGTTATCGCAACAACGAGGTCCACAGTTCCAGCCATTCATTCACTGACCCTGGTCTAACGGCGGGGCAGCACAGCCGCAGTTCAAGCCTCACTCACATCCAAGCTGGGAGCTTCGCAAGGCACGTAACGTAATCCTCACCCAACCCGGATCCGACGTAACGACCACCGCCGTCGCCCATCGCCGCACATTGCATTCTCTCACGCGCGGCATTTCTCTACATTCATCCTCCATTTCAACTGTGCGTTTTGCTACGCACTCTCGCCCATCATGGCTAACCAAACTCCCGCCGTTGTCATGGACAAGTACGTCTCACTTATCCCCAGCCCCCGCACTGACGACGACAGCTAACCTCAGCTCGCAGCGGCACGGGTTTCTCCAAGCTAGGTCTGTACACGCTCCTGGAGCTAACAGATACTCTCGAGCTGCCTGCTGATGCTCTATTATAGGCTTCGCCGGTAACGATTCTCCTTCATTCGTCTTCCCGACCGCAATCGCGACAAAGGGGCCAACTGGCGGAGCTGGTGGTTCTGGGTCTGGACGACCGGCCGTTGCGAACAAGCCATCTTTTCTTACGGGAGGTGCTGGAGCTGGAGGTCATTTGAACGGAAAGCGTGGAACCGAGGATCTCGACTTCTTCATCGGCGATGAAGCGATAGCAGCTTCAGGAGGACCTGGTAGGCGGTCATTGAGCTCCAGATTATCGAATTTAACTGACAAGCTCAGGATATGGCATTCACTATCCCATTCGACATGGCCAAATAGAGAACTGGGTATGCTTGCCGAACCTTCCAACACGAGCTGCAATTGACCGCCTTTAGGACCACATGGAACGATTCTGGTCAAACTCCATCTTCAAGTATCTCCGGGTCGAGCCTGAAGACCACTACTTCCTCCTTACCGAGCCCGTGAGCATATTACGCCCTATGACGACGTCAAAACGAACACTAATCAATGTAGCCCCTGAACCCACCCGAGAACCGTGAAAACACCGCCGAGATCTTCTTCGAGTCGTTTAACTGCGCTGGAATGTACATTGCCGTTCAGGCTGTCCTGGCCTTGGCTGCGTCTTGGACATCTTCCAAGGTCCAGGACCGTTCACTGACCGGCACGGTCATTGACTCCGGTGATGGTGTTACTCACGTCATTCCTGTTGCCGAGGGTTATGTCATTGGCTCCTCGATCAAGTCAATTCCCATTGCTGGTCGAGATATTACCTACTTCGTCCAGTCCCTGCTGCGAGACCGAGGCGAGCCCGACTCCTCGCTCAAGACGGCCCAGGAGATCAAGGAGGAGTACTGTTACGTTTGTCCCGATATTGTCAAGGAATTCAACAAGTACGACCGAGACCGCACTCGATTTGCCAAGCATGTCGTGTCGCATCCCAATGGCCGCCAAGTCAGCGTGGATGTTGGTTACGAGCGTTTCCTTGCCCCCGAGATCTTCTTCAACCCCGAGATTTACAGCTCCGATTTCCTGACCCCTCTCCCCACGGTTGTCGATAACGTCATTCAGCAGTCGCCTATTGACGTCCGACGAGGCCTCTACAAGAACATTGTTCTTTCCGGTGGAAGCACGCTATACAAGGACTTCGGTCGCCGATTACAGCGAGACATTAAGCACCTGGTGGACGCCCGAATCCGAGCCAGCGAGGTCCGCAGTGGTGGTGCTCGAAGTGGTGGCCTGGATGTGTCGGTTATTACTCATAAGCGACAGCGACACGGTCCCTGGTTTGGAGGCAGTCTCCTTGGTCAAACTCCTGAATTCCGATCGTACTGCCATACCAAGGCTGAGGTAAGAAAGCTTGATCTGTTATTCTTGACAATAACTAACCAATGTCACAGTACCAAGAATATGGTCCCAGCATTGTACGAAGATTCGCTCTGTTGGGTGGCCCTGGCGGCTCTTGATGGGAGACTTAGACGATCAAGAATCACTCCTCGATTGACTCCCAGAGTTTACGGCATGCTTCCTAGGAAGAGACTTTTCCGAGATAGACGGAAGACTAGACTGGGCGTCTACTGTGGGGTGCAATGAAGAGGCGCTCAAGGCGCAGAAATCTCAATTGACAATTATGCCTAAGCGATGCAACTACATGCGGAAGAGATGGTAAGACGGTGGCACGTGTTGAACAGTTACATTAGTCGTTTCCAAAATTCACATTCACGAAACATGTCGCATTTTCCCCCGCTTGTGAACTCTCCAATGGATGAATGTATGATGCGCTCTACTTCGAGCACATGGCGATGTCACCCTCAGCGTTTCTCGCGGGCAGATTTTCATTCTGTAAGCTGCTCACAACCCAAGTATAACTCGGTTGACATTCGAGACAACATTGACTACCTGCGCCCAAGCACAGATGGGTTCGTCAAGGCAGGTTCCGACGCTCTAGATGCTGAACACACGTGTAGACTACAGTACAGCAGTGGCCTGATTTTCTTTTACTCGGTTGACGACGTTCTAGAAGTGGCTTGGCGGCTGCCAGGGGTGCTTTTGCAAATGGAGTGTTGCATCGGACGTCTGGTGGATGGAGGGGTAAATCAACCCCCGCAATAAAGATGTACAGAGAGGTCTCTGACTCTCTAGACTCTGTCATGATGAGACTGCTATAGTCGAATGGTGATTTGGTTGATTCCGCGGTGGTACTTTAGCCAAGTGCGAGTAGACGATAGTTATCATTGTTACGTGAGTATCAGTCAGTTGAGTAGCAATCGGTGAACTTATACTTAGACTGCGGTTGTGATATTTCTAGGCCTGTAGTTACAATGTGGCAAACACTACAATACACTTTTGGAGTTGGTACTTACAGTACATAACCACAGAACCATTTCAATACCAACGATTTATCAATGCAAATATAATCCAGAAATATATGTACACAGAACAGGAGTGTTTAGCATGCAATAACCAATACAATCAGGTTGCTGAATTAGTGTTAAGACCCAAACATCTTTACACATTCAGGAGAAAGCTAACTGGAGACATTGATAAATACCTGTAGTTTATCAAGGCATTATCACTATTCACAGCGTAGAAGCTCATTGTTCAAGGGGCAGTTTTGTAATCGAAATAATCGTTTTGTTATTCATATAATAGGGAAAAATCATAAAACTCATAAACTAGGGCTGTACACAAAAGTGTAACCAAGATCTGGCTACTACTACACCGCCAGAAAACCCAAATCAACTCCCGCCTGAACTCCTCTTAGTAGGGTATCACCCTGTGCGCAATGGGTAGCCCTGTTCATCTTTTAAAGCGTGCTTTGGCGCACTGCCCGAGCGACAGCCGCGCGCTTATCGGCTGGTGTCGACGACGTAGCGGCCGACAACCTGGCCAGCCTTCATGAGCTTGAAGACATCGTTAAGCTCAGAGAGACCGACGGTCTTGAAGGGAACCTTGATGAGGCCACGGCGGAAGAAGTCGATGGCCTCAGCGGAATCAGCGCGGTTGCCGACGTAAGAGCCCTTGATGGAGATCATGCGAACAACGGTGTCGAAGACGGGAGCGGAGAACTGGGCACCGGCGGGGAGACCAATGCACACGACGGTACCACGAGAGCGGATGTACTGGGTAGCCTGGGAGAAGGGCTTCTCAGCAGCGGCGACGAGGAGAGCAGCGTGGGGACCGAGACCGTCAGAGGTGGTAGCCTTGACATCGGCGATAAGGTTCTGGCTCTTGGTGAAGTCAATGAACTTCTGGGCACCGAGCTCAAGGCACATCTTCTCCTTCTCCTCACCACCATCGATGGCAATGGCGTGGATGCCCATAGCCTTGGCGTACTGAACAGCGATGGAACCGAGACCACCACCAGCACCAACAATGGCAAGAGACTGGCCAGCTCGGACACCAGACTCCTTGATACCCTTGTAGACGGTGATACCGGCGCAGAGAATGGGTGAGATAGACTCGAGGTCACACTCTTCGGGGATACGAGCAACGTGAATAGCCTTGGCAATGGCGTATTGCTGGAAAGAGCCGTCGACTGTGTAGCCGGAGAGAAGAGCCTCGGCGCAGAGAGACTCGTCGGCGTTCTGGCAGTAAGAGCAGCTCAAGCAAGATCCGTTGAGCCACTTGATACCGACCTTCTCGCCGATCTGGACATCCTTGACAAGCTCGCCGCGAGCGACAACGACACCAGCACCCTCGTGGCCTCCGACAAGAGGCAGCTTGGTGTCGAGGGGCCAATCACCCTGCCAGGCGTGGAGATCAGTGTGGCAGACACCGGAAAACTTGACGTTGACGAGGACCTCATCGGCAGCGGGCTTCTGGACGGGAATCTGCTTGTACTCGATGGCTGTGAAAAGAAGATGTTAGTATCAGAGAAAGAGGCAATCGGAATGGAAGTATGAAGGAGAGAAGGTAACGTACGACCACCAGTCTTCTCGAAGATCTGAGCCCACTGCTGCTGAGGAATTTGAGGAGCAGACATTTTGGTTATTGGTTGTTGGTTGTTTGGTTGAAGGGTATCGAAAGGTTGTCGTAAAGACGAAAGAGTTGTTGTTGAGAGTGTGGAAGAGTTGATTGATGATCTGAATGAGGATGGAGAAGAAAGAAACGACTTGAGAACGAAGGGACCAGAGTTTATATAGATGCTGGATGGGCGATCTTGAGTGAAGGGCCTGGTCTATGTGGTATGGTTTGTCTGGTATGATACGTATGGTTGGAACTCGGGCCTAAACCGTATGGTATGGTATGATGGGCCAACGGGGCAAGGATAGGCGTCTGCGTGTAAAGATTCAAGCCTCATCTTGGCGGCCGCGGGGGAGAGGGAGTGGATGTTGATGTCGAAGGGTGTGCAAGCAGAGACGAGACATCAGAACAGATCAGACAAGAAAGATGCTCTACTCTGGACTCGACAACTGACGAAGACGAAGGGGACCAAGACGGGGCAAGGGGCCCAAAGGAGGGGCCACTTCGGCTGCACGGGGATCCGCAATTCGATCCATGTTTGTTGGACTTTGTTTTCGGGATGCGGCGATGGTGAGTATCGTCCTATGCTTCCACATGGGCAAGGGTTGCATGGAAGTTAGTGTGTGTGAGAGATCCAATGTAATGTGAGGTGAGGTGAGTGAGGTGAGGTTAGCTCGGGCTGTTTGTAGTGGCGTCACCACCTGTAAGGTTGGTTGACCTACTCCGTAGAGGTAGCGAGTGGGGACCTCCCCTGCTACATTATAAGCTGTAGCCTGTAGGTAGCCCGTAGGAGCCAGGGAGCTTAGGCCCGTATTCACCTCCCCTACAGCTACGGTACCTGCCGCACTTTGCTGTCTCTCTTCATGACGAGGTGTCTGTGTCTCGGGCAGCCAAACACCCCGCTAGGTACTGCTTCAACTTTCCAGTTCCCCTCAGCGGCCCAGGTCTACAGAGATCTAACGAGCAAAACCATGACAGTAGGTAGCGTGGATTTCAGGTTCATGTACCTCTTGAGGAAAAGATACCTACATCCGCTGCTCCAGCTCCAGCTTCAGAAAGCGTCCTAGCAACATAAAGAAACTCAGTCTAACCAAATAATTTTTTACAACCAGAAAGGATGTGTAAAACACAATAGCAGATGGAGCTAGTCTTCAATTGTGTCGTGATGTTCCTGGCATCAGATCCTTGAAAATTGAGGGTCGCCATAGTCAGCTGCTTTTCGCGGCCCGTTTCCCATTACACCGGGTTTTGGCCTTTTCGCTACAACAGCCCATTAATGTCAGGAACAAAACCCCATTTTTAAAACACCCCATGTCCGAAGATAACAGATATTAGGTAGGTAGGTAGTGAATCACCAATCTTGCGGTAAATTCGGATCTTTCGATGGCATATCCGGTCCTAATTCGGTTGCTTGTCAGATCCTCTTCCAACATGGCATGACACGACAACTTACTCAAAAATATCGTGAGTGAGCCCCTGGCGAACTCGAATAGTGGGCTACAATTACCAGGGTCCCGTCCCAACAAGGCGCCTAACGGAAAACGTTAACTAAAGCTTCATCCCGCGCGTTTCTAATGCTCCTAGACTGGTACAAACACACTCGTTCAGCCATGTGGGAGCTGCACTACTACCCACTAGATCTCATAGGTTGCGGAATACCGGGTGTTTGTTTGGCAGCGGCTCCGTTCCTACGTCGGTGTGACATCTGATCTCCTAACGTTAGACGCCCTACACAAGTTGAATGAGACTGAACTAACTGCCGGTTACGTTGATCTTTCCATAATTGCGCAGGTATTCGAAGAGATGTTAATTGAGATCATAGTGAATTAAGAAATCAATACATTGGTGTATTCGACGAGTTTTCTTTGCTACAACATTGCATCTCGCCATTCGCGTTATACACGACCGAGCTTCGGCGTTATTGAATCCGCTGAATATGCGTCCTTGACGGAGGGGCAACAGCAATGTAATAGCTTCCTTCCACAACGCCAGGTACACCTTGACATAAGGAAGGAACCTATCCATCTTCAAAATGGCTATCACGAATTCATGCGGTACTCACTCCGTCAACACTTCAGACCAACTACAAAGCCCCATTTCTTGTCATGCCAGCTGCCAAAACACATAATTCGGTGGCGGGGAGCCCAGACAGTCCACATCCAGCCATAGTTACAACCTCCCTTTTGCCGACAACAAGCCGGCAACACTACGGATAGCCTTCGCTCAAAAGGATATCGTGGAGGGATGTACGGAGACTCGCAATGGCAAATTACTGTGATGGCCCCAAAATATTGTAGTAGTATTACAGTTGACAGTAGGTCTTCAGACCGATACGATACCTGGAACACAAGCCCTTGGTGTGGACTTCTTGAAGGTATCCTCACATTTCCCCGCACTTTCTCACCAGACACTCCACGGGTCCCCAGATTCTTCAGCAACGCACTACTGAGAAGCAGGTTCGGATCCGTGAATGTACATGAAGGCTGGAAATGAGGATCTTCCCCAGACTGATCTCGGACTACGCATAACGCCAAACTTGAGCCTATCTGCGCCTGTCTGGGAACAGTCTTCAGGCTCAGGTTCACCCAGCCGGCTGGGCGGAAGTTTTTGTCGGTTCTTTTGGGAAATGCGGGGAAGCTCCAGGTCAGAGTGTTACGCACTGAGTGCTTGACTCGGTATCCCTGTGGTTCTAGGTACTGCTAATGCTGTGTTGTATCACCACCTATCACATTCGGGTTTTCCAAGCTCTGCAGCAATCCCACATCGACAACAGCACCACATAATATCCATAATAACTGGAAGACCACCAGATAATGCTATTGATCCCAGGCTATGGCTGATCAAGATAAGGAGGAGACAAGTATGTGGTCAATGAGCAAGACTAACAACCAAGATATGCCACATTTTCTCTCCTCAACAGCCCAGCATTTCAACAACGTACTAAAGATGCTATTCGCCAGTCCTTTTTCCCGAGTTATATCAATGGTTCATTCATAATTCGGCTAGCTGGGCGTTACCAGGGAGGGATTCATGACATACACCACGCCTCAAAGCTCCAATCGCAGCCCGTCTCATTCTGTGCAAGGTCTCGGTCGCGATTGCGGATGGATGTACCTTGTCAATCAATTGCTACATACTACCTACCTTGGCTTGCGACGCTCGTTTTAGGGCTTCTAGATCCTAACGATCAAACATCCCTGGTAACTCCTGCGTTCGTTCGCTCCAAGGTCTTGTTCCCCCGTACTATTCGCTTTTAAGTATGATTGGTTACTTGACACAGTGGCAACACCTCATCTACTCTTTAATTATTAAAGATCCACTTTCCGCGATACCTCACAGGGGCTGTTTAGATGTGCCTTGCCCCTTGTGATTTACCTCTCCTGCGTGCCGGTCTAGAAGTAGATTTGTTTGAAGCACCGATGTGATTGGGGTGTGCTCAGTGTAAGTCTGAGGCACTTGTTCTGTCCCTTTCACCACCAACATGGAAAGTGAGCCAAGATGGAAATCTACAAGACCTGAACATACTGTTTTGTTCGGCACAAGGCTGATATTATCGGTCATAGATTTGAAGCTCTAGTGATAATCTAGAGCTAACAGACCTGGGTTGAGCCTTGAGCATCGCCACGAGGGCGTCACTCAATCTTGAACTCCCAAGACCACTCACCCCATGTCCCTAGTCCCCAGATCATCATCATCATATCTGGGGCAGGGTCCGTGGGTTCCTGGGTCCTCCGCGTTTTCATGACAACGCTTGTCCTTACAGGCCCCGCCTTCAGGCCCGTGCAATGCTAAAATAACATCCACTGCGGCTCCGCAGTTTTGACTTGCATGAGCCGCAATTGCAATTGTCTTCCCCGCATCCAACGTCGCGACACGCCCCTTGGAGACGCCCCCAGGAACGGCTCAGCGGCCTCAACCCCAGTTCGACGGCATAACTAGGCGTTGACTGTAATTGTGGTTGCAACAGTATCCCTTCCTCCTGGCTCCGGCGTCATCTGTGATACGACGCCTCACTCAGTCTTTACATGTGTTGGACTACCTAGAACGTTTCATGGAATCTCGAGCTTGCAGAAACGAGTGTGTTCACAAAATCGCCTTGCATTCTTGGAAGTATTGCACTATACCTGTTTCAACGATGCTTTAATGGGCAAGCGTCTTCTCATGGGAACATTTGTGATCATGACACCCAGATCCGGGGTAATCATGACTGCTTTGCTACCCCAGGCTCTGTTAGGTGGGCAGATCTTGGGGTTGTCTGTGTATCTTCATTGGCTGCAGCGCGCCATGCGTTCGACCGTTTTCATTGAACATCGAGCTTTCGCTTTCGTCCGAGGGGTTGGAACCCGGGAACCAGGAAGCACGAGGCTTCTCACATGAGAGTTGAGTTGCACTGCATACTTGCTGATCGCCTTCTCTGCATGCTATTGGGTATGTGATCAACCCAGCTCTTGGTAAAGGTGGAAAGGAGAACCCATGATGGGTTTCTCAATCCCTCTTCACTCTTCCATGCTGTCCCTTTTTCAATCTGGAGATATACAGGACTCGCAGAATACTAAGATATTGGACCATTTCTGTTATCTTTTTCCCAAGCTTGCCAGCTTTGCATTCCAGCTTTGGCCTGTACTAACTGTAGCTTGTAGCATGGCGCCACGTTCTTCAACATATTTGCTGAACAAATTGCTGCAGCAATCCAAGCGGGAAAGAACCGACTACGATATTTGCCAACGTTGATAGCTCTCATACTCCCTCCGGAGATATCCTAAGGTGACCATTAGCGCCAGCTATCAACAAGACTAGAACGAAGTCTCTCTCATAATGTTCAATTTCACGCAAACAAATCATCTTGACTGGCTAAGGAGCCGTGCTGTCAACGAAGTGTTCAGCCAAATCTTTACATTGATTTGTAGGTATTTAATGGGCAGAATCAAATATCCCTCCTGTCCTTCTTATCCGGGACTATAAACACCGAAAGCATTCCCAAGCGCTCACAATGCTAACATATATCCAGGCGGCCGATCATTTATTGCTCATGTTTGTTTTTAGCTCAGCACGGTACTTAAGCAACGACCTCGACCGATTGCTCGACACCATCCGCCTTGCCCGAGTTGACCTTCTTGCCGGTCTTTGCGATCTTCTGGAGCACGGTATCGTAGGGAAGGGCAGTAACAACCTTGGCGGTCTGGTTCTCGAGGGACACATCGTAGCTCTCGACGCCTGGGGGAGGGGATGTTGTTAGCAAGCGGTCAAGCGGTTCGCTTGGGGGTGTAGTCTTACCTTCAAGCTTCTTGAGGACGCGGTCGATGGCGCCGGAGCAGCCGCCGCAGCTCATGCTAATGTTGAACTCGTAGGTGTGAGTGTCGGCCATTGTGAATGTTGTTTGCGATTTGTGGTTTGTGGTTTGTAAGTGGAAAGTAGAAGAAAAATGGCGGGGTATCAGTTGGAGATGGTAACTAGGTAGAGCTTGCTATTGCTGTGAAAAGGTCCGTGCTGAGAGTGGGAATCAAGTTTATGAATGTCGCGTCGTAAAAAAGAAAGAGCAAGTATGAGGAGAAGAGGTTTTATAATGGATTGGAGTTTATGATAAAAGGGGTATCTTGAGGCTGGGGCTGAGGCTGCTCGTCGCTGACTGTGATGGCGGCCATGAATTATTAATACTCGTCCAGGCGCTTCCGGTGGTGATGATTGCGCAATTGGGGGCGGTTATGCTCGAGGGACCAGTGAAACGTGCTCAATACACGGGGGAACTTTCTGAAACGCTCTTGATGGGTAATTAATCCGGTGCTTGGACTATTCGCGTGCGAGATGTAATTTTATTGCTTTATCCGTAGACTGTTTTGTCATTTATTCAATAACAGTGTCTCGACTTGCAAATTTATTTGGTTCCAGCAAGTGAACGAATTGATGTCGTGTAAGTGAAGTCTAAAATTAGCTCATGAAGTGCCGATATTTTTCATTCGGTCATCAGGGTCAGCAATGCCGTGACCACACACTCCGTGATGCCTCAACAGTTATCAATGTTAGGGGAGGGCGTTAAAGGCATAATTATAGTATTAGATATGGTGAATTCCGTTATTGATTATCAAGAATTGCGTCTGCAGTATATTTGCCATGTAAGCTCAAGACACCTTGTTATAGGGAAGCTACCCTATACAAAGTCGATCTTCGAAACATCGTATTATCTTGCTCTTATTTGCTCAACTCCTTGTCGAAGTATTCTTGCTCGTACTGTTGAAGACTACAGAGGACCTTGTAACTGTCGAATCGAAAGAAGCACGGACGAGAAACGCCGCAGTGGTCTGACCTCAGGACACGCCATCTTGAGGGTATCCTCTATTATCCTGAGGCCTTTTCTTTTTAACCACGCAAACTAAATGTTTCATCACTAATAACAATCAAATTAGGTGTCTTCTAGAAACATGCACCATACAGTCCCTGCATGCATCTGCCACTGCTCTCCTGACTAGGCTGCAAGTTTGTCAGACTGCAGCGAAATCAGATCACCTGTTTCTAGAAACCTTGGCCTGTAGCGCCGAAAAAAAGAGCCTCATCGCTATCCACAGGCGGCTCGGCCCTATACACTATACACCCATGATCAAGACCATTCAGAGCTAAGATACAAGGACAGACGGGTGAAGATACAGTGGTGTAGTGAATATAAGGCCCTGCTATGTTGGAAGCCACAGGGTCGTTTTGCCACAGGGCGTGTGCGTGTACTTGTACGTGTACGATATACACCCATCTCCCCGGCTATCTGGCCGAGAATCCATACCATGATCTGATCTGACGATAACGGGAACCGCCAAAGGCTGTGCTTTTCAATCGTGCGGCTGTTTCTCGGCCGAAAGAGGCAGCCTTGGTTTTAGTGTTACTAACCATGCTAACGTTAGATCTTGATATACGGACTCGGTCTTCCGTTGCCATCAGGATGCACTATGACTATTCTCCAAAAAGAACCCCCACGCGTGGTATGACGATTATATACAAATTCGAGTAATTAACAGGGCCTATCTCATGTACGATGCACATCAAGAACGTCAACGGGTTCGTGGCCCCTTACGAATGGTTTGTAGGGTTCGATATCCATGATCTGATGATGCTGGCTTATCTTGCGGTGAGTGGGCTCGTCACTTTAGCCGGACAGCGACATGATGGAGGGGCTCTTTAAGGGTCTTGTTGGTCTGGACCCTGCTGGAAACATGATGTGATGTTTGGTTAATGGAGATGGGGTTGTGATATTTGCCATGGTGGTGTAGATGCAGATACTGCGATTTGCATCTACGAAGGGTCGTACTACAAAGTCAAGTTTCTAGCACCAACTGGACACTTCCTTCACCCTTATATGAACATGGGGTATCTTGAGCTTCTCAGCATCCTCATCCCATAATTCCGGATTAACCTCACTGGTCGCCCACATATCTTCCATCTCGTCAAACCATTCCCCCAGTACACCCTCCTCTAAAAAGTTGCGACCTGTACGGTCATCAAAGTGACACATGTTTACCGTATCTTCAGGTTCTGGGTACGATGCGATCTCCCAGATGCCCTTGGTTTTCGGAAGCTCCTCCCAGACGACGTAGAGTGTCTCGAGCTTTTTGGTCCAGTCCAGCAAGGCACATAAATTGCTGATGCTGTAGTAAGCTGTGAAGGCTGGGAGTGCGAGATACTTGATGCCGTATATGATATGAGTGGCACTGGTCTCGTCCTCTGCTTCGTTCTCATGATGTTCCTCCATAATTTCAATCAGGAATAGTTGCCATCGATCTTGGGGTACGTAGAATAGATCGCGGTCAGCGTCGAAGGGCCGCTCGAGAACGACGTCCTTGGTCTCCTCACGAAAGTACCGCTCAATCTTGTTCCTCTTAATCCAGTGCTCTACCACCTGCCGTGCCTCTTTGCAAGCACTGTAACAAGCAGGACTGGGCACTCGAACACGGTGTTTCAGGGCTAATGTTTCACGTCGCTCCTCAACAGTGTCGTCGAGTCTCTGCTTGTTGTACGTGTGTAAGCCGGGGGTTTTGGCTGACGGAAGCGCGGCCTCCCAGATAGATGTGCGCACTTCTGGGGGAAGTTTAGAAAACTGAGGAAACGATAAAACCATGATGATTTATAGTTTTTGAATTGGTATTTTTAATAATTTGGGGGGGGGAATGGTGTAAGTGATGGGAAGGGATGTAGGTCAGAGACGCGCTGCAGCGCGTCTCTGACCAAGGATTTTATAGTGGCCGTGGAAGAGAAAGTTAGGGTTTTCGTTTCTTTTTCCCCATTTTCGTCACACTAATTGTGTCACCGACTAATTTGTAACAACTTGGTCAATGCAAAATAATTTGTCGAAAGCATGCTGTGTTTCAGCCCAATGCCGTGACTGCCAAAGGATGCTGCATGTGAAGTCGTGATACTGTGTAACGAGCCTCGCTCGATGCGTAAAACCACAACACTTGGCGTGAGAATTTGGGTAGTATTTATGAATAAAAGTTATAACAGGATAACATTGAATTGGTTGGACAACATTTATATATTTTGTTTAAATTATTGTCTCGTAGTGATAGACAGCTTAGCAGCGACCGACGCCCTAAAGATAGTCTATATATCGAGTATTGGCGATACTCATTCTTCATGGTCTTTTATCCAGGACTAACACAACAGCCATGACACAGGCCCGGTAACACAAATAATCAACAGCACTTCCTAATGCAAGTAATCATACCCTGCAAACCAGGTCCAAGTAGGCAATTGCATCACCGTCACGTTATACACCTGCGCCCTGATCTCGCCCGTGATCTCGTTGGTCATGTCCGGCATTTCAGCCCCCCAGACTTTCCAACATGACTCGGTCGACGCTGCAAATTCTGAGAGCCGGCCCTTCTCGAACCTGTTGAGGTACTCATTCCTATCCAACCGGTGTATGTGAACTGTCTCGTGCAGATTGGGGAACGAGGCAATCTCGCAGCGCGGCTGCACAGAAACGTCTATCCACCACTCGCGATGCTCACCGACTAGTGTGACCTTTCTCACCGGGGGAAGATCGTTGTAGATGATATAAATCTTTTTCATGTTCGGGGACAAACTTAGCATCTGAGCTATGTCCTCCATGTTTTGGTCCTGAGAGAATGTGTGGGCTGAGAAAGCAACGTTGACGAAAGTATCGCGAAGATTTTGCTGCTCTGCGGGAGCCACGTCGTTCATGACAAGGAAGTGGCGGATTGTGATCCAGTCATCAATGGGCATGTAGATGATATCGCGCTGCGGATCCATGGCGCGGACGAGGATATGGCCCTGTGTCTCTGGGCGAAGAAACCAACTGATATCCTTCTTCCTCATCCAGATATCGACCACAGCGCGAGACTCCCTGCACGCGTTGTACATGGCAGGGATAGGGACCTGGATACGAGGCGGGAGACATCGTACAGGACCGGTGTGTTCTCTAGCATTATACCATGTTGGGATGAACGACACGATATAATCCTGGGTAATATTGTAGATTGCCGGGCCTTCCTCGGGCAGCGCCAATTTCCATATGTCAACACGCAGCTCAGGAGGCAGGTCTTTGAATTGAGTCATGGTAGAATATAAACGAGATATTAAATGGTTTCAACGGTATCGAGTCTGTACTTGATGAAAGGGGAGGAAAAGTAGCATTAATTAAGATTTTTGTTATCAAGGCAGCCAATGAGAGTTGTTGGTTGGATAGTAACTTTACAAGGATAATAACTATCAAAAAACGACCACTAACAACAATACTGTGAGTATAGGGCAAATCAAACATTAGAAGTCTATATGATTATATATTAATAGTTGATATTTCCGGTGTAAAGTATGACCAATTGATAGGCTTGTGCGACTAAAGAGTGTCTGGAAGACATAATGCCTAGATACTGGGACTAATAAACTTCAAAGGTGGACGGACTCACATATACAATTACGGATATGAATACGGATACATCACTCTCAATTAAAAATTCAAATATGTACCTATTCAGTAGTTATAATACCCTCCAGCACAATGCTCATCTAAAACCTCGCCTCAACCTTCTTCTCAACATCCTGCAACGCCCACTCGCTCCTAGATTTCTTACTCCTCACCAAATCAACCTGCTCCTGCGTGAACCCCTTCGCCTCAACCGCAGGATTATACCCCAGCTTGTTACGATGTCCCACCATAGTCGAGTTCACCGCAGGCGCGGTACGCCCGTCCGCTCTCTTGTAAACCGTCACCACCGCCGCGCCGCCGAGGCCGAGGTTGTGCTGCAGACAGTATCGCGTGTTGGGCGCTGCGCGGTTGTTGGCCCAGCCGCGTAGATGCCAGACCAGTTCTGCGCATTGGGCGATGCCTGTTGCGCCCAGGGGGTGGCCCTTGGATATGAGTCCTCCCGAGGGGTTGATGATGTATTTTCCTCCGTAGGTTATGTCGCCTGCGCGCACGAGCTCGTGGGCTTTGCCGGGGTCGCAGAGATTCAGCGCGTCGATGGTGACCATCTCGTTTGCGCTGAAGCAATCGTGTAACTCGACGACCTGGACATCACGGGGTGAAATGCCGGCTTGCTTTGTTGCCTCCAGCATAGCACGCTGCGTCATCTCGTAGCCCATCAGGTCGATGGCGCTGCGGGAGAAGAGACTCGGGGCGTCGGTTGCGAGGTGCTGGCCTGCGATCTCGACGGCTTGCTCACGGAGATGAGGACGGGCGTTGAGGAATTCCTCGGAGACGATGATTGCCGAAGCACCGCCGTCTGAGGTCGGGCAGCACTGCAGTTTGGTCAAGGGCTCGTGGATCATGGGGGATTGGAGAACTTCTTCCTGGCTGTAGACCTGTTGGAACTGAGAGTAGGGGTTCTTGGGGGAGTGGGCGTGGTTGATGCGTGCAATCTCTGCAAAATCCTCAGCCTTGGCTCCATATCTACGAGGAAGTCAGTATACATCTCCCTCATCTCTGAACAGTGGCTGATACTCACTTCTCCATATACTCCCTCCCAGCATTGCCAAACATCTGAGCCGCCCCAGGGGCATTGGTAACACCCCTCGTCACCGCCATCATCTTTCCCGTGGTTCCCGTAGGACTCTCCCTATCCTTGAAGAAAGTCTGCAAACTGCCAGGCATCATCTTCTCAAAGCCCACGACCATTACACAATCGGCGGCTCCGTGCTCGACCAAGGTCCTGGCCATGTTGATACCAGTGCTACCGGTCGAGCAGTTGTTGTTGACGTTGTAGATGGGAATCTGGGTCATGCCGAACTGGTAGAAGACGCGCTGGCCACAGGTGCTATCGCCGTAGCAGTAGCACGCGATGGCCTGGTCTACATCGTCATAGTTGATCTGCGCGTCAAGAAGAGCCTTGATGCCGGCTTCGAAGCCGAGTTCTGTGTAGTCGACTTTTCCGCGGGGTTTGATGAACTTTGTCATGCCCACGCCGAGGACGTAGACGGGCGACTTTTTCTTGGCAGGCATTCTGGTGTTTGTTCGTTTGTATGTTTGCGTGGTGTTGATGTTAACAGTCAATATGCTCCCAGTCAGATAGCAGCACTCGCTTGCTATTGATGCAGTAGTATATACACAATCGAATTGGTATAGTATGACAAAGAGCAGGCAGGTGTTAGTTTCAAGTCGGAGACGTATGCAAGCTGGTAAATATATGTATTCATGATATCACCAACAATTTCACTCCCTCCCCAACCATCCCGTGGATCTGCAGAACCATCCCAGCTCTTATTCCTAATTAGGCAAACAACTCGGTCCAAGCACAAACTCTGATCAAATGAAATCGATGCTTCTGTTGCATTTGCTACCCCAGGTTTTAAAGTGCGGGATCGTGCGGGGGAGTCTCACAGGAACCGAGATGCCGAGGCTCGTTTGCCTTTGAGTATCTTCCTTTTCGGTCAAGTATTTATTCGCTCGTGATTTGAGTCTTGAACTTGCGTCTCGTACTTGGTATCAAAAGAGAATATATTGACTTGACGAGTATAAGTAATAATTGGAGTGGTCCACCGTCAGTAATGGGGCAAGCTTATGAGCAACCGGCCGAATAACTCGGCGCCGTCTTCAATCGGCCGAATAGATACGGTAGCATGTCTCCTTGCGACGAAGACCATCAAGTATAAAGCGAAGCTATTCCTAACAAAAGATTATACTGGTCATATTGGATCACAGAAACACCATCTTGTTGTCTTCCAATCATCATATCAAACAGCCCTTGAAACTCTCATTTATACCATTAAAATTCCGCAATGCACATTCTCCTCCTCCTCACTACATCAGACCGCAAAGGCTCCTTAATTCTTAAATCTGCTTTGTCACGAAACTACACTGTAACAGTCCTCACCCCTCGGCCCTCTTACCTCCCATACCATGCCAATGCTACCCTTATTGCCGGCTCGCCTACATCCCAGTACGATCTTGAAGCAGCACTGCAGACTCCAACCTCTCCAGAAGCCGTCATCCTCGCTTTCGACCGAGCGGGTGTCTTAGAAATGTCCACACGAGCACTCTTAAGCGCCGTGGAATCTGTTCATCGTCTCCACGATACATCAAAGGCTTTACACTCGCATACGTCTTTGCCGTTTCGCCTTGTGTTCAGCCCTTGCGATGCTACACCAATAAGAGCTGAGGCGTATCATAAAGTCGATGCAATTGTGCGAGAAAGTGGTTTGCCCTTCGTTCTCGCTCCACGTATTCGTCTGGCTCGAGAACCTATTGAAACCCTTCGTGTCTCTCCTTGTGACGGACGTGGCGCTACTTGGTTAGCTGCTATCAACAAAGGTAGTACTGCCCATTTACTAGCCGGTAGGGTGCAAGAGAACATGCTGCGTGGAAAGACGTGGTTTGATGGAACAGATTAAAAGGGCAAGACAGTAATCACCTGATTCGATTCAAGAATTGTATTTGCTTGTGTGCCTATTGCTTGGCATTGGTTCATGCATAACTTGCAAGGGCTTGATCATCCCATCTGATATACAACTTGTTCAAGGCCTCGTCTATCAGTTGCCCTAAAATCAACTCTTGCTATCACGCGCATCTTAAAACACTCCTTATCGGTTGGTTTGTACAAGCAAAAGCATATAAAAGCTCACGCTTCAACCATCTAACCCAAATGCGCCTCGCAGAGCCACGTATGGCCAAAGGTATCAAGGCCGCCATAAATAGAAAACATCCCTAATTTGGGGGTAACTCACTCAACGCCTGTTGAATTTCCAACACCTGGCACATGTCGTCAACTTGTAGACTCGCTTGCCACCGCCAATGTGGTTTACTCTACACATGTGTCTGAATAAATACCACTCCCGAAGACGATAAAAGTATGCTTGCAACATGAAGTGAAGACGTGACCAAAAAACGAAAGCATAAAACTTTGTCTAAGAAACACATCCGTGGTCCATACGATCCCTTAATATTATTACTCCCACCCTTCCCACAACATCCAGTTGTCGAAATCGTTGATGGCTGCTGGCACTCCAACCGAGTTTCGTTGATACATAAACGACGCATGATGCCTGTAAGCATCCCCCTGATACCCATCCATGGGAACGCCAGGACCCATAGGAGCACTTTCGAGGTTCATGTTGGTTGCTCTCGAGCAACGATCCAGTATCATGCGAAGGCTTTGCACAATGTCTTCAGTCGTGACTTCAGGCCGCGACACACAATCCAGTACAACTGATAGACACACCACATCCTTGGTGTCACGACCGCTGATGTTACGAACCAGTAGGTCCAGTGTCTTCTCCACTGTACTAATCAGTCGAGATGGAGACCAGAGCACAAGGTTTTCCGGGTTATAAGTCGGAAAGTCGTCAGAAGAATCAGGAGACATGCGCAAGGCTTGCGATCCAAGCCCAGAGCTATCAGAAGCTGGGCGTACGGCCGATCGAATGTAGAAACACACACTCAGAGCAGCCTGAATGATGTCTTTCTTCAGCACCTGGTGATACATCTCGGCAATATCTTGGAAGTGTGCGAGCATAGGATCTAGCTCATCTAGATATTTCATGATCACCATCGATGACCTGAGATATGCTCGAGATATTTGTCCTGGAGCGTCGGATGAGCCTATAGCAAATGGCCGATAGAGCGCAAGCAATGGTCGTCGTACGTGCATATCAAGAATGACTCGGGATCTCCACTGTTTGCTCTTCTGTGAATCGCTCAATATGCCCTGCCTAGGGAATATGTAGTTGATGTCATCAAGAAATCGCTCGAGTTTGGCCCCAACGTCCAAAATGTCTTGATAGTCACGGATTGTGTCGATCCTGTTCAGCATATGCGCCACCTTCATTCGCACTCCTAGGGTCATGGCTGCGTAGACTTGCATCTGGTTGTCAGTGACCACATCAATAGGTTTTGATGATGGCAGCTCCTTCATGTCCGGATAAAGTTCGATGTCGTCCAAATTTCGGGGCGGCCGACAGGTGAAGTCTCCATCTCGGACCAAACAGGGCAGATTGCTGGCAAGAGAGATATGGAGGTCCATATCGAGGATCGTGAACCACAATCGGCGGCGCATTTCGCCGAGGTATATGGGAACTCGAGGCTCGAATTCTGAAGGATCGCGGTGAAGACCCATCGTCATGGCCATTCGCACAATAGAGCCCAGTGATGTCCAGGAGTCCTGTATCCGGGGTGTGATCATTCGCTGCGCATGTAGCAGTAAAACCTCTACCTGGAGCACTTCGAACTCAACCAACTGCTTTCCCCTCAGACTATCCAGCCATGCCCGCACAAGAGCACATGCTGTCGGGATATGTACGCCATCAGATCGCTCGTTGCCAAGTCCCTTGGATTTCGTTTCGAATCGAGACGCGACAGAGCAAAGCGATAGTAGTTGCGGGAGGAAATACTCTGATTGGATCTTACCTTCCCAGAAAAGGTTATATTGTTCGGTGAACATTGGTAAGTGGACAATTCGATAGATCGTTTCGGACGTATCCACGTATGAAGCAACCAGCCTGTCGCACACTGCCTTTTTCGGCAGGATGTCTGTCATTCGCTTCTGTACAGGCATCATCGAGTCGACAAAAACAGTGATCGGGGACAAAGACCGGCGATACTCGTCGATAAGAGCTTTGTGAAACCGCTTGAAACTTAGTAGTACATCTCGAACAGCACCGTTATTAGAGTGGTTCCCCATGAAGTCTTTGGCTTCGTCAAACTATTGAATTTAGTAAAAGGACGTATCAAGATGCGCCAAGGGAGTATTACCAGGTTCAGCAAGACACGAGGGCTGTTTTGACCATGATATCTTGTTCGCAACGCTCCTTGTTTGACGGTCAATCCGCGGATAGTATCAGAGGATGCAGCAATTAGTCTGCCACCGCTACCCTCAGATACCGCAGGACTTCTGGCCATTAGGTGCCGTTCAAGTCTTTCCATGCGCAGTGACAATTCTTCTAATGAAGGCGCACTTGTCGCATCTCCGTTCCGAACAGGTCCGTATGCCGAGTCGTTGTTAGGAACGGGGGTTCCCGAACTGAATATACCGGAATTGCAACTGCGTTTCGGTGGTCGAGCAGGTTCCGGCATCTCGCAGTCAGAGCCATCGGAGAGGTTTGCGGAATCATGATCGATAGCGTATTTACAAGTTCGGTTCGATTTCTGGCATTGAGAACACGGACAGAGGCGATCGCATCGGAGTTTGCGCTTCCGGCATTCGGTACAGGACTTGACTGGCCTAGGTCTCTTGACGCTTCGTTGCTGTTGCTGCTGCTGGTGGGTGAGCGCAAGGCCTTGTGTAGGTGTTTGTTGGTGTAAGTGATGAGGCGGGGTTTGTTGTTGCGATAGAGGCGTATCGTAGGACGAAGAGGTCAGGATGGACTGGGGAGGAGCTGTGACAGGGGCGCTTCCCGCATCGTGGGTGGAAGAGTGCGCCGTAGTCATCTCGGGCATGCCTGCGACCATGCGACAGTCGGCTGGGAAATTATACGGTGGGAGGATGAAGCTCAGAACTGCAAGGAGCTGGAGGATCAGGTGAGAGGTCGATCGAGCTCGTATGCGAATCAGAAAGGCGCAAGCACACAGAGGTGGAATAAACGGTCAACAAGCGAGGACCGAGGAAAGTGCGCTGACCAGCTTCGAGGATTCGAGTAGTAAGTGGGATGTGGTGGTGTAGTCAGGAAGCCGACGACAGCCTCGGCTGGAAAAGGCAGATAGTATAAGGTCGCAAGCGCACCGAACTCGCAACAAACATGGCGGACAATGAAAGTAAAAGGACTCAAGCAAGGTTGAGAATGCAAAGCCCAAAAGAGATATTAGCTAAGGCAAAGCCGATACGGATAGGTGTAGAAAGGCACCACCAGGCACGCGGACTCGGGCGAGAAACGGGGCACGAGGGACAACCCAGGACCACACCGGTAGTCGAGACACAACCACACAGCGCAGCTCAGCGCAGACCTGGGGACCTTGGGACTTGGATTGGAGATGGGATAGTACGGGATGGGGCGGTTTGAATTGCAAGGCCAGGGTCGTTTGAGCTTTACCTTGTTCGAAAGAACGGAAGCTAACGAAAGCGCAGCGCAGCGCGGCGTAGTAGGGAATTTTCCTGGCTGCCCCCGTCTGATTCAGCCACCCCAGACACGCGCTCGCGCGAGTCGGGGCGATCCAGCAGCACCAGCACCAGCAAAAGGCTCAAGGGCTCAAGGCTCAAGGGCTCAAGGCTCAAGGCTCAAGCAGTGTGTCCGTACCTCATGCGAGAGGCCTGCAGATTGTAGATGTGGGTGCGGATGCGAACTAGGGTAGTGGACCCGTTGGGCTGGGTTGAGTTGGGCTGGACCTCTTTTTAGAGTAGCACTGGAAAAGAAGGGATGTCCTCCGTTGTTTTTTATGTTAGATGTGACAGCTGTAGATGCTGATTGGTCGTGTAAAACGTTGAACGAGGGTTGAAGCTGTACTTCGTATCGCTAATTGCTTCTTCACAAGGGTTTATCTGATGGATGTATGGACAACGGATAATGGAGGACTGGTCGCGAATCTCGCTGGCTTTCAATCAATCCGTCAACGACCGAGCCGGCCACTAATAATAAGGCCGCCCGCAGCGGTAGTAGATACGCAGGAGGCGCTGAAGTCGCCGTCCGGAGCTCGAAATATTTAACTTGGCGGGGGGGCGGTTTGATCGGCCGATGGAGACAATCCAGACGGATGGATACCATGTCTTCAGTGATCAATGCAATGCGATATTACGGAGTAAACCAGAACCTGGCTAGAACGTCATGCAAGTACTCCGGGTCCATTTGTCGATAATGTCGATCACTTTGCGCATTGACAAGACGGTGGACGTCTGGACGATTCTCTGAGGGGAAAGAGGTGTGAAAGTTGAGTACGACCAGAACTGCAATAAGCCCGAATTGAATCGGGCAGAGATATAACGCTGGATTTGTCTTTCATAAACGAGTAGTAATTGGTTTATGGGATGTTGAACGAAATGCTGTTCCCCGTGAAGCTCGAATTAACTAACATTCAGTCTCCACTTGGCATAGGATAGCGTGGAGAGAAAGAGACCTCCTACCTCTAACGTAGTTCCAGATTGGATTGTGATACTGCACTCTACCGCACGAGGCAGGTACAAAGGCTAGTAATTACCAGACCTGCCCAGTAAAATCATAATGTTAGGGGGGGGAACCAACAACCGTGAGGGTGTCCTTCCCCTCCCGTCTCGGAGCCGATTCTTGGGGTCTAGACTTTGGGACAGAGCGGTCTCGATCATCGAGTGGCTCGCACGTGATACACCCAAGCTCCCGATTCCAAATTCCATGAATCGACATGACTATCTGAGAACAACTGATTCATTAAACAGCCTCTTCCGTGACATGATCGACAGCCTCGACCGGCCCTTCTTCCTGTTCATCTGTCGCTGGGTGGCACTATTAATGTCATCGCCAAGAATCTACGGCTCATGCCAATTGCCAAAGCAGAGAAAACAAACTTTGAATACCAAGAGACTATCGATCCGAGCAAAGCCGAGAAAGGGAATGGCGATGGAAGGAATTGAATAGAGATCTGCATTATAGAGAGAAGATACCGACGAATCGACGATCGTGACATTTGATATCACTTAGTCAGGAATGAACAAACAGAGCAAGCACGGGCTTTGGTTTTGACTTTGACTTTTGACTTGCTTGTCCAACGTTGTCCATCGGGTTCATGACGGGTTCAAAGATAGTCCTTTCGGCCGACCCGTCTTCCCCATCTTATCCCCAGTCTCCTCCGCAGGCACAAAGCCGTGCTTTTCCTAAGTATTTCCATCCAATCCCCGGAGATATATGTTTATGATCAGTGATGTATGACACAGCTCATTCAATTCGGACGTCGACATGCTGAGTTTTGGTTTAAGATAGATGCCATAACGTAGATTACAGCGATATCTAGCCCAAAAGTGGCTACACAAAACAACGCAACACAATGCAGTGTAATGCAATGCAAACCTCAATTATTGCCAGTCTTGATGCTTCTGCTGCAAGGATTTTGTTTGCAATTGATTGTGTATGGCCCCATATCTCCTCTCTATTCCCTCCTGGGTCCTCGCGCCCGCAATGAAGACAGGCTTTGCATCGACTTTTACTGCTGTCCATGGAATGAATACCGCTCACACTGATACATTACCGCACTTCAACTTTTTGGCATTGAAATACTCGGGCCAAATCACCAAATTCGCACTCTTGAGGCTAGAACCATTCCCCACCACGTTTCACCCTTGTGAACTTGCCTGCAGACTTCTCCAGACCGAGTACATCATTAATTTTATAGCGCATCTTTGTCCTCCGAGCCTTCAGCTCGATTGCTTTGCATGCGCCGCATGCGCCTGGGCTGCTTCTAGGAGTAATTCAAAGGTCGGCCGACCATGTGCTCCGTGCTTTTGATTTGCGTCGGTTTTCTCGGCTCCGAGGAAATTCAAAGACAAGGGCTGTGGCATTCTTGGTAACTTGCTCATTACTAGGTAGTATTTCAGTGGCTCCAACCCTCCGGCCCAACGGATGTTATCGCATAGATATATACACAATACCTATGGCGCAATATTAACGGTTCACCTGATCCTTAGCACAACCTCCCTATCTCATAGCGGTCATTGTTTAAGTTAGTAAACTTAGTAGATTGTATGCTCGGCTACCTGATTATGCAAGCTGCTGTCTCTATTCGTCAACCAAAACCGACCATCATTCAACACTACCTAACACTAGGTAGGTACCTAAGGTACTAGACAGGGCTGAGAAAAGGACGGCCTCGCTTAGGCCAAACTCCCGCATTGCGATTGGCTCCTCTGACCCAGGTTCAATTACCTTCTACCGCCCTTTCTAGAAACCCTTCATCTCCGGTGTCTGCCCTAGTAAGTTGATGTGTCTGGGGCACCGGTCTAACGATAGGGATGCCCAGGGTGGTATAGCAGTTGGGCCGGAGCAAATACAACGGTAGTTTGGCGATCATTTATCAGCGCTTAGCCTGGGGCTTGAGAGACGTTGAGAATCGGTGAGGGTTGACCGTGATTAAGAAGTCTACAATTATGATATGTATGTTAGCAGTGAATATGGGTTTATGTATGGGGTCAATGGTGATGGCGCAGTCAAAGAAAGCCCCTCCTTGCGCTTCACCGGATATACGGAGTAGAGAGCTCATTGACAATTTCATCAATAATTAAACCAACAGTTAAGAATGTACTTGTTTGTCTAATAATTATGTTAAGCTATATACTACTCCCCAGGAATCAACCCAAGCGATCATAATCCTTACCTCCCCGTGTCCACTGCATCTCTCCCCTGTCCAGGCTCAGGTTCATTCTCTTCCTCAGTGTCCGTATTTGTACCTCTTTCCTGATCAGCATCAGCTTCGTCTTGCCTCTCAGCAGTCGGCCCGGGTCCTACGCCAAGCATTTGCATCAAACGCTCAAGGAAGCCTCCGGTTGCTCCACCAGACTGTGCCGCTTCCTGAAGATCACGTCGCAACTCCTCGTCATCTAGTATCGCGGCTCGTTCAGCGTCATCGTCGCTGTCGCCTTCACCTTGGCCTTGGCCACCAAAAGCCGCGCCGCCTGCACGACGTGGCGCAAACATATGATGCATACGGGCTTGGACTTCAGGTGTAGGTCCTAGGTGATGTCCTCCGTTATCCCAAGGCAGTCTTGTACCCGTTCCTGTGAAGACATTGTCCTCCTCTGCGGGTGGCATGGGGTCGAATTCGTAGTTTGGTTGCATTTCCAGGTATTGCCGTGGCGCCAGCGCCATGAGCGATGTCTCGCCTTCGAGAAAAACGAGTCTTGTGGCTCCTTGGTCGGGTGGAGAATCAGTACTAGGCAGCACATTTGTACCAACCTTATCAAGGCTCTTGGCTACCTCCTTCAGGAGCGCGGTAACCTCTGGTCTGTTCCAGAGATCCTTGGCCTGGTGGATGTAGAGCTTCTCCCAGAACGCCCGAGCGTCTGTGTCGGCACTGATACCCCAGATAGATGGAGGTGTGTCCAAACCAAGTGCTTGGAATAGTGCACAGTACAGCCAAGGGACTCGCTTCATGCCCTTCTGAAGCTCCTCTGTTGCACGAGCAGTATCACCCAGTTGCAAGTAAGCCAACACCAGTGACTGTTTAATATAAATCGTATCTCTGTTATCGGACGTCTCCTCCAGTACGTCCATAAAGTCGATCAACCACGTGGCTTCATGGGCACGAATGGCCAACGTGTGAATGAAGTGGCGCATGGCATAAGGATCCCGATGGTCGAAAGAGAAGAGAAGCTTCGCCCACTCCAGACCGGTACGATATGTGCCTTTGCTAACAAGACTCTTGATGTAATGATATCCTGCGAGCCACAGCTGTCTGTTCTCAGGGCGACAGAAATCCAGGCGAGCCTTGCCTTGCTCCATGTTCTGGCGGAAGGCATTGGTGGTCACACGACCAAATGTGAAAAGAGCTCGTTCGCAGAGTTCAGATGCGAAGGACCTGTTGTCTCCTTTAACGATACTGCTTACCTGGAGCAGTGTCGAAACATGGTATGGGGCTTCTTTGAGGAGGTGAACCATACGCTGGGGATCTCCGATCTGCACGCATCCGAAGAAACAAGCTTGCAGGGTATCATAGTTTTGATCATGCATATATGCGTACTCGGTGCTTGAACCATCCTCAGCCTTTCCGATCTCCTCTATGGTCAGTCCACCTGCACTCTGCTTGGGCCAATGATCGCGACCTTGGATGAATGGGTTTCGACGCAGAGAAACCTCTGGAAGTTTTGGCGCATTACGTGGGTTTCGCAGGAAATTTTCAATATCAAGTGGTTGTTGGCCCTGACCTTGTCGGTTCCGACCTCTACCCTCTTGTTCAGCTTCCGCTGAAGCGGACTTCATCGTGGCGCGGCCGAAAAGGTTTCGCATCTCATTGTCCACCTTGAGGTGATACTGGTTGATCGCGAGAACTTTATTCCTTCGATTGGTCTGGGCTGCTGTATCCTCTGTGATAGGCTGGTTTTTAGACTTTGATCTTGTGATGTTGAGTTCTCTGATTGCCTTATCGATATCGTCCTCGTCTTCTTGAGGGGTCGCAGTCTTTGCCTTTGACTTCTTCTTCTTGTTCTTCTTTTTGCCTTTGGTTGCCGCGGGTGGTGGCTTCTCTTCATTCACAATCTCTTCAGGCTGTTGCTCCTCCTCGGTCTCATCTTGCGCGTCGTCTTCATCGCCACCAAGCGCAGCAAAGAGGCTCACTCGAGGCTTTGGCGCGATAGACAGCTGCTCATCCCCGCTATCTTCCGAGAGTTCCTGAACCTCTCGTTGCTTTTGCAGCTTTCGGAGCTGTCGGCTCGACATTATGTGTGTGTACAGATGTGTGCGTGAAAGATGTGTGCGTGTATGTGTATACGAGAGAGAAACGGAGGGACAGAAGTGGGATCTGAAGAGATATTTATAACTACTTCCTGTTAGACTTTCGAAGTGATGCCCTAAACCTGTGGCTTGGAAGACGAAATTATCAAAATAAGGTTGCGGTTCTTCTCGTAATGTATAAAATAATTTCGTCTTTGTTCGTTGTGATGGATGATGGTGATGGGCGATGTGTCAGGCCGTGCAGAAAATCGGAAAACGATGACGTGGGCGGGGTGATAAAAAAGTCAGCACCCACTCTCACTCCCCCAGAGCAAGTCACACTATTTATGCTCACGTATGTTATATTACATGTACGCATATGATCTGAAATACTTCAATATCTTCTCCATTATTCGAAAAAATGAGGAAGAATTTACTGAATTAATTAATATTTGTAAAAACTTAGACTAAAATATGTCGGAACTTAGCTTCAAGGTTACACACAAACTTTCCAAATAAGTTAAAGAATACTCAGTTGGAAGCGTTTTTGTGATCGTGAGCTTATTGAGTCGAAATTTTTGTTATTTGGCATTATGCATGTCATAAGAACAGCTTAATATTAAAGAAAATCGTAAAATCTTGAGACTGCGATTACCCTACAAACCATATTTTCTCCCCAACTTGTTCTGGATAGCGTTCTTTTCAGATATCATAGTTGAGACGGAACTACGATAGCAAAAACGCATTATCTACCAGGTTCTTACTGGTAGCATCCCTAGAATTAACCACAACAACATGTTTCGTCTCGCTATGTGTTCAGTGTGATGACTCTACCAGGCCCAACTCACCATCCGTGACATGAATGAACCCTGCCACTTCAAGAGTACCATCCTTTCAACAACGTAGCTAACAGGCTGTATTGCATCAATCACACGACGAACAATACATGGATACCAAGGTGAGTGGGTTGTGCTTGAATATGTGTATTCATGTGATGACCGAGTGTCCATTCTGGAAGGACCGATCTTGAACCACACGTCAAGCTTCAATGCCTAGCTTTTTTAATACTTCATTACGAGTGTTTGTTCACCCGTCAGCTAGGTTCTTCGTGGTAACTGCCGGCGCCGGGCCATGCCAGGCCGTCCCTTATGTTCTTGCCGAATTCAAAAAGGGTAACAGCTACTTATTTTGTAGTCTGTTACGTGAATCACGCCTTCAATTCCGCCCGCTGTCAATTCAATCCTAACTCCAGGCCTCCAAGGCCTCGCTCTCATGTGAGGTCCAAAGCTTCGTTCATGGTATCCGTTCAAACCCAAGAACAGCTTTGGGAACCATCTTTCGCCCCCACTAGGCCGTAGAAATGCAATCGTTCAAAAAATCGGAAATCTGTGATACATGATACAAGCAAGTAGGAAACCTGTGACGCGTAGGTTTCTGTTTGGTTCGTTACGATTATCTCGTGGAGGCGTAGTCGTCTAGCCTCGCGACAGCATTAGAGATGACTGATAGATGTCCATGTTCGTATTATGTCGGCCGGCGTCCTCCGGTGACTGATTATTGTGGACCGGGTGAGACTTGGTACTGAGGGCGGTTTCCACCACGACCGCCGCGAGGATAACCACCGCCGCCACGACCACCCCGACCTCGACCACGACCGCGTCCACGATAGTTGCGGTAGCCCCCGTCAACGCTGCCTTGGCCAAAGGTCTCCATGTTCTTGCGCTGCTCCTCGCCTCTCCATTCGCGACCACCGGGCTTTTGACCTCCATTTTCGGTACGCTCCCTGGATTCGCTAGAGATGTTATCGAAGAACGATTTCGTCTTGTTATAGGCGACAGGAACATCGTCACTGGTAGTTGCAACCTCGGGTTGCTCAGTTTCAACAGGGTTTTCAGGAATCTCCGAGGGAGATCCAGCGATGGCCTCCTTGGCAAGGTCATGCTTGTTGAATTTGGCATTGGACTGAGCGAAGTCAAAGTCGGAATCAGGAACAGCGACCTTCGCGGCAGGAGGACGTCCACCGCGACCACGACCTCTACTGGTAGGTCCACCTCGGACCGCGTTGACTCGCATTTCATTAACCTTGTTGGTCAAGTTATCCATTGCGTTGCCACTGTTACCACCGTTACCACCTAATTGAGCCATAGCTTGTGCGACTGCAGCTCGGGCAGCGCTGGTTGCGTCTTGAACGTTGGTCGGCGCAACAGCCGCAGGAGCCTTGCTAGCAGCATCTCCTGTGACACCAGGTAGAGAGAAAGGTTTGGCAACAGCCCCGGTCAAAGGAATCACAGGGTTGACCCGATGGTTCCTGGGCCCTGCGGGAGTAGCCTTGCTCGCCTCAGCAGCAGCTTGACCATTAGCAGTCAGGTTAGCAGCAGTCTGCTTGACCTCCTCAACAGATGGCTTCGAGTCGACAGGTGGTGTTGGGGCGTGTGAGGGCTGTCGCACACCTTGTGCCAGTGACTTGGGTTCTGTAGGAGGTGCCGCTTGTCCGCTGTGAGGGCCAGCCTTGGCACGTTCAGCGCCAGGGCCAATAGGAGCTGGCTTCCCATCTTGCGCAGGGCCAGAGCCGGGTGTAGCTCGTTGATTGGCAGGTGCTTCAACCGGCGCGTTTGGACCAGGACCGCCGGGGCCACCAGGGCCCTGTGGGAACGGGTAGTTGCCCCATGGGGCAGGGCCACCTGGACCACCTGGACCTCCGGGAGGGTTGGGACCACCAGGGCCACCTGGGAAGCCTTGACCAGGAGGGAACCAGCCAGGAGGAGGGGGATACGGCATGTTTCCAAAGTTGGGACCAGGGCCGGGTCCTGGAGGAGCACCGCCACGACCCCAATTGCCAGGTGGTGGGCCTCCGTAGAAGTTGTTTGGAGGGTAAGGGCCTGGAGGACCTTGACCAAAAGCACCAGGTCCGGGTGGGGCATTCTGGTTGGGTCCTTGGGCACCAGGTCGAGCTCGAGCCTTGCAACTGTTAGCTTATGTGTCTTGAACAATAGTAGCAAAATGACAGCAGTGTATGTTTTCCCAATCAGAAGGAAGGCAACGGAAATATCGACATTATTTTTTGCGCTTTCCGACAATGACAATTTTTACATCCGAGATAGTTCATCATATGGGAGGGTAGTGTTCAAAAGGGATATGACTTACGCCTACGATGGCCGGATCATCGGGCACAGCTGGAGGCTTGTTCTCCTTGATGTTGGGATGTTCTTCAATCCTCAAGTCCTTGACGTCGCTGCCGCGGAAGACAATGTACTCGTAGACTTGATCGGAGGGAGAGATCTCTTCTTCAGGTCGGCCCTTGCGACCCTCGGTTCCGAATGACCTCACATTTTCAAGTGATACTGTCGACTCGTCCGAGTTGATCTCATGTAGGGTACCAACATAGCTGCCATGGGTCAGCGACGTCAATCAATGCCATTGAGCATAGCAACATACCGGATATCGCTTTTGGAGATGAGGGAAATGCGAGACCTGTGGCTGCGTAAGCGGGCGTAGACAGGCTTCAAAGACCACGTCCAGCATACCCGAGAAATTCAGACATCGCCGATGTGAGAAGCCACGTTCAGCACGTGGTAAGCTTGTGGGAGAAAAACGCTCGAAATACAAATACAGTGCAAGATGCACCAGATGCGAAAATTGGGAGAAGAGAAATGGGAGAGAGATGGGAAGAGTTTGATCGGGAACGAGGGAGAGGTGAGGTAAGGAGGGGGAGGTTGGTTGTGTGGAGGTAGAGTTTTGTGAGAGATGGAGGAATGAAAAGAGGCTGGAGGTTTCTTGAGCGCAAGCCCTGCTAGTAACGCGCGGCTGAACCTCGGGTGCTTTTCGGCGATTATGTGGTTATATACATAGTAGCTCAGGCTTGGATAGCTCAGCTCAAGCTGCCAGTGATGAAGCGCTGTAATTGAAGGCATTTGTGACAGCTTGTCAAAATTGATACAATGCTGCTGTTATATCAAATTCCCTGAAACATTTGATGTTAATTTTATCATGTTGTATTCGTATGTGTTTGTGAAGTGTCGTTTACAGCGTCATGCTCTTGAGACATGATACGCGTGGCCTAAACCGTTCATATTAGCATACTTCATTCACTCTGAGCTGCCGCATGTTTTTCTCACTAAAATACCATTCAAGTGGCTATAGCTCTAAGGTTTTTAAACATCATCATTCTTTATATAGACACTACTCTGTAGATAAGATCCATCACTTCTCTTGTGAAAAAAGCATGCGAAATCACTGGGTCCACGGAGTGGTGGTGGATTGCGTTTAATATAGGGATGTCAACCCTTGGGATTGTCGCGAAAATTCTCAAAATTGCTGTAGTCTCAAAATTTGTATGTACTGTTGCAAGACAAAGTCGGTCTACATCTACAAATCATTAAGCATGCTAAACTCCTTCATCAAACGAAAGTACGCGTAAGGCCCATTATCAGTAATAGCGCATATAAGCCAAGCCAGAAAGTGACTGCCTAAACTCCAATAACCAAATTCATCCCTCATCGGAACTTGCTGAAGATAACTGCAACGATGAGAATAACCAAGACTGTGATGATTGAGATGGTGATTATCCGATTTGTAGCCATCCTGTAATTTCAGAAGTCAGTCTTTTGTAATTGTCATGACGTCCTTGTGGGTCACTTTACCTACGCGCCATGCCCCTGAGTGTCTTGACGCTCCTGTCAACGTAACCCTCGCTTTCAAGCATCCTAGAACGAGTGTGCTCGATGGTTTCTCGCTGCCTGCCAAGATCTGCCAGAGTGCCGGCGCCGATGGCTTCAGTCTCGTTGGCAAGAGCCTGGCTGGCCTTGAGACGCTGGGTGCTTCGATCGAGGCGGTCCGTTCCAGAAAGTAACTGCTGGCGCTGCTCCATGTTGATGTCCGATGAGCCTGCGGGGTCATCGGTATATCGTGAACCGAAAAGCGCTGAGCGATCGGAGGAGAGGGTGGTGAGTTTGCGACGAGCTGCATCTGTGTCTGATTCGTAGTTTCGAAAGCGCTGGTTGACCTTGGTGCGGGAGCTGGTTGGGATGTTTTGCTTCTCCAGGCGCATTGCACTGAGCTAAAGGCCGAAGATGTTAACAAAGATATGTATACCGAAGGCAGTGCTCAATTGATGTAGACCTACCTGTTCATCGAGTTCCTCCAGTGCTCGCTCGGCTTGGCTGATAGCAGCCTTTCGAGGCTCGCCAGCCAGTTCGGGGATCTGATCCAACTTTTGGTTTAGATCGGCTTGGATGAGCTTGAACTCGGCCTCGTAAGAACTGAAGAGCTCGGAGCCAGCGTCGGTATCGAGAGGATTCGCCATCGTGAAAGGAGGCTGGGGTAAGAGAGAAAGTCGAAGTGAATTATCGAGTTGTTGAGCCTACGCCGGGATGACTTGCGAAAAAAAGGAGATGAGAGGATGTGTTGGGTGATATGGCTGACGCAATGTCGAATGCGCAATACGTGGTGATGTTGGATCTAAGTGGTTCCTGGTTTGACGTTCTCGTCAGCCTTCCCAGTTCGGCAGGCCCCGAGTACTGACTGCCTGGTCGTTTGCGTATTGCGGCAAGGAGCCAATGAGGAGTGCAGTACTCGCTACACGTGATAATATGGTCCGTGCACACCAGAGATGTGGGCATTATATTACTGAACGTTTGCAGCGAACTTTTAGTCTTTTTTCTTCTTTTCTCTTCAAAGTTGATTCCCCCGGTGCGAAGAAAAAGCGGCTCAGCGTCACGACTTCGGTCAATGGCGTCGAGTTGAAACAAACTGGGCAGACGAAGGCGGGTTTATCCTGCACGGCGCTTCTAAGAATTGGTGACTCGAATTCTACGTTTCCCGATCCCGTTGAGTGTTCGACATGCCCATGACAAAATCTTTGATTTTGAAGGCTTTGATGAGCACAAGTGAGGATGGCATAATAAGAACGACCATTTCTCGAATGTATGCATGTGAAGATTATGGTTCTCCAATTTACTGCCCAATTGCCTGATAAGACGGGACGTATTGTCAAGTTATCGCGGTCAGACTTGAAGTTCTGTATCCCCAAGTGATGCTGGAAAATCAGATCCTGAAACGGCTCTTCAGCCAAGCCACGTCAATACGACAATCGCTTCGGCATAATCCTCACTGCTTATGCGTCAAGGCTTCAAGGCCCCCAAGCTCAGTTGGGTTTCAGTGCATTTCGATGCGTTTTAGTGGGTCTTCAGCTCAATCGTTGGGACCTAAATCGTCGGGTCAGTCCGTGTTGGGTTGGTACAGGGGGAAGGTACTTAGCAGTCAGCACCCCAGCAAAAGAGAGATGGACCATTCATATTCGTCTCTTGCCCATCATCGTCTTGAGGCTTGCCGCAAACTTACATATCGTAGATCCATCAGCCAGCTGGACCCTTTTTGTCTCTCCTACTCCGTACAGGGCAAGACAACTACCTACCTACGGTCCACCTGCGGATATCCAACTCTATCTCTCGCTAGCCGTGGCTTTACAGTGCCTCAGATACAGTAACCGCTCCCTATTCGTTGATCGCTTAGCAGCCCAGCATGCCGGAGCCACAGCATATGTAAGTCCCCGTCATGGTGACCTGTGCTTCGTTGTCCAACCCCCCCAATCTTGCCGTCTTCATGCCTCGTCACCAAATCAGGTTTGATACCGTCTGTGGCTGCGATACCGCTATTTATCTCTAAAAGTATTGTCCAATCATGAACTCAGCATAGCAGTAACTGGAGTCTCTGACTTGGCTCTTTCACATGCTTTCAAACTGCATTCGCTTCGCTTCACTCCACTCCATGTCAAACATAGAAATGGCCTTCGCACCCTGTTGAAATAATTCTTTCGCTTCCTTTCAGACCGCTCTCCCCTCGACAAGACAAAGACAGGACAAGAAAATGGGCTCCTCGACTGATCGCTTCCGCAGGAAAAAGGTTGCTATCGTCGGCAGCGGCTCTGCAGGAATTGGTGCCCTGTGGGCATTAAACAAGACATATCATGATGTCTACGTTTACGAAGCCTCCGACAGGCTCGGCGGCCATACAAACACAGTCGACTTCAAGAGGGGGAAGTTTTCGACAAAGGTTGACACAGGCTTCCACGTCTTGAATGCCGCCACCTATCGTGAGTTATTTCTTCAATGGCCGCGCAATCAAACTTTCTGACCCTCTTTCAGCCAACTTTATCAGCTTTCTGGAAAAGCTCAATGTCAAGACCGCCCCGACAGAGTTGACATTCAGTGTATCTCGAGATCGAGGTGCCTTTGAATGGGCCGCTTCCAGCCTTGCTTCAATATTCTGTCAAAGAAGAAATGTGCTCTCACCGCGAGTGTGGCGAATGCTATTCGACATTATCCGCTTCAATCAGTTTGCCATGGATCTCTTGTGCAATGACGAAGACGACATATCAAATATTGAGGTGCAAAGCAAGTCAACGAACCCTATCGGCAAAGACGTCACTATTGGAGACTACCTGCGACATGAGGGGTATTCGCAAGCTTTCAGAGACGACTACCTTCTGCCTCTGGCGGCATCAATATGGAGCACCAGTCCAGACCAGTGCTCCCTAGAATTCCCTGCAGTGACATTTATCCGCTTTCTGTAAGTTCTTGTCGCTGACTACGCGTAACTTGGCTAATTTTCTCTCAGGTGGAATCATAATCTATTGTCCAATTTAACGGCACGCCCACAATGGTTAACAATTGAGGGAGGTGCCAGATCATATATCGATGCTGTTTTGAGGGGCTTCCCCCCTAACCACTTGTTCCTCAAGAAAGCCGTTAGACACGTCACAACTGAAAGCAACGGCCAAGTTAGGCTCCACTTGGAAAACGGTTCATCGGCCCTCTACGATCATGTCATCATAGCGACTCACGGTGATGAGGCATATGATATCATCAAGTCGTCGGCTACCGAGCAAGAACGCTCCATCATGTCTTGCTTCAAGACGTCGCAGAACGAAGTGGTTCTACACTCGGATCTGGATATGATGCCTCGACGCAAAAAGGCCTGGACTAGTTGGAACTATCTTACGTTGTCGTCGCAATCGTCTCGAAAGGCAAACATCGACCACGTATCACTCACCTATAACATGAACCTTCTTCAGCATATTCCTCGAAACACATTTGGCGACGTCTTCGTCACTTTGAACCCACTCCAAAAACCGAAGCCAGAGAAAACACAGGGACGTTATTACTACTCGCAACCAGTATTTACATCATCCGCTGTCCGGGCGCAGAAACTTTTGAAACACATTCAGAACACCCGTGGTATTAGTTATGCCGGCGCGTGGACCAAGTATGGATTCCATGAGGACGGTTTCAGCAGTGGATTACAGGTAGCTCAGAACCATCTGGGTGCGAAGCTGCCATTTCAATTCGTCGATTCTACCTATAGTAGAGGTAAGAGACCTAACCTGGGTCTCATTGATCACCTTTTGCGATTGATTATCTTGGTGATCCAAGTCTTTGTGGTCCAGGTCATTGAGCGAGTGGTCGGCAAAGGTCGCGCTCAGCGTCAACGACTTGTGAATGGTGGCAGAGCAAGACTTAACGGCAAGTACCGATAAAAGCAGATTATTTGTTTGTTTAGCAGGAGTCATTTTGGGGAAATTTATGTCTTGACTGCGTGCAAATGATGTTGCATTTTATAGCATGAAGCGCTGAGATTGTAGAGCAAGCTTTTACTGCATGATTACATTCAATATATTTCTTTCTTGGTTACAGTCAATTTTAGATGGTCCTTTCGCGCCCATTATCATCCTACCACGCTTGCTCACGTTAGAACATTTTGGAGACGAGGACAGAGGTCTATAGGTGTATTGCGTAAAGGCATATTAACTATAAGAGTATCTCTCAGTTGGAAAGGATTGCGATCCCAATCCCCAGCAATAACTGCACACCTAGACTCAGCCCCAATATTAGGTGAACATACATCCACTTGGAAATTTGGAGCACAACACCATTCTCGGGCCGAAGTCCAGGTATTATGAGATTGTTTGGCGAAACCTGCGCCGCAACAGCCACGACTCCTGCTGCAAAGGCGGCCGTCAACATTCCCATAGTATCTGTATCCCCAGTCAGGGGCTCCCCATACGTCGACTCGGCAGGATAGCTCTGGAACTGGTGATCGGTGTTGGTGGGACCCAGCGAGGAAGCGCCGTATCCTTGGAGAGCTATGGCTGACGAGGCGAGAGAGGTGATGTTGGAGCCGATATAGTGCTCTTTGCGGAAGGCGTTGACTACGGGACCGAAGCTGACGTTGCAGCGGTAGAACCAGGGACTGGAGCTTGAGGCTTCGAAGGCTGTGATCTCACTCCAGGTCAATCCTTGATCTGTTGCGGCGTTGAACATAAAGGTTGTTTGGTTGACGCCATTTATCGCCGTGATGTTGACTTCGGTTCGTTTATCGTCCGCGATGGTAATGGTTGTCTCGTTTCCGTCACCTCCCTTTGCAACTTTCCAGCTACGGCAGCGCCCCGTGGCCTCGACACTGCGATTCGTGCTTACGACAAGGTCGTATTTCTTTGGCCTTGATGCTGATTCTTGGAACACAAACTTGCAGGATTTTCCACCGCAGTATATCAGGGGGTCGTTGTTATCCCATAATGTTCCGGGCGTAGGAGCGTCATCCATGCCTCCCCAGATCCATCCAAGGGCAATGGTACCATAACTAAGCCTTCGATCAATGTCTGTGGATGCATCCGCTGTAACGACCAACCTACCTATTTGCAGTGTATCGCAATGCCCCCAACGCTTGTGATTTGGATGAGAGGACTCTGTTGGTGACCAAATCTGACATGTCCGGCACAGTGACATTGCCAGGCCTGAGAATTGCAGACTCGTCTGCCGTGTTTGTCGAATATACGAGACCCAACATGGCCAGGGCAATTTGGGATACCAAGTTAAGTATTATGAAAGCACCTGCGTAGGAGCGTAGGGAACGCGAGCGAGACTTCCAGGTTAGTTGAATGATCTTGGTCAAGTCCTTGGCTTTCAGTATCAACTCGGTCTACGACTCAATGTTAGAAATTATCCGCACATAGTGTTGCGCTTGGCCTACCTCTCGATCTGACCAATTCCGGAGACCCAGTATCCAGTATCTGATCTCTACAGCCATAGCCTCCAGGGATATAGTTATACTCATTCCAAGACCAAGAGAGAGCCCAATGATGAGGGCGTTGAACTCTCGTTTCGTTGGTGTTGACATGATACTTTGCTGTGAATAGTACCAGAGCACCACGTAAATGGCTACAACGAATAGCATCGAACAGCACCATCTTAGAAAGTTTGCAACAAGGGCTTTTCGTAGTCTCTTGGGACGATTGCGAAGCTTCTCAGCAGCGAGTGCCTTGCTTGACCGCCGAGGCGTTGCTTCATGTTTATGAGATTCTGGTGATCCTGGCATTGACTCTGGTGATGAGTTTGGTCTGGAGAGGAGATTCGATTCCTCTCTCGACTGGTTGATCTGGTATTGCTGCGAGTTTGTTTGCCCCTTTGGCGACGGGAATCTCTCCAACTCATATTCTGCGTCTGGGTTGTTGTGCCCATCTTCTGCCATGCGTCTTTCCATGGTCAAGGAGGGGGGTATAGAGATTATACGATGAAAAACATGTTGAGGCCTCTTCCATGTTGCACATGCTTACACTCGATTGTATTTAAGCTTTTCTATGTGGCGGGCCTGGGCCAATCCGTGATCTGTGTGAAGTTAAAATAAGGGCGGGAGGGAGCTTGCCGTTTACCCTTTTACGGCGGTTTGAAGAGTCACTGCTGAGGATCTTTTGCTAGGTCAGTACCTAGGTAGTTAAGTAGCTAAGATAAGCCTTACTAGAAATCGGTTGAGGTGTTACTCGGATTTGCCTTAACTGATTACCCTAATAATACGACACAATCTCTTGAATTGCCCTGGCCACAGACCATACTCTTCTCGCAAGCGACTCCTAGAGAAAGGAAGACACTTTCCAGTAGCTTAGACTTAATTGGCTCAACGTTGTCTGACAACGGTTTGCTGAAGCAAGATCCAGACCTGCTACGGTACTGTACCGACATAGAGTTCAGTAGTGCCAAATCCGTCTGTCATGACCCCAGTCAATGGCTGCACTTCGTATACGCCCGGACTAATTATCGCATTCATCGTCGCAAGGATTTCAAGTCCCGCAGCTATTAAAGGTTTTTGCATAAAAATAGTCTTGTGCATGAATGCCTAAGGGCCTGGAAAATCATAGTATGACTGGTTGTCTCCGTAGGTAAGCTATGAAGAGTCCGGGAGCGCCTACAATGAAATGTAACAAGGCGAGTCAAACCCCCGAAATATTGCGCTGCATCATCTAGTTAGCGTTGTGAACCTGAATTGAGGCGTACTAAACTGGAGTGATCATGCTGAATGCACTGATAAAATAATTGTCTTACACTCAACGACGGATCACGATGTCTTGTGTTGGGAGCGGTCTCAGTACAAGGTTGCCCGATCATTGAACTCGACAATAATTTCCACAGCTGCAAGTCAATTGAAGGCAAGGAGAGATCATTATCCAGGAAAGGTATCTAACATATCAAAAACACCAAAGACCAGTGTGACATAAAACTGTAATGTGTTAGTGCTTGTCTGTAGGGTACCTATCTATCCCACAATTGTCGGCGTTCTAGGAGCCGATCCCCGACTTCAGCCAGAAATCAAGCGCCATAGATCATCCGACTCAAAGCATCATTTCCATCTGCAACCCAAACCACGCATTTCCGCGCCAATTGACCATGAACGTTGCACCTCGAATTGCGCGATCCTCGGCTCGAGCGGCTTCCTCGCCGTGGTCATGTTTCTTCTGCCAGAATGCCCGGCCGAAGCCTCAACGAACTACCCTCAACTTCGCCCGCAATGCCTCCAACTCGCAGAGACCTGGACAACCTTACACCCCAACGATGGAGGAGATTCGGGCGCATTACAGCAAGAAGAACAGGACGATAGCGTAAGGATGGCTGTGGAATCTGAAGGTCAAGTTGGCTTACAATTGCCAGTTACTATACCTTGAGTACAATCCTCGGATTTGTCGCTCTCACTTATGGCTCTGTGCCCCTCTACAAGATGGTGCGTCCCTCTCTCTTCACATCAGTAATATCCCTCTAATAATTCTATAGATTTGCGCAACTACCGGCTGGGGCGGTCAACCTATACGTGCTCACGGTGGTCCCGGCTCCGGCGATGAAGGCGACCTTGCGAGTCGAGTCATTCCCGTCAAAGACGCCACGCGAATCAAAGTTACATTCAACGCCTCCGTCTCCGACGTTCTCCCCTGGAAGTTTGTTCCCCAGCAGCGCGAAGTCCGCGTCCTCCCTGGCGAGACAGCGCTGGCCTTTTACAAGGCTACCAACACGAGCGACCAGGACATCATTGGAGTGGCTACCTACAGTGTGACACCTGGGCAGTGTGCCCCGTACTTCAGCAAGATCCAGTGCTTCTGCTTCGAGGAACAACGTCTCAACGCAGGCGAGACGGTAGACATGCCTGTGTTCTTTTACCTGGATCCTGATCTGCTCAATGATATGAACATGAAGGGTGTGGAGACGGTGACATTGAATTACACCTTCTTCAGTAAGTTATCATTCCGATATGTCCTATGGAATTCAATGCTAATCACTATTACAGAAGCAAGATACGATAACAATGGACGATTCCAGAGGCCCATGACGACATAGATGGGATACATATATTTAATCAAATGTACACTACACCCTCCCCTTACTTGTAAAATACATCCATCTTGCGCGCAGGCGCTACATAGTAGATAATCTATGTTTAGTTGCCTGTGGTATATGCATCACATATTTGACTTTCGGTCCTGGACGTCTGACCGTAAGTCAATGGCTCATTACTTCTTTATAAAATGACCTATTTGAAGCTATTTGACATAAACTGATCAAACAATTTACACATGATATGACTGAACTGGTTCATCATGCAAATTCTTCTCATATATCTTTGAGTCTCCGCAGCTCCCATAACTTTCACCAACAGACTACTAGACTTTGTCAAGACCCAATTAAGCAAATGCGGCCCGCACCGCTGACTCAGCTAAAAACGGACCCCTTGCAATGGTAGGGTAAAACAGTCACGTGCCCCCACATCCACTCAAATTGAGGAGTAAAACTCACCCACAGCTTCTCCCAAAATTTTCTTTTCGTTGTCAATCCGCTCTTCTCGCTCAACTAACTCACCAGCGTCGTCCTCGCCCAACAACCGACAAAATGGTCAAGACTAACCCCTGTGAGTACTATTCTACGTAATTGTAATGGTTGTTCTTTTTACTGACTCTGAATAGCCATCGCGTCTTCTCGTCGCAAGAGCCGTGCCGCTCACTTCAAGGCTCCATCTGACCAGCGCCGTGTCATCATGAGCGCTCCTCTCTCCAAGGAGCTCCGTGAGGAGTACAACGTGAGTTTGGACAACACCTACAAACGTTTTCGCACCAATTCTAACATTGTTAAAGGTCCGCTCTATCCCCATCCGAAAGGACGACGAGGTCACCATTGTCCGTGGCTCCAACAAGGGCCGTGAGGGCAAGATCACCTCCGTGTACCGTCTCAAGTACGTCGTCCACGTTGAGCGTGTCACCCGCGACAAGGCCAACGGCCAGTCCGTTCCTCTGGGCATCCACCCCTCCAACGTTGTCATCACCAAGCTCAAGCTTGACAAGGATCGTGAGAACATCCTGGCCCGCTCCAAGGTTGGCCGCGAGCTCGCTGCCAACAACAAGGTCACCGCTTAGGCGATGAACTTGTCGAGCAACAACAAAAACCAAAATTTCAGGACGACACGATCAAACCTCCCCTTCCCTGGCGAGGACGAATCTTTTCTTTTTTCACCACTCACATAATCACGACACCTCAGTGTGAGCAACTCCAAGGACAAAAGTTGATGAGGGAATGGGCATTTATACTCCGGCGTTTTTGCGATACCTGCGTGCTTTCCTTCCAACGGCGCGGTACCCGGTCTACAGCAGGGTAGATGAATTGAGAATTTTTAGGGTTCTCAATGGCCATTTCACTCCACTGGTGAAATGCTCCATGGGAGGTTTATCCCGAAGTCTTGACTTGCTCTCTCCCCACATGCACACGCGAGTTGCCTCGTGATGTTCTGTTGGACAGATGACTGGGTCCATCTGTCCTCTCGTAGGATAACCCAACATCAGACGCACGCGATGCTTCGTCTGTCGTAGACTGCAATACTGCACCTCGGTGCCTTCTTTTCACAAGGTGAGTCGTAGATTTCCCCAACCCACCGCTAGGATATCTCCGCGTCAACCACTTAGATCCATGGTTTTCGAGGTATACGTCTAGCGAAGAGTAAAACCGGCAGGACTTAACTATCATGAGGTCCTGCTCTCCCTAGAAGATTTTCACCGAGATGCCACTGAGGCTGGAAATTTGAAGGTGAGGAACATGCTTTGAAGTCTTGATCTTTTCATATTTCTCTTGTCAAATACAATTTAATATGCTCTTACTTTGGTTCATCCTCACTATGATCTGATAATGCCTTGTTCCAAGTGTCTTGGTTATTGATAATACAAATATCCCGACATTAAAACAGCGTTGCACACCGTCACACTAAGAGGAATGATCGAGTTACAAGCAAATTTTCTTTTTTGTGAGCAAGAGTATTCTAATCATACAAAGCCATATTTCTAAACATAGTGGGTGTGTGTTTCATACAGTGCAGTCATGCCTTCGACAAGAATGTTTTACCTCCGGATGAGTACATCTAGACGCTCCCTTCCGACTTCCGTCCATGACTGTTGAAATCCTAACATGTTAAGTATTCTAACACTGATGTTGCCTGAACGCCTGAACGCCTGCCTCCCTAGGCGTTGTATGTGATGAAAAGTTGGCTGATTCAACCAAATGCAAAGGCCGCCGACGCGAGTTGGCTGGGCCATGAAAACATGCTTGAGCAATGAAGCATGTGAAAGAAGTTGTGAAGTAAGCCATATAAATCGTAATCATAAGAGCAATGTCTGATGCTTATCGGAAGCATTGGAAGATGCAGCATTCTTGGTTATGCGGCGAGCAAAAAAAGATTTGAGAGGTTGCCAAGAAAGAAAGAGTGTGATGAGGTTGTTCAACGACTAGAGAACCCATGGTGCCTCTTGTCCTGGAAGCTGGCGCTGCGCAATTGTTGCGTGAGAAGGTCATGTGGATGTCTGTTCTCTTCTCGTCTTCCAACAATGGTGTTGGCCGCCGGTGAATCGTGTGCATCACTCAGTCTGGTTGCATGGCCACGAGAGTTGGTGGTAAAAGCCGGAGTCAAGGATGCGGTGGCATGACCGGAGTAGTGAGGAAGCACTCCTTGAGCTGTCATAGGGGAAACTTGGCCAGCAACTACATTGGCACTTGTCTTGCCCTTCTTGCGCATGGTCGACCAGATATCGTTGGGATACTTGCTGCTGGAAAGAAGTTAGCATTGTCTATCTGGAGCAGGGGGGCCATCAGCATACCTTGCAGTGCGATCCAACTTTCGGCGTCCTTTAAAAAGCAAGTTGCCCTCTTCGTCACCAGAATCGTCTGACACCTTGGTACCGAATTTCTCGCTCGAGATTCGTGTATGTTCGTTCACGACACGGCGAAACTCCATGTATTGAGCACCGGGGTGGGTAGCGTGAGACTCCGAGCGAGGGACTTCAGAAGCAGAGCTAGCGTGAAGAGAATCCTCAGTACGGTGTAGGGATTCGGAGCGAGTGGCGTTATCAGGGCGATGTCGAACAGAGCCCATAGCTGCCTGTGTCACAGCATGAAAAGGATCAGTATCGTGGGTCTTTATGGACGATGGCCTGGAATCGGGCTGTTGGGAATGAACATGAGGAGTAGGTCCACTAGCATCCAAAGATTCCTCCTTGATAGACGAAGGTGAGTAGAAGTCCCTGCCGTCATATCTTGGGAGACCATTCTGGACATGGTTAGGTGCTTTCCCCCAGTACATGTAGCGAGCACGTTCCTCATCTTCTGTCAGTGGGCGGTCATAGGTGTAATCAATGTCTTGAGCGTTTTCCGGATGAATCCCTGGTTTGAGCTTGCCGACAAGATAAGGAATGCTGGAGTTCTTGGCGGCGTGGACCTCTTTCTTGAAGTATGATCGCCAAGCGGCAGCGCTGTTGGACATGTGTCCGTGAGGGCGAGCTTGTGTGGACTCATCGACTTCATCTGCTGGAATAGCAGAGTTACTCATTTCCGAGCGAGGCTGGAAGACAGGTGCCAAGGCGGCATTGATTGGAAGACTCGAGAGCTTCCGCTGTTGTCCACCATCAATCCTCAAAGGATTGGGATTCTTGGCGGAGGTGACCATTGTAGCTGGCTTGGGCAGTGTATGAAGACTAGCAGCACGGCTATGACTCTTGATGTCATTCAACTGGGCTTCGAAAGAGATGGGCATCGGACCAACTGCAATAGGGCTGGAAGGATCACTGCGGCTGTTGGCATAGCCTGCGGATGAGCTCGATGGGTCTCCATCGTCTGGAGATTCAGCCTTAGGGTACTTTCTGGCCTCGAATTCGAGTTGAGTAGCATGCATACGTTCGAAATGCTTAATCTCACGACATATGTTCTCCAGTCGCTCTTCCATGTCTCGGAGATCAATTTGGTGCTTGTTGTACTGAAGTTGATCTTGGTGATATCTTTTTTGACTGCGAAGGACCTCTAGTTGCTTCTGTGTGATGGAGCTGGGACGGATTGATGAAACAGGAGGACTAGTGGAACGAGAAGTATCACCGGCAGTGATCTGCATGTTCATAGGCACCGGTTCAGGCTGTCGTGATGACACGCGACCATACCTGGTAGAAGGGGCATTGAAGTCACCACTTGGATGAGGAGGCGGTTGAGTGGCCATCGGCGGAGGAGCAAATCCCATCTGAGGTGGCACGTAGGGGTAAAGATGGTTCCCATTCGCAACCAGCCACTGTCCATTGTAGAGGAAAGGACGACTAGGATCAAACTGATCAACAGGAGAGAGGTGAACATTTCTAGCTTGCTCTGCACCCATGTCTGGATGCTTGTTGAAATGGCCATTCTGACTTGGGTGTTGCATCGGAAGACCAGAGGGCGAAAACTGGCTGTAGGGAGTAGCTGCCATGTTATAACCCATGGGAGCCGGTGCCATGAAAGGGAAACCTTCAGGTCTAAGAGTCATACCAGGCAAGGTGCCAGGAATATGCGATGGGACCATTGTAGCAAATTGTCCCCAGCCAGGAGGAAGGACAGGATAAGGAACACTCTCATGCTGATTACCATTGAAAGTGCGGGCATGGGCCTGGCCATCAAATGAGCTGCGTTCTCGACTCCATTTCGAAGTCGGAGAGTGAGGCCCTCGAGTGTTGGGCACAATTCGACCACCGGCAGTGACTCGAACATGCGTAGGCGAAACGACTGAGTTGTAGAACTTTTGGAACCCTTCGGACTTTTGGGTGTTGAGGTCTGCAGGGGCAACCATCGGTACACGTTCGAGCTCGGAATCTCTGCGACCTCGGTACTTGCGCTCCGAGTCGGTTCCGTCAAGCTGCTGAGCAGGACCTTGGTGGAATTGGTCATCCGAATCGCTTGAGCCACCGCTCTCCTCGACGATAAGGGACAAAGGTTTGACTGACCCGGTGCGAATGATTTCTCCTGCTACAGATTAGGAAGAAGCAAGGCCACCAAGGAAGGACAGATCTTACCCAAGTCGTAGTCTTCGTCAACTCTAGCAGCAAGTTTGTAGGAAATCTCTTTGTTGGGAGATGCGTGGCGTAGACTCAACAACTCCTTGGCGGAGTATCTGACTGGACTCATTTTGAATTCGTCCAAGAACAAAAGACAGCAATCAGATATACCTGGAACAATTATTGTTAGCAAAATACAAGCATAAGTCTAAACAAGCAACATCGCATGCTTCTCGCAATGTCAAAAGAATCTCGTTGTGGGTGCGGACGCAGAAGAAAGCAAGTAGGTGGTACGGGAAAGCCTAGAGTTCAGCGTGAATAGGAAGAAGCTGCTCCACTATGTCTGCCAACATAAACAATTTTCCAGCGCTGGGCCCAGAGACGATAAAATAAACAATTTGGTCCCGCCAGGTGCCTGGAAGTGCAAACAGGCTGACAACAAAAAGCCCGGACAATAGGGGTAAAAATAGAAATTGTGACTTACTCGATATGTGCCCACAGTCAAAACAGCAAACAGTAGATGATACAGACAGAACAAAGCCCTTTTGTTACGGGCGGCCAACTTGAGTGACAATGTCTTGATGCAAATGCCAGATATGGAACGTTTTCTGGCGGAGACTAACGACGACAATGGGCGGTCGTGAACGGAAGCAAGGTCTGGGGAGTCGGCGGAGAGGATGAAGGTGATGGTGGGAAGTGAGAAGTTAGAAGGGAAAACCCGAGGTGAAGATGAGCATCAAGGCAGTTTATGATCTTCGAGGCAGGTCAGGGTAGGAAGAGTGTTGGAGGCAGGTGAGGAGGCAAACTCACTTTGTGTTTGGGAAGGAGCTCCTTCTACTTCTCCGTTGAGAGTGATGCCCCCAACGGTAAGTTTGTAAGGTAGCTGCAATACAGCTACGGTGAGATATGTGTATTTTGGAAGTGGTATCTATGAGTAGTTAGTTAGAAACTGGGCAACGAAGGTGGATGAAAGGGAAGTGAGGAGAGAAGAATCTTCGTGCAACTCTGATGGTCGAGGAGCAGAGAAGGCAAATGCACAACTGTGACAACCTCTTCGCATACAGAGTGAAGATGATGAAAGAAAGCAAAGGAAAGGAAAGGGAAGTCATGGGACAGGGAGAGCATATTGAGATATGAGGACAGAGGGAGCACATACGTTGCGGTTGGTGATGATGTTGAGGGTGTTGAAGAGAAGAAGAGGAGAGAAGAAAGAAAAAAAGAAAGAAAGAAAGAAAGAAAGAAAGAGAAGTAGAGCAGGAAGGGTGAGGAGAAGGGGAATTAACAGACTTGAAACACTTAGTGAACATGAATTGACACGAGAATGCTCTGCTCCGTGGTGGGAGGAGAGGCATGCAAGAGATAAACGGGGCATACAAAGGGGAACTCAAGCAGATTACTACAGAGACGACAAGCAAGATACCTACACACTATGTGGGCGATATATATGGCCTGGACGTCAATTGAGAACAAGACTGAAGATGAAGGAAATACTGTTTGCTTTACATCTAGTAATAGCCCCTCCTACTTGAGGCATTGTGATAATCGGGGGCACACTCCCGTTTGTGCGCTGATAACCTCACTCAACCCCCTTACTGAAACAAACAAGCGAGCCCTACGCGTTTGATAAACACGTTAATGCATCCTTTAGTTGCGTAAGCTATGCGTCTAAAGATATGGGCGAGAAGAAGATTGATATCCTCGTCGAAACTTGACCATTAATGCGGGTCTTAGGATGAGTATGGCCAGAGTAGACTGTACGACTGTAAAAAAACAACTTCTATACCAGGCCGTGGATATGTCTTACTTCTCCTGGATATAATGACGCTTCATTTCACAAGGAATTAGGGGATAGCGACACTGTTGCTCAATGTTTTCACTTGGCACTTCTATAACGAAACTCCAACTGCAACTTGGTACCTTCAATACTTTACCCAGGAAGCCAATGCGTGAGATAACCAGATTGACTAGATGGCAGCGGCCGGTCATGCTCGACATCATGGCAAGGTAACCGGACTATTGACATGGCAGCGGTCGGCCATGCTCGACATCATGACGAGAGAGTTCGAGCGAGGTTCAAAATAAGGGGTGCTGTGGATCTTTTCTCCATACATGACTTACCTTTCCAGCTGAAAGGATTGTTCCAAAAGCCTGTCGAAGGTAAATATCCAGTGCTACTCCCTATCATGCGCTCTGATGCATTGGATCGAAGATGTGTAAGTCAGCAGAACTTACATAAGAGCCCCATCAGTCAGAATTACGAACCCAGTCGTAAAAGTTGAGTGAAAGACACTTTAATATGGACTTCCATATCTCTGGATGTTTGTCAAGTTAATTGATGTTGCGTTTGCATATTCTATCACTTATTGTTGTTGTTGTTGTTGTTGAGAGTGAGTGTGTTGGTGAGGGGTATATTTGAGTGTTTGCTTTGGTATTGATCCACATCAAAGACATGCGTTTACATGGGCGCACTAATAGTTTGGAAAATGGTTGCCACTAAATGCGATGGGGATGTACAGAAAACGATCCCAATTTTATGTTTATTGGAAATAACGAAACCGCAAGAGAGAGAAAAAAAGATGTCTACTTGGGCGGACGTCAATGTGATGTGAAGCAAATGATTCTGCTTTCCATGAGGATGGCAGATTGTGATATCTAGTGCGAGGTTAGTAAGCTTTGGCTTCGCAAGCCTATAATGGCACCTCTCGTAATAGTGGAAAGTTTCAACCCACGAGCTTGATCGTCATATCTGCTGAAGAAGGCATGAGATGAGATCTGGATGTTGTGGATTATGGATTCTGAAATGGACCTCGGCTCAATGAATAGACGATCTTCGGCTCAACCCACATGGTTGACCCGCAGCCATGATCGGCTCATGAGACCTCCACATCAGCCGTCAATGCCGAGCTCTGAGACTGAGAGTGAGCCAGTAGTTGGCATTCTTTCGTACCAACACGGAAATAAGATACATAAATATTACAGAGTCACCTCCAACTTTGCTTGGCGTATCAAGTCACGGCTGATACTCCGTAGAAAGGAGATCGTTTGAATGCCATGAGCTTGCCAAGAATTACAGATACAATACCAATTAACATTACCCCACCCTCACCTTCCATCTTGTGATTGACGCTACCCCTCCACACCATCCATCACCACTGACCGTCACAAAGTGACAAGGGACCGTAGCCAGGGGGCGACCAATCACCTTGGCCATGCGGTTTAATATGCTTTTACCTCGCGCCCGTTGACAGAAACCCGTCCTGTCACGTTACCAACTTTGGTTACTTATTCGTTGCTGATAGGCTGCTCTCTGCCCGTAGCTATCTCGTCATGAGACAAACTCTCTATCTCATGCCACCCGAACTCCCGTTATCCCAGCGGCCTGGATCCTTGCTAATAAGATCTTCAACCACGGTCTTCACGCAATAGGCGCTACGATAAAGAATCCTTACCCCGTACTCCTGTGAACTAATTGCCGCTTCTCCGGATCCTATGCTTCCTCAGACCCCTCATTGCTTTTACCCCGCTACCAACTAACTCGCAAGCGTAAATGATCCAAGGACTAGGTAGGTAGCTAGACAGCAAAGCAAAGGTCAAACTTGATGTACGTTCTCGCGGGGCCGACGGAGAAAGGACGAACAGGGTTTAGGCATATGGGTTTCTTCGGCGCTGCGGAGGACTAAGAGCTAGTCATTGGACGGCGCACGAACAAAGAGCTACCTATTCATCTAACACGAGCTACGTATGCGGGCGAGTGGTATGAGCTATGTGGACGTATCTTGAATACCAAATAAGAATGCTTGTATTTCCTCCCGTCCTGCCTTCGTACGTACCTTGGAACTTCATCCATCATAAGTTGTCTTTCAGAAGCTCCCCAAAGCTCCACTCTATTCAAACCGAGGTCTTAGACTGCCGAATCTCAAAGCCATTTCCCTGTCCAAGTTCTTATCATACTCATATATATACTCCGATTGTAAGTTCTCATGAGAGTATCATTCAATCTTCACTCTAAGCCATATCCTTAGCTAACCAACCCATTTCAAAAGCTTTAAACGCTACCCGAAACCATCAACAATGGCTCCTCTCACTCCCCACTGGCACCAGCCCTCCCACCCCGAGATCCAAGAGGTCGTCATCGTCAACGCCGAGGAATTCACCACCAAGAGTATCTCGCGCGTTTCTCTCCCGCCTTTTGCTGTCTACGCAAAGCTCGATTTCCCTCCTTGCACGCGTGTCAGCGAACCCACCTACGCTACTGTGCAGACTGGCCGCGATACTCATCTCAACCTGAACAGCGATCTGCTGTACATCAATCATTCTTGCGAACCTACTCTCGTTAGTTGACCTACTTGAAGGAGAACCCGCGGATGTTGAAAGAGTCATTTTGTTCCGTAGGGAAATTGTCTAGTTAACATTTTGGATGCAGCTTTTTGATGTAGGAAACTTGAACATTCTCGTCGGTCCCAAGGGTCTCAAGGTCGGCGATGAGCTTACAGTTCGTAACTCCCCACTCCAAATACCGTTTTCCTCAGCTTACACGATTACCAGTTCTTCTACCCTTCCACCGAATGGCACATGGCCCAACCCTTCGACTGCCTCTGCGGAACACCCTCTTGCCGTGGCCGCATCTCAGGCGCTCAAGACATGACCCAAGCCCAGCTCGACGGCATCTGGCTCAACGGTCACATCATCCAGCTCCGCGCCGAGCACATCGCCCGGTCCGAAGACCCCACGGCCAACGCCCTCCGCGATGCTGTTGTCCACGCCGAAAAGGTCCTCGAGTCAGCTCGTCTTGCTCTTCGCTCCTACGCGAGCAACGCGCACGCTCAGAATGGAAACGGTACCTTTCTCTCCAAGTATACGAATGGAACTCTTGGAAAGGCGGCCGTCTTGGAGCACCGTGGTCCGACTTCTCGGGAGCTGAGCGGTGAGATGGGAGGTGATACTGTCCGTGCTTAGAGGCCAGGGCTTCGACAGTGGCGACTGAAAGATGTTGCTGCTGTGGAAGAACCCATTGATCAAGGAGAGTAGGTAGTTAAAATACACGTTCGTTCTTGTGCTCGCATGTTGAGAGCTACTTGGTGATGAGGAATTATTCTTCAAATGAATTCACAACTGACTCGTTTGATCTGCCAACGTCCATGACAACATTACTCTCATGGTCGTATTTCTATATGAAAGTAGGAAGTGTGGCACTCCCTTCTCCAACTTCTCAATAAAACACCGTAGCTTCTCCATCATTATCATAACGCCATAATATAGCCGCCCAAACGCCACAGTTGCATGAATCATACCCAAATTGCTGCCAAGAATAGAATGTTCTGACGACCATCAAGTGTCAGTCACCAAGGGCTTTTACTCCCTCTCCTTCGAATCCCTCCAACGACTCCAAGCACTGCGACCCTTTTCAGACCCAGAACCGCCGCTATACTTGGACTCCTGTTTCTCCCATTCAATTCTTTCCATACTGCGGCGTGCAAGAAAGGCGCGCGCAAACTTCCACGCTTCTGTGTCGGCCAAATTCCAGGCCTCGAGCGATGCACGTCGTCGAGTATGGTCGGTCGATTTCTTGAAGGCAACAATCTTTTTGGCGTGTTCTAGAAGAGCCTTTTCCTTGGATTGCTTCTCTTGAGGAGTGAGGACTTTCTTGGAACTATCGTCTGGTCGAGGTTGGGGCTTTTCGAGCCTTGTTTCCACATTCATCTTCTCTGCACGCTCTTTCCTTGCTGGCTTGTCAACCCTACCTTTCTCTTGCGCGATCTTCTCTTCTGGTTTGTTACCCCCAGCTATATATGACTCTCCTAAACCCTTGGGAACACGAAATCCAAAATACCACTCCAGGTCTGGAGGAACATCAGATTCAGCTGTCAACCAAAGTGCATGAGTCGGAGCATGTTCGTCAGCTACGGCCCGTTTAAAGTGCATGATGCGTGAATGGCTGGAGACTGTCGAGCCCAAAAGCCCTTTAGTAATCGTCTCAAGCCAGGGGTCCCGAGGGGCCTCTTTGCGAATCCAACTGACGTCCACCTTCTCATTGCGACTGGTTAAAGTAGCAAGGGTCCACGGATGAGGAACGGTGCCGATGGCAAATGTGCCGGTCGAGTTCTCATACTGTTCAGGAGTGATGACCTTCATAGACGTAGTGCCGGCAGCACAGTGTGCGCAGCCTGAAATTCCAGGAGGGCATGACGAAGGAATGGGGCTATCAGGGCAGAAAGCCAGTGAATTGGCGAGCTTGAGAGCTGGGACTGTCATCTCTGTGGTGTATTCGGGGAAAGGCTTGAGAACTTCAATGCCACCAGAGAAGCTACTCTGCCAGACAGCGTGTAGGTGAGCGTTGATTAGTCTGTTAAGAGCTCCGAGACCTCTGGCACGTGCATTAGTAAGACTGTCATAGATTTTGGCATACTGCTTCATGATGATCTCTGGGCTGTAATGAACCAATGCATTTTGTGCCTTGTCCACTTTGAAATCATCCTTTGCCGATCCTTCAATAACGCTCTTGACAGTTTTCAGCGCGGGCGAGTCCAGCAACTTTCGGATGTTCTTGGTAACATCCTCCTTGGGACCTACAAGGAGTGCGCCTTCAAGGCCTTTCCACCTGGTCAAAGCAGGATATTCACCCCTTCTGAGAAACACCAGGAGAGGATCTTCAGTATGTGCGATAGGGAATAGAGCATGATCTACCAAGAAGCCAGTGCTCATGGATTCCCAGGCCAGCCATCTCATTAGGTCGGCTTTTAGTTCCGGGTGCACCTTTTGCCTCTGTAGTTCTTGATACTTGGGGTTTGCTGTTGCTTCTGAAGCTCCCAGAATGGTTGGTCGGAAACCTTGCGCCCACCAAGCTCGTCTCCAAGTCAAGAGCAGGTCGCTTTCAGCATCCTTCTCTTCCCTCGATTTCTTGACAGTCGCATCATAATAGCAGTAAACAAAAGGACGGTCATGGATCGGAGGGAGCAGAGCCCTATCCTCGTCAAGAGTAAGTGAGCTGGAGAAAGGTACAGATAGCCATTTCCAGTCAGCCCACCACGAGGTTCCTTGAAATGAATCTTGAGCTCGAACCGGGGGCGCATGGGCAGGTCCCCGGAATGGGTTCAGCTCTGTCACACCTTTAGTGAGAGAGTTACGGAGGCCCGATACGGAGCTTTTGATCTTGCTGGAGCCATGCTTGCTTGCGGCATCGTCGGAGGTGTCGAGTGTCACTGCAACTGGGGACAAGGTGGTGTAAGTCGCATAGACAAATACAATGAGGACAAGGACGAGGTAAGTCAATCGGCGGGATCCAAATCGGCGTTGCCTGCCGTAAAAGACGTTGATCGCCATCGGTAACAATTGGAGAGTGAATCAGTTGACGTTCACGAACGAATGGTAGGAGCGGCTGCTCAAGAAGGTGAAGCACTTGCTGCTAGTGAATTGAATTGAAGAAAGAGCAGCGAACTTGAAGTAACCGAGCGCGCCGATTCTCGATTTGAGACAGAGAAGCATTTCGATGATGGTCGAAGAGCGAGGGGGCGCGAAATGCAACGGCGCGGAAAGTGCAATACGAGAAGTCCAGTGCTGACCAGCCGCTGTTGTGATCCCTTTATAGCAAGGGGCTTGAGCTTAGACAAGGGTGGTTGGAGGTGAGACCAGTGGAAGTCACGCGATAGTGCTCTGTAGATAAGATTCTATGTTACTATAGATGCAGGATAACACCAAGGCTTATCTTTGAGAAGATGATAACTTGATGTTATTTGTAGAGTAGCACTAGAATCCATATATTGGGTCTGGTATATTTATTGATAGACATCAGTATCATGACGCTGACACTGTCTTTGTCTTGGTCTTGTACTTACAGCCCAGCTCAGTGGGACAAAAGGCCCTTGCTCAGTAAGTGGAAGGGTCCAGCTCCACTCGCCTGCAGTAAAGCCGCCGATAACAATGATTAACATCCACCATGGACGACCTATAATCCAAGGTAAGTTAAGGTATGGACGTATGTCTGAAGCACATCTTGCTAGACCTTTTATAAGTTAGTTATAGACAAGTTCGTATATGGGTGCATTGAACGTGGTAACAAATTCTGGTCCTAAAATAATGGAAATATGCAAGTCTCGTGCACTCTGACTGTACATTTGACCTTTGCATCCCAGTGCATCAGATACGTGAGCTACCAGCATTGGTCCCATCACTCACTTAAATCAATCGGATAGAGTTTGTCAATATTTCCTTTGTGAAAAAGAGGTGGACGTCAAGCTTTGTTCTAACATAGACGATATTGGTAGGGCTGACCAGGGATATTCAAACTAAACTCCATTAATAAAGTATTGGATAGACATTGCGCTACCCTGTCCCGCAGGCTCGTTTCCCAATGTTTGATCACGAATAGTAAGGCTTTATTAAACAGTCATTGCCATTTTAACCTCTGAATCGACAAATCACTTACCTATGATGTCAGTTAATTTCCCAGGAACTTGAGGCAGGTGTTTCCCAGCCCGACTTAATCAGTGGGTAGGTACTGACCCAGGTACCTACCTAGTGAATGAGCAGGCAGCAACAGGCACACCGTGTGAATAAGCGTCTAGTCTACGGGACGATATGCTCTTTCTACATATGCCCATCTCTTGTAGTCGCACAGAGACATCATCAGCCCAAAGCCAAGCTGCAACCTCTCAGCTTTAAGGGTTGAATCTTTATCAAAACCCTGCACAAAATTTCTTAAATCTTCACTAAGCTCACCCACCCATCTCCCTATTCCGTCGTCCACCACCACTCTACGAGTTACACCACAAGTCACAAGTAGGGCGTCCTGAAGGGTATCATGGGTGTCAAGCAGTTTAACCTCGACCTTAGGTCCGCGATACAAACTGCTGATGATTTTCCATGTTTATCAAATCTACGGAAGGGAGATTCTGATGGGGAACTCGCCTTTACTTGCATCTGCACTCACGCAACAGATGACGAGCATGAACAACAGTCCATCGATATTCAGGCTCTTTCAAAAGATCCTGACTCCTACCCGAGACATCCAGGCTTCCTGATATTCACATCCTCAGATGCACCAGCCTCTTTAGAAAAGCGGCTGCAGGAGATATCGCACTCGACTGAGGGCCAGAGTGTCAAGGATGTCATCACATCCATTTCCAGGGCATTAAATACCAAGTTGAACCTTTCAGACCACCCAGATTCTCAAGCGTCTCTAACTGAGAGCATGGACATGTCAGATCATTCCGACGTCGGCGATGATCAAGATTCATACTACGACGCTGAGTACGATGAGCTGGATATTGATCCACTGCCACCTGCAAGGCCGGCTGTTCAAAACCCATCTCGACCTACTCATGCACAAACGGCCCGGCTGAAGCGTCATCTTAGAGAAGCAAGGAAAGCGGGCTTTCATGTCTCGATTCCAGTTGGAGAGGGAGAAAACGTATCCTTCCGCCTATTCTCGCTTTCTATCCGAGTCTCGAAACTTGCCATTCCCGAAGAAGCCCTGGAAGCGTGGGGTCTCGAACCATCTGAGCACATTGTCCTACTATTTAGGTTACCGATGGGCTACCCTCCTTTGTCGGACTTCCTACAACTTCCATACGATCAAACAACCATGGAGTGCAAAGTCGGCAAATGCCTTGGCCCAGAACCGTCCCGAGAGTCTATGGAACGAATGTTTCAATGTGAACCCTCGAGGGAGTCGGACCATAACAACAAGGACGGGGCGGAAAATGACAACCTCAAAAGTCCCTTTCTTCCAATCTATATGTCGTTATCCCTTGATACACTCTTGAACCGAACATTTCCCAGCCTCCTGCGACTGCGACGAAGTGAGGGACTCTCATGGGATGGAGCTCAAGAACTGCTTTTTAAGTTTAGCAGAGGCAACCACCTAGTAGAGAATTCGGGGTCGTCTGAAAACTTCGAAGCCCAACAGAATCGAGATGCGTCTGACGAATGGTTTGCACTGGAGTTCCTTCGGCAGGATTGTGTGTCCAAGGATACAGACGATCTCAACGTCATCCTCATTGCGATACAATTCGGTCTGCAGAGGTTGGTCAAATGTACCAAGTACTGTCTAGTCTGCCACAGAAGAACTGAAGGGGGTTTCGAGGCTGTGAAACCATTCGTCTGCGAAAACTTACTTTGTCTATACCAATACCTGTCCTTGGGATTTTGTCAAAGCATCGAGCACGAGATCATCAACAACCCATATGTTGTCGATCTTCTCATCAGCTTTTTCTACTCCGCAGTTGCTAGTCGCAGGCTTCGTGAGTTCCCGCCAGGGTTGCAACTCAAGTGCGCTTCATCAGCCTTCAAATTAGATTCCCAGGAGCCTATTGTCGCAAAGGCTTGCTTCGAGAGCAAAGTGCTCCAATTCCAGAGCATGGACTACCCCAAGTTTAGATCGATTAAAGAGGGCCAGAACGTCTTGCTTGTAGTCAGTAAGGCGAAAGCTCTGAAGATGCCAGTCATGCGAGAACGTATGTCAATCAACGCGTATCCAGTCTTGAATATGTCATCAAATGACCAGGAAGCTAACACAAGACAAGATATCGAGAAACATGTCTGCATGATCGTTTCATGCAACTCCACCGATTTCGCCTTCAAAGTCATGTCAACACACACATCCCCAGCTAATGTTACCGCGAATCCCAGAGATATACAAAAAAACCAAATCGCTGAGCCAACTCCAGGAGGTCTGGAGGTTATGGTTTTCAAGTATGAACAAGAAATCGATAAACTGGAGCCAATGGAACGTGATCAGGCACTCCTCTTCATGACCGAGGGCATTCCTTCTGTGGATGCAATGAGAGACTATCTGACAGAGAGGCCTGGGCGCCGGCTTTCGTCCTGGCAGTGCATGGATTCCTCAACCCTTAGCCTTCTCAACTGGATTGTCGCATCGAACAGATCTTTCATTGTACAGGATGCTTCGATACCAGGGGCATCTCCGCTAAATGAAAAAATGCAAGAGGGAAAGCTTGTCGGTGGCATGGAGGCAGGATGGATACAGTTTCGCTTTGCACAGGGATCTCCTGAAAAAGAACAAATCTTTGTGAACCACCTAAAGCAGGTGAAAAAAGTGAAAAATGGGAAGCATTACCCAAGCCTTTTCGCATGGCATGGCAGCCCACTCTCGAACTGGCACAGCATCATCCGGACTGGCCTTGACTTCTCCCAGACATTGCATGGTCGCGCATATGGCGACGGCGTTTATTTTTCCAAAGAATTCTTAACCAGTAGCGGTTATACAATGGGCGGTCCAGGTTTTCAGTCATGGCCGAACTCGGCGCTCAGAATCCTCAATGCCATCAGTATATGCGAGATCGTCAATGAACCGACACAGTTTGTGTCAACAGATCCCCATTTCGTTGTCAACAAGATCGATTGGATACAGTGTCGCTATCTCTTTGTCCAGACACAACAGTCGCCTACAGAATTAGGCAAAATTATGGATACAGGATGTTCTGACTCCTCCAGCTACCTTGAGCAGGATCCTGCCCACGTATTACTTTCTCGAGGTGCACCAATTGGCATTCCCAAGTCAGCCATACCCATTTCTCGCCGCCGTGCATTGGGACAACAACTACCAAGCGCTACTGGATCATCTATAAAGTTCCCTATTGTGATCGACGATACGGATTCTAACGGCAATAACTTAACCAGTGCCGAGTTAGATCATCTCCTATCCTCTGATAGTGAAGATTCCACGAGCTCGGTGATAGGACGAAAGAGACGACGCACATCTACAGACTCTGGCTTGGGGGAAACGCGGCTGATGCCGTTTCAGGATGACGACGTTACCCCTTTTCAGCCGGGCCAAGTTGATATTGGTTCTCTTCCAAAGCTGGCTGAACCGACATGGGCTGCGTCATCTCCAGCGGCTCTACGAGCACTCAACAATCAGATCAAAGACCTGCAGAAGATCCAGTCTAGCAATAGCTTAGCCACCTTAGGATGGTATATCGATTTTGAAAAGCTGGAAAACCTTTTCCATTGGATTTTCGAGCTCCATAGCTTTGATAAAAGCTTGCCTCTTGCCCAAGACATGATTCGTCATGGGTGCTCGAGTGTTGTGCTCGAACTCCGGTTTGGGGCTTCTTTTCCAATTTCGCCACCCTTCGTACGTGTGATACGCCCCAGGTTCTTGCCCTTTGCTCAAGGGGGTGGAGGTCATGTAACTATGGGCGGTGCTATATGCTCAGAGCTTCTCACTAACTCAGGATGGTCTCCAGCCTTGTCACTGGAAAAGGTTTTCCTTGAGGTCAGAATGAATTTGTGTGACAAGGATCCGCCAGCTCGCCTTGACGATGCCGGCGCTCTGACACACATACACCCAGTCGGCGCAAGAAACATGGACTATAACATGTTTGAAGCTGTCGACGCTTTCCGCCGTGCAGCCACGGCCCATGGGTGGCAGATCCCTTCGGACCTGGAAATGTTGCAGTCTATGACTGCTCAGTGAGTAGACACGATAAAGAGTGAGGACTCGAAAGTCTGTTCCACATTGAAGGGCAGAGCCAGTGTTTTCTGTAACTACCTAGAATGGGCCAAATTTGTTGCATAGGCCCTTCATATGGCAGTTATAAGGGAGAAAGTACAGGGATGAAAATGAGCTGCTTGGTAAAATGTGGCAAGAATGTATGTAATAATAAACCTGCTATGGCACCTGCTCTCCCCAAGTGTGATCCGTCAATCCAGATGTTCTACCTTGTGAGATTTCAATCAGCTTCCGGCATTTCAGCATATAGATTGACCAAGACTGCTCAAGATTGCGCGACGAGACATGTTCAACTTTTTTTTCTTGTTATTTCTTATACTTTAACAGCATCGCCATTTGCAAGGCTAACTGTACCGCCGACCTAGGCTCCCGTCACAGCACAGCAGCTAGGTCGGCACCTGTCTAAACTTTTGGTTGATCCAAAGCTCTACGTTTTGATTTTACTTCTAAGGAATTACGAGTCTGAGATAAAAAGGGGTAAGTCTCCAACTCGGTTACATCTCGCAACACACCACTTCTTCTTCCTCCAACCTCAAACAGAGGAGACACAGATATTAGCCTTCGAACAGGTGTTAAGGAAATTTGTGTAGAGCAAGGAGAAGAGTCAGGGTCCAAAAGGAGGAGCAAGATAGTCCAGGCTAAGGAATAGGTGAAATTTGTGCAGCATAGCAGAAAGCAACAAAACCCGTGCCCTAACCCGCGCTGCAGTCGTTCAACCAAATCCCTTCCTCCCATAATCTTCTTCGCACACAGTCGTGTGCCAGTCCAAGTACCTTATCGGATACGATGATGAGTGTAATGGAAAGTATCGTGAGAAAAAGAATACCAGTAGACCAAATCTGGCATATGAGACATGCAACATAGTACGGAAGCTCCCCCGTAAACTCCAAAATAGAAAATATCCCAAATCATTTCAACGTGTCGCAATGTGGGATAGATATCTGCGACATCAGCGGCATAACGGGGCGATATGTCTTTTGATAAGCCAGATACCAAGGTTTCTCGAAGTCGGGTTCTCATCTGATCGAGAATTTGTAATCTCGTTGACAAACCATGAGTGCGACATTGACACCTTAGGTGAGCTGGAAAAGCACACTGATAGACTCGCCATGGTGGACACGGCGAATGGCTTCGGCGAAGACGGGTGAGATGTCGAGCACATCAAGCTTGGGGCATAGTCTGCGGTGCTCCTCCTGGGGAACGGAGTTCGTAACAAGCATCTTGTCGATCGCAGAAGCATTGATGCGAGCAATGGAGTCACCGCTGAATACTCCGTGAGTAACAAGGGCATAAACCTGAGCAGCGCCCTCTTTCTTTAGAAGTTTCGCAGCACGTGTGATGGTGTTACCGGTGTCGACAATGTCGTCAACAAGAATGCAGATACGGTTCTTCACCTCACCAACCAGCATCATGCTTGCATTTCGATGCTCGGTAAACCGGATGGGTCGTCGCTCCTTTGTAGCAATAAATGAGTTTTGATCAGAAGGGGTAAGATCAGTTGGTGGGATTACCTTGTGGATCAGAGCAAAGTCTGTTTTCAGACTGTCTGCAATGAGCGTGGCACGCTTCGCACCTCCAGCATCGGGAGAAACAATCACAGCCTGGGGAAACTCGGGAATCTGGATCTGGATGTAGTTTTGGAGCAGGGCTTTTCCATACAGGTTGTCGACCGGGATGTCGAAGAAACCCTGATATTGAGGGTCGTGTAGGTCCATCGTGATGATATGGTCTGCGCCTGCACATGTGAGCAAGTCGGCAACAAGAGTACCGGCCTGGGCAATCCACTGCTTGTAACCCGGCTTAGGCTGAAAATTGGAGATGTTGGACTGATTCTCGTAGTCGTGTGTGGTGTAAGCGTTTCTCTGGGAGGAAGTTGAGTGCTCGGTATGATGGCCTCGAGCTTCGGAGGTCGTGCTCGAGAAGGTGTCTGAACGACGAGGAGTGAATGTGCCATTGGCACCATTTGTTGTGCCGCTGGCAGCAGCTTCGTTGGCGAGGGCCGTTTTTGAGAGCTTTTCTGTCAGGTTGCCGACGCCATTGGGCAGACCGGCTGACTTGGGGCCACCAGGGCGAGGAGTAGGAGGAACGCTCTCAAATGTATAGTCTTTGGAAGCGCCAGAAACTTGTGACAAAGGAGCGCCAGCTTTGTTGTAGGGCCAGTCAGGCTGTCGGGAATAAGGAAACAGAGGCACAACAGCGGTTACTCGCTTTGCGGAACCAGTTTTGCAAGCTGAAATCATGATGCACAGCTCGATGAGGTTGTCGTTGACATTGCCAGAGCCGGATTGTATAATGTAGACATCTTTGCCTCGGACAGAGTCCTTGATTTCGCAACGGCTCTCGCCGCCAGAGAATTTTCCAAGAATTCGGTTGCTGGCAGGAACACCGAGAAGTTGGCAGACTCGTTCTGTGAGTTGCGGGTGAGAGTTACCTCCCAGGATAACAATGTTGCGCACCATGGTGACGGTGAAGTTGTGCGGTTGAGTAGAGATGGAGGAGGTCGTCGGCTAGAACAGCAAAAAGTTTTGACTGCGGCGAAGGACGGAAGCGGAAAACGGGTGTGGAGGGGCCCCGAATCGGAGGGGTGAGTGAGTACGTAGTTTTCTTTTTATGAGGGGGAGAGCGAACGAGTCAAGAGCTTCTTAGCGGTGGAAGAAAGCTTCGACCGAGATTGATGGATTCGCGAAGTAGAAGAGGAGGAGCTTGAAACAAGCCGAAACAAGTCGGGGCAAGATCAAGGCAAGTCTGGCTCGAAGTCGAGGTGAGGAGAAGTAGGGTTGAAGTTTGCAAGTCAAAACCTGGAGATGGTTGACCCTAGGTATTGTGAATTTTTTTTAAACTCTCCCCAGCTTGTTGGAGCACGGCAACGTGGTGTGGGCCCGGGTTCTGTTTGTGCTGTGGATTTACTCCGTAGTGGAGGTCGGATTGGAAATGGCTGCTCTGGGTGTCGAACAGTGGCTGCGGAAGTTCGCTAGCAAGCAGTGTAATATGCTGTGAACGATGCAGCCGATGTATATTATTGACCTCGTTTGGGGATTGGATGGTTGCAACCTGACGAACGACTTGGCGGACCAACAGGGGTTCGGATTCAGGGCCAAACTTGACGCACAGGAGAGAGAGTCTGATGCTGGGACAGGCCAGGACAGGGCGACGTCACTGTGCTGTGTTGCTGCAAACTGCAAACTGCAAACTCCACGAGGCGGTAGGCGGTAGGCGGTGCGGTAGGCGGCTCAGTCAGATTCAGTGCTGAGCAGCAGGTTTCAATGCCGAATGACAGGGCAGGGTAAGGGCAGGGATATCCAAGTAAATAGACCAATAGTGACTGCGATGCCGGTGTCGGAGGGAGTACAGAGCCGCGAAGGAGAAGAAATTGAGCACGCGGTCAATTATGAGGAGATGAGGATTTATCGGTGTGTTGAGTGAAAGAAGTTGAAGAGGGCAAGACCAAGAATTTGAGATGATTTAAAAGTGACGAACCGACTCATTAAAAGTTGAGGAAGGCACGGCGGTTCGCAACAAACAGACCCCGGGTGGAGTGGAGATGGTGCCGATGCGATGGGAGAGGAGGACGATCAAGGGCTCATTGCATGCAATTTGTAGCTTTCTAATTTGTGTGAAATATTTTGCGGGAAGTCAAAGGTGTTCACTGAGGAGGAGGCACCGAAGCAAAAATGAGGAGCAATTATGTTTTGATAAAATTGACTCTGATGAATTGAAGTGAGGTGATGGGGAGGGAATCAACATAAAAATGATGACATGTTTTCACCTGCCATGGCAGTATTAGCACCTGCTAGGCTTACCATAAATAGTAAAGTGCCACCAGAGATACTCGCCTGCGTCCGAACTAAGATGCATATCGGTGTTTATTTACTGAATTCATAAACACTGCGCTGTATCTTATATTACACTGTCTCTGGAGACTTTTTGAAAGAGCCACCCACCAGCAAATGAAAACACGAACCTAAAAGTGCCTCCTCTGGAATAGGATTGAAACGTGCAAAATTATAGGCCGTCGTGCTATATTTGTAGGTAGATGTACTGTACCCACCCCCGCCAATTCCCATGTATCTCGTCCAGGGTAGGTAGGTACCTAGGTATGGTATCATACCAGGCAGGGCATCTGGAGCTCTCCCGTCCCGCCATGGATGTGTATGAGAGATAAACCCGACTGAAATTCATACTAGCCAAGGTCAATTATGACAACAGCCGTAGACCGCCATGTCCTGTCCGGGGGGCCAATTGTTCCGTCGGTCTCAGTACGTGTGCAACATTCTACAGCCGTCGGGGTGACGGAATCTCAGTCTTGTTGTTCACATACAACTTCCTCCGTAGCTCCGGTACGTAATACTAAAAAGAAGACTTAATTCTAGCCTCCTTGTACGACACTGGATTTCCAGCCTGGCAGGGGGGTTCAGTCAGTTGATCTGTACCACCAAGCTACTAATCTATCGTCGCATTGAACATTGAAATGTACATGCAGAAGCAGAACCCCCACCTCGACTTACAGCCAGTAAAATCACCATCATAGCATTTATCCTATCTGCTTTTTTCTTCAACAGATTCATTAGAGGGATTGCACAACAGAAAATCTTGCTTCAGCAGTAAACAGTCGCATACAACTAACTTAATGAATAACATGGAATGCACTAAGCTCGAAGCCTAGAAGCGCACTGAGACCTGCTTGTTTCGCTAAGTCTTTGTTCTGGAACAGTGGCTTGCATCCATGCCTTTTACAGTCGAGTTGCACGCGACCTCCCTCTTTCATGCAAAATGCCACGGTATCACGCAACATGTCAGTACCAATCCACGTCCAGTCCGGAGACGCTGTTCCATGTGGATGATGCCATTGAACATACTACGTACTAAGATACCTTGCATTGGACAAAAAAGCACTCGCCTCTGTAAGTTCAACGCCATGAGCCTAATATCGACAACTTCTGCTGGCGCAGCATAAAGCTACATATCCATTGGATGGGAAAAAAGAAGTTCGCAGAGTGATGCACTCTGACGTGAGTCTTTCTTTCCCCAGCTTTTAGCCCGATTCACATGTAAAATAAAATAAAAACACCGCATCACACGCAGCTTATTAGCCCAATAGGAAAAAAACTCCAAATTCGCACAAGGTAGCAGATCGGTCAAATCGTGCAGCAGGAATCAATTACCCGCAGCAAGAAAGAAAAAGAAAAGAAAGAGAACAAATGCCTCCGTCTAAATGTCTCACAACAGACTTCACAGGCCCTTCTAGGCCTTCGTCCACTGAAACTGCTTTTGCTTCGCTTTGCTTCGCTTTGCTTTGTTGTAGCCTTGCTTTGATCCAAGCTTCTGATTGGTCAACGTGAACTCTTCTTTTTTCCACCTAGCACAGAGCCTCATCCTCCCCACCATTCAGACCCTTCACTATCTCACATTGGATCTTACAGCTCTTCCCAGGGAGCTCAAAATCGACTGCAGCAATGAAGATCCTTGAATCGCAGGCGGCTGTTCTCACCAATTATGAGGTGTTTCAGCATGTCACAGAACAACGCGAACGATACAAGAGTGCTAAGCGTCGGGGTCCCCCCAATTTGGAGACGGTGGTTCGCGAGGTAAGACTTTTCTTAAAGAAAGCTCAGTCATCAGAAGACTATGAAGAAAATGAATTACAAGTCTACGACACACACATAGCTGACACCTCTTCCAGCTTCTCCAGTACCTTCGCACCAATCCCGGCCCTCTAAGTCAAGAGCCGCTGCCCTACTCTGAAGGCTGCGTTTCTACCCTTCTTCAGCGCCTGCGCCCTTACAGCCTTGCCAAAGGTGAAGTTGTCATGATCATCAACCTGCGACCTGCCTCAGTCGCTGCTCTCAATACGGTTGTTGAGGAGATGTCTGAACGTTTCAACGAGGAGCAGCAGGAAGCCATGGTCAACATCATTGCCGAAGTCCTCGGCCAGTTCCCTGCCCCTGAAGAGGGCGCCGAAGAAGAAGGCGGTGCTGATGTCTCTATGAACGACGCCGCTGCCTGATTCCAAAGCTCACCCAATATAACGCCAAAATACCCGTCCACAGATTCCGTTACTACATCAAATACATTGACTCCTTGGAAAAATCATATCATGGTGCATGTGCTTGCGCTCTGGCTGTTCGAACCTGTTGTCGGAGTCATGGCTGTCTTGCACAGATCTTCAAACGCCAGCTTCAACAATTCACCCGTCACTGCCGAACACTCTACATATCGATCCGCTCTGAGGGTTTGCGCGACTTGATATGCTTCTTGCGGGTAGATGATCCCATTTGGATCATCCTCTGATCTTAGATCGCGCTTCAGACCGAGGATGATAAGAGGCAGGGTATCGATCCGCTGGAACGACTTTTTTACTTCATCAATCCACTATGGAGTGTCAGATATCGCTTTTTCTGGTCTCTGGATCGAGGGGAAATCGACGGAACACTTACATATCTTTGCATATTGATAAGACTCAACCGCTGGGTAATGTCGAAACAAATAACAACGGCATCGGGGTCCAGGGTCCTCCAATTATCAGGACACGATGTATCGTAGAATTCGAATGAGAACCGGGTGTTCCCGGTCTTGATACCAAAGATATATGGCTGGTCGATATCACGAAGCATGGGGATCGGGTTGACGCCATCATCTGCGCTGAGTCGGCTGAAGATAGAGGTTTTAGCATGATATGTTCAGAAATCAACATGAGCTGGGACTCTACATACGAAAGGAACGTAGTCTTGCCACATTTTTCATCGCCTACAAGGAGAATCTTGATCACTTCGGGGTCCATCTTGTGCATGCAAAGTAATCAGATGTGTTGAATTGTTTGGGAATGAGAATTAATGTATTGAAGATTGATCAAACCAAGGAGCGGGCATGGCGTTGACGAAATGAGCAGCCAGAGCCAGAGATAGAGATGAGATGAGAGCAGTACGTAACTTATCTCTACCCCCAACTCTCAATCCCAACTGTGGCGTCTAGTTAGAAGCACAGCCACAGATAGCTCACAAGCCACATCTCGAACTGCAGTAAAGCCCTTCTCTCATAGGAACTAATCAACGACGGGGCCTGCATATAATCGCCCAAAATTGGAACCCACCAACTTCATGAGACCCTTTGGCCGTTGTCTTGGGCGTCAAAGTCCGCTCGGAGTCATAGTCAGCGGACCTCAAACTCGACCTAACCCTCATTCTCACTCTCACTCTCAATCTCAACGCAAAATCTCATCAAATTCTTCTCCAAGTGGTGTGCAGCAAAAACCTGCCAAGTACCGCACCATGTCTGGCGAGTCGAATTACCAGTCATGGACCAAAAACGGTCTTATCCAAAAAGTCAAGGAACTTGAGGCTGAACTGAGAAATCGCCCTGCTCCAGAGCCAAAACCTCAAACTAAGAATCAATCTCAAAATGAAGAGAATGGCAAGGCAAAGTCGACGATGCCAAAGGTGAAAAGAAAGATGGATCCTAACAAGTATTCAACTCGATTTATTGCCCTGAAACTGGCCTACTTGGGCAAGGATTACGGCGGATTCGAGTTTCAGGCTATGGCCAACGCTCCATCTATCGAGGAGGAACTGTGGAATGCCCTTACAAAGGCTTGTCTAATATTCCCCCAAGATGAGCGAGTTGTGGACTTTGACTGCTGCGAGTATTCAAAGTGTGGTCGCACAGATAAAGGTGTTAGTGCTTTTGGTCAGGTCATTGGCCTTCGGGTCAGAAGTAACAGACCTGTACCAAAGAAGAAACAGCAGCGTCTGAGTGAATCCGGCGAGGCGATGGTTGTCGATGGACAACCTGGAGAGCCTGTAGAAGGGGAAGAAGAGGTGGATGATACGCCGCCTTTCGACGATATCAAGGACGAGCTTCAGTATCCTCGACTGCTCAACCGTGTTCTACCCCCTGATATTCGCATCCTTGCATGGTGCCCCTCTCCGCCTCCAGACTTCTCAGCTCGTTTCTCATGCCGCGAGCGTCAGTACCGTTACTTCTTCACACAACCTGCCTTCACTCCAGAGCCCAATGCTGGCGGTGCTAAGAACGGTTGGCTGGATATCGAGGCGATGCGCGACGCGGCCAAGCGCTACGAGGGCGAGCATGACTTCCGCAACTTTTGCAAGATCGACCCTGGAAAGCAGATCACAAATTTTGTGCGCACTATCTACGAAGCTGATATCGAAGAGGTTCGTGACGTGAGCTCAGCTTTGCCTTACCTCTCCGGGTCGCGGTTTGCCCCAGCCGGAGGCCTACCATCTGACGGTACTGTGTATCCAAAGGTGTATTCCTTCAACGTTCGAGGCTCTGCCTTCTTGTGGCATCAGATTCGCCACATGGTTGCTGTTCTCTTCCTAGCAGCTCAGCGGCTGGAGAAGCCAGAGGTCGTGACGACCTTACTTAACGTTACTGCTACCCCGTGCAAGCCCAACTATGTCATGGCCGACGAGGTGCCCCTGGTGCTCTGGGATTGCATCTTCCCTGGCCCCAACTCTGCCCCTGTTGATCCCATGGCCAGAAAGACGGATGAGCTCAACTGGGTATATCTTGCAGACGATCCTGCACTGAGTAAGCCAGGTCCCTTTAGTGTCATGGACGGAATGTGGGCATACTGGCGAGAGCGTAAGCTGGATGAGCTACTCTCAAACCAGCTTCTGCAACTTGTCTCAACACAGCGCAGCAAGGATCCCTCACGTCAAGTCGCTCGGCCTGAGGTCACAGGAAAACAGGCTACGAGTGTTGTTGTCTACGAAGGCGGTAATGTAGGTCGCATGGGTGGTCGTTACGTGCCGCTGTTGAAAAAGGATAAACTGCAATCCCCTGAGGAGCAAAATGAAAGATATGCTATCAGGAAAGGGTATGCTAGTTCGGAGGATATGAGAACACAGAAGGGAATGGGGAAGCGAAAGGCGGACGAGGCCATGGATGAGTAGACGACTCTGTTGGTCAAAGATGAAGATATCAAAATCCAAAACCGTATAAACATAACGCTGAGCAATGCAGCAAACGCTACTCTATGGGTATAATGCCGCTCAACTTTGTGACTTTTCTTCCGCTCTACTCTCGTATAAGCATCTCCTTACACCCCTCCATACTTCTTCAACGATCTTTCGTCGCGGTAGCAAGCCTGGAAATACAACCACCACGTCGTCCTCGCCCTCGACTATAACAATGAGGTAGTAACGCACCTCGAACCCGAGAAACGCCTCGTTAACAAGAATATCCTGGATCTTCTCGGTCGGTATGAATCTTGTCGCCGTACCCGCAAGATAGCTCCCAGGGCTCTCGCTCGTCTGCACGCCCAGCCCTCGCATGACAAGAATGCTCTCGCTAGCGTAGCCTCTCCGGCTGGACAGCCATAGCACAGCTATACTCGCAGGAACAAGAACGGAAAGGGGTATGTCCTGCGCGAGAGCGGCCAGCGAGGTTGGAGCGCGAAGGTACGAGGGCAGTATAATCTTCAGAAGAGAAGGCGCAGCGCGAGCGAGGAGTGGGTGGAGGGTGATGCGTGCATGGAGGAGCAGAATGGTAAAGATGGAGAGAAGAAGGCGGGAAAGGAGGATGAGAGTGTGCAGCGCTGGCGGAAGCGGCCGAAGTGTTGTGACGGTGAATTCAGCTGTTGTCGGAGAAGGGTGACGAATGTCAAGACGGGGCGGTATTGAGAGCATCGTGGTGATCGTATCGCGTGGAGGAGTATCCGTAGAGGTTTGGTTATTGGTCTCTCATGATGGTTCTTGGTGTGGAAGGTAGGGCGTTGGTTGTTGCCGAGGGATCGTATCGAGTAACTATGTACTGCAATGGATAATTACAGCAAAGCATCAGACTCTGTAGTATTGCAACATCGGCTGCTAAACTGGTGATCAAGATCGCATCGTGGTTGAAGTGTTGAAGTGTTGAAGGGTAGTAATGGATTAAAGGTAGCTGCCCTGTAAGCTGTCACTAAAGCCACAGGTGCTGCAGCACTATTGCCCCACCAGGCACCCCCTGTAGCTCCAATGTGATGGCAATGGTATATAAGTTATAAAAAAGGTATTGGTTCTCGACTGTAATGGTCTAACGGTGAAGGCGCTCAAACCCGCTCAACCGCCCATCCCAATACTGGTTGTGCTCGCACCTCCAGCCCTCCGCCGCGCCCCGCTCGAACGCTGCGGTGGCCGCCCACTCGTGCAGGTAACTCACGATGCTGGAACTTTGCGGCCCTAAGCACTGGAGATGACCCTTGAGGGAGGTTTCACTCTGCAGAGATCTCTCCCCCGTCGCGTGGCGGGTGGGAACACGTTAGTGCGGGGGGATTTGGGATGGCAAGTGGATGAGATGGAGCTGTCAACTGTCTTTTTTTGTCATTTTTGACGACTTATACACAGTCATGATGAACAGTTAAAATTCATGAAAGAACTTCCCGGTAACTGCTGAAACTCATGAGTCTCTTTTTGTACCCTCACGATGTGGTGTTGTGAAGTTTGTGGTGACTCGAACCCCCTCATGCATTCATGGTTTATGAGCGTGGTGAAGCTATCGCCACTTGCAGGTTCCGCATCAAGTCAAATTTCAGTCTCCGGCTAACAATTACCATCTCAAGAAGCACAGCGGATGGATTCAAAATGAAGAAGATCATTCTTAAGCAATATACTATGTTCATTCAATTCGTAAATACTAATAAAAACCCTCCGGGGGAATCACGATGCGTCTCCAGTTCCATTTCTGATCATTCCAACCATCCTTTTCCTGCCATCATTTCACACAAAACTGAAACAAGTGCCGCGAGGCAACATTGTATAAAGCAGCCGCTACGTTAGTCCCCGTTCATATCCCTTCTTTTGCTCTTTCCTGGTACCTCAATCATCCATCCTAACCACCCCCAGACATCCACGTGGATGTAAAATTTAATAAGATATAGCACAAAGGCCATCTTTGTCTTCCTCAAGCATAATTTGTAAGTATTTGAGGCCATCATTTGTAAGGACCGTGATGATCCGGCCAAAGAATTGTAAAAGTCGTGTACGTTCATCAATATCTCTTCCCAACAACGCAAGAACTGTTTAGTAGATCCAAGTTGTGATCTGCAAGAGGAGAAAGAAGAGAGAAACAAGATATAGCAGTTTTGGTACTTCGTGTCCTTTTATGAGGGGACATGGAAGCATAGCGCACTAGAATGCGAGCCCCAAATGGGACAATGGTTTCGACTTGAGAGTGTAGAAAACGCCGATCGCCATGCACAGAATCGAACAGCACAAAGTTTTATAGTGAGTGGTAGAAAGGAAGAAAATACTGCACAACGCGCTGACTGCGGTCGCGAGAGACTCCCTAGATCATCTCGTTCCGGTGCAGACCAGTCGACAAGTGCTTGTTCCTGGAGTCAATGGGTGAACGCAAGACGTCCGGGTTGTATGACACCGGAGGGGGAGACTTGAGTTGTCGTGGCATGGGGATGCTCTCATAGGGAGCCTCGAAAGGAGGAGATCGGACATACTCCTTACGACTGCGACTACCGGATCGGAGTCGCTCAGTGGCCTTGTGAAGACGGCCTGAGATGCTGCTATCTCCAATGCTCCGGCCTCGGTTGTGGCCTCTGTGGGAAGCTGGAGCAGGAGGGCTAGCCTCTGAAGCCTGGTCATTGCCAGACGACAAATCATCATCCATGACAATCTCAATCATGCCCGAAGCAACAGCGCCCGCCTGTTGAGGTCGCTGGGCGTACTGAAGAGGGGCAGGAGGCGGCGGTGGAGGTGAAGCGAGATGTCTGAGCTCCTTGAGCACTGGAGGCGCGGGAGGGGGAGGGGGAGGAGGAGGAGGGATAGGATCCTCGTGCGAACGTCGTCGCTCGCCAGTGACAACTTCTTCAATGCGTCCCACGCTTCCTTTACGTCCGAAACGTCCCGTGCGTTGACTGGGCTCATCGGGAATAGGAGCTGACATACTGCGGGGGATTGGGGGTCTGGTCGGTGGTTGATAAACGGTCGACGGCAACAGAGTGAGACTGGGTTCCGCAATGGGCTGCTCCCTTTCTGGGGATCCGTAGGGGGATGTTTCTGGTGAATACCTCTGAGAAAAGCCGGCTGGAATATTCGGCATTTCAGGTCTGGGAGTACTTCCAGATTGGTCATGTTTGCCCTCAATAATAAGTCTCATGGCCTTGGGTGTTGCCGGAAGTCCAATGACAGGTCCACTACGGGCGTACATACTCCTCTGAGGTGGCTCAGTGGCGCTGCGAGGCGGGATATCATCAGGCAGCGGCTTGGGCTCAGCAGTCTCAACAGTGATCGCAAGAGCAGGGGAAAACTCGCTGGGGTGGGGAATAGAGGGTGTCTGAGCTCGTTTGGCTAGAGACTTGCGACGCTCCTCAAGTTCTCGGGCAGCCTGTTCTTTCTTTCGCTGGCGCTCATCCTTCATCTGCTTGAGGTCTCCGGCATGCTCAGTTGAAGCAGCTCTGCCGTGTGTAGAGAGTGATCCATCAGGCACCACTTCAGAATTGGCCCTACGTCTGGTTTCTGCAGGGTCCTGCTTGCTCAGTGCCGGCGAGTTTTGTCCTCGGCTGACGCTGCGGCTGTGCTTGTTCCTAAATTCCTCCTGGGCAGCCATGGCTGCCCTGAAGTCCTCTTCATCCTCAGAACCCTGGTAGTGGGGCATGGCGACTGCCAGAGGCAATGGAGAGGAGGGAGAACGCTGTACAGAACCCTCCCGGCCCTGGCTTCGGCCACGAAGGGTCAAAGCTGGGGGGCGGGCTCGGCTGTCCGGGCTCCTGCGACGGCTTCCACGGCTTGACCCTCGACTTCCTGGCTTCGCAGTCGATCCACTCACCTTGCGTACTGTGCTTGGGTCGCCAATCGGGCCATGTCGTGGAGTGCTTAGGTTCAGCAAGTCCTCGGGAGACATGGGGATTGGGGAGGTGGGTGAGCGTTTGGCCTTGGGCCAACCTCGAGCAGCTACACGGCCACGTTCTTCGGAAGGTTCGCGAGAGCGAGCAGTTCGCTCTCGGCTCCCTGGGCGACTGCGCGAAGCATCCCGGGTTCTTGACTGGCTACGCTGACGGCTTCGCTGTCTTTTGGAGAAGTTATTGGCAGCATCAAGGCTGTGAATGTAGTCTTCTCGGTTTCGTACAGCTTGATGGCGAAGGCTTCTTCCGGCGCTAGAAGCAGAAGTAACGGAGCTTGTTACCGATGCAGGTCCTCTTCGGCGAGTCGGCCAGTGGTAGCGGGACGAAGATGTAACAGAGTGCTCTGGGGATGTTACCTCATCCTGTGAGGTTCCAGGTTGAAGTTGAAGGTTTATACCCAGGGGAATGCGATCGCGTGAACCATTTCGATGGTTTCGCGATGCCTGTTGCATCTTCAGCATTGCGGCCTGATCAGGAGGTGGTGGTGGATAATCGCCATCGCTCGACTGGACAACACGTTGGGCATGCTCACGCATCATCATCGGACTCGCCGTAGCAGCACGCTGTAATGCACTGCCAAACATCATGTTGTCATTGCCAGAAGGTGTACGGCCATGACCGGATCGAATTTCATAGTCCAATGGTGCAGCAGAAAGACCAGCTGATTTGATCGCATCACGGTTAAGATCTGATGGAATCTCTCCAATGGATGGTAGCCGCCCACGTCCTCGAGCAGAAACAGGCGTATTGAATCTGCTGTTGTTTGATGGGCGGAGGAATGCTGTCGTGGCATCGTTGTTGGAGGCATGGGATAAGGCAGGTGAACCGGCCGAATCGGCAATGGGGGTAACTCCAGCGGCAATTGGGGTCTGACCGCCATCACCAGCAAAGAACTTGGACTTTTGGCTGTGGTCACCAAATGAGGTAATGAGCTTGAGCGCAGAAGTCTTAGCAATGCTGCGTTGAGGACCACGCTGAACGCCAGGAGGCGAAAGAGGTGGGCTAAGGATCTCAGGAATACTGGGCGTCATGGACTGGAAGTTGAGCTGTGCAGCAGATGGTGACGACCAAGGCTCAGTAGACTCTTGATCAGTGCAGGCAAAACATCGAATCGCCAGTTGTTGCTGGCCGTGTTGGACAGCCCACTCTCCCCATTTCCTGATGATGGCAGCTTGGCGTTCCCATACACCTGGAGAAGACAGACAAGTGAGGATCAAAGCCTCCATGTAGCGCTTATGAGAGATATAAACCTCGATGGCATCATTATGGTCACCCATTCCAAGCATGATTGTGACTGCGGCATGCACATCGCCAGCCTCAAGTAGGCGCTGGACATATGTATGGCCAAGTTTCTGTTGTGACGCCTGACCACCGATGCCACTCAAGGCTAACAGCATCCAGTCTGACGAAGTCATGTTCTCGAAGTTTGCGTTCATGATGTTGGAGTCGATATCGCCTAGCCACTTAGCCAAGAGGATGCGACTAGGGGACCCTTGAGGGTGCCTGCTCATCTCATCCCGAATCAGATCCTCGACTTCATGGTTCCACCCGAAAATAGTGTTAAGCATTTGACGGCGCAGATCGTCGTTAGTAAGACGGGCGTTATTGGCGCCTATGGCATGCTTGTATGGGATATCACTCAGACGAGCTCGAGTAAATTTGAAGAGATCATGGACCTTGTTGTCGTCAGGGCTGCGGGGAACTTCATTGCGCAGACGAGAAGGCCTGCGTCTTGAACGGCTAGAAGTCATAGAAGGAACACTGGTGGTGCCAAGGGAGTATCCCATTGAGTAGGAGTCCATGTCTCTTGTATTACCCTGAACATTGCCGTTGCCGATTGTTGATGATCTGATTGAGGTTCCAGCAGAGATGTAAGTATTTTCCGAAAGTCCTCTTGACCTTATGGATCCAGGATAACGGCCAGGGGTTTGGGAGGACCCTGTAGAGGACTTCGATAAGGAAGATAGTCCGCTACGGCTTGATACAGGACTGTTTGATTCGTAAGGCTCGTTGCCAGAATCGTAACCTTGGCGTCTGGTCAGACGAGCAAATGGCGACATGTGGTCCTCATCACTTTCGGAGATGTTCATGTCTAGGGGGATAGAGCTGGTCTCGGACTCAGAGGCGATAGTGGTTGCCGAGGTCGCTGATCGATCACCAGTCTCTTCTGAGACTGGAGGTGAGGGTGGTAATAGATTTGCTGGGTGTTGGACATTGGCAACCATAATGGCTGGTGAGTTCAGGTCCAATTGCTGCACTGTGTTGTTGGGGCCAAGGGTGAATAACGTGGCACCTGGTCCATAGACAGCGAGGCCACGGACAAGATCAAGTGTCGGGATGGGATCATGAGTGACGTGCTTTGTTCTAACATCCCATGACTGTGTTTGCCTATGCATCTGTTAGTCAAGGAAAGGAGTCATGCAGCTAAGCGCGCGCATAGCCTAGGGTGATATTTGGTGGTGGCAATCTGTAAGACTTACGAGTCGGAATACTGAATTATGCGACCGTTCTTGGACCACCCCATCCAGTTTGGCCCGTCCATGGAGATCTCGGCCTTTCTGAGGTTTCGAACCACTTTAGCGGGATCATCGGCGCTGTATTTCTTTGCCACGCTCCAGACTCGTAGGTCTCCGTCACGCATCTGGACGGCAAGCATGTCGGACTTTTGCCGAGACGAGGAAGCATGCCATGCGAGGTTAACGATGGGTGAAGGTCCTCTAGAAGTAGTGAGATTGTGTAAGATAGTGAAGCGTGGCTGTAAAGTAGCCACAAATAAAGAGCCATTTTGATAACTATGATCCAATTAGTGAAGACCAAGTGAGAGATATATGTTGGACTCACCCAATGGCAAATGTTCGACAATCAGCTGATGGGGCCAATGCAGTGACGGCAATTTGATCAATTGTTCTTGAAGAAACATGTTCAGAGGTTGAAGGCTCAAACATAATAATACTTCCTTTTGTGTTACCTAAGAAATGTCAGTTATCGAGCTTATGAACAGTCGTCTAAGAGACCTACCAAAAGCAACATTGCCATTCTTCATCCATGCTGCGACTGTCAAGTGCTCATAACAAGCAAATCGTGAGATCTCATCGCCTGTCATCAAATCCCATACAATTGCTGTCTGGCCAGCATCGTAACTCACGACAAAACGTCCACCGCCGGCATCACTCTGGTTATCGACTGCCAATAATTGAACTTCATCGGCGTGTCTTGAAAACCTTCGCTCAATAGTGAGAGTATCGTGGTGGCAGCAGACAATGGATGAGCCCTGAGCGTACAAAAACATAGACGCCGTGGCGGCGCAGGGGTCGAAGTACTTTAAATCGGTTACGTGAGGCATTGTGGTGCTGTCTGGGACTTGTGATGACTTGGTCCTCGCTGCAGACCTCCCACCGGAGCTTAATGATACGGTGCGATTCCGCGACGAAGTGGCCACGGGGATGGACATGATGGGCCTGATATTCTTTCTTCGAATTCAACCTGCGTTAACGGAGCCCTGTGTTAGCCAGTCGGATGATGACAAAAGGCCAGGACTGCTCTGCAAGGATGCCCACTTTGTGCGACGCTGCACGTACTATACAGATGCGAATCGTATGGAAAAGAAAGGCCCCCGATAGCGGGGTGTTCGCTATAGTTGCTCTCGGAGTCGCAGGAACCGGCGGAAAGCTACACCAAAGGGCTGTTGAACATGCCTCGGAATTTCCTGCTGTCCGCACCCGGACGATGACGGTTTCTCGGTGTTTCGGTGAGCCAAAGTCTCGGATCGTGTTATACTGATGTCTGTTTCGTTACTGAGCGACACGATGCGATACGGGCACGCGGGTAGCGACGGGCAAGTGATGTTGGACAACGAGCAGGACTCGTGGAGCTGTATGTCTCGGTCGCGATGATGTACAATAAGAGGCAGATGCGGTGAGTCGAGAGAAAGGTCTTCGGAATGCGAATTAGTGTAAGTGTGAGAAAATTGAGAAAGTAAAAGACTCGAGAAGGCGTAGAGAAAGAATAGATGTGTGTGTGGAGATGGGCACAGTGATGGTTTTGCTTGTCGAGCGTAACCTCAACCAGGGCAACACTTGAGAGCAACGCTATAGGCGCAACCCGGCAACAGCAAGAACACAGCCGCCTACCCTGCTCAGGTTGATGTGATTGCCTGGGGTCGGACGACGCCAAATGGAGATGCGCGCGCAAAGTGGTCAAGGTCAAAGTGTAGCTGCCAGGAAGAGCTTGGTAGTGGATGCGGATAGGGATGGGGATGTGAAAGGGGTGTGACCCGGCGCTTGACTTGCAGATGTAGCTCGAAATCCCTAGGGAGGTGATTCTAGGGTCCATCAAACTTGTGTGTATGCGTGCGCGTGTATGCTGAGGAACATGCGACTAAGACGAGAGATATGACGAGGGGTGAGCAGCCAGGAGCAGCGTGCAGGAGATGCACGTAGGCAATTGAGAGCACAAACCGACAGAAAATAGAGACAACAGCAAAGTGAAAGTGAATTGAAATCCTTACCTTGTTGTGGTTTCTTGTCAAGCAAAAGCTGATATGTCTTTTGGGGGCTGGTGTAAATGGATGTTGGTGGAGTCGTGATATCAAGGTAGATGCTGGAGCTGAAGATGTGACAATGTGATGAGGCGACACAAGCAAACAAGCAGACACAATTCGAAGATCAAAGGCGGAAAGAGAAGACTAAGAAGAGGGAGGCCCAAGAAGGAAACCCAAAGTTAAAAAAGTGCAGGTTTGGATGATTTTGAGAAAGAGACAGACACAGGGTTGGTACCAGTGTGGGTGCCTTTACTGCGTGTGCTATGTGTGTGATGGACCATCCATCATGGGTCAAGTCGGGGGTCCAGAGTCAGAGATGGCGCCTAGAGAGTGACGTTCTGGCCTGTCAGTGGACGCTCGAAACCAGAAACGATATTAAAATAGAGCTTTGCGAACGTTGGGTTGAATGGATCAGCGGAGACGGACCGGCTCATAGCACTCAGTCCAGGGGCCGGGGTGGAGGATGGTGGACGGCGGCTGGGGATTGGGGATTGGGGAATGAGAGCTTGTGTTAACATGAGCACCTTTCTGCTGTTGGATTTTGGACTCGAGCTAACAAAGTCGAGTGGGGAAGAGAAGCTGCAGAAGACCAGGATCCCCTCTTGTACGGTAGACAGGGGATTCGAAGTTGGAATCTGGTCTAAGAGACGCCAGTTGAGGCGGAGGCAGTCACTTTGACGTGAATGGATCGTTGTGGGCGGCTGCGGCCTTGCAATGACGAGCGAAGCCCAACGTGGAATGCCATCTCATCGCAGACTGTGGGTATCTGATTAAAGACAAGACAAGGCGAGTTAATGAGCAACGAGTCGCAGCAAGTCAAATGTCTAGCGAGCAATGGCCCCTGCCAAATTTAGCCTCGTGGGCTGGCCGCGTGCCGTTGAACACAATTCTCTCAGTAACCCGTTGGATGGCGCATCAAATTGTGTGGTCCACTAGACCGGGACCCCTGTAAATCTCCAGATCCATTTTCGACTCGAGACTCGAGGGACTCGACCAATCAATCAATCAATTGTATTCCATTGTCTGCATCTCAACGCATGAATGGTCCATATCTCACCGTTTGATATTTAAATGTTCATCATGGAAGCATGTCCTTGGCCCTCGTGATCTCCGCCGTCGTCTCATCCAAATTTCATCTTGTATTTGCATTGATTTTCATCCGTCAATCACGTATAGTAAGTGTCTGGTGCCCCTCTTTCGGTGAGATGGGCGAAAGTATGCGGGCGGCGTCTGGTACGACGACAGGCGGTGGCTTCTCAAGCATTGCAGGACAACACAGCAGAGCATAGCGCAGCAGCAGCAGCAGCAGCAGCGCAGGACAGCACGGTGCCTCCCACGAAGTAGCTGTAACGCTGGTGGCAGGTGCAGTATGAGATAGGCACTGCAACACGATATGCTCGATCCAGTTGTGCTGGGTAACAACCAGAGTAAAGACTGGTCGGTACCTTACATTGAGGTGTGTGTGTGTGTGCATCAGCATCAGCATCAGCATCAACACAACGCCTGCAATGCAGACGTTTCCACTTCAGTGGATTTAGGTGCGGTTCCTACAGTACGGAGCCCCTGAAACTGTAGAGGCGACAGAGCCTTTCGTGCGGTAGCAGATTGAACGTAGCAGTGGTCTTCTTGGTCGGCCTCGAAGTTCGACAGCTTAATCTTGAGATGAGTAAGTACGGATAGTGAAGAAAGATTGAAAGCATGTGGTTGGGGAAACGAAACATGGGGGGCTTGAGCAAGCGCTTGTATGCTAACATTGATTGGCTGTAATGCTGCACCCCGCTTGCCAAAGATGTGCTACAGCTGTTTCTCGGCGCTTATTGGTTGCGTTAGCTTAACGGGACGGGCCAATAAGCCGGCCGATCACGTCTGTTGCAGGGAGTTAATCGCCTCTCCTTCCCGTCCCGCTAGCGAAGAGGGTCTATACCCACCTTTTCTTTTCTTCGTTGCAAGCGCAAGTGGCTGCTCTGGCTTTCAACGTTGTCATCTCTATCAAGCTCGCCTGCTTTGTACTGATAGCAATATCTTGCTTGGCTTGAAACCCCGACTGATGAGGGAGAATTCAACAGGAGATTGACATCATTTCATAGAATGTTAGTTCAAGATTGTATGATGGCTGATGCCCAACTAAGCTAATGTACCTGCCTTATACGCAGTATGTTGACTGTGTTCTGTAATGAACTCCTTGCTCCACTTTTGACTTCATTCGATCAGAGGAAAGAGCAAGCAAGCCTCAATCGATGTGAATCTTTTCACGCCCGACTGTTAAAGAGTGCTTGCCTTTAGTCTGCAAAAGCGTTACTGCCGTAGTACTATTATAGACAATATCTAGCTTAGGTACCATCGCGGGAGGGAGCGGTTTTTTGACACCCTTAGGTGACAAAATAAGGCTGTTGCTATAATGTCGAGTTCATCAATATCATGTCTAATTTTAGTACGACATGTCAGGGGTCAGAACAGCCAAATGACAGGCTTATTTTGTCAAGTACACATGTCAAAAAAGAAAAAACCCCTCCCGCGATGGTAGGTAGTGCTTTCTCAAACTCTTCTTTATCTAAAGTAGGTACGGAGTAGGTACCTTAGATAATCGTTGTATTATGGATCTCTCTTTCCTTTCTGACTTTCATCCTGCCTGCATACACGATTTCTTCGTTGCTTTTTCCCGTGCCCCTGGTCGCTCCCGCCTCAGTGCTACCATACCCACACTCATCACCCACACTTGTTCTTAGGCACTGCCGTGGATGTTGGATGTTAGTCGACTAGGTACGGAAATCCTCTGCTCTCCAGCTCAACTGTTCAAGACTTGACTTCGTATTCCTTTTGATGAGTTCTTGACAACTCAGACCGCGTCTAATACACGTCACGCTGCTCGCTCCCATTATCAATACCTCGGACGAATTTGATCCGGAGACGATGACTCGAGATGGACACATCACCAACTTATCAAACAACAAATATGGCGCTTGTCTTTCGGATCGACCTGTTTGATCTGGGGTCAGAGTCAAGATATCCACCTTGGCAGCCTAGCAATCACTTGACAGCATATGGTTATCCATGACCCAACGCGCAAACAGCCGCACAGGATGTCTATTAGTTAGTTATGGAGTACATGGACGTCATTTATATACCAGCCCCCTCGAATTTCTCCAATTTTCAGAAACAAAAGACGCAAGATGTCTCTATTTCTCTTTGAATCCCGGTCAGTGCAACCCCTTCCTTCCGACATATGTCTCGGAGGCATGTGGTCAACACCCAACTTGGCTTTAGGTTGCTCATCCAGACTTATATCATCACCAACCAACAGGCAAATTCCCTATCAGATACCTTGCCATCTCCAGTCTCTTCCCAGCACGGCGTCTCGAGTCCAGCAAGCGCTTCCACCCATCAATACCCTGCAATCAACTGCTCGGCTAGGGACAGATGTTTGCAGCAGATGCTGTTCAATATCCACAGCACCGTGCGTTTGCCTATCGAGCTGTTTCGCCTCGCTCTCCTCGCTTCCGCCACACAGGTCCTGCATATGGTACAAGTACAGCACAGCAACGCCAGCATCTGGATAGATGTTCTTTGACCTTCAAGCAGGTACATGCGAAGACTCTGAAGTCGTCTGATAATTTCTGCGGTACTTTCAGGACCATTCATACATTTAGCGGATCACAACCAAACGGGTGGCTGCTTGAAAGCCAGTCTCGACTACAAACACATACAAGTGGATCACCCTGCAAGCACGTTGCTCCTGTGCTGTACACACTTAACAGTCAAAGGCTGACCGGGCTTCAGCGCCACTGGTCAAGAACTCTTACCGGCCGATACGCAATTTCATTATCCCGGTGGACTTGGTAGGCCTGTCTGGTTGTCTGGCCTCAGAATCCAAACTACCCCACGGTTGTCTCCAGTCTTTCTCAGGCTCTACTGCAGCCTCGCACAAGGTGCGCCTGTACTGTACACTCGTTTGACATAAGGCCGCGGATGGCTGCAGGCACTTGAGCTGGAAGACTTACAACCTCCCTTGCTTCTTCTGCTATTGCTGTACCTCGTGCTTGCAGCTCGTACATGTCGTCTTACCTGAGGTGATCAGGTTGTCCTCATGAGGCTTACAACTAAAAATTTGATCAATTGCTCATAACTCACTTCTTTAAACAGTACGACTCACGAGTATGTGAACTAAGTCGTAATTCTGCCATCACATTTCCCCTGTTGAGCTGATAAGCTGGCCCTGGTAAAGACTTAAGAGCATTCTTGACCCGGCCGCGGGGACCCTGGTCGCTGCTTTCTCGCGTACCTTCGACCAACTGGGATATTGATATACCATGCTATAAGATGCGGCCCAAGCTGCGGCCAGGCTGATGGATGGTAATGATCACACTTGGATAACGCCACTTGACAAAAGCCTCCGAGTCCATCCATATTCTCAGGCTCGCAGAATGGCGGCCGCCTTTCTACACCAGATCGTCTCAGGGACGAAACATTCATGTAAGATTTATCCATGCAACCTCACACGTGATTGGCAGGATGTCATTATTAGTACCAATTCTCCTCTGCGCTCATTTGCCAAGATATCAACTTCTCAGCTTCAACCTATTCCACTTGGATGATCTCAAACATTGAAATCACCCATCTATTTTGCGCGCTATTTGGAGCTCAATCAACAGCCTCAGGCACAAGAGATCGCACCGGAATTTATTGCGAGTTGACTCCCAATCCCAGTATGACTGGAATATAAGTGCATGAGACTTTAAGTGACAAAAGGGTCGTCTCGATGAGGCCACGAGCAGAAAGACATTGTTTTTTTCGAATCGGCTGTCGTCCTCTATCCGGGACATTCAATAATGGACTAGCTTCCCTCGACGCTTTATACAATTTTACAGGTCAAAATTCAACATTACTCTAAGTTGGTGTTGACAGCTTTTACTGTGAAGATAGGTGTGATGAGTTGGGGTTATCAACGACTGACCATGGCAGGGATTGTATCTACTAAAACCATGGGTTCTTGTGTCTCACTACCTTTGTCAAGGGTCAAGGATTCCATCACATTTCAGTTGAATTCAATCACTTTCAACAACTGTAACATACATGATGTGGATGGCCAAGCTAACGTTGGTAGTTGGGTGCGTGAAATCCCTTGCACCAACGTCCATCAACTCGCGTGGCTTCAGGCTTCCCCGCATCCAGATCCAACTGATCAAACCTCAAGAATGGAGGTCGTTAGCTTGCAATGAGGAGTTTCGGATACGGCCCCTCCGTTGAATATCGCCAATGCATACGATGCACCAGTAAAGCGATACAAGGCGTTGGTGGTCGTCGTGTTAGGATCTCACTTGTCTTGACCTAGATGTTGTCCAATTGGAACAAAGCCGTCTCCGCGGGGGATTCGACATTGTGCATGAATGAAATGCGGGTGCCAAATGGACTCGAGCCACAATCCAAGACCATGAGAGGCTGATGAAGGTGAAGGTGAATGAGAATGTATCAAGCTCTAACACGAGAACTAGCTCTCAATAGCGGGCGTCCGACACCGGCCATTATCAACTTGATGTCTCAGATTGAGCTTCCGTACTTTTATAGATGAGACATTGCGGAAATAATGCAGGTGGATTTGATCTCTAGATGATGCGAGATACCCGAGACCGAGGCTGACGTGGAACTGCATGTCCTTGGGTCTCTTTGCAGCAGCAGTTGAGTGGTCAACTTTTTGATTGAGTGTTGGCTTCAGACTTCCCAGAGGATATCGTTGATGGTAGAAGATACGGCTCCTGAACATGGCGATACAAGGTCGACGCCATCTTTTCAACCAATCTCTCCAAGCTAGATCTCTAATGCTGTTACTGGGTTTGCATTGTGGAGTGTTGTCCTGCATATCAATGATAGTCCTAAGACCAACATGTTATCTTACCTAGTAGGAGAAAGTCACGATGTGAGGGAGCTTAGTCTACGACACTTCTCGCCCTACATCAAATGAATGTTCCAGTTTCCATTCAAGACAGATACGCAACATCACTACTCTCAAATACCGTTTTCTTCGGTGAGGAAAAGACGAAAATAAATGGCTTATACATGCATGAACATGACTGGCCTGTGTCAATCGGTTTCTTTGGGGCATACTACGTAACTTGCTATTATAACAGCTACCCAAACAACATTTGCAATGGGATGAATACTCGTTCTAAGCAAAAATGAACACAGTTAGCAAAAGATTAATATGAGAAGGCGTTTCTCCCCCGGGAAGGCTCGAACTTCCGATCTCCCGATTGTCTATTTAATAACAGTCGGACGCTTTAGCCAACTAAGCCACAGGGGATAAGCTGATTGGATGAGAACATGGACATGGATAACGGTAAATAGACTAAGATTTGGAGAAGAAGAACTGTCTCTCGCTTTCATCCAGATCGCCGAAGTCCTTTCATCGGTTGGGCATTATATGAGCTTCCCCTTCCCTATTTGCTTATGTGATGAGCTGGCTCTCACACCTCTAACCACTATGCTCTCGGGTCCGACATAGTGTATGGTTATTAACTATGGAGTACTACTACTCTATCCTTCACAAGAGCGTAGCTAGCTTATAGGCAGGGGATGATAGTCGCTCATAATGAGACTTGAAATCTCTTGAATCCCAAATTCGTGTCCTATGGATACTCATATAGCTAGCTTAACACAGTTGCTTTCAGTCATAACCCATGCTACACGTCATCCCATCTCATCCCTTCACTCAAGCCTTTGACTTGGACTTGAAGCCCTTGCTCGTCCAGCTCTCAACTTGAAGCTGATAGACCTCCTCAGCCAAATCCTCCACAGGCCCTTCAACCCTGAGCCCCGGAGCAACCTGGTTGATACCCAACGGCGCAACCGGTGCCCCAACTCCAAACTCAGCCTTCCAAGCCTCCAACTGCTCCGTCGAGGAAGCATACACAATCCTTCCGAGCCCACACCACGCGTGCGCAGCAGAGCACATAGCGCAGTGCTCACCGCTTGTGTACACCGTCGTCTCTGCGCGCTCCTCAGCGCTGAGGTTTAGCTGTGCCCAGCGCGCCAGCGTGAACTCTGGGTGCAGCGTTGAGTCGGCGCGTCTGTCGCCGTTGGAGCCTGTGACGGTGCGGTTGCGGTCGGTTTGCAGGACTTTATTATCCGATGATACGAGAACTGAGCCGAAGGGTGCGTCGCCGGCTTCGAGGGCCTCTTTGGCGAGTGAGACGGCGAGGCGGAGATGTTGGCGATCCTGTTCGTTGACCATTGTGGTTGTTGTGTTTATAGATGTGCTTCGGTTGTTAATACAGCGAGTGGCTTTCCTTCTCATATATGAGATTTCTTATTCGGGTCTAAAGATTGATGAGTTATGTGTAAGTTAAGTGAAGTCGAGTCTGAGTGAGATATTAGTAAAGCTGATGATGCGGGGAAGATGAGGGTGGTTGAAGAATCCGGAAGGTCATCATCGCAAAGCCCTGTAACACCGTGCCAGGACCTCACAAAACTTTTGGTCTCTGATATATCTATTGAAGTTATCAACAAGTAAAATCTAGGCCGTAATATTGTCTAGCATACTCCGAATCAGACAGTGTAGCTCCTTGGCTTGACGTTCATACATCTTTATCTCAATAATGAGAATTGGATTCGGGAAATTAGCAACAATTATGATACGAACTTCTCTACTCCAACTTCCATCTTATGAAAGAGATCTATTCGTGCTGTCACTGCGGCCATAAAGGTGTGTGGTGCTGATCTCCTCAGTGTGCTCAGAGTTCCGAGGCCAAATGATAAGCTCAATGGAGACAAGTGAGTGCTTGATATATGTTGCAATCTGATGAATTAAGTTACATTCATACATCTTGCATCAGGTAAACCTTCAATTATAATTGCTTCCGCGGCCCGTTGCGGTCATGCCCAATGGTTGTAACAGGCGGTTTCTGAACTATCAAGAACATGAAGTTCAGCAGAGTAAGAATATACTGTTTGTAGTAATAGAGCAAAGCTCTTCGAATCGATTACAGCTTCCAATGAATCTCTCTTAGTTGATGGCAAGTCCGATGCTACCCCAGATGCTACTGCGAACTGCCTAGTGACTTACAAGGAATGTAGTTGGACTTCACAGATTAAGTGGGAGCCGCATTGTTCCACCAAAACATTTATAGGACTGATGAGAACTCTCAAAAGATATGCTGTATCCACTCTCTATTCTCGTTTAAATTCGTTGAACGGCACGTTTCAAGGTGTAGGACACTCGGGGATGGCCTTAAGTTTGCCATGACGACGTTGAAGGGTATCACTGTCTAATTCCGCACCACAAAGGTCAATCTACACCCACTCACATCGTATCAAACCGATTCATGTCCTCTGGCTTTCGTGATCGCATGATCTCAGATGGAAGATTTGGGCATTGGGACTGAATCTCAAGATAGGCATTATCACAGACGTGATGAGGCAACTCAACTTATACTACCACGGCCATTCCGAGTATATATCTATACCTCTCCGTCCAGATACTCCAGTTCCTAAGTCCATTCTCCTCACCTTTCAATCTCTAAGGCTTTCACGTATTGCACCGTGCATCGCCATGTATACTTCTCAACACTCCCCAATTAAGGACCTTATGCTAATCAACTACTACTTGCTTCACTGGGACTGACTCGCTATTTCAAGACACGGCTCTAATCCAAGTAGCACAAGCGCCCGTTTCAAATCTTTAGTCTCTTTGTCTCGTCCTTGAGTTAGCCTCTAGGCGTGGGACTGCCAATAATAGGAGCTCAAACGGTGTCAAAGCTTATGTTGAACACAGGAACATACACAATGCCTTTATACTCACAAGCCACGAGGCGCAATCCAATTCAAACCAGATAGCAATAGGAAAGCATCATTTTGGCTTCCCCGCGGGTATTCAATACCCTCTCCTCACCATCTGTGCGCCCGTTTCTTTGACATTTGACCACCAACTACATCTCGCGCACAAGGACAAAGCATCAGTCTATACAAACACCCACCTTCAGGATATCCATCACAAGCTCTCCCACGTGGAAAAGGGAGTCCTTTGTTTCATTCTTATCGCCGATCTCATAAACGTTGCTGCGTGCTTTCACCGCCCAGCCACACCCCGCGCGGCAAAGGCGTCTGGTTCGTTCATGTGACGGAGCAGCTTGACTTGAAAGCCTACGGCACGGGACGGTACCACGGGCCAGGCTAGAAAATAGAAAGGTCCCTATTGTCGCCGGTATTCGAAAGATAGGCCGGCTATGGTTGCTAGTTATTGGATAATAGAAGTGTTGTGCCACACGCTTTTATGAGCTTGGTTCATGCTCTTGGATACTATTGAACTTGGCAACAATCAAAGGTTGGGGATAATAGTTGGAGGCTGAGAGGTCAAAGGACCATGCTGGCCAAAGTCACAAGCAGAGACGCACACATAGCATATCACATGAATCAAAGACAAAAGTTAAGATGTAAGCCAAATATGAATGTTGATGCTAACTAAGAGGGTATCTCAAAAATCAAGGCTGGCGCAAGGCCGCCGAACTATCCTAAGGTATCTAAAAAGTCCATGTCGCTGTGTAAACCATGCAGTGGGCACATCCAGTGCCATTATTCCCATTCCCAAATGCCTGTGCCAGCTGTCTTCCCAGTGGTGGGAGGCTGATGCATAACCTGTACCCAAGGTTCCATGCCCTAATCCTATGCAAGCCTGTGACAATGCAATAAAAATAATGAAAACTCCATACATATGCTCTCCACCAAGATGGTGTGCAGAAAGGGAAAAAAGATTAAACTCAATAGGCTCGGTGAGCAGAGTCGGAAAAGATAAAAAGTCGGCTTGATAAAAGCCTCAACAGAAAAGAATAATGAATGATGATCCGAAAACATTTCCGTTGACGGAACCGCGGTGCGGGGAAGAAACCGGTGGATGGCCGAAGCGGCCGATGATCCGTCAAGTCCACATCATTTGAATGTCAAGATGTGGGAGAAGGATAAACTTCCACCGGCCCGGGCTACGTTTCCTTCCAAGGCTCGGCCGTGATCGGAAAGTCCTGATAGATAATGGTTGTTGATTGTTGTTGTTGTCATCCATTCCTAATGCTTGGCCCCATCTGACTCAATCTTGGTTGGGTAACCCCACCCCCACATGAGATTTGCTGGGGTCCTAGGCGGTCTACCCATGGCGTCATTGACCAAGATTTAGGGTGATGTCGGTCCGGCGGCTAGAAGTCGATCCGAACGTTGCTGTTTAAGGTTGCCCGGTTTAATGAATGACAGTTTGTTTGGATGTGTTGTGGTGTGTAAAAGATATCCATCATCTGAGACGGAATAGTGATGTAAATAATCTGGCATGTGCGTCCAGTATTGCACATGCGAATGCTGTTGTGTGGGGTATCATGGGGTATCAGATTGCCATGTAATGCAAAAGAAAAGCAGCCTAAAATCTTGTTAGTGAATGTTTGTTGATACTGAGCAACAGGTAAACATACGCTATCGTTAAATCGTAACAGTCATTAAGAAGAACCCGGTAATTGTTTACTCAATAACCTCCTCGTTGATGGAGGTGAGCTTGGTCTTGGGGCTCTTCTTGTGAGAACTGCTACGGCGCTGCTTTCGTGCGGCGGCACGGCGACGCTCCTTCTCTTGGTTGACAACACGGATGCACTCGCGCTGAAGAGCAGCCTGGCGTTCGCGCTGAGCCTGGAGGAGCTCGAAGTCTGAGATGACGTTGGGAGGCGAGGCCATGGCACCAGGAGAAGAGCTGCCGGCGCTGGAAACGCTCTGGGCGTCGTCGTCGAAGGGATCAGAGAGGAACAAGTCGTCGTCGGAGAGATATGAGGTGGGTCGCTCCTCTCGATCAGACTCAGAGAGAGAGTCGCGTCGAGGCCAAGAAGGAAAAGCGCAGGCGGAATCCTGGGATCGGTAGATGTTGCGAGACGCGATATCCATGGGCGCCGAGGACGCGCACATGGAGCTGTAAGAACCGTATGAGCCGAACATTGTTGCGGTGGTTGTGATGGTAGGCGAGGTGAGTAGTCGAGAGTTGAAGCTCAAAGAGCTATAGCTGTTGCTAAATAGCAAGTAATAGTGTTGATCACTAGATTGTTCTTTGTTGACGGCAGATAAATGGATCCTTGGGACGAAAACCTGGGGATGCGGATAGATATAAATGGGTGAAGCAGAAAGGGCAGGCAGCCGGCTAAGGGAGACAAGAGGGCGTGTGAGATTAGATCTGGGTGTGGAATGGATGATTTGCAATAGGGGGGTGTGGGTGTGGGATGGGATTTGGGAGTGGGAGAACGTGGAAGAGAAGGTGAAGGCGAGAGGTGCCGGAAAAGGGGGGTGCGACCGACAACGGGTGCGAGTGCGGGTCCAAGGGTCCTCAGGTTCGGTCGCCGGGAGGAAGGCTCGTTGTTGCTGTGTTTTGCTGCTGAGAGAAGCGATTCAGCCAGCCCGCGGAGTGTTACCGACCGAGGTGTTGGAGTGGGGTGGGCCGAAAGGAAGGGGGCGTGGCAAAATGAGCGGTGGGAAATTCGAGTCACAGCTGGAAGGTGAAAACCCAAAAAACCAGGGCGATACAGCGGCTAAGTGGACGGGCGGAGCTGTCAATGGCACTTTTTGGGGGTGGCCGAAGCGGATCCGTGGGAAAGGAAGAGGCAGAGGCAGAGGCAGAGGCAGTTGAGATATGGGGGCGTGGCCGAATCGGTATCCAGCTTCGGTATCCAGATTTTGTCAAGTATTCGCCAAGACCTTTGGTTTTTGGTTATGGTTTTGGAGGTCAGGTAGCTTATCGCGCTCGGGTCAAATCGCTCGAGGGACCGAGATCTCACCGTTGGGAGGATCCAGAAAAGACGAAGCCGAATTATTCCAGAATCAGAATAAACAGGTTTGTTGCGTGTTGCCAGCTATTGACGACCAAGAACAATCAGTCAATACAAGAACAAGCGAGGATGACGAGCTTCGTGGTGGATGGTTACTCGCGATGCGGTGTCGTAACGAGCTGAGCGAAGCTGTGGCGTAGCTAACTTTGCTTTGTAAACTGATGGACGCTGTAAAAAGAAATCCCCAACAGACGGTGAGATAAGCAAAGCTTCTTATGGACAGTAACATTTGCAGAAGATGTTATAATCACAATAATCATAATCGTAATCATAAGCATAATCACAACAATAATCATAATAAATGACAAAAGCGACATATCAATCAGAGGCCATATTGACTCTATCCGTCACCGTCTAAGACAATCTGCTCTCGTCCAAGACATATCAAACCTGCTTTTGTTTGTCTGATTGATTGCTCCGATCGGGGCTTGGTCTCATCTGCCCTGTGGCTTTTCGTAATCCGGGGTTGAAATAATAACGCCTCCCCCAGGCAAAGACCAAAGACCAATGACCAAAGCCCAAAGCCCAAAAAGCACGACGAATAGCAACCACAATACCAATTACACCGTGTGCGATTCGCTGTTATCGTCTGAATCACAGGTCTCTGCGCCTCCCCCCTTCCCCCTTCCCACGGGTCAACTTACCAAATCACGGGCTGCGCGCGGCAATGAGACACAACCTAGAGTCACAGTCATCAACGGAGCAGAGTCACAAGCACGACGAATACAGTATTATGGTAGGTATTGCGTGTAGTCGCAGAGCACAGCCAGAAGCGCCCCCAGGGCTGACTGACCAACAAGACTGATTATTAACCTGGGATAAATGGTGATTACGGCAGGTCAGCGCAGCAATCAATGCGCTGCGATGCGATACGGTGACTCTTCGCACTGCGTCTTTTCGGAACACGAGTGAATCATTGTCTATTCATGGACTGTCGAAGTGTTATTGGTGCTGTTGTAGCGAGTAGCGAGTGCGGTCACTGTTTGTCCGTCCCATCCATGAGCCATCACTTTCTTTGATTTCATTTATTCATTCATTCATTCTCCAGGCATCATTCAGAGTGAACGCCATTCGCTTACGGTTCGCTACTATCGCTGTGTTCATTCATGTTTGTCTCATGTGAATGCTAGTAATTTATCGCATTTGATACTTTCTGTTCTTTTTGTCTCAAGACTGGATTGCTTTTTGTGTCTTTCCTCTCTCCTCTTCCGCTGCTCGTTGTCTCCCCCACGCCCTCCCTCACTACCTATTCTTGGCCGTGGGCGCTGGGCTGTCTTCCTTCCAGCGCCCAACACGCCCTAAATCGGTCCCTGGCCTGGCCTGGCCTGGCCTGGCCGTGGTCGATCCTCGGGCTGCTTCTGCCCTGGCATACGTTGGCTGTCGTTCCGAGCCCAAACCAAACCTTCCCGTCGGGCAAGTGTACGTTTCCTTAACCACACACCCCCCACACCATGCCCGGCAGCGCAATAAATTCCTTTATGCAGCTCGCAGGGCTGGCTGTTGCTGGCTATTCTTTTTTCCTCATTGGGAAGAGGGGGAAGGCATCGCGGGATTACGGGATTGGTCTTCCCTCAAGGCAAGGGCCAGGAGCAACAGAAGGAGATGCGATCCAATGCAGGTAGGGAACGACGTGCATCTCTGACCGCTCCCTTTTTGCACACACATCACACATTTACAGTTTTTATTTGCTGGATGCGTGCGTGCTTGATGGTGTTGAGCGCTGAGCTGTTTCTGTTGACACTGTTCCTGGCCATTCGTAGATGGATCATGGATGATTGTTCTACCACCCACCCCCAAGCGACCGCCCGAGCATTGATTGATCGGTTAGGGCCCCATCTTGCAGCGACTGTCCGATCCAGCAACCACTCAAGTTGCGCACTACGAGGTGTCGGAATTTCACCGCCGGTAAACGGCATAAACAACAATAACCTAAATGCATCCTCGGTGGATGGCCGTAACCATGACCGTGACCGCTACAATAAAAAAAGAGATATCGAGAGATAGGCCATATTCCAGTATATGCCTCTCGGCCTTTTGTCCGCCGAACTAGGTAGGTAATTATTGTCCCCTCTCTTATCACCTCCCTCGTCCATTTCCCCTCCAATCCAGATGGATGCTTCGCCGACCCGAGCTTCTGGCTTCCCAATAACTTTAACCCCCAATACCGGGTGGCTCCCAGCCCAGGGTGCCTGTTTACTTGTTTACGGATACCTGGCCTGGTCATATTCAAAGGTTCTCGTTTTCTAACTTCCCACTAGGGATCTAGAGCAATCATCCCGGACCGAGCATTCTTTACCCTACAGGCCCGTTTAGCCTAGAAACCTTGAAAGCTATCTCTTCCTAGCAAGTTTCCCCTTCCGTCCAACCTGGTTGAGCGCACGAATCGCAGTCCATTATTCTCACCGCTAGCTGGCATGGATATCGATATCGGTAGCCAATCACGGCTTTGTATATCTTCTCCGCGATATCTTGGCACTTGTGAATCTCGGTCGTACATCCTGCAGGGTTTTGATCCTAGCATTATTGGGCACATTTTCAATTTCAAAATCCGGTGGAAGAAGCAAGATTTTGACACAAATAAAAATTCGGGAAGGAAAAAAGCTTTTTTTCTGATAATCTCTCTTAGCCGGACCATAGCAAGCGAGTGTTCCTCAGCTTGTACGGATACCTAGCAATTGATCAATTCAATATCCGTTCCGCCGCCACACACCGGCGTACGAGAGACTGATATCCACAATCGGAGCCGCTTTTACGGCTTTCTCTCCACTCTGTGGCGTTTCGTCCGTTGCCTCTTGGATGTATCCAATCGTCCACTAATTATCGATTTTTGCGTGCTCCTAGTGAAGGTTTGTGGCATCTGTGTGGTTCACTTATTCAGGGCTTAAACCAATGACTCTCTCCCTTGCTATGTCTTTCTTGCTTGAGTCGAAGCGAAGGGAGTCGTTCTCGACAGATCGGAAACAGGAGAATTCGATAAGAGACTTGTGTGAGGTTACCTCGACTTGAGGGGGGCAAGAGGGGTCAGAGCAAATGAAATACTGAATTGTGTCGCAGAAATGCCCCTCGCCTCAAAACAACTGAGACAGCTTCATGAGCTTCTCCGCACTTTGGCTGAGAAATGATCTGCGTTCCCGACCCGGACCTCGACCCGAGAGCCTCTGGCATCAGCTTTGCAACTCAGAAAGGGTCTGGAGTTGTCGCAGATTCTCTTATCCGGGCAGCCGAGCAGCCCAGAACGTTGATTGCTGTGCCTATCACCTATCACACTCTGAAGCGTCCCAGTAAGCTGATCTTCGCACAAAGTGATAGTCATGATAGACGGTCTGGCCCGTCGCTACTGGATACCCTGCAGATGGTGTTTTGGCCTCGTCTGGATTCACAGCAGCTTGTGTTGATCGCTATGTCTCTAGAGATAACGGTGGCTCTGTGGTCCTCAATTGCACCAACGACAGCGAGAAGGCAATGCCGTGAGGACCCTGCGTGCTCCCGCTTACACTCCACCTTTATCCGCCATGCTGAAGTGAAAACAAGACAAGACCCGGCGGTCAAGTTCGATATCGCCCATCGCCATCGGCGTCTACGATGATCAACATGAGGGTGCACTAACAGCTGCAGCTGTAACCGCAACTGCAGGTGCTACAGCGGCAGAGCGGATATAACTCATGATGTGAGTCAGATAAATGGATATCAGGGTCTTTTCCTCCGCGGCTCTTGCGCATTTTGCGATACTACCATCGTCATCATGGAGTTTTCACTTATCTAAGGCTCCCCACCGCCATTTTTTCTTCCTTTTTCTCCCTCTCTCTCTCTCTCTCTTGAGCCACACCTCAGCACTCCATATCTTTCCGCAGTATGCCGGTCTGGGGAAACACCAACACAAAGACTTATGGAACTTACTCGCCGATTAGATTGCTTCCATGCTTTGACAGGGAAGATTCCATGGAATTGTATTTTTCTTCTTATTTTTCACTTACCTAAGAGAAGTCAGTCTCCACTTCGGCATTAGAATGTCACGCAATTGCAATTGCAACTCTACACCTGAAATTCATCATCCCGAGCAATCTCGCTCATTGTGGACCTTGTTGTTAGTATTGTTATTATTCCTGGGACTTTGTTTTACCACGGACCGCGTGGCCGGGTGCAGTCCCGGGATTGACAAGTTCCAAGTTTCCAATTCCAACGCTTCGGTCACAGATCGGTAAGTAAAATTAAATTACGATATAGCCTACAGGCTACGGCCCAGCGCCTGGAAATCCCGCGCCTTTAGCTGGGGGTGCACCGTGTCACCCTTCACCGTTGGGCTCTGGCGCTCTGGGCTCTGGGGAATTGCTTGTGATAATGCCATGATGCTTGTAATATGAGTTCCAGTAATTGCTGGGAATAAAAAACGTCATCAATCATCAAATCTGTTATTTAGATTACCCGCGGTAAGAGACAACGGCTCCTCAAACAGGCAGTTTGTTTTCGCCAAGGACCAGCCAAAAGCTTATCGAAGCCGCTGTTGTACGGATATCAGACATGACGGTTGTGGTGCTCCGAAAAAAAGCCGTGTCGCGATCTGTTTGCTTCCCGCTTCTTACTTGCTAACGACCAGTTAGCTATTCTTGCTGTGCGACCCCTTTTGATAGTGTTATCAATAGTATTGGTCGAATACGATAGAATGGCCGTCTCGCTTAGGCTCCTACTCGGCGGTCACGACAGTTTTCCCCCTTGTGTCAAAGTTCCATCCCTTGCTACGTAGACGATTCAGAACCCTTGCAAAGAACCAAATGCCCGAGCGCAACGGCTGGCAGCATTTTGAAACTTTGATGTTTGCTTTGGCGATTCATCTTAAACTCTGTCAAGTGTCAACCTCCCCCCTGGACGCGGGGCTTCCTATTCCTGGTTCCCCAGGCGAACGGAACGGCCAGCTACGGAATCCTGTTCCCACCTTCCGGAAGGACCAGGTCCCCTGGCGTCTGCCAGCCTTTTCCTTTCCAATAGCCGCGATAGGAACTTGGGATCTAGGTGCTAGGCTAGGTTTGAGGTCAAAGACCCCTGGAGTCCACCGCCTTGACTAACTCTTATCCACCTGGATGAAGCCTTGCTCAGACCCGAACCAGTGGTTCTCCTCTCTAAACCCAAGGCTGGCAATGTTCCTGGCTCATGGTTCGTGCATTGACCGCGTTCACGAATCGTAAATCTCCTTTAATATTAGGGCTGTTGCCTCGTAGTAAGTAGAACCGAGCAGCAGGGCTTATCTGAGAGGGGGGTCTGAGGGGCTTCTATCAGGATTTTCTAGAGCTTCCTTTTTCTTCCTTCTTGGAAGCCACCCTGAGTGTTGTCCACCTTCTTCTTTCGGTTTGGATGCCCCCAACTTGAACTTTGTGTATGCAGTTGTGGACACTAGAAGGATTGGTAGAAGGTCCGTAGAAGAACAGCCACCGCAGTCTGCATGTGTCATGAAAATCAGTGTCATTGTCTGCGTCAGTATCCGCACTTGGGGGGTTGTTAACGAAATGCGCAAATGGAAGAAAATTTCGATGCATCCTTCTTTTCGAATGTGTTGCTCCTGAATCGCTCCGTTCAAACTTAATATTGAAGGTCTCGGACATCATTCCGTGCTACCTCGGATAAGGGGAAACGCCTCCCGGACTTGGATGAGTTTAGCTTCCGCGATTCCCACGTGTCTGCGGTTGCGGTTGCGGTACCGCGGAGAAGAAGATGAGCTTCCCTCATTCCCTTCTAAGAGGAGTACGTATCTTCTTTCATCATCGGATTCTTACCGTCCAGGACCGAGGTAAGGAGACTAAGGTTGCCCGAAGCTGGGGAAAAGAGCCCCTAGATCCGGTATTTTTCCCTTTCGACTCACCCCGAGTCCAACGAGCGAATGGCAGAGGGGCGTGTACGATACCAGTCTGTCACTGGAAATTCTAAGTTAATGGCTGAATAAGGTAAATCGCGTGGCAACGTGGGTGAACGAGTCGCGTAGAACTCCAAGAGAGTCAAGGACTCAAGTCTGCCACGCGATTGACAGCTTGGACGTTTCATTAATGATGTTCATGCATCGCGGAGTTGCCATGAGTATCAGACCGTCAGTGTGAGGGTAAGAGTGAGTGCACAAGCTGGTAGTTTCACGAATGAATCACAATTATTATTGATTTGTTACCCCCAAGATGAGACCGTCCCTATTAAACATGTCTGTGCCAGTTGCTTTTGGATGAGACTTGTCGCAGACGATAACAGGTTCTGTGCTTTTGCTTGACTTTGCTTCTTGTTGTTGTTATTGTCTCTAGTTCTGCACACGCTGAGACATTCATTGTTAGCAGACTGTTTCCGGCCCGGCAACAGATATCATGACGCAGCTGAGTCCTGAATCCGGTACACTCCCAAAGCGATTATGGACAGAACAGAACAAATACCGATTCAGTCAAATCATCGCCAAGCACGCATGTCACTGAGATTTGAGATTTGCTGACAATTTACGCCACAATGTGAGAGCGCCGCCTACGCCACGACTTTATCTTTGACGAAACAGGCAACATTTCGCGCTGCAAGCCCGAGCAGATCCCCGTGAACCTTCCCCCAGGATCGCGATACGTGTTGCGGGAAACATCTCCAGACAGTATTAGTATGACGTCGTACAAACTGGAAAGTGATTTGCCTCTGCTGCTGTCGCTCATCCTGATTCATTCGCTGTAAGCCGGAATGCGAAAGCGATCTTAGTAGCTTATTCTTTTCGTTTCCCGAGGTGGTTGCACCGTCGGATAATGATGTCGTATGCTCTGTAATACTGCTACAGCAGCAACATCTAAGCTGAGATAATACGCTTCCCGCGGGGTGACCAGGAATAGCATCAGGTCGCATTCGCGATACGGAGGCCGCGAATGATTACGCATACGGAGTACAGTATCGTGCTCTCCCTATGGGATTTCGTATTCTCATCTTTGGTCAGAGATTGGCTCGGATCTGTCAGCTCCGAATTTACGGTCAAGCAAGATTCTGAGTTTCTTATTGTCCATCCGGGGTTCCGTTATTGGATTCTTACAATTACGGTCCTTCCTTCGTATCACCTATTCGTTGTCGGTGTCATATCTTGTGACAGCGCTCGCCTTGGCCCCGAGACTGTAACGATCCAGTGCTTCATATTTGGCTGCCGCCTACTGCTACGTGGTGCCTTGGGTCCCGAGTCACAGCTACAGCTACGGTGTGCTTGCGGATATTACAAGCATTTCTATTTGGGGCTGAGGCCAAGGCTGTGCTGTGTACATAGTAAGGCTATCGGGCTTGGTGGTGATGATGTAGCATGGAGGTGTAGGGTCAGCCAGCAAAGCCTCGTCATCTGGTCACTTACAGGCATCACATGGTAATCCGGGGTACAGAGTAAAAACACTCCAAGCATTCGCTTCAGTGCATCCGCCTCGGTTGTCGGTGTTATCAGTTCACGGAGTAATATGGCTGTTGATTTTTTCCATTTCCGGAGTATTTTATATTCGCAATACTCCGTACAATGAAGATCATTGCAGCTCTTTCGTTTTGCTCCGGTATGAAGGGTAGGTGACACTGAGCGACAAGGCGTTGTGATAATATCATTTCGAGGAATCTGATACTCCGAATGCATATGTAATGAATTTTTGGATGACGGGAATACTTCATTTCCACCTCACTATGTATAATGCCGTCATTGACACCAAGCTCAAACGCATACTCACACACGTACACACGCCCTCCCCGGCAATAGGTGAGGCGTTTTCTGGTGCATAGGATTCTTTGAAATATCCCAATTTGATTCCTTCTTCAGCCCGAAGTCGGCCCTGTCTGTTGCCCATCTCCTGATGCCGCTCCTTTCTGCAAGGGCACCCAATCACTATCACTCCATTTGAGGCATGCCACCTGTGACGATAACGAGTGGGGGTGCAGCTTAACTTGGAGTGTTAAGTGTAAACTGTAAAGTATGGCCGTGGCCGTGGGGTTGACCAGACCGAAACATCAGGCAAACACCAACCCGACCTCACCGAGAGGAGAGTGAACAAGGCTTGTTTTCGCCTTTCGCTTCTTCTGTCGCGTCTTTCTCAGGCACAAAAGCAACTAAAGCAATCACCCGCTGCAGCCTCGCAAGCCTCTCAAACCCCCAACCCTCAGCCCGCCATGAGGCTTGCGAGGGCTTGCGAGGCTTGTGTCAAGGTTTTGGGGTTGTTAGTTGTCTCCCTAGTTCTCTCGACTCTCTTATTGGACGAAGGTGTTGACAGTGCAGTTTATTACAGCGCCATGCCGCTATTCAACCTTAACAACAAACTGCCGTTACAAACTTACAATAGACAGCGCAAAACACCACCAACAACAATACTAGCCCTCCCCTGGAGGTGTACGATAGAGAGAGGGGACCGTTGGGCTCAGATCAGGTGCTTGCCGTACCGTCCCGATGATCTCGCATCCGTTGCTTTAGCCTTGTTTGCTCATCTCATCCCATCCCATCCCATCTCATCCCATCCCATCTCATCCCACGGAAGTCTTCTCTTTCCCCCCCCACGCAAAAGGAAAACTCTTGGTGGGTGACAGTGACAGTGACAAGTAATTAGTATCAGCCAAGCTAGGTACCAAGGGATCTCTTCACGAGGGACGATCCTCTTAGTTCCCGCCTCAGACGGCATTCATGGCAGTCAAGTGAAACGGCTCTTTGCTTTTTTATTCCGCCCTTGCTCATCCTATCCTCATTTACACTTACAGGGAGGAAATAATTTAAAGTGTTTGCTTTGACTTGTCTCACGCTCGGCCGCGGTAAAACCAACCTTGCTTCCCCGGTTGATCAATCGACTAAACTGCGTTATACCTTTCTTTTTCTTCTTCTCTTACTCCGTACAACTTGAACAATCTTCTCGTATCCAACAGGGTCTGTGGGTTGTCACCTTTTTCTCCTTCGATATCATGTTTTAGAAGCGGTCAGTTGAGATAGACCTCCAGTCATGCAGCCAGCTTTTATCCTTAGCCTTACCCAGCGCCGGTTAAAAAACAAGAGATAATAATAATAACACGCCCTTGATGTGCATGCGTGTGCTTGTGCGTTTTTCTCTCCCGCAGCTGCAGCATTGCTGGCTTCGATCCAACCTGCATGTGCGTCTTGCCTTTTATCCTACACCGATCAAATCGTTTCAAGATTTTGCTACGTTGTGTCAACACTTGAGCTTCACCGCTTGGCATCCAACAAAAACGCCATACATATAACCCGCAAGCATACCGCCTTTTGAAACAAGGCCAAATAGACAAGACAGACGGACACTGGCTCACAGCATCTGATAAGCCACATGCAGGCACTTTCCCAATAATTCAGGTTCTATCCGTACAGTACGGTGTGTCTGCGCCTAGCCCTGGCATCACACGTACATATCCGTACATACATACGTGATACCGCCTGTATATGCGCTGGCTTATAGTTGGCGTGCATTCACCTGTTGTTGAGCTAGCTTGACTTACACGACAGCGTACTATATCTGCATCGTCCCTTGCAGCAACGCCGCCATCCTTGGAAACTCGGATGAGTCACATAAAAAGTCTTTTTTAATTAAATTTGTGACGTGATTGAGGGTGCCACGGCTTAACCGAAATTCTCCTTTTATAGTTGTTGTAATTACCTGTTTGCGGTGAGGTGAGGCCCTCTGCGGGATGTGACTATCCGGCAGCTGAGGTGTGAGGTCCAACACATCGCTCAGACTTGCTTGTTTTACCTTGATGCTCTCCAGACTTACCCAGTTTCCTTCATTCGGACGGAATTTCGAGTGGTACCTTGTAGACCCGAGATGTATGCAGTCCTAGTCATCTGAACTTGGTCGAGCCTAAGTCTGTTACGTTTCGAGCTTTAGGGTAGCTCATATTTGCTGGTATCGGAACCATTGGGTTGCAACCGATGAATGAAGAGTAACGGTTGGTGCATATGATGAAAGTTATCATGGTCTAGAAAAGAGTGTATTTTGTATTCGAAATAGCTTTTATGGCGTCCGTATCTCGACTTGTGGAGATAATGTGAAGTCTGGGTCAAGGGAATCTACAAAGTTGAATATCATTGTAAGTGCAATCTTAGGCTGAGTGTACGAACAGACACTCAGGGCCCAAGGATTCATCTCGTCCTATAGGGTTAATATTTGAAAGAATCGAACACATATTGATCATGTAACAAGATCTGAGGAGAAACTGAAATATGGACTAAAGTTGGCCCTGCCTCATGGCCACAGCGTGCAAATGAATGACTAGAACAATCACCGAAGAGAAAGAGCTCAACTGAGATACGTCCACCTACTCAACAGCCACATATAATACCCGAATCAAGACTCGTTCTACCACAGGATTAGCTGGCGAGTGAACAAGGTTCATAAGTAAAGCACAGCCTGATCGTCTAAGTCGGGTATGCCAGATGGTACAGCCACACGTAGAACACTTATACAAATCTTGATCGCGATGGATGAGAAGAGCGAGACAATGGTGGTAGATAGTTGAGTTGAGATTGGCACTTCGAACCAAATGACTATACACGCGAAATCTCTGCAAGATGTCCATTTCAAACTGCCCAGTCTACCACTTGAGGGGGGTTCAATGCCAAGGTGAACTCGAAGCAACCAACCATCACGCAGAGGTTCAAATACCTTGTGAAATCCACATGGGTAGTTGATCATGAATGTAATGATGTTGTTCTTTGTTTATGTATCACATGGTGGCAGTCGCAAAATATCCGTTCTACGGTAACGACGGCAGTCATTGCAGTGGGAAATTTGAACATCGAGACAAGTCATAGATACTCCAACGATGAGGGTCGTATGAAACAAGTTTCAATCCCAGGACCAAAGTAAAAGATCGAAGAACCCAAGCACATAACGCACGAGCTACAAGAGCACCCAACACATTCGTTCTTTCAAACGTTCGAACCAGTTCAAATTTACGGACGGCCCAGTCGATACCAATGGCAGAGCTAAGAAAAACGTGATATATGGTTATATATCTTGCCGCAGTGCAAAGCACGAGGAATGAATGCCCTCGTGATCCTCAAGCAGTCTTTGTAGGATCGAGTGTATACCAAAAACTGCAGATACGCCAAACTCCTCCAACTCCTTCCATGATGAAGAGCAACTAGCATCTTCAAGCAACAACTAACCAACCGAACACTGCCATCAAACTCGCACTAACTGCGTAGCGCCTCTAATCGGTTGCGCATCTGGTCCATCATAGCCTCGGCATCCTCCTCCTCTTCCTCCTCCTCCTGGGGCTTCTGGGGCTCCGGCACAGGCGCCACTGGGAGGCTGGGCTGCTTGCGGTCCTTGAGAATTTCGCCCAGAACCTTGTCTAATTCGCCGTCCGCCTCTTCATCCTCCATAAGCATATCGCCGTCGGTGGGGAGCGAATCCTCCACCATCTCCTCGATGATACCCGCCTTCATCAGCTCCACGCTCAGCTCTTGCATGGTACCCGCCAGTTCGGGCAGGCGAACGAGCGAGTTGACGTCTTTCATGATACCAACGCTCGCTCGGATGGAACCCTCGATTTTGCGCACGGCAAAAGCCTCCTGGACCTGCATCTGTACCGAGGAGAGCTGCGCCTTGGATGTGATGAGACGGGCTGAGGTCTTTCGGGCGCGAACGAGCTCACGAGCAAAGTCGCGGACCTCCTGCTGAGCTTGCTTGGCACGGGTCGGGTCGCGTTGGCCTCGCTTGTCGGCTTGGAGGATGAGTTGCTTCGTCTTTGCTTCGACCTGCTTAACGGTTTGGATGTCGCGATCGATCTTGCGGATGTTTTGCCTCATCAACGCATTGCATTTGCGCATCTGGACAAGCGGGTTATGTTAGATCGTGCCATGGTAAGATTGAGACGTGTAGATGGTCGCGAGCGTACCTGGGCCTGAGGATCAGGCTTGGAGAAGAGGGCTTTGAATGTTTCCATGGCGGCGGTTGGATGTACAAGGAGAGAGGAAATGCCCGCGCCAATGACGCAGCCGTAGAAATAGCCAGACGGCGGAGTGAATGACTCGCGTGAGGGAGTATGTCAGATATGATGAGTTTCTGTGAACTTGATGAAGTACGCGCTATGATTTACGCAGTGTTTCTAGGCCTCGAAGCGTCTTGATGCCGTCGAATCAGCCGCAGCCAGTCGTTGAATGATGTTGGGTCATGGTGGTGAGGCTCGCCCGACACAAGCCTCAAGGCTGAGGTGACGAGCCACGTCGAGATTTGATTGGCCCGGCAAGCTAAAAAAAGGTACAGGGGCAGGTGGGTCAGAAAACAATACCTAGGGAAGCCAAGCTCTTTTTAAAGCGGGAGATATTAAGACTTGACCCGGCCTACGCGCTCAAGATGGTCTAAATATTTGAGCATTTTAGTCATCTTTATCAATATTCCTTATTATTTTCTAACCTATGTGTGGGCACACCTAAGGGGATCTGTTCAGTGGAAGCACCGCTGGAGCTTCAGCGTGCCTGAGCCTGACACTAACGCCTGGATTGATTTCCTCCACTGCAGAACTGCTTACCCCGCCATCCACATGCCGGCCGCGTGTAGGGGTTGCTAGGCCAGGCTTCCACGGGGGATATATGCTATACAATGAATTTTATGTGCTTGCTAGGATATTTCTAGATTCAATTCAGAAAAAAGAATTGACTTGGAGAAAACCAATTTTTGGTTCAAAATCTGGAAGCATCTCGTACCGGCTTTGTCAATTAACATTAATTAAGGGTGACAAAGCTCCAGCATGTTCTACACCCACTGTAACAGCTCCAGCCCAGTAACAGTGGAGAAGCTGGGCAGGCAAACGTCAGAGTGGGCACTCCCTGGATGTTAGAAAGGTACATATATCCACACCAGTACCACACCAAAACGTAAGTATCCCTCATCAGTTGCCCCTCTATTCTCTCCTCTTCTTAGACATTCTACCATCCCGCCTGTGACCAGATAAACGTGCAAGCCTCACAGCGGTCCGTAGCCTGCGCCAGCCTGTGAAGCTGCAGAACAAGCAGGAGCTAAAACTGCACCTCCTCCGCCCACCAAAAACTCGTCCATCCCGTCTCCATTTCTCTGCTGCATCTGCATCATCTGAATCTTTCGTCTTTTCTCTTTATCTCTTCTTTTTCCTCCTTCACGACACGTTCACGATTATTCAAAGATACCCAACTCCCTCTTCACAATGTCTGACACTGTTTACCCCGAAGGTATGTCCTTGATCGCCCCCCCAGCCTTGTGCTCGTATCCCCCCTCTCCTCCCGTTTGCCGCCTCGACATATACTCTACCAACGTTTTTCTCTCTCGATGGCTTCAACCTTGATCGCATCCTATTGCGCAGGCACCCAATGCTACCCATAGCTCACCCACTAACAACTTCATAGTCCTCTGGGCTCAGCGATCTTCCGTCGCCGACGCCTCCAAGAACTTCATCTACCTCACCATCACCGTCCCTGATGTGCCCAAGGATAGCCTCACCCTCGACCTCCAGCCTACTAAGCTCACCTTCACCGGTACCTCATCCACTCTCAAGAGGAAGTACCACGTCGAGCTCGAGTTCTGGGGCGAGGTCGACCCCGCTGAGAGCAAGATCAACCACACTGCCAAGAACGTTGAGATTAAGCTGCAAAAGAAGGACCTTAAGGAGGAGTACTGGCCCAGATTGCTCAAGGAGCCCAAGCGCATGCATTTCTTGAAGACCGACTTCGACAAGTGGGTTGATGAGGACGAGCAGAACGAGGCCCCTGAGGACGACTTCTCTCAGTTCGGTGGCATGGGTAAGTCAAACACAAACCACACCCAAATGTGCAGACCATAGACATCAAAGCTAACAGAACATACAGGTGGCATGCCTGGTATGGGCGATATGGGTGACATGGGTGGCATGGGCGGCATGGGTGGTATGCCCGGTATGGGTGGTGACTTCGGCGGTATCGACTTCTCCAAGCTGGGAGGTGCCGGTGCTGGCTTCCCCGGTGCCGAGGGAGGCGACGAACTCGACGACGATGAAGATGACGACGATATGCCTGCGCTCGAGGGTGACGACAAGAAGGAGGCTGCTCCCGCCGCCGCCGCTACCGAGAAGAAGGATTAAATCTTCTAATTATGACTGTTTAACGTTACCAAAGAGGAGCATTTCTGAACTACAGTACAGGTTTAGGCAGGGTAGCTTTGGCGTTGTGCCGTACCAAGGCAGGCTTATTTCTCGGATATGTAGTATGAAGACTACACTGCCTGTTTCGTTATGGAAGAAAAAAATGGAAAAACTGTTAAGCCTCTGACTACTCATAAGTAAAGAGTACATGTTATGATGCCCATGCTCTGGATTGTATTACTCAAGCCCGAAAGTGGTCGACATAAATACAACAACACCTGTTTAGTGCGAACCGATATGCTCTGTAAGCTTTCATGAGACTATATACCTCGGGGTAGGCCGTTCAAGCAGGCATCATGAGATTAAGTTGTGTCTTGATACATTAATACAGTCACAACCTAGAGCAGATAAGGCTTTACACGGCCTTGAAGTTATTACTGTGTCACAGAAACACACTCGAATGTGGGAAATCTTGTCACATTCCGTCTATCATACAATTTATTTGCCGAGTCCTACATCATGCATAACAGCAGCATGACTCAGCTGTCGAATTAAGAAGCTCAACGCAAGAAGGGAAGGGAACGAGACCAAACTGTAATAAACGCAAAACCAGCTGCTCCATTGTTTAACCTCGAAAGCCTCTCCTCTTCCTCTGCAAAACGAGCTGACGTAGTACCAACCCTGAATAACTCATCGCATCCTCACACAAACTGTCCATCGGATACTAGCTTGTTTTTGTAAAAGTTTATTAAGTATTGCTTCATAGCATTCGTCGCGACGTAACCACATATTTACTGGCCGAGGTTAGCATAGTTCAAACAAACAAACTCAAGTCAGGAATACATACAGCGATCTCATCCATGTCAGCGTCACCGGTGGCGGCTGGCGCGGGAGCGGGAGCAGCAGTGCTACCGCTAGCCTCAGTGGCAGCAGGAGCAACAAAGTAGTCAGCCATCTCAGAGTCGAGTTCCTCTTGAGTCTTCTTCGCAGGACGGCTGTTGCGGCCACGGCGCTTCTTGTTACCAGCAGCTCCCTTGGCATCACCATCCTTGGCGGCACCGGCATTGTGCTTCTTTGCAGCAGCAGACTTGGGCTGGGCCTTGGGTTGACTGTTTGATTGTCAGCAGAATGCTAAAAAGTGATAATACGTTGGTCATACCTGGTGCGCTCGGCGAGAGACTTGGCGGTGGGGATGACCTTGTCAGCCTGGGCGGCTCCAACAACGATCTCAATCTGCTCAAGTTAGCTACGATCAGAATGAAGCAAGGCATAATAGCTTACCTTGATCGGTCGGTTGTCGACGAGGAGGCCATTCAGCTTTTGGAAGGCCTTGCTAGCGCCATCCGACTTGTGGAAGGTCACGTTTGCGATACCACGGCTTTGTGAGTTGGGGCCGTAGGAGAGCTCAACTCGCTTGATAGGACCAACGGATTGGATGAAGTATTCCTATCGGGGGAAAATAGTGTTAGTCTTCTGAAGTGTATAGTTGAGCAAAAAATCGTCATTCCATCTGCGAGCCTCGGTCGTTCCAGTTCCGGGAGTGTTACATCGCCAGGTTTTGGGAGCCAAATTGTTGAACAGTCAGCAAGCAAAGCAGTGAGCCAACGCAAGAGTCTTTGGTCTGCCCATTCAAGGGTTTAGGACCAGGTGAAGCACATGAGACCACGCCCATGTGGCTCAATATTCCCATGCTTGAACCCACTACTCGGGACCCCAACCCAAATTTCCTACTGCTCACGTAGGATTCCAGATATGCACAAAGTATACAAGCATGCTATGACCCCAACTTGGGATATGCCTCGAAAACCGACATGGATTTGCCAGGAAGCTCTTCAAAGGGTTTCTTGCTGTATGTGCTCACTGCTTGCTCGCTGAAGTTGAAGCGGATTCCAAAAGGTATCATCCGGAGGAATTTGCTCAATGCTGGCTGGTGATTACGCATATCGTTATGACAAGCCTCTATTCTGATAAGTCGACACTACTTTGACGAGGGGCGCTGACCAGGCACTTCCTCAAGTAGCATTGTGCGACACAGATTATCTCGACTTCCGACATAGCACCGTATTCCAGGTTTTACCGAGTCAAAGAAGGAGAATGGGCGTCCGATCGCTCCAGGCCTGCAGGCTAAGTCGACTGAATAATCGAGAGACGCAACGTCGACGGCAAAATAAGAGCGGCGAAGGATAAAAGGTCGAACAAAGTCCGAGGGCATTAACAGCCACAGCGGAAACATACCTTAATCTGCTGCTCCGAGACGTCCTTGGGCTATTGCAGACGTTAGTAAACGGAAAAGAAACATAATAATTCGTTTCAAACATACCAGATTGCTCACAATGATCTTGCTATCACTGTTGGTAGGGGCGGCCTTGGCCGGGACATTCTTTGCGCCGGCGCCACGAGCAGGCTTGGTGCTCTTCTGGATGCCGCCGATAGGTGCGGCGGCAACAGGGCGTCCGGTAGAGCGGCGCTGGGTAGATCGACGACGAGCACTTCGGCGCTGAGCCTGGGTGATATCGTCGAGAGCTTGGTCGAGCTTGCCAGACATCTTGATGTGTGATTGATGAAGGTTGACAAGGAAGGTCAGATGAAGGCCGAGAAATACTGGCCCTGGATATCGAGGTTGAATCTGCTGTTCAGGCTGATACAGTTGATCAAATCAGCAGGAGATAGCGATTGACACGTAAAGATTGGTGTCAAAGTCGCGATTAAAGTGTGGAGAAGACTTGACGTCGATGATGGCGCAAAAGTCGCGAAAGGAGAGTAGAATGTGGTCGCGAAAGCTTGGTAATAAAAGCTGGAGGACTTGAGATGAAAGAAAAGGCGCGCGCGAGGGTGATTAGAGCGGCTGGGTGAAGAAGATGTAGTTGGGTTGGGGGAGCAGTGGGTGTGTGTGAGTTGAAGTTGTTAAGGTTGAAGAACGAAGAAGGGAGAGGAGACAAGGGAGGAAGGGAAAGAAAGGCAGGTACAGAAAAACACGGGGTGGGCGCCCTCCTTCTCCTTCTGCTGCCTTCAGCTGCCTAAGGAGCTCGGTGCACGCGGGTATGAGTGTGGCTTTGCGCCGCACTAACCATTTTAAGGAACACTGAGCCACGTATCGCCACAACACCACGGGTTAGCACCAATTACATTGCGAAATAGGGACATGCTTCAAAGGGGACAGCTTGCAAGACTGCTTCATGTATGCGAAAAGGCACGGGGCAATTATTACGACACGTAAGCATTCTAACAAAAGAGAGTTTGTTATTTGCGATGCACTAGATGCCCGCGCCTTAGTGTTTGAATTGTATAATTGGCATCACTCACATTAGGGAATAGCCTAATAGCCAACGGAGCGTTGTTACTAGAGTGTGTAGTGAGTTAGTGAGCTGTTTCTACTTGCCTATACCCAGCTTCATCATCTGCACTGTCACCTTGAGGAAATGAAATTGTCGTTCAATGTTATATTGACTATAACCAAGATGCTCGTAGCAACAGATCGATGTAGCCCCCCCCCCCTAATCTAGTCGTCTCGAATCCGCTCTATGCGCTTCGAAGAGGCGATTTTGTTCGCTGGAAGAGTTCTCCTTAACGCCGGGCAGTCCTTTCTGCAAGTTGAATATTCCCATTCGTGAAGTTGTAAAATGCGCAACCAACATAATGGTATGCACTCATAGCGACTTTGAAGCTCCGTCCTTGCGGGCCTCAATCGGATCTTTCGCGGTGTTGACTTCGATGAAGTGGTAAAGAACAATTAGGATCATTGCTGTAGCGCCGAAGAATATGGCCAGTCGGTATAAATCGTTGTCGGTGATCATGGTTGCGGTTGATCAAGTGCTTCGGAGCAGGTAGGTCTATGAAGCTCGACAAGAATCGATTAGTGCTTGCTCGTGCGCCGGAGGTTGGATTTGTATAGATAGTACTCACGGAAGAAGTTTTGAACGGAAATCCTTTGTGGGTGTGGTTTTGGAGTACTGGAGTTTCTCGCACGTCTGCTACAGTTTTGTTCAATGCACGCGAGGCTGTAGTTAGATGCTGGTGATGGGATGGAGAGCTTCAACTCGACTGGCCAGATGGAGCTCTAATTGTCCCGGGGGACGTGTTGCAGGACAAGTACGTACTTCCACCAGGTCAGTTAGCGTGGCCCGCAGTCGAACCTAACCCCACTGTGAATCTGATGGAGAGTCCTTTAGAATATGTAGTACCTTGTTCAATATACGTAATTTGTATTTCAAAATTCGGGCATAAATCTCAAAGTAACAGTCCAAGTGAGGGGAAAGATAAATAGCAATAGTCCTGATAAATTTCAATCAGGAAATAGATGCTTACATAGAATTAATACTCGCCAAACGCTCTGCTAACCTGATCTTGAATACTTGCCCGTAAGAAAAGTTGCGCTTAGCACGTGACTACCTAAGTAGGCTGTGACTTCATCCTCCACACCAAGGCAGCCCAGCCCACCAACTATCAGCAATCTTCGACATTCGTCTTTTTTTTTCACCCCGAACTTGGTGGCTTTGCCTCTCGCCATAACCAGCACGAAACCGCGAGAATTTACGCACACGAAAACCTCCACCGAGCGGCTCGAGCCTTCGAAACCCATCAATTATTCTTTTTGATTTCCACGATTACCCCGCCACAAACCACCCATCATGCCTCCCAAGAAAGGTAAAGAGCCAGTGGCCAAGAAGGCGACCAAGTCGGTCGAGGACCGGACATTTGGCATGAAGAACAAGAAGGGTGGTGCTGCACAAAGAGAAATTGGGCGCATGCAGGCAAACCTCAAGAACAGTGGCACTATCGAGGAGAAGAAGAAGCAGGCTGAGAAGGCTGCCCGAGAGCGTGAGAAGAAGGCTGCCGAAGATGCCAAGAGAGATATGGAGGCCATGTTGAACAAGCCAGCCCAGATCCAGAAGGTTCCCTTTGGTGTCGACCCCAAGACGGTTGTGTGCATCTTTTACAAGAAAGGTGACTGTGAAAAAGGCAAGAAGTGCAAGTTCTCTCACGATCTCGCTGTTGAGCGTAAGACGGAGAAGAAGAACTTATATAACGATACCCGAGGGGAGGAAGAGGAGGAGAAGAAGGTTGAGACCTCAGCAGATTGGGACGAAGAAAAGCTCCGAAGTGTTGTCTTGTCGAAGAAGGGTAACCAACAAACCACTACTGATAAAGTGTGCAAATTCTTTATCGAAGCCATTGAGGATGGCAAGTACGGCTGGTTCTGGATTTGCCCCAATGGCGGAGACAAATGCAAATACAAGCACGCTCTCCCACCTGGGTATGGATTTTCTTTCAAACTATTTGATCGCCCCACGCTAACAGTAACACAGATTCGTTCTTAAGACCAAGGAACAGAGAGCAGCAGAGAAGGCACTTTTGGACAAGTCACCGCTTAAGACTCTGACACTTGAGGACTTCCTGGAGTCTGAGCGACACAAATTGACTGGCACTCTCACACCAGTGACACCCGAGTCTTTCGCCAAATGGAAGAAAGATCGACTGGACAAGAAGGCCGCCGAGGAACAGGCTCGCAAGGCCAAGGAGAACACTGGCCGTGCCATGTTTGAGAGCGGAAAATGGAGGGACGAAGATGAGTCTGATTCTGAGGATGATGATGACGCCTGGAACCTGCAGAAGCTTCGTGAGGAGACTGAGGTTATACGGTCTAAGAATGAGGAGGAACGCTTGGTAGCAAGCTACGCCACCCCCAACAACGGCACTACGGGCGAAGCGACACCAGCGGAGGATACTCCAACAGAGACACCAGCTGAAACGGCTTCCGGATCTTGAGTCAAGAGACAACGGCGTATGGCACATGTAGTCTAGAAGACCTAGGATCTGCGATTTCGTCGAGCTTCCTTTGTGAGCTCGCCGGAGAAGGGCCATCCAGAGGCAAGCCGAGCCCTGCTGCAGACCTCACATCAGTGGACTCTCGAGTGAGAGACGTGAGCAGGTCTACCATGGCGATCTCGTCATCTTGCTAATCCTCATGAGAGGAAGGATGAAGTCTTTACTCCGAGTAGAATACATTACAGTATCAGTATAGCAGCGCGCAAGCTGACGAGGTGACGGTCCTACCCCTGTCTAAATTGCAAGCCGCGGCTGTGTCCGTACAGGAATCGGCCGACATGATGTCTCATATGTGCACAGTCTTATACGTGGGTGTAAGCAAGCAACGTGGTTGTGAGGCGTGTTGACCTCCCACCGAGTCAGGTACTGCTTAAGGCTTTACGAGTAGTGGGGCAATGCATGTTGGCGAGGAGTTGATGGCTGTGCATTGCCAGGCGTCGATCATAGGAGCTTTGAGACCGTGAAGGGGGTTTACCGTCTGCAAGCGCAACATCAAATTGAGCAGAGAGGTCCTTTTGTTGTGAGGTAAACGCGGTTGTCCAACCCCAGCTCAAGCATTGTTGTGCGGGGTGAGGATTTGCAGCAATCGTCATTAGGCAAAGAGCAGATGCTACTTAGCCGGACATTGAAGTCCGCTCCATGACACAGAATTCGGCTTAGATGCTTGTAGTATGGTGAACAGGAAAGTCGTGGCATGTAGTAAAGTTTGAAAGTAAGGACTAAATTAGTTAAAGATGGAAAAATATTGAAGAAACAGCCAAAGAGATCTTGATCAGGCGGTATCAAAATTGAAGGATTGATGTCTGTGGAAACATGTGAAGATCGAATGCCGGCAGTCGATGCGCAAAACACAGCGTTGTAGTGAGCTACTGTAGAGGCCAAGAGCAGATGAGATTGTTTCACAAAGGAATGGAACGCAAGCCTTAGGGAGGTTTCCATAAGAGGGAGTTAATCTACATAAGCACCTTGAATTGAATGCGATGCTCGGGCAAACCCCGCGATCTTTGATTTTGGGTGGGTTGTTCCTTCCCAGGGTTTGGAAGTTTGACACCGAGAAGGAGAAGGAGCAGCGGCCGGGGAGGCATGACCCGTTCTCTCCCCCGCGCGCCTGCCGTCGTTTACCTCTTAGCACAAGATCGACCTACTAATTGATACGTAAGGTACGGGACTTGAATGAGGCAGTCAATCTCCACCTTTGGCTGTGGACCTTAAACCTGCAACTCTCATCCCTTTCATCCTTTTTTCATTGATTGATATAACTGAGTAAAGGAGCTGCAATTCTTAGAATTGTTGCAGCAGCTGTCGCCGCTGTTCTCTGCCGCGGGCACCCGGACGCCCGAGCCCGTGCAGAGACATCAAGAGCAGCCCACTACCGATATCCCGTCGCCGCTCCGTTCCGACCTCCGACCTGGGTCTTCTGTGCCCACCGATCATCTTTTTTTTATGGTCTCTGTAAACAACTCTCAGGTGTTTTACGTCTGAATGGACCCTGCGGCCACCCGCGACAGGCCGTGTTTCGACCGCGCCTTTAAATAAAGCTCCGTCTCGACTATATCCTTTTCCTCACCACATCCCTGGCTCGCTCAAGCCCATATCAGCCCCACGGTGCTCCGGTCTGAGGTCCAATTGCTCCCATTCCCGGAGAGCGGGAGGAAGCAATGACTACTGGAGCTAAACTGGCACACCAAGATGTCCCAGGCCATCAATCGCAATTGTCGTCACTGTCAACTCCAGCTACACCTTCTGTCACCAGCATGCCTCACGGCGCTGGAGGGCGACGCGATGGCGAGACGACGGCTATGACAGCAACGGGCTCCGCTGTCACTGCAATCCCAAAGAACAACAACTCTAACCACTTCGTCAAACGATACCGAACCGAGATCGCTGCCAGCACTTCCAGTGTATTCTCTACCCTCGCCGCTTTCCCACTTGACAGCGTCAAGACGCGCATGCAAACATATCATTATAAAGGATTCCTCGATTGTGTTCGCCAAACCTACCATGCCGAAAAGCTTGGAGGCTTCTTTCGAGGTATGGTGTGGTCAATTGACAGGTTTTGCTTAATTCAAGTGGCTAACCCAACACATAGGCGTTACAGCTCCGATGGCAAGCATTACGCTTGTTCGTACCGTCTCTTTCTCGATCTATCAACGTGCCAAATACTCCTATTCAGCCTGGGTCAAGCGCAACCTCGGATTCGACATCATAGGTCATGTCAACCGGCATGGCACATACCCGAACGTCTACTCCGTCGCATGCTTCGGTGCTGCTGGCGCTACCGCTGGCTCTTGCATTACTTTTCTCGCTTGTCCTTTCGAGCTCACCAAGCTCAGCGCGCAAGTTTCTGTTCTACTTGCGGAACGCGGTGGATCTAAGGGCAGCCATTCTGTAGCAGCTAGCTACCAGAACAAGGGCACTTTGCGGACGATGGCCAACATCATAAAACACCGGGGCATTTTTGGGCTGTATACTGGTCTGAGCCTTCATCTTCGTACGTGACCTCTACAAGCTTGACAATTCCTGGCACTGACTAATGGCATTTGCAGTTCGTGATACGTTGGGCACGGCTATCTATTTTATGGTGTATGAGAGTGGGAAACAGATCGGAAACACTGTAGCGGGTGATCACCCCAATAGCAACAAAGTTGCCGTTGTCGCTTCAGGAGGCATGTGTGGCTTAGTTTCTTGGGCGATGATCTGTAAGTTGTGCAATCTTCTAAATGACGGTTTCCTTACTCACACTGCACAGATCCTATCGATTCTGCCAAGAGTATCTATCAGCGAAACTCGCTACTATACTCGAAAGGCGAAAAGGTTGAGCCTGCGCCAAAGATCGAATTCTTCAAACGTCACATGTATCGGGGCCTTGGTGTCTCGATGAGCCGATCTTGTGTTGTCAATGCCATATTCTTCTCATCATTTGAGTTTATCAAGAAACATATTCAGCAGATGGATGACGAGAATCGGTTATGAGGATGTCTGGTCTCGCATGATGGAAGACGCAGAAGAGAAAGAATAACCACTAACAACGAAGCGATGATTGGCAACTTATTTGACGGCTTTGGATGGCCAATAACTGGGGAGCAACTGCAGAAAGCATGCATGCATTACGAAAGGGCGTTATTAGGGTCTTGCTATTTTATCTACCTGTTTCATGACTGGGTAGTGGTGGATATCAGTGATCAGTCTGAAAACCTTTGAAACAGGAGCTTGTAAAGGACAGTAAACATATCAACACCAACATGTTAGTTATTATAAGACATCACTTATACCCATGCGGTTCCCTGGCAGCTTTTGTGCACTGATGAAAAGGAGATTTTATATCAAACATGCTCAGAATAACATCGATATCAATGATGGGGGAGATCAATGGGACAGGTTTGAGACAGAATAGAAGTTGTGATAAGAGAATCTAGATCATCTAGCCACCATCCATCGTTGTCGACGTGGGGACAGTCATTCTTAACCGGCTATTCCCTCAAACATGAACCATTCCTTTCCCTTCCCCTACAGATTCCTCATCTCATCCATGGATCTAGTGTCTGACCACATTACATCCTACTTCTTCTGCTCTTTCTGACCGTTCCCCTTACTCTCCATTGCCGCGGCCGCAGTAACCTTGCCAGCCGCTGCCTGAACCATTTTGGCAAAGTCTGGGTCGTTGCCCGATTTGGCCTGCGAGGTTATTGGAAATTTGGTGTAGATAGAAAAGAATTGTAGGGTCATACTTCAGCCTTCATGACGCGCTTCTTGGCATCCTCGGTCCACTCGTTCTTGGGTTCTTTAGACATTGTAGAGATGAAAGTGTAGATACTTGGGATATCTGTGAAGAGATGTGCAGATGGAGGTTGAGATGTGTTGAGTTGAGTTGAGTTGAGCTGAGCTGTGTAGAGTAGTGTAGGCTTGTGTGTTGGTGAGGAGGAAAAGGGGGACATAGACTGGGAGAGTCTAGGCATATTTATACATTTCCGGAAGAGCTTTTCTGATCACTTTCATCAGATGTGAGCGTTATGCATGATCATTGTGTTTGTTGGTTCTCGCTTCTTGTTGCCCCTTTCTGACCACGATGCTGTTATCCGTTGTCGAGATTTCTGTTTGGTCCAGGCATCCAGCAAGCAAGAGGATAGGCCAACGAGAGATACAGTACGAACAACCGCAACCGATTGGTCAAGTAAACAGATATTTAGTTTTCACAGCCATGTTTTGGACAAACCTATGGCTCTAATAGTCTGAAATATTGATAATTAGTGAAAGTTATTTGAAGTTCAGAGAAAACGGAGAAAACGGAAAACATGGTAACAAGTCAAGGATAGGCAAACCAAGTATCCGCTGTTGAGATATTGTGCTGAGCTGGGTTTCAGATTGTGAAGTAGTAACGATAGTGCTTTCATCTAAATTCTATAAAAACAGCAGAAATTAATCTATCATTCTAACTATGGCAACTAATACCATGGTATCCATAATCTCGTTACCAGAACGCCTTGCTCATGAAGGTACCTATGTTTGCAATCCTGCTCGCCTATGCCTCCAGCTTCGCACGCGAGCAATGTCGGCGATGTGCGCTGCCAGCCTTCCACGAAAGAGTATCAAATACAAGCCAAGAGCGGCATCACACGCCTGATCCATGCTAAAAAGAAAACACCAGAAAGACAATCAACCAACGATATCAAGCCGGCCTCTCGTGATTCTCAAAAAGCTGCCAATCCTTACTCCTTACGCAAACATTTGAGCAAAGGCGCAATTCTTGACCTCTTGCTCAAGCCAACACGATAGACAGGCTTGCTGATGATTGATGACAACCCCTTGGATGGAGTTGAGCTTCTGCTGCTGACTGTTGGCTTCTCGGGCTTTTGTTCCTTCTCAACTGTGGTTGTCGCACCCGGAACTTTGGAAGTCGCATCGTCATCCATATTAGATATGGATTTGGTGAGTGCATTACAATCGGCCTCTTTCAGTACAGAGCTTTCACGAATATTGCTCTTGGATGGAGGCTGTTTGTCATCATCCTCAGCCAGCTCATCTTGTGATTCTAGCTCTTTGATTTCCGGTTTTGTTTTCTTCCCTGGCCGTAAAGATTCTTCAGACAATGAAGCGTCGTTTGTGGACAATGACTCTTCAATCTTCGGGCTTTCCTCCTTGGTGTCAGCTTGCTCCGATTTTCGTGGCCTGCCGCGCTTCTTCTTGGCTTTTGCGGCGGACTCGGCAGCCTCTGGTGGTGGTGGGAGTGACTCTGCTAGAGATATGTCGTTTTCAGCAGCCTTCTTCTTTGGTCGCCCTCTTGATTTCTTTGCCTTTGCTTTGGTTGGTTTTACTGCCATTTCATACTCGTAGTTGTCGGACACTGTTTCTTGCATGATTGGTAGCTCCGCTTGTTCTATCTGCTGCACCGCCGTAACCCCATCATCTACGGGCTGAGGTACGTCATCTTGTCTTGGTAGCTCCCTATGGCTTGCTGCTTTTTCTCTGGGGGGCGAATTGATTGCGGCAATGACGTCAGGAGATGAATCCCATTGCTGTCCATTGGATCGACCAATTGTTGCCCTTGGCGGGTTCATGATACTCGAAGGGGGAGGAGCAGTGCTCATGAGATAAGTCGCGTTGGGTCTTGGAGTGTTGACATTGGTTGCATCTCCGCTTGAAGCAAGATTCTGAATTTCGAACTGTCGCACAGGAGGTAACTGATGGTAAGGACTTCCGCTTGAAGGTAACTGCACGCTTTCATACTCCAGCTTCTGGGCATCGGTCAAATGATTAGGTGCGATGAAAAAAGAAGCTTCTTCATCAACCGGCATCGTGGGCGGGAGCATGCTGGGTGTAGGTGCTGGCTGAGACTCCCGGTAGTCGCCCTCATGATCATGACTGAAAGGAAACGTAACCAAATCCATCTCATTCGAACCCTGAAATGGCGGTTCTGGATGGTCGACTTTTCTTCGCTTTTTCTTGCTTGAGGGCGAATCCCCTGATGGCTCAGACCTGGAGCTCGGGGCCTTTGCCACTTTACCCGACTCTTTGACAGGTCGCGATTCTGGTCTAGAATCAGATTGGGCCCCCGAACGCTTGAGTTTGATTTTTATCTTTGGGCGAACTGGACGCTCAGGTGAACTCGGTACGTCCCACGGGTCGTCCATAACGGCCGTAGGTGCTTTTCGCCTACCTGGTGTCGAAGCTGGCGTCCATCCATCTGGTCCCCCAGGTCCATCCCGACTAGGCATCCTCTCTTCCTTTCTAACTGCTCGATCCTTTTGAGAAGGAAAGGACGAGGGTTCAATGAGTCCGGTCACAGTGCGCTTAAAAGGTGCTGGTGCTGTCATGTCGGAACTTGAGACTGAGTGATCATGGTCATGTGACCTGGCTGTCGGTTCTGGAACATAACCACGGGCAGCATCATTCTGCTCGTTATAAATGTTTTGAAAGAATGACGGGTCTGTTGATGTCGTCGCACGGCTCACACGCCCAAAGGAGTCACTATCTGCATAGGCTTCAGTTTGAGCTGGAGCTGGCGCAGGCAAGAACGGTGCCTGAACATCTCGAGGCGGAGAATAGCCAAGGTCCTCCTCGTCGTCGTCGGAATCAAGTATTATAACCGGAGGCATTCTAAAGGACAATGACACATCGCACCGGTGCCCACATATGTGAAGTGCGAGTCCTTGAAGTGAAGATGAAGGTAAATGTAATTTGTTGTCATTCAGCCTGCCACAAGGATAACAACCGCGTTGTAACGTGGGGTTCAAACTTGTGTTACGCGTGAGCACGTGACCTTTTAGACCATTTAGCAAATCTGTTCGTTCAGGACGAAATATCACAGCAAATTAAAAGTTTCACAGACATCACAATCAAGGCAGTTCAAGGAGAATAAAAGTTTTCATCATCATGAAAAAATAGGTCAATTTGTTGATTTTAAGACCTTCATCTGCTCCCAATCGGGAGGGTATATGCAAATGTTGAATGCTCGCCAAACTATCCGTACCCAGATCCTAATCCACAGGTTAACTTTTGGGATTTACCACAAATATATCTGGCCCTTTTTTAGGCCAGTCCCAAACGCCGATGTTGAAATCGTAGCTGATTCGAAGAACAGCCTCCACAAAAATGCTATTAACACAATCCTCATACGCCTTCATCCCCATCAAACCTCAAACACATAGTGTAGGTTGACATTTATTTGGCGTACTTGTTACGGAAGTACTTGGCGGCGTTGACCATGTTGGCAAGGGCCTCCTTGGTCTCCTTCCATTGACGGGTCTTAAGACCACAGTCAGGGTCGATCCAGAGCTGCTCAGGCTTGAGGAACTGAAGCATCTCCTCGATACGGTCCTTGATCTCCTGCTCGCTGGGAACACGAGGGGAGTGGATGTCGTAGACACCAGGTCCGATGTGGCGGGGGTACTCAGAGTCGACAAAGACACGGAGGAGCTTGGCATCAGACTTGCTGTTCTCAATGGACAGGACATCAGCATCGAGGGCAGCGATGGCGTGGAAGAAGTCCTGGAACTCAGAGTAACAGAAGTGAGAGTGGATCTGGGTAGCGTCCTCGACACCAGCAGTGGAGAGGCGGAAAGCCTGGACAGCCCACTTGAGGTAGGCATCACGCTCCTCACCGGAGCGGAGGGGAAGACCCTCACGGAGAGCGGGCTCATCGACCTGGATGACGTCGATGCCAGCCTTCTCAAGGTCGACGACCTCATCACGGAGGGCGAGAGCAAGCTGCTCAGCCTGGACGGACTGGTGGACGTCGTCACGGGGGAAAGACCATCGAAGGCAAGTGACAGGACCAGTGAGCATACCCTTCATGGGCTTCTTGGAGACCGAGACGGCGTACTTAGACTCCTTAACGGTCATGGGGTTAGGGCGGGAGATGTCACCGACGATGATAGGAGGTCGGACACATCGGGAACCGTAAGACTGAACCCAAGCGTGGGTGGTGAAAGCATAACCCTGGAATCGCTCACCGAAGAACTGAACCATGTCATTACGCTCAGGCTCACCGTGAACGAAGACATCGAGGTCAAGCTCCTCCTGGATCTTGATGTTGTCCTCAATCTCCTTCTCGATGAAGCGGTCATACTCCTCAGCGGAGATCTCACCCTTGGTGAACTTGTTTCGCTGAACTCGGATCTCCTTGGTCTGGGGGAAGGAGCCGATGGTGGTGGTGGGGAAGAGGGGAAGGTTCAGCTTCTTCTGCTGTTGGCTGATACGCTCAGTGAACTCGCTCTTGCGCTCGTAGTCCTTCTGAGAGACCTTGGACTGGCGTTCCTTGACCTGAGGGTCATTGGTTCGGGGAGAGTCAGCACGAGCCTTGATAGACTTGGCGTTAGCCTCAAGCTGCTCGCGGACGGAGGCAGGGCCCTCAGTGACGGCCTTGGCAATGAGAGCAATCTCAGAAGCCTTCTCAGTAGCGAAAGAGAACCAGTCGGCAATCTCAGGGTCCAGCTTCTTCTCGCTGGCAAGAGTGTGAGGGGTGTGGAGGAGAGAGCTAGAGGTGGCGGCAATGACACGGTCCTTGCCGAGCTTCTGGATGGCGGTCTCGACAGTCTCGATGGCACGCTTGAGGTTGGTCTTCCAGATGTTACGTCCGTCGACGACACCGGCAGAGAGGATAGTGTTGGGGCCGATAGCACCGAGAACCTTCTCGAGCTGCTCGGGGTTACGGACAAGGTCAACGTGGACACCATAGACATCCTTGGGGAGGAGGTCGAGGTTGTGGACAATGTCACCGAAGTAGGTGGTGAAGACAACCTTGGGGATCTTGTCACCCAGGCTGGTGAGCTTCTCGTATGTAGGCTTGAAAGCAGCCTTGGTCTTCTCGGGGAGGTCAAAGACAAGGACGGGCTCGTCGATCTGAACAGTCTCGGCACCAGCCTCCTTCAGCTGGGTAAGGAGCTGCTCGTAGACGGGGAGGAGCTTCTCCAGAAGGTCGATAGGCTCGACAGACTGGCCACGGTCGGCCTTGCCAAGGTGGAGGAAAGACACGGGACCAACGAGAACGGGGCGGGTGGTGATACCGGCCTCCTTGGCCTCCTTGAACTCGGCAACAGCCTTGGGGCTGTCGGTGAGCTTGAAGGTCTGGTTGTCCTGGAGGGTAGGCTTGACGTAGTGGTAGTTGGAGTCGAACCACTTGACCATCTCCAGAGAAGGGACATCGACACCCTCCTTCTGGTGACCACGGCCCATGGCGAAGTACTCGTCAATGCGGTCAAGGCCATCCTTGGTGTATCGCTCGGGAACGGCCTAATGAACATGAGTCAGCAGATGCTCTGTGTGGGTCGAGGGGAAGAGGAAACATACACCAAAGTCCTGGATCTGGTGAAGGACTTGATCGTAGAGGGCGAAGTCGTTGCTGGGGATGACATCGACACCGGCATCCTTCTGGATCTTCCAGTGAGCAAGACGGAGACGCTTGGCCTCGTCAAGGAGATCGGACTGAGAAATCTTTCCACCCCAGTCTAAAGTTTATGTTAGTCGATGATGACACGAGTCAGGAATCTGGTGAGTGCAACTGACAAGCTTCGGTGGCCTTCTTCAGGTCACGGTTAACACCCATGCGGGGGAAACCGAGAATAGCGGATTGAACCATCTTTGGCGGTTGATTCAACTGCTTTGTCTGATTCTTAAAGTGAAATACTGTTGTTGCGAGGTTAGTTTTGAGATTTTTAAGGTCGAGAGCACGGTGCAAGCGGGGTGAACGGCGGGGTGAAAAGAGTGAGGGGCGGGGAGTTGTATGAGAGAGGTGAGATGAGGTGATGTGAGGCGAGGTTAGAACTTGACGTACAAAGTGGTTCAGAGCCCTGATCTGTACCAAATTGGATCAATTGAGAGATCCTTTTCGAAATAAAGAGCAAAGGGCAAGAGTAAGATGAAGGAGAAAGGAGGGAGAATGGGAAGAGGAAAAAAGAAATGTTGGGAGTCGGGAGGATGAAGAGTGTTTTGAGCTGCAGCTGCTATGGCAGTGGCAGTGACGAGTGGCCAGAGGAAAGACCAACGGGGACCAACCAAGCCAGGCCGAAAGCGGGGGAGGGGTTAAAAAAGTGGTCGAGGGAAGCTACGCCGCTCTTTCGATTGGCAGCCATGTACCTTGCCTTACGGTTACCCACTGCTGAGAGCTTCCTCCTGCTCAGATCCTCAGAGATTCATAGCAACATCTGCCTCGAATCTCACGTATTCGTACTTAGCGTATGCGGTGGTTGGGTAGTCGGAGGTGGCGGGTGCCGGAGTGGATTTTCAGGGCCCTTTGAGCGGCTCACGGGCTGTCGGTGTGCGCTAATGGAGGGGCAGTTTGCAGCAGCTCTGCAGCTTGTGGCAGGGGTTTTCACCGTTGTCGCAACCACAGGGCAGGATGGCGGGGGCCTGAGCAGCTAGGGGTAGACACCGGACGGCAGAGAGGGGCTAGTCCGCCTCAATGAATCTTTTGCTCGGCTTCCGAATTGCGTGCTCGAAGGTCAATCACCTCATCAACCATTTTCTCTTGCCTCCGTTGACTTATTTTTGCCTATGGAGTTTTGCAACTCCTAGAGACCTAGACCAGCGGAGCAGTGTTGCCGGCCGTTACCGGTCACGATAATGGAACAAGCTAAATTTAAAAAAAAGTTGAGTCCAAATTTTTACCTCGCCGCAGATCGGCCTCTGGCGTCCTTTTGCAGCCCACTGGGATCGACCAGTTGCAACCCCTACCTAGGTAGGATCGTGCCTTTTGTTCTCTCGTCTTCTTATCAGTTCCTGCTCCTGGCTTGCAACGGTATTGGAACTGTAAACCGAACACGTGCTCTGGTGCTATCTTTATGTGACGTTATTACGATTCGTGTCTGTGAAAACAATTCGGGGTTATGGATGTTGGGCCCATCTGCAACAGTAAGCAGGTCTGTTGAAGGATTTTGAATGGTAAGCTCCTTCAAGTTACTCCGTACCCTGCCACATAGTCTTGGTATCGATACTCATGGAATCGAAAAGAATTCGATCACTTTAATTGTTCTCCTCAATGGCGAAACAACTACCTATATCCAAACTATTCCACATACAGTGGAATCAACAATGCTAGAGCTCTAGGTTAGGTGACATCAAGTACAAATACGGACAACCATACTATTGTATTTTACATTACATTATATAGACGCTTGTAAGAAACCCCCTTCACCTCAAGTTCGGTTGTATGACTTTATCTCATGATTATACCTAGAGCATTCTAAGTATCATACATTGTATGCGCCTCTGCTCTTCTATCAATTCCCGGGTGGCTTATTATCAGGACTTTTGCACAAAACGTACCCAGTGAGAAATGTGAAAGCACTTACAGTGAAGTTCTTAGTCCCTTCTGGACAGACGAACTCAATGATTTCTAGATTCCATCGATCAGAACTCCCGTTGCCTGCGACTTGCGTATAGCACTTTCCAAACAAACCCCATTCCCCCGGATATGACACGCGCCTGCAGTAATGTAGGCAGGAGTGAAAATAGAAGTCGCGATGGCTTCGGCCACCTGGCAAGTCCCTGCTTGTTTATTCCGAGCCCAGTATTACCATTCTGTCTTTGCATCAACTCTTCTCGTTCTGGACGAGTCACTTTGGCCACACCCTTTTGGTGCTTCTTCTTTGCCTTTTGGTCCTTTCTTGGAAGATTAACCCCTGTCGTTCACTCTCTTCAGCAATGCCTTCCTTTACCCTCATGGACCAGCTTTGCTGCTGCAAATTCTCATGGCGCTGTGATGGTGGGATGAAACCTGCCACCCAAAAGCCAGATATCCAGCCTATTCCTCTTCTAAATCTCTGCCCCGAGGAAGAGCAACAGGAACCGGAAGAGAAAAGCCAGCATTCTCTCATAGGGTTGTCAGATATAGTCTGGGCCATACCAGTAAACAACAGCTCTCCTGGAAGCGGTTCCGTTGTACACCAGCTTGCGGAGGATGACAATTCAGATTCAGATCAGGATCAGCCACAAGTAACAAAAAAGCCCAGTACTGCTTTTGACGTCGTTCGCAACAAGCTCATCCGAAGTATTTCTCTGAACAATAACAATGATCAACCGTCACTTCTTTCCGTCGGTAACAGTGAAGAGGACGTTGCCCGGAGAGCCGAACTGAAGCGCATTATGCGTCAAAGAATTCAGGATGAGCTTGATTCTGGTGAACTGGATAACGACATTGAGAACAAGCCGAAAAATACTATTCGGTGTATTTCTTCAGTTGTTGAGCTTGCTCTTCCCAATTCTGGGCCTCGGGATGCTATCGAGTTTGGTGTCAGTAATTCTTCATCCCGCAGCGCGCAATCAGCTCGACTCGAAACGATTCAAGATAAGCTTCATGACACCCCAGATCTTCAAGCGTCCAAGGAAATTACACCCAAGTTCGAAAGGCACTCTTTGGCGATGTCAGGTGTACTCGATGAAGAGGATGGTTGGAAGAAAGATACCATCGGCCCAAGTTCCTCTGCTACACGCCTCTCACCGCACGAAGATGCCGACTTTCCTCATTATCAGAAATCTTTTCAACTATCCAACGGTGTTGCGCGCCTTGATCGTATACTGGGACCCGATAGTAGCTTCAACAGTCGCCAGGCTTCTTCTGGGGATGGCCAATCCGCTCTTGGTGTGTGGCTTATAGCACAGGGTCTTCGCTCGCGAGACAATTCCACGCTTTTCTTTGACGAAGAGAAGGAAACTCAAGCCCCAAGTGAGACTGAAGTAACCGAAGAGAAGCAACCTGTGCCGATTGGGGAGAAAATGTCTCTGGAATCCGAGCCACGCGAGGTGGAAGAAAAGAAAGATAAGCGTGCTTCCGGTGGGCCAACCACTATCATGACATCCAACGAAATGGATCGTGAGCCTTGCTTCGACTCCAATGCTAAAAATGATCAACATAACATATTTAACTCCTCTGGAGGGTTGGCATGGGGCCCTACAGTCACAGCACTTCTAAACTCGTTCGCGGATAACACTTCCTCGAGCGACCCGTCAAATTCTGCAACAAGTCAGGGACGACCTCGACAGAACATCTATAAGCTGGACCCAAAAGACCTCGAAAGTATGGAGTTATCCCCATTCAAATGTAAGTGTTTTGAAATGTTCACAGCGATGAGTCTAACACAACGATTAGGGCGAAGCCAAGCTTCTTCACAAGATCACGAAAACCTTGGCGAGCAGAGCTTTCAATATTTCACAGGTATATTCCAATCGAGATCTTATTCATACGGGAGCATCCACAACGTGCAATCCCTGGCACAAGTATCAATCGATCCTGCCTCTCTGGCTCACTCTGAGTCCGCCAGCTTCGTTCAGCGAGAGGCCGAACTTGAAACGATCGACAGGCGCTTCAGTGAGGCATTGGGTTGCAAGAAGCCCGAAAAGAAGGTCACCACACGTTTCAAAGAGGAGTTTTCTCGTTCTGCAACACAGCCAGTCGTTCATAGATCTTTCAGAAGCAGGATTCATCTTACTGTTCCAAGCCACTTTAGAACCAAATCAGAGGGCTCCAACTACCGACCGCATAAAGACAAACCAGGGCTATATGAAGTACAAAGCTCTCCACTGATTGCTTTGAAGAATTCGAAATTCCGTGAAACGGAGGTAAGCGATAGATCAAACGGTCGTTCGAATTTGAGCATCCACCCACATATGAGTCGAACACCATCAGGGGAACACCGAAAACCAAGTCTGGAGCGCCAGGAGAGCGCAACAAATCTATGGCAACGCGCCATAAGACTTGAAGCCGAAGGACGGCGTAGTAGTAGCTTTCAATCAAGCACGCCTAATCCGGATCAGAGGAGCCTGTCCTCCAACAGATCCCTAAACGAAACCGGTATAGCCCGGAATGACACCAGCAGTGGCTCTGACCTGAGGCGAGAAGTCTCCCAACTCACCCCTACAACAGATGAGATTTCCTCCCCGAGCAATTCGAAGTGGCTCATAGAGCGCTGGGTTAAGCAAATGCGACCCAAGACGACCCAAACAGCTAGCTCATTAGAGAGTGGCTTATCCAATCGGCTGGCTGGGCCTCCAAGGTCTTGGTCAAGGTTTCCTTCCCATAATAGGGAGGAAAGGAACAAGAATGCAGATTCTAGGGATAGAGTGAGTCCCCGGGACTTTGCTGTGAAGCATGTCACCTCGGAGGGCCAGATTCGGTGGGCGACAGACATGATTTCTAGCGAGGAGAAACAGCTTGCGCGGACCTTACCTCGTTCCTTTACCATAAAATTTGGTGAGTTGGTCAAGTCCAAGGTGAACCGAATGATCCCATCAAAAGCTTTGCGACACCGAGTGAGTCATCCATCCATTACAAGGCATACTACCTCCATCTCAGCTCGTATGGAATATCCCGAGATGGGTATTCGGCCCTCAGAATCAGGATATACTGAACTCCAGGCTTTGGGCAGGGAGATCAGTAACATGAAAGGGGGGATCCATGTACAGACTCCCGAAAGAGAACTTTCAAAGCCTCAATCTTCCAGGAGCTTAAGCGACAGAGTAGTTGCCCTTATGCATGAAGCGATAGGTCAGAGACATGTGAAGCAGGATGAGGTTGTTGAGCCACCCGAGTGCTCCGTAGGACCTCCTACACCAAGCTTGCTCCAGGAGAGCATCGCCGCTACAGATGTCTTCGTTACGCCGAAGAGTCATTTTTCGGACGATGCTGCAGATGACAGAGAGAAAGATAGGGTAAATACAGACCTCACTAAAACAGAAGAGCACGAGATACAATTGGCGCCACTCGAAAACAGCGGAACTTTGTTCAAGCCCAATGACTCGACATGCAGCAAAAGAGCCGATTCTGATAACTATCTCCCCGTGCAAGAATCGTCTTAAGTTGACTGGATGCAAATACAGAAGAGCGAATCTTCCATCATTAATGCCTATGGCTACAATAAGCTGGAGGCAAACTCGATGAGCTTCTTTTGGGAAAGTACTGGACACGGCCAGCGCAATATAGGTGCAAACAGAAACAGAAAAAGGAAATGATATGCAGTATGTGCTTTAGTCTATTGCAGGTTTTCAAACTTTACGTATCCTATTCCAATTTTATAATACCATGACTTTACTATTATGTTGAATGGTTTGTTATAATTCATTACTGGACTTGTGTATGGCATCAAAATGCCTTACAAGTTCTCGGATAGGTAGCTCTGTTGCCTATGTTCACCGACAAATCACGGTGTGTCCCTAACTTTAATCTACATGACATTCATCTGGAAACCAGTAGCCAATATATCTTGTTCTGCACGATAAGGAAGATACCAATAAACAGGTTGTAGTTCTTTGAACCATGCATCGTATCTGCGGAATGGCAGAATTTCTGTTATACGGTCTCTTTCTCCTTCTCTATATCTCTTAATTCATGGTGCTCCTTTCTGGCTCTCGCCTCTACTTCTTTCCGCTGCATCTCCTCCTTTCGTTCACGCAGGGCAATGCAGAATTTCGAGCGAGCTCGGATACTGGGACCCTTCCAGATGAAGATAAACGGGATAAAACACATGAGTGCACTGAGACCACCAAGAAGAGAGCATGCACCATTGATGTTGAGTTGGCGGAACATGGGCTTTGTGGCAAGTGGTAGCACAACAGCAAAGAGGGACCGCGTTGTGGAAGAGGCAGCGTTTGCAGAGGCGGCGAAGATCTCATATGCGTCAGTGAGATAGTTCAGTATGGCCATAAAGATTAACATGAAGCCCATTCCAAAAAGAACACCAGCAAGCATGGGTGCTGCGAAGGTTATGTCCTCTCTTGCAGACCAGCCAAGCCAAAACAGAGAGACAACAAAGAGCGGGCCTCCTAGGCAGGCAAGAGGGAGGCGACGGTACTCTTCGCGGCGTACCCAGGATGCATCACGCTCTACAGCACGGGCAAGGACATTATCCCATGTCCAGAAGATGGGAAGAGTCAAGGCTGCACCACCAAAGATGGGAAGATACGCGAGACCAGTGACACCTGGTGAGAGGCCGTAGACATCTTGGAAGATGATTGGGAATGCCTGGAAGGACATATAGAAGATGGAATAGACAAGTGCGAGATAGGCGCAAGAGGTTGTCACGATGGGTTCGGAGATGAGCATGCGAAGAGGGCGAGTCAAGACCACAGTGAGGAGTTGTTTAAGATCTGTCGTCTCGAGATCTCGCGGGGCAATAGCACGAGATGAAGGGTCTTGTTTGCGGAGTTTCTGGGCGCGGCGAGAGAGTAGAATTGGGCCGTATGTCTCAGGGAGGAAGACTATCAAGACGAGTGTTGTGCCCGCGATAATGAAACCGATCCAGAAGACCCAACGCCAGCCGATATTGGGACCAGCGAAGCCAGAGATGATTGGCGATAGGATGGGGCCACCAGTGGTGCACTGGATAGGTTAGCATTTGTTATGTATCAAGAGGTTTGAGGAACAAGTGCTGCATACTCACCACCATAAAGATGGCGAATGCCCTGCCTCTCGTCCGGGGATCGTCATATACATCCGCCAATATACCAGCCACAATGGCAATGGGTGAACTCGCGAAAGATCCGCAGAAAAAGCGGAAAATCAACAGGGCGGGCCAAGTGGGAGCAAGAGCACAAGCCATAGTGAAGATGGTGAAGAGACAAAAGGTAATAAGGCTCAGATTCCTGCGCCCATAATGCTCGCTGAGAGGGCCCCAAACAACAGGTCCTAAGACGTAGCCGATCAAGTAAACGGATATGGGTAGAACACTTTGTTCTTCTGATGTGATGCCAAAATCTTTGACGATGTCCGGAATTGCCATGCTTGGAAGCGCAGATCCCATGGTGGAATTGATAACTAGAACCGAGGTACATAAGAGAACCATTTTCTTCTTTGTCTATGATGCTCGTCAGTAAATTTGTCACAATGGATACAAAGTGATCATACATTCGACCAATTGACTGGGTTCTCAGGATCGTCAACCTCCCAACTGACGAGGACTTCATCGGTACGGCTTCGTGTCCGTGAGCGAATGTTGTGAAGAGCGCCCAGACCTCGGTCGGCTGTCTCCTCCTCATATCGAGATTGAGCATCTATTTCGTCGAGATGATGTATATGATCTGAGAAAGAGCTGCTTCTCCTCCGTCCTCCTAATAGCGCGTGAGCTTGGCTTTAGAACAAAACGAAGCCTCATTCAAAGAGACTGACAGTACATGAGTGGCAATAACTTACGGTATGGGGACGTTTCCCGCATGGTTTCGCTAGATTCACTTGCAGGCATGGTTTCTCGACTTTGAGAATTACTGAAGCTATTCACACGAGGCATGACTCAATTGGAGTGTGAGAACAGTGATGGCAACAGGGACCAGGAGATGTTGAAAAGAAAGAGATGAATATGACGACCAGGCACACACAGCGGAATTCTTCAGCTTGCATTGTCTACTACTCCCATAACAGATGGGCTTCTCAAAATGACTAAATGGGGGGTTTGGACCCATTGGCTGTGACGTTAAACCCGAGGCCGGGCCTCAAATATGGGGTATTTCTGCGTCAAGGTGTGATCCTCGCGCCGATGATGGAGGCGAGTGTGGGAGCTGGGGGAGCTACCTGCGGAAATGGTGTCACCCAAAGTGAGGGGACATCTCAAGTTGTCATGGAACATATTGTAGGTTATCATCTGGGAAGTGCTTCCAGAGTCACTACAACTCAATTGCTGATAGCTCTTGAAGCTAGATTTTTGTCAGCCCGAATCTAATCCAGGAAGAACAACGGCAATGAGCAGTTCTGCTTAACCAACAACATTGAGGATTATTTGGGGCAGCCTCGAAGTAACTGATGAACCGGGAATAGCAACCGGGTACAGCACCACTAATTGGCGAGCCCTTCCGTCGACATGCAACTCGCTGACGATAGCCCGCGTCGGCTCTGATATCGGCTGCAAGCTTCCCTAAAAGTGCTGATTACGAATAAAGTTTCCCACAAGCGTTGTGATGTGCGGAGTAATTGCTGCATTTAACGGGAACTGGATAAGAAATCTTCCGGCCGACTTGACGTCGCTGTTTTGTTCTTTGGGGTATCAGGCTTCGATTTGTGGTCAAGTCTCTAGGTTGATCTGCTTTCCGAATCTGGCATATAGGTCGACCTTGAGCTTGGTCATTTCCTCGCGGATCAATGATAGCTTCTCCTCCAAAGATGTTGACTCTTCCTCAAGTTTCTCCGTTGCTTGCTCGAGCATCTCCTGGGCCTGCTCTACTGAGACGTGGAAAAAGGCGTCGCCAATCTTGTACCTGTGTTCGAGTTAGTCATTTGTAAGTCGTGATTCGGGAGTTTTGGTCGAGTTCGTACTGGATCTTTTCGTCCTCATCGGCGAGTTCGAGTTCTGTAGACAGGTCGTCAAGCTCTTCCTTTTCCTTCTATAGAGTAGAACACATTGGATTAGTCTTTGTCAAGAAAACATACGGAAGTAGGGATAGACAAGTATAAAACGTACGGTCTTAGTACTCAGTTCGTCCTCCAGAACAAGTTCCCGCTGGTGTAGGCGACTGAATCGGTTGATCTTGTCCTGGTCCTCACGTCGCACTTCGACCTCGTCGGCCGCCTCCTCATCGGCCTTTGAAAGCTGGGGTAAAGTTAGATGTTATTGCTTTAGAGTCTAGAGTGGAACTGACTTACCATACGACGCTGTACTAATGAAGCCATGGTGAACGCTTTAAGTTGCTGTGGCTGTTGTACAGATCTCAAGCCTGTGAGCCTTTGCGCACAACTCAACACCTAATCCAAAGGTGGGTTACAGTGCGGCAACTAAGTCTTGAGCTTGACACTGTACGCCCCTCATTCATTGAGCCAGCAGGGGATTCTTCAGGGGTGTGAAGCTCCAAGGTACGTATACTCCCTCGGGCGCTGCCGATTGGCTGCTTTCTACCTAGCTCAACTCTTGGTGAGGTCAGGGACGGCTGCACCTGTGGAACGCGCATCGTCAACATTGCAAAGAAACAAAACAACGACAGATATCTCATCAACCATGGCGCTCGGAAAGAAACCCTACCCCAAGGCGACAGTCAAGAAGATAATCAAGGCTCATTCGAATCACAATATTAAGAAGAATGCCGATGTTACCGTACGTCTGGACAGCTCTATTGCCGTAATTGATGCTGATGTTTACTTGTCTTAGATCTTCCTCGACTACGTCCTATTCATGGAAACGTACGATTCAATACTCGAACTTGGATAACATGTTACGTCCTAACTTGTTTAATAGCCTCGTTAAAGAAGCAGCGATTCAATCCAAGCAATCCGGTGAACAGGGACTTTCTGCGCGCAGCGTCAAGAAGGTGACGAGGGTACGTTTCGTGAGGCATTGTCTCTTTGCAGCTGCTAATACATATGATCTAGGACACCTTGACCAAGTTTAAGGGTTGAACTGAGCTATTACAATTAGCGACAAATGCCCTATCGACACGACCATATTACTACGACAGCCAAGAGCCGCGCCGCGACTGAAAGCTTCGCACACATAGATAGACATCACGGCCAAGTCGATACAGTATCACCTTGCACATGAAGCAATAGTGTAAGCTGCAAGTGAGAAGGCTTCTATTGTAGTCTGGGATAAGCGATCAAAAAGGAGGCATCGCGTAAAGGGGAGCGCGCAGCGCCTGCGCACGAGACCACCATCTCACTTCAGCAGTTCAGCTCAGCTGAATGCGACAGCAATTGATTGAGTGGGGCATTGGCCATGACGAAGTTCAAGGCCAACGCGAGAACCCCCCTCATTTTCTAACAGCCATAAGTCTATATGTTAGTAAGAAATGCTCGATTGAGAAGGCAATTAAATGAACTTTCATTGCCCATGCTTCGAACTATTTAAAAATGGCCAGTGACCATAGCTATTGCAAAGGCATAAATGCCCCGTTTGGATTCTTGTTGGTTCTAGAAACAATGACAGTGTCAATGCAGGGGGTTGTCCGGGCACTTGAGCCTAGAGGTACCTAGTGGCACCGGCACTGGCACTGGCTTTGGCTTCTGCCAGCTGGAGGCCAGCTTCGTTTCTGTGTACCACCTCAAAGCTTTCTCTTCTCCTCCAACTGCCTTACCTGTCTCCTTAAACTTACTTCTCCCAACCCAACCCAACTCAACTCCACCCGCATTCTCAACGCCTTTCTATCATTAAGCTTTCTCTCTTACTTTAACGTCCAACGACTTGTACCTTACCTTCCCAAGCCTGTCGCATATCACCGTCGACAGAGCCTCCACGCCTCGCGCAAACTCTCCTCCACCCAAAACACCTCCACACTCCGTCGCGATGGCTGCCCAAGCTGCTCAGCCCACTTCAAAGTCGGCCAAGAAGAAGGCCGCCAAGGCCCTGGAGCGAACCGAATCTCCCGCCCCCAGCATTGCTTCTGCCGGTGTCGATAAGAATGGCGATGACGAAAGCCCATACATCAAGGAGATTCAGAAGTAAGCCTTGAAGGTGCAAAATCAAAATAGAGATATGCATGCTGACAGTTGCAAAAGGAACATCCGAAATGTCAACAAGAAGATCGTACGTATTTCACCTATTGCACTACCATGTCAAGCTGTGACCATACTAACTTGGCATCTAGACCAACGCCTCTAAGACCGATTCCCTCCTGAGCCAAAACCCTGGAAAGTCGCTTGATGAACTTATCGATGCCAAGATCATCAACGCAGACCAGAAAACTCAGATTCTCAAGAAGCCTGCTCTGCAAGCCCAGCTAGCGCAATACGAGGAGCAGCTTACTCAGTACCAGAAGGTCGACGAGCAGTACCGAACACGTGCTGCCAGTGACAAGGCGGAATGGGAGAAGAACCTGGAGAAGGCCAAGGCTGATGCTGTTGCTGAGGCCAAAGCTGAGTCTACCAAGGCTCTCCATGATAACCTACTGGTTCTGTCCCAATTCTTGCGACTCGCCGCTTACCGTCGTGAGGAAGCTCAAGACCCCGAGTCCGACGAGAGCCAAGCTATTGAGGGTGTGCTTCTTGCAATCTACTCTGGAGATGAGAGCGCTGTTCAGTCTATGCTGAAGCTTGTTGATGGCTCCGAGGACCAGATCTTCAGCGTGCCTGGTGAGCAGCTGCAAACCTCCTGTAAGTAACTCAGCCTCAGCTTGATAATTTATTCTAACAACGCACAGTTGCCAAGGTCAGATCCCTTGCCCGGGACTACAAAACCCCTTACGACGATGCACAGCCCGCCGAGGTTGACACCGAGCACAACCAGAACGCCGTTACCGACCCGACTATTGCGCATGCCGTCGCCACTGAGATTGAGGCTGGAGACACTGCCGCTCCTGCGGTCCCTGAGCCCTCTTCCAACGGTTTGGCCAACGCCAGTGTGGCCGATGACGCCGCTAACGCCGTCGCTGAAAGCCACTGGGACACCACCAACAACGAGATGTCTACTTCCCAAGAGTGGGTTGATGTGAAGCCTGCTGAGGCTGTTGAGGCCGATGCTGCCGCTCCCGCTCCTACCCGTGTCACCAACACTCACTCTTGGGCTGATGATCACCCAGAGGTAGGTCGATTGTATTCTCCACATTAGACGTTCGATATGCTAACTTGCTTAATCAGACCACCGCCCCTGCTGACCCCAACGATGGATTCCAGTCTGTCCAGCGAAACCGACCCCGCAACGAGGGAGGTAACCCCCGAGGTCGTGGACGTGGCGAGCACCGTGGTCGAGGTGGCTTCCGTGGTGACGGTCGTGGTCGTGGCCGCGGTCACCGAGGTGGCAGTGGTGCCCCTCGAGGTGGACGACGCAACGAGGAGCCGTAAGCTCCCCGAAACCCGGCATTGGGTTGACACAACCTACGAATCTCCTTGAATCTCCCAGGGGCAAATGTACACCATGAGATGACGGCGTTTACAAGTCAAGATTTCTACGGCAAATAGCCAGGGGACGGTGGACTTGAGGACTTTGCATTTTGGGGTTTTGATGATTTTGGGACTCGGATATACTTCTGGCCACGGTGTCGGTTGGAGTTCTTAATACCTTTGTAACAATGTAGGCCTTTCGGGAATGATGCCTGGGGCAGTAGGTAAACAATGTGAATGGATACCCGCCAATGAGTCCGTGTCAGATGGTGATATGCCTTGATCACATGTCATGGGGTCGATGAGAGATGAGAACGTGCCATTGAGAAGTGACTATAGCCCAAGACCTGGAATTTTGATCATATAAGTAGTAAACAACGAGGTATATGGCCTTTTCTGTCTTGGTTTATACTCAGCCATATAAAGCCACCTTGTGATAAGGCTGATGATGGAGTTTGGAGCTTTGAAAGTGTGCCGTCATAGGGTTAGCAGGGGTCTTGGAGAATGTGGGGAGCTCAAACTGTCTTCTGGTTGGTTGGAAATTTTTAGTCTGCTCTGAGATGAAGGAGATACGCAAAGGCCACGCGCATTGTTGGCCCAGTAAAAGACAGATTATCATTCATTGATTGTTAATTTATTTCTATCTTGAGAGTGTCACGTCAGGGAGCTTGATGGTGTCTCAGTATCAGATGGAAAGTAGAGTGGAATGTTCATGTTGTTTCGACGATTATATACGTAGTAACTTAGAAAGTTAACCTCATATGCTGTGAGACATTGACCTACAAAGTACGGAGTACATACTATCATACTGTTACTAAATCGAGTCAGTAGACAATCATGAAGTTAATCCAAAGCAGCCTCCACACCCCCTAGGTCACGGCATAATTAATAACTAAATATCATGAACTTTCGAAACCAAATAGGCCACTTGTCAATCTTGAGTCGGTAGTTGGGGAACCCCTGGGTTCGATGTGTCAAGCGAAGCCTGTAAAGGCTGGATCCTCAATGTTCAGGCGACGTCGTGGGGACTTATCGAACCAATTATTTCCATCCTCTTCCTTATCGTTCTCTCAGCCTTGCAGTAGAACGCACGTCACCGCCGCTATTGTACCTATTGTTAGCTGTCCTCTTCCCTTGAGTGGCTGGAACCTCGCACTATTTTTAACAGCCATCGTGGCTTCTTGGTGCCCATTGGAGAGCTCCACATTCTGGCCACATCAACCTCTCTCTTCTCTCTAACTTATATATACAAAAAAGAAGCGACTCTCTGGGCTCTTTATTTCTCTGCCCATAGACGCTATCGTCTTTTTTTGCTTTCTTTCCCAAGAGGCAACCCTTCCCATTGACAAGAACACACCTCCGTTCGATTTGGTGTGCGCAAGCGAGCGCACCCCCACCAACACCGCTATCATGGCATCTCGAGTCTCGCCGCTCATGACGCTTTTGGCGACCATTTTCCTCTTTGCCACAAATGTATTTGCAGTTTCCGCCGTATTGGGTGTAGACCTTGGTACCGAGTACATCAAGGCCACTCTAGTCAAGCCCGGTATCCCTCTCGAAATTGTCCTGACCAAGGACTCACGACGAAAGGAGACCTCCGCCGTTGTCTTCAAGCCTTCCAGGAATGGACCCCAGAAGGGCGAATACCCCGAGAGGGCCTACGGCGCCGACGCCATGGCTCTCGCCTCTCGATTCCCTAGCGACGTCTACCCGAACCTCAAGACCATCCTTGGCCTGACCACTAAAGATTCTGTGGTGCAAGAGTACGCTGCCCGACACCCCGCGCTGCAATTGCAGTCCCACCCCACACGAGGCACAGTCGCGTTCAAGAGCAGCGCTTTCACAGATGAGGAAGAGGCCTGGATGGTTGAGGAACTCCTCGCCATGCAGCTACAGAGCGTCCAGAAGAATGCAGAGGTGACTGCTGGCGATGGAACCATTGTCCGCTCCATTGTCCTCACAGTTCCAACTTTCTACACCATCGATGAGAAGCGGGCTATCCAGACCGCAGCTGAACTTGCTGGTCTGAAGGTTCTGGGAATTCTCAGCGATGGTCTCGCTGTCGGTCTGAACTACGCTACTACTCGAGAGTTCCCCAACGTCAGCAACGGCTCCAAGCCTGAGCACAACATCATCTTTGACATGGGTGCCGGTTCCACCAAGGCTACTGTTGTGAAGTTTCAGGGCCGAACAATTAAGGATATCGGCAAGTTCAACAAGACTGTTCAGGAGGTTCAGGTTCTTGGTGCTGGATGGGATCGCACTCTTGGTGGTGACTCTTTGAACAACCTCATCTTGGACGACATGGTGAAGCAATTCGTCGAGTCAAAGGCTGCTCAGAAGGCTTCCGTTGCCGCTGAGAGTGTCAAGGCCCACGGCCGCGCCATTGCGAAGCTTACCAACCAAGTCTCAAAGGTTCGCCACGTCTTGAGTGCCAACCAGAACACCGGATCCAGCTTTGAGGGTCTTTACGAGGATATTGACTTCAGATATAAGATCACCCGTACTGAATTTGAGGAGATGGCTGCTGAGCACGCCGAGAGAATCACTGTTGTGATCAACAATGCCCTTAAGGCCGCTAACCTCGACATCGTTGACATCGACTCTATTATTCTCCATGGTGGTGTTTCTCGCACTCCTTTTGTCCAGAAGGTCCTCGAGAAGCTCTCTGGTTCTCCTGAGAAGATTCGATCCAACGTCAACTCTGATGAGGCTGCCGTTTTCGGTGCCGGCTTCCGCGCTGCTGAGCTTAGCCCCAGCTTCCGTGTCAAGGAGATTCGCATCTCTGAGGGCGGATTTTACTCATCCGGTGTGAAGTGGGAGTCTAAAGAAGGCAAAACCCATCACCAGCGACTTTGGTCTGCCGCTTCCACTCAAGGAGCTGCCCCTAAGGAGCTCACATTCACTGATGGCGAGGATTTTACCGCTACCTTCTACCAGCAGATCGGCTCTGATGAGAGGGACGTCAAGACCATCACTACTAAGAACTTGACTGCTACCATCACTGCGATCAAGCAAAAGTACCCATCATGCGTTGAGTCCGAGATCCACTTCAAGCTCGGTGTCAAGCTCAGTAGTGAGAATGGCGAGGTTGAAATTGCCAAGGCTGCTGTTGAGTGCGAGGCTGAAGTCAAGGAGGGCCTTGTGGACGGAGTGAAGAACCTATTTGGCTTTGGAAAGAAGGACCAGAAGCCCCTGAAGGAGGGGGCTGAGGGATCTGAGGAAGAGTTGAAAGATGACAAGTCATCTGAATCCGCCGCTTCTTCTGAATCTTCTACTGCTTCTGGAGCTGATTCGGCTGCTTCTGGAAGCACTGAGGAGATCAAGCCTGATGTCAAGAAGCGAGAGACTGTGGGCATTCCTGTTGAGATCACCGTGGAGAGCCTCGGTGTCCCTAGCCTTACCCCAGCAGAGACCTCCAAGTCCAAGGATCGCCTCAAAGCCTTTGCTGCTTCTGACAAGGCGCGACTACAGCGTGAGGAGGCTCTCAACCAGCTTGAGGCATTCACATATAAGATTAGAGATCTCCTTGAGGGTGAAGGCTTCATTGCCGCCTCTACTGAGAAGGAGAGGACTAAGTTGGCCGATCTTTCCAGCAAGACAAGTGACTGGCTCTACGCTGATGGCGCAGAGGCTACCAAGGATGTTCTCAAGTCCAAGCTCAAGGTTCTCAAGGACCTCGTCGCACCTATTCAAAAGAGGGTCGACGAGACCGAGAAGCGCCCCGAGCTTACTACTTCATTGAAGGAGACTTTGGAAAGGACTTCCGAGTTCGTCAAGAAGATCAAGGAACAGATCGCAGAGCACGAGAGTTGGCACAAGGCTGCCTCTGAGTCGGCATCTGCATCATCTGAGTCTTCCAGCACAGAGGTTGCGGGAGAGAAGGCTACTGGCGACTTTGACGGACTTGAGGACGACGACTCTGCGGCCGCCACAGCCCGCAAGATGGAGGATGTCATCAAGGAGAAGGGGCCTATCCCTCCTCTGTACACAATTGAGGATCTCAAGGAGGTCATCGATCTCCACAAGTCAACTCAGGACTGGTTGAACGAGCTTGAGCCTAAGCAGGCCAAGCTAGCTGCCACCGCCAACCCCGTGCTCCTCGTCAAGGACCTCAAGGCTAAGCGTGACAAGCTCGAGAAAATTAGCATTGATGTTGCCCTCAAGGGCGCTAGAAAGGTTGAGGAGAAGAACCGACAGGCCAAGAAGGCTGCCAAGGAGGCTAAGAAGAGCAAGGGCAAGAAGAGCAAGACAACAAGCGGAGAGCCATCTCAGGAGACAGTTGAGCTCAACACGGAGGACTTCATGAAGGATGGTGAGATCGACCAAGAGCAGCTCGAGAAGCTGATCAACAAAATGAAGGCGGAGAATGCAAAGAAGGCCGGTGGAGAAAAGAAGGAGACTCATGACGAACTATAGACGATGGCGTATTAACTTTTGATCTTGGCTTTCTTTCTTATGACGACAAAAAGAAAGGGTAGAGCAGTTTGTTGATAGGTATATTGATTGATTGATACCAGTTCAGATGATGGACGATAGAGCATCTGACTGTACTATTTGGGAGTAGAATACGCAAATAGGGACATATAACTTTCTCACTACCTACCTTTCGAAAGGTACTACTCCGTAAACGTGTGATGTATAGAGTTGAGCTCCCCGAGTGATATGCCGGTCAGGCTTGTTCCACATGCCGCGTGGTTAGGACACTTTCCTGGTCGACGACCCGCGCGTAGGTAACGAAGCATCATATCTTCTCCCTCTACGTTGTTCTACGTTTGTGCCTGGTGTCGTCGGTATTTCGGACGGTCTCATGACCGTTATGTCGAGTACACATCCCATCTCAACAGCGATCTCTGTACCTCCACATACTCACAAAACAAACATGTGCTCGTGCTGCCTCGCGTCGCCTCGTTGCTACCAGAGGCTCGGATACCATGCTATGTTACGTCGTAGTTGCAGCTTCCCGTGTTTGCCTCCGTAGGCGAGAAATGATCCGATTACAGAGAGGCTGTGTAATGGTCGGCGCAAGGTGAAGGGGCTCGTCTATGGGAAGCGGTTTTAGTGTCACATTGGTTGATGCATGTCCGAACATTACCTACCTTAGGTAGTAGGCAACACTTGCTTTAGAAGCGACGTCCTGCTAAAGGAGCTTGTTTGTACTGACTTGGCCGAGAAAGTGCCCGGCAGGTGCTGGTAAGTGTTAGTACCCGCTCCTACTTCGGGATTTGATATAGAGAGGTGATTCACGGGCACTGTCTACCAGTTTCCCAATCTTCCCTCCTTTCTCTTCTCTCTTTTACCTTGACATTTCACTCAGGCAATACATTGCTGTGCCAATATCTAACGCCTTTTCTTCCATAGGTTGCTCGCCTACATTGGCCTCTTCCCTTCGTTCTAGCTCATCTTTCAACACTCTCTTTCTGACCCTTTATCAAGACTTGGACCGCAACATCTGGCTTGACATGATGAAGAACTTTCTTTTGCTCGCTGTGCTTGTAGTAGCAAGCTTGGTTACTGCTATTGCTACGCCTCAGCCCAAGGGCAGAAAGGGGTTCACCCTCGAGGCGGCCAAGAACACCAACTCCAAGCCTGACTTTGTTCGAGAATGGGTGGCTGCTCGACTGAAGTGGGGAGCACCTGTCTCTGCGGAGGTTCTGTCTGCTTTCTCGCTACTGGATGAAGGTATACTATTAATGCGCATTGGGTTCAACAAGTATTGATGCTCTTCCTAATAGAGGGCCGTGTGAACGTGCACCCCCTTGGAAATGATTCCATCTACATTGCCGACGTTCAAGTCGGCACTCCACCCCAAATCCTCAAGATCGCAATGGATACCGGGTCTGCAGACTTGTGAGTAACTTGCCCTGAAAGACAAGCTGCTTAAACTGACCAGATAGGTGGGTGCAATCTACCGATACAATCTATCGAGCCAATCCCGAAGGCCCTTGGGCTCCTCAATACAAGCCCAACTCTTCCAAAACATCTCGCCGCCTCCATGATGCAGAATGGAACGTCGAGTACGGTGAGAGATAACACGACCTTTGTACCATTGCAATAGTTTCACTAATATGTACGCATAAGTTGACGGCACTCATGCCAATGGTATCGTCTACCTTGATACCCTTCGTCTAGGAGCCCTCGAACTCAAAAACACGGCTATTCAATCCGCTCAAATTGTCGCTCCACGCTTCGAACGTGAGACTGAGCTCACGGGCATCATGGGCCTTGCCAAGTCTCTTCCTAGCAATATAGACCCTCCTACTCCGTCTCTGCTTGACAAGCTCCGCCCACTACTTGACGAACCCGTCTTCACTGTTGATCTGCGACGAAACGCCACGGGTCGCTTTGACTTTGGCCAAATTGATGAGACCCGAACCAAGGACAATATCTCCTGGATGGCCACACGGGAGGACAGTCCCCACTGGGATGTCACATTCGACATGACAGCTTGGACTGGTCAACGTCGGGTCTGGATGGCTCATACTTTTGAGGCTACCGTCGACACGGGCACTACCCTGCTATACCTGCCTGGAGAGCTTGCGGGCTTGTACTGGTACGATGTGCCAGAGATGAAAATCGACCCTCGCCTTGGAGACGCATTTACGTTCCCTTGCAAGTTCGCCAACCAGCTGCCAGATTTAATGCTCAAAGTGCCAGGTACAGAGCACGTCTTGAAAATCCCCGGACCGTATCTCAGCTACAGCCCTACCGACAACGATCCGGAATACTGCTGGGGTGGTTTGCAGAGTGCAGAGAGCCTTGGCGTAACCATCCTTGGCGACGTGGCGCTCAAGGCGCTCTATGTTGCATTTGATCTTGAAAAGAAGAAGGTTGGGTTTGCCAACAAGGAGCTCGACGATATTGATGGATGAACAGCGTGGACTTTATCTTTTGAAAGTCGGGTCATATGGAAATGCAATTCTGAAGCTGTTGGTGCAGGCGGTCGATCATGATGATACATTGTAAGATCAAAGAGCTAGAGTTAATCATGTGTAATGAAATCGGAATCAAATCAGAACTCGGCAGTTGGGCATTGTGCAAGAAACATGCAAGGTAACAGATACCGGTCTATTTCCACCTAACTGGAAAATATACATACAAACCTCATTATTTCGGCCGTGAATCAAGTCAAGTGAGGTTCTATCCATGCACTTGCGACCAATTGTCATACCATCCATTCAAATCCGTCCCATCCCATCCTGTCCATCCCACTCAGTCGTACTTTCCACCATGCAGTAACGGTTTCTTAAAAGCAAAGGCGGACGTCATCCCACCGGAAACAATATGCAGTAGCCTACACGAGTGTAGGAGCGAGAGGGTGAATATAATAAAGTAAAAAAAGATGCTGCAAATGCTGCCTCTATCAACGCCGGGAATCTTGGTAGCGAATGACGAAAAAGGGAAGCGCTCAGGCAGGGGGTGCGCCTTGGTGGTTCCCGCAACTCTGAAGAAAACTCCTCCAGCAATCAATATACATTGTATAAAAAAAAAAGCCGAGGGCGTTTGACGTTTGATAATGCGCCTCTGCTGTAATTCGTGGCTGTCTTCGAAACAATGAATTGGCCAGTTGTCGAAGGGCACCAACCGAGTCAGTTGTGAAACAGTCCCCTAAAAAGATGGACGGATTTGTAGTGCAAGTTGCGGTCTGGCAAGGTTTGGGCCCACCTTTGGGTTCTCCGCACGCAACAAACGTCCACTAGCTTGGGGAGGTGGCTCTCTTGTAAGAGACTGATCCGGTGGTAATGAAACCCCTCTAGAGAATTGAATGGTTCATTGAGAAGAAGGCAGCAAGTAAGAAAGGTCAGGTTGCTTTATTCATGATCTCCGTCTTTTTAAAAGTCAAAAAAATTCGTCAGCGCGGGCCGTCCTGTAAGTCATCGCGGGTGACGACGTAGTATTCACCTTCACTAGCACCTGGGGTCGGGGGCATGTTTCCCGAAGAGGGAGCCTGCTGGGAGGCGCGAGCAGTTCCTGGTCGTGATCGAGCCTTGGAGTCGTCCTTGGGGGTGTCGAGGGAGCTGGGCTGCTGCTGAGCCTGGTTGGCGGTCTGGGTCTGAGGCTGTGGAGATTGTTGCAGAGCACCGCCTGTGGAGCGACGAAGGCGATCCTCCATTTCGCGAAGGCGGGCTTCGAGAGCTGCAAGTTCTTCGGCGTTCTTGTCGACGGTTTGCTTCCTGTTTAAAAGAGTAAAGAAAAGCAGTTAGATGGATGATTCCACGGTTATGAAAAGCTGAGCAAGCGGTGGACCAACTTGGCATGGACTTGCTGATCCAGGTCCGTAAGAGAGTTTTCGATGCGGAAGATGTCCATCAGCTCCGCGCTAAAAGAGCGAGCTATGGTTCTGTATGATACATGTCTGTTAGAGCTTGATTCTCGATGTTATGAAACTTGCAGACGACATCGACGGCGTCTTCAATGGAAAGAGGCGAGTGTAGGGGATACGGACGATTGGGGGCGACGGCCGCTGGGCTGCCAGTCGCGGTCGAGTTCCTCATCGGTGAAGGTCATATTGAGGTTTGATTAAAAAGAAGAATGTAAAAGACTAAGGTGAGAGGACGATAGTCTGGGTATCGCAGTGAAGAGCGCAAAGCGATGAAGGGCCGAGGCTTGGGTTGAAGGAGGAGAGGATGAGAGAGCTCAGCTCAAGGCGACCGGAAGTGCACTTGTACTGTAATTAATGGAAGTGGAAGTTTCCAAGGGACGGGTACTACCTTTGGCGCTAGCGACTTTCCTCCCTTTTGCCCCACACGCCCGAAAGTCGACATTCGATGGGGTGGACGGGGGCATCCACGCGCACAGCGCAGCCAGACAGCGCAGTGCTGAGCATCCATTAGGGGAAGTTGTACGGATACACTGTAGGTACCTAGGTAGTTAGTTACAGGCCCTGGCCTTGGTTCTGCCAGTGGAGGGGTCCCGTCACTTTCATGCTTGCCCTGGGGATGGGGTCCCACTCCAGCTTCCTCTACGGCAACAGGTCCCCTGGAATTAGCGTCAATTTTGGTGCAGGTTCAAAGGGGCCTTGTGGGAGAATCCATCATAGAATAGAGGGGAGCGGGGGGCGTGTGATGTTGGAAGACAGGGTGTGCATGACTTCAGAACCTTTTTTTCTATACAACGGATGCGGACGGTAGAAGATGATGTTTAAGTGCAGGTCATTGTCATTGTCATTGTCATAGGGAATAAAGAGAATTACGGATATGGAAACGGTTGCGGATGAGCTTAACCAAAGAGAAGTGACTTGGTCTGAAGATGCGGCAACGTGGACGGAAGCGTCACGAGGGAAAGTCTAAGACATCATTCATGTCTTGACCTGATACCAAAGCTATGGAGTAGCTGGACTATGGATGTGCAGTACAGATCATCAAGCAGTTGCAGTCCCACGGATAGACAAGAAGCAGTAATCACAAACACCTGCTTATCTCGTTCAGATTTAGAATATTCAGGTGGTGATACTAGCCCCCTTGCTTTACATACGAAGAAGAGCCTGAGAGAGAATGTCAAATGGAGGGTTTTCATTTGTCTGATGGGAGACTTGGGAGGGAATGGGGATATTGCCGTATTGACTTTGTGAGCTAATCAACCAGCCGAGATGGCATAAAAGATGAGGTGGTATCGGTGGACACACACCCCTCCTCTACTGTATTAACGTCAGACTGGCTGAACTGAAAGATGCTTTGCATGAGAGAGATACTCATAATTTGACCTTTAATTAACTTCAGCCTACGTAGACCCCGTGTTCAATGTTCAATGTTCAATGTTCAATGTTCAATGCTGCAATGACAGGAAGCTCATATCATCATGACACTCACTCACTCGCTCGCTCGCTCTAGTCATTCTGGCTGCAGTGTCACAGTGTCACACGCCAAATGTATTTTCAACTGCTACCATCATTTTGTAGATGTCGTCTATTTCGCCAAATTTCCACTCATTTACCCAGGCATTGGCTTGGCTCGGCAGCGCCTATCCTTATCAACGAGTATTCCCTAGCAAAAAGGGGCCCGAGTGGGCGGATGACATCAATTTTAATTTACTGTAAATAATTGTCTATCTTAATGGGGGATCTCTTCAACCCTAGTCTATCCAAGTTCGTTCCTGTCATCAATTATGATTGTGATTGTTTTTTTATCTTTCTAGAATTCGTTCTCCATTGTATCCGCACCTTCTCGAAACACGGCATATCCATCTCGGTCGCGTGCGAGGTGCCATAAATATCTTCACATACCAGGATTACGCATATTATAAAACGCCCATTTGATTATCAATGGGAACAAAGGCGTGCACCGAGTTGGTTTATGAGACGAGGATCGATGGAAATTTAATGCTGGTTCCACTATCTTTCACTCCTTACTCTTGTCGTGTTCGATCTTTGTGATTGCACTGACCATAGGTACTCTCCGCTTTTTGACCAGGATGAAATACCGTGTATCATGGTTCTCATGAAGTCATCACGGTTCCTTTGAGTTTGAGTCGGAAATAATGAACTGAGACATATCACACGGCTCGTTGCTCGAGAACAGTCGATAGTGCCCATATGGACTACGTTCTTAAATACGTGAGCACGACACGAGGCTGGAGGTTTTGGTTTAGGGTAACATGACCACGATGTCTACAGAAGACTTCCAGGGAAGATCATTCGTTCCGCCAAGCATCGGTCATCCCGTTAAAAAGAAAGGATATCACGGATCCCAAGTAAGTGATTTTTACGAGTATACCTGGTTCATCGCAAGATAACAGGTCGTTCTTTTGAACGGTCTCTCAGAGTGAGTAGATAGCTGAATAAGAATCAGGTGGAAGTTCACAAAAGAAAAGGCAACCGTGCCAACGACGCTTAACACACCACCATAAGACAAAATCTCATGAATATGCCAGGACGCCACGCAAGGCTTCCAAGAAAAAGGAAGTTGGAAAAAGGTTCAAGCTGCTGAAACTGGCAAAAGATCAAGTCACATGCCCCGTACTGGAATCGAACCAGTGATCTTATCATTACTAGTGATACGCTTTACCACTGAGCCAACGGGGCTTGCTTTGTGAGCTTGTTAGAATCAACGTCTTTCTTTTGGTATATGTTGCTAGACATTGCAGCGATGTCTTGCGGAGATAGACATACATCCCTGGTTAGTAACTGCGTCTTGTCTCATATTTATGTATCCAACAAGAAGCTGGATCGCTCAAGTTTGAAAGTGCAGGTATCTCCAAGCTAGTGAAATCGAACTAGTAAGTTAAATATGACCTCTGATGAGAATCCACGGCATTTGAGGGGGTTAATGAAGACAATACTTTACAGAGCTTCTTGGGAGAGCTCATGCAAGTCAATCCTTTTGAGTACTCTCGTAAGACTTGCAACAGAGGCGCAGCATCTTGAATGATTGCATTTTCTTGTAGTTGATTGCGTGTCAATCGTTATCAAGAACTCGCTGATTTGATGCCTACACGTTTACATACAAGGTAACTAGAGGCTGCTCAGGCTTGCAGCCTAGGTTTAAAACGAATGTTTATTGTTATGAGAATATCTCTTCCTTTGACTTCAGCTACACGGACATTCCGTAAGTATAAGTGCTCTTTACACCTAGGATTGGGAATATAAGGGATGTCCAAGGTCGCTTGCGATGTGCATGGGACGGCTATAAGAAGAAGACGTGAATAAATTGTAGCTACATTGAGAGGATAACAATGTTGAGTATACTAATCGCCGAATACCGTCTTGCACCCGCGAATGGGGAATCTGTCGCTGGCCGATCCTATGCAAATGAAAGAACAAACGAACATGTTTCTGTGAGGTAAACAGAAAATTCAGGCTTGCCTCATTCACCTTTTTCAAGTAGGCTGTTCACTCGTCTGGAACTACCAGCTGACAGTCACTGTCAACTATCTGCAAACAAACACCACAGGAGTGACCATTTTTACAGTTCATCACAACAATCATCCTACTATAACTACAACTAATCTCCTTGTTTTATTGAAGAAATCCTAAGACTCGAGTCGATATAAAATTACATCTGTGAGCCTTCTAACACAACCTTCTACTATAACAAGAAAAGATCTCCTAACCGCAAATACTATAGGCAGAAAAAATAGACATTCTGCACATAGAGTCCGAAAAGAGATCCACCATATCACATCCTGAGACCGCCCAGCAACCACCACAGCCATGCCTTCTCTCGAGAACATCGAAACTCCCAAGCCAGTCGACGGCCTTACCAGAGGCTTCTCCCGCGATGCCGGTGCTGGATTTATACTAGGGGGTTTAGGTGGTGTTATAGCCTTCTGCATGTCATACCTTCTGGTGTGCTTCTTCCTAAGCACTGCTCGAGCGAGGCGACAGCGCAATCGACAACAGCAAACGATCTTGTAATGAGTACGGAAGCAAAGATCAACATATCAGGCGCGCGCGATGAGAAAGAAGTTCATGAAATTTCTATTAATATGGAGTTGGATACATGAGCAGAAGCCTGCCTGGAGTGAATGGAACCAGAAACTATTTGGAATGTAACTGCTGTCTTGCTAGATCTACTTGTGGAAACGCTCATACAACTAGATTACCTCTTTCTATGTGACTGTTGTGAAGTCTCGTTATTGCATCATAAGTCTTTATGTCTACTTATTTCTATTTGGTGGAATTGGACAGCAGAGGTGTCAAGTCCCTATTGTTGACGTTATTGCGAGTAGGTCGCAGTCCTGCCAATCCCCTCCTCAGAACAATAACAAGACAAACTTCACTAGGAGCAGATGATTTATGTAAATAGGTCATAATCAGACACCTTGTTCGATTCTTCTCTATTTAAAGCTATATATATACTCCGTCATGTAGGGGTTTTAGACCCTATATCGTCAATACGCCAAACACACCCTAATCCTGAACTCCAAATCAATTGTGTAGTATTTAAACCAAATTCAAGCCTGTACTCTCATACATATCTTCCTTCTGCGTATTCGATCTTTCTGTCGCGTCATGGAATCATCTTCATGAAGTATCATGATGTTCATCATCCTTCATCATGTAATCGTTGATGGAATATGTCCATGTCGTCTCCAATCATAGCAATCGTGCTTCATGAACCTACGCCTAACTAAGAATCGAAGGAGTCTTACCCCCGCCGAAGGCGGTTGTAGGGATCTTGGTAGTAGTAGCCTGGACCTCGGCTCGCTTCTCGGGGTTCTTTGTAGGGTCGTTGAGATCGTCACCGTCAGCACCAGGGTTGGCCATCTCGTACTCGAGGGTCTTGATGAACCAGTAAAAGCACACGGCGATCAGAGAACCAATAAAGGGGCCAACCCAGTAGATCCAGTGTTCCGAGTCAAAGGTACCAGTAATGACACAGGGACCAAAGCTTCGAGCGGGGTTGAGCGAACCTCCAGTGAACTGGACACCAACCATCTCAGCAATGAACAGAGCCAGACCAATACCGACAGGAGCGATGAATGTAGCTCGGTGCTTCTCCTTAGCAAGCATAAAGATGGTAAAGACCAGCTCGGCAGTGAGAAGAGCCTCGATGAACACTCCCTGGACAAGAGATGCACCGCCTCCAAGAGTGGTTCGAACGTTGAACGTCTCAGGAAACAGGTAGCGCACAATAACAGAAGCAAGCATGGATCCTAGGATTTGTGCAAGGAACAGGCAGATAGCTCTTGTCATGCTAATTGCCTTGACCATCAACATAGCAATGGTGACAGCAGGGTTGAAGAGGCCACCACTAATACGGAAGAATACCCAGACGTTGACCATGAGAGAGAAACCAAAAATGATGGAGATGTAGAGGAGCTTAGAAACGTTAAGACCACCAGTGGACTCTCCAGTGGTAGTCCTGTTGTTGGTCTCGGCCTGGATGTTGGCAACCTCTGTGCCAGCAAAAGCGAAGAAGAGGAACATGGTGGTTCCGATAAGCTCTCCAATACCGGCAACGAAATGGTTCTTGAAGTTTGAGTTCATCCATTGAGTCAAGGGTAAGCGCATAATTTGAGACTTCTCTTTGCGACTCAAGTTGTTCCACTCGAGCTTGCCTGTGGTGATGTTAAAGCCATTGAGAGTGGAAGTGCGGTGAAGGTGAGAGGGTCGGGCGGGATAAGCACCCATCTCCTCATCCATCATCCTGCGGCCACCATTGGGAGGCATACGAGGGTCATCGCTACTGTAGAACTCATCATCTGAATCATGAGGTGGTACCCGACGACGGTTCATGAATGTGGGAGGTGGGTAAGGGCCTCTTCGACCAGCGTAGCGATCACGATCATTGCGGCTTTCTGTGCGCCAGTAACGTTCGTAGTCGCTCTGGGTAGGGTAGTCGGCAGCTTGATCAAAGTCGTACTCATCACGCTCACGAGGGCGTCGTCGGCTGGACTTCACAGAACCTGAATAGTGAACAGGCTCTCCACCGTCCTGGGAGAAACGGGTGGCTCTGGGAGTGACAAAGTTTCCTGTACGAGAACCGGGGCGAAATGAAGTGGCATCCTGGCTGATGACAGGTTGAAGAGGTACCACAGTATCAGCCTCTGAGGTCCGGTTGTATGGGATGTTGTCACCGTGGGTAACAACTGGGGCGGCAGCTGGGTTTGAAGGTAGGGTATCAGCCTCGGGAGAGTTCTCTCTCATGAATGGAACTCTCTCTTGACTGGAAGAGCTAGCAGTGGCAGAGGGTTCACCAGGAGGACTGAAAGCAGATCCTGCCATGGTAGGCGTGTTGCGAGCCGAGCGGCTGAGAATTGATGAGGACATGCTGGATTGAGTTGGAGATGTGAGGGTTGTTTCAATAGTAGGTAAAGGGTCAAAATGTCCGTACATCCAGCAGAATTAGATCAAATCCCAGGGTGAGACTCCGTCTTTGCTATTGGAGAAGTAGTCAGGATGATTGAGATTGATTGTATATTGGTATTGCTAGAAGCGGTCGACATATCTAGATATTTATGCTGATGGGAGTCTCATCTACGAGGCTGAACCCAGGGATCATCAGGGCTCACCAAGGCTCACCAGGTGTCCCGTTACCCTGATTTACTGAGGCTACCCATGCTCATGACATCGCTCGGACTGGTACTGATGGTGGTTATGTAAGTTGAGCACTGGAAGAAGCTGAGGTGTCAGGATGCATTGATAGCGAATAGAAACCGACCGAGCTGAGACAGACGACATGGAAGCGTCGACTTAAACGGACAGAAGCAAAGTGAGGGGCCCAAAGCTTGGATGTTGCGAGAGACAATGAAGGACCAGCTTCATGGGAGGACCCTGAAGATGAGCGGGCCGACGTGGCGAGCGGAGAGGCCGGTAGTTAAGTGAAAACGGTCATGACGTTTCGCCAACAGGCAAAGATCTTAACGATGGTCTCGGCTCGGACCAAGAGTCTGGATCGTTGCCACTGAGACGAGTAAGATGAGGCGTGTGGTATACCGAGGAGCTGGGATGATGGCTGTAGATGAGGCTGGCGATAAGGCCCACACGACTGAAGCCAAAAGGGCAACACGTAGGCCGTGCATGTCACAAACGTGACTAGCCAACGGCGAGAAGAAATTTCATCTGCACGCAAAGGCCATATAAGCTGATGTTTCATGTCGTTAGCCTCTGCACCAGAGGACGAAACCAGACGATTGTCTGCATGGCTCGTTCTGTATTTGCTAGAGCAAGAGCTGGAGTGATGTCGGCATATCCGGTCAATCTCAGATCCCTAGTCTCGGGCCATGTAATCCGTAAACAACCACCTTTGTGCTTTAGTGTCAGGTACACAAGACTGGACGTTGAACGGGCATAAGCATGGTCAAGGCGTCGTTGTGGGGAGGCTGGAGGGACGGCCAGCCAATTTTTCCGTTTTGATTAAAAGGAAGTATCGTTCTGTTTCAATGCAACAGGATCGAAGATCATTCGGAAGCAATGGCATGGTGTTGTGCATTCGTCATCGTGTGTCCCGATATAACCTCCCTGCTCCATGTTAGTGAGCGGCGCAGCAAAAGTAACAACTCAGCTCGCAGATCTGAAAAGGAGGGTAATGACGGTATCCACCAGAAAGTCAATTGTCAAAGTTGGCAATTGACTCGAGGACTGCCCTCATGGCTTACATGCGTCAGAATCCCTACCAAGATTTTCTGGAAGGTTTCTTTTTGGGAGTGGGGGCCCTGAAAAAAGAGGTTGGATCGGTTCCATAGTGGAGTCAAGATAGGACCCTGTGAGTTGCAGTAAGAAACCAGGAAACTTTAGAGTTGGTAGTTGAGGGGAAAATAGAACTGATCGGCATTCATTGAAGCCTTGGAAGAAGAATTGTCGGATGTCAAGATGGAAGATGCTGTGCGGCATTGGATCAAGTAACTCTGCTACTCTGCAGATTGATAGTTAGCTAGCATTGACTGCTTAACGTTGGCACTCCTTTCTTGAGGATGCAATAATAGCTGGTAATCATGTTTCATCCTTTTGACAAGGATGGTGCACGGCCAAGGTTGGACCAACTTGAGAGCTGAGCGTGGGGAACAGGAACAGGAACAGGGGATGGCACCGGAAATAGATGCCACGTGATAGCGCGTCCAGCTGGCCACTCACATCGCATTTTTGATACTGGATGGTTCTAATGCCAACCGCGACCGCGCCTATTTTGACTATAGAGGGGGGTTAGCTGTGTATAACACTATCGCCAGTGTTAGCCAGGTATCATTTATAGTGACAGCTGCCACTGCCAGTATTAATCAGAATAGGTATCTGCCATAGCTTAGACAAGATGGATATCACGCGTGGTTCGAGAAGAGCCCGTCATGTAGCTGCTACACATGCAAACGCAAACACGCGTGCAAATGCGAATACGGCTTCGAGCCCAAGACCTGTTACATCCGAGATAGCCTCATCTCCAGTTCCCCAAATCGCCGCAACTCCAAGCGGCCCTACCACGAGGCTACAGCCAAGTCAAGGAGCCTCGCCTGCTGGTGCTCTGATAACTCCAGACGGTCCTCCGCTTCATCGAACACCTGATCAACCTCCCGACCAACGACGTCGTCGAGCACCACCTCCAAACCCATTTCGACTCTACAGAGGTAAGTAAACAAATCCTGATGCCTGGTCCTGAGTGTTCCTTATTCTCCCTTTACTGGCAATGTCATGTTGTTCTGTCGATCGGAACGTTCGAGTGTTTGCAGTCGTTGGCAGTGCTGGCAGTGTCAGTGGCAGTATCAGTCGGTTGGCGTCAAGTGATGCAATAATACAATGCAACTATTTTCTATTGTTCAACGCATCAATAGGCAGCCAATTCACTTCATGTCAAAAGCTCTTTCCTCGTTTGACTCTGAGTTATTTGATCCTATTCCCTCAACACCACATAAATCTTCAATTTCTTTAATTCCCATCTTCATTATAATCTCTTTCTTCGCTGCCTGCAGCAATTATCCTTCAGCGTGTCTTTCATTAGTATCCTTGTTCTTCATCTATACCCGAGCAATCCTCCCTTCCCAGCAAAAATGCCTTCTCGTCGTCGCCTCTTCAACCCTCGCACCCCTCGCCTTCGTCGTATCAATCCTGATCACCGTATTAAGCGAGTACCCCTCGGTGAACTTCCCTTTCAGAAGACCACCGGTGCTCTCCTCTGTGAGCGTATCCGAACCATCAGACCTCTTCCCGTATGGGAAGATGGGGACAAGGAGAACGAGGAGGCTTTTATGCGGGCTGTTGATCACATCGACGCCACCCTTGACCAGCAACTTGCAGATCTTCAAAATGATATGGAACAGGCTGAAGAAATCCGACACTCGATTAACTATTTCCTAGCTGCACCCCCTGTCGACGGGCCTCGTCTCAGTATGCCTCCCGTTGATTCCGACGGCTCCAGCTCTGAGCCTGACGAGAGCATTCTCCAAAACCGAGGTCGTGTACTAGCTACACCCGCTGGCCCACCTCCCCAGGTTCCCAGCCCCTATACCGGAGACCGTGCGGTCGAGCAAGAAGTCGGCCAAGAGGCTCTTTCTCCCGAAGAGTATGAAGATGAAAACTCCATTGACGAGGAAGACATGGACGACGAGGAAGAAGATATTGGCGAACAAGACCAGGCCTTGGATGTTGCTCCCCCCTTCGATCCGGCCACCGCTGGCCTTAAGGAGATCTCAAACCTCGCTCGCTTTACAGTCAGCAGCCACAAGCCCGGCAACGGCGTAGAGCAGCTCAAGAGTGATGATCTGAAGCATTTCTGGCAGTAAGTTCATCTTCATCCGCTCACAGACTTCCTCTACTTACACATATCAGATCCGATGGACCCCAGCCCCACAAGCTTACCATGTACTTTACCAAGCGGGTTGGCATCCGCGACATTCGCTTCTACGTCGACTTCAATGAAGACGAATCATACACCCCTACTAAGGTTGTCTTCAAGGCCGGCACAAGCGAGAACAACCTCATTGAGTTTGCTACCATGGCTCTCGAAAATCCCTCTGGCTGGCAGCAGGTTCCCATTGCCGGCGCCGGTGGCGACCCTGATGGAAACACCCTCGTCGCCTGGGTTGTGCAGATGCAGATTCTTGAGAATCACCAGAACGGCAAAGACACTCATCTCCGAGGCATCAAGATTCACGCCTTCGACAATGACTCCGCTCTTGGACCCGGCCGCGATGGCAATCCTATCGACGATGTCCTTGAACTAATGGACAGAGTCACGGACATTGGTGGCAGCGGCGCTACTCACTACGAGCCTGGTGAGGGGGGACTGACGATTCCCGACTTCATGCGAGAGCCCGAGATTCGCTAAAGAACCAATGACTGTTATAGATTCGGTGGATTGGGTGGACTTGCACAAAGAAAACATTAGGAGGAGTTTGGAGTAGGAGAAATGTTTGTCATCTGCTCTGCACCCAAAAGTAGGGTAGCACTGGCACTATGAAAAGCGTTGGCTTATGAATTACGATGAAGTACATGGCTGGAGTAGACATTGATTCTGGTCCCTGAACATCCCTTCGGCATGCACCGTGATTATTTGATGATGATAATGCTCAATTGCTAATAGTACTCCTTTCTCTATAAACCATGGTGTCCGACACCATCCATATGCTTCAACGTCCTCCCGCTACCTCGAATTAACTCGTATAAGTGCTGATAGTACACGACGGCTCTAACCGTGAGGCCAATACGATAACAATATATGCGCAGAAACATCTCCGGCATTTCTTCAACTTCCCTGTTATGCTATATCCATCTTTCCTTTTCTCTCCCTGTTGAAAGTCATGTAATTCCGTTAAATAATACGGGCAGGCATGTCTTCCATGTCATCCATCACACTGTCGGAATCGTCGGCAGTATTAGGGACTGCGGCGGCGGTAGTGGATCGAAACCTGCTAGGTGTCTTTCGCTTGCGTGTTTGAGCCTCATCAACCTCGGAACTCTCTGCGGCGGCAGAAGCCCGAGCCTCTCCATCATCCTCAATAGGGTCCTGAGACGCGGCAGCGCCACGTCTAGTGGAACGCCTGCTGGGCGTGGGTTTGACTGGAGTAGATCTGGCGGATGCCTTTCGAGGGGGCTTGGGGGCCTTTGCCTTGCCCATGCCTGTTCTCTTTGCAACACGGGTAGCCTTGGGGGGAGCAGGCTCAGTGAACACAGGGGTATCGGTAGGCTTGACGATAGGGGCCAGTTCTTCCTCGAGTGGTGTATCTTCGATGGCCTCCACAGGCTCCACAGGCTCTACAGGCTCTGCAGAAAGGGCTGGGTCAACCATTTCGGCGGCTTCCATAGGTGCCAGGTCTGCAACCGGGGCTACTGGGTCCATTGATGCCATAGGAGCGGACTCAAAGTGTTCCATGGGTGCGATAGGCAGGTCGGGTTGAATGTTCTCATCAGGCGCGGGGTATTCACTCTCCTGATGTTCATTTCCTTCTTCATCAGCCTCGTCAACAAATTCGGCACTCATGTTGTTCTGGCCGTTTGTAGGTGCGCTGCTGGTAGGAGCGTGGGCGGTGGGGATAGTGTTCAAGAACTCCATTTCCTCGGCATCATTGAAGAGGCTGTCATCAACATTTGGAAGCTCGCCTGTCTGGCCATAAATATCATGAAGATGCTGTGCACAGTCTCGCACGCTCTTCTGTTCCGACCCGGGAACCATATGCTTCAGGCGTCGCCACAAAAGCATTTGTGTAGGTCGATGCCAGCTGTTGCGGAACTGCTTGTCAACCAATCTCTGCCAAGGGATTTTGGATTCGACTTGTGCGGACGAGCCTGAAATAGCCATCACCATACGATAGCGCTCTTCATCAGGCATGGCGGCAATCTGTCGACGAGCCTTCTCCAGGCGAAAGGAAATAGATGCGTCAGGCGCGTGGGACACTAGTTTATCCTTTCCATGGGTCTTGATGTTCATGGCCTTCCACTTGGTGATACACTGAAGTCGACTACGAGTTCTCTCCATACGCTCGCTGATGTTTTGCCAGTCAATGAGCTCCTCGTAGGGCTTCTTCAGAAGCTCACGGGATGGTTGAATGCGTCTCAATTCATCAATGGCAGCCATCGCTTCCATCACGTACTGGGTCAGGTTACCCTCCTCGGTTTCATCCCAAGTATCCTTTCGTTGCGAATCTCCACAGACAATGTAGTTGCGATAACGATCTCGAAGATCCTCAGGATGACGATTGACGATACCCGCAATCTTGGACCATTTCGTCCCGTGAACCTCAATAAGGTCACGAAGCTCGGTATCCTGCTCATTGGTCCAGGTACCGCGAGCAACAAAGTTGTGGAACTTCTTTCGAGTGATGTTGATAATCTTTTGTCGGTGGCGGTCCGGGCAAGTTGCAAAAATTCGTGCCCAAAGAGCGGCATGCTCGTCACCAGCGGTTGTACCTCCTGCGGCGTGAATCATGGCGTTCAACTCATGCTGGTCCATGCTATGCTCTACACGATAGCTTTCAACGGCCTGTGCGATACGGCCGAGTTCTACATCGTTGAATCGTCCTTGAGTGTAACCAGCCATTCGGTTTCGGCGTCCACCTGCGGCATTGCCGTCCTCAGCCTCATCGTCATCTCCGTCCTGCACGTTCTGAGACGAAAGGGCACGATTGGCCTCAGACTTTCTACGGCTGGAGGCCTTCTTGGCACGTTTTCGGGGCATCGGTGTCATGGCAGAAGGCGATGGTAATGGGCCATCCTGTTCAGGAGAAGGCGATTTATCGAAGAATGTGGGCTTGGCTTTCTTCGCCTTAGCTGAACGCGTTTTCTTTGCACTGGCGCTGGGCGGGTTTGGTGATTGAATTGGGCTTCCGGGGACATCATACACATCATGGGTTGTTTGAGGACGCTGCGCAGATGTGGGAATATCCACCTCCATCTCTTCAGGATGTGCCGATTCCTGAGTGTTGGCTTGAGGTTGGCCATTAACATGCTCATTCCATGCCTCTCTAGCCATCCGCTCGACGTCCTGGTGATCCGGGTTTTCAGACCCGTTAATTGCGAAGAAACCGGTCTGTCCAGTTTCTCCACATTGGTCATCCTCCACGGTTGGTTCGTCCACGTCCATCACGTCAGGGGCGGCACTACCTTCCCTTGATCGAGCGTCACGAACCTCAAGGCGTGCAGCACTAGGAGAGTTTGGAATTTCATCTGAAACGACATCATAGATGGCACCCTGCTGAGACGCGTTTCTGGTGTGTAAAAAGGAGGCAGCTTGAGAAGAACGAGTATCTAATTCTTGGGATGGCGCAGCTTGGTCACCTTCTTGGGTTCCTGGCACAAACTCTTGAGTTTCGGAGTCAGTTCCCTGGTCACGGGATCTCCGTTTCTTGCGTTGTTTGCCGTCTGCGGAGTCGGATGGCTTGCGTTTGCGCTTCGATTGAGTTGCGGGGGCCTCCTCGTCAAAATCGGCAGCAGGAATTTCAGGGGGTTGAGATTGATACATGTTCGAAGAAGCATTCTCGATAAGACTATCAGGAATCTCGACTGGCAAAGTAGATTTTTTCTTGGATTTTCTGGACTTTCGCGACGAGTCATCGTCGGTCGGCAGCTGGGGCGATGCACTATCATTTATGCCTTTTCGTTTGCGCTCCTTCTTGTCGCGTTTGCTCTTTGGAGATTGAGAGGAAGGTGCTTCCTCTGACATGAGCGCCTCGGGTGCTTTATCATCAAAAGACGCGTTGTTGGCTTCCGACGAGTAGGGAGCTTGTGTCGCATTGCTGTCGAACATCTCCAGCGCGCCAAAGTCTTGGTCCTGGCCGCCGTCCTCTTCGCCAACCTGGGCATCGTGTTCGTAGTTATCGAACCCCCCAAGGCCATCAATTGACCGGTGTTCGGTATCCATTTTGTCGTGGGCCACTTCAGGTAACTGGTTTAGCTCGTTCGAATGCTCGTTTTGGTGTTCGTTCTCGTGCTGCTGCTCGTCGTCTTGGCCGTGATCGGCTGCGCGGTCGTTGTTGTTTTGCTTATCTGGTCTGTTGGATTGCGAGCCCATAAGAGACCATAGGGTCGACGCGAGCCGGAAATCAGGCCACTTGCTTCCACCGGTGCCGTTGGATGACATCGATGAGCTCGTTGGCGACGATAGCTTCTTTCTCGTCGAGAGCACGCGAGATGGGAGACGTGTAGGGTAAGGTGAAATTGGAAGAAGGTGTGGGGCGTCACGAAAAAAACTGACGACGCGGTTAACCTAGAGATGGCTGGCTACTGCTCTCGGGTCGCGTTGCCGTGACGAAGACAGAATCACGTGACCGTTCGGAGCGCCACTATTCACCTGCGGTATGAATGGAAGAGAAGCCAAGTGATATTCGTTGCGCAACAAGCTATAAAGTCGTAATAATGTCAATGTTGTCTAGGTAATCTAAGGAATATGAGATAGTACAGGATAGTACAATATTGTTTCGACATGTGTCAAGGAATTCTATGTAAGTCAGTTGTTGTACAGGTCGCTTCATCAATACGCAAAAACACCCCATCCATTCACCTGCGCGCCTGTCCATCTACCTCATCACGATCAATCATACATGACATGACCGGACAATCCCAAACATTAGGACCGGCGTCATTACTCTTTGCCACTTTAGAGATAACCTTAAGGCGGGCGTTAGTGCATTCAATCATCCTCCTCTTTTTCTGCTTCCTTCAGCTTCACTGTGATGCCCTGGCGGTTGCGCTCGATCTCATACTGGCCACCAAGTACCAGATCCTTCGCCACAAGCTCGCGAGTTCGGCCCAAACTCTCGATGTCAGCGATTCTCTGCATTGTGCCTTCCAGATGTTTATCAAAGCCAGGCTCGGAACAGATTTCCCTAAAAGCTCGGTGCATTGGTACACTGCTTGCTCGAACATCTGCCTCGCTGGTAATGCTGAAGAGGTTGAGACTATCGAGGTCCCGGATGAAATCACAACGCGTCATGATCTGCTGAGCAATATGGAAAGGGTACGTCGGAAGCATATGCCCGGACACAGGGTCATAGTTCTCATGATCTGATGCTTCGTTTTCTTTATCGACCAATGCCTTAGCCAAAGTCATAGCAGCAGCCTACATGTCCGTTAGTCACGTATTTCGAATAGACGGGGTATCTACTCAAACTTACAGCCCATTTCTGTTGGTCCATGACATCGTCGTCCATCTCCATACCGAGGATCCAACACTGGTTCAAAAACCACTTCTTCTCGATCTCCTTGATTTTTTCGCAGGTTCCGAGCATATCACTGCTCTTTGCTACTCGATTGAGGAAGCTCAGGCGTCCGCCAACCCTTTCGTAGACGTCTTCGAGAAGGCTGTCTTCAATATGCTCCTTCCAGTACCTTTGGCGATATCTCTGAAGAGCTGATATAGCTTGCTGTTTAGGTAAATCGGTAACGGCGAGAACCTCCATCCTGGTAGCTAGCTGCTTGAGGCGCTCGTAAACCCAATAATCGTCCGAGTTGAAGACCATGGTGACAATGTTGGCGGCAGCCCACTGTTCAGCCCGCTGTTGCAATAGCTCAATGACATCTCGGCCGTCATCGTTGTGGCGAAGGAGGTGCATCTGGTTAACAATCACTACCAGAGGCTTACCCCTTTCTCTGCGCTTCGCCATTGCTACCTTTTCCAACTTGTTGAGGGCACGTTCAATGTCCAACAGGGCTGTTGTCTCGCGGGGACCCCTCTCACTGAAGTATCCTCCAATGTAATCCTCGTGGAACTCATAGTCGAGGGCCTTTCCTAGACGGATACGAAATATCTCCAGGTCAGCGTGTGCTTCAAACATGGCAACACCATCGCCGTCGTTCTTGTGCATGGCATCGATGAGCATGCTGCTCTTCCCAGAACCCTTATCGCCTATCAAAAGGTGGTAGTGCCCAGCGACGCGTCCCATAACAATATCATCAACCCGCTGCTGCTCAGGACGGAATATCCAGTGTTCGCTTGTACCACCGGGTTGATGCGGAACATCTTTGCCAATCGCGGCCAGCTCAAGAACAGGGTCACCGGGCTCAAAAGCACGGTTCATCTTTTGAAGAACGAGCATCTTGTAAAACTTGTGATAGATGTAGCCTGCGCCAGCGAAGCCTAGACCTAAAACCAGGATAGATGCGAACGTTGTAGCCGCAGACTCCAACATCTTGGCCAGAAGTGAGGGTTCTGAAGAGGACTTTGGCCCCTTTTGGCCTTTTTGGGTCTCAGCATTGTCATTGGAGAAATCATCTGTGAGTTATGTTAAAATTGGTTCAATTTCAGTTTCAAGATGGTAAGTCGTGTAGTATTGGATTTGTAATCTGTACTGGCAACGTTTGCGTAACAAGAGAGAGGAGTTGTTGGTCTGCATACCTTTCTTATCACCAGTCTGAGCCGAGAACCGGAGTCTGCTAACAATCTTGGTATTTGTGCAACTTGGCCCCCAATACCGGATCTGCGGGCCAGCTGAACGTGCCAAGTTCCAGGAGCTGACAGGTTGGTTGAGGCGACGCACCAGGCGCCCTGAATACCGTAGAATCATAATTATTAAAATTTGAGGCTCACTGAGAGCTTGAGCAACAGGTCCACAGGTCAATTGACGTGTCGATTGAGGCTATCGAGAGCTACACCAATGCCTGCAAAACAAAGGAGAGAAATGGAATGGAATGAAGGAAGGAAGGGAGTGTGTAGGTAGTGTAGTAGAAAAACTGGTGGGCTTCGTGGCACCAAACAACTGCCCGCTCCAGCTCGTTCAGGACTGCCCGAGCCAATTCAAGCTTGGTTTGGTTTAATTCGGCTCGAAACAAAGTTAGCTCATGTTCCTGATTGCGCTGCGTCAGACAGATTCGGGGGCCACCCAGTGACAGTTAGCTGCCCTGAAACTGGCTGTGACTGGCCTTGGCATGCAAACTTTCAGTCCAGATCCTCGGCGACAGCTGCAGAAGCTCCCCTGTAATCTCTGTGGAGGAACGTTATTTTCGATGCTAGCACCCAACTGACTATTATTTTTAGCGGGGAATGCAGGAGGCCTCGTCAATTGAACGGAACCAGGTGGGGACTCAGCAGAACAGGGGCTAAAGGAGCAGGCGGGTCAGAAAAAGATAGGGAACCCAAGCTCTCGCTGAGACGTTGGACATAAAGACTTGATCAGAGGTATACTGATAAATGTGGTCTAAATTTTTTCGTATTTCTGTCACCTTGAGCAAGATTCCCTATTATCTTCTGACCCACCTGAGGGGCCTGCGATGCATGTCACTATCCGCAACAAGCTGCACTAATCGGTTTTGTGTTCTTGGTTCCAAAATGACCTCATTAGCTACTGCATACCTAGTACCTAAACAACAACTCCAAAACCGATTATCACCATCCCATCAGTTCATCCACTATCCCTTTGGATTCATAGCCTCTGGAGTGCTAGAGTTCATCCAATTCCGCATTTAGTCATGGCAGTTGTTCATAGCCACCTTATTCACGGAAGGAAGGAGGCGGCAGTGGCAGTGGCAGAACTCCATATCACACTCGCCATGAGTTGGGCAAACAAACACCAACAGGCTCTGCCTAAAAAATATCTTGCAAACGGCGGGGCTCCTCGGCTCCCGTAAACAGGCAGTTTGGGCCTTTGGCAACCTCTGTGAATCTTCTCTCCATCATCCAGTCACCATAAAATCGCGGTTTCTACGGAGTCATTCTTGAGCAGCCTATTCTTGCCAATACTTTATCTTCTCGCTTCATTTGGCCTTACACATCATGTTCTCTCTGGTCTTATAAACCATCACTATTGTCGCTTTCGGAACCATATCGCAGGACTATGCCGCCCTACGCTGCCGAGCTCGAAACCTGGTGGTCAGGGAGCGGCCTCGAAGCCCTCACGCGCTTGGTCAACGACGATAGCGATGAACTCAACCCTCGCCAATGTGGGTTTGCGCAGCAGTTGCAGACAAGACTTTTGACATTCGACAACGACCGAGCTATCCAAACCCAGATACAGAAAGCCTGGCCGGCCATCCGTACAGCTAGAGGCGTCGACTACGACGCAAACACTCGCAAATATGCCAAGTATATAACTTCAACCATATTTCGAAAGCCCACGGACGGAGGCATTGACTTTAATCGCGTCATGGATGGTTTAGGCTATCTCGATGCAATGGAGATTCGCCGCCTTCGCCTTCTTGCGGCCACCCGAAAGGCTATGGAAACTGGTACACCAAGTGAAGCAAGTGCTCAAGTGGTTGAAGAACTGGACCGGACTGCCACTGCAAACTTCAGACATCTCCATGCCGGATTCAGAACCTGTGTAAGGTGTCTAGCATACCATTGGCGAAGCCTTAAACTAACTGACTACTCTAGGTCCTCATCCAGGAACTAAACAAAGATGCTGGCCAGAGAAAGGAGCTTCCTCAGATCATGGCACTACTAAATGCACTCGTGCCTCCAGTTGTCTTTCTCGAGGACGAAGACGACATGGACCCAACTCCACATTCACCAGGTCTCCGCGACAGTGTCCGATTTTCTATCTTCGAACATCTAATGTCTGAGGACTCTTTCTCCCCGAATCGACGGGAGATCATTGAAATGAAATTGCGCTGCTGGTGCGATGTTCCGGGTTACCCTCGAGCCAGAGACGCTCTCCTGCGCTATACTGAAGAGTTCAAGAAGCTGGAGAATGTCTGTCTCAAAGTTATGAATGAGCTTGAAAGCAGATCAATGGCAACTGTATCTTACCAGACAATATCAGCTGACTCTTCCATATTATCTGGTGCAGAAGCCTCTCACCATTCTAGTCTCTTGGCCAGTTCTCTGCAAGACGAAAGCACTATCCTTACTCCAAATACATCAATCGATACTCAGCAACCCACGACTCCCTGGGTCCCTGTAGCTTTCCATCCTCTATTAAAAGGGATGCCGGGGCGAGAGATATCTCCCGCAAGTACAGACGGTGCTATGTTTGCTCGGGACTTCAGCGCACCGCCTGTTCTGTCTTATCCCGATAACCTCTCCAAGACTGAATTCTTCCAGCATCCTTTTGCGCGGAAGCTAAACATGTCCATCGTGGAGCAGGTAACCTTAGGACTTCTTTTACCCAGAGAAGTGGACAGTCGAGATTTCTAGTATGATCCCGACACCGACGATGAGGCCAAGGAAGACGTGCCACCAGTACCACCTCTGCCACACATTCCCGAGAGGCTGAAAGCTCACCTGACACCGAACGTTTTGAACAAGATCAAAAAGAAAATGCGATACCAACCGGACAAGGCTGACGGCCTGACATTGGATGGTGTGCCCTTCCAATCACTAGACCAGTACATGGGCGCTTCCACAACGCGCAAGTCGAAGGACAAAAAGCATAGGCCAATGCTCAACAGAAACATTTCCGAAGCCAACGTGGTCACAGGTGTCGGCCATCGACATTTGCACTCGGAGGATAGTGGTTATGAGATACCTAGTATATCTTCGAGCCTACCTGAGAGCCCCAAATGGCCTCCTAGACATGGACAGAATGGCAGGGGGCCAGGCGCGGTACTTACGAACCCAGGAGCAGAGCATCGTCCCAATCTCAAATGCCAACTTATGGAACCACGCCTCTCGCCTATGGAGTACTGTCGAATGTACCTGGTCGAGAAGGCCTTATCTGAACGAGAAAATCGGCAGTGCGAACTTCCAAAACCCGAGCAGAAATGGTATTGGACACAATATCACAAAAACTTCTTGATTGTTCCACGAATTCCCAAAGATATTCAACGCGATTTGGTTTCTAGGCCTATTGAACCTATCACAAGCCCAAATGTAGTAGACTCTGACGGAGAGTCCGTATCGACGCTTACAACAGAAGTCGACTATAATGGTCTTATGCGTCTATCACTTCATCTCGGAAACGAGCCTGTTCTTCTACCTTGCTTCACAGATATACCACGTTCCAATGTGAGGGAATCAAAAATTTTAGAGCCCCCGGATTCTGAGGGAGAGAGTAGAGATGACCGTGACGCTGATGTTCCCGGGGAAAGAGATTTCGTTTTGTCACGTCGAGTCAAAGGTAAATATTTATTGATCTACGCGAATATATCAACAGCTAACAGTACTATAGGACCAGCTGGAGGAGAAGTCGATGACTGGCGACCGATGAGCGAGTATGAGCAAGACAAGCACGATAGGACACTGAATGAGGACCTGTCGTTTGACAAGCTGAAAGTCAGTGCCGCAATCCGTATATCTGACAAAAGCGACGGGGTTGAAGAAGCCACGAGTCATTCAATCATATCTGACACTCCGCAGTTACTGGTAGAGTCCGAACAAGAGCCTGAACAAGGGTCCCAGACACCTTGTAAGAGTTTTGGTGCAGAAGTTCCTCCAGAAGACTTGCATCGAACTGATGGGCAAAGTGATGACTGTGGAAACCTCTCCCTCTCAAGGAAGCTGTCACGCGTGTGCACGAAGGACTTGTCAGTTCTAGACTTTGCTACTCCAAGGTCCAAGGGCAAGACCGTGGCCAATACTCCTCTTTCATCGGCTACAATGCATGGCCGCAGTCCGCTCGCTCGCTTTCCGATAGCAGTCCAGCCAACTCATCGATTAACACCTGGCACTCTGACCAAGCGAGTTGTTGGCGAGTCTGGTGGGCAGTTTCTTTCGGAGGATACTCGACAGGCTCGATTAATTCCGAGCCCGAGCAGTCAACTACACCAGGGACTTACAGCGGACTTGTGGGACACCGACACCGAATCCATTATATCAGAACTCCAGCCGGAGCCCTTGAATATCAGCCGACGAAGACCCAGAGCCAGCACCGATGATGACCGAAGATGGTCAAGAATGTTCGACGGATTGAGTTCCAATATGCCACCCACACTTGAGAAGTTTGGAACACATTTCCCGGTCGAACGTGAAGGCGGCTCGAAAGCTGAAGCTGATGATGATGACTGCACTTTCACGGAAGGGGACCGCACTCCGCGTGGGTTGGGCTATCAGTTGCAAAGCCATACACGTACAACCCCAGGGTCTGGAGGCCTTCAACGCTCAGCTTCTACGATCATAACACCAACTCAATCTAAAAGGAGACTTCAGCCTAAAGCATCTTTCAGCCTGGAAAATACAGAACATTCGGGCTTCACTCCGGAGCATGCTAGGGAAGACTTTTCGAAGAGAACATTCTCTACTTCAGGTATGATGCTTAACCTGCAAGATACCCAAACGCGCCTCAAATACCCTCTTCGAGAGCCCGACGAAATGCACCTCAGTAGAAGTCTAGACGACACGACCCCTCGAGCCAGACGCTTGCCCGACATACCTAAGCCTAGCCAATATCAGCCAAGTTTTACCCCCAGAGACTGGATAAGATCTGTTACGGCTACACCACGAAGGGCCAACATTATGTCGCGGGATGAGAGGCCAATTGGTTCGGCAGATTGTACGCAGGCTTCCTTCCAGGCAAGCAGTATTGTGGACGAAGGAGAGGTTCAGCTTTATCCATCTACAATCATGAGAGATTTTACTCAGTCTCACCAGCTCGACAAGCAGCGGCCAAGGGCAACACTCACTCCCAGCAGTACACACCGGTTTTCCAAACAGCGGTTTGATCGTTCAACCCGTGCTTCATCTCCGCCCCTTTCTGGAGATAGGTCAGACATAGCTATGCGCAGAACACCGTCCCCGACCGAGCTACACAGCACGGTTATCCCACAAACACCATCCTCAGCTATCGGTGGCCTTTTCCGCAAACGCGTCCGTTCTGAATACCACCCTCCAGCCACACCGCGAACACCAGCTTCCCCTCGATTGGCATGGCGGCCGTTTGATGGCGACGACGATGAGCCTGAACTACCCTACTTATCGCCATGGGCATCAGGTCATGCAGAGGGTAAGAGAGAGAAGGAGAAACGGGCAGCGTACTTTCGAGAAAAAGTAGAGCGCGAAATTCAAGGCAGACAATCACCGAAGAGGTCGGTCCGCAGAGAGTCTTTTAGCACCATCAACAGGGACTGTACGAGTCGAAACGGTTCTGTTGTTGAGAACCGTCTGAGCAAAGAGAGTCTTGTCACCTGGACGAACTTCATCGAAGATGCCCCTGAACCACTCTTCTCGTCACCTTTGCCACCAGTACCACCACTTCCATCCGAGTCTCATCTGAACCTCACCCTTAAACGACTTCCTCAGAACCGAACGCCATCTCGAGCAGTTTCGGGATTCGAACCCTCTCCTGCTGGTACATTTCGGGCCAAGAAGCCTCAGGGACTCAAGGTGGATACACAGAGGCTGCGTAAAGCAAACCGAGATGGAGCGCGGACGCCGAGTAGAAGCGCAACAATGACGCCTGCCAGTGCAAGCAGCTTCAGAACTGCGTTTCGTGTAGAGGAAAGACATATGAGCTTCGGGCGAGAAGCGGAAGAGCCTCAGAGCAGAGAACGGGATGACGAGGTAGTGTCACGGCGCATGTAACGTCGGGAATCTATATTGGAGGCTCTTTTTGCCTATATGTCAAGAATGTTGCTATTCTGTCCTAGAGCTACATGGCTGCGGCCATGAGGTATTTGTGACGATGTCTCACTTCACTCTGTATGTGTAGCTACAACTCGCACGAATATCTGATCTTAGCTTAGAGGCCATCACAACACGAACTTAAAGTATCTTACATCAATTTATCTCGTAGTCTATGTTATGAATATCAAATCGGTCCGAGCTGAGCAGCCAACCCCAACGAAGAAAGAAAAAGGACAAGTTAGTATAGACGTCTAAAAGTCTAGTCTCAATTTAGGTACGTTAGGACCCCTAAAAAGATAAGACTATGATGTAGTTCGATTATCCAAGTATCTAAGGGTTTTGTTAAACTTATATTCTATGTCTTGTTCAGGTCCCTAAGTAGTCCCAGCCAGTCGCAACATGAGACAGTTTGAGACAGTATGATGAGACGTTGAAGCCTCGAAAACATGGCATTTTGGTGTATCTCGCTCGAGTTTACCGAGGTGCATGAGACGAGCTGTTAGTATACTCAGCATCCGGGGTCCATGTCTATGAGCACATTGTGCATATGGAATTCCACAGCGATTGAAACCCTTTATTTCTTTGCACTCTTTACATTTGTACAACAAAAAAAAAGGGCGAGTCGTACACTGCATGAATCACAGTAGTGCTGCAGAATGTCAACGCACGCTAGAGGCTTCAACCATGTCTAACGTTTTTAGCGAAAGCGTCGAGAACCCCAAGATCGAGGAAGGATAAGCAAGGTTGGTGACACGCAATCTTGCGCATGTGCATTGTGCATTCTGTGCAGCCACACCAGGTGCAGGGACAAGACTTCGCTTCATCTCGGCATAAGAGACATGGGGGGGTTGGATCCATGCCAGTAGCATACAGTAGCATCTTCGATCTTTGACAGCGTGTCCAATCATTCTGCTGATTGATAGTACGGGTTACCGTATCTTGGAAGTCGAGAATAGGACAAGGGTTAGAACGTTAGCTTGGTGATCGCCCCGTGACGACACACGAGACCAGGAAGATGGTCTCATTATATTCAACCGACGTCGAATCACCTGCAGATTGCAAGACCGCGGCTATCAACTCCACGGGCTTGAACGAGCTTGGACGGGACTAACGTTGGTTAGACGATGTTCCTCTTGAAGAAGCCGTCTAAGCCAGTCAATTGGTATGGGCAGAATATCATATGGTAATCGTGTTACGGTATGTGTATCTCTGTAGAGATTCAATGCAATGTAATGTAACTGGTGACCAAGTGCCGAGCGAGTCAGAGACCGAATTCCGAGAGGCACAGCAAAGTGCCAAGTAAATCATACACCTGGTTGGGAGCCATCGAGGCCGTTGACAAGTGGTAGATTTGCGCAGCGTACGTAAACAACTGCATGAATACACTTTGCTATGATGTCGAAGAGTGGGATGGCGCTGCACTATGGCATGTAGGGTGGTATTTCGATATTGCAGCCCACGTTGTTCGCCTCGATTATGGTGTTGTCTGGTGATAAAGCTTTCGGCCATCCACACATATCAAAGGGTTCAACACACCGCTCCCCACGATTCCCCCACTTGTCAATCCACCATCCGTCATCCATTACCCTTTGTCTTTCCTCTCCTTTTCAATACCATAAGTCGGATGGTTTTTCTTCTTCAGCCCCGCTTCCCGATGGGCATTCGTCTATTATCCCCAGCATTTGAGTCTGGGGTATGGAGTATGGGATAGGACGCCTGTCAGAGGTCTAGGTTAGGTCCCAGTCTTCGGCTTGCCTCCCGATGGAGTGACCACCTCTAGCATCGCTGGCTATCACTCAGTCTCACATACATGTCCAAGATACGCTGGGGAAACCGAGAGAGACCATGCTCGATCAAGGTCGACCATTCCTTATAAATTGCTTGACCTTGAAACACGATTCAACCGCCGCAGGCTGGCCTTCTGTACTCAGTATAGCCAATCCGTCAGACTACAGCCTTGCCGAATTACCACAAGTGGACTATTTGCTCCGGCCATGGTCAGTTGGTGTTGCAGACGTTGCGCTAGTTAGTACAGCACTTGGTACAGATAGAATCTCAACATTGGATGTTGGCGTGGGTTTCCAATCTGAAGCGGACGTATTCCAGGATCAGGCCTCCTGAATACTAGTCATGAAGTATCAGACAGCTATACTCCGTACGGTAAGGCCATGCATACTCTATGGCTTGTCCCCATCAATAGCCTCGCCTCCTGCCCTGTATCCCCAAACATCTTAAGCTTAGCTATGCACCTGGTGGCTGGTGCATTGAAAATCATAGTCCGTGCAGGCCCTGATCTTGATACTGAGTCCGTTTTGTTAATCCCGGAGAGCATCGCCTTGTTCATTTCCGTCGGTTGGTCTGGAGTAATCGTGTTCAGGCTATGGAGTACTGGCGCAATCGCTGACAGTCTGGGCCATATATTGAGCAGTCCAAGACTAAGGGCATGTATGACTTGATGCATAATCGGGGACAATACTTCAAGAGTACGCTCCATTGTTCGGTGATGGACCGTTGCATTCTTTCTGCTCACGTAGTCAGTTCCGGAGGCCCTCCGAGTCCATACATTCATCACCAATCGATTATCATGCCGAGAGTTGCTAATCGCTTGTTGTTTCGTCTTTTTTTCAACGCGGCCGCTGTGGCCATTGCATGCACCCCCTTCTCTGGTTCGAGCCAACAAGACCCGATTAGTTCACCGCATTTCCGACTCTAGACCCAAGCACTCCGTACGATTCGTGGTGATCTATGCCGGCCCGATAACGGGAGATCTACCATCGACTAGGAGCTAGGAGCCCCTTCTAGGGGGATTCTATTCGTATGCGCAGAACACAAGACACTGCAAATTTGATTAAATCCGTGACTAAATGCGTACCAAAGCATAGCACAGGCCACTTGGTACAGCCTGGTGGATATTAAGCGCCAACCAAAGGTGTCAGTTGACGATGGCTGCGCTTTGTGGAGTATAACGGGGTGCGGTGGTGAACGAGCATGATCTTGCGCTTAGGCTGGCCTGCCTCCAGGTGTTCTGGCCTCTAACCTCTAGCCTCTTGGCCCATCGACCCGCGCGCTTGCTGAAGGGTCGAACTCTTTGGTCCTGGGGATATAATTTCCCAGTTTGGTTCAGGTACGGAGTACTGGCTTGAACAATGTCGCCAGCAGGGTCCTGTCGAAATCTACCTATAGTGGGATCGCCAGGGTCCTCTCATGATGGATTCGCCTAGAGATACGGAGTAGATAGGTCAAAGATCCTGCACAACAGTACAGTAGTACGTCAATATCCCGACTAGACTAAGCTGGATGCAGTACGACTTCATGTATGTCAATGTTGCAGATCCGCCCGTGCCTCGCGCTTCTCCTCGAGAAGCATCTATCTCCAGGTTGTTGCTATTTCCAAGGATAAACCCGCGGTTATCCCATGATGCCGACTGGTCACCGCATGCCAGCATGCAGTAATGCGAAATGGATATTCAAACGAGCAGTCCTTTGCAGTAAGTGCTTGCGGCCACTCATCGAAGGAGGCAGGCTAAATGAGTATTTTATTCAGAGCTAACACCCAGGGCTGACCATGACGTCTCTAATATGCCAGATACGCACGTTTCTGGTGGATGCTGATGATTTGGTTGGTTCCATCCGTCTGTCCAGTCCCTAGTCTAGGGAAAAGACGGGAATCTGTCAACGGACCGCGCCTGGGCCGGCGCACCGTCGAACTCAATTGTCGGGCAATATTGAATGGTATGGCATGGCACAGCATTGGTCTTTAAATGCAAAGCCGTGTAATATCAGGGCAGGACAAAGATATATGACGGATGCCCAACAGTAAAGTCAGTCAGATACTGCGAGCCTTTGAAGATAGAGGGTTTATGTGAAGCTCTTTATCCTAACAGCACGGAGGTGCAGCCCAAGGTACCCAGAAGTACTGCTGCGTGTCAGCAATCCACTCGAGATTTCCATGGGATATCTAGCTTCAAATCAGCTAAACCAAAAGAGGAATGACGGCGACATACTTAGCCCTAGGGTCGTTGGGTGCAGTCTGATATCAAGTAATTTCCAGTATTGGTGTTTTGACGTTTCTGAGCATCGCTTGCTTGAAGTGGACACCCAGCTTGTCGATTAGTACAAGCCTGATGGTCTCATCAACTGAGACATGTTCGTTGCGCATTCTAATTAAAATTAGCGATGAAACTGTTGTGGCTTCGAGCGGCTTCTCAAACGATTCGTAAGTAGTCTATACAAGCTGGGTTACTTGATTGGGTAAACCGAGTCATGCATATATACATCTGCATACTCATCAGAAGGGATACGGTCCGCTCAACAGCCCAATAGAAACGATAGGCAAAGCAGCAAAGTGAAGGATGTATTTGAAGAGCATTCTATTTCCAAGGGTTGGTACCGTACCTCCTCCCAGTACGCAAGCTGTCTAGTAGAAGCCAAGAAGGGTCTATAAAGGGCGTGTGGAAAAAAGAGATGTTCGGACTGTCGCATCTGTGTAGGACAATTCTCGCACGCACCACTTGAGAGGCTGTTCCAAAGCCTATTCTGCTGGATAAGTCTCGAAAGGCATAGTGCAGTAGGTGAGCTAGACGCCGTGAGTCTTTAAGTTATACTCCGTAGTCGTTTCTCACTTGACCGGTAGGATCGGGTGCTGCAGCGTTCGAGAAAAGTAAGTAGCAATTAGTCGAACGTGTTATCACTTTGTGACGTTCCGAATTGGACAAACATTCCCACTTCTTGCCTGGCAAGAGGACAATCGTGACATTATGTCATTGTTCAGGACTAAGCCTTGCGAACTAGCGGTCGACCTTCATCCAAAGTTCTAAATATTGTACTTTTGCGACTCCCGAAATTCCATCTTGATTCGACTGGAAGGTATCATGGCCAATTTTCATATTAGCCCAGTTGGTAGGTCGAATCGGCAGACAAATCTAGTCCTGATGATCGACCGGCCTAAGCAGGCATTGTCTCAGAAAGGAGTCATGCCTTGATCACAAGGAGGTCCGTGAGGAGGCGGTTGGTTGCGGAGGATGGAGGATGCGAGCTGAACCCTACCCCTACCCGTTCGGCTACAGAGCACGTATCCTGATGTATGCATAGTTCCAGTGTCCCCTAAAGAAAAAGAAAAGAGTGAGTGTGCCAATGTCTGCTTTGACGATACCGAATATCTAGGTCAGCATTCGCCATTGAGTTTAGGAACTTTGAACAGCTAATGAAGAAGCTCACAAGTTCCGTCCTGTGGTAGAGCCATAGTTCATTATTGAGCCTCGAGGTGTTGGAATAGTTGAGCAAATTATCTGACCCGGAGCTGACGAAAGCTGTCGAATGATCCTGGGCCGTCGATTTCCTGGGCCCAGAAGTAACGTACGCTAGCAGGACATGCAGTAGTGTATGCAAATGAATGGGATGCTAGGCAATAGTAACATGGAAACACCATGTCAGTCGGCTTGTCTATCGATAGATAGGGGTAGTGGAAGCTCACCAGCAAGCCAGGTGCGGTTGTAGTGCTCTCAATGGCAGCCACCAAGCAGAAAGCAACTTAGTAGCAGATGCTAGCGATGAGTAGGCGAGTTAAATGTGGCAGCAACTGGGTGGATGTTGCTGTAGAAATACTGCAGGACACAGAGGGCGATGCAGCAAGGTGATGCGATGTGATGATGGGATGCAGTAAAGCTGGCGGTCTAGATGCGCTATAGCAATCCAACTACCCGTTCCACTTACCGTCTCGAGGAGTTTTGCTTGGAGATAGGTAGGTAACTTGACAGGCATTATGCTGGTAGATGCGCTGAATAATGGATCTAAGCGGCGATTTTGCCGAATGTTTGATCCGAGCTGAGATGATGGGATGTTTACCCGTACTGAGTGGAGGTATTGGTGAGAGGAAGGTAGTTGGGCTGGAAGGTACATAGCGTACCTAGCGTAGGGACCTCCTCCAGGGCTCCTACCTTGACTCGATTGGACCCAAAGTGTGCAATGCAGTTTCCTGTTAGTGCACTACTGTGTTCCCCAATGTAGAGGAAGGTGTCATCTCGGAATGGGTGCGAAGAAATCGATCTGCATCGAGACTGACCTTTTTGATGCAAACAACTGCATGTTGATACTCGCTCATTTGATTTCATCCGCTGTCAACACCATCGTCTTTATCCAAGCCGACCGCATTGCCTCTTTTAGCAAAGCTCCCTATCAATGTTGGAAATCCATCCATACGAGACGAGTCTGTCTACACGCTAAGCGGACTCAGATTCCTGCGCTTGATGCCCGAAGCTGATTCTACGTACCACCATTTGGAAGCGGTTTTGCAGCTCCAATCAGAATACCCTCTATCAACCCCACGAACCTAGTTACTTGAGCACGGGAATATCAAATGAGTTGGGCAGCGGATGGATGAACGATGAAATGACAAGTCTGTATCAACGAATACCACGCAAGCACCTCAAATGATATCATAGTACAGTAACGCTGCAACGTCGCTTGTTGCAGAATTGGGTCTTTATTTACAGTATTACTCTAAAGTTATTCGACCATTTGTCGTGTGACTGTCAAGAAACGGATCAACATTGTCGAACCATGGCTGGACGCTACTCCACTTGTCGCATACTACACAGGCATGGACACGACTGTCTGAGAATACGGAGGAGATGCCAGGCTGATCGAGATGCTTGGACGAGGCTCTACCTCCACATCCCACAACCATGCTGATTCACAGCGTGATCTTGCTCTAATATATAGTCCATTTACTAACATCTATAGTACGATATTGGACGCGCCCTATCAGCCCTTCTAGAGTCTTGAGCAGCCCAAGCAGAGAATGTCCCACCTTGGCTGGCCCAGCTACGTTACCAGTTACGTACCGCGAAGTATCTCTCTCAGGGCCCTGAAGACGCTAAATTTGTGGAGGGTGGATATCGCGACCATGCTATGTCCATGTTCATGTCTCCCATCAAGGCTTGTGGAGAGACGTGCGGAGCGTCCTCCACGTCTCATTCACCATGGCAGTCCTTGAACTACGGCACTAGTTGACTTAGCCCCAGCAGCTGGCCCTGGCATGACAGGGTCTGGAGGAGGCCATCGATGGCATCGTCAAGGGGCCTGAAGGATCCTTGACATGGCCGGGCACATGTTGGTGAATGGCCGCTAATGCCCCTGCGAGCTCTCTCACCTTGAGTCCTTTACCATGAGGCCAACCTCATCGTTAGACTAAGATAAACTGTGGGGAGATGGAGTCGATAGGCAGAGAAGGGTTCCAGTGCGGTGCTGCATCTCAGAACTCCTCCATACCTTGACTCCCAAATAAGACCTCTCCACCCACATGGCCCCTCCATTCTCCTCACCTTCCCTCCCTTTCATCTTGCGACTTTTGATCCGTCTCTTGTCCAAGACGACTAAAAGAGCTTCGATCAACCGTTGGTGTGTTGGCGTCGATGACTAGTCCAGCCTAACGTCCACCGCCACCACCCTCTAACGCTGGTCCCCACAGCTTCATGCCGAGTCGTCACGTCCAGCTTCCAGACGCCGTACTGTACCATTCGATCGGTGGGCTCTGGCTATCTATCTAAGCCTTGACCGCCAGCCTTGGGACACTCGACTCAAGCATTTTTACTCTTGACTTTCGCTCACTTTTAGAAGGGCATGATCATATTGCTAAATGGCCTTCGACCGTTCATTTGCTTTATCGCAGTCTGAGAGAAACCTGGCTTGGTGCGACAGCCATAGCATATCATCTGAAGATCCAAACAACATGATGCCACCCTCGCCTTTACGGATGGAGTCTTTATGGATGTCTTCTTCAGCGGCAACTCAATTGCAACCCGGTCAGATATCGCCTTCGAGCGCAGGACTGATCAATTCTTCCGCCCCAACCATGGTACACTCAGCTTCCTCGTCTTGTGCAGATTCCTGGAGTACCGAGTACGTCGACCGAGATGATGTTGAGATGGACAACAATTGGGAGCAAGGCTCGGACGACGTTCTCACAATTCCAAAGCTGGAGCCTGTCGAAGATGACCTTATCATGGATGATCTCAAAGCCGCCCCGCTCGCACCAGCTTCTATTGAAACCACAAGCGGCGACCCGAAGCCGAAGCGACCACGAGGAAGGCCAAGGAAACATCCTTTGACGGCGGCAATAAGCGCAAGTAAAGTAACAAAAGGTCGATCAAAGACCGGCTGCATTACTTGCCGCAAGCGCAAGAAGAAGTGCGATGAAGCGGTAAGTCATATCTCTCAAAAAGTTGACATGCCTGGCGTGGACCAAGAGCGAACCTGATACCAACCGGTATCTCTTTTTATCGTGCCGGCATGTGCCTCTGCAGAAACAAATGGCTAATATGAAGTAGAAACCCCGATGTATGGCAATTCAGCTTACCTAACTAATGTCTGATTTCTAACGCTTTGTTTCTAGGCATGAATTGTGAGAAGAACGCTGTGGTATGCGAGGGGTATCACGAGAAACAGATATGGAAGAGCGGCAAGGAAAAAGCCGAAGAGGGTATGTTTCACATGAAAGAATCCGTACAACTTCTAACCCTCGTGCCAGAGCGTTTACGTCAGGAGACCCTGCCAATAATCACCATGCAGCCAATCTTCCACGGCGTCGAGACAGTGGAGGACAAGGTCTTTTGGAAGCACTACATTACTCACTTGAGTAATGTCTTGACAGTCGAAGGCGAGGCGAAGAATGCCTTCAAAGATATTATTCTTCATCTTGCCAATGAGCATCAGGGGCTTATGCACTCTATCCTGGCAGTCAGCAGTAAGCACATCGAATGGGACACACCTTATGGAGCCAAATTGTTAGCCGACCATCCTCAGTCCAGCCGAGAAGCGTTACAACAAAGAGCCGACTATCACCATGACGAGTCGATGAAGCGGCTCTACGAGGATATGGGTCGACCCTTGAATAAAGACGACCCCGAGTACAAGACGATCCTGTCCGCACGATATGGACAGATGCTTTGCTTGCTGCTTCAGACGAGGGCCGATGGAAACCCTCGCGGTGAACATAGGGTGCATCTCCAAGCCTACCAGACTTTAATTCAGCACTCGCCTCCTGAGGATCCGGTATTCTACACATTTATTACCGAGTTCTTCCAGTACCACGTTTTCGCCGACGATTTGTTCTGGCATCCCGAAAACATGACAGCTCGATTGTCATCTGAAGACTGGGAGCCTACAATGCCAATACAGCCACCTCGATTACTGGGAGTTGGCGACGGGCTCTTTCAGTACCTATCTCAGATCACGACTATTAGGAACACGATCCGAGTTAATATAGCAGCCGGCATCGACCCTGTGGTTGATTATACCAGCTTATACCAGGCTGCCGAGATAGACGCAGCTATTCGAGAGTGGACACCAAACTGGCCCTGGGGTGATAGTCGTGATCGAGTTGGGCTACTCTATAAGCAGATGATGTGGGTATATCTCTTTCGAACCATTTACCCACCTTCGGTCTCCTCCATGCGCCGCTCGACATTCAGCACTCTACCTATTCCAGCTTCTGCATCGGTTTCAGTTGCGCCTCCACCACCGGTTAGGCGAGCTTCGATGATGGCTGCGGTATCAAGAGGCAGCGGCGCCGGTGAAGCTTCAGACGCCCATATGGCGAGCAGTTGCCCAACATCACGCAACCCATCGAGAACCAATTCCATGCACGAACAGGATTCATCTTCGTGCCAAGAGAGAGCATCTTCGCCTCCACCAACCCGAAGACCTGCATACCACGATCGCCGAATTACCCTCGCCGTTGAAGAATCTCTCATCATCCTAGAGTCCTTCAAACCTTCTGACCCATCCCAGACCTTGCTGCTCATTCCTTGTCTCATCATCGGCACTGCATGTTTCGAGGGAGCCCAACAGGAGCGTATTCGTACTGCTGTAAGAGCCGTTCGAGGATACACGGGTCTCCGTAACTGCGAACGCGTTATGGAACTTCTCGAGAAAGTATGGGTTGGCATGGGCCAAGGCGACTGGGTCTCTGTATGGGACTGGCAAGGTATCGCCCGCCGCATGCGCCTAGATTTCACCTGCGCATGAAAATATCTTCATTGTTACAACTAATCATAACGGCCTAGTGCTTCACCGCACATGAAATTCCTAGTCTTCTAGACTAAGGGGTTGTGATACAACGCTTTACTTATATATATAATACCCCACACCCACCACAGCTCACGACGGTATACCAGTCTGTTATTATCATCTTCGAAGAACCGCAATATGAGTACTATCACCGACTCGGTCTCATCAAAAACCAGTTTCCTTTTCTTCCCCGTCTTGCCATGTTGCAGGCCGCCCCCCACTTTGTTTTCTCTTTCAAGACCCTTTTTCTAAGCGCACTATCGGCATAAGCTGCACAAAGGCTGAGATAGGCAGCTAGACGGGTTCATGGCGTTTTATTTCTGGTTACATCTCTTTTGGTAAGATGAACCATAGTTTGAAGGCAGGCAGCGATGGTTTTCTATGGAAAGGCACAGCCTTCCGCCATTTTGATTCATGATGGCAGTTATTACACGAGGCACCATCACTCAAGCTAGGTGATAGATAGGAGCGAACTATTTAGAGGCTGGCTACGACAGGCATGCTTAGATGGAAACTGTCTTGTCTTTGGCTACAATTTCATGAAGCAGCTTGCCAGGTCCGACATTGACCTTTACGTCTTGAAATACAAATAATGTCTCAAAATCGACTTGAAGAATCTTGTTCCAGTTGATAGCTAAATAAAGCTCTTTTGAAAATGCCATTATCACCCAGATATCCGACCAGTCATGTCATATTCGGTTTGCGGGTTAGGGAGAACGAAGTGAATATCACAGTCCAATATAAATTGATAGTATAGTAACTTGCATGCGTCAATCAGACCAAATACTGCAATGCCACAAAGCAGAAATGCATCAAGACGAAACATGAAATACAAGAGGTTCCAGTTCCTTGCAGAGTGAGATATAGTCTCCGGTTACAGTCATGAAAACTACCTCCCGAACATCCCAGATAATATCATGCCTAGTACTCCCATCACATCATCCTTTGTCTCCTTAGTCTTCGCGCTTTTCACCCTCAAAGTAAAACTTGCCCAGCGGCTCATCACCCCGTCCTGGTCCTACCAAGCCAGACGCAGGGGCTCTCGTTTCGCCCCTGTCCAGCCTCTGCACAATTCTCTCTGCAGCCTCTTGAGCAGCAGCAGTAGTTTGAGCCTGAGATTGTGATGCGGAGACAGGGCCTCGGAAGGTTGTGTCGACAAATGAGTCGTTCTCCAGTGCTTGTCCGGGGCTCGAATCTGTTGCCACACCGTCCATCATGCGGGCATCGCGGCGCTCCTGTAAAGCAGAAACACTCACAGGAGTATCACCGCCACCCATGTGAATGTCACGGTCGCGTCGAGCATCGCTAAGCCCCGAATTAGTTCTCTCAAGACCCCATGATTGAGGGGCGTTTCGACGTTGGTAGATAGGCCCAGATACGGTGCTCCCTGCGCCCTCGCCAAACCCCACAAGAGAGGCGGAACCGTCATCACTCATGCGATCATCATAGCCACCCACAGAACGAGCAGTGGTCCCATCGAGGTCCTCATCCATCGCATCCTGATAGCCACCCATGCTCGTAACCGACTCGCCTTCACGGTAGTTGGTGTCAGTACTGAGCATATCCTCCTCATGTTCTCCAGCAGTTGTGCGCACATCGTCACCGTCACCAACATGACTCTCAGTTGCGCTAGCAGTTCCCACGGTGCTCATCTTCGTCACAGCAACAGGTTGGCCATTGCTATCGAAATAAGCAGGCGTGAGGTGTTGCGAGGCAGGGTAGTTGGGTGGAAATCCGGTCGTAGAGGTCGGCGTGGTCTGTGGCGAGACGGACGATGCTCCAGGAGCGTTTGCCTGAGGAGGTGCTCGAAGGGTCGAAACTCGCTCGAGACCAGCAAGGCGAGAAATGCGATCGGCACGTTCAGCCTCGAGGCTCTGGGTGGAGGGGTTGTGCTGGTGGCCACGACTGAGAGGGCCTTGGGGGAAGTGACCACGATGGCCGTCCTTGATTGCGGTGGTAGACAAGGCGGAAAGAGAAGTAGTGGTGCTCGTGGGAGTGCCTCTAAGACGAGTAACGACGTCAGTGGGCAAGTCCAGGGATAACAACGTTATTGGATTCAATGACAAGGTAAATTAACTGGAACAAGGAATAACACACGGCATCTCAGAAGGGGTCTCTGGCCTAGAACTCGGAGGAGGGAGGTTGATAAAGGTTGGGGGTTGCGTTTGCGCCATGGTGGCGGTAAACTAGCTGTATATGGCGAGGAAGGATCGAGGCGGTGGTTATTCAGAAGTTTCAACCGACGATGGTGGTAAACGTAAACGTAAACGTAAACGCAAACGTTGAAGTGAAAGTGAAGTGCTGATACAAGTCGACGTCAGGTAGCAAGGCTTCGTCGTCTATGGCAGTTCAGGGCACCTGTTGATGTCGAGGACAAAGAGTGTGCCGATAAGAATCGCGTGACAAAGGGGAAATTGCGTCGAGTTTGATAGTTGGCACCTGGGTATCAAAAAGTCGGAGTTGTGCAGGAAGAAGAAATAAAGGGTGGGAGGAAGAGAGAGAGAAAGTGTGTGATCGCAAGTTCAGCTCGAGGCATGGATTGATTGGCAAGAGGAATGACGGGTGGTGAATGCAAGGCATGCATCACTACTTCCTACCACAGTTAAGGTACTTATTCAGGGCACTGATATGATACGTTTACAGCCTGTCAGAGCCCCTTACACATAGAGAAACAGGGCGTTAAGACGCTGAAGCCATGCTATCCATTGTGATGGCAGCTGGAGGAATGAGGGGGAGGGGTCAAGTGATTGGGTGGACATAGGGTGGATCATGACGTCGATTGTGGGTGTTGTGATTGGCCAGAGAGCATCGGTATCTTCGAATCGGGCATGTTGGATGTTTCGCTGTCGAGAATAAGATATGAGGAAGAGAAATAATGCTTTCACTCAAAGGCATTACGCAGGAAGTTTGAAAGAATTCAGTAAAGACAAGATTGATGTGATGTGTACATTATGCTTGAATCGTGGCATCAAGATCAGATCATGTCTTGTCCATGGGTAAAGGTAGTCAGGGGTTAGAACTAATTCAGTGTAGATCAACCAACAACCAACAGCGCTCCGAATGATAAACATGTCGCACGTAGTCAAAAAATTGTCCAGTTTTGATATTGATCCGATTACTTATACCAGCAATATTACTCCAATGCAATGCTCTTCAACTCGAAGTGCGAATTGTAGATGTTTTCTTCCATAATCTACAACCCTTTTCAATTTCCCATCTTTTTCCGAAACAAAAGGCTTGTCTGAGCGCCTCGTAAACAGACACGCGCCCAACTGATTACAGAAGCCCGGGGGGGAAACATTAATCACCGTTGCCATTCCTTATAGCGCCACAATCATGTGAAATAAAATGAACAAAACCGTTCGACAACCAAACGGTTGATATGTATATGGTAGGTTCGTCGTGATAACTCTACCAGCACATACACGACCTTATAGGAGTGCCATGCCGAGAGATGTGATTCCAAATACCAGTGATAGGACCAAGACACCGGGAGTCATAGGCGAGGGAGAGCCGGCGTTGATGTCGGGGACTGTGGTCTTGGGAGCAGGAGGGTCCCAAGTAATTGTAGGTCCGTCAACAGAAGTCGATGTTTTGGAAGCGGTCTCCTTGTCCTTGGTGCCAGTCTTGGTGTCAGACTTGTCGGTCTTCGAGTCCTTGTCCTTGCCGTCTTTGCCTGTAGCAGTCGCAGAAGCCTCATCTGTCGCTTCCGCTGTGTTGGACTCGGAACCATCGGCAGTCGTTTTGGATGGCTTGTCTTCAGTAGCCTTTGCCTTCTCGACGGCGGTGGTGGACTCCTCGTCCTTGGCGGCAATGACACCGGTGAGGAGGATCGCGATAGGGAGGACGTGCTTGGAGAAACGCATGATGTCGGAGAATTATGTAAATCGAGGTTGTTCAAGTGGTCGGGAGATGTAACGATCGGATGAGATGAGTCGATCAGTGGAGAGAATAGGGGATATTGCCTAGACAACGAGAGGTTGCAACTGTCAAGAAAAGACAAAGCGAGAGACTTAAGACGAGGTTGGCAAAGCACCGTATGGTATCCAAAAACGAAAGTGGAAGAACCGAAAGAATTAGTAAAGGTTGTATGTAGGGAAGATGGAAGAGTGGACGCGGACGAGAAAACAGCCCAGGGGAAACAAGGGAAACTCAGGCTCTGTTAAGCTTTTTTCGACGCTAATGACAGGACGGACTTGTCCATGCACCTAATTTTGGAAACACAACTGCCTGCGCAGGGTCCGCTAGTGGAGATCCACAGTGATCCTGGGGTATATCTCTCCCTCTCCCGAGGCTTGGGTTGGGGGTTTGAGGCTTAGAGGAGGGAGGATTTAGGGGCAGAATTGGATCCAATGTCAGTGGCATGAATGAGTACTAAGGTTCAATTTCTACAGTTCAATAAGGTACTTGAGAATACTTCTGCTTCTTCCTATACTTGCCAACACATTCTTCAATGCCGCTCAAACCTCGTATTGAAAATGCATCCATGCACCGGCCCCATCACACAAGACAACACAACACCACTTCACAACATCTAACTCCTGGTAGCTTACGTATGTATGCTGACAGCTGAAAATAGCCACCAGAAAAGGCCAACCGAAGAATAACAATGAGCGAGTGACTCGATAATACATCATAAACACATGCACATGTCCCATGATCCAACTTATTAGTATGCAATATATAAATTGGTTGCAGCTTCTTCATGCAAGATGGCCCAGCAACGGGGTTCTTTATGTCAACCACAAACTCAAGCCACCAATTGCCAATGTTGGGCATTAGCGTAACCTGTGATCTGTGACTGGTTCCGGATCAACTTAAGGATATGTAAAAGACTCTGCTCTATAAACACCATATCTCTAGGCCAAACACCTAAACACTCTATTACTGTGCCAAATCCTAGCTCGACTCCGTTTTCATGCTTAGCATCCAACATCGCTTTTCCATTACCCCAACCGATGCATTACCTTCCATTATCTTGACTTCATCCCTCGTAAACTCAAACATCCCTCCTCTTCAACCCTACATCTCAAACCGCCTTCTCTAAATGGTATATCTATAACGTGGACTCTCGTCTCCAAGCTCAGCCAACTCATCCTCTCCCATTCCCCGATATTTATCGTCCATATGACCCGCCTGGCGTCGCTCGTTCTCACGTCGGTACCACCACCACATGAAACCGTAAATGATGGTGCCGAGAGCAACCATGCTGAGCGTCACGGCGTGGCCCCTGACATATCGAGGCTTATCTGTAGCGGGACTGTCGCCGTTGTCAGCGAACGCTCATATCACCATTCGAGGTAGGTACTTACTAGATAAACGCAGACATAATACCTGCGGCGTTACCCCATGTCAATTGCATACCTGTGCCTGTGGTACGCTTTCCATAACGTGGGGAGTTCGTAGGCAACTAAACAACTCAGTCAGACACATTCTCACTTGTGAGTCTGTTCTTTCGCAACTTACCCAAGCAAGTGGCAAGCCCACAACAACGTACAAACCTCCGGCCACAAGGAAGCAGCCAAAGTAGTGCGCACCCGAGGACACATCTGCCAAGAGCACCGCGTACCCAACAACACTGATGAGTCCAAATATGACACAAAAGAGTCCGCGGCTCTGGAATCTGTCCGAGAGGAACGCCGTCGTCATGTATGCGGCAGCTCCGAGGAAGTAGCACGGTACAGTTAGGAGCTGCGTCTCTGCAACTGTCCAGTCGCCGAGGTCCCTGATGATGGTCGGCAAAAAGGTAGAGAACCCTACAGTCGTTGGTAAGAAGGGCAAGTCGCAAGTTGGATGGGATAGCGAAACTTACCGTACAGCATAGTATCGACACCAAACTGCGCGACGCAAAACGCCCACACTTTCCAGTCCTTAAAGGCACACATCATATCCTTCTTGCTAAACTCACGACTAGACGCCGTGTTTCCATAGTCACGAGCATGTCTCAGCCGCATGAGTGCCTTCTCATCATCATTCAGAAAGTACGCCGTCTCTGCATCGTTGGGCAGCGCAAAATAGGTGATTATACCGATCACAAAGCTGGGAATACCTTCAATAATCATGATCCAACGCCAGCCGCTCATACCATGTAGGCCATCCATGTGGCCAATGCCATAAGCCAGCAAACCGCCAAGAGCACCGGCGACAGCAGCGCTGACGAAGAGATAGCCCACGCGAAGCGCAAGTTCTCGCTTGGTGTAGAAGAAAGTAAGATACACAGTCAAACCAGGGAATAGTCCAGCTTCCACGGCGCCTAGAAGGAGACGGCAAGCGAGCAGAGCGCCATATGAATTGACGAGACCGGTCAAAGTGGCGATAGTACCCCATGCAGTAGTGATGAAAGCAAGCCATCGGCGGGGAGTGAAAAGCTTGAGGACGAGGTTGGAGGGAACCTCGAATAGTAAGTACGTGACGAAAAGGATAGACACAGCGACTTGGAACTGGCTGGATGAGAGGCCAAGATCCTCTTCGAGACCGTAAAGACGGGCATTGCCAATGTTGACTCTAAAAGTGCGAATTAGCCATGTATTCATTTTCTTCAGTGAGTTTGCTAACCAACCTGTCTAGGAAACTGAAAAGATAAAGGACCATAACAAGAGGAATAATGTAAAAGTCCAGTTTCGCAACAAGTCTCTTCTCGTCAGCTGCCAAATTAGGGTCGCACTCATCGTTAAGACTGCGACGCCTAGGCGTAGTATCTTGGCCGTCCTTGGAGGCCATATTGATTGATATATTTCTCTGGTGGGGTTAGTCAGTACTTTTCTCGAAGTGCATTGTAGGGAACTCACGGTCAAGGCTCGAGGTTTTCCCACTCTTCGCAATGAAGAAAAAGAAAAAGAAAAAAAATCAATCTCTGCTTGCGAAAACCGAACGATATGTATGCCAAAGTCGTCGGACGAGGGCAAGAATCGGGTCAAAAAAAAAAGACCGCGCCACTCGCGACAACCTTTTGTTCAAAACACTAGACTATTCTTGGCGTGAGAGATGGGAAACAAGTGAGAGAGAAGAGAGGACGGATTCAAAATGTCAAGAATACGACTTGGAATTGTTTCGTAATAGCTCCGCTTTGTGTAGAGTAATCATATCAGGACATCCGATACTTCTCCGGTTGTGCAAAGCGACGAGAGGTGATTAGGCCGAGCAATGGTATATTTTTTTTTTGATCGTGGGATGAGCGAGTAATAGGCTGGCTGAGTGGATTCAAATCAACCATTTATTCTCGATGCTAGTTGTGGCGATTCAGATCAATCAGGTCATGATGATCATAGATATACTAGATAATCTCAATGAAAATGACAATTATTTTTGAGAACACTCGGCGATCAAATACCTCATAGATATCGTTGCTTGGCCACGATGAGTGGAAATCGTATAAATGTCTTGCATATGTCTGCCGATGCACAACATCAAGTGGCGCCACCGATAGCGGGCAGTAACAGTCAGAAACAGTCAGTGATCTATCCGTCATGTATAAAAGGTGAATTAATCAGCGGATTCGAATGAATCCTCATGGTAACGTTGATAGTCGAACAACCTTTACTCTAGAGCCATTAAGCTGATCCCATTTTACCAAAACTTAGGTACCTATTTAGGACCCAACTCCATACCAGAATGGGTAGACATGCATGCAGCTGGATCAACTACACGTATTGGCAAGAAACGTCACCGGAACTTGATTGATTTAAAAGTCTTTTTTTCATAGCAGCCATATATTCTCTAGTAAACACCTTATATCATCCGCAACACAGTTCCACCCACGTCGGCAGTAAGAAAAGATATGCAAGTCATGCATTCAATAGGACAAAGCATCTCCAGGTCTCATCTGCTGTATCAACATCATCAAACTCAAGGAAAATAGTAGAAGTGTTTACAATATGTACAGTATCTGACATTAATTATTCCCCTCCCTGTCATTTTCACGGGGAGTCTCATCAATAGCCTCAAAGTTCTCTTCCTCAATCAATTCCTCCGCCAATGTTCCAACTGGGTCGGTCACATTGGCAGCTTATTCATTTATCGGTAGGTTTGCGCGGGCATCTCATATACGTGCTCAGGGGGTGCTGATCCACGGGTACTTGACACCTGGTTGCCGTCAATCTCAGCAGCATCGTTTTGATGCCACTTGGTAGCCGCGCTGTCATTTGCCAGCTCGGCGGTGTTCGCAGGGCTGTACATCTCGGCAGCGTTGTGCTGGGGAGAGCCTCCAGCAGGGTGAGAGTAGTTGTTCTCGGGAGTGACGGCCGAGAATGCTTGGTCGCTGCCGGCAGTGCGGGAGTAGTTGGTCTCGGGGCTAACGGGCATGTAGCTACGTCCAAACTGTTGAGGTTTGGCGAAGCCAGCACGTCCATCACCGAGGGCAGTGCCGCGGTAGCCTTCAAGGTTCGAGCTCTTGGTAGTGTTGCGGCTGGGAACCATTGTAGAGGCAGTGGCGGGGGAAGCCTGAGACATATGGGGGCTGGTACCGGCAGCAGCGCCGCCACCACCACGGCCACCAACAGGAACCTCGGATGCACCAAATACATCGTCATACTCAGCCTTGTTCTTGTCGTTGCGGCGCTTGCGGAGGCAGAACCAAACGAGACCGGCAAGAAAGGCGAGGCCAGCAACACCAACACCGGCACCAATACCTGCCTTGGCACCAGTAGAAAGGCCAGAATTGCCACCACTGTTGCTGCTGCTGCTGTCGTTGTTGTCAGAGCTGGCACCACCGGTACCAGCAGCTCCATACTCTCCAGAAGGAGCAACGGTCGCGGTGACAACAACACCAGTCGTCACTCGGGTAGAGGTAACGACAAGGGTGCTTGTAACGGTAGTAGTAGTGCTGGCATCGGCTTGCTCGGTCTCGGTGATGGTCTTGGTGGTCTTTGTCGCGCTGCTGATGGTGGAAATGACAGTTCGAGAGATAGTGTTGAAGACGGTGGTATCGGTATCGTCACCCTCAGTGACAGTGACGGTTGTGGTGGACGTGGCACGCTTGTGAAGGCCTCGTCGGAAAGCGCGAAGACCGTAGTGTTCACCATGGATAGCACCGTCGAAGTTGGGAGGGATGGTAGTGTGTGTAGGGGCAGGAGGAGCAACAAGCTCAGCACCGCCAATAGTTCGGGGGGCCAGATCAATAGCACGCTTCTCGTTTGCCCACTTGGTAGAAGTCACATAAGTCGTTTCTGTCGCGGTCTTAGCGTCTCTGCTAGTAACAGTCTCGGTCTCGAACGCGGTGGATGTAATGACGACAGTGGAAGTGATGGTTCGCATAACAGTGGTCTGACGGCTGACAGTCTTGGCGTCAGAGTCAGTGACGGTTACCGTCTTGGTTACGATAACGTCTTCGGCTGTAGTTGTGCCATCAGCTGTAGTCTCTTCGGTGCTGGGGTCAGCAGCGGTCGTGGCATCGGCGGTAGGTTCGGCAGCGGTAGTAGGGTCGGTCTCAGCTGTAGTTGCAGCGGCATCTTCAGTTGTAGGGTCGGCTTCAGCTGTAGTCGCAGGAGAACTGTCGGCTGTGGTGGCAGCAGCACTGCTGTCTGTATTTTGACGAGCAGCGATCTTGGAGCCCTCCACTCCGAGGAGCATGCCCAAGAGCAAGAATCGTCGAAGCTGCATGTTGAGCGGTAGTTGATGTCGATTCAAAGGTGATGGATGACGGTCGGGTAAGGAGTCGAAGAGTACCCAGGAGGGTTCGGGGAAGGAAAATCAAGTCCAATGGGAAAACCAGTGACCGTCTCGGATAGATGAGGTCTCCGATGGAAGAGTGTGCGTAAGCGGTTGTCAAGCAGAGTAGATTGTCGCTACTTGTCTCGGGCTTGTGCGATGTGGATAAAGGGAGTACGGAGGCACGCGCGGCAAACAATAGCAAATGCGCGTGGAGCAAGGGACAAAAAGGAAATGGGAAAAAAGAGTAGAAAAATCTAGCAAAGAGCAGCAAAAAAAAAAACGAGATGTAACGAGTGTTAGAAGTGGTAGGGTTAGTAGGAGATAAGCAGTATTCTAGTGAATAACTACTCGTATGTTTTGGGTGAGACGAGAAAGAAACTAGGGATGAAGAAGAGGCGTAGACAAAGTCCAGGTGCAGCGGAGAGTCAGCGAGTGGGCGAAGGGGGGGACCAGGACCGTGATGAGGGAAGGAATGACTGCGGGAAGAGCGGATTTACGCGGCTGCCACACTAACCAAAATTTTACTGCAAGTGCGTGGTGAGTGGACGGGGAACGGGCTCTCGGGGTAAGAGGTACCTAGTGGCAAAGTACCTGATCCCTGCAAGTTTTGGCAGGAACTCAATGCATTAGGAATTGGTGATTGGACGAGGAGGAGACAAGACCTGGCGAATGGTACCTAAGGTTTGGTTGTTACAGTGGAAGTGTCACTGATATTGTGAGCGGTCGTCAACGGGTAGGGACTTGACAGTTGTTGCCCGATAATTCAAACAGTTCATCAATCGACCAAAAATACACCAGAAAAAGAGGTAAATTAGATACTCGGATAACACACAATACACCGCGACACACACGACACCTGCAGCCTCATCTGCAATGTGCAATGTGTCACTCCCCCAGACGCTGTGGCATGCTGGGAATGACCTCGCGATCTGAGCCATGCACAGCCAAACGAACCGGGGACTAAACCCCTGGCCCAGTTTCTCTTTGCGATCTAGGGCGCCTGCGATGGCCTGCACCCCAAACCCCATTGAGATTGCTGGTGTTCTATTTACGAGGTCTACGCGACGTCCAGGTACATTTGACTTTGTGATGATGCGTCTCCTGCTGATCGCAGTCGATCTTTACAGAGCGAGGCAAAAGCGTGACAGATGCCCAGAAATGATAATCGCCTGTCATTCACAAATATTGAGACTGGCCTGACTGGATGTTATTCAGACTGCAGGTTCCAAGAAAATGAGACTTTTTTTCTTTCTCGTCGATGCAGACTAGTTGATGGCTACCATCCAACAAGGAAGTGGCGCCAAAAACTAAAAAGAGAGGCGTTGAACTGTTCCATTGCAGTGGATGGATGGTACGGATAGACGGTTGAGTTTTTTATTATTTGTGTGTAGGTTTCTATATCACAGCCACATTATGGATAATAGTCGAGAGCACACAGCACACAGACATTAACCATTCTCTGGCAGGTTCTCTTACCCTTCTCTTCAATTGCTCTCCACTCCACTGAAATCAAACACTGAATGACATCAATCTCCCAAGTGGTCAAGTGAGCGAGGCCCCTGCTCGTATTTTTGACAGACTAAATTATAACGGTCCTAGACGGGGGCGGCCTGGCCTCGGGCTTTTGCGCTGTCTGGTCGATGGGCGGAGCCGGGCTTGGCCTTTCACTGTTCGGGGCGGGCCTGAGCCCGTTGAGGTTTACGCTTTTAGGGGCCTCCAGAAGCATCAGGGTCCCGTCCATCTGTTCGTCCCAAAATGGAAACCCTGTGCAGTGTAATTTGTTTCGATTTCCGTTGGGACTGTCCATTTCCCGGCTTTAAATGGCATCATTAACGAACAATTCAACCCTCGTATTGAACACTATCAATTAATTAGCTTTATTCTCCGTTCTCTCATGCTTGAGATCGGCAGGGTCTCTATTTTCTCTATTTTACCTTTTTTGGTGAGGCTTAGTCTTCAATTGGATGGTTGCATCGTTACATCGGAGTTACCGTGAGACCAAAAAAAAGTAAAGGCAAATGCTTCAGAATGGATGAAACAAAAGCCTCATAAATTGAGGGTAGTTACCGATATGCGTAGTAAAGACGGGAACGGCTTTTGCTTCCAGCCTCTGCTTTCTTATTCTCATCAGCCACTGCTGCGATCACGTTGGTAGGTGGTGAGACATGCACATATCAGCCGCTATCTGCAGAAGCTATTTTGGATTGTCCATTTACTACGTAGCTTCTAGACAATGCATGGAATTCTGCTTATGGCATGTCTCGTTTATAACAGTGGCTTCAAGTCTTAACACATCAGGTCTTAACACATGGCTGTTTTCATCGCTTCCATAACCAAGATCTCAATCATTGTGAAGCAACTCTCAATCTGTCCGTTATATCCGTCATCCTTTAGTCAGCGCCGTTGTAGGATTCTATATCCATGATCATAAGTTGTGGCTATAAGCTACTTTCCATGCATGTGAAACGGTTCACTTGACATCTAACATACACGATCTGGGTCAGATGTAGCCTGTCATAAAAGGCATTTGCAAACTTACAGTCCAACGTCAGCCACTCGAAGTAGCCAATGCCGTATTTTAACTGCGCCTCTGCTTTCTTTGCCTTTTTATGAGGCTGGTGAGAATCCTCTAATAGGCAACTTCGCGAGTGACAGTGCGATAGATATGGCACTGTGGAGGAATAAGTCAGAAAATAGTAGTATTGCGTGATGAGACTTGACATCTGTTTCTACAGTATTAAAATGATAGCTCCAACAAGACCACAGCCTATACGGGGCGTAGTCCAATAGTAAATCTACCCTCAATGATTGCTTTCGCTATTACAAACTCGACTAGCACCAGTCTGAACTCGAACAAAAACCCGTAGTCACGAGCCTAGAAGTTCTCCTTACCCCAAACAAAAGAAAATCTGTATCATGTTAGCTTAAGATCACACAGCCAATACTCATAATCAAACTTACCCAGGCTCGGTGTACTTATTACAGTACGTATGCAGTGAACTTCCCAACCCCTTAGGTCCACAGAAGAACACACCCGCCTCCGCAGGACTGTGCAGCTTCCTGATGCCCCTAAAGATCATGTCCCAGTTAGGTCTACCAAAGTTGGTTGGGCTGCGCAGACCAGTAATGGTATCCTTGTCGGCGTTGGCGTCGTTGATCATGATGTTTGTCGCATCGTCGGCCTTGATCTTGGCGGTCAAGTACGTGTGAATCTCAATGCGGTGGTCCAGGTCCTGTGCCTCGACGGCGAGAAGTAGCGAGCGGAACCACTCGAAGGATTCAAAGTCACGGCAAATCCAGAAGAAATAGACCTTGGACAGTCGTGTTTTCTTCTGCGGGTAGTTCATGCGGTACCAGATGGACTTGAGGATGGAGGCGAACGGTGTTACACCGATACCGGCACCGACAAGAACGGAGACTTCGTATTTGAAGACATCTTCAGAGGCAGAGCCAAAAGGACCATCAACGTAGACTCTGGGGAGAACACGCGTGATAGCTGGGTCGATCTCGGCGTCCTTGCCGGTCAGACCAACGACCTTGCTGGCATCGCCATCCTTCTTCCTAGCCCAGTCGCAGCCCAAGTTCTTTGCAAGCTCCCTGGTAAAATCACCAACACAACGCATGTGAATCGAGATGTAGTCCTCTTCTGGGGCGCTGGTCAAGGTGAAGGGATGGTACTGCCACAGTGATACAGCAGGGCAGCAGAGGAAGATATACTGGCCAGCTCGTGTCTTTGTGTGCTCCTTCTTCATCTGGATCTCGCAAACGTTGCTGGGGTGCTGAATAACCTTTGTGATGTATGTCCTGTGGCGGCCGCGCACCTCACGAGCAATACGCTCAGCCAGGTAGATGAAGCCGCTGTACATCCAGTACTGCCAGAAGACTCCAATGGCCGAGGCTCCAATGCTGGTGCAGAAGGGAGCGACGTCTGGCTGGATCATGCAGAAAGCTCCATGAATAGACCAGAAGAAGAAGAACACGATGAACATGTGGTGGGTGTACCAGAATCGCTCAAAGTTCGCTCGTCGCGGCTTCTCCATGGAGGTGAGAACCATGCCCATCAGCGCAATGAGCATGATATAGCCCGTCCATCCTGGCCCAGACACAAAGTTGGCTACCAGCCAGCCGTAGATGCCCAGCTTGTACTTGATAGCGACCTGCGCAAAGTTGTTCCAATGGGCAATGGTGTGGACCCAGGACCAGAAGACAATGGACCAGGCGGTGACGATGTGGAAGGTGATGTTCTTGTCGAACTGGAGAATTCCGTTGAGCGGCGTCTGGCGCAGCAGCGAGATGAGGGTTCGGCAGACGGGGAAGAGGATGATGCCGACGTCGACGTGAAGAACCAGCGCGGCAGAACGTGCAATGACGAAAGTGAAGCCAAAGTCTCGACGCGAGGATTCGAGACTTTCTTTCTGAGAGTAATGGACGCAGGCGAAGGAGAAGATGAGGGCGTGTAGAAGCATAAAGACGAAGACGAAGCTTGAAGAGAAAAGTCAGCATCCTTCCATCACGTCTGTTTGGCTGTGTATACTTACAATCGTCGATAACCTTCGTTGATCATCCAGCGATCAAACTTTTCTCTTGACGATAGTTCCTGTTGCTTCTCCTGGGTCATCTCACCGGACAGAAGCATGCGCGTTAGGGGCGACCATCGCGAACGCTCCGAGGGCTTCTCGGACCAATCCTGCATTTGGTAGCTCATGATGAGCGGAGGTTTTTGGTTGAATCAACCACCGAACCGAACCGAGTCGAGTCGTGAAAGTGTTGTCCTGCAGCTTGTGTCGAATATTGTATGTTCAGTCCAGTTTTATTCCAATTGGCGTTTGGTTGCTCGTTCCCAATCTCATCCAACAATGACAACTTTCGGCGATGGCGTCGATATTCAGAACCAGCTGAATTGGTATGTATGTAGAATCTCAATCCGAGGATGAAACACTTTCCCTAACGGTATACTATACACAAGAAGAAGAATAACAAGAATAAAGAAAAAAGATGCTGTCTATAGCCGGAGGATTAAAAAAACAAAGATGTTCATCTCGCCACCAAGGTAGAGAGAGAGAGGCAAGGTAAAGAGGGGAATGGGTTAGAGAACTAAAGGAAAATCAATGAAACTCGCGCACCTTCAAGGGGGGTTTAGACAGCGATAATATGACTATGACTATCGTCTTATTTCGGAGGACGGACTTGATACCAGGCACAGACGGCGAATGTCCAGGGTTTGGCGCTTGGCATGCACCTAAAATCCTGTAGCGAGAGGTTGTCAGAACCCTTTTTCGAGATTCAAAATTCGATAGCGAGACGTGGGTTTGGACAACACGCCATTTAAGGAGTTGTTTTGTGTCAGACATGATTCAACCGATACTACGGATACTACCACTGCACACTCATGGCATTTGCCGATAGGCTTAGCCTCTAAACAGAAGATAGGTAGCTAGAGAATATTTACTTTTCTACTAGGCAATTGGAACTTTGACATCCTCTAGAATCAAATTCTCCATCAACCAAACTAATTCATCGTCGATAGCACAAGCCAAAAACCATTCAGTTGCTGGTCATCAATACCCATCAATGATTGGCTCCCTTTCCTCCCTTAGGCTGGTCTGAAACCCCGCTGTTACAGGTTTGACAAGACTTGCCCTCCCTGGTAGGTTGTACCGAGAGTGGGGGTCAGACTCGAAAGTCTCGACCCATGAATGACACGACGATTGAGGCACCGTAACTAGTAGTTATTCCCAGCTTTCATCTCAACAATTGAACCTAGCAATAATTAACTGTTATCTGTTCGGCCGAGTATCTAAACTGCAAAATGGTAGTTCATACCTACGAAGGAAGGGTTGACAGGATACATTCACTGTCAAATGATTCATGATAAGACCCGTAGTTTGGTACTGGGGAGTAAACCATCACCCATCAAACATTGGTCTCACATAACATGAGTGAAACCGTAAAAAGATCAAGAACTAAACTCCACGTCAATATAATGAATATTGCGAATTTCTTAACCCTCAAATCTCCAAGATCATGAATAATATCTCTCGACTTCGCCTCTGCTCAAAGCATGGAAACAATATGGCGACTCAGCCTATAGCACATCGTTCCAGCGCTGTCTCTATTGCGTTTCACTCCCTCATCCGAAACGTCTACCATCTCACGATATGTTCTTCATCGTCGTTATCTATGTGGATAGCCTTCATGCCCTCACGCATGCTGCAAACTTCATAAACAACCAGTCTGATCCACCCCTATTCCTCTCCACCGCTTACCACCAGTACCACGTGTGAATACCATCGTACGTAGTCTCTCACGGGTTTCATCGACAAATCAACTCCATGGCCTTTACTACAATACCCACACCTTGAAACAAGTCAAGGTCAGCTGAAGTCCCATCTTTAGCGCGACATCCATATTGCCATTCGTATCATCAAACCTGCCCAGCCTTGCCAGCGCCTATTCCTACTCATCATAGGCTCCGCCGTATACCATGACGTAGCAACAATGCCCAAGTGGTCATGTGCTGGCGCATCATGAACCTCGTTTGTTTCTTATTCGTGACTGCTTTGTTTTGAAATCACCAATACACGACAACATCACGCGAACATTCATCGAAACCAATCAATGGCAGGTTAAGAGACAAATTGTATACGCTGCCTGCTTCTGGATGTCAAAAACACATCGTCAATGCAAACCCAAAATCCAGCCGCATGATATCCCTTGGTAACTAGTCTGTTTGTCTGGTGTCTTCCTCCCCAAAGTCGTTCCTCATCCCCTTCTCAGCGTCGCTCGTTGCTTCACTGGCCGCAGTTACAGCCTCGATTCAGGCAAAGCAACCATATAGGTATTGCGGACCAAGGATACATCGCAACAGCGTGCCAAGCTTTCACTCGATCGTTTCACGTCGCTTCATGATGGGAAGGTAAATCCACCCCAAGTCTAACCGCACCGGTCCATGTATTTACTTTAAATGGCGTACTTTCGAGTCCACTCCCTGGCTGTGGCCTCGTATCGGGGTCGGTCAGTCTTGTAGACATGGGCAATCTCGGGGACCAGAGGGTCGTCAGGGTTAGGATCCGTCAGCATCGAGCAGATGGACAGAAGAACTGTTACATGTGTCAGTACTCATGAACTAACCAAAAGGGTTCTCAAAATCAATCATACCTTTAGAGATGGTCAAAGCAGGGCTCCACTGGTCTCGCAGAATGTCCAAGCAGATGCTACCGTTAGAGTTGATGTTGGGGTGGTAGATGCGGGTGGTGAAGTTGACCTTAGGAGGCTTGAAAGGGTAGTCGGTAGGGAAATGAATCGCAAGGAAAAAGACACCGCCAGAGTATGGGGAGTCGCTCTGCAAAATCTAGTCAGCCAAGTTCTTGTTCGTTAAATGCGGATGCAGATGCGGATGCACCGGTATGCGGCTGAGGGCTTCGCCACACCCATAAGCCAGCCGCAGTTGAAGCATCACATCGTCAAAGACGGGGAGAAACTTACGGGTCCCATAATAGTAGCTTGCCAGTGGAACTATTCAGAGAGGTTAGCTGTGTGTTCAAACATGTCGCTGGTTATGCATAGGACTGAGGCTTCCCGCAGTCATGATAACGTTGACAGCCGCGTGCTGATCGGTGTGGGGGAGGGGTGATGCCTACCAAATCCTCGCCGACAGGACCAGCAGAGCAGGATGAAGGAGGGTCTCTGCACAGGAAAGTTAGCATCGATACATCGTGAAATCTAGATAGCCATGAGGGTTGCCAGATCGTCGAGGGGTTTTGATATCGCAGGTTGTCACTTGGGACCCCGCTTACCGATGCCCCCACCTGACGTCTTTGGACGGTCCAGTTTGACCCCTCAGGCGCTGGACGAGGTTGAACTTACCGGCCGAGATCAGTCAACTCCTTGTTGATGCGCTTAAGAGCCATTTTGTGTTATGTAGAGGGGGTATCTGTGATATGTGTTGCGAGTTGTCGCGGTCGTTCTAGGTTGGGATAAGACGTTAGTCGAGGGGTAACAGGACGAGCGGTCGGCAGGCAGCAGAGGTTTCGAAAAGACGCACTATAACGATGGTAGAGATCGTCTCGAGATTAAACAGGAGACGAAGAGTGATTTATGGTATTTGTTGTTTTGGTGAGTATGTAAGCGTAAAAGAAATTCAGTCGAGGCTGAAAGGGTTGGAAGAGGCGGGATTTGGAGGAAGATGGTTCGTTCAAATGGGGTAAGAAGAAGGAGAAGAGGGTCAACAAAGAATCAGAACCCGGGTTTGGAAGGAAGGGGAAGGAGGAAGGAGTGGCTGCGCTGGCACTGGCACTGGCCATCAAATTCAATTCTGGCAGCCCGAAAAGTCAGGTTTTTTTTAGGCGCTCGAATGCTATGACTGGGCCATCGCTGGGCACCTGGGCCACACAGCCCGCTGAGGTGCCCGCCCGCTGGACACCGCCACTGGGCATTTTAGGTTCCAGTGAGCGAATCAGTGCTTAGCGGTACCCGAGCACTAACAGCTGGCTACAGATTTTTACGTTGGGCCTTGATACAGTGGAGGACACGAGAGGCATGAAGTAGCTGCTTGTAGTGGGCTTGGCCCGTCGCTAGATATTCTTCGCCCGGCTTCGATGACTTGTACTGGCCAGATGCTTATTCTATCCCGGCAATTATATTAGAGAGTGCTTAGAAGCTGGAGTGGCCAGACTTGCTGCCGCAGCAGCGGTGAGTAATACTCAAAGTGGCGGCGACAGTCGTCAAGGAGAAGTTTTCCACGGCATCGATATCTTTTGCCATGGGAATTCATGATTCCGCTATCTCATGAACCTTTGACTCATGATTCGTGCACTAATTCTACGTGATTGCTACGGGGATGACGGCACGAAACCAAGTGCATGAATTAACGCTTCCCGAGCCCGGCCCCGGATGCGGATGCGGATGCGGACGCCCGAACAGCATGGCCGGTTCATGACCTTCTTCTACGTTTGCCTCCGGCTCGAACTACAATGTTACGCGTTGGAATGGATTCCGTCAGTCCCTGAGGGGCAATATCTCTGGCGACGTCACTGGTCCAGAGCCGCAATGAGGGTTCCTAGTAATTACCTACGGACCAAGTGGGTATTGAACATCAAGCGTGATATCAAGACAAAGAGGAGGCCTAGAGAGCAAACGGCAAATCTTCCACATACTAGGTAGCTAGTGATGCAGCTAGGCAAGGCTGTAACTACTGCTTAAACGTCTTATTCAGGAGTCATATAAACCTGACCCGACTCCGCGATTGGACAGAATTTGTTTGCAGCAAAGATATGTTTTGATTTCCAAGCATCTATAATACGGGTATGCGCCCCAATGGCTCTTTTATAGTCGCCTCCTTACCAATCATTCTTTTTTACTTCAAACAAACGCTTGGATACCAGTAATGGCCCGTCCTAGAATAAGACCTGTAACGTGTTTGTTAGCAATCATCAGTCACACGGTATGTAAGTAAACGTACTGTGAATATCGCTCTGGCCCTCATACGTTTGAGTCACGAAGAGGTTTGCCACATGACGGCCAATCATGTACTCGTCGCTCGCCGCATTGCCTCCAAAGATCTCCTGGAGCAGACGTGCATTTCGCAGAGCAGCATCGCAGTTCTGTCGCTTCACCATGCTGATCATCTCGGGTGTTGCCTTGCCCTCGTCCTTGAGACGGCCAACCTGGATAGCCGCAAGTGTTCCATAGGCGGCGTCTGTTGTCGCATCGGCGAGCTTCTTCTGCACGAGCTGGTACTTGGCGAGAGGGTTGCCCTTGAACTGCTTGCGCTCGAGGGCATATGTTCGGGCTCGGGCGATACAATCCTCTAGGGCACCCATCACACCGAGAGCAATGCCGTATCGAGCGTTGTTCAGGCAGCTGAAGGGACCCCTGAGACCTTCAACCTCTGGGAACATGTTGATTTCAGGGACAGGACAGCTATCGAGCTGAATCATACCCGTGATCGAGGCTCGAAGACCGTTCTTATCCTTGAGCGCTGGTGTCTCCAGAGTACCTGGGGGGCAATCTTTACGCTCGACCAGGAAGCCTCGAATCTTGCCTGTCTCCTGTAGCTTTGCCCACACCAAGAACACATCTGCGATGGGACTATTTGTGATCCATGTCTTTGAACCACTTAGAGAATAGTAACCCTTCTTAGTGGGGTGAGGCTTGGCCATGGTCTCCATGCTTCCAGGGTCACTGCCATGGTTCGGTTCTGTCAGGCCAAAAGCACCAAGAAGTTTGCCCTTGGCCATCTGGGGAAGAAACTTCTCCTTCTGTTCAGCAGTGCCATGCTCAAAGATACCACCCATAACCAACGAAGACTGGACGGACATGCCAGATCGGTAGCCGCTGTCAACCCTCTCGACAGCTCGTGTGATCAAACCACCAGCAACAGAAGACACTCCTGCGCAGTCATAACCCTCAATCGTAGCGCCTAACAGGCCGAGCTCGCCCATTTCCTCGAGAATCTTTGGATCGTAGGACTCGTCACGATACGCCTCTATAAGACATAGACGTTAGTATGATGCTTGTGGATATCGAATTTGAGACACCTTACTCAGTACGCGGGGTAGTAGTTGCTCTTGGCAATATCGCTCTGCTGTCTCTCCAATTGCTCGCTCCTCCTCAGTCAAGAGGTTATTCGAGGCCAAGGGGTCCTCCCAGTTGAAGGCCGGTCCTGATGCCGAGGCAAACGTTCGTGTGGCGCATGGTCGCAGAGGAACGGCGGCTCTCCGCGCGCATTGTCTGAGGATAGGGCGAAACATTATGTGAGTAGCGATCTTGGTAGGTAAAGTCGTTGTACGATAGACCAGAACCGTGAGGCGAAGGCGAGTAGTTAAAGATGCAGCAATTCGGGCTTGGAGTTGACCAGCCAAAGGGCGCCGGCAATTGAAGCCCACCAGATGAAGTCATCCGACGCGAACCGGAGCCGATCCCGTCACTAAAACCCCAGCTTTTGACCCCGGAACCGAGGCACATAACGACAACTACGTCCAATTGGAACAAGTGACATTCAATGTATGAGAAACAATGTCCTAATTTGGGTTGTTTCGGGTCCAAGATAATCTCGCCGATAATTGATTCGGGATGTTTAGAATGAATACCGACACAACATACAACTAAGTATACTACGTACCCAATAAACCAACCAATCCATGCCGCATCCAATGATCGGCCAGAGATGCAGACCAGCTGCCTCGGATAGGAAATCTCCCCTGACGCCTCGTTGATTGACATTATGCCTCTTCAGTCTGAACTTTGTCTTTAGTCTTCTGCTTAGACTTCTCCCCGTCTGTCCTTGCTATGGAACTCAATCGATCAAGGTCAAGTGTTCCCAAGACCACCCCCGCAACAACCAACTGGCGAGTGCCTTCCTGAGCTACCGGAGCCGACATGGTCGGCACCGAATTGTCGGCTGACGAGTAGCCGCGTTTGGCTTCAGAGTCGCGTGCCCTTCGTCTGCGATCTTTGCCAGCTGGAGGTCCCGAATCGTCTGTTGACTCGGCAAGCGAAGTAGAAGAGATAGATCGACTCGACCCATGCGGAGACTCCTAAGGGTACGCTCGTCGAATTCGACCATCGAGCCGGTTCAGCAAACCCGTGGGGGTTGGTGGCTGTGAGAAATGCTTGTGTTGATGCGGGCTGTTGTGTGAACTTGATGATGTCGGCAGGAAACGCTGCATCTGATTTTGTTAACAGAAGCCACCACCCAGACATGAGCGATGCTATCCTTACATATGATTGATCGTACCAGCAGCCCAGTTCTGGGCAAGAGTGCATTGCTGGTTCATGGTTCATCAAGTTGAACGACGGCCCATGCAGCACGATGTCGATTTCTTCAGAACCGCACTCGAGTTTCCGGTGGAGCATTTTGGTGTTATCCCCATGCTTCGATGTGTGCTCATGTGCTCGTCTGGATGCATGCCCGGGTTTGAGATGCGTATTCGTGATGTTTGAATCGTCCGTACTTTGCTGGGAGTTCTCTACAGGGAGGGGGGAATCCATTGCTGAAAACGTCGGACCGATTCGAATATCACATACTTCACAGAAACTTAGCGAGGAGATATGATCAAGTGGTGAGACGATGAATGGGGTCGGAATTCGAATATCAGGATATGAAGGGAATGGTGCAAGTGATAAGATATTTTTACATTCGAACAGCGAGTTAAGTCATTGTTTACAGGTAACATTGATCTTGCCGAACGAGATCCAAAAGCCGTTCCTGCAGTTAGATGTCCCATTTTCCGAGGAAGTGCATCATTGCCTTCCCTGACGAGACGGGAGTTCAAGTCCGTTGATGTCTTTCTTTCCATTGTTTCTCCGCCAATGTTGCCTGAGCCTCTTACGATAAGATGCAAGCAAGAAGACGTAAGAAGTTTCAGTTGAAAATAATATAAGGAGAAAACAATTGCTTTATGTATTATCGTCTTTGGTTTATCAACCACAATTGACGCTATCTTCAAATACTATCTTCTATCTTGCTAGCTGCAATGGATAGATCGCCCGGACTAACGCATATGACTAGGGTCCTCCGGCATTCGGCTCTTAACCAACTATCCGTAACATCATTTACATTCTCGAGACAATATCATGGCTCTCATACACAACGCAAAATGACAGTCTATAACAATGATCTTGTGCAATTGGCACAGGCCATCAAATTGGTGAGAGCCTCATCAACCTAACAACTATCAGACTAACCTTCATCACAGGCTGCTAAGAGCAACAGCAGTAAACTCCTGCGCGCCTGGTTCTATGTACCATTAGGTCTTACAGCAATACTCGCCGCTTGTTTTGGCGTGGACTCTATATTTTACAAGTTTAAGGTCGCATTTCCGGCTTCTGTTACTTGTATGATGTTGCTCTTCTGTGCTCTTATCGCCAGTGAGTCATTATTGGGGAGCCACAAGACGAGAAAGCTGGTGAACATTATCGATGTGCCTGTAAGTCAATGTCATTTTTCTAGCAATATCCCTGAATCTGACTTCTCCAGGCTGGTTGGTCACTTCGATGGATGGGTGTTTTCTTCACGCCATCTTTTGTCCTCCTACCTCTAAGTCCACCCATTGGAATCGTCGAGGTCATGGTCATCATTGCAATTTTCAGTAGGTTCTCATACCCAACTTGGAATTGACTTTATCTAACCTTCATAGTCGTTGGGTTTTTCATAATGATGGCTCTGGCTGCCTGGATCACCCGCAGTCTTCAACTTGCCCTTGGTGCATCGAGACGCTCCAAGTCGCAGCGCGCAGAAGAACTAGGTCGCCAGACCCCAGATATCCCACTAGGCGAGGTATACTCTCCTGGTATCTCACGTCGGACGAGCGTGTCTCGGGCTGGTTCGCAAGTCCCTCTGGTGCTCGCATCTGCGCCGACGTCGGAGCCAGCATCAGCCGCGCCATCTCAACCGCCATCACGCCCTCAAACTCCGCCACAGTTGCGACTTCAAGAGCATCATTATTCAAATGGAAATACCCCAGATAATGCCGTTGAAGCTCTCAATCCTGCCACATTTGTTCCGCAAGTCCCTTTACCACCACCCAAAGCCGAGTTGTGGGCAGCCCGGATATCAGCAAACCTCGATGTATCGATATTCATAGGATTGTTTGTCTTTATCGGCATCCCGGTCTACTACTCTACTGGCTATGCCATGCCCGTTCATCTAGCTGTAAATATTCTTGCTTGGTATGGTGCCATGGCCATTGCTCCCAAATGGAAAGAATACCTTCATCCGGTTCTTGTATCGTCCCTTGCAACGGTGCTTGTTATATGGGCGCTCGCAGCAATCCGGGACGACAGCTTGACAACAACACTCCACGCATACCGCACAGGGGCAAAGTACATAGAACTATGGCGCAACGCAACACAGAAGCAGAACCTCCTCCCAGGCGCTGGTGATGTCTTTGGAACTCTGCTGGACGCCAGCATTGTGGCCCTAGCCTTGCCCATGTTCCAGTATCGCCGTGAGCTTCGCACGCATTTCATATCCATCGTCGTTCCAAACGTTGCTATCAGTGTTGGTTCATTGCTCGCATACCCGCCCTTGTGTTACGCTTGCGGCATCTCGGCAGCCCGCAGTCTCGCATTTGCGTCTCGCAGCCTGACGCTCGCGCTCGCTATCCCCGCGACTGCAAACCTCGACGGTGATGCCAACACAGCAGCAGCGTTGGCCATCATCAGCGGGATCCTAGGCGCTGTGCTTGGAGCGCGGATATTGCGCTGGCTGCGGGTCCCCGAGGATGATTATGTGACCCGTGGAGTGACACTGGGTGTTAACTCAAGCGCCATCGCAACATCGGTCCTGTTGCGGACGGATCCTCGAGCTGCGGCTTTGTCGAGTTTGTCTATGAGTCTCTTTGGGACAATCACTGTTTTGTTTACATCGATACCACCTGCAGCGACGTTTGTACGAGGACTTGTGGGTATGTGAACTGGCAAATACGAAATGGACGCCTCGCACCCGAAACAAACACGGAAACCCTCATGGGGTCGGATTATTTGATTGGGTGTTATTTTCGAATGGAGACTTGGATCTGGGCCAGGGCTTTGAATACTGATTCCTGTCCTGCTTGTACTTCATCATGCCAACTTGATACGCTTTCCGAGTTGCGTATAGAAGGAAAACATAACATATTGATACATATGATTATTGTGTTAGTTGGTCTCGTGCAGGGATTTGGACAGCTTTGGGTCTTTGATGTGAAGTTATCGATCTGTACTCATTACCGTCGGGTATTTCGGGATTCATTCAAATTGGAAAGGTGTTCTTGAAGGTATCATATGGATATTGTCCTGATGATTATGGCACTGGGTTCGGATACAGTACAATCTCCTACCGCGGTAGTGTCCATACTTTGCGCTACTTGTTACTTAGCTTGTTGTACACCGTCAGTTTGCATAAGAATGGTCCCATGACAAACATTAACTCCACACGATGTCGTATTGCGTGGTACACACGAGGAGAACAAATTGTCGTTGTAAATATATTGAGTAGCAATAATCTTGGGTATAATAAATGAAATTCAAAATTTAGATCAGCAGTACTTGATTATTGCGTACATCAAACACAAAAACCATTCCATCTAATTCGTGTACCGGAGTGAAAGTAAGCATTATGCTGTAGAACGCCGCCGTGAATCGTAAGACCATGAGTCGTAAAGCGTGAAATGTTGTCGAGCAAAAAAGAGCTAGTGAGTGACTGGGCCTCATTGTGAGAATACCGGCCTTTGAACGGATTTAACCATGCTGTGAGTGTCGAGTTTCAGAGAGGTAGCATCCATCTTTCCCAACTCTGCCGCATAGAGCCTGATTTACCCCTTGATGTGCCAGTACAGGGGGGGTGGTGTTCTTTTTGTCCGCAAGAGTGTAAGCAGAGCTTACCATCCATCCATGCCTTACTCTGTACAGCAGGTAAGGTACCGTGCAGGATAATAAAGCTGAAGGGGGGAGTGGGATAATGCCGCAGATGCGTCACTTGCTGAACGCACGGTTGAGCCTGGTGGTCATTTGGCTCCTCTGGGCCTTTGCCTCGCTGCAAACACCGCACTCGCCGCTGATTACATTGCCAGTGACTCGCGAGACATATTTGCCGCATGTAGCGAAGCAGTGCGTAGTTCCCAAGGGCTGTTCGCCTACATGGCGGCCGCAGGCTTGACAGACGAGAGTGCCAAGGTTGGAGTAGCACATTCTGGGCTGGGGATCTTGGGGGAGTAAGATGGGGTTTGCTTGAGTGTTTTCTCTACAGGAGATTCAAGGTGCGGGCGAGGAGGACAGCACGGAAGAGACGGAGTGAAAGACGAAGAGGTATGTAAATGTAGAGAGAGGTCAAAACAGACAGGCCTTAGATACAGAAGAGGTGAAACGACAAGAGAAGAGAAGAAATAAGAAGCAATGATTAACAAAGAGTGTTTGAACAAGGGAAGGGTTCAAATCTTGAGGAGGATGGGTTGAAGTATTTGCAGAGAGAAAGGGAAGCCAGAGTGGGTTTTAAGAAGAGAAGGAAACAGAGGTAAGAAAAGAAGAAAAGTTAAAGAAGTAAAGCAAGGGAGAGAGAAAGAGGAGCGAGGTATCCAAGATAAGGCGAGTGCTACCTTGCCAGGTTAAGCAAGCAGAGGGAGGTAGTAGGTATGTAGGTTGTAGATAACTGGAGAGATGCAGTGAATGGAAACGTGACACAAGCCGAGCCTGTCGTGATGGTATCCATAGAAGACGAGGAAGGGGAAGAACAAGCTACAGGCATTCTTGTACTTTTGAAGCTTCCACTTCCACTTCCATTTAGCTGAGTACTACTGACACTGACACCCATCCGTTTGACCGTTGAAGATACCAGATAGTGGGTAGAGAGGAGAGACGGGGGGCATCGGCTACTACGTTTCGGGGTCCAGGAGGGGGTCCATTTCAGTAGGTGGTGCTCTCCCCATGCTCGGGCTGTTACAAGTACCGGCTTATAGGTACTCATACTGGAGTAAGGCGAGTCTCGTCATGTAGGGCGCGGTATGGTATCCGTATATGCTCCGATAAATGGAGTGGTGTTAGTCAGTCTTCAATGTATCGTATCGAATGTCCAAACTCTCGAATGTCTATAACAAACCAATACTCACAATAACCTCTCACTCTCATTCTCACTCCCACTTCATCGTATTCCTCACCCATGCCCTAGAATACTGAATACCTACCTACTATCCATCGTGCTATGACCATGCCTTCAGGCTTCCCCTCCCCCCCTCACCGACTCGACTCGCCCTGTAAACAAAGCGGAGAGTTACAGTAACACGTCCAAAATTTAGTGTAGTAGGTAAAGATCCCTGTCCCTTGTTCCTTGTCATTTGTCACTTGTCACTCCAAAAAAACCAACCAAGACCTTCTCGAAAGAAAAGAACCTTCTATTCCCCTAGTCTTACTGAAGATCACTGACCCCTCCAATCAAAAAAGCAAAAAAACCACGCTTGCCCCTCCCCCTCCTACGTTGATCATGTTTGCCCAATGCGACGTCACGTAAGCAAGACTACCTATGAATGAACATGATGAACCAAAAGCGAACTTGTCAGAGAGAAGAAAGTAATTAAAACATACGGCAATTGGTTACTAGACTTTAGGTGCTACGACTTACTGCTTCTACTCCTTGTTATGCTTCAACTAGACGCATAAACCCCACAACACACACGAGGTCATCTGCCTCAGCTGTCACGGATCCTTCGGGGTTCAACACGCCAAAACTACGAACGACCAACGTTAGCCCATGACATGTGCGTCCCTGGCGACTCATATCTGCGTCCGCCAGTGGTTTGGTAGTGTGTGTACGTGCATGTGGCTTAGTAGAGCGAGCACTACACCACACTACCTACACTACACCACTACGAAACATCACACGGGAAGTAAACACCCATCATGTTGACTTGAGGCAAAATGCATACAGTTAGACGCCAGGCTCATCGTGATCGCCAAACACTCCTTGTGCTGAAGCTCTACTTCTGGCAACAAAACCACGGGCCAAGACTGACATCATGGCCTTCATCTACAGCTTATTTCCCCATAAAGACAAATAAATAAAGACCAATCACACAACTCTATCGTGCCAGAGCCCTGTCCATCAAAACGCCCGCATTGTTGCATCCTTCCATATTACTGTATGTTCATCTTCAATTCCAAGTGAGAATGAAACTAGAGCGCCGACTGCATGTTGCCACGCTCCTCTTTGTACAACCATCAACATATTTCAACCTCCAACGCCCGTTCCTCTCATGCATCTTCATCGTAGACGAACTTCGTCATCCTATCTTCCCCCGCAATGCGTCCACCTCTCTCTGAAGGGCGTCGAGATCCGCCAGGATGTCAAGGCTGTGTCCTGGCTCGTTCGCCGATCGCGGAGATGAGGGACCAGAACCCATCGTCGCTGTAACACCGTCGGGTTCCTCTTCAGTAACTTGAATCGATCCAGCCTTTCCTACACTATCAATACTTGTTCTTCTGGGCCCATCCACACTGCCTCGACTACTACCTCGCTGCCTTCGAGGTGGTGGAGGCGGAGCAATCTGGTTATGAGGTTTTGACTCAAATGAAACCCGCCGGCTACTATCGACGCTTCTGATACTGGCAGGTCGTCGAACAGAGGTGTTGCGGGCAGGTGGCGGTGGTGGGGCCCAAGACTTAGTGGTGCCAGCTGGATGGTTTCCAGGCTGAGAATCTCGAGGAGGGGTCAAGTCAAGTGTAGACGAGTGGCGCAGCTGTGAGGGTGTCGAAGTTGTGCTCAAATCAACGTCAACAGATGGAGCCGGAGATGACGATGATTGACTCAAATCTGTAAAACTTGAGGCCACGCCTGCCGGAATCTGTGTAGATTGTCTCGAGCTGTGGTGTGACCTCGGCGGCGGTGGTGGAGGGGCTCCAGCCTGAGAATCACGACGATTGTGCTCTGGGCGACGTCTCGTGGACGATGATCGCGACAGGTTCTCGTCGTTAGGCGCGGACTGCTGATGCATCAACCCTAGGCCGGACGCATATACCTTGCTCTCTCCCCTCGCGTGCCCTCTTCTTGGTGGTGGTGCAGGAACTGCCTTTCGACCATTACCAGGCAGTTCTGGCGATGCTATACCTACTCCAGCTCCAGCCTCTGGGACTTTGCCAGCTGATTCACGGTCAAATGGCGACTCGCTTCCTTCTTCCAGACTTCTTCGGACAGGTGCAGGTGGTAGCGGTTTATTCATATCCGATTGCGACCTTGTCGCAAGAGCTTCTGAAGACATCTCCCTCCCGACCAAGTCGAGCTTTATGGACTTTCCATGCCGAGAACTAGGTGGTGGTGGTGGCTTTTTACTGCCTCTTGAACTGACTTGTGCCGATGTACTCGAGTCGGAAATGCTTTCATGGTCCAGGTCCTCTTCCGGGGTATCCGAGGCTTCTTGAGATATAAGTGACGCCTCTTGAAGTTCTTCTTTGGGAGTCGATAGATCTGTAGGGCCCTCGTGCGATGTTGTTCGAAATATAGAGGGTCTATCTTTCCCGTCTCTCGCTGGCGGTGGCATCGACTGTCGGGTTTTGAGTGACGACTTGTCTGACTCAGAATTGCCCGTCATGAGCAACCTCTTGAAAGAATTAACGTCCAATGATTTTTTTACTGTGTTGGCAGCCTTGAGCGCATGGCCTTCTTCCTTCCGCTCCTGCTCAAGTTTTCGTTCTGCCACAGGCGAATCTAGGTCTCGCAATGTCTTGCTGAACGGGTTTCCTGGCCCTTGACCGCCAGTCGGGGTATGGTGGTGGGCAGAAGCAGCTACCATCTCGCGATCGCTATCATCGGTGGATGTCGTATCGAAGCGGTCGGGTTCGTTTTGTTGATCTGCGGCATATTGCGCAAGAGAAGGTGCTGTGAAAGCCCACTCTGAAGGGTCGGGAGAGAGCGGCGGGGGTGACAGAACTCGGACCTTCTTGATGACTTTGGATTTTGAGTCAATGGGAGAAGCGCCGGCTTGCTGGAAGCTAGTCGGTGGTGGAGGGGTTGATGCTGTTTCAATTGCATCGAGAGCAGGGAAACGAGCAGCGGCGGAGGATGCGTGGTTGGGAAAGGTAGCTGTGTCTACCGTAATGGCAGCACTTTTGCGAAACGGATTAGACGAAGCCATTGTGATCTCTTTGCGCAGTGGCTCCAGAGATCTCGTGGGTGTGTCTCTTATCTGTTTGCAATGGTTCAAGCTATCGTTTGGCGTCACGGGAAGATGGGAAAGTCAATCTGATGCGATAATAGATCAAGGCGCATGCGAACAGAGACTGCCCGCCATCTTCGGCACAGCCGGGCAGGAGCTTGATTAGGCGGCCGAGGGAAACAGAGTGGAGGTTAGGCGGCAATGCAAACAAGAAAGAGCGCAGTGTAGATGAGCAAGATGAGACAGATGAGACAGAGCGAGCCGAGACGAGAACAGACGTTGAAATTAGTGAATGCAGAGGTCCTGTAGGCAGCCTCGCAGGGAAATAGTATAGGTAGTGTTCAGATGTAATTAGAATGTAGCACAGCGCAGGACGTGGCCCCGGAACGATCGGTCAAGAGCCAAGGGACCAAGCACCAAGCACCAAGCACCAAGCAAGGGCTTGGAGGGGGACGGCCAAACGACGTAGCAATGGAGAACAACCTGGTTCAGCTGCAGCTGGGCTGGAGCCTGTACCAAGCCAACGTTGTCAGTCACTGGGGGAAGGGAAGGGAAATCTGGCGATGCCACTGAAGATGCGTCCAAAGTGGGTTGAAGTCGTCAGCACCTCCCGGGCTATTGCTATTGCGTACAGTAATGGATCTTATCGCCAACGGTCGGGCGCTGTGCCTGGTGCCTGGGGGTCCAACGCAGAATACGTAGATGGAACCTGATCGAGTCACTTTTTTTATCAGGGACCCAACGAACTAACTGTGTGCCACAGGGGAAAAGAAGAAGAAACAGAAACAGTCAGGGGCTCTTAAGCAGGGGAGGAAAGACCTCAACGAACAGAGACACGCACGACAGGGCAGAGTCGAGGAACAAAGAGAGAGAAACAGGCGATGATCACTTCACTAATCAGTGACGGACATGAGGAGAGCACGGGCCATCTGACAGCTTACGAGGGGCAGAAAGCCAGAAGCATCAAACATCAAACATCGCTGACGTTGAGGACTTGACGTGGGCTTTCCACTTTTATTGCGATAGATCAGATACGTACTGTCATAGCTCCCGCCCCATTAATTTGCATTGCAAGCAAGTACAGGTACGAGCGTTTAAGCTTCACGTTGAGACGCCAGGCACGTGAGCTGTGACGAGATACAGCTGAAATGTCTCGTCTCATCTCACGCCCCTGCAGACTTGAATAGGTAGTAGGGAGATAGTAGATTCGTGTTGCTGACAATGTGCGAGAAATACTGTAAAATATACTACGTAGTGATAAACGTGTAGTTATTCGCTGTTACTCCAAACTCCCTATCGCTACGCTGCCTCACGATCATCCATATCCTCCCCTTGGACTCCTCACCAGAAGTACTTCATGCTTGAAAATGAGGGGTGTCTGTCTGAGCTGTTCGTCTAAGTGGACGCCCGGTGCCAACTCAAAGGTTTCGTGGTTCCACTTTTATCAACTACAATTCCTCCTCATGGCGGCTGGGCTGCTGGTCAGCAAACACACTCGACCACGAGACGGCGTGTGAGGGACAACAGCTCAGCCAGGGCAGATGACAACTATAATCAGTGGCCAAGGGTGTTTTCTGCTCTTCTTCTCAAGATATAGAACCTTTCGTCCCAAAGCAAAGCTGGAATGTCTCCTTGTGCAAGACAAGACTATCATCAGTTCACTTATACGCCAAACAAGGCTGACGCGTGCGTTCTGCGCTCAACAGACCACCAACAGTAGGTACACAAAGAGCCGGGCTGCTAGACTGCATCACATTCATTCCTGCATCATACATCCTCCAAGACCGCCTTTTTGTCCCCTGTAGCTTCTTCAACCTACCTAGGTTTGCAGTCAATGATGGACTATGGTGACCCACGTGATGACCCCTGACAAGAATGAGTCGGGGCACGCTTCATCACAAACCCACGAAAACAAGCCCTAACACAGCGCATCGACAGTACACACGCATCGTTTCACCAGATCAGAGTTATTGAGTTTAACAGTTTAAATAGTCATGTCGATAATATTCATGGCGTAGTTTAAATCAAATAACTCAAAGCAGCGACAGTGGTATAATCGTATCCTCCCTCTCCCCAGCCTTTCCTCGCCCACATCCGAGACTTTTTGCTAAAACCCGCCAACTGTCCACTTCTCGCATTGTTTCAGACTTGACAAGCAAAATGAAAAATCTGTCATGCCATGTAATATACTACAAGAGACATAATCGCGCAGAAATGACCCTCGTTTCTAGTCTACCACCTTTAAAAAAGTAAGATGGCCGAGGGTTGAATCATACAGTCGCGAGTCTTCGCGTACGCGTACAAATAAACAAGTATCCCGCGCTCCAAACCAAACCGTCAAATCCCAGTGGCCGTACTATCCGGGCCCATGCCGTGAACAAATCCTTTAACGCCGTTGTCGTCATTAATAAAGTTCAATACTGCTCAACGTTATGTTACGCCTTAGTAGCAGCGGCCTTCTTGGGAGCTGCTGCCTTCTTAGGTGCAGCAGCCTTCTTCGCGGGGGCAGCCTTGGTGGTCTTTGTGACGCGACCGGCCTTTGTCTTGGTGAGAGCAGTCTCGGGCTTCTCGGCCTTGTCGGCAGTCTGTAGAGTGTTAGAAGAGTCGGAGTAATGGTCAACTAAAGATCATGTACCTTCTTAGGTGCGGCAGCCTTCTTGGGTGCGGCGGCCTTCTTGGCAGGAGCAGCCTTCTCTGTCTTCTCAGCCTTCTCGGCCTTCTCGGCGGTCTTCTTCTCGACAGTCTTCTTCTCAGCGGCGGCCTTCTTGGGGGCAGCAGCCTTCTTCTCAGTGGCGGCCTTCTTGGGGGCGGCGGCCTTCTTAGCAGCAGGCTTCTTGGCGGCAGGCTTCTCAGCGGCCTCCTTCTTCTCGGCAGCGGGCTTCTTGGGGGCAGCGGGCTTCTTGGCCTCGGGTTGCTTCTTGGCGAGCTTGGTACCACCGGAAGGACCCTTTGGCTGCTCGAAGGCACCCTTATCGACACCGGCCTTCAATGCCTTGTTGAAGAGAGAGTCGAACATGTTGTCGGTGACATTGAGGGCATTGTTAGCCTTGACATACTTCTTCAAAGATTGACGGCTGTGTGACGAGTCAGTAACTAAAGAGAGAAGAGCGACGGGAAAGGCGACAATACAGAAGCATTGTCGCGATGGGAGTAAGAGAGAATGAAAGCTTACCTAGAGCCCTTTCGGTCCTTGAGCTATTGATTGAAAAGAAAACGCGTTAGTGAATGAACAGAAGTGGGAGAAAATGAACGAGGTAAAGTGGTTGGGAAGGCCCATGGCGATGGCCTCATCCGCGACCGAGAGGTGAGTCGGCGACGAAAGACGCGCCGGGGATAGAAAGCTTTCAGTATTCACATACGTTGACAATAGCATCAGTGATCATGTCCTGGGAAAATGTTAGCGAATTGTTCAAGACATCATCTCGCGTGAGTAATGAATTGACTCACCTGGTAGCTGGCGTGGCCAGAGGCCTTCTTGGGAGCGGAGGCGGCTTTGGGAGCCATTGTATCGGTTTGTGTGAGTTGAGGTGGGTTGAGTAAAGACGAGTATGATATGCTTCTAAGACGATGAAAAAGACGCGACAAAGACGTTGAAGGCGATGGGATAGATTTGGGAAACGTTTAATGAACTGGAGAGCAGACGACGAGCAGAATCATCTCATCGGGCGCGAGGAGGGGACGGGGCATGTTTATATATTGGGCGGGGGCAGAGCACAATCAGTAAAAGGTAGGTCGCGGGTCGGTAGCTCCTGCTCTCCTAGTCTTTCTCTCTTACAGCTTCGCGACCCTCCACCTGCTGCTCTCTGCCTGTGCTCTGTGCTCAGTGCTCAGTGCTCACCTGCCGTGAGCCCACTTGCCCCAAAGAGGAGGAGGGGCATTTCTGAGCGCCACACCAAAGTGCTTCATGCACGCTTAACATGCGATTGCACAAAAGCGTGCACAAGGCCTGCAAGATCTGCACTGGACACATGAGCCTTGTTATCGCCTTCTTGGATTGGCTGACTCCAGGGGCACAACCCCGAGCTATCTGCACTATTCTAATTCAGCCACACCCAGCTTGAACAGAGTTAAGAGCTGCCAAGACTGGACCCTCCATCATGGCACTTAGTAAAAATGGGGCACCGAAAATGCCAAAAAGATACCCGGGCAGTGATCGAATTTTTGATTGGCCAGTCCAGACATCACCTTGAGTGAGGTGTACCTCTGTGTGATCTAGAGTCTGGCAAAATGTGAGCGCAACTGATGCCCCCGAGCATCCAGTTCCCTCGATTCTCTCGCTTCTTCGCGCACCCTCTTCAATGAGATGAATGATGCTATCTCTGCATCGTCTTGCGAGTCTATCGAGGTCTTTTCCGTCCGAAATGAGGGAGGGAACTCGTCGACTTATTGCGCGTGACAGATGGATCATGCTTCGCCGTTGAGAATCGCTGAGAGGCGATTGAATGAGCCATGCTCGTTGTCGCATTCCGAATTACGGCAGATACAGTAGTATTTAAGCTCTTGCGAAGCTTTTCGAGGTCTTCATAAGAAGCAGCGACCCCAATAGCGTAGTTTTGACGTTGTTTTGAGTCGATTCCATCAACTTGCAATCCATATCGCTCAAAGTCACTCTCAAGTCCAAATCTCAACATCACGCGTCGCATCTGAAGCTATCCGCATCCCACCACTGTCTACTCCCCAACCCGCCACACACCACACCATGAGCATGTTTTCCTTGTTCCAGTAGTCCCAAACTGTGCAGATGTAACTTGAGTACATTCTGACTTTTTTTTGTTGAACAAAATGCCACCATTGACTGTTGTGAAGGCAGAGATGTATGATCACGACTTACACGGTCGGAGGCGTCCAAACGTCAAGGCCGAGTATAAGATCGTAGTGAGCATCATGTCTACGTGTCAAATATTATACTATATCTTTGAATCCTACGACTACAGTTTTCATCTCTGCATATCCAGTATTTATCATGTCTCCATCTTGTTGGCTCTGTAGGCAACTATATTGATCCTTTCACTGTGATTGTCTGTTCATTGTCGGAACCCGGACAGGTAATTCATTTTTACTTTTATCCACCAAACAGCCCTCGACTTCTCCAAAAACAAAAGACATGCCATATGTATATATATAGAACTGTCAATCTGATTCAATTCCGTCTATTATTGTTTGAATTGACAGTATATTTCCTGCTGCTCTTCCACATATTTCCTTCTTAGCTACCAACGCGTTACGTCAGGTGAGTGAGGTGAGGCGCACGACGTGGCATTGTGAAGGTCGCCTGATTCAAAAGCTCGGATTATTTTTTTGGTTGGACGCTTAAAACTTCTACTTTAGCTGGAACACGATTTCTTGCTATTCGGTTACGGTCCTTTAAAATTATCATTGTAGGTCGATTATGTTGACGCATGTCCGATAGTAGCATCCCCGTCCGCATCCGTGCATCCACCCACCCTATATGAAATGCTCACTGACTACCTCTACCAAGTTTCAACTAATGTAAACTTTCTATCCTAATTGAGAAACATACTTCCGAATACTTTGGTATATCGTTCCGGTATGAATGTCAATTTAAATACACAATTGTCTGTTTTCACTTCCAAGCGTTTAATCGGTTATGTTTTGCTTCACATTCGCCAAGTCACCTGTTGTTTGGAAACAAAAGGACTACTGCCAGAACTCTCCCTTTAATCGTAAAACTAGGACGTACTATGCTTGCCTCAGATATGCTTTCTGTACCTACAAGAAATATTAATAGGTAGTAGGCTTACAGTACTATGTTGTTAGTTAACTGTCGACTGAAAGTTGTTGTTGGTACCCTAGAGCCAAACCCCAAAAGGGTGTCATCAAGAAAATACAGCGATTAACGAAATGGCTCATTAACAGAATACGTAGATCTCAGTCTGAACTTCAGACTCCGGAGTTCAATTAGAACCGGCAAACCAGCGATACAATCCAGCTCATTGTAACACCCACCTTCCTATTCTGGGATGTCTTGATACTTGCGATTAAGCTGAGTTGGTATCACATGACCCATCTGATAGATCACAGTCCATATGTACAGTGCACAAGTCGATAAACACTATACGCTTTACCAATCAAGGTAAGGCGGGGGACGGAACACGATCGCCTAGAATGTCCAGTCGGAAGGAACATCCAGAAAAGGCCAGCGAGGCAGGACACCTATCGCTACAGATAGCATCTTGTTTCTACTCCCGAGATCTTCGGTGAAGATATCATTTCAGCTTAGGTGCGGGCCTGAGAGATAATGGTCGAAATTTCCTGCATATAGTTCTTGTCGAATTATTATTTCAGTGTTCTTGGAGCTTGTGCTACTCATCATTCTATATTCTGCTGCCCCACGTCTCCTTTACTCGGCGCATGCTCATCCGATAGATTGACACTCGCCTTCGATCCTTTCGTCCTTCTCGCATCCGAAGCTTCAACATCACAATGGCCGATTACGCTCAGTATCATGCCCTCGGGCATGGCGAGGTCATTGACCCCAACGATCCCAACGACCCCAATCGAACCTCACAACCCGCCGTCCAACAGTTCCACCATCCCATCGCTCCCTCGCCTTACCAGCAGCAAGCCTCGCTCTACCAGCAGCAAGCATCACCCTACCAGCAGCAAGCATCAACATATGGGGCACCTCAATACCTAGGAGGCCAACAACCGCCTCCTCCCGTGACTGGGTCTCCAGTTCCGGGCTATGGCTTCGCACCTCCCCAAGCCCAGGCACCTCCAGGTCAGGCTCCGCCTTCACAAGATGCTTCGCTGGCTGCTCAATTGGGTGGGATGAACCTGGGAGATGGACACGGCACGGCGAGAAGAAAGAAGAAGGATCGACACGCATACCATACCGTTGAAGCTACAGGCTCCTCACAACCCTTTAATGGAATGCCCGCACAGGGAACGTCTCCTACACAGTTCCTCGACAGCGTCCCGGGCGGTCCTGGTCTTGGGGGTCAATTTGGAAGCCCGCAAGGAACCCCCCAAATGCAGAGCCAGAGCCAGTTTGGTGCGCCTATCAACTCAGCCTACAGTCCCGGCCCCCTTGCTGGCACACCCAGCGTCGGTGAGGGCTTTGAGACGGCATCAGTCTCTACCAGCGGCCCCAAGGGAGTATCACCCGATGATATGCCCAGTGTACCGGCCTCGCGAGATGCTCTTCAACAGTACTATCTAAAGAACGTATACCCCACCTTTGAACGACATGTGCCGCCCCCTTCGACAGTCTCTTTCGTCGCCTACGATCAGGGTAACTCGTCTCCGAAATACACACGACTCACACTCAACAATATTCCTTCGACTCAGGATGCTCTGCAAGCTACAGGTCTATCGCTTGGGCTCATGCTGCAGCCTCTAGCTCCTCTGCAGGCCGGAGAAAGTGAGATCCCTGTCCTAGACTTCGGCGAACCAGGACCCCCTCGATGCAGACGATGCCGAGCTTACATGAACCCCTTCATGATGTTCCGCTCAGGTGGAAATAAGTTCGTTTGCAACCTCTGTTCATACCCCAACGACACACCCGCCGAATACTTTTCCGCAACCAACCCTCAAGGTGTTCGAGTCGATCGTGATAGTCGACCTGAACTTCACCGAGGAACGGTGGAGTTTGTGGTGCCTAAGGAGTATTGGACCAGAGAACCGGTTGGACTGCGATGGTTGTTCCTTATTGATGTCACTCAGGAGTCGTTCAACAAGGGTTATGTTGAGGCGTTTTGTGAGGGTATTCGTGTCGCTCTGTATGGTGGCGAGGATCAGGAGGTGGATGAGAACGGAGAACCAAAACGTAGGCTACCGGAAGGCGCCAAGGTCGGCTTTGTCACTTATGACAAGGACATTCACTTTTACAATGTCAACGTGAGTTTGTGGATATCATTCCGAGTTTCCCTATACTAACGATGTACAGCCTGCTCTGGATCAAGCTCAGATGATGATTATGCCTGATCTTGAGGATCCTTTCGTACCGCTGAGCGAGGGTCTGTTTGTTGACCCATACGAGTCCAAGGATGTGATCACATCTCTGCTCACCCGGTTGCCAGATATGTTCTCTACCATCAAGAACCCCGAGCCCGCTCTTCTCGCCGCTCTGAACTCGGCACTCTCAGCGCTTGAGGCGACTGGAGGCAAGGTTGTGGCATCTTGCTCTGCACTACCAACCTGGGGTCCTGGCCGTCTCTTTATGCGGGACAATGGCAACCACCCTGGAGGTGAAATAGACAAGAAGCTTTACACAACTGAGCATCCAGCTTGGAAGAAGGTGGCTGAGAAGATGGCTGCCTCTGGTGTTGGTGCTGACTTCTTCCTTGCTGCACCTTCAGGCGGATACCTCGATATTGCTACCATTGGTAAGTTGAGTCCCAAGCGATAAGGTCACTCTTGTACTAACATTGCTCTTCGCAGGTCACGTTTCTGCGACCACTGGTGGTGAATCATTCTACTACCCTAACTTCATTGCTGCGAGGGATAGCCGGAAGCTGTCGCTCGAAATCTCCCATGCTGTGACACGGGAAACTGGTTTCCAAGCTCTTATGAAAGTTCGATGTTCAAACGGGCTTCAGGTTTCTGGCTACCACGGTAACTTTATTCAGCATACTTTCGGCGCTGACTTGGAAATTGGTGTCATTGATTCTGATAAGGCAATGGGTGTTTCATTTAGCTACGATGGCAAGCTGGATTCCAAGCTGGATGCCCACTTTCAGTCCGCGCTGCTTTACACCACTGCTTCAGGCCAGCGTCGCGTACGATGCTCCAACGTCATTGCCAGCGTCACAGAAACATCTAAGGAATCAGGCGTGCGTGAACAGGGCATTCGCGAGTGCCTCAAGTTTGTTGATCAAGACGCTGTCATCGGCATGCTGGCCAAGGAAGCCAGCACGAAGTTGGCGACAACATCAAGTAACCTTAAGGATATTCGCCACTGGCTAACCGAGAAGGCTATTGACGTCCTTGCCTGCTATAGAAAACATGCTGCTCAGCAGCATCCTCCTGGACAGCTCGTTATGCCTGAGCGACTGAAAGAGTATTGCATGTACCTTCTCGGTCTCCTCAAATGCCGAGCTCTTAAGGGCGGTATTGAGAACTCTGACCGTAGAGTCCATGAGATGCGAATGCTTCGTTCCATGGGCGGTCTGGAGTTGAGCTTGTATCTCTATCCCCGCATGATTCCTGTCCACAACCTGGCACCCGAAGAGGGCTTTGCGGACCCTGAGACAGGCCATCTGAAGATGCCACCCGCGATTCGCACGTCATTCTCCAGAGTTGAGCCCGGTGGCGTGTATCTGGTTGACAACGGTCAACAGTGCCTCCTCTGGTTCCACTCACAGACATCCCCTAACCTTATCTCGGATCTCTTTGGAGAGGACAAGGACACCCTCAAGAGTCTCGACCCCTACACATCGGCTCTCCCCATGCTTGAGACTCACCTCAATGCCCAAGTCCGCAACATTATCGAGTTCCTTCGAACAATGCGGGGTTCTAAGGGCTTGACAATCCAACTTGCCCGTCAAGGTATTGACGGTGCTGAGTTTGACTTTGCTCGTATGCTTGTGGAGGATCGAAATAACGAGGCACAAAGTTATGTGGATTGGTTGGTGCACATCCATAAGGGTGTTCAACTAGAGGTAAGTTCTATTTATTCCCGCAAGCAGTGTTGAAAGCCATATCTAACATTGTCTTAGCTGAGTGGACAACGCAAGAAGGAGGGTGATGAGAATTCCCCAGCAGCCCTATCAAACTTTGCCGGTCTGAGACCATCCTACTGGTAGTTGAAAAAGCACAGCAGATTAATAGAATGATGTTGACGATAGCGGTCGTTTATTATATGGAGTAATGTAACAGAAACAAAATTTGGTGGAAGGGACAGGAGAAGAGAGGAGCAGGTTTTGGTAGCGTGTAGCACGAAACAAACCGACGTATTTTCGTCGAGTCTATCTCAACACTGTCTACGACGATGCCTTGCTTCTCTCTCATGCTCTGTGTCTTTTCTGGCTCGACACGTAGTCTGAAAACACCCCAAGGACGGACTATACACCGCAACATGGGCGAGGTTATGCTTGTTTCATTGCCTGGCAGACAATGAACAAGTCTGTGCTTCTCCCTTGCAGAAACAAGACTTTGCTTTCAGACTTTGTCGAATCCTCCAAGGCGGTCAGTCAAGATTTTGGTGTTACTGCATCTCGCCTCTCTGCATGAGTGCTCTGAAACAGAACCCCCCCCCCCCCCACTTTGCAGATTGTGTCTTTTATTATACCGTCCTTGCTTCTACTTTGTTGTTTTCCCCTTCTTATATCTCTCTCACCGTCTTTGCGCCATTGTAGCGCCTCCCCGTGGCAGAAGGGCCTGCCGTACATCACGAGGGAGATCTGCTGTGCCATGGTGTCGCAATCGAGATTTGTGCAACAAGCAACTGTGGCAGAAAAGGGAGAGGGGACAACCGTTTATTTGAAGGTGTTCCTCTTGGTGCCACGTTGAGAAAGAGGCGGTGGAGAGAGGGAACACAAAGATCGGATGAGGCTCATGCGCTGTGTTTGTGCATGGAAAAACATGACTTGATGGTTTTTCTTTTCTACACGTGAACCCTTGGCTTGCGATACGTGATCTCAGAGAAACTAGATCTGGCCCATCAGACATACATATCATGATCTGCCGCTAGTCACGCATCTATGATCGTCAACGTGCATCTGCGTTTGCTGCAGCTGGCCAAGTCGAGAGTAGTCTTCTTTTCGCCCTGCGACCAGCCGCGGCTAAAGATCCGCCCCTTGGGTGTTACACGCGAGGGCTGGCGCAGAAGAGCGACGGCGCAAGCGCTGTATAGCACGTGTAGGAGCAGACCAGAGTAGAGCAGGGTGGTTGTGAGTTAGTGAGGGAGGGGTATCTGTACTGTGTTAGTTCTAGAGGGGGTGCTTCATCGACAAGGTGGTTAGGATAGAGATAACTCCACGATGGCTAGCTAGGTCACTACATCGATATTAGAATCAGTAACCCGTAATGCCAGTAGCCAGCCTCACTCCTGTTTTGAGTTTATTCGCAGCCTATCAATATGTCTTCAACATGCAAATGCCATCAAATACGAAACCTATCACATCACGGACATGGTGTTTCCAGGTGATAGTCACAATACAAGGTTAGAAGTATCCGTGCTTTTAACTGCCTGAATTCTACGCCCTGAGATGTGGTTTCTGCAAGTGTCGGGTACGTATAGATTCCTCGGCAGGCTCGGGGTTGCACGTATAAAAACGTTGTGACAACAAGCCGGGGTTCAGCTGCGTCCAACAAGAGCTGATAGGTGGGCCGTGCCAGGCGAACAGGCATGTGTATATCGGATTGTATCGAGTAAAAAGATTTCTAGGTTTCTAGGTTTCTATCTTTTTAGGTTATAGTTTCTACAAGGGGTTCTAATCTGCTAGTGAACCCCTGGTAGTTGGGCATCGCCACGGAGTTGCCATCCTTGTTTCTTGTCACTAGAACATGCAAAAAGTAACGATACACTTGCCGCATTTCATCTCATCTCATTTCTGTTTCTGTTTCGACAGGGCTCACTCAGCTAGCTAGCCCATATCTATCCGTAATCAAGAAACACAATTAAGATCGATCCACCGAGAGGATAGTAGTGGACTAATGGTGCATTGTATGACAAGAAGTAACACAGAACCTTGTTGAACTTGAGCTAAATATATATGTGATACAATCAACGCCGATACCAGCATTCATTCGTCGTGATACGGTAGCCTGACAAGGCCACTCGTAGATCGGGAATCAATAAGGCGCCCAAACCAACCCCAAACACCAAGAAAAAGAAATTTGCCATCGACCGGATGACAACCCACAATGGCAAAACAAAAAACAAAAACAAAATCCTGTAAGTCTGCGATATACCACCCAAATTGGCCTATCCCTGTCCTTCGTTTCGTACGTAACCATCATCGGCTGCAATGCCTTCTGCAAAGCTCTAGGTATCGAGGTACCAACACTGCTGTCTTAGACCGTTCTCTAAGTGCCTGGCGACCTTGCTAGGTACGTTATTTGATCGTTGGAATGCGGGCAAGTGCCCCTGGATCAAAAAAGAAACGTTTCGCAAGGGTACCGCCAGATCGGTCGGCCTCAAAAGATGAGTAACTGCTGGAGTTGCAATAGGCTCGTCATTCTGAGACAGCCTGTTGTTGCCCTCCTCCTTTCTCGGACAAGGCCCAGAATCTGGTTTGATCTGAGTCAAACCAGATCATGTTGTAATCATGCCAAGTCCGTACCGCGGATCGGGTTGTCGTAGAACTCGATCGACCTCGGCGGCGTTGAAGACATGCTCGAAAATCTGTCGGTCGGTAGGACCGCTGCTGTGGCTTTTATTTGAGCCTGATGAACTTGAGGATGACGCCCTGGATTTGCCCTTGGACCCGTTTTCCTTTTTGATAATCTCATCCATTATATGACACATGGTACTTTGATTAGGGTCCTCAAAGACAAAAACAACGTAGGCAAATTGTCCCCGGAGATCTGGGTCGAAAAGAAAGACATCTCGCCAGAGTTCTGCTAGCTCTTGTGGGGGGTTGCGGTAGCCATTGCCTAGACCGAAATCTCCAATGACTACGCGATCGTAACCATTGTAGAGACAGATGCGGAGGGCACCTCGAAGTTTGTCCCTGGTCATCTCACGCTCTTCTGCAAAAGAGTACTTAAGGCCATTGTCTTTGAGCTTTGGCCATCGAGTTGGTGGCACCGACACAACAGGTAGATCAAACCAACTGTCTAGCCTCTCATAGCGGTCATGTGGTCCGCGGCAAACCACTACAGCGTCAGATAGAATACCACCCTGTGATGGGATCGGATAGTTGTTGGGTTCCGGGGAGTTGGGCCATGGCGTGTTCAGTGTGGCTGAGAGGTTACTTCGTCGACAAAGCTTCTCCTCATATCCGACGCATCCAGTTTCCCAATCTCCTCCAGGTCTCCGTTCGTTAGCAGCGCATATGAACGGAACCCGCACACGAGGACCAGCCATTGCCTCACTTTGTTGAGTATCCATGGCTGCGTAAGTCAATGCCTTCATTACCGGATCTCCAACCTCGATACTGAATGAGGGCGGCCGGGTTGAAGGCTTCTGACGCTGAATGACGAGTTGTGCAATAGGCTGTCGATAGAGATAAGAGTATGGTGGGAAAACCTCGCCATAGTTCTTTTTCACAAGTGGAATGAAATTCCTCTTAGTATCAGCTGCGACTTCTGACGGTCGCACTCGACTGGATCTAGGAGGCGCCATGATGAAGGTGGTGTATAAGTGGAAGCAGTATGAACTTATACCACTAAACAGGCTTGAAGTCAGAAGCTATCAAGTCAATGATGATGATAGAGTTAACGAACAAATGCCTTGTTTTGAAGACCTTGTAACAAGGAGGAGTGTTGAAGGTGAGTGGCAGTGGTCAGATGAAGATAGGAGAATGGAAGCAATAGATCACGGTGAAGTGCGGCAAGGTCTTATATGTAAAAATGACCTCGAGTCTGAAAAAGCAACACGGTGGAGGAAACTGTCACCGGGTAGTTTCAATGCTCGCAGCTCGGTTGACTGGCTATTCTGGGGCCAAGCGAGAGAGGGAGGGATGGACACTGGGCTGTGTGACCCAATATGTCCAAGATCTGAACCACTTGTTTGGAACAGACTCGACCTGAGGCGAGGCAACAAGCCAAAGAAACAAGTAGAAGAAAAAGAGACCAACATCACTTTATGGGTACGGCAAGACTTGGGTGCCAAAAACGGGGCCGCGTCGCTTGACGACATGCCCTAGCAAGCATGTAGGTATTGTACAGATGAGTTTAGGATGTACGAGCTGCAAATGGTACAGGGCATAGACAAAAGCAAATGCAGGACCAAACGAATCAAGACAAGCATAGGCAGGGACAAGATGAGGGCCCAGGGACTGGGGGTCACGTATCGAAGTCGGCCGGGGATCTGTGCCGTACCAGATCGTAGCCACCCGTCACAAACGTACGGTGCAGTAGGGGCTCCGGCACCCAAGTTGGCGGAACCAGGGTGGGATACACTGACCCTCGACTGTCGGGAAGCGTGGAGCATCTGCAAGATCTTACGGGGGCACAGACAGCGCCGCCATCGCATGACGGAGCGAGGAATCACGCTGGTTGGGCTGTTTGACGACAAGGGCCATAGAGAATGGTCATCTTTATCGGCGGGGCCTGAGACATAACTGGCCGGGACATTGTTGCGAATCAAGATCTGTGGCACCCTTTCATCTCGCCTGGTTGAAGCTTGTGTCCAAGCGGATACCAGGGCGGCGACCAAGACCAGTTTGTGAAAGAGACAAGAGTGTTAGTGTTAGTGTGATTATGGATTATGGTGGTGGTTGTAGTTGTAATTGTGGGGTGGATTGGACTTGTGACGAGGAGGCTCAGTTGTATGGGGTCCGAGGGCACGGAAGGCTAAAGAAACCACATACGTATCGACAAACTGACGGCATGGACAGGGCCAGTTCGTTGCTGGTGGCAGTTGTCTAGCCTCATCAAGTACAGTTCTGGACGACATCCCACATGCTGGTCAGAAACTGTGCGGAGTGCGCAATCGATCGGTTCAAGACGTGAGACATGGAAAACCGCATAAAACCCAGTCACGGTGCTTGAGCTGAGACAAGGTCGGTGTCGGGGGGGAAACGATATGAGTGCAGGAGGTTGCGGTGTGGGATTGCTTTTTTCCAGGACCCGAATGATGTCGGGGTTTGTCTCTTTTTGGGGGAAGAAATCGGTGAGTTCGCATTTTGGCTTTGGGCTAGTCGAGAGAAGCACGCTTAAGTCGATTGAGGATTGGTGTCTTGCTGTGTCTCGTGAGAAGCACGGTCGAAGGGTGTGAGTGGACGCATACGTGATTGGATTGTTGATGGAAATAGTCATTGACGTCTGCCAGATTCGAGGGCGAGTGGGTTGAGATTAATGTGGATGTGAATGTGAATGTGAGTGTGATATTGGAATGAGATGGGTATGTTGTTGAGGATGGTTACAGGTGAAGACCAACTAGATAAAAATGTCTTTGATATGAAACTATAGTAGGGTGTCTTTGAAACGGAAGTGGAAAGGAAGGGGCAGGTTGTCCCTTGTTCCTTGCTCCTTACTCCTTGTTCCTTCCATTATGATTGCGACCTGATGAAGATCTATTCTGGTTTTTCCCCAGTGGAAAGTTGCTTTGTCGAGCTGAGGCTGCTGAGTTTTTCGCAGGGCAGGTAGGGCAGGCAGGGAAGCAGGGAAGGACTGTCCCGGTAGAATGGCTCTTGGGTCGTGGCTCATGCACGTGCCTGAACGACGATGCGCACACCAAAAACCCCGTTGGGTATAGCAGCTGAACTACACAGCAAACAAGTGTGCTATGATGCCCAAATCCTCGCCAATTATAGGGGGCTCCAAAGCAATATTGCAGCCACTTTAAGTAAGCATGACACGTCCCGTACATACGGGGACCTGCCCCGATCTCAGCTCGAGCTTGAGCTATCTTGATCCTAGTTAGCAAGTGAAGATCCGATGCGGTACCTCTTTTTAAGGGCCCGCCGCTTGGCCAGAAAGGGAGTTGCGCCCTGTGGAAGCCTGTTTCATTGGTTTTCTCTTTCGTATTCCCTAATCGATAGTACCTGGCGGGACGGCGATTAGGTTACCCTAGACCAGCCCGTCAGATTCCCAAATTTCTCCACAGCCAACCATTTTTTGTTCTAAACCTGGTGTCCCTTGCGTTTGACTCCACGACACTACATCACATCACATATCGTTCAGCGACAAACGACGTAATTATTCGCCTATTATCACAAGCAGGAACACGGTTTGAGCCGGACTCGAATTGCCGAGAAGCTTTCTGATGATTGGGTACCAAAAATAGGCAGTCCCAACAATTAGCTTCTACTGCATACGCCACTGTCAGGAACCAACTGACTCATCATCTCTCATGATGAGATCGTTCCGTGCACCCAGAGTCCCGAGGATAGGGCGACCAGGCCCCCAAAGACGACTGTATGCGGTTAAGGTCCCTGGCGAGTGCCAGAAGGACATCAAGACTGTGGCCGAGCTCAAGGCTTGGGGTCCATCGTCTCATGTGCCTGATGTCGAAGTTTGTGGATGGGTGAGATCAGTACGAAAGAGTTCAGGTGTACGCTTTATCGATATCACCGACGGTTCCTCTATGAGGCCTGTTCAAGTGGTTGTGGACAAAAGCTTGGCTACGGAGTATGAAGCCCTTGGACCTACACCTCATGTCACCACATGACTAACATGCCTGTAGTATGCGTCCAGGTGCAGCTGTCCGCCTAAAAGGAACATGGGTCGATGAGAGTAGGAAACAATCCGCCTTTGATGGATTAGCTGAGGCTTCAGATGCCAAGAACGAGAGTGAGACTTCAGCAGGCCCAGAACAGCCTGAGCTCAAGGTCTTGGAGGCGGAAGTTCTCGGAGGTTCCGACCCTATGGTGCGTCCATCAGAATACCTTCAAACTGAGACCTATTCTCACACATCTCTAGACATATCCAATCCAGAACAAATATCAGACACCAGAAAGCCTTCGCATGATCTCCCATCTACGGTCGAGAACGCCTCTCAACTCCACCATGTTGCGTCTACGGTCGGATGCCACGGCCCTGCTCACCCAGTTCTTCTTTCGCGAGAGGTTTCAACAAACACATCCGCCTATCATCACTTCCTCTGATTGTGAGGGTGCAGGAGAGGCATTCGCGGTCAAGGCGTCTTCGCCTGATGAATTCTTCCGTGACCCCAAGTATCTAACAGTCTCCTCTCAACTTCACCTCGAGTCTCTCGCCCAGGCTCTGGGTAACGTGTGGACTTTGTCTCCAACATTCCGAGCTGAGCAGAGTGACACTTCGAGACATCTCAGTGAATTCTACATGCTGGAGGCTGAGATGAGTTTTGTTGACGACATGAACGAAGTCATGGACCTGACACAGCGCATGCTAAACTCGCTGACTAGTGGGTTGAGGGAGCTCAACGCTGCAAAGGAACTTAAGCAAAACCGAGTTGACTCAAGAGAACCTGCTGAACGTCTCGCTTTCAACGATCTAGTTGAACAGGAACAACTAGATCGTCGATGGCGTGGTATGATTACTACCAAGACTTGGCCTCGGATTACATACAGTGAGGCCATTGAGATCCTGAAGCCTATTGCCGACCAATTTGAGCATAAGCCAACATGGGGCTCTGGTCTACAATCCGAACATGAGAAGTATCTTGCTGAAAAGATCGGCTATGACGAGGCTACAGATGCATACGTTCCAGTCTTTATAACGCAGTATCCGCGGGATATCAAGGCCTTTTACATGCGTCAATCATCTTCATCGCCAGCTTCTGGCTTGACAGTTGACTGTTTTGACCTCCTGGTCCCTAATATGGGTGAGCTTGCTGGCGGCTCTATGCGTGAGCACCGACTACCTCAACTTGAGGAGAACATGCGAGCCCTAGGCCTAGAAGTTCCCAGCAAGCGCTCCGCCGGTGGCAAGGAGCTGGCCTGGTATCTCGACCTACGTCGTTGGGGCTGCCCTCCGCACGGCGGGTTTGGCCTTGGTTTCGATCGACTTCTGAGCTATCTCTCGGGTGTGCCCAACGTCCGTGATGTTGTCCCCTTTCCACGTCACTACCATCGATGCGACTGTTGATTGAAGCCATTGGCTCACCTCTCTCCTCTCACTTCCATCCCCTTGATTGAGGCCGGACACTCACCGTCTTTCCATGCCTGGCAGGAAATTCTCGTTAATGCCTGCCTACCTTGGATAGAAGCCATTGCGCTCCACTTCAGCGAGCGATCTGATACCCGTGTCTTTTTGCTGTGATACGGCGTACAGATCAAGTCAAGCGACACTTGTGTATCCTATCAAGGTAGTCAGTCACGAGGCATGGACCATCTCCCCCTTACCGTGGAAGCGTGCAGGTAAGGTGAGTACTGTGTGACACAGCAATGGGCTTCTCAGGATATGCCAGTCGTGTGATTTGGATGCGGTGAAGAGAAGTTCCTGTGCTGGCTCGGATGAGTGCATGCAGTGCTCACACGATCTGGAATCACTGCACGTTTCCGACGGGGAGAGCACTGGATCTTCCGATGGCGAGGGCGAGGGCGAGATCTGGTTGAGATCGTAGCAGCGAGCTAGGGTCTTCCTGATCACTGATTCATGTTTATATCATCGAATCTAGGGGACTGTATTACTTTCTGTATATTATCTATTGTCACTTATCCAATCTATACATGACTTATGAAGCTAGATCATATACGATGGCTGTTATCATATTGTGTTGACCTCTTTTTGAACTAGCGGACATGATTCCGAGCAAAACATCCCGATTTATGAACCCAATATATCAAATTGTTATCTATCGGGTTCTCTGTGGTTGTGATACGGTAGGCAGAAGGTGAGCATCTGGTAAATACTACGTTAATTTTCAGTCTGTAACGTCTGACACAAGAAACCCGCTAGTAAAGTATCGTGTAGGGTACTTGATGTCCCTGTTCGATGTGTCTTTGAGCTGGTCCTCGCTATCTCATGCTGGGAAGTTATGGCGTTGTATTCCTGAAACTCATCAATCACATAGGGCAAGACCTATAACACTTAGTCAAAAGAGTTCCCGAGTCCGCTAATTTCTCCAGCGAGCTTATTTCATTCTTTATGGAGTAAGAGAGGAGTTTCTGGTTCGTTGTAGACGAGATTGCCTGGTGACAGACCTCTAATGAGGTAATACTGGATGACGGGGAGGCACGTACAGTAGGTGGTTAGGGACGATCCAGGTCATAGTTGTTTATCCTACAAGTCCTCCGTTATACTAGAACGATAATGATTACTGGTTAGTTTCTATCTCAGATCATAAAATTTTCTAATTGCTCATTATGGGAATTCTTGGCACGAAACTAACTGTAGATGGTATGAAACTATGATAATGAGGTATTATTCCGCAGGCCACTAATGTATAGTAAACATGAATAACCCTTCGGTAAGTAAAGGAATGGTGCATGATGTTTAGACAGTCGGTCAGCAAGTAACCATCGAGTTACTCACTCTCTCTTGTGACAACTTCAACTTCTACATAACTCGCCTACCCTAAAGCCACACATCACAAGCTCACAGCTCCTGAGATTCAACACCACGACGAGAATAGATTCCCCCGCAGAAACCACGAAACGGTTTACGAAACGGCAACTTCCTTCACGATCCTAATCCTAAACTCGTATAGGTTACCCTCGCCGAATCAATAGATTCGCAATCCAGACCACGTAACGCAGTCCAGCCCATTCGTGGTTATCTCGGATATACGGCCCCCTTAAAGCAACGACAGCCAGGGGTGGGCATGGCACAATCGGCACAATCTGGATAAACGGCATCGCAATGGCGCGCCAACCAGCAATAGCCCGAAACTCCGCCACCACGAAACGATAGGGAAAGGCTCTCTGAATGATGGGAATAGTTATAAGTAGAAATGCGCGGGTTTGGGGTTCGGGGTCTGGTATCTGGTGCTGCCAAATACAGTTACAGCAATAGTAACGTCCACCAGTGGTAATGCCTGTAGGCAAACCCGCGTTTCATGGGCCACCCGGCTTTGACGGCACGGAATAGAGGGAGATGATTGGTAGGCGACATTAAGGTCGAGGTTAGGTTCGAGTTAAGTTGACTTAACATCGGCAACAATAAGCATATCTGTCCATCTTGCGGCGCATGCCATCATCCCGCGGCGCAGTGATGAGTGACCCAACGATCGTGCCGACGCAGCCGTTTGGGGGTGCGTGTAAGAAGAGAAACACCTTTACTTACTTTGTACGGAGTACATACGCCTAGGGTTAAGCAGCGGGGGTATTTCCGCGATACAATACGATACTATACGATAGTTGACCCAAAAGTCTGTCATCGCGGACCCAAGACCTCGGTGAGTTATGTTATGGTTAATGGCTACGGCATCGTCACTTGTCTGAATGTCGCTGTCAATATGGGTATCTGTGGACTTTTTTCTCTTTGGAAGAGCCGATGGAAGGAAATAACGGGTCTTGGAATAGCAACTCTGACCGTGCCAAGCACCGAGCATCGAAAGGTTCGGCCCTTTGAAGATGCCCCATCAATCGTCACCGAACGGCATCATTTCTTCTAGAGGGCCCGTCGTATTCTTCTATATGGTCTGTCTCCTCCTTGTTAGTTCGGCAGCCCTGATTATTGATAACGAGAGGAATATCCACCGTCACCTGAAGAAAACTGGTTCTACTGAATTGTGTACATCAGTACTCTGTAACGTTGATTAGAGTAGCAGCACCAGCGGGCGGACAAGTCGGTTATAACGGCCTCACGCTTTGAGTGCGTGCGGCGTCTCTTTAGTATCATACCGTATTGTCGACCTTTTTTTACCATGTCCAGTTTTGCCGGATAGTGCCAGAGCAGCCAGACTGCGTACGGATAAGATTGGCCTATCGACGTCTCATGTCAAAGGCACAAGGCCCATGGTACGTTCGTTAGTAAGTCATTCGCAAAAGTGCCCGTTGTGTGTCGCGCTGCGAGACAGAGCGACAGGGGTCTTGTTACTACTTTGAGGAACCCCCCTTCACAGTTGGAATAAGCTTAAGATGAGACCTTGGTAGTGGACAGGGTTAGATGAACTCTCTTTTCTTTGTGTGTGGTTGCTTTTGCATTCTTTTACGGATACCACGGCAGGCAATTCAATGATCGGTTTATGATGTTTATAGTTGAACATACAAGCAGAATACTTGTCAAATGCTTGTGTCATTGTGAGAATTGTGGACATACGTTGATCAGCGGCCAACACCAGCAACTGCAAAACAAGCACCGCATCACAAAAAACAAAGCAGAAACGAAACCATGTCAAAGGATGATCGGTGCCGACTTATCCATAAGACCCCTGGGTCGGGAAATGGGGGCACATTCCGTTAGATAATAGGGTATCCGCTAGTGGAACCTCTGACGATGATAGCACAGCGCTTTGATCCATTATCGTGAAGATGGAGCAGACTAAGCAGACTCTTTTTTTTCTTCTCTGGCTTCTTTGATGGACCCACGGAATTCTTCCATTTTCCTTCTTCCAGCCCCATCGTGCATTTTGCATTTTGCATTTTGCATTCGTATTTCGTCATACGTGACAAATAGATTCATCTGGGAGAGCCTCGCCAAGCCTTAATAATGCCTTTCTTTACTGTCCCTTGACCCATCAAATCCTAACCTTCGTAAAAAATATTTATCTATACAGGGCAGTGATTGGGTCACGGAGTTTCGTCTCTTTTTCTGTACGGAGTATGGATACGCCTTGCCCAATTAAGTCGCTTTAGTGACCCCCTTTTCAGCCTCATCTGACAGAAAGACAGAAAGGCCCAGACCCAACGGGCAGACTCATAGATTATGCTTACCTCTATTGCTCACGGGCTAGCCTGAGCTCAAAACCCACCGACAGCTTTTTTGCCTGCCTCTCCGAAGAAATAGCAAGCCTCAGTGACTAGGACTAGGAATCATTTAGCCAAATGTGATGTTGACCACGCGCCCAATAAAATCCGCCGCACTCGGCATAATATCGCCAAAGAACCCTGGGGCCGCAGCTATTGCGCTCGAGAGAGAGGTTCCGGACCGTCTGTGGCTCACCAGGGTCCTGCACAATGTGGTTTTGTGCCTCATTTTATCCCAGTATGATAATACAGGGCGCCCAGTCCAGACTCTGACGATGGACGGGTCTGGGCAAGCCTTGGCGGGGGAGAAGCCAAGATAGGCTGTATCTCGTCGGTCGAGTCAAGCTACGAAGACGCAAGCACATGGCGCTCTAAGCTCTAAGCGAGCGCTGGCCTGATCTCATTGAAGCAACTCCTTCCTGCTTCCATAGCGGTGATGGCTTGGTACTGTAGGCTGTAGGCTGTAGGCTGGAACTTTGCTGAGGCTTGTCACGATGCAGCGTAACGTGTGATGATACGGGGACTGCCAAGTTACACTAATTTGTTTGAGCTGGTGGGTTTATTATTGGGGTTCAGTTCCTGAACCAAATGGTTAGTTCCGGACTTATCCTTATCAAAAACCAAACCTCGTGGTTTCGGTGATAATTAAGCTTAGCACCCAGCCAAGACATGCAGGAGTACAACCCTGCCACCAACGACTTACCTGGGCATACTTCGCTACTGCCATTCAAATGTCAGATCGAACATCGCAATGGTAAGATGGTACGATTAAATCCTTGGCTGCCTGCGTAGAGCCAGCGTATGAGAGGATCTAGGGTAGTGTAATAACTCCGTTATTCTGTCAATCAGATAGATAGGTGCCTTGTCGCAAGCATTAGTTGATCGCCAACAGTGAGTATTTTCCATGATCCGATTGACTGGGGTCAAAAAGGTCAAAGATGTGATAACAGCGAGCTCGGAGGACCGAGAGTCAATAATTGACGCCTTTCATGACATTCGCCTTTCATGACATTCTTGAGAAATTACCTAGCGACTCTTAGACACTTGGCGAGCCAACCAGAGCAAAACTAGGTTGCAATGATGCGATGGTTAAGATAAATAAGCATGCAGCCACAGAGCGCCAAGCTTTTATCGGGCTGCACGGTAAAAAAAAGAGACAAAGCTTCGCCCGCTGAGGGAGGGTTGAGGTTGCAGAGTCTAAGAGTCTATCAGCATGTGGCGTCAGCCGAGTCATTATCGACAGGGTTCAGTACGGACAGATCGGCACGCGAGAATTAGAAATATGGAGAGGCCCTGTCTAGCGCGACACCTTAACAGCACCGAATAGCAACATGCTTGATGCTCGATACTCGCAGCAGGGAAAGGAAAAGGGCATTTGCATGGGGGGGAGTCTGGGAGATGCCGATATATCCAGATGGTGACATTACGGTCCCGCCATGACGACTTCATGTTATTTGTCCCATCACTATCACTACTATCACCTCCCTATCTGGTAGGACGTCCTGCCTGTAACATTTTCTATGACTGATGATTTACACGACTTATACGCTTTGTGATCATAAATGCAGCATTTATGTTTGTCGTCTGTTTTGACTTGTTTCTGGTTGATAAGAACCCCTGAGACGTCAGTCAGGTCAGCGCTTCTATTCTTGGCAAAGCAGCTTCTCTCGCTTTGCTCGCTTCTTGACCGCGGTTAGTGGGTTTTAGGCTCCTTGCTGGAGGAAGAAGAGGGAGAAGGAAAAAAAAAGAGCCAAGTCAAGACAAATCCTTGATCCACCCGGCACCGCGAACACGTCCGGGAATAAGACGTTGGAAGAAGTGTGCCCCAGATAACCGTAATCAGAAACTCCCTAACCCATATTTGTTTCCCCACTAAGCCCACTAGACACCCCCTGCAAAAGCCAAGACGGTTGGGACGGCATCTCGCAAGAGTCCAAGACCACCATCTCCTTGTCTAAAATGTCCCCTACAAAAGCCACGGGCTCCAATTGACGGCGGACCATGTGTCCTTTTGCGGGCTCAGCAGGGTCCCCTTGAGAACAAGTCTGAACAGTGTGATCAGTGAGCACATTATTCTGTTTGATGAGCGTCGCTGCGGCACTGGGATTGGAAGAGATGCTCTCTTCGCTCTAACCACACGCCCTAGGGCGGAATGGCACCCGTGCCAAGCAAATGGCTGACAACGCTTAAATTCATGCTTAAACCAGGGCGCGTTGTTTGCTCGAATGAGAGACCGGCTGACCAGCGCCGAGCCCTCTTCGATCCGTCTTGGCGGCCGTCAAGGAATTACGATATTTTTCAAACTGGGCGACTCGTAACAACGCCATGTCTTGTCCGCGGACATCGTGAGATGTCGTTTCTCCCACTTATGGGAGATTTCGTGCATATTCTTTCTTGCACCTTTGAGGCTGTCAAATGCATTAAAAAGGCGTATTTAGACTATGTGCTTGAAATGTCGCAGACGCTCAGACTATCTCCACATGCGCGCACTCACTCTACCCAAAACACATCAACAAAAAGTATCACAGCGGTGACAGACAGTCTGACCAATGTACTTGTGATTTCCGCAACCAAAAAAAAAAACGTTGTTTCATTACCTAGGATCATTGGGGGCGTCCATTCTTGGACTTGGCTGGATTGCGTATTAGTGCATCCGCCCAGAGCCGATTTTCCGTGAGCTCGAATGGGCTTCCTCACGCGTCAATTTCAGAGCAGCAAACAGCATGGGTCGTTGGTGTACACCTTGGCTTCGTGTCACGATATAGTATTATGATTCACGGAGCCAAGCTTATTCACAAGCTTGAAGAAAAGAAACAGGGAGTCGAGCAAGCTTAATGCACAGAGGTTTTTGCATGTCGATCATGCTGCGTCAAAGTCTGAGCACCAGCGACAACGCCCGCGACTGCCGGAGCGGTGACAGCATGTGCAGATTAAAGAACAGAAGGTTCTTTTGAAGGAACATAAGAATGATGACCGTAATTTTACAGAGTAATTACTATTGCAGCACATGTCAAAGCCATGGGCCGTGGTTCTAAAGTGACCACCGAGACAAAGGCGAGACATGAAAAGAAGCGCCCAGCTCGGCACCGCGGCACAGACGACGTCATGTCCTGGGGACCGTGGGGAATGGGGGACTTTGACTCAGGCTTCAGGGGGTTCAAAAACCGCCGATTTTCCCGACTTGACCTCACCTTTCAATTGGTTAGAGTACATTCACGACAGTACGGTGCCGCTAATCACAGGGAGTTGCTCTCTGGAACCTGTGTTACGCGTCCCTAAACAGCTCATCTCGTCAGAATAAGCATTGGATGACTGACGGCGTAGTTGATCTCTGAAACCCTTCATCTTTAATTGGCCGAAAAAGAAGTTTATGTAGAAATACACACGGAGCAGGGCCTGGCTCATGTCGGAAACAAAACAGCACATCAAGCATTGATGCACAGTCTAATACCATGGGCTCTCTGCAACGAGTCAACCTTGGCGGTAAGTGGGAGAAAAATAAGAATCTCCAACATGGTACATAGCATGGATGCGTGGATGCCTCCAGTTTTTGAGCCCCGTAACTTACCACGATCAACGTTACCTGTGGTTGCAATTGTCTCCTTCTTCCTTCTCTTTTCAAACACTACACCACGGAAGTGCGTGTATCACGGCAGAGAGAAACTCTGAATGTGGAAACAAAAGAGGTCGCGACAAAAGCCGCTCTACGCCCGTTACCTGACAGGGACATGATCGACGAGCAGCGGCTGCGAGAAGCAGAAACGAGCGCTGCCCTCCCCCAAAACAGGCAAAGCAACGTCGTGGGTCGCTTTCGGAGATTCTCAAATGCTTGGGCTTAAGCTTACCTTGAAGATCTCCATCCCCCTTGGACCCTAATCACTTGAGCAATGTAGTGGTGCCTGGCAGACGTCATCTCATCAGCAAACTGGTGAGCAAAACTCTATTTTACTAGTCAGGTAATTGCACATGGAAGAGCCGTGCGTGCCGATGATGATGACGATGTAAGAAATTGAAGATTCTTTTCGTTGTTGGTTCCTGATCGTATCTACTCTGCTCTGCACTGCTTCTTGGAATAGAATACTCGAAAAGCCACGATGACAATGGGTGGCCCGTGGAGGCTGGTTGTATGGGATTAAGTGCTGACGATGCAATGTTTAAACTGAGCCATCAATATGGCCTACGATAGGGACATGATTAACCGTGCACATATTACGCGCGCAAGGTCCCTCCTGTCCTTGAAGGTAATTGCATGTCGTAGATCTCTGCATCGTCACTTTTCCCTCTTTTGCGTGAAACGCAACCATCAAGCGTTACATCAAGGTTACGAGAAACGGCTCTTGAGTGACAGCAAACAATTCAAGATCGTCTCAGCGGGTGCCTTGAGTGACGAGGCAGAAGGGTATCATCATCACCTAAGCAGGCAGCGAGGAACTTTTCCTCGGTATTTGGAAGCCTGGGCAGGTTATAAAACGACAAAGTACATGATCATCGTTCATGTTGGACAGTCGATCCGATGCTGGGAACTTTTGAGCAATACCTGATTGTCCTTGGCACTTGCAAGGAAATGGAGTTTGATCCACTGTGACCTCTGTAATGCCGTGGTTGTAAACCTGCTGTCTTGTGCGAGCCAAGGCGGCCTCTTGGACGCTCGTAACTTGTAACCTGCCCAGGCGGGTCATAATAGCATCCGCACACCATCGGAGGATATCACCTGCAGAGGATCGATGCTTTAAGAATTTGCCAATATGGTACATAACAAATTAAGTTAATATCCCGGGGTGATAAGATACAACCTAGTACTATTAAACTTATTCTCAATGCCTTCAGAGTATGGATACACTGTGCTGATAGTGTTTTCAATCCACCTGGTGCTCCAGTCGAAAAGAAGCTCAAAGCCAATCCCAAAGAGGAAATAAAGCGACAAATCCGAGGCTGTTCCCGACAACCCCTTGACTCGGGCCACGGCACTTAGTGCCAAGACTCAAATTTGGCTGTTCCAAAAGCCGCATCATCCGCCAAGCGATTTTGGGGATTTGACACAAGCCCAAATAAGGCTCTTGGAAGACGCAACAATAACAACTGTAACTGTAACCAACCCTCATCGGATAATCCCATCATATCATCGTCTGCATTCTTTGTCTGGTGTTTCGGTTCATAAGGGAGATCAGGCATGTTCCGTAGGCTCGAGTCAAACATAATATTGCAGCAAATTTCCATCACGAGCCAAGAACGCGCATCATAATCCTGATAAGCAGTCTCCTTCTCGCTTACGGAACACGGCCTCCTGAACTATTTCTAGACGTGGCCCATCGGGCCTTATCCTGCGCCTCGTGCGGTAGATTTGGGAACATGTTGTTTAACGCTCTTGCAAGCCGAGAGCTCCGTTATATCCAGAGAATGGTGGCTGTCTCTTTTCTTCTATTCGATACACGATATCATGCTGCCTTCAAACAACATAGCGGTGAAAATGTATATGGCACGAGACAGCCAATCTCGTTGATAATCGTCCATGCACGCAGCAGCCAAGACGATCAGCAGCCAAGCTTCAGTGGCTTTTTTATCCCTGCACGGGGTTTTCCAGGAGCAGACTGGTTCAGCCTTTTGATGGGTTCTAGCCCCCAGTCTCGCTGAGGTAATAGCCAAGGGCCAAGGGCCAAGCCTCACATCTCAGCAGACCCAAGCCCAAGCCAAGCCCAGTTGAAATAAGCTCGGGACGACGTAATTGGCCCGTTAGGATATGCTTACTGTTTGGCGTTTGCCGCATTGCCGCATTCGCATGCAAAACAAGCAGGGCTGTTTTAGGGACTTGACGATTTGTGGTGTTGGAACTGAACTGTAGTGTAGGTACTCCGTAACTAGAAACGTAAGCAGGCGTCAAAGCCGTGCCGAGTGCCACAAGCTAGGCATTACGATATTTGCATTCTGAAGATATGATCTGGCCATTGTTAGTTGGGAAAAGGAATGGCCGTAGTATTTGGGGTGATTCTTATGAGTGTTTAGCTGTGGCTAGTCTGGCGTCTTGAAACTGCGAGTGCAGCGAAGGAAGGAAGGATGGATAGAAATGCGCCTTCTCTTATTAGCATCGCCACTTTAGATGACCGCCCGCATGTAATCAACAGGCAGGTACTCCGTACTCTCTCCTCTGATCATCTTGTACTTTATCAACTCTAACTTTGTCGTCGTAATCCTTTTGGCGCAAGAAACTTTGGCTCTGTTGCAGACGCCGTTATCCAAACCCAATCATTAACCATCTGTTTCAGAAAAAAGGCTTCTCGGTGTCCAACCAAACAACCAACCAACCAAAGCAACTCAACTCAATTAATACACATTCGTCATCTCATCTCGAGCCGTTCATCCGCGTTATTGCGCTTGCATTTACAATCCCTTCGCTTCGAACCCCCTCATAGCTCGAACCATAACGACCGAGCTCGTATTAATTGCAGAGAAGCTTCACATTACCCCCGGATCTGTGGCTTCAGGGCTGCTCTAATTATAATCGCCTGGAACGCCTTCCCCACGACTATATCTCCCACTACGGTAGATACAGCTAGACTTTGGAGGGGCCAGACTCAGCTGTACAGTGCTATACGCCAGAGCCAGCGTAGGATGAGCCTTATCGTACGGTAAGTAAGCTTGTTTTAATACTACAACATGATGAGCCTTCACAAGCAGTCATTGTTCATTGTCATCAGATCATTGACGGCTAAGCGGCCTCTCATTCCTTTGCCCACAGTTTCATCTACCAACTACTGATCCGATAGCCGTGATCTGTTATGCATTTCGCGCTCTCTCACGCCTATCATGCCCTTTCTGGCTTCTACTTTGCCCTGGCCCTGCATCGTCATCTTTCCCAAAAGCCCCTTGGTGGTGGGCCCGCTCCAAAAGCTTGTCCTGACCAACCTTACTCAGAGAGCACGCTCGTCTCACCCCCAAGCTCCTAGATGTACACCGTCCCCTTGACATCCTCACACCCTCCTTCTTTGCCGTCCTCCGTGCTTCTCCACACGGCCGGCCATGTTGTCGCCGTGCTATCCACCACCGACTTTACCTTACGCCTCCTGGCCTCTCCAGGACTCTGATGCCTTTGCAACCTTATCTTGCTCTTACCCCTCCCCGTCTTCCCGTCTCGTCCGAGGACACGGTTCATAATTCGCATTATTCCCTACTGACCTCTTCAAAAGGCTTCCATTATACACATTCAACATTGCTATACAAGCTCACTTCTTGTAGCAAATTGGCCGTTTCACCAGCTCAACAACAAACGCAGTGAGCCGCAATTCTCGAGCAACTACACACTTCTTGATAGGTATGTTTGTCACCGTCTCAGATCTGATGTTTTCTCTGGCCTTGGTACTCGGTGTTTCCGGCGCAATACCTCCTTGGTGAGGCGGTTTGGTGCATGGATCAAGTGTCCTGGACGCACTCGTGGGACCGTTGTGCTCAGGAAACGGGGTTTCTCTGGGGCGCTTGAGAGCCGCAATCGACTCCTGTGCACACTTTACTTCAACGTGGATTTGATCTGAATCGCAACTTGGTCCTGGCTCGAGTTGAGTCGAGCAACCGCATGATTGCTTGGTTTATCTTGCTATTTCCGACGAGTTCATGATGTACATCGCCAAGCGGCAAGACTCAATCTAAGGGAAATTTTAGTCGAGTGGATCATCCACTTAATCGGCTCCGACGGCACTCCCGCCAGGGAGTCGAGCCTCAAACCCCTGGATGTGGGCTTGGAGTGTGTCACTGTACCGTTGTGCTTTCCTCTACGACCTTGTTTTAGGGATTATTATATATGATCGCTGGTGTGCAACTTGCATTTTGGGTTCATTTTCTTGCACCTTTTGCTCTTCTACTCTACACAACTACTCTCTCAAGACACTTCAACTTAAAGCACTATATGTCACTTGGCTTATGTACACAAGACTGACACACCTGCCTAGCGTTGTCACTATCCACTCGCCAAACCCGACAATACCTAGCATATACCACGTTGCCACTTGAATATTGGACCTTTCTTCTTCTTCGAGGACCAGACTTTTGACCAGCTCCAACGCTTGTTCTCAGGAACGCCAAGAAAGCAAAAGACAAGCCGGCTTCTGCAAGTGGATACGTGGACAAAATTCCGCTCAAGCATCAGCCCTTGTGGAGTCACCTTCGCACATTCGGCTTTTACAAACACACGCCCTGGCCCGATCTGATCTAGTGGGGCGCTGTACACACCTTAGCTTGGTTCTCACGAGGCCCTTCTTTATAAGGACGCTGAGAACCTACCAAGGCACTGGATCCTCTTACCCCAAAAACTTCTCTGACCTCCCGTCCTTGTGCGGAATACTATTTGACATAACATCACGTCACGTTACACATCTTTCATAATGGAAACGTACCACGGCTATGTGCGGACACCCACCGATGCCATCCGACTGTTTGAAGCCTGCCGATTAGGCGTCTTGCCTCGTGTGCAACGACGGCTCTCGGAGAAGGAAAGGCAATCTATTCGATCTGGCTCTGTTTTTGTGTGGGATGAGAGGGAAGCGGGCATGAGGAGATGGACTGATGGCAAGTCATGGAGTGCGAGCCGTGTGTCGGGAAGTTTCCTGACTTATCGCGAAATGGAGGGCAAGAGAGGTGGTGGTTTCAACACCAACCGACGAGGCGGCGGCAAGACTCCAGACTCTGGACGTGGTAGCGACGAGGACCTAGACGATGCAGAGCCTGAGGGATACCGATATAAGGCAGACGGCCTTATGAAGCAGTCTTTCAGCATCACCACTTCCAACGGCCAACATCTTCACCTTATCTCATACTATTCTCGACCCCAGCACGGTCAGCCTGAACTCCAGCAACCGACAAACGATCCCAGCCTGCGAAATATCGTACCTGTCAAGGGCATGTATCCGGAGTCGAGTATGGGAGAGGCCAACACAACACCTGCTCTCACTCGTGCACCTATGCAGCAGCCTTACATGGTTGCCCCGCCAGGGCAACAACCTTATGCTCCCTACGGCCAACATGGCTATGGCTGGCCTCCTTCTCCTGTCGCTACTCCTCCCTATAGCCACTACATTGCTCCCTATCCTTCTAATGGACCCCAACTGCTCCCACCTCACGCCAACCACGCGAGTCTCCCTCACCCGCACTACAATCAGGCTCCCATGTATGAGCAGCGCACCCATCTTCCACCTCTGCCCAACAAACCATCCTACGCGCAAACGTCTCCCCACTACTCACATCCTACTCTTCCCAGAGCTCACGAGTCTCCTCGTGAGCATCATCTTCAGGCTGCCGCCCAGAGTGCCATGATCAACGGCTCCTCTCGCACTCACCAGGTGGCACTCCCAAGTCTTGGCGCTGTTACCAACGGTCCTCCAGGGTCCTCTCTTGCGGCAATCAGCACACCTCCTAGCCGAACCATGAGCGTCAGCCCTCCTCGAAGCTCCCACTCCGAAGCTCCTGTATCTACGTCCAACAAGGCCAGCCTCTCGGCGCTTCTGCACCCCACTCCCACTCCTGCTGCTAGTGAAAGTGGTAGTGCCAAGCCTGGTAGCGCCAGCAGCAGCCCTAGAGTGTCTGGTGCTTGTGGCTTGGAGAAGGGCGGTGTCAGTGAGGATGCGAGAGCCTTGAGAATGTTGGACCGCAAGTTTTGCATCTAGAAGAAGGACCGCTTAGGGGAGGATTGGAGGTCAGCTTGATGGGATCACATCACGAAAAGGACTATTCATCATATGCATCGTTACGGCGTCTTTTGTTTTATTAGGGACCAGCGACCAGGGGAGGTCTGCTACGGTCACATTCAGCGTGCTTTTTAACGACAGGAAAGGGAAGAGAAATGAATGATTTGGTGTTTACGGATCACACAAGGGAATCATCATAGTTTAGTGATGTTCGTGTGCTATCGCTGCGAAGCGGTGGAGAGTCTTTGGTCATGTACGTATTTACTGAGCAATGCCAGGAGAATATGGACCACATTTGCACACTATCCTGCTTTTTACTGTGACTATTGTTTGAGTGATGTACAGTCCCATTATGCAAGGTACCGTAGGACAAATAAATTGATAGGTCCTTCATCTTGATTGTCATAGCAATACTTGCACGGAACTCTTAGTTGATGGGGGATTGACGCCAATACTCTGCATACGTGTCCATACTAGCCAGGGGCGGTACAGCGGCACCGTGAAGTGGAATTACAGTAAAATAAGGTTGTTGTCAATCCTCAGAATAGTTTTACCTTCCCGTTTACCCGGGGTTTTGGTATCTGGCGCTGGTTAGTGACTCAACACCAAGGGCCGCGTCATCCTGACAATGCCGATATGCCGGGCAAGGCGTAGCACAAAGCGCTGAAGGGAGAGAGTAGAGGACAGACGCGTAAGAAGGAGCCAAATGTGGGAGAGGGGCATCGGGTAGTTCCAAGTACCCTTAATTCTATCCTTGAAGCCTAGAATGAGGTGTGACTGAGGTGGGTTGAATGAAGGTTTTTGCTGTTTTGCGCCATGGACGTGGGATATGAGTGCAGGCGGCAATTTAGATGCCTGGTAGAGGGGTACAGAAGAGGTAACCACAGCAGTTACAAGCACATGCTATGACATTGAAGACTTGAGACGCGTTATTAACTTACAGTATCCGTATTTTTAGGTTGATATACGATGCTACTAATCGTTTGTGGTACGCCTGTTTGTAGCATATATAGTTTAACTTCCGGCGACTTTTTATGTTAACTATTAAGGGTAACCTTAGAGCTGCACAACAGTAAACTCAATCAATCTTGTATAAAAATTCTATCTTGCAAATAATACGTAGGTGGTTCATCGTTCAATGAAGGTCTGCACATACGACCCTTCCAGCAGTGTCGCGTGTAAGTCGGATTATTGATTAGCCGCTCCGTCGCACTGACAGCTGCAGGTGCTACGCGCATCAATGGCCAGAATAATCAAGCTCCGCGACGACCTTGCTATTGTCTTTGTCCACATCAATAGAGGACAATGACATATCAATAGCTGCAAAACAATAATCTCGCTGCTGGATCTGCTCCGACTGAACTCAGATTGACTCGACGATAACCATGCTGCAGCAATCGCTATAACAACATCACCCGAACTCCAAATCGATTTGACTTGATCCTTTCCTTAATCACTTTTGCGCCGATACCATCATGTTCACCTTTTGCCCGCTCCAGGGCGCCCTTTCGGATTCGACTGCTTCGCAATCCCTTCTTGAGCTCGATGGAGGCGTCAAGGTTTTGGTTGATCTAGGATGGGACGAAACCTTCAATGTTGAAAAGCTGAAAGAGATTGAGAAGTATGTACCACTGCGCAGCTACTTTCGAGGGAGGATCATGATGATGGCTAACAAGATATACGCTTTAGACAAGTTACAACTCTATCACTCATCCTCGTTACACATGCGACGGCCTCACATCTTGCTGCTTACGCCCATTGCTGTAAAAACATCCCACAGTTCACGCGCATTCCCGTATATGCGACACGACCCGTCATCGACCTTGGCCGCACCCTCATCCAAGATCTTTACACATCAAGTCCAGCCGCAGCGACAACGATCCCTCAGAGTTCGCTCACAGAGAGCGCATATTTACTTACGCAAACCGCCACGACTGCGCAAAACCTCCTCCTTCAATCCCCAACCAACGAAGAGATTGCGCGATACTTCTCTCTTATCCAACCTCTCAAATATTCACAACCTCACCAACCTCTACCGTCGCCGTTCTCGCCGCCACTCAATGGTCTGACTATTACTGCATACAATTCCGGACACACCCTTGGTGGTACGATATGGCATATTCAGCATGGCTTAGAATCGATCGTGTACGCGGTGGACTGGAACCAAGCACGTGAGAATGTCTTTGCTGGTGCAGCTTGGTTAGGAGGCGCAGGAGGCGGTGGTGCCGAAGTTATCGAGCAACTACGAAAACCAACTGCACTGATCTGCAGTAGTCGTGGTGTTAACTGGACGGCCCAAACTGGAGGTCGCGCGAAGAGAGACGAACAGCTGATCGATACAATCAAGGCTTGTGTATCACGAGGAGGAACTGTACTGATTCCTATAGACTCAAGCGCTAGAGTTCTGGAGCTTTCTTACCTCCTAGAACATGCCTGGAGGACAGATGCTGCTTCCGACTCAGGCGTTCTCAAGGCGGCCAAGTTGTACCTGGCTGGACGCAACATGTCTAGCACTATGCGATACGCCCGAAGTATGCTCGAATGGATGGACGATAGTATCGTGCAGGAATTCGAAGCTTTCGCTGAGGGTCAACGAAAGGTCAACGGTGCCAACGACAAGAAGGAAGGAGGCCCATTCGACTTCAAATATCTACGACTACTTGAACGGAAGGCTCAGATTGCACGACTGCTTAGCCAGGGTACGGGGAATGTTGAGACAGGAGGTCGTGTTATTCTAGCAAGTGATAGCAGTATCGAATGGGGATTCTCTAAGGACTTGATCAAGGGATTGGCCCGCGACTCGAGAAACTTGGTGATTCTCACAGACAAGCCGGGTCTATCAAAAGATGACAAACCGTCAATCGCAAGAACACTCTGGGATTGGTGGAAAGAACGTAAGGACGGCGTGTCAGTGGAGCAGAACAGCAACGGCGAGAACATCGAACTTGTTTATGCTGGAGGACGAGAGTTGGAGGTCCGCGAGCCTCAGCGTCATGCTTTGGAAGGAGACGAGTTGGCACTATATCAACAATGGCTTGCGACCCAAAGACAACTCCAAGCGACTCAACAAACTGGAGGCGTGGCTGGACTCGAGGCAGCAGCGGATGTTGTCGATGATGCTTCATCTGAATCCTCATCTGACTCGGAAGATGAAGATGGCGAACAGCAAGGCAAGGCACTCAATGTTTCGACAGCCATCGCCCAGGCTGGCCGCAAGAACGTGGTGCTCAAGGACGAGGATCTCGGTATCAACGTGCTCATCAAGAAGAAAGGCGTATACGACTTCGATACTCGAGGAAAGAAGGGCAGAGAGCGCACATTCCCTATCGCTATTCGAAGGAAACGACAGGACGACTTTGGAGAGCTCATTCGACCTGAAGACTACCTCCGTGCTGAAGAGAAAGAAGAGGAAGGACAGGACAATGCTGGTCTGGAGGCCGCTGACGATAAGCTTGGCAAGAAGCGTAGATGGGATGATGTTGCCAAAAACGGGCCTGGCTCCAACAAGCGTCCACAAGCTATACGGGCCGGTTCTGCCGACGGAGACGAGGCTGGAGCTGGCGAGGGCGATGGCTTCGTGCCTGATGAACTCGACAGTGTTGAGGATGTTGAGCCTGAAGAGCCCACAGGACCATGCAAACTCACATATCACACCGAAACCGTTCAGGCCAACATGCGTATTGCCTTCGTCGACTTCAGCGGTCTTCACGATAAGCGAAGTCTTAACATGTTGATCCCCCTTATCCAACCCCGAAAGCTCATCCTTATTGGTGGTGAGCGAGATGAGACACTTTCTCTCGCCGAGGACTGCCGTCGGGCATTGGGAGGAGAAGGGAACAATGCGAATAACTCCGGTAGCGACCGTTCCGTTGACGTCTTCACCCCTGAGATTGGCGTCGTGGTTGACGCGAGTGTTGACACCAACGCCTGGGTTGTCAAGCTTGCAGACCCTCTGGTCAGAAAGATCAAGTGGCAGAATGTTCGTGGCCTGGGCATTGTCACTATTACCGGACAATTGCTTGCTACGCACCTCAACGAAGCCGCTGGAGATGAAGATACTGCCAACAAGCGCCAAAAGACCGATGAGACGCCCTCATCCATGACGCTCACCACTATGGCCGCTGCTCTTCCTTCAGCCACGCCGGTTCTCGATGTTCTCCCTGCGAACCTCGTGTCCGCTGTTCGCTCAGCGGCGCAACCACTACACGTTGGCGATCTGCGTCTTGCTGACCTACGTCGTGCCATGCAGTCCGCTGGACACACGGCCGAGTTCCGTGGTGAAGGTACACTAGTTGTTGACGGCACTGTGGCTGTTCGCAAGACATCTGCAGGACGTGTCGAGGTTGAGAGCGTAGGCATGCCGACCGCACGGAGAAGCACGTTCTACGAGGTGCGTAAGATGATATATGATAATTTGGCGGTCGTGGCTGGTGCATAGAACACCTACGGAATAGTATACAGGAAATTAGGGGCCTAAAACGAACAGGTGAAGAGGCGTAATCGATGGGATACGCGGGGTTTTGTACGCTATGGAAGAAAGCCACGATAGAGAGGTGCATTCTCGCTGGGGAATAAGAATTTGGTTATTGAGCCATTACATGGTTGGAGATGGAGCGAGACTAAGTCGAGATAGATCCAACAAGAGGCTTGGTAGCCACGTCTTTTACGATTGATAAATCTGGTGGCCCCTTGCTTCAACTTTGATGTGCTCTAAGCTACAACAGTTTATGGACATCGAATATAGTTCACAAACAGACGCGGTTCTAGAATTATTCAGGGGTTATTAACCCCGAATATCGAGTTGACATCATTCCATTTGTTTTCGAATTGTCTCATTCAGTGTCAAACTGCTAAAGACACGACTTTACACCATGATCAGAAGCTCTTCCATATTAACGTACATAAACGGCTTGAAGAGCACCTTAACGCCTAGCAATGCATGCCTATCCTATCCAAACATATCTAAATCCCCGTCTAGTCTCTTTCATCTTACAGGCTGCATAGGCGCCATCTCGTACTCCCCACCACCATCCGCGCCCCTCCCTCTCACGGCAATACCCATCTCTTCATCGCCAGCGGGAGGTTGTTGCGCTACCGCGCCTTCAGATCCTGTGGCAGGGAGAATGGGACGGCCACCGAAGAAAACGGGCTGTAGTTCACGGTATTGGCAGCCCCAGGTGCCGAGACCGACGGACACCGCGGACGAGGCGAGCATCGTGAACCACCAGGCGCCGTGGCGGGGGATGTGGCCGCTGTAGAGGGATGCGATGACGAGGTGGAGGAAGTGGACTGTTACGGCGAAATCGGGGACGAGTTTGGATCGAGCGATGAAAGCGACGATTGCGATGGAACTATAGAGCGTTAGTAGCCATTTTTGAAATACCTTGACCCAGCCGGGGATATTCGCAGTTTGCGCTCCTCCCAAGACCACTCACATAATCAACCCTCCATCCAATAACCAGATAAATGCCATGAGCCAACCATGCGTCGTATCACCCCTCACGCCCTCCCAGCCAAAGACAAGCGTCCAGCTAAAACCCGAGCCTGACACGAGCGCCGTGAAAACGATGAGCACCAGCGCGGCGAAGTAGTAGATGGCCTGCAGCGTCGCGATCTGGCCTGCGATCTTGAGGGGGGCTAGCTCTGCGAGGGCGCCTGCGCGCGGAGGTTTGCGACGTCGTGGCATTGCAGTTTTTGTGTTGATTTCAAAGCCGAGTTTGGTGTGTGAGGTTGAAGTTGTTTTCTAGCGTGTGGAAGAGTCGTCGGTCATCGAAGGGGCATGTCTCGTGAGGTCTTGTGACGTCTGGTCCGATGGACTTAAAGCTTTAAGCTCCTGAATCTCAACCCTTTGCTATCCAACTCTTTCTTCCGTCGTAGATAAAAACTTAAAAATTCGGCAGCCACGAGGGGTCAGTGCAGACAAAGAAAAAGGAAAGGTAAAATTAGAGGATTTAAAGGAGGGAAATGAAGTAAAGTGTAAGGAGGTTTGTGTCGTGCTCCTCACAAGCAAGTGTACAATAAATCAAAGGACAGATTAAAGAGCATCAGCCACACGTAAGTCATAGCTACCCTGAAACGAGGCTTATGTAGCATCCGCTAAGCCGTATCCATCCCACCGCCCGTTGTTTTCTGCCGCTCCCGCTCGTCATACCCTTAGAAGGTAGACGACTCATGAGATTTTGAGCCACCATAAACTTATGCCGTTTGTCCCGCTATTACAGCTACACTCGAACCATCTCGACCACTCAATTGAATCCCCATACACACACGAGCACACATACACCAATACCATAAACACAATGGGTCTCTGGCCATTCTCAAGCGAAACGCGCGCCGACGCCATCCGTTCCGGCGATGCCATTCCCAACCGCCAAGAGCGCAAGATCTGCTGGGCCGCCCGCGACGCCTACTTCAACTGCCTAGACGCCAACAACATCGTGGACGCAACCAAGGACCCCTCAGCTACGAAGCGCGCATGCCCGACGGAGACTGCAGATTTTGAGCGCGACTGTGCTGCTGCATGGGTGAAGTACTTCAAGCAGTGGCGGGTTGCGGACATCCAGAAGAAGCGACGTCTGGATGAGCTGAGGGCCCAGGGTGCGCAGGAGATGACTGTCACAACGAGCTTTGCACCCGATGGTGGTGCTGGAGAGAAGGGCAAAGGTGTGGGGGATATCCAGACTTTGTTGGAGCAGAAGAAATAAAGGACTTGGTTGAAGCGAACAACAAGTACCTGACGACTTGAAGATCCTGGATGAGACAATATACGAACATGGATACGGAAAAGGTTTCACAAAGGCCAAAAGCTTGTTATGCATATATGTATTGTACCATTGTAAACTACCATACACCAACTCACCCCTACATGTACAATTAACTGTACCGTACAACTTCGTCAACCTCTTCCATTCCTTCAAATAAGACAACTCGAGTCTTTATCCTACCAAATCTATGTATTCCTACTACCTAAGTCCCTGTGCAAGCCCTGCCAGCCTATGAAACCCAAAAAAGAGGACAATAAGTATAGGACAAAAAGGAATAATCATGTGAAAGGGGCACTGAGAATTGAATGGCAATCAGGAAAGAATAAATCAAAAACAAACTGTAGCGTGCTAAGCGTGGTGGTATCATCCATGTCTTCTTCTTTTTTCAATAAAGGAACCATATTTGTACTTCGCTCCCAAGATGCTGTGTCGCCTCCTTCTGCGATGCAGCTCGGCTCGCCACCTGTCTGAGTGCTTCTCAGCTTCGTCGCCGACAAAGGAAATTGTGATTGAAATAGAAACGTGCTTTCGTAGGCCGAGTCCATTATGCCAAAGGTGTTGAGACAAAAAGAAGGAAAAAAGAAAATAGTGCATGGCTGGTCAAGGAAAGGACCAGAATAACAGGGTGTCGCCAGGTGTCTCTCGCTTTCTAATGCATCATTGTTGGTTGACGATGGTGACGTCGCTCGTCAACCTTTGTGTATCCGCGTCGTTCGCTTTCTTAATCGTGAACCCATTTTTTGTCCTCCTCAATAAGCTTGGTTTGGGGTTGGTCGCAACCTAAGCTACCAGTCGTACTCCGCTGTCGTCCTTCCTCGGCAGTGGCGGCAGCTCCTTGTTGAGGCTGTCAATGCTGACCCTGTTTCCCTGTGTAGCCCCATTGTTGGGATGAGCTGTGCTGTTGCTGAAACCTGCATACCCGCTATCGGCGCTTCCAGGCCCAACATATCCAGACTTGGGAGGAGTTGGGGGCGGTGCCCTTGTTGGTGGAAGACTCTTGTTGAGATCCTTCAGGGGTGCTAGAGGTCGATCGTCGTTGTCGTCGCGTCCATTTTCGCCTGCCTCCTGCACAACCGGCAGAATAGGCTCGTGCTGCATTGAGTCGCGAGTGCTAGTGGACAGAACTCGTTCTGGTACTTCAGCCTCTGTGTGGCCATGTCTTTCCGATCGCTCGGCCTCCTTGTTGGCCCTGTCGATTGTCTCCTGGGCTTCTGGAGACTGTGGAGGAGGAGGGGGAATATGGGATGGCATGGGTGGAACAGCTTGAGATGACTTGCGAGAGCTCCAGCTTGCCACCCTCTTTTCTGAACGCTGTGCTTCAATCATTTCCTGGTGTCGCCTCTCAGCCTCTCGGTGGGCCTCCTCAGTGGACATGGTGACACCCTCGATGAAATGGTAGAACCGATCACCATACTGGTCAGGTGGCAGTGCTGAGATCTGGGTCTTGTCACTGGACAGACCCTTCCAGAAGTGCTCAAGCTTCTTGATTATTCCATACTACTCGTGTTAGTTAATGTTGTCTTCAAAATCAGGCCAGAACTTACGTGAGTGAGACAGTCAATGACTCCTAGATAATAGATCTCATCGCCAGGAGTGTTATCTTCGTGGGTTGCCCTAAACCCACCATCATCCTGTCCGAAAACCCATCCAGGACGATGCTGACCTTCTTGCAGCTCATCTGGCATCTTGTTTGCCGACTGACCCATAGGTACTGGTCTTTCTTGCCGAATCATTTGCCGCAGTTCTCTGGCCTTTCTTGCGTTCTCTAGCTTAGATGGTGTGCGGAGAAGGACCGAGTTAGGATCATCATCGGGGGCCTTCTCACCGCCAGGGTTAAATACTTGTAGCGTCTTGTCACGGAGGTTCTCCTCGTTCCCACGTGAGACATCATGTATGCCAACCAGCAGCGAGTAGTCCATAATCTTAAGTCGTTTCAATAGAGCAACGTCCCGTTGCAACTGCTCGAGGAACATGCGCTTTTTCTGGATACCCAACTCCAGGCTTCGTTGTCGTCTAAGCCAGTTCAGATCCTTTAGTGTTGCTCGGGGGTTCTTCTCCAGATCTTCTTCCCTGTAATCTCGACCGATGGTAGAACCCTTCAGATCGAAAGTAGTGTGAATATCGCGGTGTGGAGGGAAGAGATTGTTCATCACAACGAAGTGAATCTTCTTTCCATAGGGCATCTTGACGCGGTGCAAGCCGTAAAACTGCGAGAGAAGCATATTGGGGTTGTCCTTGACATGCTGGTAGTATTCCTTGAGAACCTTGCGGAGAAATTTATGTTCGGCGTGATGAATGGTCTTGATGATATACTTATAGTCTCTTGAGAAGTAAAAGAAACTTCCGCTCTTGCCAGGGGACCCAAGCTCAGAAAGAATGTACTTGCCCGTGAGCGACATGAGATAATCAGCAGGGTCCAGGTTGAAGAGAGATCGAAGACGGCGGAAAACCCATGGCGCGTAGTCCTTGAACTTAAAATCGTACTTGGCTGACGGTACTAGCTCATTACCAGCAATGTCGAACGTCGATTTCTGCTTAGTATCAAAATCGGCATCAGTCAACTCTCTGTCGAGCTTAGCATTTGTCCTCGAGACCGAAACACGAATGCCTGTAAGCATGTTGTAGGCGGTCTCCCAGTTGGCGTGAGTCTCGTCAACTTTGGTGCCTACCAAAACTCGGTCATCGTCCTCTTCTTCCTTTCTCCTCCGCTTACTAGCTCTCTTCTGTCGCAATGCTTCTGCCCAGCGAAGGGCATCTTCATCCGGCACGATTTCATCCCGAGGCGCATCCGACTGCATCGACCGAGTTGGTCTTCTACCCATACTCAAGGAAGGGCGTCGCCCGCTCGGTGTTCCAGCGTTAGTAGGAGAGAAGCGTCCACTAGCTTGAGCTGTGTCCATGCCGTCCCTGGATCCACGACCTGGAACATACTTGGGTACATCAAGAGTGTGTCGCTGTTTGAGGCCAGGTGGAGGAGCTTGTAAGTGTCCTGTTGATGAAGCCGCTGCACCTGCCGGGTTGTAGGCTGGCGGGGATGATAATCGATGAATGCCATTCGTACGAGGGTGCAGCGTCTGCGCCGCATCGGTAGTCGCATTGGAGTTTGCTGTTAAAGCAGTTTGTGATTGAGCACCACGCGACTCCATGGGGAGTGGAGAGACCGAGAGTGCACGGTTTCCATCGAAGCTCCTGCTGTTGGGCTTCTCAAAGCCTTCCTCTGGTGCTTGAGGTTCTGAGGGCAAAGGCTTTGACAGAATGTTGTGATATTGATAGTTATTGGTGTTAGAATTGATGCCGTTGGTATCGGATGAGTGCTGACGAGTACGATCAACTAGGCTCGTGGTACCGTTCGTCATTTGTTGTTGGCCAAATCTGTCGACTTCCGCGGCATCATCTTGTCGGGGAGGGTAAACAGCCGTAGCAGACTTTCCATTAGAAACAGAGCTCATACTCGTGGGCCGCGTGCTGTTACTGTTGCCATTCATGGGCGTCGGTGTAGACTCGGAGACGTCGGACGCGTGTGTAGAAGAAATGGAACTCTCGTCAAAGCTCTCATTGATGGTATCGGATCGGGCGTGGCGGATAGAACCCCCATTCACCCTCTCCTTGTTCACCAAGTCGAACTGATTCGTGGGATCAAGGTTGAGAATGTCGGGGTTGTTGCTGAAGATTGCCGAATTGTCCTGATCAGAGAGAAACGATGGCATTTCGAGCGGGGATCTAATAAACTCGCTGGAGGCCAAGACCAGCGAGTGCTGACGCGGTAGATGCTACTTTGGCAAAGCGATGCTAATTCGAGACTAATCGGGGGTTTGGGATGGGATATTTGGCGATGTCGTCGAGATGTCGTCGGGATTTGCGATGACTTAATTCGGATCGCAATCTTTCGCTCTCGTTGACTCTGAGTTGATTGTTAATGTTGTCGGTAGAACAATGGGCGGTAGAGGAGAGAGGGAAATTGGTTCGAGGGCCTTGCTGGCTGGGCGCACGGGGGGATGCTTGGCGGGTCGGCCAATGAACAGGGCAAGGACACCGCGTTTGGGGAGAAGAAAAGCCAAGAGGAAATGGGGGCCCAACCTGTATCGAAGAGTTAATAAATCGATGGAGAGTGAATTGTTGGTGTTGAATGAATATGATGGTATCGAGAACAGGTTTCGTAGATCGGGATCCCGCTAACGTGCTATGGAATTAGTTTGGTATGGGTGTGAGGTAAGGTGATGTGAGAGACGGAGACGGGAAAATGGTTCAATGGTGGTGAGGCTGGGAGAAATCCGGGCGGGAAAATGACGGGACCTCAGCAGCTCCTGCCTTGCCTGGCATGTACCTAAAACTGGAAATGAGGCGTCCTACGTCCTGTAGGGAAAGAAGAGAAAGAAGGGGGAAGGACTCATGTGAGACGGTCCAATGGGATGAGAGAGGTCCGGCACCCCGGCTGATGAAGATGTGAATGGGTGGACGGACTTTGTTTTACTGGGTACAGCGTATTTTCAGGGCACCTGGCGGCGGGTTGTAATGACTCTCCACCCGCTGAAGCAATGCAGCCAGGCGTTGGACTGTGAGAGGTCCGCTGGCCATCGGGGAGGAATAAATACTGGGCACGAAATTTACTGGATTTCTGGCATTCCTCGCTCGGATATTAACTACAATGAGATAATAGAAATGTAGAGAAATAGTCTTTTGAGTGAGGTTTAGTGATCTTGTGATTTATTTTAACTGAGAAGAATACTTTTATTTGTCATTAACATACTCGATTAAACATATCTTGGTGGCAGTTCTATTCCCCCCTAGCTGGGAGGGTTTGCGTGGCATTGAACTGTCCCATCACACCTAAGCTTCCATGGCTTTGAGGCTTGGCAAACGGCGTTGGGCATCCGATATTGAAGTGGCTTTTAGTATGGCGTTTAGCTCTAGATCTTTACTCCATACCCTCTAGATGTCATTCTAGGCCATGTTCGATCATTGGAGAATGAAGACGCCATTTGATGTAATCTCAGGTACGGAGTACGGAGTACGAAGTGCTGGTTTGTGAGTTGGTTGGTGTTGTGAGACTTGATGGTAACCATAATATCCTTCTGTAACTCGCCAAGAGTGACAAGAATAGCAGAACTGCTCTCACATTGATCAAAGGCTGGCCAAAGACTGACAAACATTAACGAAAGTGACAATAATACTCAAAGGTTGAACAATGGTCTGGGCAGAACTATACACAGATCGCACACATCCAACAACTAGTATCCGTAAATTTGTGGTTCAATGTCATCCTTGTCGTGATGCATAAGCTGAGCATTGTGGATAAGGAGTTTCTAACTGTGTCTTCAGCATGAAACCTCGAGCATTGAATGTTACTCATATTATCCACAGATTCTATCTTAAAGCCTTCAAAGCAAGTGATCCCAACTTAAGTACGTACAACAGAGTCCATACCATCAACTGAATTCTTTGTTATTCTACCTATGATCTATCCCCTCACTGGGGCTCTAATTCAATAGCGCGGTCATCTGCAGCGTCCCGTCGGTATCACCCCAGGCACCGTTTACACAGCCACGGGGGAAGACCCGCTTCCCCCCATATCCAATTCCAATGATATCCTCAATCTCGTTTTCACACACAAGTGATAATGTCAAATAAGATGGATGGGGTATGCAGCTGAGCTTCACTCATGAATGGAACCACCTGTACCTACTTCGTATCAGTGGTGGCATGTGAATTAGTGGTGTTTCCGCAACTCAAATTCTGCCAAAACGGACGAGTCAAAGAATGGCAACTGATCGCCAAACATCACCGTCTTGGCCGACATGCTGATGGACAAGATCGGCACTTTCTTGCTCTTGTGTCTTTATTTATCCCAAGACACTCTGCTCCTAGTGTCTTCACCGCTGGCACATTTCGTCATGGCTGCGACCCTTAACTTACTACTGTACGTATGACACCAGTATCGTGCGTGAAACCAACATGATATTCAATGCCTTGGCCTTGAGAGTATTAGCCCAGGACTTTACATTGTACTACAATATCCAGACATCGTCGTAATTGCCATGTTACCCATAGCCACGATCACTTCATCACATAAACTTCATACAAACCCAATGCCAAGCTCCTTCATAACTCACTCAGTTCACCACATACCAAACCTAATGAATTCCTCAACGTAAAAGCATCTCTTATACTCTTGGCTGCCTCTTGACCCCAAAGAGCAACAACAAAACCCTCCCCCTGCCGACCCTTTCACAAAAGCACGTCCCTCTCGGGGTTGGCGAAGAATGCGACCGCCCGTGACAGCTGTCTCAGGGATCCACCGTTTACGCAATCTTTCACGATGCGTCAAAACACGCACCATAACTAAATCTTCTTGGCCTCTCATTATCATTATTTTATCATTATTTTAGAGGGCATTAAAGGGTATAAGGAGGGGTGTGATTTTCAGGAACGTTATGCTATGACTGTCGAGCTAACGCAGCATTGTTGATCAGTCCATAAATACTTGCAAGCCCAGTCCCTGTTACACAGGCTCGAATTCCAGAGTTACTCACTGATCATTGTGTGTTCTCAAGAGTATCTTTCAAGCTTCTCACAACGGCCTCACAACTACAGCTGCAACTGTTGTTGAAGTGACTACTGCGTGGATGCCAAAAGCAAACCTTCATCGAGAGCTTACTGCTTGAGATGGAAGTTGGTAATCACTCAGCTTCCATACGTGTTGTCTCGTGGATATACAAGTGTCAATGATCTATCAGTCAACCCGTAACGTCACGAATCATCACTTCAAGAAATTGGCACATATGTATGAAAGGGAAGTGGAATGTTCCACCGTTTTGCTCAAATAACTATCTGCCTCACCAGCTCCAGCCACATTGCCGATAACATGCAACGGCACGAGCCGAGCCGGTTCGAAAGCCATCCAGTCCATTCAGTTTCCCTCTCAAGTGATTTTTTGTTTTGTTTTTCTGATTTGATCGTTTTCGCTGTCACTGTTTAGCAGCAAACGTTTTGCTGTTTCCTTCCTCAGTCTTGCCGCGTGAAGCTTTGGTCGAGCCAAGACTGCATCTTGTCCTTAGGAAAGAAGTAGAGACCAAGTGTGGTGATGTTACCCATAGGTCTCATCAAGCCCTTTCGAAACCACCAATACGTTTACAGAGCCGCCCCTACTCGTCAGGGCCGTTCGTCCAGCGTATATCCGTCGTCAGGGTATCATATCCCCCGTGCGCTCCGCCGCCGAGGTACCGTTCATCCCGCAAGTCAGTCGCAGAAATTGCAACCCTCAAATGCAAACCGAGGGCAACGCCATCCGCGCGAAAAGCCTCGAACGCCTCGATTCTCGAAATCATCACCCTTTCCCTTCTCCCCGCACCGGTTGGCTGTGCCCAGCCCCCAAAGCGGGTATGTCTACCGTGGTCGATGCCCAAGAACACCTTTTCCCTGGAAGTTTCATTTCTCGCTCTCTTTCATCATCCGTAGATATCATGAGCCAACCCAGACAGAAAGTCAAAGCCGATGGTAGTGGTACAGCTTACAGGTTCGTGCAAAAAGAAGACCAATAGGTTATCAGTCCAAAAGCGTGCGAACCATGCGAGTCAGTACTCGCCAGTGTGCTGAGTCTTTGCGTAGAGACTCCTTGTAGAAGTATCGATGTAGTGGTGGTCCATCGGCAGTGAAATCCGTTCACTGTCCCATCCATTCGCGGAAAAATATGCGAATAATGTACAATCCAACACTGAAATAACTGCCCAGTACAAAATAAAAACCGTGTCAAAAAATTCATCCGAAAACCCCCTCTCGCCCGCCTAACGCCATGCATGAGTTATATGTGATATTAGGGTTGGACATCGCGGGGTGGGCCGCGACCTCGACCACCTGTGCCTTGGCCACCGCGGCCGCGATACCCACGACCACGTCCACGTCCTCGCCCGCCGTTGTAGTGCGGGTTACCGTGCTGAGGGTTTTGGCTCTGCCAGTTACCCTGGCCTTGCTGGGGCAGACCAGCCTGCTGCGTCTGCTGAGGCTGTTGAAATTGCTGCTGCTGTGTTTGCTGTTGACCCTGAGCAGCAGGGAGTTGACCCCGTTGGAGGTTCGAAATGGGTCGAGGAATAGATTCGGGGTTTTCGTAGACATAGAGACTCTTGTCGATGCTGGCGGGGATGGGGTGAATCTCGGTGCCAAGATCTCGTTCGATGTTGTAAAGGTTGAAGCGGTCGTCCCAGTTGATCAGGTTAATAGCCAGACCAAGATGGCCATAACGACCAGATCGACCGATACGGTGAAGGTAAGTCTCGGCGTTCTTGGGGAAGTCAAAGTTGATGACAACGTTGACAGCCTGGATATCGATACCACGGGTGAGGAGATCGGAACAGACCAGGTTTCGGCAGACGCCGTTGCGGAAGTCGTGGAAAACACGGTTTCGTGCGTGTTGCTGCATCTTTGCGTGACTGTAGAAGCAAGAGTATCCAAGCTCGGTAATTTTCTTGGCAAGAAGTTCGACTCGGTTGGTGGAATTGCAGAAGATGATAGACTGGTTGATTTGGAGCTTGGAGAAGAGGGTGTTCAAGCAGTGGACCTTCTGCTTCTCTTCGACAAAGGCGTAGTATTGGGTGATACCTCTCAGAGTGAGCTCATCCATCAGGTTAATCTCGTAGGGACTAGTCATGTTCTTATCGGAAAAGTCTTTGACAGACAGAGGGAATGTGGCGGAGAAAAGCATAACCTGTCGGTCCTTAGGGTGGAATTGAAGAAGCTGCTCGATAACAGGAGTGAACTCAATGGAGAGAAGCTTATCGGCTTCGTCCATGATGAACATAGGGCATTCGCTAAGGTCGGCAACATTCTTGCCAGCGAGATCGAGGATTCGACCTGGGGTACCAACCACAATATGGACGGGATCCTGCAGACGAATAATATCATCTCGAAGACCGGTACCACCAGTCGTGACCATGACGTTGATACCGAGATGCTTGCCAAGAGTCTTGCATACTTGCGAGGTCTGCATAGCAAGCTCACGTGTGGGGACAAGGATAAGACATTGGATCTTTGAGACCTTGGGGTTGATGCGTTCCAAGGTAGGGATGACAAAGGCAGCTGTCTTGCCAGTGCCGTTCTTTGCTCGTGCAAGAATATCTCGACCGGTTAATGCGACGGGGATAGCTTCCTCTTGAATTGGTGATGGCTTCTCAAATCCTGCCTCGAAGATACCCATAAGCAGATCTCGCTTGAGGGCAAAGTTCTCGAACTCAAGGCCCTTTGTGTTTGTAACATCCTGACGGTCGAAGTTAGCTTACGGGAATGCGCCAAGAAAAGTGATTGGAGTAGGCACCTCTGTTTGTTGTCGGTTATCCTTGGCGGGAAGGTTTAAAGTCTTCTTCCATTCATCACCCGAGGCGGGAGAGCCGTCACTGCTCGAGTTAGTCCAAGCTATCAAGGGCCGCTAGGACGGCGCAGCGGACCTAAGTTGGGTAGAATTCAGCCTGTCTGCTAGCTGATCCGCCATTGCGTGTATAAGATCCGTCTACGGATCGAAATGAAGTGAGTGGTGAGGTATTATGTGAAGAATAGAACGGAGGTCGGCCTCTCGAGTGTAAGGGCGCGAGGGAGGCAGCAGGTGAGGAGCTGCAAGGCGTGGTTGGTTTGTGTGGGGAGAGTCGGAGGAAAATCGGCGCGCGAACTACCCGAGAAAGAAAGCTCGGGGATTAAATTGTTTTGGTTAGATAAAAGCGCGTTGTCGAAGTCGTATAGAGAGGTTTGTTGTCGTCGTGGGGTGTTTGAAGGTATGGATCTTAGTGGAGGGAAGAAGTAGAGTAAGGTAGGCTCAGTCTTGGAGTTTGAAGGTGAAGGTGACGATAGTGTGTGCCTCATTGCGGCGGAAGGCCCTGCGCTTGTAGGTCACGTGTTGGCGGGGCAGCCCGGTTTTATCAAGAGCAAAGCTTCTGTTAGCGACTCCTGGAATATGCCAAGGAGTTGATTAGTAGAGTGTTGCTTGGTGGTGAGTTCTAAGGTTTTACAGATGCGAATAAGAACACACAGAGCGGATGATTGAGGCAGCAGAGTTTGTTTGTTGATTCTATGCCACCTACCAGCGTTAAGCAGGGGCCCAACTCAATCGCCTTCTACAAGCGAGGTACACCTTGTCACTGAAGCCCGGGGTTCGTTCTTCCATGGTAACGTAGAGAATATCTATATAAAACTAAGTGGGAGAGTAGTACCATCTCTCATTTGTTGCAGTTGACTATTCTATCACTTACATCCTACTGGTCAATTGACGTTGAATACTGACAAGTGCTGAGCTTACAGCCTTTGGTGGAAACGTATGTTCCTATCACGAGCTTCCAATTGTATGGGACAACGCCCAAACTGGCCAATAACCATGAGAAGAATTACCGTGAGCATCCTCAAAATCATTTCCTTTGAAGAACTCAATTTCCCCAACAGAGCGAGGCTGTTCACCCTCATTGCTTATCTTATAAACGTGGTATCCTTTATTCGCTCTAACTCGGCCTTACATCTAAGTCATGGGCCATATTCAGAAAATAACAAGAACTCCAAAATGCGGTGCAATATTTATACAAAATGTCTCGAGCCGGAAGCATTTAGAGCTTCATGCCCACCGCCTTTGCCACTTTCAAACTCTGCCTCATGCTAAGATCAAGCATGATCTCTTCACTACCACCAGGGATAGCGTATGCTCGCACATCACGGTACAGTCGCTCGACCTTGGCTCCCTGACCACCACGAGAGTAGCTCAGACCACCAAAGATCTGACTAGCCTCTCGGGCACAGAACTCAAAGGTGAGGGTAGACTGGGCCTTGAGGCCAGCAATAGGACCTCCAAGGCGCAGCATGGCCTCAGTTTCTCCCATACGCTCGCACTGGAAGATAAGGTTCTCGAGCCAGTTATAAGAAGCCTCGATTTGGCGGGCCATGTGGGCAAGCTTCATGCGGATGACAGGGTGGTCAATAAGCTTCTTGCCGAAGGTGCGTCGCTTGCTGCCGTACTTGACGGACTCCTCGTAGCAAACACGGGAGAATCGAAGGGATTGGATAATGATACCCATGCGCTCATGGTTGAAGTTGGTCATGATGACTGGAGACATGTTAGTATTGCCTTGAGAGAACTTTCTCGTGATTGACTTACCCTTGAAACCTTGGTTCTCCTTGCCGAGCAAGTTCTCCACGGGCACCTTGACATCCTCGAATGTGATGTAAGTTGTGCCTGAAGAGAGGACACCCTGGCAAGGCATGCGTCGAGTCGAAACACCTTCGCTACGCTCAATGAGGAGCAGTGAGACGCCGTTCATACCTGCCCCGCCAGTTCGTACAGCAACGGTAAAGTAGTCAGACCAGATACCGTTGGTGATCCACTTCTTCTCGCCGTTGACGATGTAGTGCTTGCCATCCTCGCTCAGCTTAGCCTCGCAGGTCAAGTTGGCAACATCACTACCGGCATCGGGCTCAGTGATGGCCAAGCAGATACGCTTCTCGCCGCTCAAAATACCGGGCATGATGCGGTCCTTGAGCTCCTTCTTACCAAATTTGACAAGAGGTGGGCAGCCAATTCCGAAACCACCGATGATGTTCCACACGAAACCACCGGATCCAGTGCGGGACAGCTCGTCGGTGATGATCATCTCGTGGAAAAGATCCCACTTATCAGCAGGGACAGACTTAACACCTCCCTCAGGCGCGTATTGAGTTGGGAACTTGACACCGAGGAGACCAGCAAGGTAACCACGACGACCCATCTCCTTGTAGATCTCCTCAGGAACCTCCTTGGCCTCGTCCCAGTCGGTAACATGAGGCTCGATGTCGTTCTCGACCCATTCGCGGACCTCAGCGCGGAGGGCAGCATGCGATTCATTGAAGTAAGGCGAGTGGTACTACCGTATGTAAGCACTAAGCGGATGAAAAGGGGTCATTCATGTTGAACGTACACTTTGGTACCAAGCAGGGTCAGCAAATGGAATCTGGTCGCCGAAGGGCTCTAGAGCCTCGGCATCTTCCTCTTTGGCAGCAACCTCCTTCTGGGTAGTCTTCACGGCCTTGGGTGTAGGGGCCGCAGGCACAGGCGCGGCATTGGCCTCGGGCTTAGGCTCAGGAGCCTTGGGCTTAGAGTCAAGAGAGCCAACCTGAAGCTGCTTCTTGTACTTCTTGAGGATGCCCTCGTTGTGGTACTTCCAGAATGCCTTGGATGCGTCCTTGCCAGCGACGCGCTGGAGGATCTTTTTACCACCTGATCGCGAGTCAGTCGCGGGTTATAGGGAGTGGATTCCGATTGACCTACCAGGGTGATCGTCCTTGAATTTAGTCACATCGTAGACATCGCCGTCGACAATGATGTACAGGTCTTCAGGCTTGTTATGCGACGCAACGTCGCTTGTGGTGAAGACCTTCGACATTGTTAAGGCTGTTTGTTGATACTGAGTAGAATATGTTCAAGCAAAATGAAAAGAGAATCAGAGTCGCAGATGGGATATCACAGAGTAAAAGATACAAATACCAACACAGCAAGATGGGAGGAAGGAAAAAGGAAGAGAAAAAGAGCCGTAAGCATTTGATAATAGTTCTTTTTTAAATTTTAATGCTTCGGCAAAGTTGTAGGAGGCAAGGTAGCATCACAATCACATGTTTTAGTGAAGGAAGACGTGCACTGCACAGCTCCACCCCCATATTCCACCCTCGTCTTGTCTGGGGAAAACTTGCCCATGAGCAGCAACAAGCAGGTCATGAGTCGTTACTTTAAAAGCATTACTCGATGCGGCCAATGACCAAGGTCAGGTGCCCATGCGCCTCGCTCTCATTCTCTGGTGCTCGTGCTGTAGAAGCATGTGAAAGAGCCGCAGTAACAATAAACTGTTTCTAGCGCGTGCTCATGCGGCCGTTGATGTCATGATAACAGCTTGTGGAGGATGCCGAGGCTCTTAGTTCTGTCCAATCGGAGGCCGAGCATTGCCAAATCAACTCTCCGAGGTAATGCTTCTCGCGACTTGTCCGCTTCACAGGGACGAGACCCCCGTGGGGGACGGAGAAACACTGGATTGAGAATGCGGAGAAATTCCATCTCTTTAATTTGCATGTGTTTATTATTGCCGTCCTTCGCCTGGTAGCTTGAGTATGGCGAGCCCGTATTACTCAGATGACCCTAGGTAGTTAGCGATCGCTCTTAGTGCTTCTCAAATCCCATATAGTACGATTCACCAGTATTTGGTCGACGTCGACCGGTCAGTCTTCGGACGTCTCATAACTAGCTAATTAATTGTCTTATTCATATTGTTTTCCGCGTTTAATACCGCGACTATGTCTCTCTAAAATTCATTCCAGGGCTGTTGCCGCCGCCGAAGAAAGCTCCCAAGTGGCATACGGTACACCACACTTTGTAACTCCAATACTCCGTTCCCGATCTCAGCATGCAGCTAAGCCTTTTCCTCTTCCCATTCAGCACATTATATGTATGTTGCTTTCTGCCTCAATACCTGGTTGTGGGCTAAATCACTTACCACCTCGGGGCTTCGATTTGGTGGCTGCCTTGTCCTTCTTCTCCTGCTTAGCCTTCTTTCTCTTCTCCTCCATCTTCTCATCCAGCTTTCGCTTGTGTGCGGCCTTCTCGGCATCGGTCTTGGGCACCGGCTTGAAGAAACCCTCTAGTCTGGCTTGTTGAGAGCTCTTGAGATTCTTCTCCAGGCGAGCACCACCGCTGCGGACGCGGTCCTCTGAAAAGCCCTTCTCAGTTACGAGGAACTTGACAAGACCCTCCATATCGGGCTTCTCCCACTTGAAGTCGCAGTCGGCGTGATCGGCTTGTCGTACATCTGGCTCGAAGAAGAGATCCCGAGCATCTTTGTAAGGCCAATCTTCGGGGATGACATACTTCTTCTTGGAGTCCTTCTCGATAGCCTCGACAACCTTCTCCAGTGAACCATGATCGCGAATCATCTTCAGAGCTGTGCTGGGACCAATCTTGGGAATTGGGTCGAGGTAATCACACCCAAGCAGGATGCAAAGATCTACGAACTGTGATACGGTTAGACTATGGTATGGTTTCTGGTGCGTAGCGTATCATACCTGCTTCCTCTCCATGTTCAAGCCTTCGAGGACCTTATCCAAATGTATCTCCTGGATAGGTTCTTTTCTTTGTTCACTGAAGGTGAGATGTCGTAGCAAAATGGGTGTGTTGAAGCAGAGGGTGTCCATATCCTCACTGGCAGCTGCATACACCTTGCCGGCCTGGGCCAGGACAGCACATTGAGCCTCAGCCTCTGTGGGGGCAATGATATACGGGATTCCCATAAGCTTCAACAGACGCTGGCAATCGGCGTTGTGCTCACGAGTGACACGGACAGTTCGTCGAGAGAACTTCTCAATGTCCTCTGCGGTACCTGTCTCCTTAGCCTCCTCAAGGCCTTCAGTAGCCTCCTGCTTGCGTTGGAAACGCTTGGCCAACTCGCCGGACTTGAGCTTGGGTGGTGCACCATCGAATACGTAGAGGGGCTTGATGCCATTGTCAACCATGCGGAGAGTGCGGTAGAACATGCCCATCAGATGTGATGTTGTCTCGCCGCTCTCGTTTGTGAGCTGCTGACCTTCGGATCGAACGGCGATGAGGAAGCTGTAGATACTCATTGATGCATCCTACGATCATTGTCAGAAAATTACATGCATGGATTGCACGCGCGAGTGAACTTACAATGGCGACCTTGCGGCCGAATTGGTTCTTGATCTCACCCTCCTTGATTGCATCTGGAGCTTCCTCCTTGATGATTGAGAATAGTTGTTTAATACCCATGATGGCGGTTTATCTCTTCAGCTATCTCTAGTCTGGTGTAGCAGGTAGGAGCTTGGAGTAACAGGGAAGGGCTTTGATAAGAGGAAGAAAACGTGCCTGGTCAGTAAGAAAAAAGAGACGGAGGCGCAAATGGGAAAGAGAAAGGGACTTAACGCGTGTGGGACGTCATGACGCGACTGTCGCGCCGGAAACCACAGGGATCTTAATTGACCCCACACCGTGACTGGACGAAAAGCTCCTGAGAGCTTCTGAACTGCGTGAAGCTGAGTTTGAAACGACAGAACAACTTCTGGGATGTGAGGGTCACTGAGGGAATGGAAAGTGAATCACTTAAGGATATACCAATGATTTATAATTCAGGATTAATTCAGCTAATCTTGTAACACTAGTCACTCGGTATTAATCGTGGGACTGTGAAGCAGGTACTTGATCTTCAACAAGTAGTTGATACAACATAACTATCACGAAACCTTCACTGACAATAGAGAATAAATGTATCGACGTTCGAACTCCCAGCCCAGGACAACACATCCCCCACTAGCCTCATAAGTCCTCTATCATCCTCAAGGCAAGCCCCAAGAACTCGAAAGAACACATCAGCCAGCAGATAGCAGGATGCGCACTGGAAGCCAGAAGAGTGCTCAAGGCACCAAAACCACTTCCCAAACCCGCCCTGAATAATCGACCAGGCACCAAAGTGCTGTTTCAATATACCGCTCGGAATACAGAGCAGTCAAGGATGAGTCTCGCCTTGCGCTCCACCTTGCCGTGCGGAACATGTCACATGGGAAAGCATTTCAACCTCACAGGGAAGCAACATGTCACGATGGATGAGACCGAGCATGTAACCGGGGTCGCATGTATGTCGTAGGGGGTATCGTACAGTTCGTCCCCAGCGCTCTTCATTATCTCGTCTTTGTCATCTACTGACTTTGATTAGTTCGCCAAACTCAGTTATGCATGTAATCCCCTCATGACCTTGTTCGGCCATTATCCATGCTCGCAAGCGTCTTGTCGATCTCCATGATGTCCAACATCTCAACTTCCACATTTCGCCCCTCGAAATCGGCTGTGAGGTCTGCTGCCGCATTGAGCGTGTCCATAAAGTCGAATCCAACAGTCGGTCGTGATGGTAGAAAATTGTCCGAGTCGTCCATGGCGTCATGTCTCCCGAGTCGTAGTGTTCCCGGCTTCGCAGTGCTCAGGTTGAACAGTGATTTCGCTGGTCTTGTTTCCTTGCCATGCACAATGATAGCATCTGACTTCTCTCCCTTCGAAAATAGATTCCGTCTCCGGGCATTGGCCACAGTACCAACAATCTTGCCATGCCCGTCCTCTCTCTCCCGAACAACAACTATCCTGGACTCGCCAAGCACAATGACATCGGCAGGTAGTTCGCCATCTTGGATGGCACTGGCATGGTCTGGGTCTATCAACAAGCCCACGCCACAGCATCTTTCGCCTAGCAAGCCAGTCGTTAAATCTAAAAGCTTAATCATTTTAACAGGCTGTGCTCCGCTAAAGATGTCACCACTCGTCCCACCAGTCTTTCGAAGTTCAGAATCCCAGAATCGCGATATTCCGGGAATGACGCATACGTGCTCTAGACCACCGACCCATAGAACGACTGTCTCGTCTTGGATTGCGCTTCCACTCGATGGCAAAGACAACACCTTTATACCGCCTCGGACAGTAGCCAGGCGGTCAAGCCCTATGGCAGAGCTCAGGGATGCAGTAGCTTGTCGTCGAGTATGAGGAGTCATAGGTGCAAACTCCCCAGTGCTGTGTTCCTTGTTCTGTGTCGTAACTGTTCGGAGAGAGCTCGTTCCCTCCACGTAGCCAGAGGCGCTGAATGTCGTCAATGCAGCTCCCTTGACTCCAGGCTGTAGCTTGCTTGAGAGCACAGCACCTGGGCCAGCAGGACTGACACCATCAACGTCCCAGATACCCCACATACCATCAGCAAGGAGAACTAGTATAGCGCGGCCATGTGCTATCCAAGCTGCGCCAATAATGGGTTTCCTTGTAGATGAAGGTCGAGCAAAGGGTTGGTACATAGAGAGCGACCAAGATCCTTGAACAGGGAATGGTCCGGTAGCATCTGTATCGGTGAAAGAAGGTCGAGCAAAATCGTAGATTCGAACTCCCTGTAGTGCTGAGACGGCAAGCAACTGTGTGGTGTGTGTTGAGTTGAAAGATATACTTGTGAGGGGGTTGGGCAAATACTCGGTCTGAAAAGGTTCGACGGCCTTGGAGGGTCTATCACTGGCATCCAAAGACACTTCCCAGAATCGTAGTACACCAGACGCCTCTCGGGAGTGCGATGCAACAACTGCCCTGGGTTTTGTGCCCGGTCGCTCAGTAGCAGTAGGCATGACGAGGTTAATGGCAATGCCCTCGCTATGCCTGTTCTGACCGCTAAGCAGGATGAGAGATTCACCCCAAGCTCCAGATCCAGCCTTGCCTGCCAGGAGATCGTTTCTGAGCTCTGGCCTGGCCTTGCTTTCTGGCGAGGGAGGGGTGAGAGGAAGCGTAATGACATACACGTCGTTGGTGACGCACGACACAGTGAATACCATCTTCTCGGTCAAGACCTTGGCCCCTCCCCATGCGGCCTCCTCAGCCGGTGTTGGGGTCATGGGCATGACCGCAACCTTCAGAACTGCAGTCCGAAGCGCAAGATCCAGAGTTTGTACAATTTCCGGGTAAGGGCTATCCTCCACATCGTCTTCAAACTGGGGTTTGTCCTCATAGTGGGATGCGGTCTTCGACTTTGCTTGTGGTTCGTCGTCATCCGAATCAATGATCATGACCGAGTCCTCGGCAGTTCCGTTCTGTTTTTGGTTTTGAGACGCCTTCTTGGTAGTCTTGAATCGCCTGCCTCCTCGCCATGCGACCGTCACACCGTTCTCGTGGCCGTATATGAGGATGCTAGCTCCTTGGGGAGAGTAAACTGGGTAAGTTTGGACATCGTTGACGCGTCGCGAGAGGTTGTATCTGATATTATAAGTAAGCTTTCCATCCTTAGTACTTGACCTAAAGGGATGTTGACTTACGTGAATTGTGTATTTTGCGCCGTGCGACGGATTCTAGGAGCTGAAAGGGAACTCATGATGACGTTGAGCTCGGGCAATCAGCCCTACGACAGCCTGTGCGTGTGTTTATTGTGAGGGGAGATACAGCTCGAGTGCTCTGGCGACTTGGTCAGGGTCGTGAAGTTATGTTGCAAGTGGTGTTGAATTGTTTTGATTGGGCTTGTCATTCGTTGATGCTCAGCCAGGAACTTTTCCAACGCGACAAGCATCGCGCCTAGCTTGGAGCTTATAATCACGTGACTTCACGAAACACACTACCCTATACCCATCTGCATTTTTTTGTCTCAACACCCAGGTAAAGTGGCTAAATCACTCAACTTCACATGTTGGATAGTGTTCATATGTCTGGCTTATATATGCGATCTACTTTTAGTCCAATACTGGAAATCCCATATATAGGAGCTCCGTTCCGTGAACAGTAGAGTTACTGCACGAAGGGAACACACGTTACTAACTAACAGAGGGTTGTGTTTTATGTAAACTGTCCAATGTCAAACAAATGATAGCCTCGAATGACTTGTCTCTATTTCGTTGGCATGTGTACAACGAAGCGATCGTTAGAGAGCACTTCATACCATGAGGGTAGTAAAATACTAGTAAATGGGTACTTAACTCAACCAGTCAAGTATACGTAGCATGCACGGAGGCTCAAAACCGAAAGGCCTGTGGTGACCAGGACAAGGTGAAGTATGACGGAGTACAATTCGTGTGTATCAACAAAGCCGCCTTAGCAAGCACAAAGCGCTGGATCTTATAAACCATGGCATAATCATCACGTCAAGGATATCAATAAACTCATGAACCTGCATCTCAAGCCGCATATGGTAGTATATGAATATACACAATTCTAGATACAGGAGTCACCGCAGCCACATCAGTCATTGGGTAGTGATGCGGAAAAAACACAACGATCAAGTGAAAACTAAATAAAGCGACGATAGGATATCCGCACTATCCGCCAACCCTTCAGTCATAATATCTCTACCACTGGCTGGCGATCTTCTTGCGTCTCAATGCATGTCTGTGACACTTCACTCCATAGCATTCTGCCCGATATCCCAATTGAACTGACCGGCCACCCCGTTTTTAAATTTACTCCTCCTCTAACCCAAGGAGGAAGAGTTTGTACACAGGAGACATATGGCTCCTGATCATGACTAGAAAAAAGAAAACAGGTGCCGATTACGCACGGGTATGTTTGCCGCTGAAATGCCATTCGCGAAGACGACATTAGAAGCAGAGTAAACCCCGGGAATGTTGGCATCTGGAAGGGTAACTGTAGCATTATTTCCACATCCTCCTGTCGTTTCGATCAAGGCTTATTGAAAAGTAAGGAGTGGATAGCATAGAAGTAGCCGGCGTGCCGTGGAGCGTGATTGATAAAATCCAGTCGTAATTTCCGCGAAGGTAAATAGTAGAAAGTATCTAATCCTACGCTCAGAAAAGAGTCGAACGCCACCATGTCGTCGGGAGTGATCGACTGGCAAAGAGACATGAGGTGTCATCCCAAAAACGCCGTAAATGCCGAGGGTGAAAAAAAAGTTGAGTAGGAAGTAGTCGATATTAAATATCAGAAGCCGACATTCGCTCATGCGTTAGTGACCTAATGGCAAGTAAGTAGGAAGTCGTTGATTAAACCATATGATTTGTCAACTTACTCGCAAAATTCTTCGAGAGTAATCTTGGTTATCAGCGATGCTGCCGTCGCTGAGTCGTCGGTGAGCCATGACAGGATCAAGCCGAGAGTCTGTCATGGAGATGCTGCCGCTGCTTCCAGGAGGCTTTGAACCGTTGATAAAAGCGTTCACAGCGGCGTTCCGACGATGTTCTTCTTCGATCTCAGCGTTGCGTCGGCGTCGGACGAAGAAGATGGCACCACCACCGATAGCAGTGATGAGAACGACACCCACGACAACACCTGCAGCGATAGCGCCCACATTGGGGCCGTCCTTCTTCGCCTCGCCATCAGAAGCCGCCTCGGATGTTGTCGATGTTTCCTTAGTTTGTGTTGGGGCAGCAGATGATTCGGCGGTGGTGGTGCTCTCGGTAGCTTTGGTGGAAGAGGGTGCGGCACTTGTTGTTGATTTTTCTGGCACATAATTATCGGGTGCCAATTCGAGGCCAGTGTTGAAAACTGAGTAGTACACCTTCAGAGCACCACATGCCTCTTTGCCAAAACTAGGACAAGGCCAATCGCACTTGTCGTCATCGACCTTATCACCCTCTTTAGGGTATACCATACCACAGTAGCACTTGTCTCCCTGAAGAGCGAATACGTTGAAGTCGTCTTTGCATTGCTCATTACATTTGCCACTCGAGACGTCAACTCCTGAGCGTTCCATTGTCATGTTGGCATTAGACTTCCAGCACCCCTGAGAGGTCTGCTGGTTCAGAACAGGATCCACTGTCGGTAGTTGAATATTCTTTTTAGCTTGAGCCCCCATAAAGGTGGCAGCCATCACGGCTGTTGTCATGAATGTTGAGGTCTTCATGATGATCGGTTTTATGTTTGGGAGTTCGAGCGAATGTGTAGAAGAGATAGGTGTTAATATGAGCTGATCTTTGACGCAGGTCTCGAGGCAGATCAACTGGATTCGAGTCGAGTCAGATCTGGTAGTCGAGATTTAGCCAGGTGCTGTTGCAGGCCGAGGCAAATGGTCGATAGCTTGATGCCAGATCGAAGTAGAATATCGCGATTGTGTTCAGATGCAAAGTCGAATCAAATCGTGCTTATTGTTGGCAGCAAAGGCGGCACCGTGTTAATCCCTTATTCAATTTGTACCAAGGCCAGTGATGATGGTCGATGGCTTGATCCACCAGTGCCGTCGAGCCGTGATGAGTTGACGGTAATGAAAGGGCGAGGATATCGATCGTGATTATCGTCGTGGAACAGACAGGATGAGGCAGTTGAATAGAGATCAAGTCTGCCGTGAATAAAGAAAATGGGCCGACGATATAAAGGAGATGATGATCGTGATAGTAACCACGATACGCTTCAGATATGAAGAAAGAACAAGCGCTTTGAAAGTGTGGGGGGAGATGAAAGAGGGACTGGAACGAACGAGTGACCGGAGGTAGTGGTTTGTTTTGTTGAAAGGGGAATTGGGAGTGAGATTTGGGAAGGAAGGAGAACAGAAGTCGCGGAAGCGAGACGAAGCGAGTCAGAGAGAACGGGAAAGGAAAAGGGACCCGATTTCCACGCCGCGAAGGGGAACTCCAATGCGAGAGAGCAAGGCCCGGGGGCCACAGGGCACCAGCCAGTCAGTGCAGGAGACGGCGAGACAAAGGAACAGGGGGTGCAGGGGCACAGGACACTATCCAGCAAGTGGAGACCCTTGACAGGGATTTAGCAAGGGCTTGGCCACCTTCTTTGGTACAATTTGATTAGCCAAGGGGTTCTGGTTTCTCATCTTTTGCACAAAACCGCGCACAGCATAAGCTAGAGTTTCAACGATCAACCCGCTACAGTCTGCTAAAGTGCCTGGAGATCCGCCAATGGGTGCACCTGGACGCTGACTCTTTCAGAGCGTTGAAGAGGACCAATTGTTTTAACTGGCTTCGCCGTTAGCGCCACGACTAACGGTGCACTATGCTGAGCTTGTGCATTCTAGGTCAGGTGCACAAAACACAAAACGAGAATAAGACTGTAAATGCACAAACAGAACGGCAAAGGAGCACGGTGGCCTGCACAACACAAACACGAAACCACACCATCACGTCGCATCACGGAAACATCTTCTCCCAAGTTCCAACTACTTGCACCTCAGGCACAAGCACAAACGCAGGCAAAACTGCAGCGAGACAGAGGGTAACATTGCTATTACTTTGTGGCTGGGTGACCAAGCTCACTCAAGAAGCCATCGACGCTTCACTAAAAGAAAAGAAAAGGCTCATGCATTGAAAACCGGCTCCAACACATGATGACGACTCGAGCGTGAGCGACTTTCCAGCTCGGCCGATGCCTTGAAGAAGAAAAGTCTCTGCTTTCATTGACACCTCGTTCCTGAACGCCGCAATGCACTTCAATACGCTACGCCGTACTCCGTACGTGAGCACTCGTTTTGCCTGTATTTGTGTCCAAAAACCCTACCCCCTGGATTTCATCAAACCAACCCCTTGACCACTTATCACACCCCTCCACGCCATCTGTTCAGGGTATCGCTGGAGACGCTGCGACCGCTACGACCGCCGAACCCGCCTGAATCAAGCCATCTCATCCAATCCATTTAGATGGGTATGGAATGTGCTGCTATCATTGGAACACGCGTCCTATGTTGATAATAAACGTGGAATCATCCAAAGTCAACTGCTTGACACCGACTCCAGATTCTGAACCCAAAAAAATTGCGCTCAATTCTTTGGCTGTCTCAACAATAGTGAAAGGTCCACCATCATCCACTGCACACTTGTCTTGTTAGAACTGGTGCCAACCTTACTTGCCAGCTTGCATGTGGTGGGTTGTCATGATATTCAGGAACGGCATAGTCGACTACGTGCTCTACCCTCCCTCATCCAAAAATGGACTTTATACCGCAGATCTTGGCCAGCCTTGGCACAGTTTCAAGACGCCAGCCAGTTGACCGGTTTATCCGTTGAGCCAAGCAGCAGGCTTCGAACCATTCAGCAGTGAAAGGAAACATCGGCAACGCCAGTGTTATCTTGGAGACACCCCTTTGCAAGTTCATTCTGGAAAATCAAGAGACTTCAGCATCAGTTCTCTATTAACTATGATATGCACAATATCCATTCGAGCCAGACCTGAAAAGATTGAAATCCAACACCCCCAAGTGGATACTCCCAGTTTTCATTTGCGCGTCAATGCACCCCCGCGGTAACACGCCAAAGACTTGATTTTGGAGCGTGCACAAAACTTATCGGGCAGTTATGCAAACCCTGTGCGTTTGCTGAAGCATTGGTTAACTCTCCTTCAGGAGGTGCGCATCAGACGGTCTAGATGCTATCGATATTGGTCCATATCCACGTGTCTCGCAAAACTCGTTCCTAGGCAAAATGCAACTAGTTAGGTTACGACGTGCAGAAAATTTCTTGGACAGCGCTTACACCTACTTCGTACATCACGGTGCAATGGAGTGACAACAACTCATAATCATGGGCATAGACGCGGTAACCAATCGGGGTCCAAAGGGAAGGTTTGGCTGTTGGGCTGGTACTGTCAAAATGTCAATAACCCTTAAGTTATCGGACCTGCATCAACAACCAACACCGATCGTGCCAAACCTAACTCGATCAGCGCCCATCAGCTTGGAATCTGGCCTGCATGAATGATATTTTTTTTATAGGTAAGATACATCAATGACCACAGTAACCCTCAGCACTACTAGAGGTATTTGTTGTCTGTACGGAGTAATTCGTATGAAGACCATAAAACACTGTTTCCACTGCTCGTATTAAACAGCAAATAACGGTTACGCATTTAGAACAAGACTTAAGAAACGTATGTAGTATTCAGTCTTTCAAACCGTTGCGGCAACCATAAAGCGCCCAATATTGAAGCCTTTAAAGGTTTTGGGGTTTTCAAGCACAAACCAAGGAGTTTGACATGACGCCTGGCTACAACAGACAGATATAAGGATAACAGATCGGCTTTATGTTGAAGATTGAAGTATACTACAGTCAACAAGGTTCAGAGCAAAAAAGAACAGGGAAATGCATTCGATCTTGACATCTCAGACTCTTTTATGCTGAATCGGTCTGAAGTCCGCCGATCATGAGCTTTTGAGGGAGACCGTGCTTGCCGATATTATGCATGTTTATGCAACCTTCACACTTGTGGAACTGGATGCTAGTCCAGAAAAGACGCACAAGTCTTGATTTGTGCGTTCGTGTATAAGATTGTCACCAAAACCAGTCCCATTTACATATGGGCCGCGTGTCAACCTTGATAAAAGGGCCGTGAAGCAATTCTCAACTAGGTTCTTCTCCTAAAGTTCCGGAATCGATACGTACTTGGACACCAATGCAAAAGATCGATGATTGAACCAGAGTGAAGGAGTTAGCCGAAAGGCCATCGTTGATTTATTCTAGTTCGCCATGAAAGGGAGATGGTCAACAGCGCTACGTGAAGGACGAAATTTCATGAGTAGGTCGATTTGTCAGTCAATACGGATACCTTAGTACCTAAGTAATCACTCCGTACCAAAGGCAAAGAAAGATCCGACTCGGCTACAAAGCTCTTCTGGCAAGGCAGATTTTGCTTCCGTTCTATATCGTTGAATCTATGTGTGGTTGCTCTAATAAACGTACGCCAAGTTCAAACCCCATGGAGATTAACTTTGCGCATGGGACATGTGGGTAACTATCCCTCAGAAATTACTGGCATGGCATGGTCGAGGGTGCAATTACAACACATGCTGCCTAGCATTGCAATCTGACGCCCAATGAATGGTTGCTGAATCCCTCAAGCGCGGAAGATGAACTGTTCCAGCCGGTCGGGATTGTCGGCATTCAAAGAATCGAATCAAATCCACCACCCATTTTGACCTCGTCTCGAGTATGCAACGATTATATTATTGCTTGCATTGGTCTATAGATTACTCCAGCTCCAAGCAGTCCACTGCACAGGCTTCAGTATTATCATAATTGCCGCGTCTCTCGACATTGTTCTCTAATCCTCTACGAGCGTGTGGCATTACCTTCCTACTATCTCCATCAAGTGATCCAGCCTACAACCGTGGTTGGGCATCCCAGACATTGACATTGCGGTGTCATTGCGCTCAGCCTGGCCTTGAACCACCAAAACCGTTATTGTGCACTGTCGGGCATTTTTCTTGTGTCAAATCCAAACGGAGAAGAACGTGTCACCAGTCTTGATGCTTCCGGTAGCGTTCAACATCAAACTGAGGATATAATATCTCAGCATCTGTCTATTGTCATACCTGGGTGAGAGGCTGAGAGCTATGGATCCGCCAAGCAAGAAGTGGCTGGCACCCCAGGTTTGCATTGATGATAATGGCATTGATAATCGTGGTCTGTGCCATGTCTTTTGCACAAATTCTCCACTTTGTTCTGCATTGTATCGCAAGTATAACTTGTCTTCCCTGTACGAGCTTCAGTCCTTCGTCGACCCGCGTGCTGGCTGCCGTTCGCTGGCATGCGGCCCGCTGATTACTGGTCTTATCCAACCTTGCGAATGATACCCTTTCCTTTTTGTTGTTCGTCTCACACTGAATTGTGGGATTGATTGATCAGTTGTCAGTGCTATTTTTGGAAGGCAATCTTAAAAAGATGAGCACCTATCCTATCCGTGTTGGCGACCGCTCTCACCTCCCTAAACCGATATCGCAATTTCGTGCCTCTATCCGTACTCCATATGGAGTATTATTCATCGAGACTGCAATTGCAGGGATTGAACTGAACGCTGTGGCATCTTGTGTTAATCCTGTCTTCAGGGCTGTTTTGATTCTTTGCATTGTACGTAGTGCGGGCATATTCAAGTTCCAGAACACTGTTTCCCGTTGATGGAGCCTTGCTTTTATTCCTACGCACTTTTCCTCGGACCATCAACCTAAAAACATGATCATATCTGCGGACTTTGCCACCAATGATACCCTGTGCCCTGGTTGTCTCCCTGCATTCTTACTTAGTGACGTTGGGGAAAAAGAGGCTGCCAGACTAACTGGGAACCAGAGACATTGTACACTTCGCGTCTCATTGCCCTGTTGAGGTCTGAGTTCACTGCCCGATTCTTGATGAGGGTTTGTCGTACCAATATCATACAAGACTATTGACTGCTGCGGATTTCGATTTTACATAGTCAGGTCTCCCTGATGTTCAATTTCCCGTCATGCTCTCTGTACGGCAGGATAAGCATTTACGTTAACCCAACAGCCGTCCACTTACATTAAACAACGTTTTCATCTCATTTGACATTGTCTTGCAACGACAACAAGGCCAGTCAGTGTTGATGAGGCTCTGGTCCTAGGGAGGCTACCTAAGCTGGTGTTAAAGTATCCGTATATACCCTTCCCATAATTTAGAAGGCTAAGTGTGATTTCGTTTGGCCAATTTGTCGCCTCGATGGTTTGCAACATCCGAATATTATGGTCAACCATTCGAGTCCTTTTTATAAAAAGCAAATTGCCAACTTGAACTGGTTATAACACTTGTAAGAAGAGCATCAGTAGCAACCTGGCAGAACTTCTAGAGCCAACTTCTCATCTATTCTTGTCGTGAGTCTCAGTCTACCTCTGTGTTAGCACGCCTGTTCGAGAAGGCTGTGAAGTAGTAACCTACCATATTCAATATTAAAGCTCGGAGGATCAGCACCATTGTCGCCCTATTCGTCTGTGTCTTGGTGAGTAGCGAGTCTCTGTTGGACGGTTGACTTACACCATCTATCGGCTCCATCGTTCCCACCGATGGCAGCGGTCTAGTTAACGTCGTCGTAATCACGATCATGGTTATGTCTCTGCCTTATAGTCTCAGAAGCTCTGTATGGCGCGTAGTAGTAAGCATCCGCCTTGCATTCCCGCCATGTAACGTCGAGTATAATCGAATAATACTGGCGGGAAAGCCATTAGTCTTAGTCATGTACGCCCAGTCTGGCATATATACAATTTACTTATGTAGGGTATAGCTGTCGGATGTTGTCCCTAGTTTGATGCATTTGTCGGGCAGGCACAGTTTCCATCGCCACGACATCCATCGTAAGGCTTAGTATGGCCAAAGATAAAGAGATGTCCGCACGCGCTGTTGGAAATATGTTCAGGACCGATGAGTATCCAACACTGTAGTGTCAGTCGATGGCCTGCATTGTAAGGGGTATCCTGGGAGCCTATCGTCGTTGACACAACCGCCATTGGACTTTTATTCTAAGCTGTTAGCCGGTGATACTGCAAGCTGGATGACGCTGAAGCTGGTGATAACGTCGTATATGACTTGTATTGCCTTCAGATTGTTCACTTTCGGTACGAGAACATATATGCATTACACAGGTTACCCAGATTTATCATACAGGTGACAAGCAACATACAATATGTGAATTAGTAACGAAGGCTTTGAAATACAAAATGCTGTATCTGAGTCGCTCAAAAAGTGCTGGATTGGGATGGAACCCGAGCTGTCTCTGTTGACTCATTCTGATCCTTCTCTTTTGAGCATATCCAGTTAACGGTAGCTTGGACCGCAACTACACAGCCAGTCTAATTAAAAACCAATTGCCGCCCCTCTCAGCAGATGATAAAATAAACATCGGAGTTATACCAAAGCGATACATGCAACGCAATATGTGGCACGGGCAGACCCAACATCTGTGGGATTGGTGGTCGTTTTGACACCGTCATGTCACTCGACTAAAGCTCACATATTATCTAGACTGCCGTGGAATAGTTCTCGAGATTTCACTGAGTGATTCTCTATCTCTTACTACCGCTCTTCTTAAGCAGAAGGGTAAAGTTGGTTAACGGGTTTGAGTTTCGAGGACCGTCTTGGCGCATTCCTTGATTCAGCTGCGTACTTGGCTCTGGTTTAACTGCATTCCACCATCGCGGTGACCACCATCGCGGTGATTGACTGTAAGGATTGTGGTACTAATGTCTAAGCTATAGGTGCTATCGGAGCTTTTATCTCCAAGCCCATTGTCGTAGTGAGCACGATGCCACTTTTCTACCCTATCGTTCTACTACATCGAGAGGTCAATGCAGCTATAGGGAGCAACGTGTACGACAACCAGAGGCTACCATAGTTGAGTATGACACTTGCACTGGCATTCTGTCCCTTTTTGCCAACCAAAAAAACAGTATCCATGAACTGATTAGGGCCGGCACCCTTAATAACAGTCGCTCTCCCACCTGGTTCCCTGCTTGTCTTCCTAGTACTGACCATGAATATGACGAAAGACTAATGGATGGCCTTGCAGCAAGACAAGTGCAGGAGGAAAGGCCTTAGAAGATGGTACAGTAATATGATAAAAGGCATGCAGGTTCGGACAGATCGTGTCCATCGTTTCGTTTATTGCTGTTGGAGTTGAGATGGAATACTGGTGATGGTTCAGATCAGCAAAGGGAGAGGACGAGTTGAGCAATACATGAGAGTCAATGGCAAGTCGTTATTCATGAGGCCTGTGCTGATGCAAGACGGTTATCTACAACTCTGAGCTAAAACTGAGTTCTTCAAACTCCGAAAATATCCACCGATAACTCTTTATATCATCTCTTTCCTTTGACCGTCATAAGATCTCGCACAAGCGGGCCAATCTTCAATCACTGGCGGATACAGTAGGCAACGTCGCGGGGCTTCTGGCATGCAGAATCGTTTACGTTTGTGCCCTTGCGGTTTGAGTTAATAAGTTCGCAAGATCCCCTATGCAGGCGTTAGTTAGCGCAGCAAATCTGGCGATCAAGTTACGGGATACATACTCGCTTTCAACTGCCAATGTACATGCGCAGTCGGTATCGGTCTTTCCGGAGCGGACGGGCGCATTCAGACCCTCTCCGTTGATGGCTACCACCTTTTTGAAAGGGTAGCAGCCAGTCTTGCAGCGACCGCTTAGGTTCTTGCCACTGCAGACCTTCATGTCGCAGCCTGAGCACGCGGCAGCGGCCATATCGGCTCCGAAGCCGAGGGTGAAGAGAGCGGTGATGATAGTGGTGAACTTCATATTGTCGGTTTGAGGTGAGGAGTTTGGATTGAAGGATAAGGTGCTTGATGGGCAGAGCCGTACACTGCGGCGACGATGCCTCTTTATACTTCTTCGGTTACTATCTAGCCTCCTAGAGAAGGTGCTTTCACCGACCGAGTCTTGGGGCGATGTCATGATAGTCCTAGCTACTTCATGCAATACCTAGACCACACTACCTTGTCAACAGGGCTCGACCAACAGACGGGCGGTAACAGAGTGGATTTGACTCGAGCGTTCTTCGCTACCCCTGTGAATACGAGAGGTTTATTCTCGACATAGGTGGATATTCCGACAATGCTGTGCTTACTCCAAGAAAGGAGCACTGTTGAGAGAACTGTTAACCCATGGTGTTGAGGAGTCTTTCAACTTTGTAGACATGTAAACTCACTACTCAAAGCCTCATGTCGCGAGACAACTTTGAAGAACGAAATACAGCTGGGTTCCACATCTTCACCGCGAATTGACTCGCAGTCCGCGTACGGGCCCGGCTGAGTCTATGTTACTGCTGTTGGTTGTGCCCATGTTAAGTCTGTTGGTTGAAGTTCTTTATGAGTCCAAGCAGGGGTCCATTGCGGGGCCTTCCCGGCATCCGTAACAGTCTTCCACTGTCTAGGTCGTACTCAGTCAAGGCCATGATTGGTGAAGCTTAGGCTTAGCTAATGGCTTTTTCCCCCAAAGTTAGCTGATGTGCTGGCAGTTGTTGGTTGAGTCTCGCGAGATCCGAGTTGCGAGCGCCTAAATAACAATAACTCTGGGGGATATACGGAACTCGGCATCTCTTGTAAGAGCATGTGATCATGTGATGGGGAGACTACGGTGTTATGTTTACGTCCCTGACTGGTAGTTGAGTTATACTGTTAGATGGCCCCGATACTCTTCGCAGATAGTTATGAGAGTTGCTGAGACCAGCTCAGATATCCATTGGCTGGCAAATTTGCAATGGGTGCCATTCAGCGGAAGCTCGGAAGAGCCAGTGCTTTCCCCTGCGTGAATCGCACAGCCCAGCAGTGATCATATGTGGAACTTTGCGTCGTTTCAAGCAGGGGTTGCAGATGTTGCCGCTTTAACTGGGTTGGTGCTGGTACCGTAGGTAAAAGGTTCAGCCAATACAACGCCCGCAGTCAGAAACGTTTAATAAATCTTCATCGCTATGTTCAGGGTCGGACCAACACGAGAAGCATAAGTAGAGTTTGGCTGATCATCACAACACATCCGGGTAATCCATAAGCAAGAAGACGATAACTTGACGACATGATGCTTCACCTTCTTGTTAGATACAAGCGCGTTTTCCCGACATCAGGTGTTCTTTTGAAGCAGAAGGAGACCTGGTATCAGACAATTGTTGTGTATTCGTATCCGGCGAAAACGACCATGGTATTATACTAGGTCACATGTATATGGCACGTCGATCAGCTTTCTGGCTTTCACGATCAGATCACGGTCCTGGTTTGTACAATTGGCGAATCTTCAGGTTTCGAGTAGCTAAGATCACGGTTATGGTCCGTAAAGTAACAGTGGCTGTTACGTACGTCATGCCAAGAGTACGATTGTAACTTTTGAGTATGCGTAGACGATAGGATCATGGGCATTGGGCTAAGGAGCCGATGATGTGAACTCCAAGTATATATACTATGATGAACGACGAAAAGCAAAGCATTCATATGCTATTTGTCATGCAATGAGCAATTATGAGATGACGATATGCCTCTGATATACCCACATACCTACCTTCAAAGTATGCCCTGACCAGTAGACAGCCACTTCAGGGACAATTTAGGGGTGACGTGCAATAATAAAATATCGACGGAATATGTTCAATCAGGACGCGAGTCGTCTTATTGGAGAGTCAGAAAGACGCGGCAGCTTATGCGCGTTGATGCGTATATGCCCCTGGGAGAGTTAAAGCATGTGTTTCACGCGACTTGAATGCCGTGGTTTGAGCTGCCAATAGCATTGAGTATATGTGATTTGCATGCAATCAATCAATCAATCTCGATAAGATTACGAGACCAGGTCATGACTAGTTCCGCGTTATCGGGAGGCCTTGAAGAAAATAGATACGTACCTTCGGTAAAAAAGCAATATGTTCCATGATCGGTTACCACTCTAGGAAATTCGAGGTTCTGACATCTCGTTAAGCTTAAACTCAACGTCATTATCGCTCTTGATTGATATCGTTCCTCTGCAAGGGTTAAGCTTATAAACTTGGATAGAAAACTAGAAAACAGAGAGAAAAAAGATGTTACGCCTGGACCGTTCTTGGCGCTGGTGGCTACACACCAGCCTTCTCATTTTACCCCTTTCGACATTACTCAACGAGGGGAAGTCCGGATATTAACGTTTAATTAGTTTAGCTCCCCTAATATCAACGTTTTTGCTAAGGACTCGCCACTTTGCGATATATTAACAGAATATTTCCAAACGGCTTCAATTGCGAAAGCGACAGGTGGCAACATCTAATTACTACTGCTGTCTTTTTTTTGTGAAGCTATTTTCTATTCATTTACCGTATCTTCTTCCTCAGCGCTCAAGTCATGAGACTTCCCTCTAGCCTGCACTGATGACAGACGGTTAAAGGCACCAACCCCCTCTAAAGTCGTCGCATGCATCACGCCAGGAATTTGCTCGTACAGGTACACCGACTGTTGAGTTGAGCTGAATTGAATTGTTGAAAATTAAAATATTTTGATCGCGTTTGCAACTCTATCTGAAACATTGTCGCGAACAGAAATCTCAAAATGGGGTTTTCGAGCGCGAAGAATGAGTCGCCGCGATCTTCGAGGTCGCGCTTCTCTTCCTCTGACGACGGCCTCTTATCTCCCGATAGCTTCCTGGGACATTATCCTTGGCCAAGCACCAGCACCGTCGCCCATAAACAATATGAGACGCGTCATATGCCAGGTAAGACGCCAAACCATTCAAAACTAAACGTTAGTGATGCTGACTTTCTAGATGATGCTGAAAAAGCAAAGCAAATTGAAGCCTTCTATCGCGATCTTGTCTGGTCACAGCCTTCAAGAGCAAAGGATGCGCTGAGAACACAGCAGGGTCCCCGAGCCCCCCAAACTTGTGAATGGATCATGGACGTCCCAGAGTTCAAGAACTGGCTGGCACCAGAATCAGAAAACAAGCACGTTTTGTGGCTTTCCGGCAACTACGGAAGAGGGAAATCCACCATGGCTGTCTACCTCGCTGAGAAGCTCACAAGCAAGTTCGCCGCTGATAACGCCAACACTTGCGCCTACTTCTTCTGCGACTCAAAGGATCCGCGGAGAAACACCGTGCAGGGAATTCTACGAGGAGTGCTCTCTCAGCTCTTCCAGAACCATCCCCATTTCCTCAGCGACAGGATCCGCAGAAGACATGTTTACCGCGGCTCCCGTGTGTTTGAGAAGCCAGAAGCGCTGTGGAATTTATTAGTTGAAGTCGCCTTTAGGTCTGACCGTCGCATCTTCTGTGTTATCGACGGACTGGACGAGTGTGACGCGCATTCTCGAACTGTTCTCTTGGAGCTGATCGAGCAGACTTTCCACGGGTCGAAACCCTCTGCGAACCTCAGCCTTCTCGTTCTAAGTAGGCCGAGTTCAAAGATTTACGAATACTTGGGCGAATTCGTTCACCAAGATCTCGACTCATTTTCTCAATCAAAGAACGATGTTGCGATCTTCATCGACCAGCGCGTGCGACATATCGCAATGAAGCGAGGCTACTCAAGCACAAACGCTACCCAGGTGAAGCGAGTTTTCCAAGCAAAGTGCGAGTACAACTTCCACTGGGTGCGTCTAGCCAGCGAGAACATCTGCAAGCTACGCCCGGAGGATGCTATCAAGTACCTCAAGGGATTGCCCAACGGATCCGAAATGCCTGCCTGCAACGCATCGGTCAATCAGAAACGAGACAACCTTGAGCATATCGGCTTTGGTTACACCGATGAAGATAGAGAAAAGCACCATGCGCGTCTCAAGTCTCCGTTCGTCAGTGCGATACTGACTGGAAGAGTTGAGATGCTGGCGTTTCTCCTCAGCCAAGGTACGCCCTTGACGCCATACACTATACGAGCAGCAGCAAGATGGGGCTGTTCCGCAATGCTTCAGACAATCATGACACTTCGACGGGATGAGATTTCGCGCGACCAGGACCTTTCCTGCTCTGCAGCGGAGTGTGCGAGCGCAGAGCTGATAAAAATTATTTTCACCAATCCTAACTTTAGATGGAGTGATGCAGCCATGACTGGAGCGATAAGAAACGAGCAACATGGACTCAAGATCCTTGAATTGCTATTTCAACTACATGGCAGCGAAATTGAACTCGACGAGTGGATGATGGGAAATATTGCTGGCATATGTCACCCAAGAGTTATGGATTACCTACTCACCGAGCATGGAGCACGAATTGAGATCAACACAACCGTGGCTGAGAAGGCCATTGAGAACCGACAAGGCCCAGCTATGCTTAGAGTTCTTCTGAAACATCGACCACACGAGGGCTTTGTGGACGAGGAACTCATGACGCTCGCTTTGGCCAATACTCGATGTCGACCAGACTTCATGGCCATCTTTATCGAAATGCCAAGGACCGAAGTCCAGTTCACAAAAGAAGTTGTGTTAGCGACAATCGCTTCACCGCAACAAAACACAGACGACTGGGCACCTGAAGTTCTTGAAATGCTCCTCGCACACCGGGCCGCCGATATTGACATCGACGAAGAGATTGTTATGGAAACCCTGCTAGAACTTGGATACCCCGGCGTACAAGTTCTCTTGGAGCATAAAGAAGAGAGCGTGAGGGTGACTCAGGCACTTCTCGACGCTGCAGCAGGTGTCTGCTCAGCGAAGGAGTTCCGAGAGTTAGTGTCGAAGGCTGAGGATGATTTCCAGATCACGCAGGATATGCTCATCAACACAACGCTCAACGCGCGACATGGTGATAGAGTTCTACCTGTGATGCTGGGATACCTGAAAGGCTCTCTCAACATCGGCCAAGAAGCCCTCGAAGCATTCCTCAAGGTGGGACATATCGGCTTCAAGAGTTTGCTCATCCTGTTGTTGAGAGACCGCGGCTGCAGAGTCAACGTTACTAGAGGCGCTCTGCGTTCATGGATCCGGGACGAGCAGATATGCCGAGGAAGCTTGGCATTTCTACTTGTCGCGCTTCACTCTGGATGGTGCAAGCTGGTCGAAGACATGTCTGGTTCGAGGTGTGAGAGGCTGGCAGCCCTTATTAAGCATTATGCCGAGTTGGAGGATGTGCGACGCACGTTTGTGGAAGCGATGGAGCGGTCAAAGAAAGAGATGCGTGCGGCTTGAGTGTTTATGATGTTACTAACGAAGTTATGATGGTATGGCTTTTATGATGGTCAAAGTGCACAACCAGGTGGTTTGTCGCCGGCATACAGGATGCTACATTTGAGACGAGGGAATTATATAAACATGTAATAGTATAAGGATAGGTTTTGGGTTATAACTTGTTGTAATAGTACACTTATATTTTGTTATCGTGCCTATCACTTTTTTGTCTCCGTTGACACGCAGGAACGAACCATAATTGATGATCCGAGCTTAGTTGGAGCACTAATCAACCCCAGATGCTAAGTTAGTGTTAGTGTAAGCTATCATCAAACACTAATAAATAGCTCAATAAGCTCGCGACGCGTGAAGGTGCAGAGCTACAGGGATCCGTATACAGTGATCAGCAAGTCTCTGACGAAGCTGCCTATGACAACTGGAAATAAACCCCCGACCGAAACGTTCCAGACCCTGGGCAAAGGAGAGTGAGGCTGGTGTTTGTTGTTTGTTCCTGATACGCTCAACCTTGGCGTTGATAAGAATGGGTGAGACGACGCTTGTGTGATAGAGAGAGACCTGCATTGCGCATGAGCATGATGCGATGCCTAAGGCGGAAAGGCTTCAGGTCTGGTTGCCAGGCAGGGAAAGTGGAGACGGGGAAAGGCACAATGGTGCGTCATTGCCAGCCGTGCCAGCGAGTCACAAGGTCATTAGCAGGGGAAAGGCTTTAGTGTCCGGGGGGCGCAACTTACGAATCCAGGCAGGTGTGGCCAACCATGGCGCCGAAACAGGCCGCAAGCACGCGCAATAAGCTTCCCCCAGCTCGGAAGGACCTGAGCTCCGTTACCGTCACCGTCACCTTCCTCCGCCTCTCACTTCTTAACCAACCATCTTTCTTATCTCCCCAACTCCATCCTGCATCTTGCATCTCCATTCTACATCTCCATCAACAGCAAACATCCAAAGCTCGCAGCCTTTTTTGTGTCGAGCTTCTTACCATCTACTCATCACTCGGTCGCATTCTCGACCTGATTGCCCATCATGAAGAGCGCTCTTCTCACTGCCGCCGCGCTTCTGGGCTCTGCCCAGGCCGGCATCCACAAGATGAAGCTCAACAAGGTCCCTCTTGCCGACACACTGGTACGACTGGTTCCCACGATGCGATAATTGCGCATACAGTTCAAGCTCTAACACGATTCACAGGCTACCAACTCCGTTGAGGAGCACCTCCAGAGCCTCGGCCAGAAGTACATGGGTGCTGCTCGCCCCAAGAACGCTGCCGACTACGCTTTCGCTACCAACGTCCCCAACGTTCAGGGTGGCCACCCCGTCCCCGTCTCCAACTTCATGAACGCTCAGTGTAAGCATCATTCAATTTGTTAAACCTCATCCAAAACTGACCACTCTCAGACTTCTCCGAGATCACCATCGGAACTCCTCCCCAGAGCTTCAAGGTCGTCCTCGATACCGGTAGCTCCAACCTCTGGGTTCCCTCCCAGCAGTGTGGCAGCATCGCTTGCTACCTCCACTCCAAGTACGACTCCTCTGCCTCATCGACTTACAAGTCCAACGGCAGCGAGTTCGAAATCCATTACGGATCTGGCAGCCTGTCTGGTTTCGTCTCCAACGATGTCATGCAGATTGGCGACCTCAAGATCAAGGATCAGGACTTTGCTGAGGCAACCAAGGAGCCCGGCCTGGCTTTTGCCTTCGGTCGCTTCGACGGTATCCTCGGTCTCGGCTATGACCGTATTTCTGTGAACGGCATGGTCCCTCCCTTCTACCAGATGGTCAACCAGAAGCTCCTGGACGAGCCTGTTTTCGCCTTCTATCTTGATGGCCAAGAGGGTGAGAGTGAGGCTACCTTTGGCGGTGTTGATAAGTCCAAGTACACTGGAGATATCGAGTACATTCCCCTCCGCCGCAAGGCCTACTGGGAGGTTGACCTTGAGGCCATTGCCTTCGGTGATGAGGTCGCTGAGCAGGAGAACACTGGTGCCATTCTTGACACTGGTACCTCTCTCAACGTCCTCCCCAGCGCCCTCGCTGAGCTCTTGAACAAGGAGATTGGTGCCAAGAAGGGTTACAACGGCCAGTACACCATCGAGTGCAGCAAGATCCAGGAGCTCCCCGATATCACCTTCAACCTCGCTGGATCCAACTACAGCCTCCCCGCCTCTGACTACATCCTCGAGGTCCAGGGCAGCTGTATCTCTACCTTCCAGGGTATGGACTTCCCCGAGCCTGTAGGACCCCTTGTCATCCTTGGTGATGCTTTCCTCCGACGATACTACTCTGTCTACGACCTCGGCAAGAACGCTGTTGGTCTGGCTCGCGCCAAGTAAGAGTATGTTATGACTATTTATGTATGAATTATTCCAGATAGCGAATGGGAACACGCAGCATGGACATGGTTTTGGACACCGGTATGGGACTAGTTTGAATTGTATGAGACTTTGAGCGCAAGCGATGGGAAATAGCTTCATGAACTTGCGCTCAGTAATATGAATCCTATCATGTTTTTACTTGTGTTGAAGTGCCTGATTCTGTTTTGCCTATGATGAGATCATTGTGAGTTTACTTACCGGGTAATGATTATCATGATCATGATTACGCTAAGCCTGCAGCCACGTCCTCGTGTAATTGAGCTCGGTGAGAGATAGCATGTTGATGTCAAGTCTGGCCATGGTAACAACTATATTGTACCAAATACGCAGCATGAAATATAATATTCTTGAAGTTCTGAATTGTTGAAGCCATCAATAACTGTAGATCATTTAATGCAGCTCAATATTCACGGTGTTCGTATTCTACATTGCATCACATTGCTACGTGCAACAAACCGTTGAATGGTGTAGTCACGTGCCTGGCTTTACTTTCCCCCTTCTCAAAAAGGGAAAAGGGCGCCATAGTGGGTCCGCTGTTGGTCTGTGACAAGTAAGGGTACTTGGCGATCGAGGAGACACATTCTTCCCCCCCAGGCCAGGCCCCAGCGCAAAGCAGAGCAGAGCAAAGCAAAGCCAGGCCAAGCAAAGCACAAGGCATCTTCTCCCCCCCCCGTTTTTTCGACTCGAGATACTGCCTCGAGACGTGTTTGTCGCGTAATTTCCGAGTCTAATACGCCCTATTACAACGATTGCACGATTGTGTCGTGGTTATCTCGATGAGTGCGATTCGTTTGCGCTGCCTTGACCAAGCCTGTTATTTACTACTATCACCTGGAGTTGCACCAGCGACGCCGACTGGACCTGGACTTGGACTTGGACCCGTACCCATTTCTGCCATCCACTACCGCTACAGCTCCCATTCCGACTGCTAATCACTGCCACTCACTACGAACTACCGCGTATCGCGACGAGGCGCGGCCAACGCCCCGACGACGAACAAAACGAGGGACGGCCTGCATTTGAAGCCATCATGACCACGCCCACCATGGCACAGCCCACGGCTATCCACGCCAACGGCACCTCGGAATCCCCCACCCTTGACAAAGCGCAACCTGTTGCTTCGGGAAAGCGAAAACGCGATGTAGAAGAAGAGGACCGCGATGAGGATATGATTTCTCCAGAGCAAAAACCTGCCATCACCAATGGCAATGGCGAGCCTAAGAAGGACCAACGCGACTTGATAAAATCTTTCGTTGACGTTCTCAGCAGGTATGCCTGCTTTTTTTAATTGCTGATTTTCGTCACATCGCAACTTTGTCGCGATTGACCTCTCCATTTCATGCACTAACCATCTCTAATAGCTACGACGTCGCTCCCTCCATCCTCAAGCGCCCCTTGCCCGAGACATCTGATGACGATGAGGAAGGTCATCCAGCGAAGCGCCAAAAGTCGACCGAATTATCCACCATTTCCGACAAGGCTGCCGGCAATGCGTACGAGGACCTCGACCAAGTGGCCAATGACCTGGTTTCTGCAATCTCAGTCGCTCTGAAGGATCTCAAGTCTCAATCGGTCGAGGATAAGAAGGAGTCGACCAATGAAACGTCAAGAAGACAAATTACAGAGTTCAAGGATAAGGCCATGGAGCTTCTCCGACGAGAGAAGGCCTACCCAAAGACTTCAGCCGATCCTCTCCCCGTTGAGGCCAAGCTTCCATCATCTCCTCAGAAGGGAGAGTTGGTACTGTCTGTTGTCGGATATGCCCCTCAGGAGAAGAGACTGTTCTCCAGTCTGTCAGTTTCCGATGAGAGCAAATTGCGAGATGTGTCCCTGCCTCCTGGTGTATCATTAACTCACCTTATGCCCTCGACTCCCCACGAACGAACACAGACTCTCGGAGACCTGTTCTCGTCGCCTAGATCTCTGCCGCCTCTCCAACCCCCCAAGCAGCCCAAGACGCAAGCAAAAGGCAACGCGCTGGACTTCTACCATCCAGAACTGACAGACAATTGCAAGTTCCGAAATGCCTCTTACTTCACTACCAAATTGGCTGCAGGATCTTACCTCGACTACAGTAATGCGACCCCCTCATCACAAACAATGAACAAGCAACGAGAACGCGCGCAAAGTCTGGCGGGGAAGCGACCTTCAACTACTGAGCTTGAGATTCACGAGATGGAATCACTTTTCCGGGGCGCGTTTTCCAGTTTTGCGCCATGCAAGGACGACTCAGGAGCGCTTGTGCCGTCGAATGTTGCGGGTCGAATGTGGTGGCAGCGATCAGGTCACCGGCATTTCCAGAACATGATCGAGGTCGAATACTATGGTGGCACTGACAATGAGGAGAAGGATGACAAGGAAAATGCCCTTGATGTCGATGAAAAGGCTATCCAAGAAGCGCTTGATAGCTGGGATGAATCTGTCGTCGATCCGTCGCTCGAAGAGGCTTTGGGTACGAAGAGGGCAGATGAGGAGAAGGAAGTTGACGAGATTCTGGAAGAGGTCAGCGACATGATTGAGACCCTGTCCTCGTATCAGCGCATCCGAAACCTTAATCTCCCCAACTCGCAAAACCGTTCATCGAGCGACCCGGTTACTGGCGACATGTTGGCTACTCCTGGGCCTACTCCTTCGGAGGGCGAGCAGGCTACTTACCAAGTGCTCAAGGCACAGCTCGCACTAATTATCAAGACGCTGCCGCCGTACGCAGTTGCCAAATTGAACGGAGACCAACTGGAGGATCTTTTGATCAGCACCAAGGTTCAAGTTCAAACCGATCAGTACAAGGGTGTTATGGAAGAGGATGAGGCGGGTGTACAGGCTCGTATGAGAGCTCAGCAACAGGCTGCTCAAGCCAATGCTCGACCGCCCCCGCAACGCACGCCTAGCATCTCAGGCGTTTCCTATGGACACCATACACCACAGAATCAGTACGGAACCCCTCAACGAACCCCTTCTATGTCGCAGCAGCAATACTATCGACCTGGCCCCACGCCCAGCTTCCAAACCCAACCACGACCTATGCCCGCTCAGCCCCGACCTCCTCAACCTAACCAGTACTCTCGACCCAACGGCTATCCTGCCCAGTATGCGACACAGGTTGCTAAGGCGCAAACCCCATACGGCCACCAGAACATGCCTCAGTATGCTTCTCAGCAAAGACCTTCATTCGGGCAGCTGCCAGCTCAGCCGGGAACTCCTACTGCGCGATTCCCTTTCCAACCAGGCTTTCCTCAGCAACAAGCCGCTACACCTACGCCCAACTTTGGGGCATACACGAACGGACAAGCTATTCCGCAGCGTACGATGTCTCCTGTAGTTAACAGACAGGCATACAGCTCGTCGCCTAATATGCAGCAGCCTCCTCGATATGGCACGCCGAATCAGGCTGTGGGAAATCAAATTAACAGGTACCCGAGCAATCCCCCTCAACAAGGAACGCCTGCTCAAAACCCTGGACTTACAGGATACCACACCGTTATCCCTGAGGCTCAGCAACAGAGGATTCTCGATCAAGCCAAGGCTCGGGTCGCCGCCCAAGAGCGCTCTGCCATGTTCACTGACAAGATTGCTCAGCCTGGCACACCTGGTTATGCCGGAGGTATGGGCCAGGCCGGAGTCATGGATGCCAGCAGACTCGCAGCTGCTCGGGCGAGTATCGCCGCTCAGCAGAAGCCTCCGACTCCCAATTCTCAACGATCGATGAACGGGACACCTGGACCGCCACCTCCGCATAAAGTGACGCCTGTCCCGGTCCCACCAATCCCAGGTATGCAGCATAAGCCATCACAATAGGGCTTGAGATGGTAGTTGTTGGAAACAGAAACGATCAAAGCAACGAGTTATAAAGCATGGAGTCGGACATAAGAGTTTAGGAGCAGAGTTTAAGAAGGGGCGATTAGGTGGGCGTTTAGAGGTGGATTCTCGAATTTTGTTTTATTACTCACGTTTTTTTCTGAGGAGTTGGTTTTTGAGTGAACCAGGGAAAAAGGTATCAGAGAAGAGAGAGTTGACCTGGGAAGTGGAAGCTCCTGGTTGTGTAATCCAGACGCCAGCTTGGCGCGTGTATGCAGATGAAAGAAAAGGTACATCATTGCCATTGATAATATTTGTTTGAGTCATGGATAGAAACTACTTCTGTCCTAGTGTGTATTGATTGAAAGAACATTCACATGAGTTCAAAGAGTCCGGGCCTCATCATTTGATCGTTAATTCTATTGAGCTGAGGGGTATCTAAAAGGCCAGGCTCGGTGACCTATATCCTGCATCTTCAACCTATTCCCATAATAAAATCTTGCACCCCTTGTTAATATCGTACAAAAGTGCCAGACTCACAATCTACCCCACTGGTGTCACGGGTGGCTGTAGATCAGCCGCCATCTCCCGTTCCTGCATCATCTCAAGGACGATGCGACGCAGCTCAAAGATAACTTCAACCGCAATGAGCAGGATGATGATCCACTCCAGGCGTGTACCGTGCTGCTCACTGGACATCTCACGCAGAACACTAGCGATCTCAGCAGCATAGTCCATCTTCTGGTTCAGAGCCCGAATGCGCACGTTGACGTCAAGCGCACGACCAACTTGCTCATAATACCCCTCGAGACCCAGCTCGGAGCTGGTGTCCCAGAAGATATCAGGCAGAGAGTCTGTGAGTTCGGAGTAATGGTTTAGGCGGGCGCGGAGACTGAGCAGTTCGCCTGTCTTTTGTAGAATGAATTTCCGACCGAGGGGAATGCCGGCGCCTCGGGAGAGGAGGGCGGGGATGTTGCGTGTACTTTCAAAGTACGTTGTCAACGCCGTCTCGAGGACGGCAAGTTTTGTGCTTCGTGCAAGACCAGAGGAGAAAGCAACCTTGGCTAATGTGGTGTCTAGCTTGTCGGCTTCCTTATTCTCCTTGCGGGTGCCGAGAACAATGACATCGCCCTTGAGCACGCTTGCTTCTCGGTTAGTATCGGTAGTGAATTCGAGATCTTCGAACTCTCGATGCGTGATGGGATGCGCTTCTTCAGCAGCGCGCATGATCTGTCTGGTGACAACATCCGAGGGCAACGACCACGTCACAATTGTGCCTGAGGGGAAGACGAAGATGTCTCCACCATTGACTCCTCTTGCATGAACCACTTCGTTTGCATCGAATCCAGTGCCATCCGGGTCAATGTCAAAGCCATGCGATGACAAGATCTCCAGAACTATGGGCATCTTGAAAGTCTCCGCAACACAGGTTGCGCTGACCACATTCGAGGGTTCATCGCTGGGGCTTCCTGGCGCTGCTGCACCTCGTTTCGGCTGCTGGGCAATGATAGCCACACGGCGGAGCGAATTCTTGGCTGTGTTCGGTCGTGTGGGCTTTCTCTTTGCCGCGGCAGAGCTTTTATCTTCCTTGTTCAGCTCTGATGCCGAGCGGGAGTCGTCATCGGCTTGGGAGAGGTAGGGATTCGAGGTGAAGAAGCTGCGCTTTCGCGGGAAGCTGGCCAAAGAGGTGATATGGAATGATCGATGGGGCCTCAACCGTGGCCCGGCGACCGAAGTGTGAAAAAGACGGGCGACATTGAGGGTGATCCATTGCGAGGAATTCCTCATGATGTTACACCAATTATGCCATAGAAGGTGAGTGCTTTATGTGTCGACTGAACCAATGCCTGATATAACTAAAGAATATGGTAAACCTCGAATTAAAAGATAACGACTAACAAAAGACAATCTGAAGCGGGACTGCTGATAAGATAAGACGAGACAAGTCATCGAATTATCTGCATGTGAGTCTACACGTGATACCCCTCAACGGAATGTGGCTCCGCTAGACCGCTTCGAGTAGTCTTCTCGACACCCATGACGAGAGATCCATCTCTAGGGGAGACCAGCAGTAGACAAGCCTAGAAACGGTTAATTACGCTTCTCAACACCGAGGACTTAAATTCGACAGACAGCCAACCCCCTTGACTTTCGACCCTTCAACAAACTTTTGGCGTAATTCATCGTCTCTTTTAATTCCTTAGTCCCGCCGTTTCTTCACTGCGGACTCTTTCTACCTTCTTCCCCTCCTCCCTTATATTCCACCGTATACCCCACCATCTATCACCATGGATCTGAACCCCAAGTACGACAGCTATGATTTCCCTATCAAGGGCCCTGAGAAGCAGGATGGCCACGCCGGCTACCTCACAGAGGAGCAGATCGCCAAGCTGCACCAGTTCCGCATGATGCTCGAGTCCGAGGGCTGCACCGACCGATTGGACACCTTGACTCTGGTACGAGATAAACCTGAGCTTCATGGACCCTGAAAAGGGCCAATGTAACACGATGCCCATGCAGCACAACGAATACTGACAGCACCTTTCTTACAGCTTCGATTCCTCCGAGCGCGCAAGTTTGATGTCGAGGCCTCAAAAACTATGTAAGAGCTTTTCCCTTTTCTTCTGATGGCGGTGGAACGAGGAATACGCGTTTGCGACAGGGGGGCTGACCGCCACTATAGGTTTTTGGACACCGAGAAATGGCGAAAGGATACCAAGCTTGACGAGACCGTGCCTGTCTGGGACTACCCCGAGAAGGCTGAGATCGGAAAGTACTACACTCAGTTCTACCACAAGACCGATAAGGTATGACAAAGTTGCTGTTGATGCGGAAGTTATCATATGCTGACCGACGTTTTTTTCTTGTATATAGGATGGTCGACCCATCTACATCGAGACTCTTGGCGGTATCGACCTGAACGCCATGTACCAGATCACCACCGCTGAGCGCATGCTTACCAACCTGGCTGTCGAGTACGAGCGCGTCGCCGATCCCCGTCTCCCTGCCTGCTCCCGCAAGGCTGGCCACCTCCTCGAGACATGCTGCACCATCATGGACCTCAAGGGTGTCTCCATCGGCAAGGTCCCTCAGGTGTACTCCTACGTCAAGCAGGCCTCCGTCATCTCTCAGAACTACTACCCCGAGCGTCTGGGTAAGCTGTACATGATCAACGCTCCCTGGGGCTTCTCCACCGTCTGGAGCATCGTCAAGGGCTGGCTCGACCCCGTCACCGTCTCCAAGATCAACATTCTCGGCTCCGGCTACAAGAGCGAGCTTCTCAAGCAGATTACCGGCGAGAATCTCCCCAAGAAGTTCGGCGGCGAGTGTGAGTGCCAGGGCGGCTGTGAGAACAGCGATGCCGGTCCTTGGCACGAGGCCGAGTGGGCCCGTCCCGCTTGGTGGGAGAAGAAGCAGGATGGCAATGTCATTGAGAACAAGGGCTCTGAGATTGAGGAGCCTGGAAAGGCTCCCCAGGCTGCTCCAGTCGCTGAGGGTGCTGATGCTACTCAGACTGCCCCTGCCCCTGCTCCTGCTGCTCTCTAAATAGAACGAGATATGCTATGGAACGAATATCGGTGAAAGATAGACAAAGCGGTTCAGCTGCGTCTTAATATAGAATGCGCATTTTCTCTCGTTTATCATGCTTTTTTTCAACAACAAATCGGCTTGAGAGCAGGAATACGAAGGTGTTAAAACACATTGCGAACGAGTAGGGCGGAGCGTGATGTTTGCAGAAACGAGAAAGAAAAAGAAAAGCTTGTCAGGCCCTTTTTATCCATCCAGCTGTGTAAACATGCTGATATGTCATACTTCGTGTGTGCTTGACTTAGGTCAGATGTTGTTGGTTGCTTAGCCCGAATTCTTTCTGACCATGACTGTAATAGTTCTCAACAAATAGACGCGGTCTTGAGTGTTGTCTGCTTCCAAAATGTGATTTGATATTGTCGATTAATCCAATACGCCCCCCAAACTCCTGAGTATGTTCCGTAATACACTGATTTCCGCCCTGGGTATATATGTAAAGGTAGTAGTAATATGGTTGTTGCACGCCCTTCTTATCGTCCCTGCGTAACAACATACTCGCCCGCGACACGCGCCCTCTCCATCTTGGCCACCACAGAGGGCATCTCGCGTTTCAGCCTGCCGAGCCCTTCCACGGCCCTGCGGAAGCCGGCCTCCACGCCGTCCTGCCTCTCGAGCGGCTGCACGTCCAGCTCGACCTCTCCGGCCTCCACGGCAGCCTGCTTCTTGCGCGCGTCGAGCAGGTCGTCGTCGCGCTTGAGGCTGTCGCGCAGCTGCTCGGCCTGGTTCGCGGCGACGGTGGCGGGCACGGAGCGTTTCAGCGCGGCGACGTCCTCAAGGAGCTTCTCCTCCTGGGTGATCAGGTCTGCGACACGGCGGCGCTTGCGCGTGTCGAAGGGTTCGTAGACGGGTTCTGGCTCGGCGGTGGGTTCGGAGAGGAAGGTATCTGAGACTACAGGGAGGCCATTTATAGAGAGGTTTGGAGATGCGAGGGAGAATGTTTTGTCGATATACTGTTTATTTTGTTAGTCCTCAGCCAGGGCACCACGTAGTCCAGAGACATACTTCATTGACAAGCTTCTCTATCTGCGTGCGCAATTCATCTTCGCCATAATTCCCCTCTACAACAGGGAAAGCCTCATTGAGGCGCTCTGCGGCGGCGCGACGGACGTTTGCGATGAGATACGAGAGATCCTCTGGGGCTTGCAGCTCGATTTTGCGCTGGACTTGTGAGACGACGGATTCAGAGTCCATGTTTAATTGCCTCCCTCGGAGAAGGAGGAGGGTATTTAAGAGAAGAGGGATTGGGAGAGTGTAGACTAGAGTGAGGGTTGGACTGGACTATCAAGGTGCGTAGTTCGGTGAGTTTGTGCCCCGCGGCCGCGTTAGGTGCCGTCAATTGTTTACTTTAACCCTGGGCGCCGACTCGGAAACGGAGATGGAGGAGGGCTTATCTTATCGTGCGAGTTAATGTTCCAATTCTAGAAGTAGACATCTTGGAACATAACCACTTTGTAATCGGTGGGTAATTATTGAACAGTATAAACAATTACAGGTATCCTTTTTGTATGTTCATACCATGAAAGTTGATAGTGTCTTGTTATACATCCTCCAATACTATTGGAAGTCTAATGCATCCACGGAGATCCTTGTAAGTGAGGCGACACTACATTCAGGGTCTGAACCACTCCATTCATGCTCTAATATTAAGCTTGGTAACAAAATTCGCTAGATAAACATTACAGTCGTATGCGCACATCATCTCGTTCAAAATTAAATCCTCTCATGTATCAACCCAGTCCTGCTCACTCACGGGATACTCCGACATAAGAGCCCTTCTATTAACGCCCTGCTGTTCCTTCTTACAGTACAGCAATATCTTATCCATTGGAGCGCCCGAGAGGCTTGCCTCGATCTCACTGATTCTATACGGCTCTGGTAATAGCGGTAGTTGGTAATCTTGATCCCGCATTGGGGTGTTGAGGGAGAAGTCATCCGCCAGGTCAAAGCCTTGGTAGAAATCGCCCTCTTCCAATTCAACGACTTTCTTGGCCACGCATGCGGCTATGTGCGCGTCCCAGATACCCTCTCTGTGGGGACTGGTTCTCAATAGTTTAATAGCTTCGACTCGGATGCGGTGGACGCGGCATTTTACGGCTGTGAAGTAGAGTGGTGCTATCCAGCCCATGTCGATGATGGAGCGAGGCATGCAGGTCGACATGACATAGAGCGGCATTTCGTCCTCAAGATTGTAGTCTTGTGTGGATATGTCCCATAGTCCTGTTGCCTCTTTGATAAGCTTGATGAACTTTTCTGTGCATGAGTCGTAGATTGTCTCGTTGTTGTGTATGCAGGTTTCAGCCATGATGTTTGTCATGGCGTAGTGGATGAGCAGAACTTGGGATGCCTTTCTCATGAATACATTGGTACCGCCGGGCCATGCTTCTATGGACTGCTGAAAGGTGGTATGCCAGCTACTGAGCCTTTCCTTGACGAGTTGCTGGGATGCTTGCTCAGTTGCACCTATTGTTCGCTGACGGGCTCTGTGAGTGATGTGGAATATCTGGTTGTAGATAACTTCCAGCCCCTTCCATGCCTCATTGAGATTCTCAAAATGGTCGGGCTGACTCTTCTGATGGTATGGGGCTGGCTGCAGAATAACACATGAGTGGTGGTGAAGGTACCGAAAGAGCTCAACCTGTATGTGCAGTCTGGACATGGCCTCCACTATCCAAGCATCAGTCGCTTCATGACAGGGCTTCAAAGCCAGGATCCCCGACGATGCATCAGGAAGGCCCTGCATCTGACCAAGAATGTCCAGCCCATTCTTGAGGTGCAGCTGCGCCGTAGCAAAGTGACCGCGGAAGAACTCCAGACATACAAAGACAATACAAGTGATGAGCGCCACACGGCACGAGGCTCTGTCCTTGGCGGAGAAGTGCGGCTGTAGGTGACCTATGGCCTTGACGTACTGCTGCAGGGTGAACTGCTCCTGGGGACTCATCTCGGCGCTGGGGGAGTTGCTATGTATGCCCAGCTCAACGACGCCCTTCTTGTGGGCGGAGCTGAGGGCCAGCAGGGCGTGTAGGACGGCTGGTTCGCTGGAGCAGGCCTGGAAGACGAGGGTGGTCCAGAAGCCGGAGGAGAAGGTCGCTGAGATCTTTGCTGAGGTGCGGCACTTGAACCAGTCAAAGTAGAGCTTTTCGTTTGCGTTTAGTGAGACGATGAATGTGACAGGACCTGGAACTGGAGCCGAAAATGTCTTGGCTTGGGCTTGAACTTGGGCTTGGGCTTGCAGGACGTGAGATCCTCCACCCCAGATGCCATATCCGTCACAGACACGCCCTGTAGATAGACATCTTTGGCACGCAGGACGACCCTCGTCACACTTGACTTTTCTCAATCTGTAGATTTTTGTTAATCACAAGTACCTTTGCGCAATATCCTAAAGGGCTTGTATGTGTGGAGTACTCACTTGCACGTCTTACAGCCAGACTTGACCTTTGATCTGCCTTTGCGAGACATGTTATCTTTCTTGTTTGCTAATTCGTCTGCTCGGAAACTTGAACTTTTGCTTGGTTACAGACAGACACACCGACACATGTATAAAATGGAGATAAATTAATAAAGCCTGCAATTTGTTCTCTCTAACGTTAGTGCCTCCCAAAGTTTATAAGTCGGAAATATCTCACTACGTCCGCGGCCTGTATCTCACCTCTTGCCCCTTGTCCTGCCCCGCCGCGGACTACTCCGCTGACAAGATCGACATGGTCAATTAAGAGTCTCATGGATGTGGTCCTATTGGTTTGCTCGGAAACGGTGAACTTTGATTGGTTGGTCAAGTTGGTGGGAGATTACTTGGTTATGTCTTTGATATGTACGGGTATATCTGGTTGGATGTGCCACTCCAAGACTCTAATAGTTTATGCAATTTGCTCCGACTTAGGGCTTTATCTATGCTTAATGCCGTTCCGAGTGTTTGTGAACTCTATTGTGCGAATAGGAAGTATCAACTGATTATGTCACCGAGTCCGAGTCACATGCTGTATGAGAGCTGGGACCCAAGATTATGAATGCTGGATAGATCAACCAGTTCAGCAAATACGCTCAAAGATGTGACATTTTATCTACAATTATCACATCTCTCAAATCCATCCCTCGACCACGTATATGATTCCGGGATAACATCTTGAGAGTCGGCTGAGTACGATGTTGCAGCAGATGAGATGGGGAGGCCTGGCTAATATCAAGAATAGCTTCTATCACGACGGCGAGGAAATCACCGGCAAGTGGTTCAGCGCACGGGAAAGACAGACAACATCTTCCTTACCACAAAGTTTGGCTATGTCAAGGAAAGTCCGACTTATGAGCTCAACACTTCGTATGAATATACCAAGAAAGCTCACCTAGGTATGCTAACAGCCTACGACCCCTGGATATCTATTGATTGTATCGGTCTATGTAAGTCCTGAGCTCCCATGGGCCCGCAATCACGGACTAAACCTGTTCAGTCTACCATACTCCCAACTCCGAGACTTCGATTGAACAGACCATGCGTTTTGGAAGGAACTGGAAAGGGGACTGTACAATAATCGAGGATTTTTACTGAAGTTAATAGAGTCAAGGCAAGATCAAGAATATCGGGCCATATGCTGTCACCTTAGCCTCTCTCCGTAGAGCATCTGCTAGGTGTTGACCATTTCTTTTGGCTAAGTAGCTTTCCGAAGGAGTATTTGTTTGATATTATGAGTGCCTAGTGGACACCATAAAGATATGGTATAATGTCAAATTTACTCTTACACCCTTTCTTTTCTTGCAAATGGTTATACGAGTTGTTCTTTATCGTGGTAAGGTCGATTTGGCTCCATGTTAATTTGCTATTACAAGATGTCACGTTGAGCTACATGTACACAAGGGCTTTGCTTTGCTCTACGTATGGCAAATTATCAGTCTAGTTTTCATACTTAAAAAAAAAAACATAGCTGCAGACTTTCAAATCACTTATTCACGGTCTGCCTTACCTTATTGGGGGCCGAGGCTGAGTCGCTGACTGCATGATTGCTACCTAGGTAGTCTAGTTGACCCACAAGCCAACCCTCATCTTGGCTGAATATAACCTCACTCACTGATTCTCCCAATCTCGATCAACATCTACCACAGTCAGAATGACAACCCTATACGAGCCACCATGTCTTCAGACACTGGCCCCAGAGATCTACAAAATTATCATGGAAGAGCTCGAGACCAAAGAGTTGTTCAGTCTGATGCTCACTAGCAGGGCCATCAATCACCTCACGATCCCCTCTTTTTACAAGAAGATATACACCAGAGAAAAGACTGCTTGCGACACAAGAGGGCTAGTCCGTCTACTGACCAAAAAGCCTTGGATAAAAGACCTGGTTCATTATTTGGTCATTGACGAAATGGACGGGGGTGCTTATAGAGAGCTGCTCGGGTTTGATCTCCCGAATCTTGAGGCTGTTCTACTCCAGCACGAGGGCAAAGTCAAGTTGAAGATAGATGAAGAGGATAAGGAGAGACTAAACCAGTCAATCATTCCAAAGCCACGGTTGACTAACCGTATGCACCTTTCACTGTATTATTCAACTGCTCAGCTTGTTAACCTTGATATTTCAGTAGTCGTCTTGAACATAATGAGAAATCCTTGGAATTATCCACCAGAGCACCGAAGATATCCCAAATTCACCATCAACGACGCCATTCTGTTCAAACACTCCTCCCTCACTCGCCTCAGAATATCATACGTTAACCTCACAGCCTTGGAAAACGCAAGCGACGACATGTTTCCTTTTGAGAATCTCACCCATCTATTAATCGAAATCAGCTGCATCAACCTTGGAGTTTTCAAAAAGATGCTATCCCCAGTAAAGAAGCTCGCCGTTTTCCGTTTCCACCAAGAGCTTCATCTCCCCTTCTCCTTTGAAGAATTCCGCCAGCTGTTTTGGAGGTTTAGACGCACGCTCAGAGTGCTTAAACTCGAGTGGCGTCGTATCCAAGATGGCGAGACCATAGGCTTAAACCTTTCTGATTTCCCTGCCCTCAGAATTCTTCTCGGCGACCCCGAAGTGCTCTTCGGGCAATGGAAGACCTGTCCCGACCTGGTAGATCAGCTCAAGCGGAGACTACCTCCCAACATCAGGATTCTCACACTGATACAGTTTTGCTGGCGTAACGTGGACGATGGGAGTCAACAGGCTGCTTGGGATCAGTATGGGTATGTTGGACTCCTACGGACCATTGTCCATAACAAGAAAGAAATCCTTCCGTATTTGAGATATTTGCTCTATCAGGATTCGGACAAGCTCATGATTCCTGATAATTTGGCGGAGCTGGCGGAGGAGCAGAAGATTGACTTGTGGTCTGCCGAGTCGTGTTATGATCCGGATCCTCTTGAGTATTTGAATTCGCCATGGAACAATGATGAAGAAGCCCAGGAGGAGTCATAATGGATAGGTGTGGTTTTGCGCTCGAGATAAGGATTCTAACCGTTAATGAGTGTATATGGGCAATTATACTTTGACGTGGACCTCGATTATGAACTTCTTCAGGTTTGCATATCTCAAATTGATCAAATCAACATTCACATTATATCTACAATGACAAAAGGTATCTGTAACGTTATGAATTAGGATTTATAGATGCTATCTTTGAGCTTCTCTTCCCGTCATCTCATCATTCGCAAGCGCACATGTTCCGTGTCGCAATGCATCAACAGCACGCCCGACTCCTTTCCTTTCGTTCCAAAACAACACACGCCAACGACACTATACAGTCCTTAAACAACAACCACCCAGCCTCAACACCCCGCTAACCATTTCTCATAAACTTTTGTGACACGACCACGCCTTCAAAGCGGCACGGCTTACATGAAAAGTAGGCGAATGCCTTAGATCTTGGACTTCTTGGCGGTAAAAGAGGCAATGGCATCCATCAGAGGAGGAGACAGAGCGTCGTAGGACTCGAGACCGAGGTCCTTGAACTGGGCGCGGACCTCGTTGGCCTTGTCGGCGGGGAAGCCCTGCTCGATGATGGAGGAGACAAAGGCGGCGAATTGAGGCTCTTGCCAGCCCTTCTCGTCCGAGAGCTCGACGTGGACAAAGTCCAGACCCTTGAAGGGGTGATCCTGCTCGATGCGGCCGAACAGGTGAACACCGCAGTCGCGGCAGGCGTTTCGCTGGATGGCAGCGTTCTTGTCGACGATGGTGAGCTTGTCGCCGTTGGCAGTGACCTGGACTTGGTCGCGGGGGATGACGGCAATGATGGCGAAGAGAGCGCCCTCAGGCTTCCAGCACTTGGAGCATCCGCAGGCGTGGTTGTGCAGGACCTGGCCGTTGAGGGCGACCTCGACGGGGTTGGAGGAGCACTTGCAGCGGATCTTTCCGCCGGAGAAGCTGTCAGAGCCCTTGGTGAGGCCGTTCTTGAGGCTGGGGTGGAGGTTGTGAGACATCTTGGAGGAGAAGGTGGAGGATGATGCTGTGACTGTTCGGTAGATGGAGGTGATTACTGCGGCTGCTGAGACGAGGGCTGCGGCGACGGCGATGGGGGTTTTATTCTTTGAGATGATGTTTCGAGGGGATGTAGAAGCCATTGCAAGAAAGAGGAGAAGTGAGCAGTAAGTAGGGGACGGGCGAAAGTCTTATATACGCATGAGGATACTGCACTCAAACAGCCACGGACGGATCAGTTATGTATGTATTAGCCTTTTGCTTCCCCCGCAAGTATGATAACGGCAATCTTGACTGTATGGAGTCATAACTTGCGTTAAACGAGGGTAAGCGTAAGCGTTGACGCTGTGAGACTGTAGACCGAGACAATCGAGAGGCGAGGCGAGGCGAGGCAAGGAGAGGGGACGCCTCCGAGATGCCGAGTTATCACCATTGTCACAGTGTAACTCTAAGCTTGTATCAGCCCGTTTTGCGATTGCGTTTTGCGGGGGAAACGCTTGGCAGTGATTGTGCCCGTTCACTGTGTCAATAATAATAACAATGGCTGTGCAGGCTGTGGTAAGTATCCGTAAGGAACCGACGGTCATCGGAAGCCGATCCCGTCTCCGGGCCCCCGTGCCCACTTCCGTATCAATTGTCGAGATAAGATGGAATATTCCAGAGGTTTTGTCTGTAATTGGAAGGATAAATGAGAACTAGTTACTCAGTCACTGTCTTGGAGAATAAGACGGAAGCATTGACACATGAGAGGGAATGGAATTAAAAAACTGCCGCTGACAGGCATTGATTGACTTTGACAATTGACACTCGGCACCTCTACCGTGCCGCGGGGCTTATATCGAGGGGTAAGCAGGTAACACAGCGATAGGATGGAATCAAATGTAACCCCTCTCAAAAGATTCAATGGCGTTACCGTTACTACTCTGTAGACTGTACCCCATGTTTGTCTCTGTCTCTGTCTTCCACTCCGTGTCTGTCAATCATCATCTGATCGGGACAGCCATATGCATTCCCGGCACTTACAGCTGTCTATCCCGGGGACATGTTCCGATGGCGCATCACGACTACTGAGAGCGTCACGTAGAAAGATAAAGAATGAAAAAGAAGAATACTAAAATTAGACACCCAAGACCCTTGATTCTCTTTTTTATTAAATGCGGCTGAGGAATTGCGTGATGCGTGAGGGGAAGGCCTTGGCTCAATATATGGATGTTTTCCGAGTTTTACACTAGAGAAGCAGGGTTTATTGTTTTCGGAATGAGTATGAAATTCCGGTGACGCAACCGACTAATTACAAGAGAAACAAGACATTTCTGAGTAAACATAAGCGTTCAAACTTGGTCAATTTACATGTACATGATAGTACTGAGTGTATTATATACTTAGAATAGTGGCTGGTGTTGCTGTCATCGAGTGACAGGTCATTGGTACACTGTTTAAATAGCATGCCACCAAGCCACGGAAATTACATCTTCTAATCAAAAGGCATGTATTTATTCCTTTTATTTTAAATATATTAAGAGTTGTAGAGAATCTTATAAAATGGAATCTTTAAGTAAGGATCATATTGTGATTCCAAAGCAGACCAACCCATCAAACAACGGACCCCAAAAGTGACTCCGACCACATTCACGACTAATCACCACCAACCATGCTTCACCTGCACCAGACAGCCACTCAAGTAATACTCGCGATACTGATACTAGTGTCAGGTAACACAAAATCTAAACATGTCCTGTCCCGTTCGTGTCTACCCACTGCGCAAGCCCGAAAACCACCGTGTTCCAGTCCCGCGATGGCATCTCGCTCTCCCAGATGATGTCACTCACGTGTGCACGGCTTATATCGGCGTTCAGAAACATTCCGATAACCAAGGATCTGATAATGCTAGAGATGAAGCTATTGCAACAATTCAGTCGTGGGTACAAGGCAAATACGGACCTTCGGTATATGAGGTGTTTACTGTTATGGATGGATGTGATGTAGAAGAGTCGACAATATGGGTGTGTTACTGGGCGGATCAGACGAAATATGAAAAAGGCCTTGAGGATCTCTCGCTCAAGGTCATCTACTCTCAATTACCTGAACCAGGTCGTGACTCGGTGGGTATCTACCGAGAAGCATTCATCACAGAAATTCAAAGACTGGAGACCAACTACTCTGGCCTCGACTATCTCCCAGGCCTTGCCAAACTCCCCGGCTCAACATTCCCCGAACACACACTGTCAGCCTACTGGGGTGCAGCAAGAGACAGAATCCCATCTTCCGCCTGGGATCTCTTTCCTCCATCAGCAGATACTACCCGTTCAGTATCAACACCGCAGAGTCTTGACCACTATCTCACCGGCACAAATCCCCAAAACCTAGCCCACATCCGCTCAGGCCAATTCTGGGAAAACTGCAGCCAGCAAGAAGCCGACTCATACGACACCAAGCTCGAGCCCACACTCCGCTCAGGTCTCGAGTATCTATGGAGCAATTCTCCTTCAACAGGCGCCCTTGGCCTTCGCTATCTCAGAAACACAGATTCTGCAGTATCAGAGACCAGTCGTCCTCGGAAAGAGACATGCGGCGCTGGCTTCTTCTCTAGTCTGGAAGCTCTTGAGACGTGGGCCAAGAGCCACAAATCTCACCTGGCTATCTATCGCGGAGCGCTGACCCATTACAAAGTATTTGGTGATGGGAGGAAATTCCGGACGTGGCATGAGGTTTCTGTTTTGAAGGCGGGAGATGCAAGATTCGAGTATTTGAATTGCGTGCCCGAGACGGGAGTGATTCAGGGACTTTTAGAGAGGGAGTGCCAATCACAAGACGTGAACACCTGGTAGGTACCTAGCTTGGCCTTATCGTTTGCTCCCTATTACTTCCTCATATATCTCTGTGGGCAATGTGCACATGCGGTACAGCATGATCCTGAAAAGAGTTTATGGTGACGGTTACGAAGAATTCATTTCTGCCTTCCATATTGTAATTCGCAAGGATCTAATTTCTCATAAATGCATAAAGGCAACTGCCATGTGAGTACTGCCTGCCTGTAAATTGTTTGTTCTTTCCCCCAGGCCTCAAGGCAGTTATTACCCGATCCTGACATCCTCGTCTTGAACAGCCTTTAAACCTTTCTCATCTTACAGCCAAAACAATAACAAACAAACATCACCACCAACATCATCACCATTACCACTACGATGAACTGGTTATCATTACCCCCCGAGCTGCGCAATATGATCTTAGAACGACTACTGGATCACAAAGGGATAGCTCCCTACGCGTCTGTCTCGAAAGAATGGCGGCCTGTCATCGAGAAAAGAAACTTTTCGCACCTGAAGCTTAATACCACCTGTCTTGGTTTCCTCGCTCAGCTAGCCGAGGAACAGACAGCGCAGATCGATCATATCTGGCTCAATGTTAAGCTCAAGAGTTACACATGTGGAGTGTGTGGAAGCGATGAGTCACTAACACGGTCTCTCTTGAACAACGGGATCGTAGCAACATCAGTCGCGAGCCTGTTTGACATCTTGGCCAACTGGAACTGGAAGGAAGCCGAGCTTGATCGACATTTGACGTTAGAGCTCAACACCTACTCTCCAAGTGACTCCGAGCATTGGTTCAAATACTGCTATTTCGGGACCCCTGGCGAAGACAAGTTTGAGGTTCTTGCACAGAGTGGCAGAGTCCACGATCCGCATCATGGATGGTGGCATGGCCGCAATACTAGACCGCCTCCGAATGGGGCACTACGACGACCATTCAAACCGTACTCCGCCAGTTTCTATAGAGACGGCCAAGAGCTCCCCTTGGTGTACGCTGTAACCAAGTTTATACTCCGGCGTCAATGCCGCCGGCAACTCGACCCCTGGGCCTTATCATACCTCTGGTCAAAGCTGCCCCGGCTAAAGGAGATCTGTTATGAGCCATGGCAATTACTTCAGGGACCTTCTAATCGCTTGTGGGAAATAGGTCAGTATTTAATTTATCAGGGTTGTCTAGCTTCGGCTTTGGGGCAGACGACTAACTTTAGAGTACAGGATATGAAAGGATAATGAGCCTATCCCTGCAAGCCAGTATCGAAAAGGTCACCATCTTTGAGGACTTTAACGAGAAATGTCTTGACCTACTGCAGCGCCCTCAGAGCCCTGTACTGTACCCAGCTCCAGACCGTGTTCGGGTACCGACTCCTGCTGTAGGTGCTGCATTTGCGGCTAGAAGTCGACAACTCGAGCATCTCTCGGTCGCGTTCCTGGTTGATGCCCGTGATTTCTTCAACAACTGTCAGTCCCATTGGCGATGGAACAGGCTAAGATCTCTCTGGTTGACCTCCCGGGCGATGTCGAAGACCACGGCCCGCGAAACCAACGAACTCCTGAAAAGAGCAGCGATGATATCACTGAATATGCCCAAGCTCAAGAAGATGGTTTTGTGGAACGGATCAAAAGAGGAGGCTTGTTCATTCACATATTGCCAAAGCGATGATGCTTCGCTCGTCTGGAAGGGAACTTGGGATTTGATGCTGGAAGATGAAGTTCTTGATGCCTGGAGGGCGGTCGTTGAGGTTGAAGTTGAGAAGCAGGTGTTGACGGACGAGATTAAATCCCATGGGGATGCTATTAAGTATCTGGGACTCCAGTCTGTGGTTGACGAGGTATCTCTACAGCAGATACGGGCAGAGAACAACATCGACCAACTATACACATGAGATAGATGCATAGCAGCCGGGGCAGAGGAATTTGTCCCCTGAGTAGAGTTTGGGTGTGTGGTAGATAACTAATAATAATAAGAATTTCTACCAGACCTACCCCTTATGTATTAAAATAGCTCTATATACCCCCAGCGAAGAGTGGTCAGGTAGTATTCTTCCTAGAACCTATGAACTCTATAAATCCGCAACCTAAAATCCTAAAAATCTCTCACCGCTCAGCCACTCTTCGTTTTTTGCCAGTCGTGAGTTCGAAACAGTTCCACATCTACTTTTTTTTGCGCGTGGGAAACAATATGCTGTTCCAGGGATGGAGTGAAGCATGGGAGAAAAATAGGGGATCGGGGGATTTCAGTGTGGGTATTTACCATGTTGCCTTTCTCGACTCTCGATATTGTGTAAAGACAATATTAAATTATTAGAATGTAATGTAATTTGTTAAATTCAAGACAGAGCATAGAAAAAAGGAGAGTGTTGGAACTTCTGCGCGGCCACTGTGGGTAGTCAGCCAGGCCTTGGTGCGAGTCGTTGTACGTGTTCGTCTGCCACCGTGACAGATGACCCCCTACCCCTTAAATATCAGAATATGTCTATAGATATACTGAGGAGTGGTCGAGTGGTATCCGTACCTAAAACCTATGAACCTAAACTCTTCAATCCGCACCTATGATCTCTCCCCCACTCAGCCACTCCTCTTTTTTGCAGGTCGCAGGTTCGAAATCGCTGTACATTCTTTTTTTTTTGCGTCCAGTAAAGAGTAATACTTCTGGAGTCAAGGCGGGTAGATACTGATGAGAATGGAGTGTTGGTCACATTTTGGTGGAAGCCTGCGTCGTGTAGTTGCTGTTCTTGAGGCCCCCCTGACCTCCCCTTATATATCAAAATAGCTCTGTATACCCCCAGCGAAGAATGGTCGAGTGGGAATACTGTACCTAATTACCTAAACTCTATAAATCCGCTCCTAAGACTCTCTCAACCAACTCGGCCATTCTTCGTTTTTTGCAATTTTTTTATTCGCCCATGTCCCAGGTTTGAAAACTCTCTCTACGCCTCCCTCTTCTTCCCTCAGGCAACGATGTGTCCTCTCCCTACCCCTTATGGTTCAAGTTATCTATATACCCTCTGTGGAAAGTGGTGTAGTGGTATCCGTACCTAAAACCTATAAACCTTCTTCTCTGCGCTCCTAGAATCAAATCTCTCCCACTCCCACTTTCCACTTTTTTTTTCGCAGTCATGCTGAAGAGTAATGTACCCCTTTTTGGAAGATGCTATCACAGTAGAAATAGTCATTATTTGTGAATTCAAGTCTATAATTACTAATGCTTTAAAGAAATCTCATCTATGCACCTCCCATCTAAGCCTTCGCATTCTGTGCAGGGACAACTTCAGTCTTGACCCATTCTTCAAAAGAAGTAGGCTTTAGCTGAGCCTTCAACCAGGGAAGATCCGCACCGTAAGCCCTCTCGTCAATGAAGCCGAACATGGTCCTCAGATCCTTGAGCATCCAGATCAAAAACCTGGTGAGGAAGCCGTAGGTGACGGGGACGCCCTTGCCAGTGTGCTTGATGAAGATGTCATCGACCTGCTTGAAGCTGAGCATGTCGCTGGCGATGGAGAGAGCCTGGTTGCGAATTCCTGTCCTGTCGGGCTGGACAAGACCCTCAAAGGCCCAGCGGCCAATGTCTTTTGTCACGGTGACTTGCATCTTCTTTCCCCTCATATTCTCCCTCCAGCCCGTCATGCAGAGCTGGCCGGGGAAACCCCAGAAGGCATTGTCGGCGAACCAGGTGGGACGAAGAATGGTGTAGTCCATCTTGCTGTTGTTGCAGATATTGATGAGATGCTTTTCGATGAGGAACTTATCCGAAAAAGTCTTGCAGTACGAAGGATCCTTGTCGCTGATCTCACGACCACCACGATCGACCGAAGAGTAGACGAAGTAGGAAACACCATTACGAGCAGCGGTATCAATAAGACCCTTTGCGTCAGTGACTTCTGTCGGACCGTGGGCCTGAGCGAGGTAGACTCCTGTCCTGGGGAGGATGGCCTTGTCGATTTGCTGGAAGATGGCGTCGGGATCGTTCAGGTCGCCGCCGATGATGTTGATGTCGCCGTACTTCTGGCGGAGCTTGGCTGCTCCAGGGCCAGAGGCTTGACGGGTGAGGGCGTAGACTTGCTTGGGTTGGATCTTGATGGTGGGATGGGTGAGGAGGGCGTTGACTGTGGAACCACCTTGTCGGCCTGTGGCGCCGGCGACGAGGAAGTATTCTGGAGTGGACATGGTGGTGATGATGATGATTTTTGGTTGATTATATGGCTATTGTGCAAGTGTTGTTGCCGTGTAAGTGTTGTAGTGTTATTGTACTGCTGAGTTGCTCCGTTTGCTGGATAGTTGAGAATATTGGCAACTCGTGTCCATTATATATCCTTCCATCTCCACGATATTCCATTCCAGCCTTGTCATTATGCTTAATGACCACGACTTCTTCCTTCGTGAATTCCGTAGCCTGCAGAATTATCAATCAGTTCTTTCAATCCTTCAGGGTATGTTCCAGGGTGTCTTCGTTCTCTGACATAAGCTTGTTGGTGTAGTTACTAGAAAGAGATGCCGCGCGGCTGACCTTAGGTGGCAGGATTTGGTGTAAAAGTGGAGTTAGCGCGCGCGGGTTTGGTTTGTGGCGTTGCCTCGCACTCTGGCTCGGACTTGACAACCTGCATCTTATCGTAAAACCACCTATTGCAAGTGATTTTATGATAAGGATCGGGTACTTTCGAATAGCCAATCGCTTTACACGCACTTCCAACTTCGTCATTGCTGTAGATTGACAGCCTTTTTGAGCTTCCCGCGCGGTAAACCAGAATGACAGCTGGAGCATTAACGTTATCTTCAAACAGCACGTGTTTACATCATCGACCAAAATGAAATGGGTATTTGACTTATGGATAATGAATAATCACCCCCATCCTATTCCCCTGTCTGAAGTCGGCGTATTCTTCAAATGACCTCGGGTGTCCCAAAATCCAAATCTATGACCGCCTTGGCTGTCAGACGGTAAAGCTCGTCAATGGCGCTTCTTAACGTTGTATGGTTGCCGGACTCTAGAAGGATCACACTGCTGGCTCCTGGCACGACCCTGAGCAGCCGAGCCCGGTGGCACGACCGAGATATTTCATTCGACGTATCCCATTTTGTCTCATGCGACGTGATTATCCGCGTGGCACAGCTGGGGTATATCTCTTTTGCATTTGCTAAGAGTCGGTCAGTAACAGTTCAAGATGAATTTTGCAGAAAATGGGTAATCACATGTGATTAGATTCAGTAATGTCTCCGCAGAAATCGCTTCAAGGCCAAGTTTTTGCTCATCGGCGTAACTGGCAATTATCTGCTGTAGAGCACTGCCGAGATCTAAGTCCGGTGCCGATGTGGTCATTGTTAGTGGTAGGGCTGGGTTGGAGTGGCCGTGGGACTTGGCAGTGGGAAGAGACAAGAGAATCGAAATTCACTACTAAAATCACTGGGTGACGTGTCATCTCAGAATAAGATTTTGTCTTCAGGCATGCAACGTGGCGATACGAAATGTTAAATACAATGGGCGTTGTGGTCTGGTGAGCGATGAGTCAGGTTTGAATGGGACGTATAAAAGTGGCCATTTAGGGGTAAAGTTTGCGTTCTTGGAACTCAAACAAGGACAACAAAACTCAGGGGCTTGTATTATTCAGGTTACTTCATTGTATTTATCTCCCCCTGTAGCCCTCGGACAACATGCCTAACCAAGCAATGCGATACAATGCTCTTTGCAGTGTGCAATGTTTCCCCTATTTGATATTCAAACTCGACTCAACCCGTGTCATTGTTTTCTCCAAGACACTTTCAAGTGCATGCACGATTGAGAACTTGCTGTCTCCCTGAATCAAGATGCGAGGTTTTCTATTGATACTTGTCAGATAAGAGGTCTTGTTAGGTATATATAGGTAAGAGATCGATGGTCCCGTGTTGGCACTTCTGAGCAGTTTCCGCGTTTCCAATGTTGCTATCTTTGTTTGATTTCCAACGTACAGAGGCTTTGTTGTCGGATGTCAAACTCCCAAAAATCAAGACAAATTCTAAACATTTGAGCGCTTTTGATTGTTTTATTGTTCTCATTGCCATACATTGATAAGCATCTCGGATGTAGTAGCGCGGTTAGTACTTGATATGGGAGTTAACACCTCGGTGACTGCCCTTGTAAAACAGGCTACTTTGTCATATCAGTTTGTAGAGAGAACTCACGTCCCCTTCAGTTCCTTCTATCTGGATTGCGTGTTGGATATGATGCGTTAAACGCTTGTTTATGGTGCATATCTAACAGAAAGTGAGCACCACCAAGGCGAACGCATATCCACAAGATCTTGGTAATTCAATTAATCGATTGCTTTAACTTTGGAGATGTAATTTGCGACCTTTCAAAGAGTTTCGTGACTAACACATACTTCCGGGCCTATATTCAATAGCCTGTCCTGTACATACTCAAACATCAATATGCAACTAATAATGACAGACGTTTCTGCCCCCAGCAGGGGTTTTTCCTGCCCTTTGGAAATAGAGTTGTGGTGGCTTATATGGTTGGGTAGGCAGTAGGTAACCTTATCAGATCTGAGCCATCACCGCTCTTCGATCTGTATAGGGACCTCTATTGTTGCCATTTCCATGGGTTTCATTGGGACAGCTGGATCTCTCTCTTCTTTTAAAGTTGCTACAAAACTCAATATTAATTAATGACAGATATTTAGTAAAAGTAAGAAAGTTTTACTATAAATTACCCACAACCTCTTCTAAATCTTTCCAACTCCTCCTGCCCCATCCCCATCCCCATCTTCATCCCCATTCTCATCCCCAACCCCCTTTTTCCGAGACCGTGTGCCACCCTGATCATATCTTCTAACAAAATGGACGACCGTATGTCTTCCAGGAAGAAGCTCCCAAAGAAGGTTCTAGGAAGGATCAAGAGCGTCTGTAGATTGTTCTCGCGCAAAAGAAAGCGCGACCATGCTAGAAGTTCGCCCGAAGGAAGGAGCCATCTGAATGATTCTGGACTGAAAGTGACAACTGCTAACAGTCTTGATAACTCAACACACAGACAAAATGAACTTCAATCAGATGAAAGTCAATCAGATGAAAACACATCAGATGAAAAGACCTCAGATGAAAAAACATCAGACAAAAAGACTTTAGACGAAAAGACTACAGACAAAAAGACTTCAGACGAAGAAACACCAGACGAAAAAATATCAGATAAATATCAACTACAACGAGCAAAGCCCCATCGGCCTCTGGCCATACAAGATCTCCCGTCAGATATCTTGCTCGAAATCATGCAACGCATGCCACACAGCACTCTCTACTTCTTCCAGCAAACATGCAGCGCGTTCCGCCAAATTTCACGACGCGACTTCGAAGAGTTCAACCGCGAATTCCGATCAGACGGCCCTGAAAGCTACTGCATCAGCGAGGCCAACCATCGACAACGCCAGATCATCAGAGACATTCTCACTCGCAGCACTCAATGCGAACCATGCTACTCTCGCCGCGTGACAGGGGTGCTACAAAGAGAAATGAAGAGGCTGTATCGACCTTTCTGGTGCTCCGCCTGCAGGCAAACCCACCCCACCCTCTTCTTTTCCCCTGAGGAGAGGAGGAAGCAACCTTGGGAGTACAGTCGGTGTTTGGGACGTGTTGGTAACTTCACACTCTGTTCGCACAAGTCGCTCCCTGCGCCAGACTTAGTGACCTTGGCAAATACCTGCGAGGACAAAGAAATCAAAATCGTCTGCAAGGACCAGAGCCATGTTCCACCTCAACTTGCGATCACAAGCGATCTTTTTTATCTTACTTTTCCCCATAGCCTGATAGTCCGGGCTACTCCGCGACTCTTCCTCAAAGCAGGTGGACTGCCGTCGAAGTTACGCTTCAGTATTATCAAGAACGTCGAGTTTCCAAAGCTTGGCATGCAGGACACTCTAAGTGACAAAGAGCGTGTTACCAGGCTTCAAGACGCGTACCAGGCGTCCAGCGAAATACAACATACCTGTTGTAAACATTTCGACCTCAAAGCTTTCTGCAAAGGCCGAAACACTTGGAACTGCAACGTCTGTAACGCTCAGTATACTCTAAAGCGCTTGTTATCTGACCAGACGCTTTGTAAAAGTGCTCCTTCCACTGGAGATACTCGCATCGTTCTCCAAGTGGAACATACATGGACCTCTACCAATTTCCTCAGCCCCGCATGGCTCTTCAATCTTGAATTCTACAAAGACCAGGACTGCAATCCACGACTCAAGCGGAACCCACTCTACGACGAAAAAACGAAGCACGTCCTGTGGTGTGACACACCTGGATGCGAGACAGGATTGGAGCGGCGGTGGATGAACATGGCAAAGGTGTATCTGAAATGGAATGCGGTCAAGGGCACGGAGGAGTTCGATTGGTGTCACAGAAGTGTGTCTGGATTGCCGACGGGATTCTGGGACTCACACTGGCTGTCCTTTACATATGACTTCTTTCATAGCGTGGGTAGACACTTGAAGAAGGGCGAGGAAGAAGAGGGGGAGGTTGAGGAGGAGTAGGGAAGAGGAGGAAAAGAAGGGTTAAAAGTTATCTATAGCTACCTAAGGAATTAAGAACTTAAAAACTCTTCCAATAGCTAGATAAATATTATTAATAGAGCTTAATTCTTAATAACTTACTCTAACTTTATGTAGTCCTATGTAAAAATAGTAATAACAAGTTAACTAAAAGTCTATATAATATTCTCTAAAGATTTTAAAAGATTATATAAAATAGAAGAGTTTATTACAATTTATTTTATTTTATATAAGTTTTACAATAAAGGAAGTGTGGGAACTTTTGCATACCTACTGTACTACTATGAGTATGAGTTTGTAGAGTTTACTCAAACTTAGAGAGGTTTAGGTCCCATACCTACAATTTGCCACAAGCCCTCATCTCAGTGTTATGAGATTAACGATACGTGCCGTGGTGCTTCTCCTCCAGTCATCTGTATCCCAAATAGACGATGCCCTGTCTGTTGTTGTCTGATTACAAATCACTCGACCCTAAAATCTTCGTCTTGATTAGAAACTGACTCATATAGATGTACGTACCGAAGTGATGCCCATCCCCGCATCTCACACCAATATAATAGCCTGTGCTGACATGTTCATCACAATCTTCACATATCAGTAAAGAACAAAATCTCTCGACCCAAATAACAACCATGGCCCCTCAGTTGGAAGCTGTTCACACCGAGTCTGCCCCGGCTCCACTGCCGCAATTCTCACAGGCTATCAAACACAATGGAATGGTCTACTGTTCAGGCAACATTGGAGCCATCCCTGGTACGAAATTGACGCTGGTAGAGGGAACTGTCAAGGACAGAGCTGTGAGTTCCCATGAGAATGTCTAAGATGAACAGAACTGGCTATTATCACTGCAGCGACAAGCTATCAAGAATCTAGAAGCTATTCTCAAAGAGTCGGGTAGCGGCCTCAAGAATATCGTCAAGATGAATATCTACATCACAAACATGGAGAACTTTGTTCTTGTGAATGAAGCATACGATGAGTTTTTCACTTGGTTACCCAAGCCTGTAAGTAAAGAGCTGGTTCTTAATATCATCGCTAGAGTTGACAAATTCCAGGCTAGGACTTGTGTAGCTGTCTTTCAGCTGCCTCTGGGAACTGATGTTGAGATTGAGTGTACGGCCTTTTTGGATTAGAACGATGATACGAATTCTTACAGCATGCACTATGTATCTTGTTTGAGCAAGCATCTAAAGGATTAAAAAAAGTGATATAAAACAAGAGAAGCAGATCCGGAGCAAGTGTCCACGGAATAGCCAAATACATCATATCACTACTGAATATATCCAACCTTCCCTACCCACGATTGGCATAGATGGACTTGCCCTTGTCTTGAAGCACCTCATCCACATAGTCCACATACTTGATCGGCTCAAAATCAGGATAAAGATCCTTGGTGCTGAGATAGCCCAGGAATTTGGCTCGCTCAGGGAGGTTATCCTCCCGGAACCACTCACAGTAGAGATACTGAGGGCCTGCAAGTCCAAAAATGAAGGGGAGAGACTTGTCGCTCTTGTCGTACTGGACTTGAGCTGCTGCAATCGTGGCTTCAATGTCCTTGGTGGAAACCTAGTCTTTGTTAGTGATATATAATAGTTGTATCTTGAGGGTAGACTTACTACGTCACACTTGGGCTTCTCACCACTCAGCTTCTCGAGATGACTGTGGATCTGCTCCTGCGTCCAGATCTCATTATACGCAAAGACGTATTTGTTCAAAGTTCGGTCGTCAGTAATGACTTTCTCCACATATCTCCCAACATCTCTAAGGTCAGTGAGGCAAGTGGCGTGAGAGCCATCCTCGGCAACGATCGTAGCAGGGAATTTGAGCGCATAGTCTATCTTGCCGGATGGAAGAGACGGGAGAGAAGCTTGGTACCAGAGACCAACGTCGATGACGGTGTAGGGCAGGTAAATCTTCTTAATATGGTTCAAGACGATTTCTTTCTGTGGATATGTCAGACATGCGGAGACTCTGATATTTGAAAAGACTTACTGTTTCCCGAATTAGCATCACCCCCGAAGGAGGACAGCTGGGGCCAAAAGCACTTGGGATGTATCGCTTCACTCCAGCGTCTTTAGCAGCCGACGCCAAGGCAAGTTCCGCCCCTGGAAAGAAAGGCAAAAGAGAGCAGACAACAATGTCCTGGCCCGTGAGAGCCTTTACGAGTGCATCGTGGTTATCCTCGAGTTCGAGAGATACGATGGAGACGCCCTTGCTCTTGCTCTGCTCGACCTCGGGTTTGTTGATAGAAGATGGTCGTACGATAGCAGTCAAGTTCTACCAAGACGTGAGTTGGGGGTAGATGGCTTGGGTTGATGAACTTACGAATTTGGTGGGAGAGGCTGCGAGTGCGTTGATGACGGATTGTCCGACTTCGCCTGTTGCGCCGATGATTGTGACGTTCATGATGGATAGTGGAGTTGATTTTCAAAGACGAGTTGAGAGTTGGAAGTGTGATGATGATGGATTAAAGAGTTGATTTGGACTATATATATATACATATTGAAGCACGATGGTATGATATCTGTGGGTTTTCTTACAAATTGTCAATGTATTATAAACGTATAAAGTTGAAGCTTTGTAAGTCATGATCGGATTCTGCTCCGCCGAAATATCGGCGGAGATGGATTTAGCAACGGTCCCATTATTTCCTAAAGAAGGACCAATAAGCATCAGCATACTGACCAACATAGAAACTGCGTTGAGAATATTGGCACTCGATTTTGTATTCATACAAATCACATAATCTGTTCAGTAGCAAACCATTTGTTTCATCATGTTTTGTGTATTTTGGGCATGTTTAGTAACCAATCTTGATAGCGTACGGATACTACGTAGGCAGTAAGGTTACCACAAACAGCGTACCTGCCCAAACAGATGATCAAACCCATTTGAATTACAATTTTGTCACGTACGCTCGTTATCGTAGAATATCCCAAACTGGGAGAGTCTTCCAATATCTGAGGATAAGAACATTGAGGTAAAGGAAGGATAGCATGTTTGTGTTCCTAGAAACTGGTCATAGGATGGCCACTGGTAATAGAGCAGGTTTCGACTGTTTGGCGTATTCACGCCTCTCGACAAAACCGCATCACTTCGTCTATTCGATTCAAAATCTTTGTGAACAGGCAACCATGGAGGATACAAACACATTTTAACAACTACATAATTACATCGTCCTCACACTAAGCTTCTTCATGCACTTCAAGTCGCCATCTTACATCCTTCGATTCTGCATCTACAAGCCCAAAGTCTCATCAAAAATATCACAAAATCAGAAATGGATGTCCTCGGTGGCTGTGCTGGCGAGGTTCTTGCTCTAGAGCAACTAATCGACCGTGAGTGTCAAACCCCCAATTCGACATTGGTATTAACATCCCAGGCAACCTGAGAATTATCCACCCAGACAGGGACCTGCAAATCGTCATAGGCCAATACAGAAACGGCTTGACTTTTTTAACTCAAGCCTGCGTGGTGACAAAACCAGTGGCAGGGATCACTGACGTGATTGTACGAAGTGTTGGGTGGGAGTCGGTGATGGAGGCTCTGTATGATGTTCTTCAGACAACCATGAATCAAGTGGACGAGAAGCTGGGAGACGACAAGACGCCTGTTTTCTAGGGTGGAATTTAACGCTTATCCGATATTTCATCACATTTGGGCACATGACGGGCGAACTCTTTTCTTACCACTATGTGAACGATGAAGAGATTTGTTTCACTTTGGAGTATTAAAAACCAGTAATTCTGAACATCTACTCCTTGACAGATCTGATACTTCCTCCACATGCAAGTGAATATAATGAAAGTTGAACACAAATACCCTAGACCTCCCTTTTTCGATTGTCCTACTTGTTTGTGTGAGTAGCAAATCACCGTACTCTTTCCCAGTAAATCTATAGAGCGAAAATGAGATAAGTCGCCTCTTCCATCACATCTAACACAACCTACCCCTTTTGTCTCTCCTTTCCCACTCAGAAGTCAGTCCAAACCAAAGACAACGCCCATAACTTTGCAGTCACGATGAGTAAGACAGGGACTAAACTAGGCCAAACAATGGTGTCTGTTTTTGGCGGCGCCACCCGCTTCACCATTGACTGGACAACCTGGTTAGTTCAGCCCGCTCTTGAGCGGATAATTAAGAGTCAAGACAACCACGCAAAAGGTGGCGGACTTTTTATCCGTTCTATAAAGCGATCTCAGCCGTTGTTTCAGCCAGATGTTGGTGGTTATTAAACGGTCTCAGCCACGGGTGGGAAGAATTGCTACGAAATTTGGGATGAAACGTTGGCTGATTTGTTTGGTAGATGTTATCAACAGGAGAATGAAGATGAGAGCTTGTTCATACAGAGTTATGCCATTAGCAATGATCCCAGATATGAAGCAATAGGGTACATAATGAATGATACTGTCCTCGGGCTTGACGACAAGGGAAAAGGTCTAAAAATACCCTCGCCTTCTGTGACAAGCCACCAAGCGACGTTTAATTGCAGCTCACAAGCTCTGTCTAAGACAAATTTAACAATGCTATTGATCAATGCAGAGACATCACGGCATCACAGACACACAGCAAGTAAGGGCAACGGAATTGCCGCACAAAAAAAGCATAAACGAGTTAATTTCCTGTTACGAACGGGCGTCGGATAACGGATGAACTGATTTTGACAAGTCTGACTCTTGGAGGTCAGTTCTAGTCCCAATCTGGAGAATGGGGAACGCCGATAAGCAGGAAAATCAGTGGATTATGGCCCCCCTGCCCCCTTACATCAGGTCCATTGTTAGTCTGCTTTTATTTTAGTGCTACAATTGGTCAAAGCTTAAAACGATAAACATGTCTGTCCGGGCCGGAAAAGATAAGACAGTCGGAAAACAAGGTAAAGAAGAGAGAGAGAGAGAGAAAAGGAAGATGAGTCGACTTACCCAACCACCTCCACAAATAACTCATAATCAGTCATGATTGGTTATTCATGTGACGCCCGTGCAGCGCCGCATTAGCCTGATGCCAACTGCAGGGGCCGTCGTCGGTCATTGGATCCGAGATACGAGCTAAGAGCCTACCTAGCCAAAAGCCAAAAAAACGTGCGTGAATATGGATGAGAGCCTGCCCGCCAGCCCGCCCAGGCTCTAGCCTCTGGAGACAATAAACAAAGTTCCCCGGAGTGTTGGCAGTGGGGTTCTGGTTCTGTTGTGGGCTGTTAGCCTGTTAGGCCAGTGGATCTGGCGCAGGTACCAGCTAAAGTTCCTTGTTGCTTTTTCGCTCCAATATGGGCTAACGTCAATTCACTCACGGCTAACTCGGCCCCCCAAAGGACCAGATCAGATCAGTTGGACTCTTGGAGTCTGTCTGTTAACTAACCTACCTACGACCAAGGTAACTGTAAATATTAGTACTTACTACGTACATGCAAAAGTTAATTGCTCAACGGCCACAAACGAGGCCTCTATCACCCAACGACCAGAGCAAGAAACAGACCTGTCCCTCCTAGACTCTTCCCTCTCTCTTATCATAATGGACTCAACCAAAGATCCAAATCTTGTCATTGCCTAGAACCAGAACCACCTCGTATTTGCAAGACCGGGGTCAACCTAATCCTTGCATGTGCATGCTGCATGTTGCATCCCTTCAGCCCAACGACTCTAGTGCAACCATGCAAGGTACCAGCGACAGTAAAATCTGACTTGGAGTGAAGAAAATGCAGACCAAGCAGGCTTCAATGATATCATGATTGGACGAGCTATCGTCCAAAGAGGAAAAATTGCCTCGTCTAGCTTCTTCACAAGTTCACTCCCAAGAGTCCAAGAGGTCTCTCTGAGGTTCTGCCCACTCACACGATTGGATGACAGGCAACCATCACATCTCGATCGAGCTAAACGGTCAGCAAAGACCAAGGTAAGGTTGGACTAAGAGTGAACTAACACGAATTGAGTTTTTCTGTCTCTCCTCTCTCTATCTCTCTCACTCTCTCTATCTTGTCAGCCCAGATCGGGACTGTTCCGTTCCGTTCGGGCTCAGCTTTGACTCAAACTCGGTTCACCTCGACTCGACTCGACTCAACCTGAACTCCAACTTGTAGATAAATACCCTCACTCACTTCCTCTCATTCCCCTCCTTCTTTCTCCCTCCATCCTCTCTCAAACAACTACATTCGCTACAGTTTGTTATCACTCTCGCTTTCTGCACTTCACTCGTTACAAAGTCAGATACACTACTCCTCCTCCAACCTAATCAAAATGTCTTTCTTCAAGGCTGCTGCCGCCGCTGGCCTCCTCATCGGAGCTGCCCAGGCCTCTCCCTACGCTGTCTACGGCAACGGTACTCACTACACAACAGAGGTTGTCACTGCCACCACAACCTACTGCCCCGGTCCTACCACTCTCACCTACGGTGACAAGACCTACACTGTCACTGAGGCCACCACCCTGACCGTCACCGACTGCTCTTTCACAGTCACCCACCCCGTCAAGCCCACAAAGCCTGTCCTCCCTCCCGTTGTCTACACCACCGAGGTCCTCACCGCCATCACCACCTACTGCCCTGAGCCTACCACTCTCACCCACGGCAACAAGACCTACACCGTCACTGAGCCCACCACCTTCACCATCACCGACTGCCCTTGCACTGTCACCAAGCCTCAGTCCGAGCACCCTTACCCCGTGCCTACCCCCGGCAAGCCTGGCAAGCCCGAGCACCCCGGTAAGCCCGGCAAGCCCGTTGTCCCCGGACCTCACCCTACCGCTCCCGCTCCCAGCAACCCCGGAAAGCCTGTCGAGCCTGAGCACTCCGCTCCTCCTGCCACCACCGGCCCCGTCCCCGTCAACCCTACCGGTACCTACCCCGTCCCTGAGGGCACCCAGCCCGCCGTTGTTACCGCTGCTGCCGGTCGCATCGCCCCCGCTGGCATCCTCGCCTTCATCGGAGCCATTGCTCTCTTCTAAATCGATCAATACGCACCCGTGCATCTCATTTCGAGTTGACGAGAAAAGCGTTTGGTCTCTCTTTTTAATGACATAATTCATGCGGATACGTTATGAACTACTTTATGCCCGTGGACGGACGGACGGATGGGTAGCGTTGGGTATATAATTCTTTTCTACAAAACTTGCACATAGATCTCTTGATTGGATAGAGGTGCATACATCTTAATACTTATTACAAAGTTCTTCTGGACTAAAACATTGGTTTCTTTGGACGTGACTGTTCATTCCTACTACTGCAACATAAATGAGTGACATTTAAGTTGTTATACTCATGCCTATGCATCTGATGTCCTCCAACTCGCGGTCTATGTACAAATCAATGGATTACGAGTAGTCAACAGGACAGCGAACCTTGCTTTCTTGCGTGGCTCACGTTTACCTGCCGCTCTTCGATTGTGAGTGACTGAAGTCATACATCTGACCTCGAGCAGGGCCTCAGACAAGAGGAAGACTGTATCTTGACGCAGAACTCTCTGCCTAACACAAACACTCAGAACCATGTGACAAAGCTGCATCTTAGTCACATTACACATAGACCATTGGAAAAGAGACCATGCGAATGTTCTTTGCAAAAGTTGCAATCAGTTCTGTGCTCTCAAGGCGTGGAAACCCGGTAGGACCGCTGATGAAACGGGACACTATTGAATGACGGCTGCTGGTGAACCAAGACAAAAACATCTAGCTCAAGATAGCTTCTACTATCCAATCACATATCTTTTACTACAATTAATCCTTTAAGTACAGATGTCGATGCTCACTTGGGTATCTACCTCCTTTCTGCCACGTGGAAATGTGCCCCTTGCTTCACGACACATGAGAACACTCGGGATACGGACTCCTTGGAGTATGGTACTTTCCTTGTGCTTTGTTGAGCTCTTGATCGAACCTTTGGGAAACCACAGATCTCCTGCACTTCGCCCACGCAAGTTAATTCGTGCCACATGGTACCATCAAATCGGTCTCCTGAACGATGCATGACTATGGCACCCCCGTCATCTCCGCTTGAGATGGTAGTGCATTCTTAACGAAGCTCGAGGTAAACACAGCAGTGGAAAAGCTTCATCGTTCCAAGTATACGATAGTCCAGCACGATGACTTTCCCACTCTCTTACTACTATCTTCAGTCTAGTCTTGGTACCAGTAGATGGCATTGACGAGTGTACCCGAGACGGACATATATGACATGTCGACTTCAAGTTTCGGCACCATCCTTTCCAATAAGGCAATATCACAGCAGTAAGATCGATCAGTGCTGTCGAAAAGCCGATGCCTCCGTGGACAATGGATTGATGGGCCATCTTTCGCATCATCGGGTAAGTAAAAGCTGCTTGAACCAGGCGTTCTTGAACTCGTTAATTGTTTAACAGGGAGTTATTTAAGAGTATATCCGTGGTCTAGTAAACACTACTCCCTTGGACTTTGAAGATTGCTGACTCTTATCTAGTTTTAGAGGTCGCTATGAGGTACTGTCCCAAAATCACAGGGATAGAATGCTTAGCTTTGTCCTAACAAGCTGACTTTGACATTCAATCGCCTGCTAGATCAATCCTGCTGGCAGGCCATCTTCCTACGAGCCCTCGTTCTTTGAGATCTGGACCATGCTATAGTACAAGCTAAGCCATACGATGATAGGACCGTTGGTTAAGGAGTCACTAAATAGCATAATCGTAACAGCTTAAAAGACAACTACTTGCTGCAGTAGGCATGGTCAATCCAGATGTGAAACTATCATTGCCTAGCTCATGTGCTTGTTTTGACTTCATGATTCCCCAGGGCTCACAGAATGGGAGATATACTTGACATATTGTTAGAGGAATATACCTAGTTGCCATCTGCAGGGTTGATGAAGGCTGACGATATGGGCTGGAGGAATCAAGCCTTCGTCTTTATGCTTGATACAAAGAGTGGCATAAGAATCCGAAGCACAGTGCTTCAAGGACAAATCGCTGGTGTTTGGAGGTTTACAATGGCATTGGGGTTTAGAACCGGCAACCATCTTCAATACAGAGACGGCTTGCGATGGCAGTGATAGCTCACATAGCAGTCTTAAAGTGGTGTCGAGTCCAAATATTGCAAGCACTTTTTGCAAGGCTGTACATGTCCTTTCTAGCGTATATATTAATGCGAGTAAGGCCACGCCCTTCTGTAAAGGCGCCTGGTATGCCCAAGTCAAATCCTCCTCCACAGAGAACGTCGACCATCATGATATTGGACGTTTCCACCGCCAGGAACCAGCAACCAGCAACCAAGACAACCTTGTCGCGATACACTTGTACCTTATATCGTCATGAGCATTCATACCATGTATAGTAGGGGCATAGTGCTTGAAATGCCAACAGCGTGCCGGGCCTTGCACCAAATGACTGTGGTACAATGACCTGGAGAATGCATGGTATATATCATGATGAGGCTGTCCTCTCTAAGCTCCAAGGGCACGAGCATGGTTAGTTCAAGCCCACTTGGGCTTCCTAATCTCAAGAGCACAACATCGCATGTTCTCGGTGAGTTACGGGATCACAATTTTGCAACTGCGGCGGAGCTGAGAGTAAACGAACGCGATATCCTGGTGAAAAACAACGCATCGGGGTGACAATCCGCTTAGTATTGATATACATAGACTACAGATGTAATTCAATGTATTTACAATTAATAAGAAGCATACAACTGCGCCCTTGTAAACAAAGTGCCGATGACGGAACTTGCTTTTGGCGATCATATGACATCAAGGTGTCCGATCGGCCCCGTTTTGCCCTAGCTCCGGACCGGGTGGGTTATCGGGAGGGGGCCGGTTCATCTCGGCCGTCGGTGATTGGGGTCAGCGGGACGATCAACATCTCGAGGAGTCGCTTGATGTAGGTAAGTAAAGTAGTAAAGTAAAGTAATGTGAATTGAGGAGACCTAACAAACAATAAACACCGTGCAACCTCAACGCCTCCATCCTCTGAAGAACAGTCCAACCGCAACAAACATGTATAATGAAAGAGAACGAGGTAGTTGGCCTCTTGACCCCAGAAAAACAAGGCGAAAACAAATAAACTCCATTCCTGTAGCCCACGAATCCAGGCCTCTCCCATCCAATTCCAAAGAACGATCCCGAATGTACCGGATGTTGAAGTGATGAATGCTTTGCCATGTCTTGTGATACTCCACCAAAGCCAAAAACCTAAAAGTGAGGCTGTCAAGTCAAATGACCGGGGTCCCTGTCCCCGTATACTCCATCAAACAATGTCCATGCGTCGACAGGCTGAAACAAGTGTGTCTGGCCTGATAGTGGGAGAAAGTCGAAAGCCGCGGTATAGTAACGCCGTAATAACAGCACAACCGAAGGGTGAAAGTGCTAACATGGGAATCGAGAGTATCGTGAGAAGGAAATGTCTATCGTAGCCTGTTCCGGGTATGCGACAGTAGGCGGTTTAATTGGGTAGCATGCTCTTGGACTCGTCGTCGGTGAGGACAATCTCATGCACGGGATCGCGGCGGTTCTCGAGGGGAACGTAGTCGCAGTCTATGTAAGAAGGAAGAAAGATTTCTGTCGAGCGTTAGGAGTCATGTGCATGGTAATATTCATGATAGCACTGTAACATACCGGGGTTCCACGCAAAGCCTTGGCTGGAGGAAAGGTAGGAGATCTAAAGACAAGTCAGCCACTGAAACGAACTACAGTAAAGCCAAAACGCTTACCAGTCGAGGAGGACCCTCTGGGTCGCCGATGTTAATGACAGTGCATTCTTGCTTAGAAAGAGACGAGCCTACAAAGAACCGAGTTAGTCACAATAACAAGAACACTGCTAATGCATGATAACGGAATCGTCTCATTGTTTCTGCAGTCAAATCAGGCAGGATATCCGGAATCAACTTACTCAGAAGGCTTGGGCGGCGGCTGTGCAGGGCCTTTTCCTTCCCGGCTGACGGCGGAGAGGACGAGGGCGAAGTACTGAACGGGCTGCCTGTAGAAGAGCCCGTGCTCTTATGGTACGAGCGGGTAGCCGAAGGGCCAGCTGGAATGGCGATGGAGGACGACATGTTGAGTCGGTAGAAGCAGCCCAAAGATGAAACGAGGGGTACTGGTGTGTGTGTGACGAGCGTTGGGCCGAGTCGTAGACGGCAGGGAGAAGTGAGGAGACGAGATGGCTGTATTGAGCGGGAGAATGACGCAACAAAGAGACGCTGGCAGGTAAAGGTATAGACTAGAGGGCGATAATAGAGGCGGAGGACCGAGTACGGGCAAGAAGGCGACGAAAAGGGAAGAAAAAGAGAAGAAAGATGAGTTCTTGTTGGAGGTTGAACAAGTCGGAGTCAGAAGATGGAAGGTAGGTAAAGGTTGAGTTAGGTGAGGTGACTTGTCTATTGCTCCTCGGCCACCGACCAGTGAATCACTGCCGCATCATCCCGTGAATGCGCGAGTGATCCGACCCCGATAAGCCACAATCCATGACACGAGTGGTACTTGACTTTACGTGAGACAACGTGTGTTGGTACATGTACTCAATACTAGATGATCGACGCTCACAGGACATACAGTATCCATACTCAAACACCATACCCCTTATCGTGAACATTCTACAGTCTACAGTGTAAGTGAATTGTCTAGACTGTATTTGAATCCACTTCACCATGCGATCGTCTCACCGAACATCGCGGGGCCGTCTCATCGCCAGGGTCATGAGTGTTCTCACCGTAAAACCCGCCATTTATTACGCTTCACTGACACCGTCAAGCCATGGACTAAAGATATTCCCCCGGTTTACAGAGCCTCAGAAGGGTCAAGCGCTTGAAGTACAGCGGCACAAGTGCACTGTAGCTGCCATGTACTGTTGGATCCTTGGAGCGGGCATACAGAAGCGTCCCCTTCAGGGTCCCACGTCTTTTGTGGAGGCAGATCCCCCGATAATCGGCCAATCTGATTCACTGAAGTACCCACTGGGGTCGTGGGAGCCTTGGAGCCTTGCAGCTGCTGCAAGCTTGTAACCCCACTTCGCCCTACCTAAAACGGAGGATCATGAGCCAATCAACGTCGCCCAGCATTCACCACCACTTTTTGACTTCTTGACGTAGATATATCACGTGCACCCGCTCATGCCAGATGACTAAGGATCAAACCGCGCTAGTCCAGCTTAGCTTCCAGTGTTGTCGTCGTCGTTGCTGGCGCCTGGCATCATCTCGAAGCAGCTCCATCACTCCCTCAACCACCAAAACAACAACGAAGCTCTGCATCTATCGACGACAATCGCATACGAACTCCCACGCGTATCTCATCATATATCGATATCCTTGGAACCCCTCACCCGACTCCTTCACATAGCAGAAGCGCAAAGATGGGTGACGTCGCTGTCGAAAACCCAGCAAACCAAGTGGCACCTCACAAGAGGACCGCGCACTCAGCCATCCCCACCATTGATAACTTCGAGGGTGTATCAACCGATGGAGGAGATGATTACGCGAACCTCAAGAAGCTTCAGAGGCAACTAGAGTACGATACTCCGATTCCAGGTGTCGCAAAGTGGCGGGGAACTGATAGCTTTGATGCAGGTATATCCAGCTGCAGGAAGAATATATCAAGGATGAGCAAAGGTGATTCATCGACAGAGCTTCGAACTTGTTGACAGAATGCTGATTATTTGCAGGAGTTTGAAGCGTGAGCTGGTGCGAGCTCAAGAAGAGATCAAGCGAATTCAAAGCGTACCACTAGTGATCGGGCAATTCATGGAGGCCATTGATCAAAAGTAGGTTCGTAGCGAAAAATACCTTGACATCAGCTAACCAACATCTAAAAGTACTGGGATTGTGCAGTCCAGCACTGGATCCAACTATGTCGTCAGAATTCTTTCCACCCTCGATCGTGAGAAGCTCAAGGCTTCCTCCTCGGTCGCTCTCCACCGACACTCCAATGCCCTCGTCGATATTCTCCCCCCTGAGGCCGACTCCTCCATTGCCATGCTTGGTGCCGACGAGAAGCCCGATGTGACATACGCCGATGTTGGTGGTTTGGACATGCAGAAGCAGGAGATTCGCGAAGCTGTCGAGCTGCCCTTGACACACTTCGATCTCTACAAGCAGATTGGTATTGACCCTCCCCGAGGTGTTCTGCTCTACGGCCCTCCCGGTACCGGCAAGACCATGTTGGTCAAGGCCGTTGCCAACTCAACCACTGCCAACTTTATCCGAGTCGTCGGGTCCGAGTTTGTCCAGAAGTACCTGGGTGAGGGACCCAGAATGGTCCGAGATGTTTTCCGCATGGCTCGCGAGAACTCCCCTGCCATCATCTTCATCGATGAGATTGATGCTATTGCAACCAAGCGTTTCGATGCCCAGACAGGTGCAGACAGAGAAGTTCAGCGTATTTTGCTTGAACTTCTCAACCAAATGGACGGTTTCGACCAGACCGCCAATGTCAAGGTTATCATGGCCACCAACCGAGCCGATACTCTAGACCCTGCTCTTCTCCGACCCGGACGTCTCGACCGAAAGATCGAATTCCCCTCCCTGCGAGATCGCCGTGAACGACGTCTCATCTTCTCCACCATTGCCAGCAAGATGAGTCTGGCCCCCGAAGTTGACCTCGACTCTCTCATCGTCCGAAACGACCCTCTATCCGGTGCCGTTATTGCTGCCATCATGCAGGAGGCCGGTCTCCGTGCCGTCCGCAAGAACCGTTACAACATTATCCAGACCGATCTCGAGGACGCTTACTCAAGCCAGGTCAAGGGTACTGGAGAAGAAAACAAGTTCGATTTCTACAAATAAATCATCCTTGTTCGTTATTCTTGTTTCACGCGCTCTTGTGTGTCAACTGCGCTGTATTACATACTTCAACTTCCACTACGGGGTATATGGAAGGGAAAAGGCCATAGGATTGGAGGCGACTTCGAGGCTGAGGGTAGATTAGGATTAATCAACGTGCCGAATTGGCGCAAGCGATATGGCTTTGTATGTTCAACAGGAATCAGTGACTTGATATATGAATGGTATGGCGTCAGCCACATACCAGAGTTCAATCGTAAGCCGTTGCAATTGCTCACTATAACTCAATTTTCGAGGACATCATTCGGACAATGCCGTGTTGCAGACGTCGCAGTTTATCGTGTCTTGTATTCATAATCCATGTCATCTTGTCAAATAGTGATTAACGTTTTGTAGATTATAATGAAGCAATGATGAGTAGAGTTCATAGCCAAACCGTTACATCTATTCACTTGACCAATTTTCCTGAGGCTCACCATATGCTCCACCGCCAGGGAATATCCCGAAATCACGACTCCAGATCATGACCCACATCTCAGCCTCAATCTCAAATCTTATCGCAACTCAGGTGTAAACATAACCACATGTAATTAATCTCGCAGTGATGGGGTATCTTGAATTTTCAAGGTCATAAAACCCCGTTCCTTCCAACTCCTGTCTAATTCCGTGGAAATCTATCAACATAAACCATTCCAACTTCCATCTGCTCATCTCTCAATCAGAAGCGAGTACAAGTACAAAATCACAAATAAAAATACAGCTATTCCGCCCAAACTCCTTATTTCCCACCCTGATTTCGTTCATTTTTACTTTCCCATTTCGCTGCTTGTCTATTTTGATTCACTTGTTCCTTTTGCGATTTCTCGTCCAGACGAGTCCTCTTCACACCAAAGAAAAGAAAATAACACGCTAAAAACAGGGGGAATCAGTTCCAGCCAAGAAGATGCCGGGTGAGAACGCCATGTAGCCCTTCCAAAGGCGGTGGATGTAAGAATACAGTTGCAAGAGGTTCTTGACAACGTCAACTGCCAGGGTATATCTTTCCGGTCTTGCGAAAAGGTGAAGGCAGGACGGCCAAGAAACCCTCGAGCATTGGTAAAAAGAAAACGCGAAGACCTAAGGTCTTAAACGACTGCAGCTATCGATTTGCATCGTTGCTTCGTTGAGTTATTAACCATTAGCCATTACACATTACTCTCAAGTATACGCTTGCATGTATATAACCATGCATCGCGTCTTGCTCCAAATTAGCAAGACGCGCTGAGCCTAAAGATGAGGAGTCGGGTTATGGCCGACTTGATATTATTGGATCAGGCGGAATGAGATGCATCAGTAAGGCTGAGGTATATCTGCAGCAACCCAGTCACCCTCATGAGACAGGGTAGTGAAAAAGAAGATTGACTCATGGTGATGGCTTATGGGTGTGCCGAGGCAGAAAAACGTATAGAGCATGCCAATAGGCATAAGCAGCTCATTACGAGCTCAAGGTAACACCGACTTCAAAGAGAAGGTGGACGAACCGTCGATGCAGCTCAATGAAGATATCAGGCTGCCCAACAATCTCCGCAAGACCGCGGGCTTTGGGAGCCGAGGCACCTGGACCACCGCCCATCCGTCGGGTAAACCCGCTGCCGCCTGTCAGAAAGCTACTGCCATTGCGATCATGGCCTCCAGAGGATTCAACAGCTGGTTGTGGAGGGGCATAGCCACCCCCGTACATGCTGCTACCAATAGGAGAGTTCTCGGCCGCTCGCTCGGCCTCGACCTCTGCCAGCTGTTGGATCCAGGTAGCGAGCTCACGGAAAGCTGTCGAGACCACGGCAAACGTCTTCATGGCCAGACGTTCTCGGTGAGTACTTAGCGCCAAGAACGCATAAACTCGCTTATGACCCCGTGCATGTACGTCAGGAATACGGAAGATATAAGCAGTTGTGTAACCAGCCAGGGCATCGCCGAAAAAAATGGGGCCGCCCGTGACAGCCGAGCCGGCGCTTTGTGTTGTGACAAAGGCCGGGGAGGAAGTCATAACAGGTGATGTGGGGTTGGCCGTAGATGGAGCCCGAGGTAACGTCTCGAAGGACAGAGTGCGCAAGCAAGAGGCACGAATAAGGGAGAACGAGTCGGGTAGTACCGGATCATGGGTAGATGTGTAATCGACATAGTGGACATGAAAGGGTGTTCGTTCCGCTGCGGTCGAATTTCCTGTACCACCACTCTTGCTTGACCGCGACGTGTTGCGTGAGCTGACCGAGGGTGTCGTTCTTTGCCGAGTCCGAGTGTCATCGTCCCGCTCACCATCAGTATCGCTCGAGGTTTGCGAATTGGGTGGTGAGGCCTGTCCTCCTGCGCCAAATACTCGTTCTGCTGGCGCGCGGGTGCGCAATGTCGGTCCACGTGTGGTGTTCGCAAAGTGAGCACTGTTCGATCCTGCCTGTTGCCGTGGTAAGGTCATTGCGCAGTTATCGCAAGGCCCTTGTTTCTTCGTGACCGTCTCGTCGTAAGTTCTTCGAAAACTAGAATCGCGTCGTGGGTGTTGGGAAGGGGCCGGTCGCGGGCTTTCGGGAGGAGTGTCAATGACTGTGGGGGTTGCGCCGGCGTTCGAGCTCGAGTTTCGCAATAGCGCTTTCCGTTGCGCTTGTGCGTCTTGCTCAGAAGCTGGCATTGAAGCACTTCGAGAAAGATCAAGGTTCTTCAATGCATCGTTGAGGGCAGTAGAGGACGCATGCGCACTGGATCGTGGCCGATTATCGGCAGTATCTGCACCATCCTCAAAACAGACAGTACATGAAGCCGGCAGTCCCTCTGTGACCATCAAAGGGGTCGGGCCATGGAGGTCGCAGTAATGAGCAAGACATAGCTGGAAAGAGGGCATTAGTGATGGAGTCTTGCGCATTTGGAAAAGATAGTCGGCTGGCGCAAATGGTAGAGCAAGTTGAAGGGTAGGGTAATGTACAATCTGCCAAAGAGGAATTGATCATAGTAACAAAGTAGTAGCTTTTGGGGAGTATATCATGTCAAGAAGACCATGACGTTGTGGTACAGGGATAGGGGATGTATGGATAAATAGGCCTCAGAATAGGAGGGTTGCAAGGGGGCTGCATGGGAAGCATGGTATTATAGGGATAAAGCGGGAGGTGGTATATCTCGGTGTCTGGATAAAGCTTGTTTTGGCTGTCCTCTCTCATTTCCTATCGGCAACGGAGCGTTGCTGAGGTCATGGGGCTGAAGGTAGGGAAGTGATGTGGCACTCGGTGAGTTGGGATTCCAGACAGAAGCATCATGATTGCCCCCAGGTATTGCCAGCGCTGGATTGAGGGCAGGGCAAAAGTCGAGCGGTGAAGCGGTGTGGATGTATGTGCATGTCTGTGTGCGTCTGTGTATTGTTCGTGCTTAGGCATGGGTGTGCACACAAGCTTGGGTGCGTGGGATGTGGGATGCGGGATGCGGGATTCGAAGACAAGAAAGAACAGGTCAGGGTGTGTGTAAGTGCGAGTGCGCATGTCAGATAGCGGGCGGCTCGGGGACCATTAGGAGGTACGGCAGACGGGCCGTCAACGGACAGGCAGGCTGTAAACGAGGGTGTGGAAAGTAGAGCCAAGGGGGGATAAAAGCAAGGGAAGGAAGAAAGCGACGTGAAGAAGCAACGTCGATGAGAGACAAGACATGGTTACCACGGATAGGATCAGAGCATGATATCTGACAGAAGCGAGTGTGGTATGGTATGTGTAAGGTAATCGCTGGTAATATCAAGATCGAGAAGAGAAAAAGGTACCAGGAATGTCTGGACCCAACAGGACGGACAACTCTGCCCAACCTGGGGACGTGCAGAGACAAAGGCTGAAGGAAGAAAGCAGACAAGGTTGGCAGGGATGTTCTGAGACAAGCTATTGACCATGTGAAAGTGAATGCATGGTGTGTGATGCCCTCGTTGACCAGGGCGTCGGTTGAACAGGAACGTGGAGGGCGGAGGAAGCAGCTCGGAGTGTAGTGGGTGCGACGTTGGACGTGGCAGGAATTGGCATGTGGTTGTACAGCCAGACAAGCAAGACATGGCGAGACATGGCAAGACATGGAGATTTGACTGAGAAAAGTTTGTGTTGTGCACTTACAATGTATGTCATGACGTATCGTCTTGGAATCGAATCGCGGCACGGATATGGATAGAGTATCGACGATTTGGCGAGGTTGCGAGACAGGGAGAAGTCTCCCTTATCGGCAGCGCAATACTGCGCAAGGGACGGCGGGGGAGGCTTGGTCTAAGCTGAAGCCGATTCGAGGCGTCGAGGCGATAGGAACAGGTCAGATACTGTAATAAGGTGTCGAAGGCGAAACGTGAGGCGCGTGCAGGGACCGGGTCGACGAGGGCGTAGTGGTACGATATGGCGCGTGCAGGGCAGTTGCAGGCAGTTCCAGTTGAGTTGCAGAGTGCAGCAGGGCTACAGTTACGGCAGCTGTTGAAGATTCGGATATAATGGATTGACTGTTTTGAGTGCGCCAGGGACTGTCTTTATTCGAATTGGATGTTTGCTTTCGGAGCTTTGCTTGGCTCAAGCGAATCGAGCCCGATCGAACCAGGGTACGGGATGGGTCTAGGTATGGGTGGAAAAGGTGGCAGCACCCAAGACGTGCAATTGCTCCGGGCAAATTGTCGAACAAAGGGAACCGTCGAACCGTCGAAGCGAGTCGTTAAATGCCGTATAAGGTTAACCGAGAAAGAGAAAGACAAGCCTTTTTGACCAGGACCTGCAGAGAGATGCGCGCGGGGTGAGAAAAGGCGAGAACTGCTACGCAAGAGTTCAGACGAAAGAGAGGGGCAATTAATAAGATAGAGACGGAGAGAGAGAGAGAGAGGCGTGGGCGGAAAGTCGCGGCTCCAGTAATACGGGAGTGAGCGTGGAAGCGTAAACCCAAATATCGTATCGAGAATGAGAGACGAACAAGATATGAGGGTGGAGGAGGTCGGCAATTGGAGGGGATTCGACGGAAACGACGGACGAGACGGACAAGGTTTAGGTAGCGAGTAGTTTGGATGTGAAGGGAAGGGAAGGCCAAACGCAGGCAGGCTGAAGAAGATGACGATGGTGATGTCGATGGCGATAGTTTAGAAAGAATAAGAGACAAAAAGAAGGAATAACAGTCAGCTCATCTAGGCTTATGACCGTCCGTCCGTGAAGTTGAGTTGGGTCGAGTTGAGTCTCTTTTCTTTTTCTCTTTTTCCTGCTTTAATTCAATTTGAAGATTGAACGTCGACTCTGAAGCGACAGCTCGTGGCTGTGGGGGTGGGCGTTTTTAAGACAGGGCCCCTCGCGAACCTGAGAAACCGTTTGAGGCAGGCATGGGATGGGTATTTTAATGAATGGGATCCAATAGGACAATGACATGGGCGAAAATGGGGCATGGACATGGGATATGGAGGGGGGAGAGAGCATTTGCAGAAGGGAAAACTGGGCTCCATTGCTTCCATGAGGTGGGTACGAGAAATTACAAGTTAGACAGAGCTAGCAGAGCTAACAGAACTACCTAGACAAGGGAACAGAGCTAACAGCTGCGTTAATACTGCACGGTAACAGCAGCTAGAAAGCTAGTAGGCTAGGCACCTGGGCAGGGCCAAGAAGAGCATGGACATGGTTTGTGTGTGGGTGAGAAGAATCACCGACACCCACTATCGACATGTGAGTGCCGTTCCATCCAACCCATTCCGCAGGCTCTTTTTTCTTCTTTTAGTGAGAGTGCTCCATATGGATTGGATGGAAGGCCAATGCGGCACCCGGCACGTTGTCTAAAACACCCTGTAACCAAACCAAACAGCCCGGACCAACTGAAAAGAGAGGGAGAGAGAATGACAACAATCAAACTTCCCCCCTGGTGATGGGCCTGCTATGCGTCCTGTGCGAAGATGAGATGCCTGAGCCCAATTATTGTATCTCGAAGCAAGGCTGTAAGAGCAGAGTTTCGAGTCTATCCGTAATGTTAGAAAGAAAGAAAAGTCAAAGTCGGGGAAAAAACAAGCTTCAGTCAAATTACCAGCTCGTACATAGGGCGCCTGTCAATGAGTCGTCAGCAGTTGGACTGTTTGAAAACCATGGACACTTCTCGGATGCACCAAACTAATCTTCCTGACGCAAGCACCCACTCGCTGAAGGGTTTTATTTTCTATGACGACGAATCTACAGCTCGTACAGCAATGGGCATACTCACCGCAAGAAAGATTCCAAGGATACAATTACCTCAGATGTAGAAGCATCGTGATGGGTGTTGCTTCTGATAAATGGGACATGGTTAATGGAGTGAGTTCCGGGTGCTCCATATGTGCTCTGCTTCATGACCCACCAGCTGCAGCCAAGCATTCATCGCAACCGTGGAAACAAGCAGGAATATAACCCGTCGTAATAGGGGTCCTACATACTCCGTAGTACGGTCTGATATTCGATCCCGCCGATGAGATCCTCCAGTCAATCAATGGATGCCAACTTTTGGTGGAATTTTCCTGTGATAGCTTCCTAACTGGCCTAACCCTGTTACAGTATGCCTTGGTAATGGTTACCGGCTAACCTTCAACAACCGAGCGCCGGCACCAGGGGAAATTCTGGTAGGCTAGTGGGGGAACCGGTTCCGCTGGAGCTAGTCCAGGCCACAGACAGGAGCCATCCGCCAGTCAAAACAACAGCAAGCTACGCCAAGGCTCAAGAATATGTAAGCCATCCCGATGGGCGACCGCCGAGAATGTCTTTCATGTTCCTGCTCTAGATTAGCGGGCCACTCTTCGGTAAACTTAGGCCAAACCGACTCGAGCCTCACCCTTCTGTGTAAGCCGAAAGGCAGGTAGGCAAGTTCCTACTACGTAATAGTCGGTCAGGATGGAAACGGAAAAGAAATGGGAACGGCAATGCGCCACAGAGAGCGAGTAGGATCCAAGGATCGTCTAGGGCTGCCGCTGCGTTTCGGCGGACAAGCTTCTAGAGCGAGTCTACGGAGTGGATGGGCAGATGCGATGGGCCAAAGCTGCGAGGGAATCCCGATGCTGGGGGCACTTGTGGAGAAAAAAGACCCGATATAAACTCCACCCCTCGCGTGCGCCGGCGTCAAAGTTGAAGTTGAAGCAGCAAAGGGCCGCCCAAGGACCCAGGCAGGGGTCCTCTTTATTTCGCGGCGGTAGTATACTTGGTACAGAGTTTGGTCGGACCGTACGGAATGGTGAGTTAGTTGGACGGAAGCAACAAGCTCGGCGTCATCATGGTCGAACAAAGGCGTGACAGCTCGAGCTGGAGGGGGAAAACAAACTTTAGCGTAGCAGTCACCTCGAGAAGAAAAAACAGGTGAGAGCTAAGTTACTGCGTATAAACACGGCCAAGGGAAAGATACTGTAACATCGCAATCTTCAACAACGTCCAAGGGAAAACGCGGAGCCTATCAAACAACGGCCTCTAGCCCGAATAGAGCCTGGGCGGCAGTTCGCCTCTGTCATAATGACAGCACCCAGCAGCTGTTGTTTTATTTCTTCGTCGCAACATGAAGGATGGATGTTCGCACAGACGCAGACTGTTGAGCATGGTTGGTTGTTGTGTGTGTTATTGCCTTCATACGTCTGTGCCGTTAGAATAGAAGAGAAGGGAAGCATTAGGCCGTTTACGCGGGAAACTCTAACCTCTCGGGATTCATGTTTCTAGCGGTGCTCACAGTGAGACTAGCTGGAAGTTTGATAACTAACGTTAGTACATAGTAGTAATAATAATCTCCACCTTGAGAGGAAGAGATGAGACACAAATGCCGCTTCAGCATACGGAGTACTATGTAGACAAGCCAAGACAATTGTCATTGTTGTATCATAAGTTTCAGCGAATTGACTTCTCCCTGCTTGTCGCGTGCACAATAGCCCAAAGCAACTCAGTACTC